AAGTCAACATTTATCAATTATCTCAACAATTATCAATACACATTCAATAATACTTCATAGGTATGTTGTCATATACATGATAAACATGTTTTATCAATTTCACAAAGAGTAGTGAACATCATCACAACATATAAAGAAAATGTCACAATTTTTTCAAAGTTTCATATCACACCAAGCACACAACAATACGCAACACTTCAAAATGATAGGACTCACACTATGACATGAGCACTTCATGATCATGAAAGAATATTAAACGTTCAACACAAAGATGTCATCCACCACAACATCAAAATTTATTGTAATGACTGAAACATTACTCAACACACACAACAGATGGATCAACACAATCACTATCACGTGACCACACCATCATGGCAAGCATGTTTATCAACTTGAATGAACATTCAAACAACCATGTTTCATCTCATCACTCTTCATGAACAACTTTGAACGCTCATCCGTTTGGTTACAGCAACGATCGTGGTAGACGTATCCAATACGGTTGAAGGACACATCTACAATCACTACAAATTATTTCAATCATGATCCCGTCATCACAACACCAAACAACACTGATCAATCACAACAGTATTTTTTTGGATATATTCTAAATGCGGAAGTATAGGGTCAGTAAATCCAGACAAAATTCAAAATCAAGATGACATGAACATTGACGCCTACCAACCACATACACCACACATTTCACATGTACTGATCATGAAAATCAATGAATTAATTCTTTATTTTCAATGCAGCCATCATATATCAACACAGGCTCTCCACGAAAAAGTGTCAAACATGACCTGACAGAATCCTTCCATCACACAATGAATCACATCACTCCACACAATCAATAATAACACAATGGAACAAGATCAACACATGGGTGATTGCAACAACTCTAGGAAAAAACCATGTCTCACATTGTAATGCACTTCATGACAAAATCTTCTCAGGTGCTCAACAACAATACATTCTAGACATGAACAAGTACAACAATTAATGTCAATGTGTTGTACACCATCTCATCTACCATAAAAAACTATCTGCATCACTATCCTGACAAATCTTCAAAAATTAATTAATAATCATTTTCAACACAGCTCATGTGCCTCATAACAAAATCAACTCATATACATAAATTCCACAAATTTCAAAATAACAATATCACACTATATACTATCATATAAAGTCACTGTGATATTCTTGAAATTATTCAGTATCGTAACATCATGTGAAAAAGAAAAATGAATTGAAAGAGTGAGACACCACTTCCATAAATTGATGATTCAGTGAGTACAATCAACATGGATGTGTCATACTCATCATGATGAACATGTTGATGTGTATTGTTCATGACACAATCACTCTTGGAAGGATATGGTATCACACCTCTACAACATTCATCATGATACTCCACCAATAATGATCATATCCATCATCAATAGTCATAGAAATACTCTCCACAATGTATTATACAACATTTCAATCATCGGTTTATCGAAAAACTTAATCAATCAATTGTTATAAAATGATCATTCAATCATACAACAATACATACCAACAACAATTCATCATGATCACTTTCAACCATTCATAATCACATGAAACACTTCTACAATGATGATCATAACGTGTCATGATGATAGAATGAATGACATGAGCAAGAGAGGAGAGTTGTACCCTTCCTCAAGAAATGATGTTTTCCGAGAAAAGCGAAGTGCTCCCATTCAATGAAACAATCATGTCAATGAATAAAACTGATGATTTGTTGTTTGAATGATCAGAACATCCATCCATATCAATTTCATGAAGTTCTGTGAAGTACTTGTCTCGATCGTACTTTTCACCTCTACCATAGAGCCACCATCACACTTCACATCACACAAAGTCATGAAATGACCATCACTTTGAACTGAATCAACGATCAATTCTATGGTTTCTGATCACTGTAACGACATTCCGATCATCAGATTCATTCCATGATCATCACATCCAACGGGAGCAGTTCACTACAATTCCAACCAGTACTATTTGATGATTATCATTTCCATGTGTATTCATACACACAAAATATTCCTCATAAATGTTGATCATGATGTTCACATTTGATGTGATCAATATAAATATGACATGATGATGAATGGAAACATGACCCGATCTTGATGAGGATCACCTCAAAAATGCAGGGAGTTTTGGCTTCATTTTTTTTTAATTTTTTTTTGAAAAATTTTCATGTCATTTTTGAACTCAATTAAACTCCTTCAAACTTGATTTTCTCGAAAACTACCCTAAACCTGATCGAATGCTCTATCATGACCCCCATTATTTTCGTGAGATCTACAAAAAAGGTCTCGCTTAAATTCTATCAAAAATTTGACACCTGTCACCATTTGTTGAACTACTCAACCAACTTAGCTCACTATTCATTGATGTCGCTAGCACGATTGTACTACTCTTCAAAATCAATCGAATGATGTGCTTGGATCAAGCTCAACATCAAAGATGACGAAAAACCCGACCATGCACGAAAGGTCTACTTTAAGCGAATACAGTTCAATAATTACCCATAATTAATGGATGAAAGTCATATCAACACATAGATATACCTCCATCCCCGACGATTTCATAAAAATTAAAAATCCAATGATTAAGCATGTCGAAAAATTAAGATTCAAAGTCGAGCTGGGCACCTATCCAAACCCTTTTCCAAAGGATGGATGTTTGGCGAGTTACAAACCCATTAGTTTTCCTCCAATTAATTCCAAACTCTTGTTGTTTACATTATCGAAACAATGAAATGCTTGGATCAAGCTCAACATCAAAGATGACGAAAAACCCGACCATGCACGAAAGGTCTACTTTAAGCGAATACAGTTCAATAATTACCCATAATTAATGGATGAAAGTCATATCAACACATAGATATACCTCCATCCCCGACGATTTCATAAAAATTAAAAATCCAATGATTAAGCATGTCGAAAAATTAAGATTCAAAGTCAAGCTGGGCACCTATCCTCAAAAACCTTGTGTTCCAATGTCATGCATCTCTCTGGTTTTACAGTTTGAAACACCACTCCGATAATAAATAATCATCCTCTCTTCATTTACAACATTAAAGTTTTTTTTGGGCCAATTTACCTTCAAAATTCAGAGTGAAATAACTCAACAACCACTTCACATCTCTTAGAAATTTCAACACCATTAGAAAGCAAATGAAAATTAGCCTAGGATTTGAGTATATCTCGTCCTCACCAGTTAACTTCGGACCGTGGACAGGACTTATTGAAATCAAAATTTTTTTTTGATAGTAAAGTCGTTAAAATGGCTCAAAAAAAAGAGTAGGTGGAGCCAAACCCAAAGAATTTTAACAAAACTTTGGAAGAATCTCTGGAAATATGCGCCAACATTCATGCTTTGTATTTATTTATCATATATAAGCCTTGATTTGACATCTCCGTCCAATTTGAATGAGTTAAAACCATCCTTGTATCTTAAGAATTCTTCGTCGCTCAATTTCATTATCTTTCTGAAAAGAGATAATGATGCCACCAAGAAGACTGTTCCAGGGACACTTCCTATCATTCCTATGTGGAGGTAATAAAACCTTTTGAAATGAATCGTACTTGGGATTTTGAAACGCTGTCTGCTTTACTCGCACGGAAATCCACTGCCTCCAAAACACAACATCAATCCCTTGTAGAACTACTTGAAACCTTACTCGAAAAAGTATCAGTCAGCAGTCTTTCGTACACAAGAGTCTCTCCACTTCTCTCATCCATTCCTTCTCAATGAAGAAACATCCTCGCTTCTAGGTGAGGAAAGGTGGGGCTAAGTTTGTAGTTAGATCTCCTGAATCAAAGCAACGAATGGTAGGTATGATTTGGGATGGATTCCAAGTTCCATCTTCCATCATAGCTTTGTGCCACAAAGGGTTATCAGCACCTCTTGCAAAAACATCTATTCTTCCTTCAGCCCAAGATACAGCACAAGGATCTGATGTTAAAAAACCTCCCAGAAAGGGTCTAAAAACTGTAAATAAAGCAATGAGGGAGATCAGGTGTTGCTATTTCAAAAAGTAAGATTCGCCAATTCATTTTAACAACGAGGATAAGCTTTACAACACGCCAGTATTGGGTAAGGGATGTCAAAAACTTTCAGTGATGGTGGCCATTCGTCGACGTTATTGTTTTTAAGAGGAATTTCAACTGGACATTTGTCCATACATACAATGCCTTTAAGTTAAGGAGAAAAGAACTTTCAACGTGTGAGATCTTTACTATTAACCACATGAAGAAATTGTTTTTAACCATAAGAATGTGGAATCGGTGTGTGATGTGATCGAGGATGTTACTTTTGGAAATTCATTCTTTGAAATGTCCTATAGTTTTCAGAGGCTATTTACACAATCAAGACTGTTATACAAGAAAATGTTGGAAAGTCGCGAACATGTGAGGCTTCCAACTTCTGTTGACACCAGTCAACAAACATTCAAGAAGCACGCGCAAAGAAAGACTCTGAAAGTTTTAAAACACCTTAAAACCATTGCCTCAAACAGAATACGTATTCGTAAAATGCTTTTTCGTCTGGAGGTACTGAAAAGAAGAATCGAACAAGAACACCAATTAACAAACGTTTCAGCCTTTTACAACCTATATCAACGTATTACGGAGATGAGAAAGAGCACTCAATTCAATATGGCCTGCTCTCACTTATCTCAATCCTTACTACGTATGGATTATCGTTGAATGAAATGTTGACAATCACGATGAAGATGTGAAAACCCTGCGATAGCCGCTAGTGAATGTGTCATCAACATAAGAAAACGAATAATAACAATTCCATGGAGAAAAGCGCTGATCTATCTTTGTTTACTATGAAAATATTTGACTACTAAAGCGGAATTGAAAATCAAACTTATGTCTGAAATTGATATTTGTCTAATTGTATAACACGAATCACAATTATAAATGCATCGTTGAATTTGTTATATATTACATGTTGTCAGTCCTAAATGATGGCAAGCGCAAAACACAATTTTCTTCGAGGACATAATCCTTTCCACATACAGTCATGTGTACGTCATCTATTAACACGTTTTGTTGGGGATTGAAAGGACACAAACATCCATTACTTGATGACAGTAAAGGTAAACAAATCTCTGGGTTGTGATTGGTAGCTTCTTTTCTAAGCCAGAAAGCTCTATCAAATCCTTTCAAAAATAGGTAATCTGGAGTGCTTGTGAATAATGGAAGTACATGAACCACTGCTTTGACAAATTTATCCAAATCTTTGTGTGTCTTGAATTCAATAGTACTCGATTTTGAAATCTTTTCTCTCATTTCTGAAATTAAATGATACATGTCACTGTCTGTTATTTTTTGATCTATGTTAGTTGTTAATAATTTGTTTTTCAAATTCTTGTCAACATGAAAAGCCAAGTCACACACTCCATGTTTTTTGAGCTTGTCGAGATAGGTCTTAATAGGTCCTTCAACTTTTTTATCGAATGCAGGTTTCAAGCCAAGTCGTTCAATAACTGTTTCCGTAAAATATTGACAATTACATGTATCTCTATGATATGTTTGCGTTCGATTCCACTCTGCACAAACTTTTGCTAGTTCAACAAGCTTAATATTTACTTCTGAACCTCTAATAGTATCTACATCAAGAGTGAAAACAGCTTTGGAAGAAGAACGTTTTCTAACAACTGCTATGGAAGAATCTCCCCATTCCAAATACCACGGTCCAATAATTAATGCTGTATGGAACTGTTCATCAAGCAAATAATGAAACATGACATGCCAACATCAGCACTATTTCAACACAAACATTAATTCAAGACTTACCATTCCATAAGCGGTACCCTTTGTGTATCCAAGCACACTCCCAAATCTACGAATTAATCTGTGAGCTGAAGCCTCACTCAATTCTGTAACAACTAATTTTACCTTTAAATATGATTCTTTTGGTTTGTTCACTCCAGATGATTGGTATTGAGGTAAACGCTGTGGATTTAAAAATTTGTACAAAAATCTCTCATGAAATATCAAATTCTGGCATACTGTTTCAGCGACTGCAGGCCCATAATCTTTCATGACCACTCCAAGTTTTTTCATACAAAATTCACGATCTATCCATTATGCCGGTTGGAGTTACACATAAAATCATGCACAGTGTTATATATATCGGAATAACAAAATGAATGAATTAAAAATTCACACACAATACTTACACTTGTGTTGCTCGGAGGAAAAATTATTGACATTCCATGGAGAACATTCAGCAACATTAATATACGACGCCTTTCCCAATGAGCTACTTAATTCATTACTCGAAGATCCAGACCATGTAGAATCGAGATTACCTTGATGCATATCTTGTCCCATTTCTCTCATTTCATTCATATCTTCTTCTGTTAAATCCTCCGTATGGTTTTTCGTGGCTGGGTCTTTACAAACCTCACCGCCTCCTGATGATGATGGGTTTGATATTGGTGATGATGATGAACTGGTAGCATTTGTGACCATTCCATTGTTATTTTCTTGTTCCTTCTTTTTTTGTTCTTGTTGTTTAATTTCCTTCACCCGATTCGCAATGGAAATGGCAACTCCTCTCCGTACTCCTAGTTGAACCAAAATTTCAACGCTGATATTCATGAGAGCAATGCCATCAAATTGTTGAGTTTGAAAGACTATGGACATTCATTAATCATCGTCACATCTGAACAGAAAAACGAATGACTTACGTTGAATGACGGAATCATCAAAGTTGGATTGTTTGAGAAATTGAACCACGTTTTCATTGTTCCAGAATTCTAGAGGAATTTCGGAGAGGTTGACACCACCAACCAGATGAGAGGAAGAAACACCGAGTGACTTGCCAAACATTTTTTTGAAAAATTTGTTTTTAAAATTAAAAAAGATCACATGACAAGAGACATCTTGAAAAAAATTCTCATGTTGTCCACCACAACCAATCTCTCACCAAACATTGAACGCTGGAGTGAAAGCGATGTGGCTCACTTCCTTCTCTCCAATCACTTTCCAGAAGAACAGATTGTCTGTGGTAAGTCAATTTATTTGATCATAACCGAGCGAGTTTTATATTTTCATTAAACAGAACTTTGGTCCAAAAACGTCAATGGCGTTCAATTGTTGAAAGCTTGCTCCTCTCAATTGCGTGACTTTGACCTTGACAAAAATTATGCATTGTTAATTTGTGATTTGATCAAAAATTATCAGAAGAATCATCATCAAATAAGAAAGACAGCAACAATGTCGTCCGCACTCACTCATGATGATGTCTTGTTGGAAAAAATTAATAATTATGAGCTGAGCGCTGAACAATTTTTAAAGATGAAATACTTCAGCACGAATGATGAAGAGTTGTCGTCATTATCTATTGAGAGTTCTCCATTTGGAAATCTCAATATATGTCACTTGTCTAACAATCGATTGGGAACCATATATACAGCTTTCAATGGGAATAGAAAAAGTGGCACTCAAATTGCATGCCCTGTTGAACGAAACCAATCAAAAATATTTTGTGAAACAAATGTTAATGATGAATCAACTTTCTCACCCCAACATTGTAAATGTTTATGATGTGTTTAAGGTCAACTCTACAAGAAGAATAATTTGTATTGAAATGGAGTTATTGCAAGGAAATTTATTCTCTCAATTATTGTCACCGGAGACAAATGTGGACATTAGTGAAAATTTGATTCTTCAAATTGGATATCAAGTGTGTTCAGCATTGAGCTACTTGGATGCAGTAGACATGGTACACATGTAAGTACATTAATGTACACATGGATTTTTTAAATACTTTATTTCCTTAACCAATTTTAGTAATCTTAAACCTGAGAATATTCTGGTGAGAAATTTTGATGCACAGACGCAAACCATTAACGTTACTCTCTCAGATGTGGTTTGTAGTTTTGTATCAGGCACTGGTCACTCATACATTCCACCAGAATACGCTGCGAATGAGCAGAATAGTGAATATACAAATCGTGGAAATATTTTCATTCTTGGAGTAATTTTATGTCAACTCATTCTTCATGACAAGGTATTCAATGTCACATCTACTACCACAAATTTCATTCGAAATAGATACGGTACCAAGTATTCAGAAACGTTGCTCACTTTAATTGATTTTATGTTACTTTTAGATCCAAACGATCGTCTCTCTGTGAATGAAACCTTAGAAAGGTTTTCAAAGTTGACCAATCAAAGAGTGAATCAGCCACAACCACTTAAACCTGTGGTTCGATATTTGGAAGGTAGTAACAATACTTCATTTGTTGCAACCGATGAAGAGGTTGTATTGCAACATTTATTGTTGAAATATGATAATTTACAACCAATTTTCACAACACGTACTGGACAGCTATTGAGCGTAGAAGATAAAAGAAATAGTTACTCGAGAAAGTCTATTCTATTACTTGCTATTAATGACCATGCGGTGCTTAATCCAGTATTTTTACAAGCAAGGAGAATTAAGAACAAGTATAGACATCCAAATCTTTCCAAAATATATTCTGTTTTTAAGCCTGGAGTATTGTTGACGTTATGTATTGAAATGGAAGAAGTGAAGGGCAGTTTGTTCTCAGAATTTGTAGAGAAACGAGCCTAGAGAGCATTTGTTAAAACAGATTGCTATTCAAATTTGTGAAGCTTTGATTTACTTATACACGTTGGACACACAATGTGGAGTTGTGTAAGTAATGATTGATAATAATTCGTTGACTTTTTGGATGTATCATTCTGAACATATAGTGACATCAATTTGTCCACAATTTTTGTGAAACAAATAGAGGGACAAAAGATTAAAGTTGCCTTGTGTGATTTTGGATTGGCCACAGTTTTGAACGACACAGCTATTGAAACGGAGCAGTACAAAGCTCCAGAGGTTTTGAATCACAAGCTGTTTTCATCTGCAAGCGATGTCTTTGCCCTTGGGGTGACGTTATATCAATTAATGTCCCTCGATACCGACACAAGAATGGGAATGAAATCCATAGAAACAAGCAATATGAAAGAATTTATTCTCAAAAACACCTCACCGTTCGGCTATAGCAATGATTTTGTGCAACTAGTGGCTTCAATGCTTTGCTTCGATTCTAAACAAAGAATTTCAGTGGAGAGTATCAGGAAACAACTCAAAGAGGATGCTATGGATACCAGATTCAACTCCATGTCATATCAATTTGTCACAAAATATACCACAGCAAGTTCCGTACGACAAGTTTCATTTGGATGGATAGATGCGGATGTTCACATTCAGTTAAGCAAACGCTATTCAAACGTTGAGCAACTTGGCGAGGGAGGCCAAGGTATGGTTTACAAAGTGTTCGATCACAGGTCCAAGAAAAACATTGCACTAAAGGTTTCCAAGACATCTGACTTGAATTCTGCTATTGATGAAGTGATGACTATGGCAAAACTGACACATCCACATATTGTTCCTACGTATTATGCCTTTCCAGTTGGAGTTGACACCATTTGCATTGAGATGGAATTATTGAAAGGGAGTTTGAAACAGGAGTTCATAGAACGGAAAATCGTGGTACCTGAGAAAATATTAACCCAAATTATTGAACAGGCATGTTTGGCTCTCAAATATTTGCATGAGGATAGAAAAGTGTTGCATAGGTAAGTGTTGTAGTTTGAAATTGAATTCCTTAAATGCCCAACACGTCGCATGCAGAGATGTTAAACCCATGAATATTCTTGTGAAAGAATATGAAGCTGAGAAACAAGAAATTATTATCGCGTTAGCTGACTTTGGACTAGTTAAATCCATCAATAATCTTACCAATAACACAGACAAAGTAGGAACTGCAGAATTTATGGCTCCCGAATTGCTGGCCAACGAACAAGACAAGTTTTCTTCTGCAATAGATGTTTTCGCTTTGGGTGCAACATTGTACCAGTTGATGACCTTGGACGAACGCACAACTCTAGGTGTGCTCATGCAGGAACTAAATAAGGAAGAAAATCCAGCAATGTCATTCGTGAGACTATTGGCACAAAAATCAGAAAGACGTTATTCAGCAGGGTTAATGAAATTAGTTTCCGAGATGCTACGTCTAAGGGCAAGCCAAAGAATATCAGTTCAAAACATTCTTACAAAAATCCATGATCCGAAAAAAAACTAAACCAGTAAAGTCCGTGGTTTACAAGCACGATACACGTGACGTGTTATCAATTTCATTTAACATGAGCCTGCGTGGATCTTCACTCCATTTTGGCAGCCATATCAATGGCTTGCTTGCACAATCCCTGATATCAATAAACAGCGAAGAAGGATCGCTATGTGTCTTCTTGGTGAAAAAATCCTGAATTTCTTGATCGTTATTTGAACGCAACCCTTTGGTATGTTGAAAAAATAAATCTATATCTTGCAACACATATCTCAATCTTGCAGATGAAATGGAGCTAGCTTTCGAATAGTGAGTCAGTAAATATTCTAAAAACTGCCCTCCTGCAGTAGCAAAAACAACGAACGCTGAAGAATAATGTGACTCAGCGGTTGAAGTCAATAATTGAGGAATAATTGTTGAAAGCTGGTGCACCATGTTGTCAAAATGCTCCATCAGACTTGACGCACTGCAGGACGACATACATTTCACGTTGAATACCAAAAATGTAGGCATAACCTGTCCGCTTTTCATGTCCTTGGAGTATTGGCCTTTCCACAGTTGAAACGTTAAATACTTGTTTTGAAAACATCCCAAAAAGTATTGATTATCGAAATACGATTTCAAATTCTTCAACAATAATCCATGGTTATGAAACACTGATTTCATCAAATCTTCATATTCTCTATACGTCTCAACTTTTTGAAATGTTTGTTCACATGTGGTTCCATTCCATGCTGCTTCTCTTACTATTGAATTATTCCGTTCTGCAACAAGCTCATTCAATGTAATTCCAATATACGAAAGGCTCAATTTTGTGGGAATCATTCCACTCTTAATGATAGATTTGAATGATTTTACATTTCCTTCAAAAACATGTCCATACGAAAATCGAACACCCATTTGTCGATGAATCAGTAAATGAAGATACCATAAAGAGCCTTTCATCAAAATATTTCCTCTATATTTCTTGTGTAACCATCCTGATCCATCAAATCCAATGTTTTCAGGCTTTCCATTCAACAGGACGCTCTTGATACACATTCCGATCAATGAGGCAGGATCATAGCTTCTGGTGGAGTCGTCATATACCTGCAAGTGAAGAACAAAGAAAGATGGAGAATTATCGTTTGGTGCGTCTTGGTTTAGGTGGATTGCATTGGCATATTGTGACCATCTCTCATAAACATTCCTATCGTTCATCTTTAAAAAGGTTTTAATTTCAAATTCTGACAAGTATTGATAGTACTCTTCCAAAGATTCTTTGGATTGCTCAATTTGTTTCATCATCTGATCAAACCACGATGAGTCGGCGTTGTTGATATTATTTGATGATTCATTACTTCTCAAGAGGTTGGATTGGCAGAATAATTTCAAATTGAAATTATTCGGAGACAGATAGGCAATGCAATAACGAGGAGGAGGTTGATGGTTATTCAATGATGATGACGATGGTTGCTGCTGCATTAAATTCCAATCATCATCATAGAAAAGCACTCCGTTTTTCAACAAAATTTGAGCATGATGAGGAAATATCTTGTTCAGTACAAGACTCATACCACTTGCTTCCTGTGTTGTTGTTGATGATGGAGAATTCATTTTGTTGTTGTGAGAGATGAATCCCAATTTTCCGTTTCAAAAGCTTCAATTCGTTGTTCCGTTTCATTTAATTTAATTTTTTAGTTTTAAAATTCAAAACGACAACAACAACATGTTTATTTCTAAAGAAAGTTGTTTCTGATGGTTCTAATCGAATTGCAGGCCACAGCTCTTTGAATTCATTCACTAGCTCATCCACTGTTACCATATTGTCTTAATGACTCTTGATGTCGTCTTTTGGCATTCATCAATCACTCACCCCATCACCTTTCGGTTTCATTTTGAACCTGTTCCCTTCACTTGTCTTTTTTAACACAAAAAAAAATCTAAGAGAACTCACCACGTGGTTGTTCAAAGCATCATCATTGCACCACTGACAACAGCATCAACAACACGAGAGAGATTGCCTGTGTTGTTGTCCTCATATTATCCTCCTTCTCTGATCACATATCCCTTTACCTTTTTAAGAAAGTATTTAATAACGTCATCATCATCATCATCATAATATTACTTGCTTCTACTAACCACATAAACAAGAATGTCCAATCAAACGAAAATGGATCTCTCCATTGCAGAGAGAAGAGCCTACGAATTTCTTCTCCGTTCAGAAGAAGCCAAACGTTGGATCGAAGAAATGATTCAAGAACGTTTCGGTCAAGGTTCTACCATTGCCTATTTCGGTGAAATGTTAAGAGATGGTGTTGCTTTGGCCAAGTTAGCCAAGATCTTTGCTCCTTCACAAGTCAAGAAGATTAACAAACCAAATCAGAATACCATCAAATTAGAGTTTAGCTTGGTGGATAATATTACTCAATTTTTGAATGCTTGTAAATCGACTGGGTTTAGAGAAATTTATTTGTTTGGTATGTTGTTCAATCGATTGTTACTTCAATGGTTTCTAATGATAATAATGACTCATACTCATAATTATTATTACTGATGATTTTGACTTGGGGTTTGGCATCTTCTAATTTTATCACGTGTGTCATCACGAATCATCATGAAAACGTTTTTTACCATAACTCCACGAACTGACATTAACACTTGTCAATCTCTACAACGAATCTCTCTTGAATCATCCACATGGCTTGCTTCACACAACCATAGAGGTTACCGATTTGTGGGAACTCAAGAATGTCTACAAAGTTGTCCATTGTCTTCACTCTCTTTCATTGTATCTTTTCCAACACGGTCTTGCCATCAAAATGGAAAGACTCAAATCTCTCAACGTTTCTAGAGAAGATTTGGAACGAACCAAGAAGATGCTCGATGATTTAGAAAATTCTGGTATCAAATTCGATCAATCCTTGATTGAAGGAGATGATGATGGAACATTTAGTGAAGATTTGTCCTCTGATTTGAGATCGGATAATATTCGAGCCTATGTTACTGGTTTGTCTGATCCTGAAATGTGTCAAGTGAGTGGAGACAGTTTGACTCGTGCTGTGTGTGGTGTGGAAAACAAATTCACAATTCACGCTTTCGATTCTGATGGAAAACCATTGAAGTATTGTACGGACACATTTGTGGTTGAACTCAAATCATCGTCAACCACAATTCATGCTCAAGTTTTAAACAATGGAGATGGAACTTTCACCGTCAAGTATACTCCTCAAGTTGCTGATGAATATGTCATGACCATTTCATTGTACGATGAAGAATTGGGTGATGTTGCTGGTTTGCTAACCAATAAGAACAGTTCCGATGGAGTCTGGAATGTGAAAGTGACCGCAAATCCAATTTCCGATCCAACCAAGAGTGTTCTCAAACCATCTTCTCAACACGCTTCAAACAATCAAAGATCGTATCGTGCAGGTCAAGCCATTGAAGATTTGATTTTAGAGAGCAGAGATTTATACGGAAATAGAGGAGCTGGAGGTGAACCATTCTCTGCCAAACTCATTTCTCAAACTCCTGAGAATGTAGTTGAGGCAAAAGTTGTTGATACTCGTGATGGATATTATCAATTGCTTTTTAAGGTTGAGAAGGCTGGTAATTATACATTGGAAATTTCTCGACCTGGACCAAATGCAGGAGAAACCATCGTTTTAACACAAATTCGTGACAGTACTAAAATTACTGTACATGATTCAGGAAAGAGTGATCCTGATAACTGTGTGTTCATTGGTTTGACCACCAATTTACATCATTTGGTAGATGAGAATGCTGTTGAAACTGACAGAATTGTTTCTCAAAAATCCAATACTGTTAAATTAGAAAGAAAAGCCGGTGACGTGATTCGTTTCTTAATTCAAGCACGTGACGAGTTTGGAAATGTTCGTGAAGTTGATTCAGAAATTCCTTTGCCTCCCCTCATTTCTGAACAATTCCACGTCATTGCTTGTTTGGAAGGAGCTAGAGAGTCACCTGCAGAATCAGCAGATAATTTATTAATGACTCCTAGAACTGCTAAGGTTGCTAAACAAATTGAAACCTTTAAGACTGAAACTGAATCAGAAGCTTACGATTCAACAATTGTTAAATTACCAACCATTGATTCAGATTCAGAATTGACCGCACTTCTCGGTCTCGCTCAATTACAATCTGGTGACGCTCAACAATTAGAATCAAAACTTCACTCGACATTGCTCAAATTTGTTTCACATACTGGTCATCATGGATTGTATCTTGTTGAAACTAAATTGATCAAGAGTGGTGAATATTCATTGCAATGTAGAGTTGCTCAAGGAAGTGAAACTTCAACATCCACTGCTGCCGAATCTTCTGAAGAAGCTCCAAAGCCAAAACAAACACTGTTAACAGTTGGAGGTGCTCATACTGTCATTGTTCGTGATGCAGGAGTTACTGATGCAAGTCAATGTGTTGTGATTCAAAGCTTTGCAAAGGCAGAAAATGCTTCCAAGACGATCATTGTTCCAAATCTCAACAAAATGGACATGAAAACTGAAGAATCTTCTGAAAATCCAGATGCATTCACAGATACTTTCAAGAAATTCCATGCTGGTCGTGAAATGCACTTGATTGTTGAAGCACGTGATCGATATGGAAATGCAAGAGAAATTGCAGAGAATGATGAATTTTTGGTAAAGTTGACACCAAAGACTGAATCTGTTTCATCTCCAATTAGTCCAAGAGGTGATGCCAAGGTTTGTCATGCTGCCTCAACCAAGTTTGTTCAAGGAAAGGGACTTTTTGAAGTTGTCTACACTGTCACAACTGCACAAAACTACATTATGGAAGTTGTGTACGTTGACAAGTCAAAAGTCACCACATCCGATGATCAAAATCTTGCAGAACGTTATACATTTGCTCAACCTGTAAAAGCATTCCCTCAAGAAGTGGTTGTGACAGATGCTGCTAAAACTGATGCTCAAAATGTTCTCTTCTCAGGAACTGGTGTCACCAATGGAGTTCAAGGAAAGGAAGCATTCTTTGTCATGAGAATGAGAGATTCATTCAAGAATTTAAGACGTCAAGGAGGTGATCAAGTGGAAGTAACAGTGATCAATGATGCTCGTAAAATTGAAACTCCAGCAACTGAAATTGTTGACAATCAAGATGGTACCTATACAGTTCGATATGTGGCAAAAGCATCTGGTAAGAATCGATTCCAAATCAGAATCAATGGTGAACTCGTTCAAGGAAATGATATTTTGGATGCTGGTTTATTCATTTCTCCACCAAACATTGAAGATGCAAGCAATGTTGAAACCATTCTTGACCATGATTTACTTTCTGCTCTCTTGAATGCATTCCGTGTGGAACAAAAGACTGACAATTTGGTTGAACAAATTCAAGCTTTGAGACAAGAACTTGTGAGACAGTTGAGAGAAAATACCCGAGTTGGTTCCGGTGTTCGTGAAAAGGAGAGAAAGATTTCATTGCTCGCTGAAAATAAGTATCATGCCGAAGAGTTGATGAATCAAAAGGGAGGTATTATTGGATATTTCCAACGTAGAAGAACTATGCAACTTAATAATGGACTCGATGGTCTCTCTACTTCAGCTGCCGATGCCATGATTAAGGAAAATATTAATCTTTATGGAAATTTGTTCTATTTACTTCAAACTAATCCAAAATATTTGGCCAAATGCATTTTCCTTGTTCCTCCATCTGAGCTTGACCAATTCTTGAACACTGTCACTTTGACTTTGTACGGTTATGCTTTCAACCCTCGTGAAGAATACTTGATTTTGAACTTGTTCAATGAGGCTCTATTGTTGGAAGTTCAAAACTCTAATCTTGACAGCTTCTTGTCAGGTAACCCAATTTTGATCAAATTATTGATCAACTATTGTCACGAAAGAATTTCTGGAAAGACTTTCTTACAAAAGGTCCTCTATGATAAGATTCTTGATCCAATTATTGAAGAGAAGGACCTCAACTTAGATTTGAATCCTATCACATTGCTTCGTGAAATGGTTTCTCAATCCGAAGTTGAAACTGGTATCAAGTCAACCATTGACTTTAAAGAAATGACTTATGAGAAAGCCATGGAAACCAATGAAACTGTTCGTAATGTCATTAACATGAGAAAGCAAAAGATGATCCAAATTTGCGAACAAATTCTTACAAGTATCTATGATAACATTGCCGAGTTACCTTATGGTTTGAGATTTGTTTGCCGACAATTGAGAGCACTCTTACTCAAGAAACATCCAAATACTGATGAAAAGAAGATTAATCAAGTTATTTCATACATTCTCTTCTTCCGTTATTTGAACCCTCCTCTCTGTGCACCTGATGGTTTCAACTTGACCAAGAAGAAGATTTCAGCAGTGATGAGAAACAACTTGGGTCACATTTCCAAAGTCTTGATGAGAATTACCACTTTCAGAGAATTTGAACCTCATGTCGATCATCACATGGTCATGATGAATGAATGGGTTCATAACAATACTGGACCATTCGTTGAAAAATTCCTCATTCCTAGCTTACAAATTGTTGAACCTGAAGAATTCCTTGGTGTTAATCAATACGCTGAATTGACACAAAAGAAATCACCAAGTATTACCATCACTATTAATGAAATTGCTCTCACACATAATTTATTGGTCAAGTTTGCCAAGAGAATTATTTCACAAGAACAAAACACTCCTGATCCATTGAGTGATTTACTCACCAAGTTCAAGGATAAGATTCCAGAACAAGTCGATACTGGAAAGAATGAAGAGATTACTCTTCTACTTGTCCCACCATCCAATGATGAAAAATCAGCTGATGACAATGATGACTCATGGTTGGATGTGACACCAGAACAATTATATGAACTCACTAAGGAAAATCTTCGAACTCTTCTCAAATATATCACTCCACAACAATTGGGTGAAAGTGTTGACGATACCATTCAAAAATCTGCCATCTATGCTGAAGAATTGGCCAAGAATAAGGAAACAGAAGCTACTGCATCGATTGTGAAGAAGAAGATTGATGATATTAGTCGTGCTCTTCCAAAATTGGAAGAATATCAAATCATCTCCAAGGAGAATAATTATCGTAAATTATTGATTGACATTACCAAGGAAATTCAAAATCGTGAAGAACTTCAAAAGAAGCAACAAAAAGAAATTGAGAGATTGAAGGAAAGTTTGAATAGCTTGAAATCTTATTATACTTTCTTGACTGAAAAGGATGCAAGCTTGGATGAATATGTTCAACAAACACTTCGAAATTATTTCAAGAAGCAAGAAAAGAAACAAGAATCTTCCAAGAATGCCAAGAGCAAGACTTACAAATTCTCGTACAAGAAGTTGACAGAAAAGTACAAGGTCATTCAAGAAATTCAAGATGGTGGTTCAGTGAACTCGTTGCAAAAGAAGGCTGTTAAATTCACCATCTCCATGAATGAATCTGAACCTGGTGTGTTTTTAGTGACACCAACGCTGGCTGGTGTGACCATTACAACATTGAAATTGAAGTTGGATGAATTGTTGGATAAACGTGAAAAGGGTGTGTCAACCATTAAGATTGAAGGAGTTGTTTTGGATGTGAACATGACCATTCACTTGCTGAATAAGAAATTCTTGTCAAAGATGAAGTAAATTTCTAAAATTGAATAATAATGGGACAAATTTTGATTACAAAATTAACAAACACCTTACGTAATTAAGAGTGACAAGGGGCAGATTAAAACTACAGCTTCTACCCTAAGCTGAGGTTAGTGGGTTTCGTTCATGTTCTGGGCCTCTCTCATATCCCAACTACAGCAAAAAAGTTTACAACGAACGGGAATCGAACCCATGACCTTAAGCGTGTTAGGCTTACGATCTAACCAACTGATCTACCGTTGCTTACATAAGGATTGAAACCTATCTGTTATTTCTTCGCAATTCTTGCAAGAACACCCTTAATTATCATCCTCCTCATCCATACCTTCTTCCACCCTACCACCAGTCACAACCAAAGTCCTTGTGTTATGTGGTGTTTGTGGATGTGGAAAATCCACCATCGCCTCGAAAATCATTGAATATCTAAATTCAAATTCAACTACCACTGGCCTCTCATCCAACGATTATGCATTCATCGAAGGCGATTTATTTCATTCCGTGAGTAATATTGAAAAGATGAAGAATGGTATTCCTCTCACTGATAATGATCGGAAACCATGGTTATTGGCCATTCATCTTCAAATCATGAATGAAATCAAACATTTTAATCGGAAATTCATCCTTGTCACATGTTCCGCGTTGAAACATCAATACAGAGAATTACTCATTGCTGGTGATCAATATTTGTGTGAACGTGAGGAAGATGTTTTAGATCAACCCTTGATAACCAATGAAAATATGAATATTCTCCCCCAACAACAATCATTGAAATGGTATTTTGTTCATTTAACAACCAATAAGGATGTTATTTCACAACGAATGCAAGAACGAACGGGTCATTATATGAATCCATCATTGATACAGAGTCAATTTGATTGTTTGGATATGATGCCATTCGATCCATACAAGTTTCCAAATGCAACATTGGTGAGTGTGGACAATGAAGGACCCGTGGAAATGGTTGTAGATAATATCATTTCATTTGTGCTCAACAAGTGAGAAAAGAACTTGGTGTGTAATAATTCCTGAGACCAATTAGGATCAACTTCTCATTGATGTTAAAATGTAATAAAATGACAGCACATATAACACAAGGTTAAGAAATTAACATCGTGGGTCTTTTGACATGAAGTTTGGTATAACACTAATACTTTTGAAATTGATTTCTTTTCTCATTTTGGCAATAAAATCACGGATTGCGACAAAGCGAGGCGAAGATTAGCATCAAAAAAATTGTCTTTCCAAAGTGCCACTTGTCAATGACGCGGCCAGCACCCACAAACTGCAGTTATCATCGTTGCAGCTCGCTTCTCATCTTCCTATCCTCTCTTCTATGTGTTTACTTTTCTTTCGAATTTGTTGCTTCTCAACAAGAACAACACTTTTATCCAACTTCACAAATTCTCGTGTGGGGTAACAATGTGGACCACAAATGTGGTTATCCCTACATGATGAGTTCAGAGCTTCCCGTTAGAAGTAAACGATTGGAACAGGCTGCTTTCACAAATTCTTATTCCTCGTATTATCATCCAGCTTTGGGTTTGTCGAATGTGAACTCTTCGTTAGTGCAAGTCGCGGATGGATTTTCATTTAAAATGATTTTAGTACATTATGTGAATGGAGAGAATGGAAATTTTGTCAATGAAACCATCTATGGATGTGGAGATAATGGAAATAAGTAGGTTTTTGTTGTGGAATGATGTTTGGTAAATTCACAATTAATAGTCAATTAGGTGAGTCATGGAATTTTGGAATTGAAAATTTAATTTGCAAAATATCATTTAAAATTGATTTTAACTAAAAAATATTTCAAAAACATGTGATGGAGAAAAGGCTTTTTTGATCAACCACCGATTGCTATCTCTCCGATGGCTCCAATTTATACATTTAGTACTGCTGATTTATTATCAACCAATCCATTGCGAGATTTAAAAATTGTACAACTCACTTGCTGGTTTGATTGTCTTGCTTTGACCAATGATGGAAAGGTATTTCGACATGAAATTTACACGAGAAAATGGGTACAATTAGCATTTCCTTCCACCATGATTCATCCCGATACGTCATTGGAAATCCCAGTAAATATTATTCAAATTGAAGAAACTGGAGCTTTTGGAAAAGAAACATATTTCGCCTTGACCAGTGAAGGATTTGTATTCACTTGGGGTTACAACAATTCGGGAATTCGAGGACATTCCTTCGAGGTAGAACTCGCAGAAACTCCAATGATCATTCCTTCTTTAAGAAATATTACGTTCATCACGACAGGAAGTTTTATCAATGAGGATCATTCTTCTTCGATGGCTCTTGCCATTAATTCCACAGGACATGTCTTTACATGGGGAAGTAATGAAGAAGGAGCTCTTGGATTGAACATGGTTGAAACTTGTGTGACCTGTATTGTCCCATTTCCTCAATTAGTTCCATTCAATTATGAACTAACAGGTCGAATTGTAAAAGCTGATGCCATTGCGTTGCATGTCGTAGCATGGAGTGAAAATGGTCAAATTTTCACATGGGGAAGCGATGTCGATGCTCAAACCAGTAATGGTCTCGGCATGCAAATTTCACCTTGGAACATGACAGAATATTTCTATGAAAAAGTAATAGAAAACTCTCCAATGGATTCTTTCATTGTAAAGGAATGTAGTGTTTCAGTTGGAGCTACTGCATGTTTAATTGGAGGAAATATTTATTCATTTGGATCAATTCCAACTCGTGGAACGCTGGTGAGTGAGCAAATTGCTTTGGTTCCATTACCGAGCAATGTAACAACCTTCAAATTGTTGAGAGAGGGAGGAATTGCAGTTTTGGAAAATAATGAAGTTTATGTGTGGGGTGTGAATTGGCAGGCAAAAGGATGGGTTTTGATGATTATTATCATTTACAGTTTCCACAGCCATTGTCTAGGAATCCACCAACGCCATTCAAGCCATTTATCAATAGTTCTGAACCTGAGGACAAACAACAGCTATCTAACATCATTATTCAGGGAGGATTTGATTGTAACTATGCCCTCATTACAAAACCAAACAAGACACAATCCACGCTACATGTTTGGGGTCAATGCCAAAATAGTCTCAATTTAGCAGCAACAGCACCTGTCAAAGAACCTTCCGATGATCAAATTCCGTTTTTCAACCTCTCAGACAGAATGATTGACATTAGTTACAAGCAAACACATGCACTAGCTCTCACTTCGAATGGAACAGTGATTGGTTGGGGTGAAAATTACAACAATCAATTAGGCTTTTCTTCCCAAACTCAAACTCCTATCCCATTATTACAAGAAATACCACTCGAGGAGAGAAGAGCAACACAGATTTCAGCAGGTGTGAGCTTCTCTCTCATTTTGTTGAATAATGGATCTTTGATTGGAGCTGGAAGTAATTATCGAGGAAATTTAGCCTCTGAAATTAGCCCAGTTTCACAATTTACAATCATTAACACTACATTTTTACAAGAAGGTGAATCGATTATAGATATTGAAGCTTGTGATGAAGTATCCTTTATCGTGACTTCTTCTGGTAAAGTTTACGGATCTGGCTCCAACGATGGGTTGAGACTAGTGAATAATCCCAGTATTGTACAAATTCCTTATTTCGTTCCGTTGAAAGGTGGAATTATTGATTCAAAACGAATTATTAAGGTGGTTGGTTATTATTTCGCAGTTTTGCTTTCTGAGGATGGTGATGCAATAGTTTTCAAAGATGGAACTTCCAAAAAATTGGAATTACCAGACCCTACTGACTCAGTAATTGACATTTCTGTACATAGAGGAAACGAGCATATGTATGATGGAGTTCAAAACGTTCATTTACTAACACGAAAAGGAAACATTTATGGAAATGGAAGCAATGCCTGGTTTGAAATGAGTGCAACACTTGAAATTCGAGAAGCCATTACTCCAACTTTAACAATTTCTTCAAAAAATACCGATGGAATTCCTTATGCGATTGGTACTGGTTTAAATCATGCCATCGTCGCAGTGGCTAAAGCGTGGTCATGCTTTTCAAAGAATTCTACTGATGACGCTGTTTGTAACTCTTCTGGATTTTGTGTGGCACCTGACACCTGTCGTTGTAAACATGTCAATATTTCTGGAATTGATTGTGGTGAATTTAAATGTTTTGGAATTTGGCGAAACGATTCAAATGTTTGTTCAGGAGCTGGAAATTGCACCACGTTGGACACTTGTGTTTGTCAAGAAGGTTTTTTTGGTGCCAATTGTTCCGTTCGAGTAGCAACATGTTTTGGGAAGTTTCCACATGATGCCTGTAATGGAAATGGAGTTTGTGTCGCTCCTGACAAGTGTGAATGCAAAGAAGGATATTATGGACCTCAATGTGAAAACAAATCTTGTTACAAATTCGCAAGCTTTGAAAAGGAATTGGCAGCGAGCAGACGATCCTCGAGTATGAAAATGAATTTATGCAATAAAATTTTACGCTTGTGAAGCGCATCCTCTCAAACTCGAGTTCTCTCGATCACTCGAACTTTTTTTAAACAAACGGCAAGTCCCTTCAATCTGTCAGTTTGATATACAAGAGAAAAAAATGAGAACAAGGACCACATTCAATTCTTCATCAACCAAGAGAACTACATTTGACGGTCATCATTCGATCAAGAGCAACAAACCTTCGAAAAAGATCAAACAGTCTTCCGAGCAAAAAACTCATACACGACAGTTCAGCAACGATGAATTGTTTTCAATATTCCGCTTCCTATCTCCGCAATCGATTCTGTATCCATGTTGTGCTGTGTGTAAGCAATGGAATCAATTGGCCTTTAGTAACATTTTGTGGAAAAATTATTGTTCCACTTTGCTGATGAACGACTTGTTTAAATGGAACGAAAAGTGTCCACTTTTTAAGGTAGAATTAGAGTCTCAAACAAGTAATGATGAGAATGAATTTGTTGCGTCTGAAAATGATCCACAGTATTGGTATTCCATTTTCAGAACCGTGTTTTATTTTCCAATGTTTCAAAGTTTCAACTCATTTACAGAACAAGACTTTGACAACGATGATCAAGATAGTGACGGTGAATATGTTGAATCTGAGATTTGTCGTTCAGAAGAATGTTTAACTTTTCAAATGCCGCCAACTTTCATTTCAGATTTTGAATGTGAATTGCAAGAACCTTCTGACTATTACCAAAACGAATTGGAACAAGTTTACAAAAAACTATCCCTTCAAGCAAAACAAGCCATTCTACTGACCAACAATTACTATAATTTTTTCCAAATTTCACACATGATTTGGTTGAAAAAGTCAAAAAAGAGCCAAAAGATGTTGCTGCGGCTGCCGTTCAGAACCTCTCCGATTCGAAATATTCTCATAACAATTTGTGTCGTTGTTACAAGTGTTTTGCTGCGGATTACATGTTCGGCACAAGACCATGTTCATCCGAATCCATTCGACAGCAATTCCCTAATATCATCAGCAACAAGCAATCCAACGAATACGAAGGATTCAACAGCTCCTCGATCTTTGTGCTTTTCCATGACGGACACACCATGGAAGTGTGATTCAAATAATCGAATAACATTAATTTATAATAATTGGCTTTCCTCTCAAGTCAATGTCGAAGTGGCAAAAATCATTCTCGAAGAACAATTGGGAGTTTGTGTGCAGTTATTGTTACTTCCAGTCATGGACGGAGTGTTTTTAATTAATAACAAGGGAAATGAAACGGCGTTGGCCATTTTAGAATTTTGGAAAATTAATCGATATGAAGATTACAAGTAGGTGTTGTTGTTTCAAAAATTCGCACCCATGGTAACAATGGCTATTTTGAAAATATTATTTCAACTACTATTTTTTTGGATTCATTAATATTTATCATGTCACACATTTAGAGCCCATGTTCAAAATGGTAAATTCATTTCAGACATTGGAGAACTTGGTCCTCTTGGAAGAGTCGGATGGTACATTCCTCATTTCATGACACATGATCCATCAGCACTCAATGACAACAACAATCAAGAATTTATTCGATCCTATCGATATTTCAGAACCACTCCAAAATATCGTTTAATTACAGGATCGAGGACTTGGTCCATGGTCGATCAACAAATTGTTCGAAATTTAAAATTGAATTTACAAGTGGAATATCCTCCTGAAAACAACACGGAACAATATCTTATTGACACGCTGGAAAAGGCTCAACTTGAGAAAAAACCTATCGTGGTCGTGTTTTGGACACCTCATCAAATCTTTGGTTCTGAAAATCCTCCTCAACGAGTTTTTCTACCTGCCTATTCTGAAGATTGTCGGAAATTATCGAATATTGAGAGAAGCCTAGTCGATTGTGATTATCCACCAACGACACTTAACAAGTTGATTAGTGACGCTGTGTCAAAACTTTCTGCACGGGCACAATTGTTTTTGAGAAATTTCAAATATCAAAGTTCAGATCAATTACAAATCATGGGTGACATTTTCTACCATCAAATGCAACCGCGAGAGGCTGCATGTAAATGGCTCAAGAATAATACTGAATTGTGGATGTCATGGATTCGAGAATCGTCGCCTTCTCGTCCTCAACAAGATCTTCCACTTTCTATTGGAATGGCTGTTTTGGCAGCATCGATTGGAATTTCAATCATTGCTCTTGCAACCATACTCATTGGATGCAGCATTCAGCGAAGATCTTCCACTCGAAGACTTGAGAATCGACTTGCTCCAAAAACACCTCCTATATGTATTGTTTTTACAAGTATTCAAAATGCAGCATTATTGTGGACATTGGCCACTGAAACCATGAAAAAAGTCATGACCATACATAATCGAGTTATGAGACGCAATATCAAGAAATTTCGAGGATATGAAGTGAAAACTCATTTGGATTCTTTCATGATTGCATTTCAATGTCCTCTGGATGCTGTGGCTTGTTGCTTGTCCATTCAGAAAGAGCTTCTCGAGTGTGAATGGACAAGTGACATGTTGGCATTTCCTGACCTTCGAAAAGTGGTTTGGAACGATCATGTCGTGTATCATGGTCCTCGTGTGAAAATTGGAATTCATTTTGGAAGTGACATTCAAGCACAATATGATACAACCACTCGACGATTTGATTATTTCGGAACGACGGTCAATAAGGCAAGTCGAGTGTCCAAAGTGTGTGAGAGAGGAGGAAGAATTTATATCAGTGAAGAGACAATGCAATATATTAAGGATCAAGTGATCCAATATGATTCATTCCATGATACAAACATTTCGACAACAGCAACGTCGACGATGGTCAAGCATGTACACTTCACATTGTTCTCGTCAAGTCATGAAGATGAACATTCGGTTGCTGCACATGGAGTGGATGACCACCCAATCGTGACACCTACACCCTCATTGAAGCAATTAGTGGCATCAGGACAAGTGGTTTTTGAACTTGTTGAAGAGGTTTTCTTGAAAGGTTTAACTGGAAAGCATGCCATTTATTGGGTCAAGGAAGTGAATGATCCTCGATCGAGATTTATTGAGAACTATGAAATGCATGGAAGAAATCATGTGGCAGTGGCAAAAATTGGTTCCGTAGCAACTCCGTTATCGTGTACTACTACTACACATGCAGTGAGTGGAATTACTGGAGAGGAATCTCCATTGAAATCTCCTTCATTAATGAATGTGTCACAATTGGCAAAATATGATTTCCAAGCTTCGATTGAACAAACGTTAAAGAATAGTGCGACATTATCGGAAGAGGAAAAATCCATTCTGATTCAACGATTTGTCTTGTGGAGTGCTTGTTGTGAATATGGTTCTGTTGGTGGCAGAGTTTGCCTGATACGTGACATGTGGATCAAATTTCCTGACACTACCTTGATGAAATTTATTGCAAATGTTTTGGCTCAACAAGATGAAGGACAACCATGTCATGTCATGGAGACAACAATTATTGGTGAAAGTACAACAAACTCGTCGAATTCGAGTACAAGGAATGATGATGTTAATTTTGGACTGGAAATTCATGAAGATGATCAAGACACTGCAGTGAAATACTCTCACAGTAAAGATGAAACACATTAAGCTCGTTTGCAAGTTAAAAGACTTTACCAACCTCCTCTAATAAAATGATCGATACCGGCACTTGATCATTTTATATGGGATGTCAAAAAAGTTTGGAAACGCGCATGTACAGTGCGATGAATGGATTCTGTCCAATGTACTCGATGCAAAATAGACTTGTCAGGTTTCCATTGGAGGATCTATTCATCACTTGGTATATGGGATTTTTGAGAATGGCTTCGACCAAACAGTCAATTACATGTTGGTCGATCCCTACCTTGTAGGAAGAGTGACCGAGTGGTTATGGTGCCAGATTCAGGTTCTGGTGGTTCGCGCCTCCCGGGTTCGACTCCCGGCTCTTTCATCGAATTTTTGTGACCGGCTCTTTCATCGAATTTTTGTGACCGGCTCTTGTCCTTCAAACTCCGACGACATGAATAACCCTTACCAGTTAGCGATAAAATGTTGAAAAGCCTTAGTCTCACTTAGTCTCACAACACGTTCATTTCGACGTGGTCAAGAGTCCAAACAACCGTTGGCAATGCCTGGTTGCTCTAACACCAACAATTCATTTCGTGTCATGAACACCCGTTTCCTAGACCTCAAACAGTTCCAAAATAGTTTTTTAAACAAACGCGTTGCAAAAAAATGTTAAACTCCCTTCGAAAGCTGTTCTCCAACAACCACAACCACAACAACCCTACCTCCTCACGATCGTCGGACGACAACAATAAGAATGAATCATCCTCTTCCGATAAAAGTAGCAAGAAGGAACAAGTAATCATCATTCAAAATAACATTGATCCCTATACTGATCCAGACTCGGCACCTCTCACGTCATTACAACGAAATCGGGAGGTATTGGTACGAAAAGTTTCAATGACTGCTTCCAATTTCTATTATCCCTACAATTATACATGCGGAACGTATGAATATCGTTTTGAATCTCGTTCGTTGGTGTTTGTGGTTCACTCAAATATGGATTTCAACGATATTGCTCCACCAGCTGTTGAAATTCATCAAGTATCTCTGATGATTGAATCATTGTCCACTCCTTTACATCAGGAAGAAAAGAATATTGAAAATACTGAAAATGAACCAATCTCATTGACGTTAACGGCCAACAACTACATGACAAAATGTAGTACAGTATCTCCTCATCTATTGAGAAGGATAATTTCCGAGATTGGACTTGATCAATTCATATTGTCAGAACGATCAGCATGGAATTGTTTGATGGATTATTTTAGAGTTTTTGGATATTTTCATTATGATCTGATCATGCACCGACGTGAATATATAGCTCAACAAATTTCATCACATTTTGGAATGAATTGTACTCAAAATTTAAGTGGAATGTATGATGTGGAATTTACGACCTATGACAGCACAAGAAACATGAATTTAAAATCATTGAAAGTGGCCATGTCATGGGAACAACAATCTTTAATCAAGTCAAAACAAACGAAAAGAGTTGAAGGTCCGTATCGAGTTATTTTGGAATATAACGGACAAAAGTTGGAATATATTGAACAAGCAACTGAGAAGAACTCTTTATTGACCAATGAAAGATATAGCAACAGCTCAAACAGCACAAACATATATGTGAATTCAATATATATCCACACAAGTGAAATATTATTTAATGATGAAGTGATTTTCAAGTGTACCTTTCCATCATACTATGAAAGTGTAGCATTCAAAAATTATTCACCTGGCATGCGAATTGAAATTGAACAACGACACGAGTCACATCCAAGCATCAAGTTCGCTCAAACCATTCTTGAAGAAGTCTTTGGATATGAATTTAACAATACCTTGAACCGATCGAATAGTGGCTCCAACAAAACGGTATCAATCAACAACAACAGCTCAATCAACGCAATGACCGTTGAAGAAGTTTGGACTTCATTCATGGAACTTCATGGGTTCAGGGGTCTTTGTTCGCTTTTTTCATTCTTCAAACCTTTGGAAAATGAATTCCTTGCCATGAATTTTATGAAATTGGCAAAAGAAAAAGATTATGCTGTAATATTGAGCGACATTTTCATTAAGACTTCAGTAGTGTAATTTCAAAACCATTGTACATTGGTGATCGAGAAAATTGTAATACTAAAACTCATGACAAGGTCAGGAGTATTCCATGAATCTGTGAAATTACTTTTTATTCCTCCACTCGACAAGAAATTTCATTCCGTCACCACAACTGCCTTCTTCTTTCAAGACATTCATTACGAATGGATGTTCCAACAAATCGTCCACACTTGCTCGTTGTTGTGCATTCTTTTTCAAACAACATGCTAAAAAATCCTTAAACACGCCGCTCCATTGTTGTGGTTCTTTCAACGTGGGTGGTGGTTGAGTAGCAATGATAAACATGGCTCGCAACATGGGAAGGTCCATGAGTGGAGGTTCTCCTTCAGCCATTTCCAATGCCATAATTCCCAGTGACCATATATCCACTTTGGAATCATAGTTCACTCCACGAATAACTTCCTGTTGGTTCATAATTTTCATCATGAATACACCCAACGAATTGACAAGTACTTACAGGCTAATTAGGGTTTACACAAAAATCCGAAATATTGCAAAAGGATTCAACAATTTTTGAGCCACGAACCATATCATACTTACTGCCATCCAATAAGGAGTTCCAACGACGGAATTTCTCGATCCATTTCTTCCAGTTCCTCCTTGAGGAGTTATTTCAGCACAAAAACCAAAGTCTCCCAATTTCACTTGTCCATTCTCTCCCAGTAAAATATTATCTGACTTGATGTCACGATGAATCAATTGATGGTCATGAAGGAATTTCAACGATTTCAATACTTGACAGCAAACAAGAGCAATTTGTGGTTCCGTAAACCGACCTTTTTCTAAAATGACATCTGTCAGTTTACCTCCACTCATGAGTTCCATGACAATCCACAACTGTTGATCACGAATGTAAGACCCGACATATTTTACAATGTTTTCATGTTGACATGTTTGCATCACGGCAATTTCATTTTCCAACTTTTCCAATTTTGTAAATGTCGCCATATTCATCACCTTAATCGCTACTTTCATTCCAGATTTTTTATGAACAGCTCGATACACGACCGCTGTTGAACCTCGATCCAATTCGACCAAATTTGAGAATAATTTCGAAGGATCTTCCTGTGAAACGTAATCTGCAAGTGTTAACTTTTTTTTAGAAACAATTTCTAATTGTTTCGTTTCCTCAGGACGTTGAAAATCATTGGCTGATTAAAGCGTAAAAATTCCAATTCCATAACCATTTAGATCGATTGTATATACAATATATACAGTAAGTGAAAGAATTTAAGAGAAACTCCATTCATCATATCCTTACCAGCTAAATTTAAAATTTCTAACACTTCCTCTGGATGTTGACAAGTTTCAATTTTCGTGAGAGAACTCGAACGAAGTATCAATTCCCACTCGTGAGGAAGACCTGTAAAACCAGTCTTCTCGTCATATGGCGATCATTATTTCACGTTATATTCACATCCATAAAGATGGTGTAGTTGTTACAGTTATTTAAACATTTCAGTCACATGAACAGAATCATAATACATACCTCACTATTGTAATCCACATGAATATTATGTTTAAATTCAAAGGGTCTGGAAATGACAAAACCTTGAGGAATGATCTCATTCTTGTGGTCAAGAATTCTCTCATTATTCGTTCGTGTATCCATGGATGCAGAAGTGGTTAAAGGCGTGCCTTCCTCATACTCGACATATTCAACATTTGCATTGTCTTCTCCCAATATGGATTTCCATGAAGAAGGTACTCCTTTCAGCACATCTTGTTGAGGATCAGCACTGATGTGAATACATTGTTGAAAATCTGTTGGAGATGAAATTTCAACTGGAGCATGTTGTTGGTTGCTGGTATGGTTTGAGGATGAGGGTGCACCCTGTCTAGATTCTCGTGTTTTAAAAAGTCTCATGAAATGTTTTTTTTCAATAATGAAAAACCGAAAATTTGGGAGATGGTGAAAAACTCTCATAATCAATGCACGAGAATAAGGACTTGGAACAAGCTAGAAATGATGAAAAATCAATCAGTTTCAACTCTACATTCGGTCGTTGTTAAGGTGGAAATGTGAACTTGAAAGCTGACATTGGAAACATGAATTAGCGCTCGTCAAAAAATTTCAAAAACTCGTCAAACGTTTAAAGTATGGATTCGTTGTTGAAGACACAAGTTGTATAGCGTCACGTGTTTACAGTTTTCAAGTGAGCCAGCTTTATTGTTCGAGCTTGGCCTTCATTTTCCTCAATTTTTTGAGCTTTCGTTTGTACTGTTTGAGAATTTCTCTTCGTTCTAAAAACTCGCTCTGTTTTGAAAAGTCTTGAACATAGGACTCTTCTTCCATGTCAATCATGGTTCCATAAAAACCACGATGTCTTCCCATAATCATGACAATGCAAATCATTACTTTGGAGAATGATGTCCAAAATGCGCAATATGCCAATGCAGATCCTTCCATACCTACGGTGAGCCCAGAATTTGCAAAAGCACTAATGACTTCAAATAGAATGTAAAATAGTGAATAGTGTGCTGGATCATTCTTCAATTTGTCATTCTCAGCTATAGAAATTGCAAAAATGATAATAATCATCCACATGTTGTTTGTTGAGAGCATGGTTGTCAAATAAAACCAAAAATCTTTTACGCATTTAACCAGCAAATTCCAGAGCTTTTTTGCAAATCTTCTAGACTTGACAGGAAATGGAACTTGTGGAAGAGTAGCCTTGTCAAGTGGAGGTACCACTGATGAATAACTCGAAGATCTTAGATAGGGCTTCATGGTTGACAGAGAATATCCATAGACACTTTTCTCTTCTTCTTCCAATTCCTCCATAGCTTTTTGTTCTTCTTCTGAAGGTTCCTTTTGCAATTTGATATAAATGACTTCATCCTTTTGATCAACAGCAGAAATTAAACTCTTTCCATCCTCAACTTTTCCTAATTCCTTCACTGTTCCAACATCAATATCACTGCTAACAATTGAGTGAGTAGATTTGATTTTTCCCATTGGGGCTAGTTTTGGGTTGAAAGTAGAAAGTGTGGCTGTTTCGACCACGGATTTTTCTTCTTCATTCAAATATCGAACCATGTCAACAATCTTGTATGCGTTTTCTCGCAAGCTGCAAGCCATTTGAGGTTTGATACGCATCATGAGAGCATACGCTACCAAGGTGGGGTACGACAGTGTGAACAAATCAACGCTGTTAAAGCCTCCTGTTCGAGAACTCATGGGATGGAAAAATGCAACCAAAACTCTCGTAGAAATAGATTGGCCCACCAATCTTGGGCTGTTCCAGTCACTTGCAAGTGTTACTACAATACCAAATACTAACAATAGCAATGTAACAACGCCATAGATGGTGGTTTGAAGTCCAGGGAACACATATGGAGACAGATGGTGATGTTTTTCGAGAATGTACTTGAAAACCACCTTTCTCTTTGTGGAACATTTGTAGATGAGTACGAGAATGTATCGAAGAATGAGAGGGAACAATACGTTTCCAAGCATGACCAAAACTCCAACAGTGAAGCATATGGACCAATCATGAACAAAATTGCTCAAATTTTCATCAAGTAAGGTAAGGCCACAATTATTGAAGGCACTCACAGCAATAAAGAGTCCAAGCCAGAAGGGATCTTTTCCGTGCATGTACTTATCTTCATTGTAGTAGGTTGCAAAAACGCCTCCAAGAATAAAAAAGCCTATTGCAACAATTACCAACACCAAGATTGCTGTGACCACGGTCACCCAACACATGGCAGAGCATTCAACGTCTGTGAGAGGGAAAGGATCTCCATTGGGAACAAAAATATCCTTAATATTTTCCCACAAAGTGAGTGGTTTGATTGGTGGTGGCAGAGGTATTGAATTACTGCGCGGTAGTGGTTTTTCGTTTGTTGTTGAATCTTCTAATGAGATTAGCTCTTGGGAATTGCTAACTTCTCGCAATTCGACCATGGTTCCTTCTTGTTGTTGTTCTTTTTCCAATTGTCGTTTGATAAGTTCGGCTTCTCTCAATGCAAACATTCGCAGACGACAGCGTCGAATTTTCAGTAACGTTATAGGGAGACAAGTGAGCGTCAGTCCTCCACTGACAATTGCGAAAAACAGGCATACCTGAGATGAGACTGTGATATTGGTGATGGGTTGAGTTAAGAATCCAGACAGACATACACTGGCAAAGCTCATGACCAATGCATCAATGTACGGAATGTTAGTTTTAGGATTTGATAATTCCAAAATGTAGAAAATCGTTCCGAAAAAGAATCCACAAAATATAATATAAAAGATATGAATAGGTGCATAATTTCTATAGAGCCAAGGTCCTCGTGATTTCATTGATCCCGTCTCTAAATCTCTTTGGCCTCTCTTGCAACCAAATGCGCACAAAAAGTTAAAACATTGGTCCATCACCGAGGCAAATCGTTCTCGCTTGTTCTCCTTTTCGTGAGTGTTATCGTCGACAATTTCATCCAAATTAATTTGCTTATTCCTAGTAGCTACTGTGGCTGTTGTGGGTTTATGGGTTTCAACATGATTATGATGTTGGCTGTTTCCGTTTGCCTGTATTTGTTGTTGTTGTTGGTGTTGAGAAGAATTTGGGAAAGGTTCTTCAGAAAAGTTTACCCGTTTAGTTGTTGGTGTTGATAATGAACAGGGTGTTTCTACGTTATCTTTGTTTGAAGAGGTGGTAGTAGTAATTGTTGCGATGGCATGAGGAGGTGGTGCTTGTGATGATGAGATGTCTGTTGTTACCTGAAGTTCGGATGATTTTACTTGATCATCGGGAAGTACAATACTTTCGTTCGTTGCTTGTTGTTGGGTGTTATTTTCAACCTCCAGTGTCGTTGTTGGAGCTTCGTTGTTCATTGCTGCTGAATTGGTGAGCTCCCACGGACGATGATGGTGAACGTTGGTGGTCGTTACCGAGAGCGTTTTTTTTGTTCAAGGTTCTCGTTTGGGTGCTGTATTTTATTCGAGCCTCGTTTCCAAATGAGACAAAATAAACGGTTTTGTATCACTCTCTGATTGCGGTCGTATCAATAAATCTCTGTATATTCCAGAGATATCAGCTCAGTGAAAATCATTGTATTGTTTGAACATTACAATACACCAATTTGTGATACACAAAAGATAATTCGCCCATCTGTTGAAAGTCACTTGACACAAACAAAAAAATTTTTGTTGCACTCGTTCTCAGTACTATGGTGTGGAACATCAAGCAACCTGAAAGATGGAATTAAATTACATGTGTACACATGATGGTGTAGTAACGAGCATGATCATCTGACCATGAGATATGATCCTATCGTTACCGCAAAATTATTATTATAATTATTTTCATTTCATTCAAAATTATTCTCGCGTCGATTTGCCTCTCTTTTGTTATGGAACTTTGTTTTCTTTGATTAACACACTTCGCTGAGTTTGTAAAAGGAAATTTCTGTTTCGCGATTCAGCCTGAACAATGAAAAAGAACACTTCCGTAGTTGCCTTGTTCAAAAAGGAAGGTGGTGGTAGAGAACATTTCGTTTGGCGGTTAAGTAAAGGCTCACATCGAGAGGCTCACTCACAAAAAAACCTTAACAATTCCTCCCTCGCGTGTGTGATCGTATCCTCCCTCTACCTCACCATCATCATCAGCCTCAGAGTGTGCAAACGGGAAATTATTTTTACCGCTTCTCATCATCACGATTTATTCATTGATTCATCATATAGTCGTACTGTATTTTCATATATATTTACAAAGAACAAGACTGTCTTAATTGATGTTCATACACTAATAACCCTAAGGAATAGAAAAAACTATACTCATAACCTCTGCTATTGAACTTACAAATCTATCATTGAAAAACGAACATAACCTCTCTAAACGCAATATCACTATCTCACCTCCAATTAATTGACATGACCACTCATTCCATTGCAAGTAACGGAAGCTGCTCAGTGGAGGTAGACGATACCCCTCAAATACACTCCTCACAATCTCAAAATTTTGCAAATGGTATTGCAGCCGCTGGTAGGGCAGCTTCTGTTCTCTCCGCTGATCAGCAAACATCTCTAACAGCTACAGGTGCAGCCTCATTACTCGACGAAGGAGCAACATTGTGGAACTCTATTGAAGAATCAGCCACCAATTTCCTCCTAAGCATCCAAGTCAAGACCAAGATTCACGCTACCAATTGGTATGGATTTGTTTACAATTTGTTCGTGAACTTGTACTGGATATGGACCATGCTCTTTCTTCCAGCGCTAGCTGAGAGAGAATATCAATGGGGAGAGTATTCAACATGGGTGTTTCGTGCTCTCAACTATCCAGTTACGCTTTCCCTGAGCCTGGTATCATATGAAGCTATCATTGCTATTTTCTTTGTCTATATAGCTATTTTGACTGCATACATTGTGATACTGGCAATAGGATATAGAGCAAGCTTGTTAGCAAATAAGCATTGGAAGCGGCTAAAGCTTGCACTTCGAGTTATTCATGGTTTTGTCACCATTACTAGTTTCATTTTTTGTTATGTGATTGGAGCCTTCTTTGATTGCAATTATGCATCTTCCATCTTGCTACCTGGGTCGGAAAGACCAGTACAAGTACTTGCTCGTCACCCTACTGTTGCTTGTTATGGAGCTTTAAACTCTGTTCTCATAGCATTGTCTGCCATTTTCCTTATTGTGCTACTAGTAATACTCTTTATTTCAGCAGTTTCCATGACCGAAGACAACCCTAGCAGTAAGAATGTATTTTCCACTGATTTTGTTTTTTACTATTATCCTTTCCTTATTACACAATGCCTATACATCATATTGGTCTCAGCAATTCCTTCCACGTATCCTGTTGTTAAACCTGTCATTTATCTGGCATTGAGTTTACTCTTCCTTGTATATCATTTATATGTTCTCCCTTTTTTCAGAAAGATTGAAAACTCGATATTTTTTGGTTTTTTAACTGCAAGAGTCGGTGGCTCCATTGGATTTTTGGTTAGTGCACTCGTCGCAACCAACAATAAGGATTGGGAATTTGGACTTGGTATGATGGGGCTAACTTTGGGACTTATTGTCATTGCTTTCGTTATTGGAATTGTAGCCTCAGAGATTTATATTGGCATCTTGTACAATTCCATTCGAAGCTCTATCATCAATGTTCTAAAAAGCTCATTTGAGTTGAGTCAGCTAGCAGCAACAAAAACCCCAATCGAGAGAGAAGCTTCCAATATTTATCAAAAATTTGAGAAAGAAGGAAAACTACGAAATTTTAATTTATTTCTCAAGTTTTCAATGAAGTCTGGAAAACAAAGCATTTCCAATGAAGCACCAGTCTCCGATGTTGACATTTCACTTTCTCTCATTAAAGGAGTGTCATCTCAAAAGAGCGCCAATAACGTTGATATTTTAGTAACCTCTGCAATCGTGGTTGCTTATTACTTGCCCAACTTTACTAGTGTAATATTGGCAGGAGGTATTCTGAGAAAAGTGGTCAAGCTGAAGAAAAACATGATGAAAAAGTTCGTGGTTACCCAAAGAACCAAAGAGATTGAGTTTTTGAGTGGAGAAGATTTATCTGGAAAGAATATTATGGAAATTAAGAATATTATATCTATACTAGAGAAAAAGCAAGAACTTATTTTACTATTACACAAGGCTTTTTGGAAGGAAATGGTCAATGAATCACTTGATATTGTTAAAATTGAGAATATTAACAGAAAGATATCAAACCTCGTATCATCTTGCCAAAGTACATATGATATTCTGCTTTCTAATTACAGTAACGAGAAAACAGTTATCAGGTCATACGCACGATTTATTGAAGATTATAAATTTGATCCAGAGAAAGCACAAGAAATGTATCAAGAGGCAAATATTATTGAAGAAGAAGAAGCAATTAACAGAAGACACCAGCTTCAAAAGACCTTGACAAAATCCAAGTACCCAACCACTACGCATATTAATAGAGTTGTACCTGTGCCTATTAATCCTTCAACTACCAGCATGTATGGCGGTCAACCAGAGGACGATGACAACCGAGGATATTTCGAGAAGGTTGACACTCAAAAACAAGGTTTTTCAGTTAGCCGAATGGACGACTTGGACTATGAAAATGAAAAATTCGAGGGTGTAGAAGAAAATGCTGCAACCGCACAACAAAAGAAGGAATTTCTGTTCAGGACAGCATTAAGATCATCAATGTATAACAAACCTCAATGTGTCACATTTGTCATTTTTGCAGTTGGCTCGTTAGTGTGCTTAGCGGTAGGCTTAATACTCGGCCTCGTTTTTTCTACAGGTGTAACTGAAGATATTCACATGTCAAACGATGTTTGTTTACCTTCTTCATCGCCATTGGGCTTATTGAGATACGTTCGTTACAAACAAATACACGACGAAATTGTTGGAAAGGTACCTCTGTGGGATATTTCTAACAGACAAAACCTAAAAGAAGAATGCACAAAATTGCAAAACCTATATACTTTGAGTATGTCAACTTCATCATTTTCTGAAAATGTAAGGGCAGACTATACGAGAAGCTCTAGATTCGTTACTGAGCCAATCCTTCTGTATTCCAACGCAACAGAAGCCACTTACACTGGCTATTCAACAACTAGAAATTCTACAATTGCTGAAATTACCAAGTCTCTTATCAAATCATGTAACAGTTTTTTACGCTATAGTGATGCAGAATTCAAAAACTCGGTAACCGACTACAACTTTATGTTTCTTTACATGAACAGAATTAACTTTTCAGCTTCATATGAAAAGTTTTGTTCTGAATACTTGAGTAGAAATAAGGAAAAGTCTTCCACTTTTAGAACGATATTTCTTGGCTACTACGTTGCAAGCACGGCGCTATACATTTTCTGCGCATTCTCAGTTATTGCATTTACTAGGTATAACCTCACAACCATTACTGATTCTGTCAGATTAATGGGCAAACATCTTTCCAAGGATAAAGTAGGAAAGATTTATCACAAGTTGGAAAGTAAGGTAGATGAAGACGTTCAAATTGGTGCTGAAGGCATTGTAGCCATGATTTTCAAACCCTCTAACGCGATATCTATATTGGTAATTACGATGATATCAATCACTGCTATTTGTGTTACTCTCTTCTTTGTTGAGACAGTCATCAACTCTGATAGTTCATCTTTAGCTATTCAGAATATTCAATTCAGTGTTAATGCAATGATGACAGCACAAAGAATAGGTCTTCGCCTGGGTGAAATTTTTGTTTTTAAATCTCCAAATTTTACCGAAAATTTTTACTTGAGCGATAAGAGACTTACATCTGATCGAGAATTAAGCAAATTCCATACTGATCATAAGGATCTTGCAGGCTTAATTCAAGTATCATGGTATTCATTACTGTTTGGAACAGCAGAAAATAATTACTTCAAACTTCTTGGAAAGTATCCTGAAATTGATGATTTGATCATGGGAACGTGTGGCAATTCTGGTAATTCTTCAAACTCAACGGATTGTACTGGCGTAGATGATCTTATTACTAGCGTTACAAGCTCTTCGGCAAAGTTTAATGAGGATGTTTATTATAATTCTGACAAATTCACAAGCTTAATTATTTACGATTGGCTCACCAAACTATATGATGACATTGATTTAATATCTCACAAAATTGAACGTATGGTCGATTTATACTCTGGATTTACATCCTCTCCGTCCATTGCAATTACAATTGTTTTTGCATTAGTCGGTTTTATTACCCTGATACTTGCAATATATTTCACTGCAAAATCAATGGGCTCTTTCTGGGAAGAATACCGCCATTTAAGAATGATGTTGAACTATTTTTCACATGAAGTATTGGAGGAAAATGAAGAGCTAAAGAATTTTGTGCTATTTAAGACTTTACCTGGAAGAGTTACAGACATTTTAAAGGTGAGAAAACGTAGAAGTGCAGATCTTATGGTTAACGAGGATTCCCATGTTAGAAGTATTTTGAACGCAGCTGTGGTACGTAGTTGTTATTTGGTACTGTATGAAGCATTGTCAAAAACACCATGTTCCAATTTTTTCATACCTTATAGGACGGAGCCGTTCTTTGTAACTCTCAAGCTGAAGTTACAATTTTCAATCCATCTGCAGAACGATCCTTTGGATACAAGAAGAGTGATGTATTTGGTTTGTCCATATATACTCTTTTCGATGAATCTAGCCATGTCAAGCTTAAAAAGGTTATTGACTCTGTGTTAATTTCTAGTCAAACAAACAATAACAACGCAGCTGGAGAGTCATTGGAATTAGATTGTATTAGAAAGAATCAAACCAAATTCCCAGCAAAAATCAACGTATTTGCGAGCAATATGGGTAATGAAACTGTAGTGGTGTGCTTCATAAAGGATATTACTCCTGAAAAGAAGCAAAACATGCTCTTGGAGGAAGAAAAGAAAAAGTCAGATTCTCTCTTGCTGAACATTCTTCCAGAAGCTGTCGGTAATCGCTTGAAGAGTGGTGAGACATTTATCGCAGAAAAGTTCAATGATGTTTCATGTTTTTTCAGTGATATGTAAGTAGTTTCAACTGACAGTTAAACACAGATCAACACGAATACTTTTTCTTAGGGTCGGTTTCACCAGCATGAGCTCTGTACTCAATGCAACAGATTTGGTAAAGATGCTAAATACTATTGTCAATGGTATGTATATATCAGTTCTTTGTTGATGAATCCTAACCTATGGATATTTTTCACACTTATTAATTTGTGCAGGCTTTGATGCTCTCACTGACAAGTATCATTTAGAAAAAATCAAAACAATGTAAGTTTTGTTATGTTCGTTTGACTGATTTTACACCATCTTTTTATTCAATAAGTGGTGACGCCTACTTTTGTGTTGGAGGTATTCATAACAACTCCACTTCAGACCATCCTGAACGAGTGCTGCGTTTTGCCATAGACGTATTCACTGTTGTTCATGATTACAACCATAACCATGTTTTTGCACAAGACACCACGAACAATCCAAACTACCTTAATATTCGTATTGGAATCAATACAGGACCTGTGGTAGGAGGTGTAATTGGAACTAAGAAGTTTGCTTATGGTAAGTGGTTGCAGAGTGTTGTGCAGAAATGCTGACAATTTTTTTTAGATATGTGGGGAGATACCATTAATGTTGCTAGTAGAATGGTAAGTATTCTTTGGTGATGTTTATTTTAATGTCACACATAATTTTTAGGAGTCTACAAGGTAGGTAGTTGCTTAATAACCATTAATACCATTAATTAACTTCCCTTATCATCACAGTAAACCTGGAAGAGTACAATGTTCAAGGTCCACCTATGAGCGAGTTTATGATTTGGGCTTTGAATTTGAAGAACGGCGTATAGAAGGTGAGTACTTTTATCTGTTTGTTATTCATATTGACACTCGAGTTTTGCTTTGAAGTCAAGGGAAAGGGAATTACACAGACATATTTACTCTTCGATCGACATCACAAAAACCCTCTTCCTATCAACGCCAACCAATTAGTCAGCGAAAGCGACACCATCATTAGAACTAAGTCCAGTAGCGCCACCAACGAAGATATGATGATTGGTGAGGCTGATTCAATGTAAACATTTTAATAGTGATCATCCATCATTAGCATGTATAAAAAGTACACAAGAATGATCTTTCAAGAATTAAAATTGAGCTGCCCAACCAATATAGGTTCTTCCCAAGATCTTGACATCGGTAGCCATATCGATCAAACATTCGACTTGTTCTTTCACACTCGAGCACACTTCTCCAACCTTGGCTCTCTTATTAATCTCGGCATCTCCCTCAATGGCTCTCTCGACATATTTAATTCCCTTCTTAATGCAAGGATTGGCCTGAACATCGCTCTTGAAAATAACTTTTGGATTTGCCAATTCCAATTTCATTTTGGCCAATTCCACTTTCCGTTGTGGATACCATTTCATGAGAGAGACTTCACTATTGCTTTCAGTCTGTGAAACAGCTGCCGAGGATGATGACGAACCACCACTCAATGCATTGTCACTCAATCCATAACTAGTCGTGCTACTAGTACCACCTTCTTGCATCATCATACTCTGATAAAATTGTGGATTTTTCTTTGCATTCTTCAACCAATCAACAAGTGGCTCCTTAATAAATACATCCATGGTATTTAACAAAATATGTCTATGATTATGTAATGCTCGCATGCAATGAACCATACTTTCAAACAAAAGACCTGTTCCAACATTTTCATTTGAAAAATCATCCAAAGTCGTCGAAATGGGTGAAAACACAGCCAACAATTGACGTGTCAATCGGAAAGGAACGAGTTCAGGAACTGGCAAAATTTCAGTAGCACTTCCAAAGGCATGTCCAAAGTCAATTCCAATCAAAGATCCACTCGAATAATCCACAAGGAAGTTTTCCAAGTGACGATCTCCAATTCCTAAAATGTATGAACAAATAGAGAAAGTGGCAAGTGACTTGGCAAATCGATTTCTAATCGTGAAGTAAGCTTCATTAGAAATTGCCAATGATCTCAATCCATTTCTCAATAAATCTGGATTAATCGTCTTGTATTGCTCATCCATGACTTGTGTTAAACTATCTTGATTTGCTTTCTGATAAGATAAAATATATTTTTGATATAAATTCAATTCGGGATGATTTCCTGCTAATTTTTCCATCATTTTCAAATGAATGGTTGAAGAAATGTGTTTCAATACTTCTTGATCTTTGGTTCCAGATTCCTTATTCAATTGTTCTTCAATAATTGCCTTTAATGGCATGGTATTATCGACCCATTCAATAATTCCAACTTCGGTGCTCATTGGAATGACCTTATACATTCGAATGGATAATTCTCGTTGTTTACAATTAGCATCTTGATCTAAAATATTATTCATGACATGGAAAAGTTGTTGAATTCTTTGATCTTGACGTAAATCTTCTCCTCCTTTCACAAGGAATGCATAATCCTTTTCGTCTGAACCATGAATCTTTAAACGTTTGGGTTTTCTCATCGAAGACATGGTCAACAACGTTGGATCGAAACTAATAATTCTTACATGATCGTCCAAATTTGGTGGTTGCATATTGGGATAGTTCGTATTCATGGATAATGTTCCTAACATTAAGGAAGAAGCTGCCTTTCCAATGTTATCAATATATTGTCCAGGTAGTTCAATGAAATGTTGATGAGAAGAATCCGAAGAGGAGGACATTGAATGATTCATATTCAATGAAGATGACGATTGATGGAAATCAAGCATCCATTTAGAAAAGTATTCAAGTTTCGTCTTGCCATGTTGTAAAGCTCCTTTCGTTTCTTTCATCTTTTTGAATTTTGATAAATAGGAACTTTCAAACGTCTTTTCATCCATTTTTAACAATTTTTCACCGTCACGTCCTCCAAAGTCCTTCTTGATGGCTGGAGCCCAATTTTTGGCAAATCTTACATTGTAAACGCCAATATGAGGAGCATTGGGATCAAAAACATCATCATAGCATTCTTCCCATTTGGATTTGATATCTTTCTTTCGACTATTTTCTGACTTGTAATTTTTTGATTTCATAATTTCCTTAATGTCATCCATGAATGCTTTGAATCGTAATTCTGGATAATTCAACTTTTTGAGAGAATAAATAAATGTTTCAATGAGTGGGTTTTTCACTTTTTGTCTCATAATTTTGATACCTTCCAACACTTTGCGAGTAATAGTGGTATTTCCTTTTTCGTAAGAATCAATAATTTCATCTGCACTGATATTCAATGGATAATATAAGGACTGTGGATAGTTTTCAGCAATGGAAATTAATATTGGAACTAGACATTCTCCCTCTGGTCCTGTTAGGTGAGCCAATAATTGTGAAATCCATGTGATAAACATCCAACTTGGAATTTGTAACGTACAAGTTGAAGGTACAAATTTGGAAAAGACACTTCTTGTGGTTGGATATTTTTCTAATAATTCTAATAAACGTGGGAATCGATCTCTTGCTTCCTTGTTGAAATATTTCATACTGTTCATGAGATTTTCAACAATATAATTGGCTAATTGATCATTAGAAGGAAGTGAACTATGTTGTTGATCTCTTGTTAAAATAATATCTTCGTCATCATCAGTTTGATTCAAGCGTTGCTTCAAAAGATTATCACAAAATAGTGCAAACTTGAGATAAATCTTGGATGCTTGAGGATGTGACACATAGTCGACGTCGTCATCGACTTTGATGATCTTGGAATCATCAGACACTTGTGCAATATGTTTGTTCACCAATTCAATCGATTCTTTAAATCGAACAAATGAAGATCTTAAAATGTCTTCTGAAGATCCTAAATCTGTGTTTTGAACTTTGATTTCTCGAAGAGTAGAAGCAAACGAAGCGTTTGCATCTGCATCTAATAATTTGTAGGTCAACAAGTATTTGATTGGTATGTTTGCTTCGTTTCCATACTTGTTTCCATTTTGTTTGATAAATCGAACAAGTTTCTCAAACACAGAAACAGTGTCAGCAGTAGTCGATCCTTTGCTTGTTGCCTTAATCTTCAATAATTTCACAAGAGATTTGAAAAATTCAAAATCAAAAGCGATTGCATCACTACTGTTAGAATCTGAAGTCAACAAATTCTTACTGCATCCTTGTGCAATTTTGAGATAACTCTGAGCAACAGTATTGTTCTTTTGTTTTCTGGCGGCTTTTGTGACGGTCAAATACATGATGGCCTTCTCTCTTGCAATAGATTTTGAGAGAGATTCAGAGTCCATTGTCAAAATAGATGAACCAGTAGAGGTAGCACCAACCACATAGTCTTGTTGTGAAAGAGATCCTGCTGAGAGAAGAAGTGTAGTCGTTGGGTCGTCACCTAACAAGCTGCTTGTGAGAGGTCGAAGTGAAGACGACTTTCCACTGAGTGAAAGTTTTGGTTGATCTTTTTCAATAAAGTTCTCCAAATTTTGTGAAATTAAATCATACATGAAATTTCGATTGGTGACCACATTGTCCCACGTGTTCATATCATCAATGTATGAACTTGGATATCTCGATTTCCATGTTTGCAACAATTGAATTAACTTCTTTGGTTTCATATTCATTTGAGATTGCCACAAATCAATAAATTCTTCAATTTCTACAAGAGGTTGAAGTTTTTGCAAATAAATATGACGACCAGTTTTAGCGAGCGGTGACAATGAGCTCCAACTTTGTAAAAATTCGGCGTAACTATCCACAATGTAGGACTTGGCCTTTTCATATTGTTGAATAAAGAGTGACAAGAATGAAAGGCGATCACAGAACTTGCTCTCCAAGATGTCTCTCTTTGTGTTTGAACTCATGGCAACTTCAATGAAATGTTGTAACGCGCTCCATCGTTCTTTCAGTTTCAAATTACTATCCAAAAATAGGGAAAGCAGCTTGTCACTATTTTCACTTTGCCAAATCTTTTCTTGTATCAGTGATGATTCATCATTGGTGATATTTTCAGATTTGGTCATTCGTTTCAAATCAGACACAACTTCTTGTAATACAGTATCCCATTGGTTCATCTTTTTAAGACATTCTAATTTTTGTTCTCGCCAAAAGACTACTTCTTCTTCTAATGGTGGAGTATCATGAGATTTCCAACCAGCATCCCAATCTTGTAGACCCTGTCCATAAATTTTCAGTGCGCTATTGTACCGACCAGCTAATTCTTCGGAAAGAGCTCTCTTGGTATTTTCTTGTTGAGCGACGTGATACTCGAAAATGGATCGAACCACATCTTCTTCATCGATGGATTTGTATAGTTTACCTAATTCGATCCATGCGTCGATGTAAGCTCTCATGTCTCGATCTTGATCAATCATGTCTTCGTCATTTCCAGAATCAATAGCATTGTTTTCAATTAAAGATTCCAACAATAGGATTCCTAATTCAACGTTAAAACTTTGCATACTAACAGATCGAACAAGTTTGGGTGATAGAATGTTAAATTTAGGTGATTGAAGGTCCAAAATTTCAAGACATAAAGTCATTAACGCGGACATCAATACTGAGCTATCTCCAGATTGTTTTAACATTTGATTGAAGGTCGTGTGAATATTATTCTTCAATGTCTCAGCTTGTTTTTCATCCAATTTTTGTGCAATATTTGGATATAGAGAAGAGAATACCGAAACAAACAAATGCTTGGAAACATTCACATCATAGAGACAAAGTGCTTGCAATGGAGTAATAATCTCCTTTAAAGCAATTTGAATATCTGGTAATTCTCCAGTTCTGTACTTTCTGTACATGGTAATCTTATTTTTCTTTGCAATTTTTTGTCGAGTTTCCCAAGCTTCTTTTTCTCTCTTCAATCGAACAGCTCTACGTGCTTGATATTGTGTCATGGTATTTTCCTTTAACTTTAAAAATCTTCTTCTCAAGTATGGACCTTGGAATGACTCGGAAGTAGCCCCGCTAGCTCCTCCAGCAGCTGTAGCAGAATTTCCACCTGTGGTATCTGCACTATTTCCTTGAGCATTATTACTGGTCACAGACTTGAACGGTGTGAACAATAGTGATGTTTGACTCATACTTGGAGCTGAAAGAATATCTTTCAACGTCTCTGTTGCATATTGTGTTGGAGTAAATTGAGGAGTTTGAGTGGCCTTGACCATTCCAACACCAATAGTTGCTGGAACTTGTTGAGATTGTGACAAAGTGGCATAGGGATCTTCCAATGCAAGAGATTCATAAGGAAGAGATGCATAACTTTGAACAGTTCCATGTCCCTTCTTGGAACTAGATCCTATCGATACTCCAGATCCAAGAACAATGGATGTGGCCGTTAGTGGTAAACTTCTATGTTGCCAACTTGTGTCAATCTTGTATTCTTTAAAGACACAATTGGAAAGACTCTCTGAGAAGATGGCGTTGGTATCAGAAAAATCAGGTGAACGATGTAATAATTGAAGAATCAAGTATGAGGAAAATTGAAGCCACTTGTCACCTAAATTTTGTGAAAATAAGAGAGTAAATGATTGCTCCAAACGACGTAAACTTTCGTTGGATAATCTAGATTCGTGATCCCAAAAGATGAGCATTTTCTTTCGAATGTCTTCGGAAGGATCATTCATGGCCTTTAGCAACTCAGTTCGGATCATTTCATCACTTCTAAATTCGGTAGGTCTGTTATCGAATAACCAAATTAAAATGTCATAATACTTTTCTCGGCAAGGTTCAGAGAATGTTGCAATCATTTGAGCATCACTCGTGTTAATATGTGTAGTAATAATTTCCATAAAGTGCATGACGTCATCTTTTGGAATTGCTTTCACGAGTTGATAAACAATTTGAAGTGTTAATAATTGAGTAGGTTCATCTTTGTGTTGTAAATGTTGACGAATGAATGGCTTCAAAGAAGTATACAAATCAGTAATATGTTCAGCTCTCCATGAAATCAATTGAAGAGCTGTCTTCTTATAAACACCATATAAATTTGGTAAAATATCCAAAATCTTGGTTGGCAAGAAATTGTCAATAAATCCAGTATCATGAATTCCAATCTTGTAGAGACAATTCAAGAATCGATCGTATTGCATTTTCTGTAGAATTCCCAAACATCTTGCAAGAAGTAATTTTTCAAACAATTTCACACTATCATTTGAATGTGTTTTAGAATTTGAAAGACTCTTCAAAATCATTCCGCTAATTTCTGCAGCTGCTTCATAAACGTCCTTGTTCTTGAAGCTTAAATTATCGAGAATCTTCTCATAGAATTGTTCTTCATTCACTCCTAAATTGGAATCTGTCTCGGTCATGTAGATTGGAATATCATTCGCAATCATGATTCCCAAAAGTTGAAGTCCTGTTGTTCTCGCTAATTTTGCTGACGATTTCGATTCGTCATGACATAGCCATCCTAGAATAATAGTTTTGTTAATAGTCATTGCCTCTCTCCATTTCTCAACCATCAATTTAATCAATTCAAGATTGGATCTCAGAATCACTTTCTTTTGATGAGCACAATTCTTAAACATGAATGCGAGTAATTTGGAAGCTAAATCTTTGGTGAGTGCTGATTTGTGTGGAGACACGTCTTTCCATCTCAACAATAAAATTAACAAGTCTCTGATAAAGTAGTTGATACCTCTAGTAGAGACGTCTTCACTTTGTTTTTGTTCCTCTTCTTCTCTCAAAATTAGTTTCACAATAGGTTCGAAGAAGTGTTTGGCAAATGGTTCAAACACATTGGGTCTGTTAATGATGACCTTGCAAATGAAGAGTTTGATATTTCTATGTGTAGAGTCGTTATTTAGCTTTTTGTGCATTTCACCCATCCATGAAGGCATGGTTTGTGTCGTGGTGGACGTTACGGATGAAGCATCTGATGAAACGCCAGGATATTTGAAAATAGAGACCATGTGATCGATCGTTCTCAACACGGCAGACATGCAAGGATTAGCATTAATTTCGTCCATTTCCAAAGTAGAGTTGGTGTTGCTGTCATTGCTCGTGGAAGAGGTAGAACCTACATCTTGTGGCTTGTTCGATGATGCTTCTTCTTCTGATGAATTGTTCAAAATGGCCTCTTCTGCATATTTCGATCCAGGAATAAAGAAATTACTAGCAATTGGCAAACTAGAGCTCAATGAACTGTCAGAAAGATATTGTGACGAAAGATAACCGATTTGTAGCTCTCCTGGTTTTCTGTGAGTGCCAGCGTGTGATTCAATTTTCTTTTGATTAGAATCTACTCGTAATTCATCCACTGCTTTTCGATGGAATGCAAAATTGGTCTCAATTTCAAAGTTATAATGGCAATCGAGATTGACAATATTTTCCCACAAATCATCCTCTTTTTCTTTGAAGAGAAATCCAGTATAAAACTTTTCTTGAGTTTGTGTACATTTCACACCTCCAGCAAGCACATTGAAAGCACTTGTTCTAAAATCGAGTAACAAGTCGTGACCCAACAACTTGAATTCTTGATCGTTGAGTTTCCATGAACGTGCAGCAAAGCTCGATCTCATAACTTTCTCTGTCAATTCTTTACCAGTAAGCTGACTGCTGTTTGCTGTTTTTTCACAATACTTGTTGTTGATAAATTCCTTGACAGCAGTAGCAGGCAATAAACGATACATGGCTTCCAGTAAATTGTAACAGCAAGTTCTCGTGACAAAGAGAGCTTTTACAGAATCTGTATCGAGTTCATCAATATTGGGATTTGAACTTTCTTCACTTAGAGCCGTTGGTTTTGCGATCGATTTCATTAATCGTTGAATATTGTCCTCAAAGAATTGAATTAACACTCGTTCAGGCATGTGTGTGAGGCATGTGAGACAAACCCACTGAATCACTTGTCTTCGAATATCGATTGGCAAACTTTCCTTGTAGAATGTCTCTAAACAACTATTGGCTGCTTTCAAAAGCTTTTCATTTGTGAATTTTCCAAATAAGGATTTCAATGATTGTGTCATTCGTTCTTGAATTGGATGATTTTTCCATCGATAAAGTGGCAAAATTTGTTCCAACACTTCAACAGAATCAGATCCTTGAAGAGCAAAAAGTAAGTCCTCAAGTAATGAAACATGATCATCGTATTCGCTTGACTCAACTTCTATTTCTTCATAATTCAATGGAAAATCATCAATCACAATTTTCTTGATTTGATTAAGAATTGGTGCAAGTTCTCCTTTGAACTTTTCTTTTACTTCGTCCTTTTCAGACGACAGTAGAGAGTTCTTAAAGATGACTGGCAAAATACGAATGGCTTTCAATTTCAAATCAAATAGATTGGATGGTGATTCACTCTCTGAAGTTCTAGAAGAATCATCTCTCTTGATTTTGAGACATGTCAAAAGGAATTCAATAATAGCCTCTTGATAAATGGCATGCTGCAATATTAATGTAGCATCCAAAGCGAAAAGTCTCTCAATGAGTGACATGGTCTTGATTTTGTAATCGTCATCGGTAGTGTTCTTACATTTTTCAAGAACTGGTTTCAAAGAATCCAATACATGCTGCACAAAGATCGACTTCTTATCTTTTTTCGAGGATGGAAGTCTTAAAAATTTCAAACTCACGCTCAGAATTACATCAAATAAAAAGTGATGGTTCAGCTCGTGCTGATCTTTGAGTGATGGAATGTTTGCAATTCGTGTCAGGAGTGCCTTGGAAAATACATCCAAGTGTTCAGAAATGTACGTGTCAATTTCTGAGTGGAATATTTTGTAAAATTGCGCCCCTTTCGTGGTTGGCTTCACTCTGTGAGGCTGTTTGGAATGATGTTCTGCGCTGCTACCTTCGTCACCTGCAATTTGATATGAAGAATCAATTTGGGATAACTTCTTCGATAAAATGTTGTCGGCTGAAGAGGAAGCTGTGGTGTTTGTGACCATATCTAACAAATGATCAACATCAATGGAAAACTCAAAGCACATCTGAAGCATTTCTTTGCAAATAATAACATTCACTGGTCCCATTAAAGGATCAAAATGTTGATTAAATAACTTGTCTAAAATCTTCTTTCCAAACTCATTTTTTGATGAGTAATGAGGTCGTAAGGCATCGTCATCTAAATAATCTAATTTGTGCAAAAGTCTTATTCCTCTAAACATGAATGTATAATCATCCATATTCAACTTGACTGATTTTGTGAAATCCAATTGATGAATATGTTTTTCAACAAGCTGTGACAACATGTCATTCAAAATCTTTTTGCATTTAGCAATAATTGCTGATCCATTAGCGGTATGCTTTGAATATGTGACAATTGATTCTAGAATCTTTCGTGTTAATCGAGGTAGCATAGTTTGCACTTCCTCTTGATTCGTGTTAAAGCCTTGCTTGGATGGTGTTAAAATGCAAAGGAATAATAATGTGAGGAATTTGGTGTTCTCCAAAATATTTTCCTTCTCTGTGACTTTTTGTGATAATAAACTGCTTGGATACTTGTCAAGCATCAAACCAAAGAAGTTCAGTAACTTGAATAATGTAGAGGTCTTTCTGTGAATATACTTTTCTGAGTCGGAAGAACTGATCAAAATAAATGACTCACTCGTCTTTTTGAGAGCAAATTTTTCAATAAAGTTATAAATGTGACCAATGATCGAGCATGAAGTCGAGGCCACATGTTCTTGTTCATCCTCTATTACTCTCACTTCTCCATCATCATCGAGCATGTCATTGTCATCAGTTGTTTTCCTCTTTTTGTAATTTGTAGCTCTACTTCCAGATGAAGATGCTCTCTTATTTTCGAGATTCAATTCATCATGTTCCTTTTCCAAGTTAAACAATTGGTGAGGATACAAAAATTTGTGATTAAATAACCAATAAAGACAATCAAAAGAGGCCTCTAACTTTTGAAGCCAAACCATTACTTTTTCAAAATAAGAAATGTCATTGGCTGTTGCTGTCGTACTGAGAGCAATATTCACTTTCTTTTCTTCTTTCTCTGATTTGACCTTAATTGAACCTCCATAGCTTGGAATGTACGAAGAAGGAACGTCTACCACTCGAAGAACGCTCGATTCGTCAGATTTGAATTTTGCATGAATCCATCTTCGTGGGCCATCATCTGTATCAAATCCAGGCAATAACATGCACAACGTTGGGAATAATCTCATGCATTGCTCACGACAAATTCTCTCGCCGTTTCCACATTGCATGAAAATCCAATCCACACAATCAGCAAGCGTTGTGTGAATTCTACGATCCATCTCACTGATAAGAAGAGATGATTTTTGAACTACAATTCTCTCGATATGTCCAATTAATTGAATAGATTTTTCAATGATACCAGTGCTGTTGGAGCTCGAATGAGATGTTTTTTGATTTTCTAAAATTTCTGAATCATTGTCAATAATTTTTAAACTGATAATCACATTGTGTAACCAATCAAGCACATGTCTTTGAACGAGTGCGTCTACTTCTCTAAAGCTTTTGTACATGCTGTTAAAAGCAATAACAGCTCCCAATCTCTTGAACAAATTTGGATGATGGATGTTGCTGTATAGCCTTTGGAAAAGTGATTTCACATTAATGTATTTCTTGTCACGATCGTGCTTGACTGACCACTTCAAGAATTCATTCAATAATAAAGCACATTGATCTCTGAGAGCTCCATCCGTAGTGTTTGACATGGAATCAATGATTGAGTCCAATAAAGCCATGGTCTCCTTATTTTCATATTGCATGTTTTGAGTAAGCCAGTGGACCAATTGGAACATTAAAGGTTCAAATAATTGTTTGGTGACTTGTTCAGTATCGACTGAAAGTCTCAACAATACTGGAAATAATTTTTCATAGATTTTGTAATAAGGGGTTGGGTCGCTTGAGACTACTACAGTAGATTCTTCATCATTGATTGATGAATCTTGCTTGTTTTTGCGCTTTTCATCTTCTTCCTGTTGCTTCATTTGAATTTCTTGTGCCCTTTGTCTTGCTTGTGGGCTATATGCATTTTTACCAACCATATAAAGTACAATCGAGTGCAAGAATTCACATGCCGCAATCTTGGTTTGTCTATCACTAGATTTTTCAGCAAGTTCCGTAATTCTGGGTAAAACAGGATCAAAGAAAAGTTCCATTTTCACATCACGGAATGGCATTGAGAATTTCACACGTGGCTCCGTGTCCCATGTAATAATGATATCGTCATTGGCGTGTGAATTTTCGGCCTTGTTCAAAATATTGGCATTGTCTCCTCCAATTTTTCCTAGTAATCGGATGATACCTAATTGTACTTTCTTGAGTGGGGTTTTGTCAAAACTAGAAAGCTTGTTTTTAGCTTGTGTAGTGTTATCATTGGTTTTTCTGATGGAAGTTTTGGTTTGTCCTTTCAACAGTTTGGAAATGTCGGACACCTCTGCATCTACATCATTGTCGTCACCGCTCACACCAATAGAGTTGTTGTGCTTGACCATCAGATAGGGATCTAATTTTGGTAAAACTTTAGGGAAGCACTTTTCAACAAGTTCAGATCTTGGCAACACTTTCAACCAATATTCAATGGCTTCAAGACCGATGTTTGCAAGAGGTAAATAACTTAGGCCCAACTCGAAGGATAACTGCAATGGATGCACCCAATATTTGAGATCAATAAATGATTTAGGCATGGAAAGCACAAATTTGATGCAACTAGTGAGTAATTCTCCTTTGAATTCATGCAATCGTTGAATGACGTTATCTTTAACAAACTTCAAAAGTAATTGATAGCAAATGACTTTGGTATTGTAATCGACAATGAAGAGTTTCTTCATGAGAATTTCATCATCTTCAACTTCTTCATCTGTCATTTGGGCAGCATTCTCAGCCAATAGTGATTGAGATTCTTGTTTTACAATTGTGGAAGATGACTTCATGATGGTACTCTTGTCGTTGATATTTTCAAAATAGTCATACTTGTCACTAATCTTCATGGCCACTGATAACATTTTGTAGAATCCGCTAATGTATGGATATTGAATTGATTTTTCTACAACAAGTTTCGAGAACACATAATTCCCTGGCGTTCCCAACTACCACTTCGCTGGTGTAACATTCCTTTATTTGGTTCATTCGGGCTACGTCTCAGTGTTTTTGTTACATTAGCTTTTTGTTGTTCGCCCAGCAAAAGCTGCTTTGTCTTTGTTGAAGGACAAAGGCTTCTGCTGGAGCTATAATGAATAATAAAACGACTTGAGGTATGTTGTTGTGATTAGAAAAATACGGTGTAATTGTGGTCGGAAGAAATAAATAGGTGAACAATTTTAAACGTGTTCCAATTTTTGGACGAACTTTTTTTGTGATGAAAAATGCTTGACATTTTATTGCATGTCTTGAGACGAAGCCACCACCTGGCTCAGCTGGGAATACGAAACGAGGTTTTTTGTTTTCTTTGCAAATACGTAAAAAGGAGGTGACAACAACTGATAATTTCCAACAATCACAGCAATTTGTTTTTGATAAAGCTTGGTGCTGGTTGTTGATGAAAATTGTCCAATTAATTTAAATTTGAATGGATCCGTCTGATTTGGTGCCACAAATATTTTAAATGAGTTAATTGGTTCAGAATGTCGAGATGCATTTTCATTGTTCTCATTGAAATTGCGAACCTCTACGGTTGCATTGCTCAAAGAAATATGATTAGTCTTAATTTCAAATTCTACGGGCTTTTTAAGCAAAAATGCCGCAATATGATTTTGAGCATGAATTAATGAGTCGTGTGTTTGAATAATGGTAAAACTGATGTCGTCGGTTAATGTAAGTCGTTCTGTTAAGTTTGGCAAAACTTCACTTGTTTCAATATGGAAAACAGGAAGTGAAATGTTGTAGTAATTGGAAATGCTTGTCTCCATGAAATCGGTGGCAAATCCGGCCCTATAGTCATGTCTTGACTGATGGTATGATTGACGGATGGAGTTGACACGATGTTGTAAACATCGCAATTGTAAGTCTTTCGCACAAATTAAATCTTGATCTGTAAAACTATAAGAAATGGATGTCACGCTTTCTCTAGCTTGCTTTCTTTCATTATTAAAGTCAACAAATTGTTTTTCAGTCATTCTCATCAAAATTTGTTGGTTAATTTGACTAGGGGCATCACAATATTTCCTCTTTCTATCGTTATTGTATGAAAGATATACACATTCTTTTTTCACTAATTTGATTTTCATGTTTGAGTAACTTCTATGATAGTCCAATACTGTGGTTCTTTTTGAATAATCACGTGACTCTCCGAAAAATCCTTCAAGAGAACGTGTTCCCAATAAAGACAAATCAAAAACTGCATCTTGTGGAATAATTCTGATCAATTTCTGAATTGTTTTGATGTTATGGATAATGATGTTTTTTGTGAGGGTTCCGGATAATGTAAAATTATTATTCTTATTGGAAATAATGACGTCTTGGAAAACGGTATCCCACTCATTCAAATAGTCCAAATTTTCCTTAAGAACTTGCAACACTTCGTGCAAATTGTGTGAAGATGTTCCATCATGATTTTTGTCATCGTAAACATGAAATAAATCATGTATCGCTTTTAAGTACTTATAGAATCCTAAATATCGATAGTTGGTTCTCTCGTTCAATAATCGTAATTTTTCAAGTAACTGTAAATTGCATACATCACGTAATACATCCTCAGATTGATCATCATATTTGATAAACGAGCTCCGTTTAACTATTTTACACCACTCTAAAGGTTGTTGTCTATATATTTCATCGAGTGTGTTCAATTCAAATCGTTGTAAAATAGAACAAGAAATTTTGGTGACAGCTATGTCTTGATTGCTAAAATTTGCCACACACACTTTACCAATGTTAGTATGAAGGGTTTCACTCAACAACGTAACACTTAATTCGTTGTCATTGCTGCTATGATAGAAAGAAATGCCTCCAGAGTTAAAATTCCGTGGTTCTTTTTCTTTCCATTCAAATGAAATTGTGTCTTTGTCATTCACTATGAAGGAAAGTGGTATGTTGGTCGCTTGTGTTCTTTGAATAACAATTTTCATCAAATGGCAACCGTTTCCGTTGTCGTTGGAAGAAATACAAGCAGAGGAATGGCGTGCAATTTGAAGGTTTGGAGCACCTACTTTAGTGGCAACCGGATATAATTTTGGTCTCCCATTAATTGCATTCCTCATGTTTTTGCAATGGTGACTGTAGCAAAAATGATGTAGTTCATTTGGGCTCGATGTGAAATATTTGTAATTAGCAGACCCTGCATCTGACACAGTACAGACGATGTTTCGAGTATATGTGTCACGAAATTCAGAAATCGTGTCTCTAATGGTTTGTTCAGTTTCAGTAGTGCATACTTTGAAGTTTCCAGGAATTCGAACTTCACCGTTAATACTGCAATATAAAGTTTGAACAATTTTTTCAGCTAAAAAACCCTTGGGTGGAAAATTCGGACTCTGAGCTAGTGCAGTACAATCACTAATCTTCAATGGACCTTCATTGGCACCGTATACAAGCCCAAGCTTGGTATTGATTCCTAAATGCGGTGTTACATCTACTGCATCAATTTGAACAAGACCAAAATTTTGATTTTCAATAACCTTCATTTTTTCTACTAGCTTATCAAAGTCATCTTTGTCTAGTTTAGTATTCCCTTCTCCATATGATGCGGTGTGAAAATGATGGTCGAGTGTGGATGAACAAGGTAGGACTAAGTTACATCTTTCAGAAGAGGGTTCAAATTCTTGTCCTCGTTTCAACCCTCTCGCCAATGCTTCATACGCATTGTATCCCATGATAACCAATAAATCTTGAGCAAAACAAAGAACAGATGGGCTCCATCTATGGCCTCTACTGTCTTTGCAAATTAATTGTGAAAAAGCATCACGAAGATATGTGAAAAAGAAAGTTCGAGGTACTAATTTGCGACTACCTAACACCTGAAAAAACAATTTTTTCAATTCTTGAATATCCTCATCAAATATATCACATTCCGAATAATAACTATCATCATCGTTATTTTGTGATTTAAAATCAGCATGGTCTACAAAATTATGAGAGATGGTGTCGGACTTGGTATTTACAATTGATGAGTGTGTTGGAATAAATTTGTTGTTAATTAGTTGTTGCAGCATGTAATACGGTGCTGTTTGTTCTTTTGTTGAATATGACAACGTGATGTAGTCTTCAGCAAAACCATGATCCAGGATTTTATGTAATTCAATAACGCCGACATTTTTTTCTGGTTCGAGTAATTTCATGATGGTTGAACTAGAATAACGTTGTGACGTTGTTGAGGTTTGAGGTGGGTCTTCGCAAGCTGTACTTGTTTTGGAGTGTTTACGTTTTTGACGAATTCGCATCAGCTCGTCATGACACTCTTTCAATTTCAAATAGCCTTGAAAATGTAGTTTGTTGATCCATTCTGATGTTAACTCTTGATTTTGTCTTTGATTTTGAAATTTTGGGTCAGAGTAAATGTTATAGATAGCACTATCCTCGTCCGGGTCAATGCAATCAGTAACATATTGTGCAATCTTTGTTGAATTGTCAACCTGGAATTTGCAACAGTATAGAACAAATGGGACTCGTTTGTTGTGTGTGATGAGGTATGAGAAATATAGTTCGAGATGGCGATGGATGGTATTAAAATCCTTGCGATGAAATCCACATTGATCAATAATATCTTCTATTAAATGTTCGACATTAATATATTGATGGACTGCGAATAGCATTGTTTTGATGGCAACATGATATTCCGGTCTCAACAGACCGACAAAGGCGTTTCGTTCATGTTTTAACATTTTTATTGAAAAAACCTCCAGCAAACACCAGAACAAAACTTCGACAGCCTGCTCGACCTTTTTTAAAATGGTTAGGATTCTAAAAAATAAAGTGCTTTCCAAATGCTATTGTAACACTATTTCTGGGAGTTGGGAACGCCAGATAATTCCATCTTAAAAAGTGTTTTGGTTTACACTTCTTCAAAAATCTTTTTGAAAATTCAACCAAGTTCAAGAACAGCTCCATATCTTTAGCATTTGATGGGATGAGTGCATCTTGAAGAATTGCAGTTCCTTCATCAACTACCTGCCCTGTAGCTGTTGTGACTGAGTTTCCAGAGGTACTGCCATCTCCCGACAAGGTACTTGCATGTGTACATCTGAGATCGAATTTGGATATCATTTGCATAATCACTTCGATCAATTTGTCATACACAATGGAATGCAAATGTTCAATAAGATCTTCGGATAGTGTTAAATCAACCCATGGATAATTCCAATCTCCTAGTTTGATATTCTTTGGATTTAAAATATTGTACCATAAATCTAAGTATTCTTCATAGAGGGATGGAGGTTGGTCGGAGGCCATTGAATTAGTATTGGTGTTCACATCATTGGTGGTCACTAGAGAAGTCACACTAGAAATTGTCAAAGTCATACATTGAAACACAATTCGATCTAAAAAGTTTCCAAGAGCTCTCTCTTTCATATACAATGCAATCAATAATTTCACAAATGCGCTATAATTAGCATACTTATACTTGGGGAACAGATATTGCTTTGGGTAAACCAAAAACAAAATTCCTGAAATTTTCTCTAACGAGTCCATAATCCATGAATCAACAATGTCAAGTTCAAGAATAATATTCGCAAAAGCAGATAAAAAAGATGGAATGTGAGAAACAGATTCTTCAAGTTGCTCTTGACTTCTTGTAAGTAATTGATCACTCAATTTCAGTAATTGTCTTAGAATTATTTTCATGTCGTTTTGTGTCAAGAATTTCTTCATTGGAAGAGCAAATTGTCCAAAACTTCTAATTGCAATACTTAGGAAATACTTGTTGATGTTTGGATTAATGGATGGAGCCGTACTCGATTGAACAGAGACATCAGAAAAATTTAGTGAAAGTAAACCTTTGAATTTTTGCATGAGATTCTTAAACGTTCGCAAATTCGATTCAAGTTTTCTTCCGCCATCACGAATTAACTCGTATGAAATTTGTGCTAGGAAACTCTCAAGTGCAGGGAATGCATTCTTTCGTACCTTGTCATTTCGATGAGAACATAATGTTGAAAGTCGATCAAACATTTTCTCTGCATCCACTGTGAGATATTCCTTAAATTGGAATGCATGTTTCGCAAGTAAAATCAATGCAGATTTTGGAACGTCGTATCGAGTTTCATTCACAAGCTCCAGACTTGTGCACAAGAGTTGATACAATGGTTTGATATAGGTCGAACCTTCTTCTACAGAACCACCAAATTGAGACAAGAAATGGGAGAGACCTCGAAACGTCGAAGCAATCAATTGTGGTTCTGGTTTTGCCTTCTTTGACTGATTGAGTAGTGTACTCATGAGAAGAGACAACATTTGTTGTTGATACATGTGTGTCTCTCCAGGAAAATATTCACACAACACACCTAATAAGTGTAAAATACTTCCTTTCAATGTTTGATTACCATTATTGCCCAATCGTTGGAATTCTTTGAAATAGACTTGGAACACTTCTCGAATATTGAGACTTGTATCGGACTCTGCAGGAGATCGATTGGATAAAGTAGCCACAGCACTTGATGATTCTCCAGTAGTAGAGTTTTCATTCCTCTCATCTGTCTCCATTTGATTGTTATTCTTGGTTGCGTCATCATTGGTCGTTGAGGACGTACCTGCTTCATCCGATTCGGAGGAGGAAGAGGAACTTTTTGATATCAATAATGGAGAATCATTCTCCATCAAAATAATTAATAATTTAATGAGAGGAGGAATGGTTGCGAGTCGTACTTGATTCGAACTCTCTCGTCGGAAGACATTGACACACCACCTTTTGATCACAAGAACGTGCTCTAAAATTCGTTCTTTTGCAATTTTAATATAATTCAATAAAAAGTCGAAAATTGCTTTCCGACTCAGAGTCATCGTCTTGTTGCCTCCAATCGAACTTGGATATAAAGTGAGTGATCGATTGACATAGGCAAATATTCCCTTCTCTTCATGGAATAGAATACTAGAGCAGAGACCAATGTCGTCCGAGGAGAGTCGACTGCAAAAATCGTTCATATCCGAAACGATAGAAATTGGATTTAACAGTGCTGTGCACTTTTCTCCTTCTTCGAGTACTGTATGTAAATCGAGAAGATGACGATCCAAGGCTTGCATTTTTTTGTTGTTGTGGGTTTTGATGATTTCCAATCTCTCGTCCTTCCCTTGTGGCAAATATTTGTGTGAAAAGTCAAACGATGAGTCAGCACAAAAAGTGAAATATTATTTAATTGTCTCGAGACTAGTAAAAATCAAAGGTGGTAGTGGTTGGCTTTTTGGCGCTTGTTGGTGTTTTTACAGCTGATTTGGAGCTCGATGAAGGCTTCATGAATTCTTCTTCATCATCTTCTTCCTCCTCCTCTTCCTCCTCTTCTTCTTCTTCCTCTTCTTCGTCTTCTTCTTCTTCACCCTCTTCTTCTTCCTCTTCTTCTTCGCCTTCCTCTTCCTCACCTTCCTCTTCTTCTTCTTCTTCGCCATAAAAGTTGTCAATATCATCCTCTTCCTCTTCTTCCTCTTCCTCTTCCTCAAATTCAGCATCTCCCTCCAATTCATCATCCTCTTCTTCTTCTTCCTCTTCTTCACCATAAAAGTCGTCGATATCTCCAGAGAATAAATCTGAGGATGTCTCTCCAATAGCACCAACATCAGCTTGCACGTCAGTCGATGCCAAAACATTTCTGTCTTCGTAGTTGAGAGTTTCTGGTGGGAAATCAGGAAGAGGCAAATAGCCATCTGTAGAATGGTTTAGAATGTGTGACAATGTACCTAAAATAAATCTAGCACGGTCCTCAACAAACTTGCTGTTAAGTGAAATGGATGTTTTGGTGTTGGCTCCGAAAATATCGTCCGATTTTTCATGCAAAGTAGATACAAGTCCTTTTGGATTGAATAAAATATTTCTCATAAATCTGGCACGATCACGAACATCATAACTCTGGTCATATCGAGCCAAGTTCAAAACATATTGAATCAATAAATTGATTTGCTCTGACTTTTTAACGTCAGCGGTATTGGCAACCTTCAAATACAATTTGGTACTCAAATTCAAAGCTTGCAATTTGACCAAGTCATCTTCCTTGACAAAATCCTTGGCTAAAATACGTAGAGCATCAGCAGCAACGCCAATGCCAATACCCTCCTTTGAAGGAAGATAGTCAATATATTCTCCAATCATGTAGGCAATGCTTGCTCTGGCAACTGGAATTTTGATATCATCCAACAAAATGGCCATTTGCAAAATAATTTTCTTGTTATCTTCAGGATTTTGTTGCAAGAGTTGATGAATGACAATAATGGATTCTGCCACAATTGTATCTGATCCCTTTGTAATTAAATTCATCAATGTACCAATACATGATTCTACAACTTCAGGAATTCTTGATGCCACTCTTCCCATGGCTCTAACAGTATTGTTAACAAAGTCTTGTTCGTTGGGGAATTTGACATAAGTTCTGAATTCTTTCAGAATACTGTGAACTGTTTCATCAGTGGCGAGAAGTGACAAAATCTCTAATTTGAGATTCTTTACATAGGCTGGATCTGTTGAATAAATAAAGAAATCCTTCAGGTGATTTGCAAAAATTTCTGGTCGTTCTCTTGCGATGGTTGAGACAGACATTAACCCAATGTATGCATTCTCACGATAAAATCTCAAAATTCTCAATAATGGGGCGACACATTTCAAAGCAAATTCTTGTTTAGGTGCCAAATAGAAATGTAAATCGACCACCATTAAAACAACAGCGCTGTTGTTAGTTTTCAATAAAGGAGCTGTTGATTTCAATAATAATCTGTGATCTTGATCAAGTTCCATCTCTGCTCCTGGTTCAAACCCATCATCGAATATTTCTTGGTTTCCGTCATGATTTCCTTCTGTGTCATCGTCATCTTCGTAGAAAGCACGTTTCTTGTATGCATCACTCTTGAATGGAGATTGGAAATGAGCACGTCCATACCGTAACAACATTTGCATAATTGAACATTGTCCCCATTCATCACAATCAACCAAGAATCGGCACAGTTTTCTGAATACTGGGTGAATCAATGAGTAGTTGGTTGGACAGACTTCATTGAAAGCGTGAACTGCGGCTCCCAAAACCATAGTATTGTTATCCTTCAATAATTCTCCGATTAAATCAGCACATTCTGCTCCGAGTTCATCTGGATTTTGTCTGAATACTTTAATGATACCTAAAGCAGCTGCTTTTCTCACGTAGGGACTCATATCATGAAGACATTTTTTGATTCCGACCAAAATAACAGTGGTAATGTCTTGTACATTAAGGCTTGACATGACTCTCAAAGCCAATGCTCGCAAGAATTGATTCTTGTCATCGAGATCCTTTTGGAAATTGTTGATGGAGAGCAAGGCTTCTTCTTGTTTTTGTTCGGCAAAGTGAACGAGATACATGTAGACCAACTTTTTCAGTTCAACATTCTTGGTTACTACGTTCTTGACTACGTATGGGAAGAGAGGTTCTACTTCTTTTCCGGATGATGCCATCTGTATTTTGTTATTTGAAGGAATCATATGAACAAAATCATCAAATTGATAAAAATTGAGGTGTATGATGATCAAGAGAAGAAATGATCCATGTTGTTAGTTGTTATTTGTTGTGTTGAGAAGATATTTTGTTGTTGTTGTCGGTATCGTCGGTACGGTAGTCATAGTGTTATTTCATTAATCGTGATGTTGAATGTCGTCATCATTGTGGAAATTATCATCAAAAAAACAATCAAAGTTGTTGTACCATCATCATCAATATTCCCATATCCGAAATTGCCATCATTTCATTTGTTTGACAATCATTCAGCACTATATGAACAACAAAATTTTGCCATCCAACACAACACTTACAGCAATCACCTTCTTCATACCAACCAATTTATCCCTGAAATTATTCGAGTCCAATTGCTTGGTAATTTCATCAAACTTTCCGGTGTTCGTCTCCTTGAAGTATTTCGAGTCTCCGCCTAAACTCATTTTTTTATGCTTGTGAAAAAATCTTGCTTTTACAACTTCTAATACGTTGCTGGGCGCAACAAACTGTTACTTTATATTCGGGCCAGAACAACATGAAAGGGTATCCACATGGTTCACAACATATTAGCAAGATTTTAATCAATTCCATCTTGATTACAAAACGATCTGCAAGTCACTCATCAAACATCCTCAAATCAGCAAAAAAATTTCCTCGCCAGCTCATCAACACCATAGACTTTCTCACAACTACTCGCTCTCGGGTTCCATCCTTTCATCCCATCTCACCACCTAAAGTGCAAAATTTCTCTAATAATTCAAAAACAACAATTCACGACCTCCAATGCCATCCTCGTCCAACACCACCCCTCAATCACCACAGTCCACCCAACAATATGAATCCATTCTGGCACAGGCCGAACAAATCATTCAGAAACGTTTTCTTACGCCCTATCAAGAAAAACTCAATCAATTATTAGGTGATCGAGGAGGTGCTTTGAATCATCACTCTTCCAACAATTCTTCTTCATCGGGTATTTCAATACCCAATTCTACATCCACAACGGTTTCTGCTGGTACACTTCCTCCACTCCAATTAACAGTGAATTGGACAAGTATTCGAGAATTGATCACTTGTCATGGATTGGCAGTGGCTGAGAATGCGATTCAAATGTTGCAAGAGCCTTCGCTCTATGAGAACATGAGAAAGGGAGTCATGAGATTCATTTCCGAAGATAAATTACAGAGAACGATTTTTAATGATCAAGTGGATGTGATTTGTAAGTAGAGACATGAATAACGATGAATGCTAATGATTTCTATACATACACACACGAACCCACACAATTTTCATGACGCAACAATGGCTACTACTGGACCTTTGAAATTCATTTAAATGAATGAAACTCTATGAATGAATGGAACCAATGATGAACATGTGAATATAATAATAATAACAATTACTAATTTTCGGAAACTGTTTGGAACTTGCTATTTCAAACTCAATAATGAACTTTTGTACATGTTAATTTTGATGAATTGATGGATCATGAACTTGTGTGCTTGCGTTTCACTCACTACTGGTCACACAACTCGTATAGGTATTGACTTCTTTGCTGGTGAACCAAAAACGGATGAAACCGAAGCAACACAAGGAGAAGAGACCATGGTAGGACTTTCCGATGAACAAGAAGGTCATCTCCTCTACATGATCAATGCCAGCACTCAAGAAATTCTCGGCTCCAATGCATTTTATGAACAAATTGATGAAAGTTTTGAGGAATTACTAGAGACTCATCATCAAATTTTGGAGCAAGAAGAAAAATCTTCGAAAAAAGCTCTCAATTCTCAATCCATGTTTAATATGAAATCACATGTAACTACTACGACATCCACAACGCCAACTTCCACCAATAACGAACTTTCAGCAACCAAATCATCCAGTGCATTATCACACACTTCTTCACAATTGACACGAGGATCGAGTGTCGTATTGAGCTCGAGTCCAACTTCTCAACAGAGATCGGCATTATCGAGACAAACATTCATGACATCACCAAGTGCTTCACCCATGTCTCCAGGAGGAAATGAAATGAGTAATGCTGGTAGTAGTGGTGGCGGTGTCATTACTAAACCCAAACCACTCCGTAGAATGTCCTATATTTATGATGAGAAACATTTGGATGACGATGATTTGATTGGAGCTTCAAGTTCCATGACGAACATGAATCGAGATGTCATGTCCAACGATTCCGATTTGGATAAAATTGAACAATTGAGACGAGTGTGCCTACATCCACACATTTGGGAAAAGAGAGACATTTCCAAAATGCTTCGAATGCTTCAAAATGAAGATCTTCGTTATTGGAAACCCAACTCGGAACAAGCCATCATGATTGAAAAATGTGTGGAACAATTAGAATTACGATTCAAAAAGTTCTCGACTCCCGAAAAGATTATCAAAGCTTGGATGATCACAAAAATCAATCGAAAGAGTTTGAAACAGGAACGAGTGTTTGTCTTGACCGATTCTAAGTTTTACACCATGAAATTCTCCAAAGACATTGACGAGAAACACATCAAAATGTATCCCTTACATGCTGTGGCCATGATGGACTGTGCACGATTTATGCCCAACAAGGATAAGAAGAAGAAACCCTATGGACTTGCTATTTATATGGATGAGGAGAAGGTTTCATCGGGTTCCAAGGTCGCTGCTGACGATGACGAACAGGGTGGTAGTCATAGCCACCACACTACCAATGGTGTCAATGGAGGCGATTCAGATGGTTCAGCCCTCACCATGGAAGATAAAAAGAAGAAGAAGAATCTCTCACAGAAAGTGTTGGGAAAGCTTCGAAAGGAAAAAACCTTACAAACCAATGACACCTTCTTGGATGACGACTCGGACAACTCTTCAGATTCTCTCCGTCGTGGCACCATTGTCGAAGAAGTGAGTATTGAGGAGAAATCTCAGACCCGACCTGAAACGAATAATCTCGTGGCTCAATACTTTATGTCATGCAGTACGGTGCATCAGAGTGAAGACCAGAGAGATTTCCTGATGGAAATTGCATGGACCTTATTCGCTGCATGCAGTGCATTGAAAGGAGAGCGACAACTTGTGCCCTTCACTCAACAACAAATTAAGAGGCCTAAGAAGGATTTGGTTGGAACCTATCTGTACAATAAGCTCAATATTGGTATGAAAAAGTAAACTATTTCATAAAACCTAGTTTAAATTTCATTGCGAATGATGCTGCATGTCTTGACAGTGACAAATTTGAGAGCAGTTGTGGCTAACAACTGTGTGCTAAACGCATGTGTAGTCGTCGAATGCCAACTAGAAAGCTCTTCTTCACAGTATGGATTCTTCATGATTTTCAAGAGAGAGGTACCCACTTCCACAAGAGAGGGTGTTCTGCCTAATTCGTGCTTCAACAAAATTTTGGTGTAGAAAAAAACCCTTCCTTCTCTCTCATTCCGAGTGACTTTTCAATTTTACGTAACGGTCCGCTACAGTGCTCGTATTGGGAGATTGAAAACAACCATAGAAAACAATTTGTTATCATATATTGAATTTTGAATCAGACCGTTACAACTAATTTTCATCATTGTTTGAAATAATACCTCCGCTGCTTCAGTTTGAAATTTGGTAACCAAATTTATTCACTACCATCATTTACACTCACCAATAACAATAATTTATCATAGAATCAACATGTCCTCCAATCAAATCTCTTCGACTCGTCCAAAACAACCCTATAACGTGTTGGGTCTCGGACAGCCTTTGCTGTAAGTAACACATTTTCATCTTAAAATATCATGTTCATGAATATTAACCATCACCGTTCAAATGATTTCGTGTTGGACGTTACAACCAAACATATTTCAACATTTCATTGAACAACCCATTTTCAAACGCACCCGATTATATAATGTTTAACTTTTCCTCATACAACCGTACTTGATGACACAACACCCTCGTGCAGAGATAAAATGTTCTTTGTGACCGAAACAACTCTGCAAGCTCTTGGCATTAAAGAAAAAGGTGGTTCTCAGCTCATTGAAACTCAACAAGAATTAGAATCCTTCTTACAAAAATTATCTGAACTTCTTCAATATGACTGCAACCATTGTTTGGACCATCCCAATATTTCACCTAGTAATGGACATAATATTTTCACAAATTCTTCAGTCAAGTCGGGAATTAAAATACCTAGTAGTTCAGGAACGACACCAACGCAATCACATTTACTGACTGCCTACTCACCAAAGACTGCTAATTTCCACCGAAGTTTAAGTCAATATCCTAGAGGCTATATTTGCAGTGGTGGTAGTTGCTGCAATACCATTAAGGGACTTGCAGGTTTGGGAGAATCATGCGCATTAGTGGGTAAAATCGGTAATGATCCTTTGGGAGTGCTGTACAGAAATCACTTGACGAAACGACAAGTATTTCCTCTCATGTCCATGTCTCCACTCACAAGAACTGGTGAAGTCATTTGTTTAATTACACCTGGTAAGTGTGATGCAAATGTTAACTTTCTTGAGGTTAATTTTGAAATGGTGTTGGAATTGGTACTTTATCAAATTTGGAATGTTATATGATGATATATTTAACAAACATTGAACAATACCAAACAACAAATTTCATTCAATCGTCAATTTCCTACTATAACACTTATGGTTATGAAATTTACTTTCTTAACGGCAATAGATGGACAACGAACAATGAGAGCGTTCTTGGGCTCAAGTCTCGAAATGACAGCCGATGATTTGGTTCCTAGTGATTTCAATGGAATTAAACTTTTACACGTCGAAGGTTATGCAATTTATAACCAACCATTGACGATTAGAGCAATTCAATTGGCCAAATCAGTTGGTGCTATGGTTTCTTTTGACTTGGGAAGCTTTGAATTGGCAAGAAGTTTTAAACCACTCATTTTGGAATATTTATCAAATTATGTAGATATTGTTTTCTGTAACTCTGAGGAAGCTCGAGAATTACTTGGACAGGACGATCCTGAAGCTGCTGTTGAGTATTTAGCAAGCTTTTGTAGAGTTGCAATTGTTATGATGGGACGAGAAGGTTGTTGGGTGAAAGAAGGCACTTCACCTGGTAAAACCGGAAAAGGAGAGAAGTACAGACATCATTTGTCTCCAGAAGAGGTTGTAGAACATCCCCTTGATACCACAGGAGCAGGTGACTTGTTTGCTGCTGGATTTTTGTATGGCTATTTGCAAGGATATTCTATTGAACAATGTGCACGTTTGGGTAGCTTGAACGCTCGAGAAGTTGTCATGGTGATGGGTGCTGAAGTACCACAAGAAAAATTCAAAGAAATTAAGGGATCTGTGAATAAGGATTTCCGTTTGAGGTCCTCCAGTATGACCATTGGCACTTCTCGCCCAACGCTTGTTAGAAAATTGAGCAGCACTGGCTCTTCATTGGCAAGTAGTTTGGAAGAGTACAAGCATCAAAAGATTGGATCTGCAAATTTAGAATATGATATTGCTTTTGAATATGATTTGGAAGAAGAAGAGGGTGAACAAGGAGAACCCACTGAAGAAGCAGACGATGACGAGTCAGAAAATGAAGATACTGTTTCTAACATGCAATCCAAACATCGTCCTGTGGAAGCAATGTTTGAACTTGAATAATGAACCAATACATTCATACTGTTTTGAAATAATATTATTGAAAACTTAATAAGTTCAGTCTTAATTAAGATAGTACGCCTCTTCGATGAAAACCTGTCATCATTTCTGACATCCATTTAATCAAAACAACAAAAAATCACAAGGACGCCCCAGTCGCCACAATCAAAGGTTCATCACAACAGGGCGACGCACCAAAACCACTCGTCACTGATTTCGCATTTCAACATTCTCTTTTCCAACTCTCTGACCAATCAAGAAGTTGTGGAATTTTAAATAACAGTCCATCACTCGTTGAATATCAAGTAGAACTGTGCGTCGATCTTTTAGAGCACAACATTGAATTTCTTCACTAACGAGTTCTTTTGAAAAAAAAATGACGACTGACAACAATACCACTCTGACAGCTACTACTGTCGATCACAACAACAACAATAACTCTCAAACCAACTCTCCACTTCTCTCCGAAGACAAGAGTGCACCCATTGAACTCAAGACTGTATCGTCCAGCAACAAGGAAGATTTGACATTACAACAATGCGTCATTTCCGATCAAGAGTTTCCAACTTCACATTTTCAACAAAATCATACATTGACTCTGGAAAATTATGATTGGATTAAAACAGTATTGGGAGGGGATGATAAATTTGATCCCGATCATAAAATGTTTGAAACATTATTACTTGAAAAGGAAAATATCAAGTCCGAACATGCGAAAAATTCATTGAAAATCTCAGATTTTGCATTTGCATTGGTTAAGAATCGATATGATAAATATTTTAACGAAGATACCAAGTATGCTACTTGTTGCAATATCAAGGAACTTTTGAAACATTCGATCGTGTTGGTGATCATGACCGTGGTTGTGATTGTTTTCTTGTTAGTTTCAGGTATGTCATACATGTTGATGTGAGATTTATTTCTCATAATTTCAATTGAATTTAACTTTTTCTAATTTTTGATATTTTAAAATCTTGCTTCTCCTGGTTGGCATTTGACATGTTTTAAAACTCTAGCCATTCCTATTTGGGCCATTGAGGGAGGCAACGAACTCAGACAAATGCGTGAAAACAACATTACCTTAACCAATGAAAATGGAACCATCACACAATTAGAAAAATGGAATTACGGAAATTCTGTTTATTACTGTCTCGTTACTTTTACCACTATTGGTTATGGAGATTTTTATGCAACCACAACAGGCGGAAGAGTTTATATTGGATTCTTTGGTTTGGCAGGTATTGCCATCATGGGTTCGTTGTTGGTCATTATTGGAAAAACAACCACAGGAACTGTGAAGAGTATTTTAATGTCCATTTCGATTGGAATGTATAAGGCAGTGAATTTTTGTAGAGGTAGGCGGGATTTGAAACTGCGACACTCGGACCGATTGTACAAATTTCTCTCGCATCCATTGACTCAATTCTCGTATTATACATTCTTTTGGTTGTCGTATGTGTTTGTGTGTGCGGCAATTTTCTTGGCCATTGAGGGATGGAGTTATGGAGATTCTTGTTGGTACGTACTTGATGGTTCGATTAATTAATGATTTTGAAATTAATGAAATAATTGGATCATGTGAAATTTCATGAAATAATATTATTAGGTACTGTTTTGTGACTCTGGGAACCATTGGATATGGAGACTTTTATCCCAAAACAAGAGGAGGAAAAGTATTTTTCATGTTCTTTGCCATTATTGGTCTTGGATTTGAAGCCATTATGATTGGATTGATTTCTGAAGTAGTGATGGAGTGTTTGGATAAATTGAAGAAGAAGGTGAGAGAATGGTGGATCAAGCTTTTCAAAAAGAGAAAACATTAATCTTTTTGATCAGATGTGAAGGAAACGTTTACTCATCATTCATTAAAAAAAATGTTTTCACCATATGCACCTCAATACTCTTTATTGTTGCTCTCTGAGTGACACTTGTACCACACCAAAATCGCCACTGTACCTCCAATTCGAATGTTGTTCTGATATTGTTGCAAGTTTCTCAAAATCTTTAATTCCAATCAACGAGTACGATTTAATCGTTCTCAAACAACACAATCCATTCTTGTATGGAAAATATTGTAACGTTTCATTGAAATCTTGCTGAAGTGGCAATTTGGCATCATTGAGAGTTCTTCTATAATTGGCATCTCCTTTCATGAAAATAAAATCGTGTTGTTTCAATTCCAATGCCAAGTCTTCAGGAATGTGAGTGTATTGAAGAGGTGATGTGAAGAAGGGATGAGACATTAATTTCCATTGCTTTGTTTCGTTTAAATATTTGGAAAATCGATCTCCAAAAACTTGAACCAAAGAATCTTTCTCTTGCAATTGTTGAATCGTCATTCGAAAATCTCTTTCTGTCACGTCACTCACAAACACAGGTTGATATTTAGAAAAGAAGGTCACACTTTCGCAAAATCCTAATCGAATCAGAGTATCAGCCAAATACAAGTCACTCACTAATTCCAAACCACAATTATCTAAAATAATGGCAATACTTTGTTTTCCATTTGTTTTCAATCGATGTAAAACCTTCATCACTTGAGACAAGTCATTAGAAATTATATTTTCTTCCAAAACTTTTTTAAAACTCTCTTCACTGCAGTGGAGTCCAGTGCTCAAACTCAAATCAGCTTGATTTCCCCATAGACTGAGAACAATGACTTCTCGCATGAGATCCATTTGTTTTGTCAAGTCATCATGACTTGGTAATTCATTCAATAATTGTGAAAATTGATCAGCAACACTTTGTTGAGTCTCCTTGTTTTTGGCAAATACAATATCTAGAGATTTTTGCTTTTGTCTTGCAAAAGGATCCCATTGATAGAATGGTGACCCCTTTTTCCAATAATCGGTAATGTCTAAAATTAATCTGTAAAAGTAATTTTCAACAAAAAACCAGGACATCTCTGAAATTTCCATTTTTGAAAAATAATGATTTTAAATCAATGATTCAATATGGTAGTAAAATTTTAAAATGAAAACCTTGAGAATTATCATTTCAAACCAAATCCTTACCAAGCCAAGTCTTTACGGAAACTCCAAATTTCTCTTCATATTCCTTCCATTCCTTCAAATCTCTACAATTTTCTTCATCATATAAAAGCAATGATGAAGAACATGTTCCAATTCTAAATTTGGTACAAACATCTCCCTTCTCCAACTCGTGTTTCAACTCGTTCAATTTTTCAATCATTTTCAAACCTTGTTCCGATTTTAATAAATTCTCATCCTCACGATTTGAATCCATCATACTTTGTAATATTTTGGGAAGTCTTTCGACGATGGAAATGTAGGTAAATCCTCCATCGAGTCCAATCAACTCCGAGCCATCGTCGTGATGATTTTCCCATGTGGTGAGATGTTGGCGATCTTGTGGAGTGAGAGATTTAGTGTTTGAGGGAATGGAGGACATTTTTTTAAAATCAAAATAATACAAAATATTTATTTACTATGATGATCTCTTTTCTCCTTTTCAAATACGATGAGCAGAGTAGTGAAATGATGAATCGAGTCGATGATTTAATTGTTCTTTATTGAAGATAACGAGAATAATTGATGGCATTTAAGAATTTCTTGAGGTTGCATTTGTGACAGACGAGTACTAATGAGGAACACCTTGGCTCTTCCTGAAGAGTCTCCAGTTGCTAAAAGTAAGGAATTGTGTTTGTTGAATTCAAGACATGTTAGTGACTTTCCATCTTGAGTCACGTCAATATCGTTGATTGGTTCTGTAAAAGATTCCAGCAAATCATACATGTACAAGTGACCATTGGAATTGGCAACTCCAATAACCATAGGTCTGAACGGTGAAAATTTGGCTCCTGCACATCGATCCGTTGAAGGTTGTAATGTGAGTATATCTTTGTCTTTGAACGAGTTGAAAAGTCGAACCAATCCATCATTGGTGCATGACATAAATAAATCCTTATTAAAACTATTGGAATCAATAGTATGAACATATCCTGTTCCATTGTCATAGGAAAATTCAATCTTTTCCTCTTTGAAATTGACCACTCCTTTCTTTAAGGTTGCAAGTTTTCGAGTTGTAATCATTTTGGAATCGGAAATTGCAAGCTTGTAAATATTTCCAACTTCAGTTCCCAAGATGAAAGAGCTATCGAGTGTAGGTACCTTCTTTTGCGATAATGCAGAGCTGCCAAATAAATTCAAAAATGACAATGAGGATCCTCCTAATGGTGTTCCTTTGGAAGGATGAACAAGAGAAATAGCTGTGAGTGGCTGCTCCAATTTGTTATTGATGGTCCACAAAAACATCTTGCCATCACCACTCATACTAACAATCAAGAACGAGTCATCGTATCTGTTTTTCACCCATTGCAATGATGTGACAGGGTCTCTATGGGAATACGTCTCAATTGGAGTTTGACAAAGTAGAGTATCGGTATCTTGGTGAACTTTATAGACCTTAATTCCTCCATCGTAGGTTCCTGCAGCAACAATATTATGTTTGTCAGGGTGAAACGCAATTTTCATGACGAAACTTTCCTCGTTTTCAATGGTCACTTTTGGATCTAAATTAAAGTCCGTATAAATATCTGGATTAATTAAATAGAAACAAATATAGCCTGGTTCGATACACCAGCCCGTCGTATTGAGTCGACCAAAACTCACACCAAGCATGTTTCCTTTACAATTCCATGACAAGTCTGTGACTGAGAGAGGCTCTTTCAACTTTTTCAGTACTCGTTCTGGCAGCTTTAACTCGTGGGCTGCTGACATTTCCTCAATGTCCACAGACCAATTCACATCATAGTCTTTTTGGTGAGAAGATAAAATTATTGATGACCATCATGACACGTTTGAACGAACAAAAAAGTCAAATCCACCAAACTCACCCATGAATGAGACATAGTGCACAGTCTCTGCATTCTCCAATTCCTTCTCCATTTGAGGCATCACATTCTTCAGGAATGATAAAATAGAGCCTGTGCTCACTTTCTGTTCGCATTCTTGTTTTATCCGTTTAATAACCTCTTCCTCCGAATCTGTTTGAATCTAATCATCAACAATACAAAACAAAAATCTCATCTCAATACAAACGTACTTCTTGATTATTTACAATTCCTTCCTGAATGGAATACTCATTACTAACACACGATTCTCGTGATTGCATTCCCTCATCTTCATACGTAATGGTCATGGTTTGAGTCGAATGCTCTGTACTTTCATTCTGTTGTTGTCCCCATTTCGATCCAATACTCACTCCATGAATAAATCCAAAAGAATAGAACACTTCATGATTAGTGCTTGCTGATGATCCCGATGAGGTACTTCTTCCTTGATGCGTGGAAATGGGTCGTTTGTTCATTTTTTGTTGTCGAGCCAAAACGTTGTAAAATTTGGCGCCAAATTTTTAAATGCATCATTCTCTAGGCGAAGAAGGTTTAGAAAGGAATTTCTTAAAGGATTTAAGGGGTGAGAATTCTTTTTCTTGTTTTTGGAAATGGCCATGTTCTGTGTGTTTTTCCTTTTTAAAAGACTTTTTTTTGAAAAATTCATAAAGTGACAAACTCTTCTTCATGATGGGTCGAGCATTCGGTAGTAGTGTTGCTGTTGTTGTGTTCAGTACAGTTGTGGTCTTGTATAAATTGGAAGAAAACAAAGAATCATTATTCGACATTTGACAGCAAGTGTGATGATTCTGTGAAAAACCAAACAAATTAGCATTGACATGATGCGACCATCCAATACTCAACTTGAGAATCACATCCATCAAATTCAAAATATCCCTCGTCGCATCCTGTGGTGTAAATGAAATAAATCCCAAAATATTCGAATGTTTCGAACAACATTGACGAATCACTCTCTCACTCGAAATTGGTTCCAACTGTATCAATTCATAACTACTTAATTTGTATTTCAAACTTTCATATTCATCTTCTAATAATATAGAAAGCCAATCAATTCCAACGAGAATTATTTTTGAAAGAGGTGCATGTTTCTGAATGGTTGGAAGAATGATTTCACAGACGTGTGTGAAGGAAGATTCGTAACGCACATTGAAAAAGATGACCACACAATCGGAAGATTTCAAATAGACATTGGCTTCGTGAGGGAATTTCCAAACATCGGTGGACATGTCGACGAGTTTGAGTGAAGTTAACAATTTTGGTAGTTCTGAATGTTGATTTCCATTTTGGCAAGTTGAAAAGGAATGGTTCAAGCTGTGAGTGGAAGAAGATGAAGGTGAATTGGAATGATTCAATCGATTGGAATGAGTGGAAGAAGGAGAAGAAGGACTTGATAGGACATTCCCTGTGGTCGTCGTTAAATGAATTCCACATCGAATATTTTGTCCATAACTTGAAATATAATCCGTTGGAAAGGAATCTTTGGCAAACGTTTGAACAATGGCTGGATGAACAGCTCGTTCTGAACATCCAACAAATGCCATTCGAAAACTAGGCCAATGATCGAGTTCAGATTCTGAATTGAAAATTGTGGAATTTGTAGATGACTTTTGAATTTGTAATTGAATCGTATTGGATGAAGAATGATGACAAGTGGAATGTCTTTTCGATGATTTGATCCATGCAGGAGGTAGTGTTGATAATTTGGATGGATCATAAATCTCATTAAGATAAACATGTTTCAATCCAAAAGTTTCAAAACTGGATAAGAATGATTCGCATTCTGAAATTATGGTTTCCCGAATCGATTCACAAATTTCCATATTCGTAGGTTCTGAATTAGATTGATTCCAAATAGAATGAGAGTTTGGTCCTGTAGTGTTTGTTAGAGAAACATTAGAAACCAGTGTCTTGTGACAACTTTGCGATCTGACAAGTGGCACTGATGTGACTTTTCGTAACGTTAAATTTGAACTCGAATATAAACTCTCTAAATTTTGAAAATAGAGAATTCTTCGCTGTAATCGTTGTGAAAATTCCTGCAACTTTCCATAACAAAAATGTTTCGAAACATGTTTCACATTTGTTCCTCGTTTTCGAAAAGTTAAAAATTTCAAAAATGTCAATAATCCTTTCAACTGCATTTGCCATAACATGTCATTTCCATCAATAATATCAAATAAATACGAATGAAATAATTTACAAGTCCATGAACATCTCAACAGATCACTCGGAAAGAGAAATGGAAAAATCTTATCGAAAATAATTTCGAGAGGAATTTCCTTGAAAGAGACATTGACGACGGCGATATTTGAATGTTTCAAATGTTCTTCCTCTTGAATACATTTTAATGGAGATTCATCGGTCGTCGTCGTCGATAATGACTCGTCTTGATTTTTGAGAGATGTTAATTTCGGAGAAGCATGATGACAAGAGACATTCGAGAGTCGAATCGAAGGAACACTTTTAAGTCTCCGACTGATTCTACGCGTCAGTGAAAGTAATGATCTCTTCTTGTTGTTGTTATTATTTTTTACATTGGGACGAGATTCCGAATCCGTATGATTTGATGTTTCAGAAATATTCATTGAATTTCTAAAATCAAAATTTTCAAATGATTTCATTTGTACGAAATGCGGAGAATGATCATTGTGAGGATTTGTGATTTCCATGTTATGATGCATTGATGGTGGTGGTATTCAGCTGGACGGTGTCAATTTTTTTATGTGTTGGGTTCTTTGTCTGTTCGCCATGTGCTGCCAACTGTCATTGAAAGTCAAGCACTTTCCGAAAAAGTAAGATACGATATTTGTAAGTTGGCTGAGATAAGTATGAAAGAGTTTAAGGATGACTTGGGGTAGATGAATGAGATCGCTGTAGATTACTATCAAGGGATCCACTTTCCTTTCAAAATTTCATCCTTTTGAAAATGCTTCATTGTTATTCTACAACATATATGAGATGTCATCCTCTTTGTATAAAAACAAAATCTATTTGCATGGTTTTTACACGACGAGAAATCAACCTCATTGTATAACAACCAAGAAGATTCCTTCAGTAAAAGCCTCGAGAATGTGTACTTTTTTTCGTGTTACTTCAAACATGATCATCGATCTAAAAGAACAAACACGAAATTGAAGTCTCCTCGAACCACATGTAATGAAATATTTGTGAAACCACAACCATAGGCATGATAGGTTTGGCCACGAATGGATCGACATGACTTGAACATAAACCGTTGAGGCAAGTAGTGTAATTCACTAACACTGCGTTCTGCGCGTTCTTCAGAAGCGATTGGTGGCGAAAATCCACCCTTGCCTTTTTATCTTTTTGGCATTTGTCACAATTTTGTTGTCGTTTGTAACATGACTGGAATTCTTTGTTCAAATGCCTTTGGATCATGTTACACAATTGTAATTTACATTTCAAATTGCATCCAATTTAACTGTTTTATTGCTTACTCATCCAGAGTCGTCGAGCTCACAAAGCTCTCTCTTAATTGATAAAATCCATCTTGAGGATGATTCCGATGCCACTTTTTATGATTTCTTGCATGACGAGGACGATCATCATTCTTCATATTCCGATCCATTTCCATTCGGTTGGCACGTATTTCATCAAAGTATTCAAGTCGTTCCAAACTCTTGACTGAATTATATTTTGGAAAATAATAAAGATGATGAGCTCCATTTTGTTGTAAATCCTTGGAACCAATATCGGCTTTCCGATATTTCCTTCGTCCTCCTCCTTGATATTTGCAGCTATTGTTGGTTTTTGGAATTTGATGCGTGTAGAGGAATTTGATTTTACCACTCCTAGATAAACAACCATATAAACGATCAACACTGTTTGGAGGATATCCGAGTGTGTTTCTAGAGTAAAAATTCATGAGGATGATGTGCTTTTGGTTTTTTAGTGCACGAGTGCGATGGAAGTGCGTTCGAGTTCGTGTCAGGAAAGGATTGAGCAACTTGTTGTTTTCTAGTAATTCTTAGAAAATGGTTATGAATGTGTGAACATTTAACAAGTGATAAAAACAAACATACCATAAAATGCATGATTGCCTATCATTAAGCAACAGGTCAACAACCATGCAAGAATTCAAGATCATTTCCAACCGCAATGCTTACCAAGGATGATTAACACTCTTTCATAGTGAATTCTTAGAAATCAATGAATAATTTTTAAATGATTTATCATTCTAGAAAACAGCTGTTTTTGAAATAATGATACATCACCTGAGATGTGTCATATCTGGTCTGTTTCCATTGTTGTCCTGTGTTGCGTAGAACAATATTTGTCTCTTTTTCTAAAAATTCATGTGGAATGTCACGAAGCTTAATCCATTCGTGTTGTGCGTCTTTAGAATTCATAGCAATGTTTAACTGAATTTTCAACTGTATTTTCAACCTCGTAATTAAATCTTCTAAAAATTGTTCTGACATATGATTATGATCAAAATGATAGACATCTTTCAATAGTTGCAACATGGAATTCAACGGATGTTTAAAAAGTGGTGCATATTCTTCTAACAATTCATTCTTGACATGATTAAAACAAACCACAGCTCGAAATGCAAACCAAGGTCCATACTGTGGATGAAAGCTCAAATAGGACACTTCATTTTCGTAATAGGCAACTCCACTCACTTGACCTGCAACTTGAATTGCAACACGAGGATAATTTCCTTCAAATTCATGACTATAGTACACGGAATAACTTGTGGTTGGATGATGTTCCAGAAATTCCTGTTGCAGAACAGAGTTAACACTTTCTACTACATATTGATCTAAAGGATTCTTGGCAATTTTCTCCAATGTTTTTGTGTGTGAGGTAAAATGTGGCCACAAACTTTTAGTATTTCCGATCAAAACTGCTAAACAATCATCGGATGATAACTTTTCATAGGGATTTAAATGTATTGTCTCAGAATAATCTCTACTTTTTAGATAATAATCATGATATCTTGAAATTGGAAAAGGCTGAAATATTTCAAATCCCTTGTCTTTCAATGATTGTTGAATCCGTTTCAAGTTTGGTACAATGAAGGAATTTTTACAATTACTCATTTTTTTTATTTCACCTCCTGCTTTTGAATATTCTCTAGAAAGAGGTTCATGCAATGACTTTCTCGAATTCACTTAGCGAACTATTTCCTTAATTAAATATCCAATCTTCAAAATAAGAACATGCAAAACTGTGTGCAGTTTATTTACACGTTCATGATGATTGCAACTATCTCCTTGGTGACTCACCAAAGAAAAAGGAAGAAGAAGTGGCTGTGTGTGTTCTACTTCTTCCAATGGGTTTGATTGGCTTATTCGTCAATGAAGGTGGGAAGAACAATGCTGTTGGAATTTCAAATTCATCCTTCAAAATTTTACAGGCATGGATGAGGAATTTGTGTAAATTTTTACGTTCTTGTGACGTGTGTAGTGCTGCCAAACCATCCTCTGTGGTGGTTCTAACAGAATCTCTGAGTCCTGAATTGAGTTGTGGAGATGATGTATTCGAAGTGCTAGCATTCAATTGTGAATAATAAGTTTCCAAAAGCATGAGTAAATATTTGACTCCTTTTTTCAGGTCCATTTCAGGCATAAATAATATTGAACAATCTGGAATGGAGAGGAAAATGTAGTGAATAATATTGGACATGTTCGCTAAATCTGACCATGTGAAAAGAAACACTGGATACTCATGCTTTCCAATTTTTTCTGATAAAATTCGAGAGAGAGCCACATTTTGAGAATTAATAATCGATGCGAGCTCAACAAAGAGTACATGTTCATACTTTTTCTTGTAGCTACTCTTTGTGGGTTTCTTTCCGTTCTTAATAATTGGAGTGTGAAATGGAATGTCTTGTAAATCTTTGTGAATCCTTCCTGCAGTTTTAGATCTTCTCAAATTTAACTTGCATTGAATGTCCTCAAAAATCCATTCTTTACGTTCTTGTTCTACAGGTCCAATGGCTTTCAATTCATCCTCTGAATAAAATGCAACAAATTGAGTCGTTTTCTTATCGTTGGATTTCTTCTTTTTCATTCTATTGAGAATATATTGAACAGAAATGGCTCGTGTCACACACGCTTCAAATAATAACTCCCACGGTACAACATTTAGGAAGCTGTTGCATAATAAAATGATTGGCTCTTCACAATTGGGTAGCATGTCAATTTTAGGAATGGAGCCCATAGACTTCTTACGGCCAAAAGTGGTGAGAGTTCCTGTTTTCTGAGTATAGAGTTGCTTGAAAGAAAATCCTATTTCAGCCAATGTGTTTTTAAATTCTTCATATTTAGCTACATTTGGCTTGTAGGAGAAGATGGAAGGAGCATTGAGAACTTTGTGTAACGTTTTCACAACATCTTCATGTATGAACTTTTTAGGTTTTTTCTCTCGAGCATTTCGTGTAATCATGTTCAACAAGTAGTCATCAATAATGGATAAATCTCTTCCAAGATTGGACATGCTCCAATTCATAATCTTATTGTTCGTTGCCATTTCAATTTTATCCATACTGCTTGATGAGATCTTCTTTTTGGTAGGGCTTTCCACAGTTGTTGGAGTAGTGGGAGCGCTGGTACTTCCAGTAGTGCCTGTGCTATGTGTGTTGAGATCAATAATGTTTTTAATCTTGTCATCCAATAAAGCATGATCTCTTCCACCAAATGGAACCACGACTTTGGTACCTTCTTTGGGAATGTAATAAATTAATACATTATCCAGATAAAAGATGTAGACCAATTGATCTAAAATCTTCAATTTTTGCAATAATTTGTTGTTGTCTTCAATACAACTGATGTCTGGAGTAATTGATGCGTATCTTGCAATGTTTCGTTCCAAAATTAATTGAATGTTCATGGTTTTTTGGAAAGTGCCTTTCAATTTTGTGCCCTTTTGAAGATTGACAGTTCGAATTAGCATTTCCATCAATTCTACATCTCCTGGAAGCATGTCCATCATCATTAAGGTACTTGGAGTTGTGCCATCAACATTTGAATTTGCTCGGTCTCTAATCTTGGAAGGTGAGAAAATTTGTGATTTGATTTGCAAGAGAGGGCTATATGGAGAATCAGCTGCTGCCGGGCTATTCAAGTTTTGAGTCGACTTTTTTCCCTTCTTGTGATTGGAAATAGAAACTCCACTCTCCCGAATTGCGTTCATTAAATTGTATAACCGACGCATGCATTGTTGATTTCTCACTTTCAATCGATCATGAATTTCATTGTAATACTTCTTACTGTCATGCTTCATTGTCAAGATACATCCAAACACTCGCTCCAAAATCTTTTGTTTCAATTGTATCATGTTAGGTTTGAGTTCGGATGGCCGTTCAGGACGAGCACCATGACCACTAAATGGAACCTCTAAAAATTGATGACTAACCGTGAAATTGGATCCAGAATTACTTCCAATAGATCCATCACTGAGATTTGACTTTTCTGTGGTGATACTTGAAGAGGAAGAAATTGAAGAAGACTTTTTCAGAGAACCCTTCTTGAGTGTCGTAAGTGAGGCAGCTGATAATGAGGACGGGATGATGGATGAAGGTATATAACTTGTTGAATTGGATCCTCCTCGGCGTTGTAAAATTTCGAAAATCTTGTTCTTGCTCAATAGTTGTTTGTCACCATCCATCTGTTGACGACTGTTTCCAATGAGCTTGTCCAAATTCGAAAGGAAATAGTTGTTGTAATATTCGGCTGTCAATGGATGTTGATACTCAGTGTCCACATATTCACTTTCAGCATCAAGTGTTGGTAATCGTTTAGCCGCTTGATCATAAAGCACATCGATAACATAATATACGTCAAATATTCCCAAATGCTTGTTGACAAAGTCTGGCTCAAAACATAACAGTACTCGAACCATTCGTTTCAGTATGGCCATGATCTTTTCAAGGACACCAAGAGGTGTACCAGTGGACAATATCACATGCGCTTCACTGTCAACAAAAAGCGTGAACAGCACGTCACGACATTCACACCAAAAGCTTTTCGAGCTTGAAATCTTTCCTTGTAAATATGTGCACTCAGCTGCAGTTATATACGAATTCATGCAAAGAAAAATATCACTGGCAGCAACAGCTGTATCCAAAGCAGCCTCAATGTATGAAGAATAAACCATGTTCAAATCAAGATAATCCAACGGAGCAACTGCTTTAAATTGTTGGTTGTTATCTTTTGCATGCCGATCTTGTTCGGTTTGTTCTTTCAATCTCACATACGGCTCAGGATCTTTGGATAAGAGTGCAATTGGCACAAATAAATAATCTAATAGAGTTTCTGCGATCAATAAATTAACCTTAGCTTCTCCAATACGATTGGAGCAGGCTTCATAGTATCCTCTCGACTTGATAAAACAGTCTACACAATCCTGAAGAAATTCAGCCATGCAATAGTATGTCGGTCTCTTACTGAAAACGTATGAACAATCGTGTTCATTAACACCATCATAGAGATTATTTCTAAATGTTGGAGTTTGTTCAATATGTGAAACAAGTTGATGAAGCTCTTCTTCGCTTGTTTCATTAATAGAGCAAGGGAACGATAAACGAGTGCTGTACTGACAAATAGCTTTCAATATCTTTCCTTTCAACTTGAATAAATTGGCAAGAACTGCAAAGGTTCCTGAACACCGGTAGATGGCAATGTTGACACACTCGAGTGCGTTTCCAAACATGTTTCTCTTGAAATAGTATTTTGTTACAGTTTCCAAAATTCTCATTTCTTGCTGTTGATTCAATTGAATGTAAAAATTCACAAGAACATTCGCAATTTCAGTAAGTGAATCCTCGCACTCTGCAAACCATCTCTTTTTGAGATAAGCTCGTGATAATATTTCGTATACAATGTGTCTCTTGTTGGCTTGTTCCTGAGCGACACTGTACAGCACTGCGATACACTTTTCAAATTTTCCTCCTTGCAACAATAGTGTACCTAGTTCAATTTCTAAATCGGTCTTGTAATCTACAAGAGTTCCATACTTTCTTGCGAAATCAATCGATTCAAGCTTGATACGTTCCGCTTGAAGTATTTCACCTTTTTCCATGTACAAATTTCCTAACTTGGTCGACAATCTGGCAATTTGAGGAATCTTTTTCTCCTCTTTGGCTCTTTCGTAAAGTATGTGATAGTATTGAACAGAGTGTTTGTAATCATCGTGTTTTGTTGTTACTGATGTCAAATCATCGATAAATTGATAATCATGCCTTCCTCTGAGTAATTTACAATTGTGCACATAGATCTCATAACACAACGAGGAATATTCATACTTGTCATTTGCATAGAGTACTTCAGAGAATCGTTTCAGAGCTTTTAGACCATTGTTTGTCAAAAAGTAAGAATATCCAAAGGATTGAACGCTTTGAGAAAGTCTATAGTACAAATAAATGCATTCAAACAGCATGCATTCAGCCAGCTGTCGATCATCTTTCGACTTGGGTTGTCGTAACCAATAACTGCCAACCGTGTAGGCAACTTCTGCTTTCACATGACAGAGTGGAAGTTTTGGATAATATTTACGCAATAACAAGGCAAATCGTTCCTTGTCTGACAATAGCTTATGTTTAGGAAGTTCAGGCATATACTTCCATTCGTCTTCAACTCCTCTCCTTAGAGAGGTAACCCAAAAATTGTGATATCGATGAAAAAGGATGATAACCTTACATGCTACGGCAACAATGCTCGGAGCATAATGTTTTTCAATACTGAAAGATGGATTATTTCTTGCAGATGTTCTATGACCTTCCTTAGTATTGGGATTGGGTTGTGGACTTTCTGATGCTTGTTGATTGGTCGTAGGCAGTGCTTCTGATGATTCAATACTAATAAAAATGTTAATCAGTTCATCATATACTTTTCTAATTTCCTCCTTCATGGGCATCATGCAATCATAACGAAATAGTCGCATGTGATATCGTATGGTTGCTTGTATCTTTGCAAGTTGAATGTAGACCCACTGTGATGGAAACCATTCTTTCAAAACATTCACAATAAAAGATATTTCTTCTTGCTCTGGATGGAAGAGGCGACCAGCAATTGAGAAAATTTCCATGCTCACTGTGAAAAGGAATGCTTTTTTGTCGATATTCTTGTCAGAGACATCACTGAGTCTTGAAAGAATTTCCTGACCTGAAATTGGACCATTCTCTGAGATGGACATGGCTGATGATGAAGCTCGTGTATTGGGTTTGTACTGTCGAAGCAGAGTAAAATAATTGATGAGCATTTGAGCACACTTTTGTTGGAGAAGGAGAGCTTGTTGTGAAATTTCTGTCTGTTGTTGTGAAATCATTAACTCCATAGAGCTCACATTGTAAAGCCTAGTGCACAGTTCATAATACAATTTGACCCATTTCGATGTAAAAACGTCAATTTCCATTATTCTGTCGTAAAGATCACTCAGCTGATCTCCGTTCATTTGTAATCGATCGTTCAGAGAATAACCAAATATCGTTACGGGATTGCATTGACTGTAGGGATTTGTCGTTGTTGATGTGGCTGAGAGTTGTTGAATCCACATTTTGAACTCTTCTCTGTTACTGAAAGTATTACTGGCTGCAGGTGAGAGTGGTGAGGCCATCAACGGCGTCACTAGTGAGTCTGTTAAAATGCATTGCGGTATCTTGGGCTCGTCTTCTTTGTAAGATCGAGATTTGAAAAGTCTGTATTTGGCAGGGAAAATGTCTGCCACGATAGGATCCTCTTCTGCCTCTTCTTCTTCAGTATTGTCACCACCAAGAATTAATTTAGCCAAATCTGATAGGCCACCGGTAGCTGGAACAAAATCTTCCCAATCGTCATCATCACTGTCATCATTGTACTTGTGTTTGGATGTGTGTTTGGATCCACCTATCGATGACTTTCTCTGTTTTTCAAATCGTTCTTCTGCAATTTTGATTTCTTCAGCTAACTTGGCAATCTTTTTATCAATTTCAAGATTGGCCTCGAAATAAATCATATCACTGCTATTGGTTCGTGTGTGCTTACTGGTTCCTCCATTTTGTGGACTTTTTGTTGGAGAGGTATTCTCAGCAACGGATAATAGTTTTTTAGAGAGTTGGTTTTCACCCAGCATCATGGTGCAAACTGCTGAATAATAGAGTAAATTTCTGAAAACTTCTAAATTCGAAACTGTAATTTTTTGTGTGGAGGTTGTCATTTTGACATTTCTCAAACCATGTAAAAGATATTCGCTCAATATTGTTTCGATTTTGCTCTCCTCGTTGATGGTTAATTTTTGATTCAATGGAAGTGATTGGAAACTTTTTAAATGTTGGGAAATAACATCTTCAGAGCTATACAGCGAAATTTCTGATAATAATAATCGAGCCGATTTAAACACAAAGTTTGTGCATTGGTCTCTATGAGAAAGTGATGGAGAAATTACATTCAGTAAATGATCTGCTCTCTCCTTGGATGATTCCAAATATTCTGATGCGTCGTCCAATTTGTTTTTCTGCTTCAACACAATTGACAATAAAAACAAACATTTTGCATGCAACAACTCCACTTTGGGATCAAAAATTCCATCCTCTCCTTTTTGTTGTGCAAGTTTTTCCACAATTTCTAATTGCAAGTAAGCTTCCGAATATTGACCATGCTCTCTGAATACTTGAGCCAAGTCAATTCTTCTTCTCATTTCAATATAATTCTGATCGGAATCTTGTTGAACTTCTTCAATCTGCTTCTGTAATGTAATATACTCTCGGAATAGAGTCCACTTGTCATCAAACTCTTCGTTTGATGTCTCTTTTTTGTCCAAATTCTGGGATGAGGATTTTTGAGAAAGTTGTTGAAAAATTCGTGAAGATGGAGCCATTGTAGAGGTTGTAAATTGATTATTTCCGGTGTTTGATGTTCTTTGTTGTTGCTGTCTATTCTTGTTTGCAGATGATGTAAATTTACTGAGAAGATTCTCATCAATGATCGTACTGTGACTACTATTGTGTGTGCTCGTGTTGCCATCTAAAAAACTGGACGGAAGGGTTGCTGTTTGGTTAGAGTAGAGTCGTTGTTTTCTGAGTTGTTCTTTAAAGTAGGAAACTTTATCTCGATAGTAGGAAGCAGTGATGGGTATAACTGGAATTACTTGATCCCTGCTCTTTTCAACTGTTTTTAAATTAAATAATCATAGTTGTAATATGGCCATCATGATGACATTAAATATTCGATCGGATGATGTGAAATGCAAAAATTGAAAAATAATGAATAGGAATAAACGGTAAAACACTCGTAATTGATGCAGTCACACGTACTTTCTATCAAAAAGTTCTCAACTTCGGAAACAATCTCTGAACGAGTGCTCCTGAGTCGTCCAACACCGGCTGGCATTTTTTGCTGTGGATTGATGATTTTGACGTCTGACGGTAAAATATCCAACAGTCATTTTTCCACCTGTTTATGAGCTGACGGGATTATGACGCCAATGCAGATTAAGGCCAGGACATCTTTGCCAATATATCTATTTCTTAATATCTTGATGATGGAGATAATTGTACAGCCGTCAAGTCCCGTCAAAATAATGTCAAATCTTTCATAAAAAACATCCAGTACGCATCATGAAAAAGACACTTACTCATTCAAAGTCAGACTCTCATCCTACAAAGAAGTCGTTACACTCTCATGATGATCATCAACATTCAATTGACAAACGTTCGAACTCAGATCTCTCAAACACCTTGTATTCAGTTGTATCCACAAAGGATCAACCTACCCCATTTCAAAAACTCTGTCATCCTCTTTTAAAAAAAGAAAGCAGCTCTCTACCAGATCCTTGCTCCCTTTCAACCACAGCAACATCACCCTCTCCATTAAAATCCATTTTAAAAACGAGTCATCATTCTTCCAGACATCGAGCCAAAACCCACCCTCCTCTCAAAATCAAATTGGACTCCCTATCCCATTCAAATTTTTCAAATGTTACTGAAGAATATACCTCCCATTCGGATTCTATCGAAACAACAAGACCCGATCCAATTGGTAGTAGTAGCCTTCTCAATCCAGGAGAAAACCCTTCTCTACAAACCAACAATGAGCATTTTTTTAAGATCGGAATTGAGGCTCAAGAAATAACACTGAACGACCTTATGAAAGCCTCAATCAAGGAAGTAGCTGAAGAACCTCATACTCACTCAGAGTTACATCCATTTCATCCAAGCTCTCTCCAACAAGATGGATATTATTCATCTTTTTCTTCTTCTTCATTTGGTAATTCTCAGGAAGAATCCGATTTATTAAAAATGAGTTCTCATCCTCATCAACATTCGCATCCTCAAGAGCACCGAACAACGATGCATCACAACACGCATACATCGGGCAGCAGCGGAATAAGAAATAATTCGCCTCCTCATCATGGAGTCTCCTCATCATCATCGGAATCACTTGGATCGGTTTCTTTGATTAATGGAGGAGCACCCGGATTATCGTCCAATGTAAATTTATTTAAACGGGATTCGGGAAGAGCTATTAGACATTTTCAAAATCAAACAACGAATCAGTTTATACAACGAACGATTGCTGCTCATTTGGAACAAATTCAATCGAATAAATCCAACGTTCCATCGGATAGGGCTTTTTTGGAGGGCATGGAGTTGGGAATGCAATTGAATGGATTTTTAAATAAGCTTACTCGTGATAGCAAAGATTATGTTAAGGATTTACTGGATGGTGTTGCAAATGAAGTCACCCAAAGAAGTTGTTACTCTGGATGTAATTATTGTTCGAATAATAGTAACATGAACACATCCTACCTCCCATGTGGAGACGTGTATGGAATTGAAAGCTCGGTTCGCAACATGCTACAAAATGCTCAAACAGCTGCATTTTCGACCAACTTTGTTAGAGGCTGTATGCAGCAAGCAATCTCAAAAACAGTGCCCAACCAAAACTTGAATGACTCAGCACAACAAAATTTGTAAATCTTTGTCACTTTCTCTGTACAGAACATGAAATAGGTCAATTTCAACAAACACACTGTAATCATGCATTATCGCAATAATAAAAACATGTTATTCTTTTAATCTAGCATACAGAGCATGCAATAACTTAGATTTACGTAACTGAGGTTCTTGTTCGAGGAATAATAGAACATCTTGAGGAATAATTACAATTGATCTCTTTCCGAGTACAGAATCAGAATCTTCAGCTTGATCATTTTCCTTATTTCCGCTTCCTCTTGCCGAGGACATGCTGGTTGTAGAGGATGACTTTCGCATGGAGGATGAAGCGCTTGAGGATTTTGAACTTGACGAACGTTTGCCGAGAGCAACACCAATCGCTTCGTTCATGTCAATATTTCTTTGCTCGTCATCTTCTTTCGAGGTTCGTTTTTTCTTTCCTTCAGAAGAGCTTGCTTGCTTTTTCTTTTCTTCCTCTCTTCTCAATTCCTCTTCTTGTAAAATTTTCTTTTTAATTTTCAGCTCTTTTTGAACGAGCATTGCGTTACTGGAAGAGGTGAATTCAACAAATGGTACATTTTCACTAGCATTAATAGGTGTATCCATTCTAAGTTTCGAATTTGCAATTAATTCTTCCAAAATAGTACGCATTCTGTCTTGTACAGCTAAAGAGACAAAATCTATAATATTATCGCTTACTGTTCCTTTAAGTCCTTGTGACTTCACAATTCGATTGAGTTTGTTTTTGAGAGATACGCTGTTACAAAAAGAAGGCTCAGGTTGATATCTACTGGTATATACAGAATGAACCTCTTCATCGTTTGTAAAGGTGTGTACAAATGGCGTCTCTTCGATTTGCATTTCTTCGTCATGCTTTGGAGCAGATTTCTTTTTTTTGGGAGGAGGTTGCATGGATGAGTCCATTGTTGAAGGTTGGGCAGAGGAAATAAAACCGGGAGTTCCATTGGGTAAATTAGATTGAGTTGGTAATTGTTGTAAATTTGGTTGTTGATTCATCATCATTGAAAGGTTGGTTTGATTTGATAATTGTTGTGACATTGGTTCATTCTCAGTTTTAACTACTGTGTGCTGTTTTCCACCCATTTGCATGGATTTAAGTCTCTATGTAAAAATAATAATTATTGAAGAAACGCCACAAAGTGTCATCATCTTTTCATGAATAGAAAGACCACTTACAGCTAAAATTTCCAAAACTGCTGGATTTCGTTTGACATATTCTTTCCGTTCCTCAGTTGTCATTTCTTTGATTTGTTTCACTAGTTGTCTTTCTTCATCGGTAAATGAAGGCATTTGTTGTTGAGCATTCGGAGGTGTTGCTTGAATATTTGCTGATGTAGGAGGTAGAGGTTGTTGTGATGGTATTGCTTGAAGAGGCTGTTGCATCATGCTCTGTAATCGTTGTGGGGGTGGTTGTTGTTGATTCAATAATGGATTGCCCATCATCAATCCAAGCATTGATTCATTAGGCGTTGTACCTGCTCCAAATGCGGGAATTCCCGTGGGCAATTGTTGTGGTATTGGCTGTTGTGCTGGTATTGCTTGGAGAGGCTGTTGTAAAACAGGTTGTTGTTGCTGTTGTTGTTGCTGTGGTTGTAATGAATATCTTGCCTTGAGTTCTTTCACGTACAAAGAAAGTTTGGTGGCATCAAAAGCTCCTCTTTGAAATTGATCAACAATCCTATCCGCAAGTTTTTTGCCATCATCTGTAAGACTCATTTTTAATGCTTCCACCTTTTCTCTCAATTTTTGAATTTTTTCCAGAGTCATTGTTGTTGCCAATGTTTGTTGTAGACCAGGCTGTTGTCCAGTGGCCGATGATGAAGCCGATCCATCCGATGACGATGGTGGCCGAAACGAGGACGAAGATGGATTGTTGGGTGGGTTCATTTTTTTTGAATTCTAGAAATAAAATAAAACTTTCGTTCTGGGCAGAAGTTACACCTCACAAAAATTATTATAGTTTATCAGAGTAAGTGTCCAGAGCCAAACTACTCGTAATTCCTTTCATTTGACGCATTCTTGAAAGAACTTGATTTCCTGGTGTGCCTTCGAGTGTCGCATCTCCTTCCACCATTTCAAATGAATGCACATACGTGAAATGTTGTATTGTTTCAAACAAATCATAATGGCTTTCAATCATTTCACAATATTGATCGACCAACATGATGAATGAGATGTGAAATAATTCTTGCTTTTGAATTGGAGAGATTTGTTTTGGAGACGAACCATGGTTGTCGCTCATTTCACACTTCTTCAAAGACATCCAACCATTCATTTCTGTCATGGTTGTAACATTCGTTTCATGTCGAATCGAAAGGAGATTACAAATTTTCAAAATCTCTTCGTGTTTTCCAATGACATGAACTTTCAATTGAGCAATGATAATTCTTGGTTGGGATGCCAATTGACATGCCTTAAACAATCTTCTTGCTGCCACAATCACCTGTTATATCATTCAACCAATGATCATTCCATTCTACAACAACAACAACAATAACAACAATATTCATCACTTACCTGTCCAGCTCCTCGATGAATTGCATCAGATACCAACGTGGCATCTTCCAAATAAAATTTCATATTCACAACAGGCGAATCACACAACACTCCTTGTTGCATGGCCAATGAGAAGCCTCGAAATAGGGGATCCAGAATTTCATTCACATATTGAACGTGTTTCGTACCTTCAATCAATACATTTCCATGACATTTGAAAAGTTTCTTCTTGGCATGATAGACTCCTTCGGGACAATCTTGCAAGCTTAATTGTAAATGATCCATCTCTGAGAGAGGTTCTGCTCTTACGAATAATCTCACATGTTTGTTTGGACTTTTTATCAATAAAGTTGGAGATTTTGCGGCACATGTTTCACGAGTGGCAATTGAGGTTGAACTTTTAAATAATGTTGAGTGCTGAGTCGATGGCATTGTTGTAGCGACGGATGAATCAGACGATGCATGATTTAGTTGTGCATTTGAAAGGGGTCTCCATGAAATGTTCAATTCTTGAAATAATTGTTGTAATTTCTTTTCCAATTGATAGAGTAAATACAAATTGGTACTTTGAATGGACAAGGTACCTTCTTCATATTCGTTAACATGCATTCGAAATGAAACCGTATTCATTTCTCGAATCATTTCAGTCATGATATACTCAGAGAGTTCTTGGGGATATTGCAGTAAAAGTGGACATTCAAATGCAAAATCAATGCCATCATGAACAGAGATTGATTTTGGAATGGATGGTGTTTTGGAATTTTCAAGAGTTGAAGGAGTGTGTTGGATCAAGGTACCGTTCAATGAAGAGTTGGTTGTGAATATGAGTGCATGATTCAATATATAATTATCCAATCCTGCCACAAGACAAATACTTCCATGTGAAATAAATTCTTTCTCTTCTTGATGATTCAAATAATGATCGTAATAGAAACGCGATGAGTTATTGTCTTCCACAGAGATCTTGGATGGCATGGAATTCACTTTTCGAATGGCAACGTTTTGAATACCTTTTGAAATCTTTTCAGTCTGACCTTTTGAATTGATCATCAAGATGGTCACTAGGATGCCTGGACGAGCTTTTCCACATAACACTTTACACAGGGATAAATATCTTCGAGGTGTTTCTGGATGTGGAATCATTGAAAATGCGTAAAGAATTAATTCATTATCATCTTGTTTGTTTTTCTCAACGTTGTTTTGAACCATTTTCTGCATGATTGAGAGAGATTCATTGGGCAGTTCAAAGTAATTCAATATTGAACTGTTGTTTCCATTTTGAGTGTTACAGGACTCGGGAAGAATTTCAGTAATTTTCTTGAGAAGAGTTTCACGGAAAGGCCCTTTTCGTAATAATCCATCGGTGAATCGTTCTGATTGTGGGTGATCTTGTGAAAGTTCGATTTTTTCATAAATTTGAGATAATTTTTTAAAACGTGACGCAGGCATTCCTCCAACATTCAAAGAAACACTTCCTAAAATGATATGATCCAATGATACTCCACACTTGTCAGATAAACGTTGTAAATTTAAATAAAATTCATCGACGTGATTGGGATGTAATATTGTGGAATAATTTTCAAATCCGTTCAAATAAATCATGAATTGAAGAGAATGGTGTTGTACAATTTTTAAAATTTGTTCCAATACAAAGGTGTAAAATGAATTTGGTTGTTGGAGTACAACGGCATGTAAATGAATGTTCATGTCAAGCAGTAGAATCAATCCATCTACAACTTGAAAAAGTGGCTCCTTAAATAAATATTCGAGACAGTTGTAGTGATGAAGTTCGGCTTGGATCCAATTCAATTCATAATTTTGGTAATCACAACACAAATATCCAACATTCGATTTGAGAACAGTTCCCTCTTCGGAAAGGGAAAACAACTTGGAAATAAACACTCGATCGAGAGCAGATTCGGAGAAGGGCAAAGCAATTGTTGTGAAATTTATTGCCTTTCTTCGAGATGACATTTTTTGCTAGTTTTATCATCATAAATGAATAACAAATTCGATTTCGCCTGAAATGTAAAGAGAAATGTAAGAGAATGTTTTGTTTAATGACAGTTGTGACACCTAGGTGATTACAGCTTTTGTACAAAACGGCAATCGTTGGGAGAATAATTTAGAGAGATGGTAGAGGACAAAGTGAGTGGAAGGATCGTTTTCAAGAGCAATTTACTTCTTGGTCTTCTTCTTCTTGCTCTCTCCTTCCTCTTCCTTCTTTTCTTCTTCCTTACCTTCTTCTGTCTCACCCTTTCGCTTTTGTCCCTTCTTACCACCTCTCTTCTTCTTGAGACGTTCTCCTGGCTTGAGTGGACGAGTGGACTCCAAATCACCTTCCAAGAACTTGAGAATTCTCTTGCAAACAATCTTCTTGCTTCCAGTCTTCTTCAAACCGTTTTGCTTGCAATAGTCTTGGAGTTCTTCAGCATAGTATTGGTACAATTCTTCAAAGGTGATTCCCTTCTTGATTTGAGAAATATCATTCTTCTCTCTTTCCTTGGTTTCCTTTTCAGTGGTTTCCAAGTAGTGTGGATAGGCTTGACCAATGATACGACTGATGCAGGCCTTCTTGCTACCAGACTTGGCAACCTTCAATGCTTCACAAACGTCATTGATGTATTCCTTGCTCATGGTGTTGAAACCAATCTTCAAACCAGTGATCAAGATTTCTTCTTGAACAGCTTCAGCCTTTTCCTCCTTGGATGAATCCTCTTCCATGCCCAACGCAGCCAAGAACTTGGTCAACAATTCAATAGAGCACGAGTTGAAGAATTCTTCCTTGTTCTTGGCCTTTTGGAACAAGGTCTTGAAGGATTTGGTCATTTTGGACTTGGACTCGGTGTTCACCTTTTCATCACCAGACAATTCTTCCAAAGCGAGCTTCAAAGCATCCTTCTCCAATTCCTTGATGAAGGCAGATTCACCCTTCTTTTGAGCGTGTTCGAGGATGGCTTCCACAGCATCAGTCTTCTTGGCAGTCTTCTTAGCCTTGATGTCGTTACCTTGAATGTATTCCTTGAGGAGATTGAGAGGGAGTTGTTCAAGGACACTTTCAATACTTGGTGGATTTTCGTCAGAGGAGGACATTTGTTGATACGATTAAATATTACGCGATGTGAACGATGTAGTTTTTTTTGTGAATTTCTGGCCGCAATTCTGCACGTGTATTTCAACACACAAGATCGGCTCGCTGATGATTTTTCAAGGGTGTGCGTAACGGTCGGAACTTGGTTTGTGTAACGGTCTCGAAAATCCACTCTCGAGAGGAAAAAGCCAAGAAGACCAATCGAAACAAAGAGCAGAGCGAGTGCGCCAAAAATTTTTTTGTAATCACCACCAAGTCAACCATGCGGAAGCAAGCGGATTGGTAGAAATATTTTGGGGTTTACAACACGAGGTATATATTTAAGTGATAGGATCATCATGGTAACAATTGAAGGTATTAATCAGGAAGATGGAGAGACAATGTATTTGTGTTCGTGGTTCCATATCTTGATGATTTGAGTTGATGGAAATTTTCAACAAAGTTTGATGAAACAAAATTTCATCGTGCAGGGATTCGGCTTCATTCAAAGCGTACCATTCATCACAAACAAAGAGCAATGGATTTTATCGATCAGCACCACTCATCCGAAGTTGTTTTTGATTGATCGATCGCGAATTGCATTGTATTCATTGAGTAGATGGCTATGTTTCACTGAGAGTGCTATGATGATCAAAATCGCTGCTAGTCATCAAGCGAAAATTGTGTGATGAAAAAATATTTTGATTCCAAAGCAACGCAAATGATTTCTCTTCCTTTTGGAGATGATGCATTTACGCGATGACTTGACTGCAATGAACAAAGGTATACATGTGGTCACACAACGCTAACATGCAAACACATTCAAGTCTTTGCAGTTCATGGTTGCTTTGGATGTACTTTCTGCTTTTAAGCTGCCTTGAATGTGGTTGTACTCTGCGGAGACGAACCTTCGTGAACAAACACCCACGGTCCCTGTTCCACCAGATCTACAGTAGTTGCTTGTCGATTCCTGTCAAGAAAATTGCATAACGGTCAAAAACTGTAAAAAAAATTTAGAATGGAGAAACGGTTTGACGAGAAATTGTAGGTAGGGCAGTGTGGTAGTTGGAAGCCTTATTACAAAATTTATGTATTAATGATGATTCATTTGATGAAATCATTCAACAAATTCGCATTTATTTGTGGTACATGTATTTACGGTAATCGCTTTCATCAATATATGACAACTTGATGATGATCATCGCTCAAAAACATTCGTATCCCTAAAATGATTCGCTCTCCTTTTTCTATGATGATGATTATTTTCGGATTGAACGGGCTCATCCTTATCGATGAATCATACGATTTATTGATGTTTACCCTTTGATTAGGGAGCAAGCTGAAAAGCGCTTCATTTCCGTCTTTAAAGAACATAGACAGGATTATAACAAACTTGACATCAAAGTATTTATTGACTCATATAATGAAAAGAGTCTTTCTCTTAATGCCTTGTTGGAGGTGGATAAATCACTCATGAATGATCCGCACTTTCTCGAGATGATTAAGGACGTAAACAGATTTTGTTCAGACGAGTATTGTAAGGTATGTTGAGTCTTGTTACGCTGTCTCGATCGAACAAACCAATAATTACTTGGTGATATGCATATTCCATTCATTGAATATCACGACCATTGTCACTTGTCGTTTTTTATACTGTCGTCTGTTCTTTTTCAAAAGAGAGTAGCACCGATTGACAAAATTTATGTATTTGTAGCAGGCACATTGAAGGCCCTTCTTCGTGACTGTATATCCCTCTACAGTGACGTCTATATACGAAAGGAAATGATCGAGAAGGCATATTCATGGTATAGAGATAAGCGTAGGAAGCTTCTCGAATTTCGTCTTGCAGTTCAACAACAAGATATGATCAAACAACAACGTAACTCCAAGTCATCTCAAAAGCATTCGGCTCGGGGTGGTGCACCTCCAGTCTCTTCTCTTCCCCTTCATAATCTTCAAAACGCTTCTCAACAAGCAGCCGAACCTTCTGCTACCACTGCCACAGCAACTTCTCAAAGAAACTCAACAGTTCCTACTGATCAGCCTCTTCCTTCTTCTCAAGCATCGTCCAGATACTCTTCTTCGCATCACTTATTTATTCCAAGTTATGAGGAAAATGGAACGAATGAGCAACAAGAAAATTTACTGAAATATGTGGACAAGTCCACAAAGCGAGATAAGCAAAATGCAGGCCACCCTCTTGATCCAAGAGTAATTTCGTTTGACGTTCTTTCGAAACCGTCCAATGATCCTAAAGTGCCATTCTATGCCAGCGAAGAGAAGAAACGAAAAGCAGTCATTAATCACAAACTGAAGCAATATTGCAAGAGAAATCTGGCAAAATCGTACGACGAGAGAATGAGTGGAACCTATTTGACCTCTGTTAACACAAATCAGTCAGTCACGGACGAAAAAACACAATCTGCTCGAGCTGGTGAAAGCTCAAAATCAACATTGATTGATACCCATCGTTCTCAAGTCTCTTCAAAAGTATTACTTGGAGCCTCCCTTAATCTAGCTTCGAGTCAGCTTCAAAACACAAAAGACGTATTTTCCATGTATGCAGATGAAATTAAGGGAACTGGAAGTGTGGAACACATCATGCAAAATTGGGCCATGTATCGAGCTAAGGAGGCCGAAGAACAAATTGAAGAGTTGGAGTTTAGAGATGCTGTTCATTCATGGAGAATTAACAGAGCAAGAATTGAGGAAGAAATACAGCGAAGATTAGAAAGTCAATGGTATAGCTCTCAGACCGGTTCAGTCGTTCATAAAATTCGAGACTACAAATTACCCACACTCATAAAACGAGACAACCTTCTCGAGGACAGTAGTGACGAGGAAGATGAACGACGCCCCAGAAGTGCTGCCAGTGAGGCCTCGAGGAAAAGTGTCATGTCTAGGGCATCGAGAGCGAGCAGGATTGAAGATGATGAAACAGAATCTATTGCAGACTCAGAATTGATGAACCGAGAAGAGTCTTCCACCTTTCTTTCTCCGTACAGCACAAATCCATGCTTCCTCAAACAAAGTGACATCTCTCCAGATGTTTCAGAAGCTCCTTCCCAACAACAGCATGCTTCGACTACCACCACTCAACCAATTCCACCACTTCCACCAAAAGGGTTCACAACACCAAAGACTGTGGACCTTACTTCTTCATCTCCAATGACTCCTTACTTTGTGAACGAGTTTGTACAAATACCTCGCTCTCGGCCAGCAACTTCAAGCATTTCTTCGGCAAGAAATATTGGACCGATCAGTAGTGCCACCACATTAGCTAGGCCAGCAACAAGTGGTCATGCAACAAGAGGTCACAATTCACTCTGTGACTCCACATCTCAGCACAAAGTAATTTCCCATAACGTATTTGAGCTTTACGCCAAGCAACAACAAGAAAAGAACAATCAAAAGAAAAAACGAGCTCCATCCGAAGGAAAGAAGCAAGCACCACCTGCCAAGTCAGGAAAGACTACTGCAGATACTAAGAAAAAACCAGACGCGTCGATTCAAGCTTCTTCTCCCGATCAAACCTCCAAGCAAGAACAAGTCGAGGAACCATTAGGAGGTCCACCTACATTGCAAAAAAACATTGCCATGGACCAATGTGAAAAGATTAAGATTTTGCTTTCAAAAGAAGGAGTATTTATTCCATCCTCAACCTTACGAAGGGCAATTATCATACCTGAGGATAGACCTTTGGAGGAATGTTTGAAAGCTCTTCCAAAATCTTCATCGACGGTTGTTTATGAAGATGTTGTTGAACCTGTTAAAAAGAAGAAGGAATCCAAAAAGAAGAAGAAGGGAAGAAGAGTCTCCAGTGCCAAAGGTTCAGCAAGGAATTGAGTAGCAGAAACGATGTGTGTTGTTGCCATGAGAATATTCTCATCTAGGAATAACTAGGCTTATAAATTATTAATTTTGTGAAGCATGTTCTGTTTGAAGCCAGCATTGGAAAAGATTGTTGAAATCGGAAGCTCTTCTCCAACGTATCAGAAAATATCACATCATCCATCACGAAATATTTGACGTTCTAATAGGCTCTTCCCAAAACGATTCACGTTAAAAAACGAAAACAATCGAGTTGTTGCAACGTCTTGATGCCCTCACTTGATTCCTCCTCAACAACAACAACGGAGAGAGAAGATTCGAACAAGCAGCAGCAACATCAAGAAGATGAACACGAATTGGTTGCATGGACCATTGCTTCCATGAATTCATCAAGCAGTAAAGAAGGAGAGGGATTATTCATTGTAAAGAAGCAAGAACAAGACTCACTCGGGACCCATGCTCTTCATCAAGAAACAACCATTCCACACAACAATACTCAACATGGTACAATAGAAAATCAAGCCCCAACATCCCTCGTTCTAAATTCTTCACGTGATCATCCTCCTAACAAGGAATCAAGCCAAATTTTAAGTGCACTCACCCTGAAAAATTCGAGCCGAAAGCACGTGATGAGTAGTAGTAGCAGCGAAAGTGAGAGTGCACTGCGGAACCAATCCAGCAGCAACAATAGTGGTTCTTTGAGTGAAAGAACCGATTCCAAGAAGGATGCTGCTGTCGGTACTCTATGGAACAGCCCGCCGGCGAGTAGTAGTATCCTATCGGCACCTCCATTTCATCCTTCCCATTATCATCATCATCATTACGATCCTCGTTATTATCATTATTATTATCAGCCCTATTACTATCCTCCTCCGGCACAACTCTTTGATTCTCCTTATCAACACGATCAACCATCGAATCGTATTGAAGAAACTGCAAAACGAAAAGCAAATTCGGAATGTACGCAAGATGATGACAGTTACGGAGACAAGAAATCCAAAAAGACTAAACATGAAGAATTCGAACACAAAGATCCAAAGCATCGTGTCATTAACAATCATGATTCTCCTCCGATCCGAAGCGATTCATTGGATATATCGAGTAGTACTGCTGAAGAAAAACCAAAAGAACAGTATCCGAATGATGCAGGCGTGCACGACTCTCAACCACCACCTCTTCCTTATTATAACGCATCAAGCATGTATCCGCCACCACCTCCTTTTCCTCCTCCACATTATCACAGTGGTCCAATTTATTACTATCATCACCCTCAACACGCTCCACCACCTTATCCTTATTACGGTTACTACTATCCACCTCCAACAGGAACTGCAATGTCTCACTATTATCCTTCCTATCCACCCCCACCATATTATTCCCATGTTCCACAACCATTTCCTCCTTCGCATGCATCACAGCAGAAACCATCATCCTCTTCCTCTTCCCAAGAAGAGAATCAAGCCACACCTACTACTCCACCACCTCCTCATGCACAACATCCTCAATATTATACAAACTATCCTCCACCTCCTTATTATCCATATCCACCTTCTCATCATTTACCACCATCGATTCCAACGAGCTCCAATTTGAATTCAGAACCCATACCTGTAGCGACAGCCCCTATTGTGTGTCACTACTACAGAGCGGAAGAAAAAGATGCATCAGCAACAGAATCCACTACGAGCTCGTCAAAGGATTCGAACGAGCTACATACCGTTCCATCCATCATGGGTTCATCTCTAGGTCATCAAATGGTGAGCAGGGTGGAAACACAAAATCAATCATCGACAATATTAATGGAAATATTCTCTCAGAACAAATTTCATATTGAAAGTGGGCTTGGTAAAACGACAGACAGCCCAACGGAATTGTCTCGAAAAAAAAACATTGAGAAAAAAAAGAAAGTTGAAATCGATGATAATAATTTCACATTATTTGAAAAACTTCGAGAAGGAGAAGGCATTTTGTTTAGAAGAAGAAAGAAAGTATTGACCAAGCACAACAAGACGTTGGACAAGCAACAAAATGCTGGTGATCGAATGTATGCCCGATTTCCAAACATTTCAAATTGTTGTGGGATAGCAAAGCATATTGCATATAATGGCTCAAGAGCAGGAAAGGGATATCATTACATTTTAAAATATAGACCAACGAGAAGCGAACTTGAGCTATTTCAAAAGCACAAAGATGACAACCTGACCATGCAGATCGTTTGTAGCAACGAAACAGAATCCTCTGCAAATTCTTCAATATTCGGCTCGCTAAAGAACTCAAAGTCTAATGCTCCATTTAAGGTTTACACCACTATTGGTGGAGGTGTTAGCGAGTTACCCTCAAAAGTAGTTTTTGACCAAGGTTTGCAAGTGGTGGAATGTGCTTTTCGTATTGAGAAGGTTGGAGAGCAGCGAAGAGGAGTAGCAGATTTGAATATGAACTACAAATTCATCATTCGTACTGCCAACAACGAAGATGCGCTCTCCAACCATATGACCGCAGAAGAAACCACCATTCTCCTATCGAGTCCATTCAAGCTAATTTCCAAGGACAAGCAAGAGGATCCATGCACATCATCGAAAGATTGCATCCGATCAAGACTTCATGAAGGCAACAGAAAGGATTAATGTAAACGATCAGACATCTGCCGACAGCAATGGTAGTGGTTGGAATTAACTGGATCCTGTTTTTTGGAAAACTCCTGGGAGGAGACCGTGCACACATCTCCATACAGAAGAATTCAACGTCCTTAATTGCTAATTTCCTTATTCTTTGATACGCTCGGTCCGATTTCCTTAATTGAAAAAAAAACGTTAAAGCAATTACACACCATAACGATGGGCTCCAACACTTCTACCACCATGGATTTGAAAACATTAAGGCCGCCCGATGAAACCTCCAAAGACTCAGCACCGACGACTGGCAACTCGAGTTTTTACAAGGGAAATGGCCATCATGCGTCGTTGTCCTCTCGTAATGCCAGCATCGTTTCGGGAATGGGCAGCACCACTACAACTGTTGCCTCTTCTTTCAATTCCCGGAACTTGAAAGGAAGCGTCTCTCCACATCTTCCTTCCAGCGCCAATAACATGTTGGTCATTACTACAGATTCAGCCTCAATGCACCACTCAAGTAGCCCCAATATTCAAACCTCTTCTGCATTACATTATAATCATAGTAATATCCATGATGTTCAAAGCCCGACGAGCATCGAGGATGATACCACTGATAGCAGTGATGAGGATTGTGAATATCATCATCATGGCTTTTCAGATTCGAGTACGACCGAGTCATTAAGGCATGATCATCATTCATCATGCTCACATCATCAAGTATATTCTGTTTTGAAGGAAGAAGAACTTGACCAAGATTGGTCAGGGCATCATCACTCCACAACAACATCACTACTCTCTGCTTCGAGATCCTTCCTCTTGCAGAAACGATTGAGTCATCATCAAATTCAACCACAATTAGTACAAGCAACTTCGGACACTGAATATTTTTCCCAACAACCTCCTACTTCAAGGCTAAGTAATGGCTTGATAGATATTCAAGAGAGCGTCATTGTTTTGAATAAGAGAAGTTGTGGATCTCTTAAACACATGAAAAGCACTAGTAGTCTATTGGGGTCATTGAGCACAAAAACAAATAGTATCCATTCTCATGATTCTTCACATCAACTCTCTTCTCAGAACTGCCACCATGCAAACATTTCAAGTTTAAATTCTAGAATGGAGAGGCGAAAGTCCACGACTGACATTTCGCCAAACAATCAGAATGGTGTCACAAGCAAAATTAAACCCATGTTGCATTCGAGTGCATTGGAAGATACGATTGTGATAAATTGCAATGAGAGATCTGTAAAGAGAAATAGATCCCCCTCGCCTTTATCTTTCAACCAAAGTTTCCTGTAAAGATTCAGTATATCCTCTACTTTTTCGATTTTATTGAATGGAGATGATGAACGTCCTGCATTGGTTCTTTACTTTGATTTTGCTCACACATCCTTTGTTAATTGATGTATTGTGTCCATAGGAATCCAGATGAACACAAGAAAATTTAACGACAAAGTGTAAGGCTATTAAAAAGGATGGTTTTAACACCATGAAAACATCAGTCAAACCATGAATGACACTTGTCACTTTACAATTCCTTTCTCCACAGCAAAAAAATGTCAAACACTTCACAGCGTTCAGTCAGCAACTTCCGCATGCCTGCTCAGCTCGCTCTGAAGCAAGGACAAAAAATCGGTTCTCTCAACAAACTCGGAGAGAAGGTCAAGAATTGGAAAACTCGAATTTTCGTTCTCTTGAAAACCAATCTTCTCTATTATAAAACTGCCGAAGACAAACACTATACGGGTGTCATTAATATTTTAAATTGTCCAATATTACGATGTGATCCGAGTGAAACACCTGGAAATATGAAACATTGTTTAAAGATACAGACCAAAACAAGAACATATTATTTGAGTGCAAGTTCGGAACAAGATGCGAATGAATGGGTAGGTGATTTTGTGAATTTTTCGAAAAATTGTTGAGAAATACGTATCATGAATTTGGTCGTTACAATTTGACATTTGACTTTCCTGTCACATCACCCTCTTTTATATTCATGTGATAATGATGAAAATAATTCACTTTTAAATTCCCGTGTGTTGGTTGCCCAATTGAAACACCACATTGAAACCTGTCAAATCAACAACATCCCAAATCAACAAACAATGCATCACACAACAGCTCATTGCACTCATCGAACAATCCGGATATAAAATCATTGTCAAGCAGGCACAAGATCCCACTCCTCTCGAACCTTCTCATCGTTCCTGTCAAATCTTTGGTTCCATTCAAAAAGCCATCGATGCAGCACGTGGTGGAGAAAAAATTTTAATTTATCCTGGAATTTATCGTGAAAATTTATGGATTGAAAAACCCATTCAATTGTGTGGATACATGTCTGAATTGGAACGAAAACAACGAAGTGAGGCAATCAAACAAATTATTTCTCAGACTCAACAACAAGATGAATCCGTTCAACATGCATCGAATGAAGGTGGCGCCTATGAAAAAGTAGCTCCTATTCAAAATGTGAAAAAATCAATGACCATTGAAATGATGAATCATTCATCAATGAATGCATCACAAACTATCATGAATGATCCATCAAGAATGAGTGAAAGTGAATTGAAAAAGACTGCTTCTTCTCGACGTGCCAAAAATACCAATGCCGCTGCTGATCAAGAAATGAAAAAACGAATCGAAGAAGAACGTGTGAAAACACGAGCTATTGGATCGACCAATACCATTATTATAGAAAATGCTGATGATTCTGAGAGTGTTATTGTCTATAAGGCCAATGGAGGAGTCATTTCAAATGTGACCTTACGTAGTCGTCTCTCCAACCCGTCACAATATTCCATCGAAGAAGAAAAACCTCTTTCGAGTTGTTTAGAAATGGACAATGGAGGTTTAACCTTAAAAGGAGTAACCATATCCTCTGCAGAATGTGGCTCAGGAATATTAGCAACCAATAAGAGTATTCTCATTCTCATGGAATGTATCATTTCACAATGTCGAGACATGGGTGTTTGGTTAATGGATCGAACACAATGTACCATTTCTCGATCGAGAATTGTGAGTTGTAAAGTCGATGCCATTCGAGTGAGTGGTGAAAGTACTCTTCACAAATTATCACATACGGACATGTTAGGTTCTGGATTGAATGGATTGTGTGTTTGTGATCGAGCTCTGTGTAGTTCCATGCATTCATGTCAAATTTCACAGAGTGTGGCAAATAATATTTGTGTACAAAATGAAGCGAGAATTCGTCGAGTGGTTGGATGTACTCTTACCAATAGTTCTGAATTTGGAATTTTATTTTCAAACATACCAACACGAGGACTCTCTGAGGAAGATATCATTTGTAAGCTCACGAATAATAAGATTGAAAATAATGTATTGGGAGATGTGTATATTGAACATTTGGATTATATGGGAAGATTTGTGAAAAAGTATGTGAGAAGAAAGAAGAAGGAAGTGGTCAAGTAGTATCTCTTTTTAAGATAAACAAGTTGAGTTTGTTATCATCAAGCAACGCTGCTTGTTGTATGAAAATGAAATTTCGTTGTTGAATGGAATTGAAAAAAAAAATGCAGCTCTCGGGAAGGGAGGATATTTTCAAAGCCTCAATACCGAAAAGTCGAAGGATGGAACATGTTCATGATGAGGAGGAACGGAGTAGGTCATCATTATCCATGAGTCCTATGAATTTATCTTCAACGATCGGAGGAGGTATGAAACAAAATCAATATGATCATCAACAACAAATGCATACATCGGAAAGTGTACATGTAGAACGAAAACTCACGAGTTCATTAAATCAATTAAATAGAAAAATATTGGAGCCTTTATTACGGGATTTGGAGATGGCTCATTCACTATTTTCTCAGGTGAATATGGGAACAAAGAAGGCATTGAAGGAGTTTGTATTTTTGAAAAAGAAGGAAGAAGTTGAGAGGAAGGAATTCGAAAGGATGGATCAAGAGGAAGAAGAATTGAGAAAACAACAACAAATATTGTCAGCAAGGGAGAGAAGGCACTCGGTAGGTCACAAGAATGCTTTGATGAGTAATTCCTCGCAATCCAATTCAAAGAGATCGGATGCTCAACCTCAAATCAACCCAGCCATGGATGCAAATGCTGAATCAGTGAGTGAGGTCACCCAAAGACCTCCACAAATTCCCAAAATCACACCAGAAAGTCAGCCCTCCAAAACATTAATCCCGACAACAGTCAAGAAAGAATTGTCTGTTCCACAAAATGTAAATAAGAAAAATCAACCAACAACAAGTACAAAACCAACTCTAAAGAGAGATTCTAACTCACAAAAACAACTTCCTAACGAAAAAAAGCCCCATTCAGGCAAATCTCAACAGCTGTTACCCAATCAGAATTCCTTTAAAGATCCAACCAAGAAAAAAACGGACCTTGATAATATATTAGCCATGGCACGAAAAATACGGAACTATGAAGAAACAAAAGCATTTGAAAATATTGTAAATAAGAAAATAGAATCAAAAGAAAACTCCTCAAGCCTACAACAGGAAAATGAACATCAAGAAAAGGAGCAAAAACATGTGAAATTTTCGGAGTCACTTCCACAACAAGACCCTACAGTTAATGTAAATTTAAAGGCTCCTCAAAAACCTCCTCAAGTATCAAAAGAAGAAGCAAAAACTGAGAGGAAGCTCAGCTTTATTACAATGTCAGAAAGGTTTGAGCACTATGTTGACTTTCTGCAACGAATACAACAACTTAATGAAAAAGCAGAACAAATAGGAGGTCTTTTTGAAAAGAAAACAGGTTGGAAATTTTATACTCCCAAACAAATCTCCAAAGGAAGTACAAAATTTGCACCGGAAATTCCTCTCACTGATATTTACAACAAAACCCTGACCTCAGTGCTGTCAACTGCTCAAAGCAAGACGTGGTCTATAACAGATATTCAGGATTTCCAAGAACGGTTTATTTTCGATGAGAATGACATGAACAACATTGAGGCCATGTTACTTAAAAACACTAAAGAAGTGAGAACACCAGAACTCACTCCAACCAGCACTGTATATTCAGACATACCGAATTCATATGTTGGAAGATGGCTTCCAAAACGAGTTGATCCAAGAGTTATTGATCTACTGGTTCCACGAAAATCGTTAAAATTCAAACTGGATAAGAAGAGGGCCAAATATTCCACACCCATACTGTACTACCAAAAAGAGAACGAGTTAAAAATCATTGCTGAACATCGATTCAAAGTTCAACACTTGATGCTTAAACGATATTTATATGGAAAGCTGTTTAAAGACCATCGTTTGTTGGACCTTTTGCCACACATTCAACAACAAGGTAATGATTCTCTTTATTACAATTTATTGAGAGCTCTGGAAGGAATCATTCCATGTGAGGCCATCCGTGATGAGAACAGAAGAACCATTATTCATTGGAAGTCCATGTTTCATTTTGTTGAGAGACCTCACTATGAAGAGGATGACTTTTTCAACGATTTCACAAGCTCGAGCGCTGCACATAGACAACAACATCATTCCATGAATAGTGAACAAGAGCAAGATATTGAAGAAGATTGTCACCATGCCACGGTTCGTGACCATGATTCTCCAACAAGAACCCTTACTCCATTGGACTTGGTGCAAGGAAACCATTTTCACAATCATGAAGATGTGAATTCTCCCTCCTCCTTTACCAATGATGACGAGTTGGATCAACACACCACTATTGAAGAACAAATCCATACCTTACAACAACGCCAACAACATGATGATGAAGAAGAAGAGCTCGCAGATGACTACGAACGATCTTGACCATGCTTGAATCCAAACGATTTCACTTTAACAATCATCCGTTTGCTCGTCACCCAACAGTCATCATTGTAATTTTATTTAAAAAAAAATAATTAAAAAAAATGAGCGACGAAGATTTCTTCACCTCCAGCGATTCCTTTGCTACCAATCCAAACGACAACAACAACACTGCCGATGATATGTTTGGTGATCAACAACAACCATCATCTTTTGATGAGCAAAACAATGATGGATTTGGTGAACCACAAGGAGATTTTTCTTCATTCCAAAACGAAGATTCCTATCAGGAAGCTCCTGTGGTTGATAACGGATTTGCTTCATCCGAGCCTGTAGCTGAATCTCTTCCACAACAAAAACAATTGACAGCTATTAGAGAATATGAGGAGAAGAGATATACTGCTCTTATTGAGAAGGACAAGGAAAGCGAACAACACCACAAGAAAATTGTGGAAGACGCCAAAGTGTACAAACAAAAGTGGTTGAAAGACCGTGAAGATAGAAAGGACAGCAACTTGAAAAAGAACAGAGAAGATGAGGAAATCTTCCGTTCAACTATGGAGACTGTTCACGACAATGTATGGGAAAATGTAATGAAATATGTTGACTTGAATAAGGCCAAGTCACAAAACAAACTTGACAAGGAATTGGACGATATGGACGATCAAATTCTCAAGAAGAAGAAAAAGAAGAACCAAAAGGAGGAAGAGGAAAAGAAGCCAGTTCAAAAGAAGCTTGACCTTGATCTTGAAATTGAACAAAAGGATACAACAAGACTCAGAAAGATTTTGTTGGAATTGAAGGCAGAAGCTCCAGCTCATTAAATTTTTGTTTATTTCCAATCATTTGCGTTTTTGTTTCAACTAGGATCTCTCAATTTGTTGTTGAGAACAACATTGAGAAAGGATGAGTTGATCCATGATCATGGAGAAGATGACAAATTTGAGCACAATGCAAGAGGCAGTGGTAAGCACTTGAATTTCTTAAAATTTTAACTCATTTTCAAACACCATTTTCTTGATTAAGGAAAACTTTATATGGATTTAAAACAACAAAAATTTAGAAATGACAACGAGTTCATGCTGTACAATGGACAAAAAACATCCTATACAGAAGTTTACTTTAAACTTGGCAATGCTCACTTGCTGTATAGCATTGAAAATAATCAAAAGTGCTCTTGTTCCAACACCCGATTGGATTTGGAAAGAATGTGTATTGCTCGATCTGCGGTCGTCAATTCCAAAGCAAGAATTCTCGACTTGGAGGCCACTAAATTTGAAATCCAAGAAAATTCATCAACATTCGTTGCAGGAATGGTCGTTAGAGACGATAAATTGCCTCTTGATGAGTGCTTTATATTGAGTACGTCCAGGACTGGCCAAGCAATGACTGGACACGATGACTACTTTAACATGGAAGCTCGTGTCGATAGTAATGCCTTCAAAATTCCATCCTTTTGCCCAACGGTCGACAAGTGCTTGTAATCGGGGTGAACGTGTATGAAACGTTGACTCACAAATTGCCCCAACTTAATAAATTCTTGTGGTCACAGAATGAAATAAAGCTACCAATTTGATATCATTGTCATGATTTGAGCTCGTGTCTTGATTTACTTAATTATTAAAACAATTTCACTCTAGTTGTGCTTGCTTAAAAACGATACCAAGCTGAATGTGCTGACCACACCGGATGGGAATTGGTTATCGAGAACAATAAGTCTGTGAACTCTAGTGGCTTTCAATCTTTTCACAATAAGTTCCATAGATGAATCTGGTTTGCAATAAATATATGGATACTTTTCGTTGACACTCTTTTGACGTACAGCAGATAAAAAGTCAATGACAGGCAAATCTAAAAGAGAAAAGTCTCCTTCGGAAACCATTTGAATATCTCTAGAGCTCAAAACGCTAACAAGATGCTTTTCCTCACTAACAATAGGCACAAAATTAACCTTATGTTCTGTCATCATGACAAAAACATCAATTGTACGCATATTTTCATCAGCACAACACTTCAAATCACGAGCCAAGTGTAAGTCCTGGCACGTGGCGTCGAACTTTCCTTCGTTTGCATCGATTGTATCTTTCATCAACTTGATGACATCGGAATGTGAAACCACGTTTATGATCATTCCTTGTTCATCCTCAATTATAATACGCTTATTTCCCATAGCGAATTGCCCGATGGCATCCATTGCTGTTGCCTTAAGAGTTAGTGTGCCGTGAGCATCCATCTTTGAGTAATTGGCAACTTTAATAACAGGTGTTTCCAAAATAGCTTTTGCTACTTGAGGGTTTTGCAACAATTGAGCTGTTATTGTCATTCTTCTTGGTGAAACTGGTGTATTATGATTCATCTCGTTAATTGCTTGTCTGTATGTATCTACCATGAAAGCAATAATATCACTGAAATCAATAAACTGAACTTCTGAAGCTTTTTGGGTCTTCTCTTTGTGTGTATAAATTGGTGCTGAACGAACATCCCATTTCATGAGTTGTTGTATGGCATGAGAAATTGTTTCATCTTCGGTGAAGGAGAGAATTTGTTTGTGATGTCCGACCAATTGTTCAATGGATGTGTGCTGAAATTTCTCAACAAGAATTTGTTTAGCAAGGCTTGTTGATGATGATGGAGACATATTCTAGTTGATACGGTTGCTGTTGTTTAAATCTCGGTGGTTGTATAAAACCGAATAATGAAAATGATATCAATGTTGTTGTTCTATGATTTGAAGAAATTTGAACCAATCAATATTATTAAGAAGATCTTCAAAACCGATACTGGAGAGCAAGAGCTGTTGAGATTATTGATTCCGTTGATGGTTTACGGTGGTTGGATTGTTGGTTGAATTTTTTTTATGAAAAAAACCTCCAACAACGATTCTGTTTCTCAACTTGGAATATTTTTCAAGATGACCTTTTCTGGACTTTAAAAGTTTCTCACTAATATCTACCTTCATGAAGATAAATGATTAGAAATTAATTTCCAAGCAAACATCGATCTTTTTTGAAGATTTATTTACACAAGTTCGTAGATTTGTTGCTGCAATATGAATTAACAAAGCGATCCGTTCTTATTCCTGGTTTCATTTATTGAATTTACTGCTAAAGACCTCTCTTCGATAGGAAACGATAATGAGAACGAGCCACTGTGATCATGATAAACGCTGGACTAAGGAGAACCATTACCACTATTCTTCGAATTTTATGATGTAATTTGGCTCACACAGCTGTTGTTGTTTTGTTTCTGATGTTTTGCTTGGCGTGAATTTTGGTTTTGGCTGACGCTTCCACAGAAACGAGGTCATTGTTGCTGGCCACTTGGAAATTAATTCTTGTTTGTCTGCTTTTTCAATTGCTGTGTACAGGTCGATGTTGTCCCGAGAAGCACCTGCTTTGTTATAAAGATGGGAGATATTTTCTTGCAACCATTGTTCTTTTACCTTCCCGCAGCACTCCATCACATCCTTGAGCTTGGTGAAGAGTGTTATTCTTTCGAATCCATCGATTTTGTTGGCATGAATCATAAAAATAGTCATTAAGCGATCGTGCTCCAGAGATGGAGAACTGTCGGTTTGGTTGTGCGATTGGCTTGACATGTTCAGTGTTACAATAATACCAAATAATGGGCCTACCTAGTTGATAACTATTTTGAAACAGCAATCCACGGTAGAGTTTGGAATTTTTTGTGTTGTTCATTGTTTAATCCACCAACAGATGATTTATCAAAGAACAACGCAGTTAAAATGTTAATGAACAAAAAATTGCCAATACATGTGTCTCATATTTGTCTGCAATAAATTGGAATAATTGAATAACAATTGTACCCTTAATGATCATCAACTTTTGAGAAGATGTTGCCTTTCACAATCATTTGTTTCCTTTTTTCTGTTGTGGATGATTAGTCAACGTTCAAATATCACACTTACGGCCATTTTGTTTCTGTTGCTGTCACAGCTGTCAAACTTCATAAAAAAATGCCAAAACACAAACGAGTGGGAAAATATGAACTCTTTGAAAAACTCGGTGAAGGAAACTTCTCCAAAGTCAAGAGAGCCATCGACACAGAAACTCAAATACAATATGCCATTAAAATTGTTGACATTTCATCAGTAGCAAAAGAAGGCATGGAAAAACAAGTGAGAAACGAAATTTCTGTTCTCAAACAAATCAAACATCCCAATGTCGTACAACTGAAAGAAGTCCTCAAATCCGCCAACAACATTTATATCGTGATGGAATTGATCACAGGAGGAGAATTATTCGACAAGATTGTTGCAGCTCGTAAATTTAACGAAGACATTGCTCGTCGTTATTTCCAACAACTCATTGATGGTATCGCCTATTGTCATTCGTGCCGTATTGCTCACCGAGATTTGAAACCCGAGAATTTACTGTTGGACTCTCATGATAATTTGAAAATTACTGATTTCGGTCTGAGTGGTATGATGAAACAGGGAGTCATGTTGGAAACCATTTGTGGAACTCCTCATTATGTGGCACCTGTAAGTAGTAGGATGATTGAAATGATTTGATTAATTGTGCGGATGATGATGATTCGTTAATTATATGATGATGATGATGACCTATTTGATGATGATGATCTCTCCCGTGTATGACGATGATGATGATCATCATGATGAACTTGCGTCATATCTGGATTCCATCTTTGGACATCATCATGATGGTGATCAACACTTTGAAATGATTTCACCGAATACCATGATCCTCTCTTCCTGTGCATATTTGATGATCATTTCTATTCCCAATATGATGATCATCATGATGGCTTCCGAAAATTGACAACACGAATTGAAACAACAACATGTTGTGTGTATTCTGTTGAAATTTACTGTGTGGGCGGGAACTCATCACCCATTGAATCATCATATTGAACAATATTCAAATATATTCCCATATGTACACCACACTATTCTTCCTGTTTTACCTCATTTGGTCCATACTTTGTATTTTGAAAATAGGAAGTATTAACGGGTAATTATGATGGCTTCAAAGCCGATATTTGGTCATGTGGTATCATTCTGTAAGTAGTAGATTCACAAGTACTTTTTGAACGAATAAGGGCAATTAATTTGGTGTCTACTCATTCAATCTATATGATGATTTTGGGATTATTGTTGCTCGATAACGCCGCACCCTCACCCTTCGAAAATGTTAAAAATCCAAAATTATTCCTGTCACACTTGTGATTCCTATTTTCGTGCGATCTCTTAAAATAATGAATCATTCCATGAAAACCTTTCAATGAACCTTTCAATGATATGGGATGATACTATTTGGATGATGAATATTGGATGCATTACTCTGCAAATTATTTTAATTCACGCGTGACACTGTATACAATGCCATGACATTGAACGTTTGTGTAATGACATGTCATTCGCGCTTTTCACACCTTACAGTTTCGTCATGCTTTCAGGATGCCATCCCTTCGATGGTGAAACTGTGAATGATCTCTTCAAAAGAATTGAAAATCTAGAATTTAAATATCCTTCACACTTTTCAAAAGAAGTTCGTGCTCTTTTGGACAAGATTATTGTGGTGGATCCAAATAAGCGAGCAACCATTGCAGACATTCGATATGATCCTTGGTTTAAGGTCAATTATCATGGCACTTTGGATTCCATGCTATCGAGTGTTCCAAATTCTGCAGCTGATTTATTACCACCTGTCGTTATTGGAGGAGATAGTAGCAGCAGCAGCAACACACAACAACATTCTGGAGTTCCTTCTTCCTCAACCACCACGACACCACCAGGAACACAAGAATCATCGACGGGAACTTCAAGCAGTGGCACTGAAACTTTGAATGCCAATACGACTCTCATCGTTCCTCCACCCAATCAAATTGTGGTCAATAAGGAAGACATTGAAAATGCTGTTCAAGATGTTGAAATTACTCAAGACGATGAAGAGAGATATCGAATTCAAGATCCCAATCAACAAAGAGGTAGAGCAAGAGGAAACAAGATTGATCCTTCTCGTCGTCGTATTATGAATGGTAACAATGCAGAACGTATGTCGGTTCGTATGCAAAATATGGAACAATTGAATGCCTTTGAGTTGATTGCTGTCATGATGAGAGGAAAATTGAATCCACTCGTGTCGAAACATTTCACAAGACGTGCCAATCGTTTCTCAACGTGTGGTCATCCCGATGATCTCTACGATCGAATGATTCAATTCTTGCATGAGAAGAAATTTATTGTACGTCCCAAAGAGACTGAATATGAATTTAAGGCAACCATGAAAAACAAATTGAACGAGATGAATTTTGCAGTTCAATTCTTTATTGTATCATTTGAGATGATTATTGTTGAAGTGATTCGATTGAAAGGAAATATTTTGAAATTCCAAGAAATCTTCCGTGAAATGCAATCCCTCTTTGACTATGAAGCACAAAAGAAGATGATTCCACATCACATGGTTGCAAGTAATAGTAGCAGCAGTACCAATAGCAACAATAATCATACCATTAGTGTGACAAGCAGTAGTAATAATAACAACAATGGTGATCACAACAACAAGTAACAAGACATGACGCGCGTGCCACGTGGTTCATCCTTAAATCACACGACCACTCTATCATTTATAATAATACCAATAATAAGGAATATTCTAAATCCTTTCCAATGCTCAACACTCTTTTCTATGCAGTTCTTGCCAATTCAAACCCGATCTGCTTAATACCTTCCTGCCTGTGCACTACACGTTTTTAGATCGAGTACGACGATGTTGGTATTTTTCAGAACTAAGGAAGTTGTTGCGGCGAAAAACGTTTCCTTACTTTGTGTTAACGTGCTTCCCGTATCAATTTTTTCGCATCCGGATCTTTCGACACCCGTTCCCTCAGCACAGCTACAGGACCGTCTTGGTATAATCCGAAACCGATTCCTTTGCGCATCAATTGCACCCATTTTTTCGCATGGTATCTTCCTCGCACAAATTCTTAAAAATGCTAAAAATTGAAAATTTAGGCTACATTTCGAGTGCTCTACCTCTTGTTGGATATATGCAATGAGAGCTCTTTCACATTGCATCAAGCACAACAACAAAAAAGAAACTCACAACAAGTTGATCTCTGAGTCGCAAAAGAAATGAAACAACAACAACTTCCACCCCATCATGATGGTATTTCCTCCTCATCGATGAGTACCCACGGACTGAGGACCAGTGGTCATCATACTGATACTCATGAATTACCTGCCCATTTTCGAATACAATACATTCATAAACCTTATCGTTGCAAGAAATCCATGACGCGTCATTTGCAACAACCACACATCTTTGTTGATAATAGTGGCGAGTTTGGAAAACTCATGAAAGCATGCCATCCACAACACCAAAAAAGCATTCAATCCAAACCACCTCAGACCTCAGTGAGTAGAAGACGCAAAAAGTCTCTCGGTTGCATCGATTACTTTAAAGGAATTGAATACGAGCCCATCTCAGATCAACGTTTTTCCAATTTGACCCTGATGGCTATGAACCTGTTCCCTACGAGTCATTCTCAATCCCCTCCCTCCGTTCATACCGATCATCATGTTGCTTCTGTAATGAGTTCCTCCTTCCATCCTGACCACTCTACTCCCTCCTCACCAAGTACATCCATCCATACAGATGATAGTCTTTGCTCATCTGTGAGTGCGTGTGTGGGATCTTCCTCTGGTGTATCAAGCATGTCGAATCTAGGACCAGCAACCATCTCTGTGGATGGTCGAGCCGTTGAACGACAATCACTCGAAAAATATTCATTCCCACCCAAGCATCAAAGGGTTGTAAGAACCTCAATCTCTATCCACGAATTACTAAATTAAAAACGACGAAAGAATCGCTTTAATATGGAATTTTGTGTTTCTATTTTCAGCACTTGCCAAAAATTATTCTTATAAATTTATTTTAAAATTCTGTGATGGAACACTTGGTTAAAAATCGGACGATCATTTGATGTTTTGATGTGAGGTTGAAGGAACCCTTAGCTCCAAAGAGATAAGTGGTTTTATTAATAAGCATGAGGCAGTTTGAAGACCTAAATTCTGTGTATTCCAAATGCTGGCTTCTCAAAGTTTAGAGCAAAGCAAGATTTAGATTCCTTAAAATGATTCTCCTTTACAAACCCTTCCTTGAGAAAGACCAAAGCAACCAAACAGTGTTGGAGTGAGTACTTTCAAAATATGGAGAGCGTTCACTACATTCGTTAGATACGTATTTATTTGAAAAACAACTCACTTGACAAGAGATGCCACATGTGCAGAAGTACAAATCTCAATCTCTTCCTCATCCATATTCTTCACTCCAAATCGTTCAGCAAGTTGCTGAACAAATTGTGGAAATTCGTCCTCCTTCACCAAATCCTTATTGGATTTCATGAGTTCAGCATAGTTGCGGAATGGAACTTTGAATCGGGCTTGCACAGTTTCAATACTGACACTCGAGAAACCAGCCTTCTCACACAATTCCATAAATCTTTGAGCCTCTACTAACGAATAGAGAGGACCTGATAGGGTTTTACGTTGAATTTCGAGAGGTACTTTGGAAGGATTGTCCTCAGTCCAAGCATTGATAAAGGCTTTTCCATTGGGTTTGAGTACTCGATGAATTTCAGAAAGACCTTTGGGAATATCGGGATAAAACAACACCCCCATATTTGAGAAAATCAAATCAAAAGATGCATCGGGAAACTTTAAATCTTGGCCATCCATTTCATAAAATTTGGGGAGAGAAACTTCCAATACTTGTGGTACATGAGAGGAATTGGAGAGTTCTAAAAGCCTTTCGTTAGCACCTTGGATCATGGTTGAACTGAAATCAATACCTTCTACTGAAATATCTGGATGGGAGGATGATTGCAATTTGGAAATGGCTTGTTGTAATTGAGAATGCAATCGAAAAGTTACTAATCCAGTACCACAAGCAATATCTAAACATTTGAGATTGGAAGGTTGATTATGGTGTTGATCTTCAGAAATTTTTTGTTGGATCAGTTGATCAAAATCCACCCGACGCAATAAATCGTCAGTATAGAAACCTAAAAATCTGACTGCTGCATCATGATTCAAGAATTTGGTTTTGTTTTCCCAGTGTTGTTTTGTGTGGAAGATGTCTGTAGCTTGAGACATTTTTTTAAAATGTGCTCGTACAAGGAAATCCGAGGACAAGTTTAAAGTATTTAGAAGAATGCATTTCGCCGACCTTCGTGTAATGCTCAAAATATTACCAGTATTGGGTGCAAAAGGAGTCCTTAGATCAAATTAGTTTATTTTTTCATGTTGTAACGTTTGGCACTCTAAGTCACTCATCGTCAACGACATGTGGATTAAGTAATCTGGTTTGTCCCAACAGAACTGGCCACACATATAGCTACACTCTTGTCAGCTCGTACGAGCTGTCTATCACGTTCGACAAACAAAAAAATGAACTGACAACTGGCAGATATTCTCTCGTTTGTTCATCACAAATGTGTTGCTCGATTCAATGACCTATGAATATCCGGAAGGCATTATTATATATTACTGTGTTCAATGACCATATAAATCCACACTCAAAATTTTAGTGTAAAAATTATGATGCCATTCGGATATTTAGTTTGTTAAAGTGGTGTTTGTTTGGTGATTTTCTTTCGCGTGCATGCCATCTTTGGCAAATTTACAGAAACAAAAAAAACACAGTTTATATTCATGATACCTTAATGCAAGCTAGTGTGGAACAATAATACCCTCAGAGCTCACACCATGAACAATCTCGATCTCTATCATCCATCATCCTTCCATGGAACCACAATTCATGATGTTCACCAGAGCGCACGTAGCAATTCCTTTCATCATGGTTCTAATCATCTACATCACAATAACAACAGCAATGTTGCCAGTAATACGGGTGCTGCAAGTAGTGGCAACCATCAAAATACCACAACTGCCAACACCAATATCGTATTCTTGAGCTCTACTAACCCGAATACCAATGCAATGGAACAAAAGGACGTCGTAGTTCAACATGGTGCTGCTACTGTTGCTACTAGTAATGTTGGCAATAACAATATCCACTCGAATGTTCTCATGTCGAGTTGGGATCAGCCTCAACACTCGGTGAGCGCTGGGAGTGGAATTTCCTCAGGCAATAACCATAATTCGAGTAGCACTTCAATATCTTCGCAAGGTGCTGTTTCCTTTTTCCGACATTTGGTTCATGATAAATTGTTAACCTATTTAGCAAAAAGTCATTCCAATGGTAGAATTCAGGGATGGAAGTGGAATGTATTGTATGGATTTCTTCACTTGTATTATTTGTATGCGAGTGTTGTTCTGGCCTTAATTTCCACGTATGGAAATTCATACGATTTTTCATCCAGCCTTCCCTCTCCCTATGGATATTATGCAGGATGGCTGTTTCGTGCTCTCACCTATCCCATCACCTTCTCCTTAGATGATATTCATGTTCCGTATGAATTATTGATCGTTCTCGCTGTGATCATGATGCTTATTGTACTTGTATTACCAATGTTAGTCGTATGGAGTGCGACAAGATTATTCGGAAAGAGTCAAACCAATCTCAAACGTTATGCCTACACGTTGGCATTGGCTGTCTTGATGATGGCTCCACTTCTCACCTTTATACTGACCAGTTTTTTCGATTGTAACCTCTCTCATGCCGTGAATTTGGACAATGAAACGGTCTATGTGTTGAATCGAGTTCCTACCATTCCTTGTTACGCCTCCGATAATATTATTTTGTTAGTATTAAGTTTTTTAGGGTTATTTGCGTTGCAGATGATCATGGCACTTGCTACGTACATTTTGCCCATGACCAATGGCTCGAGCAGCATACCATTTGTGTGTGAGAGTAACAAGCCGACATTGGTTACATTTTTTAGCTCCATTTCATTGAGAATGACTTTGGCCCACGTCATTCCACCAAACTACATGTTTGGAAGAGCCATTATTCACATGATATTCTCGTTACTGTATGTCATTGGGTTTGCTCGATCTGCCCCTTTTTTTAGAAGGGTGGAAAATTCCTTCTATATTGCCATGATGTCAGCGTCATTGGGATCGAGTACTGCCGTGTTAATTTCATCTCTTGTCAATCCTACGAGTAATAACGAATTGGGGCTCTATATGATGGCACTAACCGTGGCATTGCCTTTGCTGTTGTTCATTATTTCATTTGCTTGTTCTGAAATATTATGGATGGTTAGTTGCAACAAAATTAGACAAATATTTAAATCGAGAAATGCAAATCATCAGGTATCGTCTATTGAGTCTGAAGAAATTCAAAGCATTGTGGAGAAGGAAGGAAACGCGATTTATTCTCAGATAGAACAGTATTCGATCAGGAGTTTGCAACTTTATTTACGATTTTCTGTAAAATCGAATGCAGATGTGACACTGGCTCTTCCTTTCATTAAGGCTGTCCAAAAACATCTTCAGTCACCAAACATGCTGCTCTCATCAGCCTTAATTGTTGCTTATCATTGGAACGATAGCGCCCGATATACTTTTGCAATTTACTTGCTGAAACGGGCTTTGAAACACTCGGATAATATACTTGAAAAGTTAACCATTAAGGAACGTATACGAGAATTAGAAATGGAAATGGGAGAGCTGGTTTATCACAGTAAATTCTCTTCGGAAGTCAAGCAATTGCTTACAGAGCTTCAAACAAAGCAAGAACAGATCAAGAGTGCTCATAGACTGTTTTGGAAAGAAATGACGAATGAAGTACCTAACGAAGATAATTTGTATCATATCAACTCAAAAATTAGTGAATGGACAAGATACTGTGACTCCACCTTTTATCATCTCATGCGAAATTGCTCAACTGATAAAACAGTTTTGAGACGATATGCAGGGTAGGTAGTACATGTCTATCATTTATTACTAACCATGTAAGATATTTGGAGAATGTTAAATTTGATATTGACTTTGCAAACAAGCTTTACGAAGACGCGTCACATTTGGAAGAAGAAGAGGCAAAAAATATCAAGGGACAGTCACAAGTGTTTTGGGGAGCTCAAAATCGACATTCATCGATGGTGAGATTTAGAAATAGAGTTGCTCCTGCTTCTCAATCCTTACAATCTCCAACCTCCAATAACCTAAGAATAACCGCTAACCCTCCCTCGCAACAAGAGATGATGGAACAAGATTTGCTAGATGATAATTTTAATGGAGTAGATGAACCTCATCCACTTGACAAGAGAACTGCCTTGATTAGAAACTCATTGAATACTCCTCAAATAAGCCATACACGACTTTTTGGATTTTTGAGCTTGTCACTAGTTTCTGTTGTGCTCATGGTTGTTGGCTTAATTCTTGGAATTTATTATGGGAATGATGTTTCGAGAACACCCATTGTCAAGTCGAGTTGCCTTGTCGAAACTGCATCGGGAGCTTACTTGAGAGAATTAAGGTATGTGGTATTATAGGTTTCTCATGGGTGGATGCACTCTTATCAATAGAATGAGACAAATTGTGACTCAACTCTTTACAAAAATGCAAATTCCTCTTCCAACTGCGAATACGACCGAACGAGCTCTTATGAATGCGTATTTTGAAAAATACAACTCCAAATTCGAGGTTCAACGAAATTTACTCAAAGACTTGGAAAGAAATTCCCAATCAGGAGTTTTCACACTGAGGTTTGTTTCTCACTTTCAACATTTTTGATTCATTTCTTTCAGCATGTATCAAGATTACACAGTTGAAGATAAAATGATTGTTGTTCCAGTTTCAGCAGACAACTCATCTGTTGTGGAGTACACTTCAACATTTAGCAAACTTTCCTCTATTCGAGAAATTACACAAGAACTTATTCAACATGCCAATGTTATTTTAGCGCACGACAATTCCTATCAATATAATACAACCACAACAAACTATCAGTTCATGTACATATTTCTAAATAGAAAATATGCAGCAGACGCATACTATAACTATTGTAAGTACCGAGACATTTATGAAATATCTTATTCTTCACCTCCTTTAGGCCAAGTTTTTCAGAAAAGCCAAAGAGGTTACGCTGATTACGTCAACAATATGCTCACACAATACTTTCTAATTTCAACACTTATTTTTGCATTGATGTATGCAGGGTTTCTAATCATCTCACGAATTGAAATGCAGAAGGCATCCAGAATTCTATCAATTTTTAGAAGAATTCCTAAAGATATTGTTGGTAAGTACTCTGACTAAATATTTGACAACATTTGAACTCATTCAATTGAAATCAGGTGTTGTGTTTCAGGGTCTTGAGAAGAGTGGTAATCATGAAGAGCTTCGAGAATTGAAAAAGAAAACCATTCTTTCTTCGAAAAATTATGGGTTAATCATTGGAGCTCTGTTTTTGATAGTATTTGCAATATCTATTGCGTTGATTTACGTAGAAATTAATACTAATGTAAGAAGATCCTACGATGCTATGGTGAATATTGAACTTGCTTCATTGTTGATTCGAACGACGAACCGAATCACTCTCCGACTTAATGAAATGTATACTTTTTTCTGTTTCAAGCCCGGAGAACCAATCAATCATTCCGTTCTTGTAACAAAAACTTTGATGAACCAGTACAGATCAGAAGTCAGAACACTGATCAGTTCTGTTCAATCACTATATAATCAAGTAATTTTTGGTACAAATATTAGTCGACCAATCATTGGTACTTATCCAAAGATTGATCAACTCATTCAAGGAGTTGGAAATTGTTCTGGTTCCACGTCATGTCAAACCTTACAAGAATTAATATCGTCATATACCATTAATAGTGGTCGAATATCAGAAGAGTTTTTCAATGCCAAGTATACTTCACAGCAAATGAGCGTATTTTTTGACATTTTGAACATGTTTAACATGAACGATGAAGTATTCACTCGATTAGTTCAGCTACTGGAATATCTTGTTGGATATACTTCTCATCCATCCAAAGTAATCACGATTTGCTTTTTCTTTGTAGGATTAATGACTGCATGTATTTGCAACTATTTCATTTACAAATCATATGACGCCTATGATGGACACATTTCTAGCATTCGATCACTACTTAATTATTTACCTATTGATTACATTGAATCGAACGAAGATGTGAAAAATTTCACATATTACAACAGTGTTCCGTTATTCTACACTAAAAATAAGCTAAAAGGAAATAATGCAATTACTAATCTATTAGACTCCATGGTTGACGGTGCCATACTTTCCAATTCCCAAGGAGAAATTTTACTTTTTAACCATGCTGCTCAAAATTTATTGGGAAAAGCACCTGCAGAAGTTGTTGGGCTAAAGGTATTCACATTATTTGACCCCTCTCATGAAAACAGTTTGAAAGATATTATCAATAACCATAAAAAGTATTTATTGGGTCATGACTCCAAACGTGGGGAGGTTCTAGAATTGGACTGTGTACGAAAGAACATGTCAAGATTCCCAGTCAAGGCAAATATTTTTGTGACAAGGGATGCAGATATGAATGCTGTGATTGTTTGTTTTATTAAGGACATTACCTCAGAGAGAAAACAACACATTCTCTTACAAGAGGAGAAGAAAAACTCTGAAAATTTATTGAGAAATATTTTACCAGATATTGTGGCTTCAAGATTGAAAGGAGGAGAGACTTTTATTGCCGAAAAGTTACCTGACATTACAGGTACGTATTTATTTGTCTATGGATGATGGATTAATTCACCAATGTCTTTGGAACAGTATTTTTCTCTGACATGGTTGGTTTTACCAAGATTAGTAGTCAGCTGAATCCAACAGAGCTCGTACAAATGTTGAACGAGATTGTCATTGGATTTGATCACCTCACAGATATTTACAAGTTGGAGAAAATTAAGACAATTGGAGATGCTTATTTCTGTGTTGGTGGTCTTAATGATTCACAAACAACATGTGATACCCCTCATCCAGGTTCGTAATTTTATATCATGTATTATATATGCTCACAATACTTGTGAAAAATAGAGCGAGTATTGAAATTTGCCATCGAAACGTTCGATGTCATTCTGAGTTTCAATGAAAAAAATCCTGAGCGATTAGTCAACATCAGAGTTGGTATCAACACAGGTCAATGTGTCGCAGGTAAGTATTAGCTCACTTTTTTGATAATTTTGTGTATTATTTCTTTCAAATTTACAGGAGTCATTGGAAGAAAGAAATTTGCATTCGATTTATGGGGCGATACCATAAATGTTGGCTCTCGAATGGAATCGTCCTCATTGCCAGGTCGTATCCATTGTTCACGTTCTAGCTATGAACGAGTTTATGATTTGGGATATGAATTTGAAGAACGTTTTGTGGAAGTCAAAGGTAAAGGAAGCTTACAGACATATTTGTTAAAAGAGAAGCACCACAAAAATCCAACACAACTCACGAATTCACTCATGGTACAGCATGAACCAGAAAGAACTGACTAACTCATTCCGACGAATTCCGACAATTCAGGAAGTGTTTTTTAGACTAGAGAAAAAAATGTCAGTTTGGGAAGAAGGAAGTTGGGAGTTTCCGATGATTTGTTCACTTCCATTACTAAAATCTACAACCAACACACCATTGGATCATCAAGAGGCGGCACTATCAGATCATGAGATCAATAACAGTAACACTAGTTGTTCAGCCAACGATTCAAACATTTCAAAATTAAATTCAAAATATTCGTTTGGTAATTTCATATTGAAACGATCTGTATCAAATGGCAACTTGGATTATCCAAGAGTCATGTTTTATCCTCCATCTTCATTGTGGTACAAAAATCGATTTACATATTTTGAAATCATGCTGCATGAACCATGCCGAGATATTGCAGCACAGCAAGAACCTTCTTCTTCAAATGCACTTCTCCAGATTGCAATTGGCTTTTCAAAACGTAAAAACTTTTTTGGAGTTTTAGGTTGGACAGAAGATACTATTGGATTTCATTTCGATAATGGCCGAGTGTACGACCATGTACAAATCACGAGTTCAATCAAAGATCAGGTTTATATATGTGATGTTGCTTTTGGCCAAGTGTACGGATGTCTATTGGATCATGAAATTGGAGAATTTCATATCACAAGAAATGGAGTGTTATTAAGAAACTCAAAAGGAAATCGATTTGTGAGAAAAAGTTTTTGTGAACGAGAGAATGCATTTCTCCCAACCATTTCATGCTTTGATGTGGACGTAGAATTGGAAGTTAATTTGGGATGCGATTTAGTGAGGAGGCCATTTCGATATTGCCCTCTTGTCAGATATGACCAAGCTGAGAAATTATTTTCCATGTTGAACATTGGGAATGAAAAGAATCGTATGACTGAAACATGGCCCAATGAAAGCTTCAGACCAAGTGTCTACACGTATTTGTTCTTTACAGATATCCAAGTAAAGACAATTTAGCAAAATTTGTAATGGTGAAAACTTCAATGTAAGTAATTATAGCGAGATTCAAAAAGACAAGCAAAGAAGCATCTGAAACTGTCCCACACTAAGCTTTTATTTGAAAAAAGTCAAAAAAATACAAAAAATGTCTGCGAACATTCGAGAGCAAGTCACCAAACAAATCACAGAATCGGAAAATGAACAAGCATTCCTACCCAGTGATCTGAAGGGAAAGGGCGAGCTTCAAAGTGATAATCCCTATGAACAGCTTGTACATGGTGCTGAATTTGCAGAGGAAGATGAAGAAGATACAGATTACATTTCGGGCGATATTGCAGAAGAGAAGGCTGAAGATGCTCGGGATCAAATCATTCCTTCGGATGATGAAGATGAGGAATTTGATTTGAAACAACAAAAGAAGGATGAAGGAGGTGGAGACGACGAATTTGAGGAACCCGAAGAAGAGGAGTTTGATGAAGGAGCGGACGAGGATCAAGAGGAAGTTGAATTAGAAGAGGAAGAAGACACATATGAATTGTACACAGATCTTACAAAACCAGTGTCTCAGGTTTGTCAAGAATTGGCCAATAAGGCTTCTAATGAAAGTGGAGGAGGTGCACAGACATTATTGTTGGGATCAACCGAATCACCAACACCACCGAGCAGTACAGTCCTCACACCACCAACCGATCCTACCTTGATGCATGCACAGCTTCATGCGAATTTCATAGTGAAACAAGGAGAAGAGGATAAAGAGGCTCATACCGACACTGCATCTCCACAATTGCTCCATAAGAGAAAGATTGGTACTGACGAAGAGCATCGTTCGGCGCACGATGATCCAACCAAGAAAATAAAGCTTGATTGAAATTGTCAACCAAATTTCTATATCAAGAGTTGAGAGAGGTTTATAACTAACAACAATGTACGCAGCGGTAGATCAGTTGGTTAGATCGTAAGCCTAACACGCTTAAGGTCATGGGTTCGATTCCCGTTCGCTGTATCTGTTTTTTGGTTGCTCTCGAAATCAAGGTCGACCCCAAGAACTTTTGAAACAAGGGCGATGAATTTGCTGTTTGTGATATTTCAAATTCTGTGGTTATTATTAAACCAAGTTTTTATTTGAAATTGGCAAACAGTGCAATACAAAACTGTTGCAACAACAAAAAAACCAACCGGATAACACCTCCAGCAAATGCTCCCTTCAAATTCACCTCCTACTGCGCAGCAAGCTTCAATGCTCTCCGAGAACCTAATCATGAAGGAGAAAAACATTCTGTTTATTGGCAACATCACTCAAGACACCGTTATTACGTATTCCGAGAAAATTTCAAATAATCCGACCACTTTACAACTACCGGAAAACGATCATACTCCCAACAACGATGATCCCATCATTGATTATTCCAGATTTGAAAAGGTTCAAAGTCAATCTCTAGGAGGTTCCGTCATGTTTGGCTGTTTAGCCTTCCAGCACTATATGAAAGAAGCTGAGCCCACTCTTCCGATCTCCCATTGTTCTCATCATTATGATCCTATCGTTCATCATCATCAGGATGGTTGTTTGAACGGCCATCATGATACAACAACAACTCTCAAATTCCAACCAAGAATATTTACAAAAATTGGCAAACGAGATGTGAGGAAATTGTTGAGGTTTTTTGAGAACCGAACGTTGGACCCATATCCTTCTGACGAAGAAGAAGAAGGTTTATTAGACGTGAATACCCCTCAACACGTTCAAAAGGAACAACCCGATATTTGTGTCGTTAAAAAGTTGAGAGGATTGAAAATGTTTGAGAATGTTGTTGTGGTCGATCATTATCATCAACACCAACAGGATCATTCCGAACCATTAGTAACAGCCATCGAGGAAAGCAAACTCACTCAATATGAATTGTGCTATCCTCCTCCATTGGAGAATGGAATGCCCAATCAGAGAACTCTCGTATGCCGGGATCGAGGAAGTATCTTTCAAACCGAAGATATTCACTTCATTCTGAAGGATCAACAATTAAGACAAGGACACTTGGAAGCTCTATTCTTTGTTCCAGTAGCTGCTGAGTTTGATCATCATTTTGTCAAACATTTTAGTGAACAAGTCATCCAACATTATGGGCAATCGCCAGTGATTGTGTGTACCGACATTCAAGGATATTTGAGGAAGATTGAAAGCGGTGGAAAAGTCTCACACAACTCGTTTGAATACTTGCAACAAGTATTGAGAATATTGTCCAGCGTCATTTCCATCATTAAATTAGATCATGAGGAAGCAAAGAAATGCATTGAAAGTAGTGAAAAATTGACTCCAGAACAATGTGCATTAATTCTCCAGGAGCAGTATGGCTTTCCAATTGTAAATGTCACTATGGGAGGTGGAGGAAGCGTTTGTGCCTGCAAAGGTAGTGAAATCACCTTTCATTCCAAATTGACAGAATCGAAAGAAGTGAAGTCTGAGAAACAACTGCATGCTTCAATAGTGAAATATTTTCCAGCCTACAAACCAAGGAGAGTGCGAGATGAAACAGGAGCTGGTGATACTTTTTTGAGTTGTTTTGTTGCCGAATTATTGGTCACCAAACATTCCAAATATAAGGATCAACCTCGATTAGATTCATTCACACTCTCTTACGAAGAAATATTTCATTGTGTGAAAATGGCATCAAGTTCGACCTCATTCAGAGTTGAAGAGCGTGGCCTTAATGGATTTGCTTCAAGAAAACAAGCATATCATCGAGTGTGTGAAAATAAGCATTAAATGTAAATTGTAAAATCTTGTTTGAATAGAGTTAGCAGCTTAAATTTTAAATCTTAGAATTTGGACCCAATGATCTGAATACACGACATTTCAACCACATGCTTTTCATATAATTCCACTTCATGGGGCTCTAATGAGATGGGTGAACGATGATATTAAACAACTTGTTTTTTTCAAAAATTTTTAAAGAATTTAGCATTCGTATTTAAATGATAATTTCCATAATATTCTTGTTCCTTGAGATGTTTGAATTTTTCAAAATCAATAAATGGAACACTGCAATGTGGACATCTTAATGGATTGTAGTATTTGTACTCTCCATAACCAGAGATCTGCAACATGTGATCCATCTCCTCATGAGACCTACCTAATTGGCCTTTATCAACGAACAATGTCGTTTTTCCATCATTCGAATAAAAATAATCAAGATTGGCAAAACCAGTATGATAATGAGAAAGAGAAAAACTGAGCTGGCACTGATCGCAAACACAAACGCAACGCACGTTGGTTGGAGTTACATATCCGGCAAAATGTAAACCTCTCTCAAAGAGACCTTTTCCTTCCAATCGTTTGTTTTTTTCGTTGGCATTTGACAAGTAAAAAGGCTGAAATCGAATTCCTTCTCCATCAAAATTCAAATAAGGCAATGAATGTTCTGTAGCACTTGATGAAATAATTCCATCCATCATCACTCCATAGTTTGGAAGCACCTTAATGGAAAAGTGCAAATATTGATTTTCCAAATTTGGATTGGTCGATAAGGGCTGAATGCTGTAAATTCGACATCTTTTTGAATTTTCATAAATCTCAATATCTGGAACTGATTGTGTGAAATGAATGACTGATTGTAATTCACACGTTGTTTTGTTGGAAAAGGATTCAGGGGTGTTTGAAGGATTTTCAATAAATATTTTGTTGTTTTCGTGTGAAATTCGGTTCTTCAATAATTCATTTCGAAATTAATTTTTTGAAATAGTTTCAAAACCAACCACTTGATTCGAAAAGCTCCTTGCTATGAATGAATTCGCATTGTAGCAAAAGAGTTTTTCATGATTCATTCCGTTCCGTAACGAAAATTTTGAAAGTCCATTCTGTAATCGAAACATTTTTTTCAATTTATTGGATGGCTATTTATTTTCATGGCAAGAGGCATCATGGATGAATACTGATATAAGATTCTAGGGAAAACCGATCAGATCCCGAGACTGCAACAAAGAATGTCGAAAATTAATTCCAAATCAGGATTTTTTTAATATTAAAAAAAATGGCTCCAAAACGAAAAAGAAACTCGGGTTCATCATCAACCAAGAAAAAGAAAGACAAGGAATCATCATCAACAACAAATGACAATACTAGTGTTGCTTCATCATCGGGAAATGGTCAGGAAACTCCAACCTTGCCACCAGTTTTGTCTAACAGCTCCGATATTGTTGGAGAGTCATCATCGACCAACCACAATGGAGAAAGTGCAAAATCATCATCGGAAGTTGTAAATGGATCAGTGCCAGAGGTAAAGAAGGAGGAAGAACAACAATTACCAAATGGACAGTTGGAGGAAGAATCATCCACCAAGAAACGAAAGTTAACTCCAACAGAAAATACCATTCCAGAGATTCCAAGAAGAAAATTTGAAATGGTGTTAAAGAAGTCCGAGTCAAGGAAGTCAGATAAGCCTTTTCGATTTACACCACTAAGCACACCAACAATATCCACAAAAACTCATGTCACCGAGTGTGCCAAGCCAACATGTTATTTGTGTCAAATTCAAAAACAACGAAGTGGCAGCCCTGAACCCCTTCCATCCGTAGACCCTGTTGAAATAAGCATTGAAAATTATTTGGACAATTTTTGTGAACAGCACAAGGCAGCATTGTCTGTAACCGATAACAAAACACCTAATTTAAAATCAATATCAGACATGATTTTAAGTACTTTAATTTCTGCTAAGGATTCTGAAGAAGAAGAATTACATGGGGATGAAATATTTAAATTTGAAAAAAAAGTGGACATGTTTTCTGGTATTGCTCCTTCACTAATTATTAGGCTCTTCTCTTCATATTTTACGATTGAAGTTCCAAAAACTAATGATGTGACTAGTATTCCATCCACTTTATCAACAAGACAAACCATGATCAAATATAATGAAGCAACCAAAGCTTTCCTTACAGCAATTGCTAAATGTAAATTAACCCCTGATTTAGTAGAAGAACTTCGAGAACTTAATTGTACATTTTATGATGGTTCTGCAGTCGTACAAGTTACCGATATGCGAGTAACCGATCCAACAAACAAAAAGACACCTCACCCTACTCAAGTTATTCTTTTGAAGCCTGAACCCACCAACTTGGAAAAACAGATTTGTGAATTTATTGAAGAAAATCTTGGAGAATCCGATCAACTTTCATCGAGTCAACGATTGGAAGTGATGCAGAAAATTCTCAACGCGGTCAAGAGTGAACCTAGTGACATTTTAAATAACAAGTCTTCCTCCCTCTGCCTAAATCCCGATCCAAAGGTTGGAATCCTTGCTAATGCCATACATTACAACAACACAAAACAGTTTTTCAGAAGAAGAACAAGGCCCAAACACCACTACTTTAATTACTCACAGAAAAATCAAGCTGCTACAGAAAATGTAACACAACCTTCTGTGATTGGACAAAAACAAGAACATCACTTACTTAACTTTATTGTTAACACAAAAACATGGAGCGAGAGTTTACTTTCGAGAAAGGAAAAGGCAACAATTTTACATCTCCCCAACAATGCGAACAAGAAAAAGAAACAAAAACTTTCATCAAAGCAGCGTAAGAGCAAGGAAAATGAAATATTCCCTCGAAATCAACAATCAGAATCGGTTCCTGCTGAATATGTCAGACTGAATGAAGCTAGCTTAGTGAACAACAAGCCACCCAACAGATGTCGTATTCTCAAATTTGAATCCTACGACAAACAAAAAACATGGCGTGTTGACATCATTCCTCATTTGGAAATGGGCGTGGAGCATTCGAAAAAGTTTGAGGCGTTTATTTTACCTCCTCATACCACCAATCCAAACAGTCAACAGCAAATTTATCCAGCTGAACAACCATCATGTTGTGTCATTGGAGGAAGACATGCTGCCGAACTCTACGCAAGAAGGTTGAAAGATATGTTCACAAGTAATGGCAAAACAAAACTCATGATGGATCACGAGCTTGATTTGCAATCTTACATTTCAGACAGTAGATTGCCAAAACCACCACTTCTTTTACAAAGATTGAACAAGTATCATCCATCAATGCAGAGCATGAAACCACAACCCAATCAACCTGCACAAGGAAATGTGCAAGCCACACCTGGAACTGTTCCACCTGGCACAAACTTTATCAATCAACCACAACCCAATACAGCAGGAGTTGCTACAATGGTGCAGGGTGCTGGTGCTCAGCCTCCACCATCAACATCCAATGCTACTGTTGCAGCCAATGGTGGAACAATGTTTGCAAAACCAATGATTACAACTGTCGGAGGTACAGTGATTCCTGCAGGTGGTGTCACTAGAACTGTCACAGGCACAATTCCACCAACTGCAACTACAGCCCAACTTGGAGCAAATGCTGTTGTCCAAAACATCCACCCTAACATGTTTGCGGTCTCTGGAAACATCTTGTTAAACACCATGTTGAGTCGTAGCGGGTATCCAGCAACAAATTTCAGCTACTTGCTCACTCCTACTGGAGGAATTGGAGGAGGAACTGCAACCATTAATCCCAACTTTTTAATGAGACCAGGTACAACTCTACCAACTGGTGTGACCATAAACCCTGCTACTGGTCAACCAACTGTAACTAATCAACCAGCTCAACCACAGAATAACAATACCAACAAATAATAAATTATTTTCCATTCATCCAAAATTGTTATTTTATGTGACATTTCAATAAACTTAAATCATGTTGGAAGCACGTTTCTTGACTGGGGTTGTACTAGTCTCAGTTTTTGGTGGTTCTTGAACTATCTGAACATTGTCACTTGTTGATAATTGTTTTTTAAGTTCATTAATTTCTCTCTTAGCTTGAACTAATTGATCCTCGCTATCCAAAAGTAATTCTTTCACCATCTCATAATACATGGAGTCTCGTTGACGAACCAATAAAACAATGAGAAACAGTATCAGAATAACGGCATTAATAAAATGCAGAGGTCCTTTCACTGCAGGATCTTGTTGACTTCCTTGTTTGACGTATTTTTCTAAAATGCTCTCTAATTGGTTCATATCCTGGTTATTGAAGGCTTTCTTCTTGGCCAAATGTTGAAGAATTTCTTGACTACTTTTAAGTCTTGCCTGAATTTCTTCTTCACTATTTGCTCCCTCTGAGTTTTGATTGTCGGTATTTGAAGTTGTTTGAGTTTTTTGAGTATTTCCTTCCGATTGTTGTTTACTTCTCTGATTATTCAAAAAATTACCAGAAGCGCTCAATGTATTCAAACATGATGAAAACATTCTAAAAGATGACATCTCTATCGAATTTATTCCCGAAATTGCCAATGATGATTTGGAATTTCCCAAATTCTTTAGAGGAGCGAATGATGCACAAGCTCGTAAAATATTTCGATTCATTTTTTTGGATTCAAAAATTGAAATCAGTCCCTAACCATCAAATCATCTCTTTACGAAATTAAGAGTGACACACAGTGGTTTAACTCGAGCCAAAATTTGCCAGCGAGTTTGTTGGTGTGTTGGTTGCGTCTCGCCCCTTGTGTGTTTTGTTGTGTGAGAATCCTCTGTGGTGAAAAATTCAAAAAAGTAAACTTTATGCGAAGAGTTTTTCGGATATAACTCAAAAAAAACGAAGCCACAAACAGATCATCACCTAAATTGTGAATGAACCACCAACAAGTCATGTGATAACAACAAGCATGCCACAACGATAACAACAATGACGACCATTCCGATACTGAAGAAGATCAAAAATGATGATATAGAACAACGAAATAAGCGTCATCGAAACAATGTGACAACCTATTTTCAACGAAATCAATTGAACGCCAATCCGAGAGCATTGTGGATGACCACTCAATTGGCCCTAATAAAAAGGCAAAAATAAGATGTAATATTTAAACCAATTCTCTGTACTATTTCACAAACGATGACATGATGGGAGTTGTTCGATTGCTTCTGTTGACGATTATTGGACATCTCCAACCATTGATAAAATTGGAATGGGATATTTCTGTCAAAACATAATGAATTTAAGTATCGGGAATCATTTCGATGTCTTGATTGTATATGATGAAACAGAATCTTTATTAAATGAAACATTTCGAAGTACTAAATGCTGTGTTGGAGAGGGTGTAATTGTTGACTTGTTGGCATTTTTTTTTGTTGAGTTATTCCGCAAACTCTTCGGACTAACAGCGCACTAAGTTTACTTTTTTGAATTTTTCACCAAAGAGGATTCTCACACAACAAAACACACAAGGGGCGAGACGCAACAAACACACCAACAAACTCGCTGGAGAATTTTGGCTCGAGTTAAACCACCATGTGTCATTTTAATTTTGTAAAGATCTGATCCGGATCTACCAGTTCAGTTTTTCAAATAATTCTTCTCCGTGAATCAATACTTGTCCATCAACAAACACATCATTGTTTGCTTTGATCGTTTTATGGATGCTTTTCACAAAAAAAATTATCAACAAGTTGTTCCGTTATCTTTGAATCTCCTTTTGTGAGCAAATCATATCCTCTCCCTTCTTGTTTCAGATTGCCAGTACTATATTAAAAATTATTAGAGTTTCAAACATTGGATTTGTTGGATTACAACCCGATCATGTCTTTTGGAAGTTCTAGTAATTCATCATCAAATACACCACCGCCAACGGTTTCAATTTGTTTATTGGGAGATTCCAATGTTGGAAAATCATCTTTCATCATTAGGTTTCGGACGAGTGATTTTAATGAAGAATATGTTCCTCGGCAATATTTAGGGTCCTATGTTGCCTGTAAGTATGTTGTTGGTTTACAATAATTTTTCAAATATGATTGAAATATGTGATGAAACGATGGTGAATTTTGATAAATAGATAAATTTGAAGGATATAATATTCGATTGCAGTTCTATGATACCATTGGATTAGAAGATTTTGAACATGTCAATGCTCAATATGATAAAATTGCAGACATTTATCTCATGTGTTTTGCTCTTAATGATCGAACAAGTTTTACCAATCTCGTGAAATATATTCGACAATTGAAAAGTATTAAGGGATTACCACTTGATGAAAAAGTAATATTTTTGGTTGGGACAAAATCCGATTGTTATGAACCAGTTATTGAAGAATATGATTGGAAAAGTATACAACATGATGTCACCAGAAAACTCACAGTGAAGGCACCACCCTTGTTGACACCTTCTGAACAACGAATTCGAAGAAATTTTCAAACAAATGTTTCAACTCTCACAACCGAGCAAGAAAATACAAGCTCTTCAGCACTGAACGTTGTGTCCTCTTCAACGTCAAGAGGGCAATATAATACAGTTTCACATACGCAGGAAAAGAAACTCTATATCAGTAGTTCAAGCGCTGACAATATTAGTACCTACAAACGACCAGCCTTACATCATGCCATGAAGCTTCCAGAAATTCCAAAACCACTTCATTCATCTACCAATAATACTTCAAACAAAATGTCCACAACAACAACCACTTCTATCAAACCCATTCCTCCAATGCCTCAATCCTCCTCAATAAGCTCTTCATCTCAACATGCTAACAAAACAGAAGAAAACGTGACATCAAACTCTCAAGAAAAACCCAAACACATTCGACAGAGAAGTAGTAGCTTGAAAGAATTTACAGCTTATTCCAAAGAACCTCTTCATACAAGACCTCCTCATCCCACTAAAACTTTTGATAACAAACCACGTTCTGGTACGATTCAAAATATGAAGACCTTTGATGAAGGTGACAAAAATAATGCGACACGTGGTGCAACATTTCAAGAAATTGTTGTCTTTTCACAAACACTTCCACGAGTACCACCGAAAAAAGACACATCCATGATGAACTCTTCACAACAACAGTCATCATCCATACGAAAGAAATTTTGTGTGAGTGACGAAGAAGTGGCTTCCTTCCTCAAAACCTATCCACTGTTTTCAGGTTATATTGAAACAAGTTCAAAAGAAAACACAAATATTAATCAAGTCATTCAAGAAGCACTTAAAATGTATTACAAGAGAATGCGAGTGGAAAAGTTGGGAGGAGGAAAGGATGAAAATTGCATGCTCATGTAAATATATTGAGACCAATTTTGTTTGTATTATCAGTTGAATCCTTTTTTTTGGTTTACCAGGCAGCTGTCTCGCTCTGAACTGTCATTTTCCACTTGCAAAAAAATAACAAGAACTTGACAGACAATAGTTTCCCTATCTGATGGACATCAAGACATGAACACAGGGACCAGTTCTAATACTTCACAACAAGCATCATCTTCTTCTTCTTCCTCTAACAACAACAGCAGCACAACTCCAGTCCGACCCGCGAATATTAGCATTCATCTGACTGCTGTTGGTGCTAACACAATGTCATGTGTCTACACAGGCCACTATGCCCATCTGATGAATCCGAGCGACCAGAATGGAAATTCATCGAATATCACTGGTCCAACTTTTCATCGAATTAATTAAGTCGCATGTGTGAGTTTATTAGTGTCATTGCCAAAATAAACAAGCAACACATGTAAGTTCTCATGTCAGAGGTGAAAGAAATCTGACATCACATCACACTTTTAATGAAGATCTTTTTGTTTCTTTTTCTTGACATAATTTTTAACTTTTCTTGGTATGGATTTGAGATTTTCCCATCGAGAATAGTATCGGAAATACATGGTGGCAATATTGAGGAAGGAATCATCAGGAAGTTGGTACAGCGAGTTGTTATATTTTGGCACCTTACACCTTACACTTAGTGTCAGTGCTGTTTGCATTTGACACTTGAGTGCCAAATGAATGAAGTGTGATTTGTATTTGACACTTGAGTGTAAGGTGCTATTTGTATTTGACACTTGAGTGTAAGGTGCGAAATGGATGTTGATTGAAATGGAGGTACTAGTTTGTGAACCTAACCATTCTACTTCGTGTTCAAACGAATCTATCAAACAAAAAAAAGGCATGATTTAATCTCATGCATCTACTTTCCTTTCGTATGTTAGCTTGGACCTTCGTATGAAAGGAGTTGGGAGGCACAAAAGATGATATGTTAACCTTTCATTCATGATGATAGACTCAGCCGTTAAGAAGTATGACTACGAAACAAAAACTGATTCCAGTTCCCTTAATTGTACCCTTCTGATTGCTTCAGCTTGACTTTTGCTGTTACCGTCATTCCCAAATCACTCAAATTCGATTACATCAGCCAACAACAGTGTTGAGCACCATTCTCTTGTTCTTCTCACCGTTTTTGTAACAATTGAACAAAAGTACATGTCACTATGAAGAAAAGCTGGCAAGTTTCACTCCCCTGTTGAACCAAATGAAAATGTTTTCCTACATGTACTGCAAGTGTTTTTCCTCAACATAAATCGTCTCTCAAGTTCATTCAGCAAGCTCTGACATCCTGTTCGACAACTTCATCTCAATCTCTTTCAACGCCGTGTTGTATGGCGCAACATCAACTCAGAAAACAGGTGCTGAACGGTGGAACATTATTTGAACCACTTGCCTCACAACGCTTCACCTTAGAAAATGAGCGTGAGTCTATTCTTCCCTCCATAAACTAAATTTCGTAGATGATCATTTGGTATTGTCGTTGTCAGACGAATTGTCCAAAAATTGCGTTCGTGATGCTGTTTCCTATACTCGATGATGATTGTGTAGTGAAGAGAATTTTGAGGCCCGTTGCTCACAACCGTGAAGACGGAGGTTTGTAATTTCAAAATAATATTTAAATAAATTAAAAAATATACAGGTGCTGATGACACTCGGCACTCAAGTGTCAGGTGCTGTTTGCATTTGGCACTCCAGTGTTAAGTGCTATTTGTATCTCCTTTTTGGGACTACGTGCCATTGCAAACGGCACTAAAGTGTAAGGTGTAAGGTGCTAAAAGGTATGTCCTCTGGTACAGCATGATTAATGTTAAAATTCTAAATACAATTCCAAAAACTGGAATCATTCCTACACAAAAGTTAAAATTATCCAAATCATATCCAAATACTACACATTGTCCAATGAGTATGGTTGGTTACATTCATGTGAGATCGTTGTTGCAATAGATACAAATGTTACCAAAATTCTGCCATTTTACAAAATCATACTTACATTCCAGTGACGACTTGATATCATATGTATCCTTATAATACTTGATTTCCACCAAATACAGAGCTTCCTGACAATATCGAATGTATGAAATGCAACTAAACCAATACATGGGTACAAAGATGGATTTCATTTGAGGCAATGTTGGTTTTGAGCCACCGACTAACTGAAACACCAACACCGATACAGCACTTGCCAATTGAGACAAATCCATCCGAATGGAAACACTGATTAAGCTACCCAATCCAAATGCAGAAAATTGCATCAACAAGATAATATAATAATACTCTCCAAAGGAAGCTCGAGGAGCATACAAGCACAAAAAGATGGAAAGGAATATTAATGGACCTAACACAATATTAGGTAACTGTTCCAAGTTCTTGGCTAGAAAATAGGCAATTGTTGATAAACCACTCGAACGTTCCTTCTTGAATACGAGTTGCTCTTGTCTCGTTCCAAAGGTACTTAGAGAGCTCATGGAGGCACACAACCCGAGTGCTAATGGAACAATACTTGCCACATTGATCAAAGGATTATTGAGAGGATATTCACAAATGCTACGAATGGCAACGGGACAGCTTTGAATGAGTTCAGAAGGCATGGGACCTGTGTATGTTTCTTTGAGAAAGATAATACCGAGCGCCAAGCCAGAAATGTAGACCATCAAACTGTCGATAAAGAAACTCATAATATCACGAATTTTCAATGAAAAGGATCGATATAGACACACAATGAAATGGAGAAGTGCACTTTGTTTTCGATTCTCTTCTTCCTTCACTAATATATCATAGGAGGACTCAGTATGTCCATTAAGGCTCGAGGAATGATTGTCAGAAAGATGAGAACTTGTATCATCGTTTCGATGTAAAGCACTGGAATTCTTGCTTTGGTACATTTCCCATTTTTGGAAAATTTCATCACATGTGAGACCTCGAAATTCTGTGGATTTTCTCTGAGAAGAACTTGTTGTTGAATTTCTCTCTGTTTGTGCTCGATAGGCTGCTTGAGGATCATAGATGGCATCGAGAAAGAAGTCACTTGGATTCACAAACGGGGGACATTCCAATTGTAATTCATTCTTAAAGTAATCCATTGCTGTTGAGCAAGGACCAGCGTATGCGACACGTCCTCCTTTTCCCAACAAGATGACATCGTCAAACATTTGAAAGATTTCATAACGAGGTTGATGCACTACAGCTACTACTGTTATTCCACTTCGTGCAATGTCTTTCATAGATTTAGCAACTTCAAAACTGCTATAAGAATCTAAACTGGAGGTAGGTTCATCTAAAAACAATACATATGGACATGCCACAAATTCCATGGCAATACTGACACGTTTTCGTTGACCTCCGGAAATACCTCTCTTGTTTTCATCTCCAATAATGGAATGACGAACTTCATTTAAATCCAATAATTGAATGACACCGTCGACTAACCGTTCCAATCTCTTTTGACTCACACTCCAATTTAAACGAGTTCGAGCAGAAAAGAGGATGGCTTCTTCCACTGTCAGTTGTCGATTCATAAAATCATCCTGTGTCACAAATGCACAAACATTCTTGAATTGTTTCATAGAAGCTTTAACGCCATTGATTTTGATGTCTCCATAGACATTGGCGTAGTGAGCATGATCCGAAAGGGCTGCCAACAGTGTGGATTTACCGCTTCCGCTAGGACCCATTATGCAGCTTACTCTTCCTGGTCTGAATGTTCCACATACATTTGTCAAAATTCGTTTGTTATTCGTTCTCAGTTGGCCGAGGGCAATAAAATCCTGGTGCACATAAATTTCGTGTCGAAGTTCCGGGTGGGCAGTACAGAGAAAGATTGGAAGTGGGTATGCACACAGTGGGCTCCACGATCGAAGGATTTTCACAATAGGTTTGTTCAGGACACTGTCATCACATCAAACACAAGAGAAATTCCAAATTTGTGAATCATTTTAAGATCTGTTCTTAAACTTACCTTAAGAGAAGTTTGGTTCGTAGCGGCATCCTCACCACTCACGACAAATCTTCCTAAATTACAATAATCTCCAATTTCACACTTCTTGATCGTAGATTGATCTTGAATATAAAGTCCTGGCGAGATTGGAAGAGCTGGAAAGTACGGAGTGATACAAAATGTTCCTATTTTCAATTCAATCATTGTTCACGTGCCACAATATTCAAGGCCAACAACTATTTAAACAACACAAAACTGCTACTTACCATTTGGGCAAGGTTCAGGGAATGAAGTGCCTTTTCGTGCACATGTACTGGATCCCTTTGGACCTGGCCATTGGGAAACTTCTCTTGTATCGATGTCAGATGCTGTGTTGACGGTATCAAAGGAGCAAGCAATTGGTTTAGTCATTCCCTTAAATGGACACATGAATCCTGGTGGACAAGGTTGCTGTACTCCTGAGACACAAAAATTGGAAACTTCACACTCTTTCACAGCATTCGGTCGTTCTGTGTAGTGACCTTCCGGAACTGTATTAAGAATGACTTTTCTGATGGATGGACACGACATGCCACTAAAACATGACGAGGTGTACTGTCCAAAGTGATTCAAATTCACAGGTATGGCCTCAGGAGTTGAGGAGCATGCACTCTGAAAAGGTTTCAGAAATTGATCCTCTGGATTAGATTTGAGTGTTTGACAAATGTTGTAAAACCGTTGTTGGGATTGTAATTCCCATCGTTCTCTCCACACTGTGACAAATAAATGTTGGGCATTGGAAGAAGCTTCTAGAAATTCAGATTCGCCTACAAGTCGAATTTTGTTGTAAGACTCCATCACAAGTGCGTTCATGGAACACAATTCTTGTTGCAAACCATACACCAAAATTTCCTTTCCTGATTTTGAAATAAATATTTGATTGACCATGTAATCTTGTAAAAATTGTGGAACGAATAGCTGCCCAAGTTTGTTCAGTGCTTGAAAATAACAATTCGATCCATTCAGTAGCTTTTCACATTGTGGAATAATAACACCTCCAATCGTACATGTTTTTTCCACATCAATCATCTCTGTGAGGTCCTGATTCAAAATGAAACTAAAGTTGGAAGGAACGTCATAATAACGCGAACGAATTTCTAAAACGTTCTCATTTTCAAGAAATCCCTCAAGCTTGGTCTCAATATTAAACGATTCCTGACACTTTTGAGTTTCACTGTTCCAAAAAGTTCCATTGACGATAGAACATAAGGAGGTATTCGCTCGTCCAGCTGGATTATCAAACACTCTATTAGTATCATTGTAAAAAGCATAAACACCAAATTCCAATAAATTTCTTGCCTTCAAATAATGAGAGTAGTTTGGCTTTTTCAAGGACAATACTAAATTCAATCCTTGACTTGGGTTTCCAACAATGTTTTCACAAGTGCTCTTTTCCAAATCAATTCTTCTAATAAATTCGTTTGCTATCGTTGCACCTGTAATTTCTTCATCCTCTGCAGCTACGTAAAAGGAGCTGGAATCAACTTGGGTCATGTCCACATGGTAATAAATACTAGAATTCTGGGGTAGAAATTCAACAATTTTAACATGCTTCTTTGTTGTGAACTGCAATAACAATCTAAATTTTTGTGCGCTTGCAGTTGTAAATGTGTTTCCGAACAATCCAGACTGTGAAAAAGGCCTAAAACTTAAATTTGAAGTGAAAGGAGCCAAAATATCAAATTGAAGAAATTGTGTGCTTGAAATTTCACATCCGTCTAACAAGTTAAACCTTAACCGAAACTTTCTGTCTTGATGGTTGTAATAGAGAACTCCTAAATATACTTTGCCCATATACACGGTGAATCTGACGTCTAAAGGTTGCATGTGTGAGGGCTCCTGACGATAAGGGCATGCATTGATCGAATCAGGTGAACCAGTCATTTCACCAGTAAACAAAGAAACTGCATTCTCCTTTGAAATTGTTGCGATTAAAATATTTGACCCGTTGTGTGCAATAGCATCCATGAATTGGACGGTGCTCCTGTCAGATGTCTTTCCTGCCAAAAAAGCTTTGTCTTTGTTGAAATTTACAAGTACAATCTCGCCAGACACCAAACCAAACACTACATATCGATTCTCACCCTCTGGCAACCGATCAAATTCTAAGGTGTTAATTTTGGTAATGTACTTGCATTTATCCCTCGGTGATATTACAGGATGTGATCCATCACCACCACTACCAATGATCGTACCATTCAACATGCTCAATACTCCACTCACTGACGTTTCACAAACAATACCACTCTCAGCAGAAGGCAACTGTGGAAATCTACCATCACTAAACAGAAAAGGGACAGAAGCAAATGGATTCTGAAATCGACACCACGAAGGTTGGAAAGTAGATGTCTTATCTCTACACAATCGTTGTTTCCATGTGGGCATTTTGCCTCTACACAGTTCTTGAGCGAATGATGCAATAGGAAGAGTAAGAACCAGAATGAGACTGCATGTTGCAAGAATAATCATCATGGAAAGGCCGAGCTGAGAACGATCGAACTGCTTCTTTATGATCGTGCTCGGTGTTGTCATCAGAGAGCAACTCTTTGAAGAGCGACAGAGCTCGTCATGCCTGTCAAACATTTTTTGTGTTGAGTGGAGGCAGTGGTGATGCAAGTTGTCTTTTTGTTGTGTGGAATTGATGAAATTCATTTCCGAAGCTAATTGGAATCTCAATGTCAGTTTCCGAAATTTTCAATCTTATTTGGAAAGTTGTTGGAAGGCTTGCAACAAGTTCCCAAAAGTTTTACTGGAAGCCTGTTCTCATCATGACGAATCATTCAATGAAACTCAACGATTCGCTCTTATCCATATTCTGAACAGTACAACATCACCAACGGTTCATGATACAGGCAACAATTTCTTCTATGATCTGCAAATCCAATTTCAAAGTATCGGAATCCAACTGGCAACTGGCCAACATGAAGTGGTATCGTGATTGCCAACCTCAAGTTTGCATATTTTTTGTAAACAACGCTTCTTATTAATAACTTGAATTTTTGATGTAACAGTCTGTAAACCAGGAGACGAACCCTTGGCCAAGGGTTGATACAACAGAATTGTTGAGGTGAGTACCGTTCACGTTTTGGTGTTGCAGTGTGTTCACGATCCAACAGAACGTGAAAATTTCCGAAAGGATTTTGTACATTTAAAGTCTCACGCACATGTTACACATCAAAAAAGCGTGAAAAGGTATTCGACGATGGGTTTACAACCCCACCAACAAACAGCAAGTCCACACCAACAACTTGCATGATCAACGAGTGTTCAAATTTTCCCAGTTTTTCATCCAATCTCGAAAAAAAAAACAAAGAATTCATTTCATACAACCATTGATCGATCCACTGAATCATGAACAACATGAGCGAGTATAACAACACTTCAATATTTGATTCCAATCCACAAGAAGAAGTATTCCTCCATGAGCAAGACGTCTTTGATCACCAAGAACAAGATTCTTTCGTTTGTACTCCAGATTCAAGCTCTTGTTTCTCCACGAATCAAGATGAGAATTCAGAAAATTCCCAACATCCTCTTCTCTCATCATCCATAGAAACCATTCAACCATTGAACAACGGCGGATTGATCCATAGCCTTCCCATGCAAGCAGTCATGCCTCCAAGTGGCTCTTCTCCATCTTGGTTACTCGTGATTGGATTCCCAGTTGACCCCTCTTTGGTATCCTCTGCAGATTTCAATCAATTGAGAATTCCCTCGACATGGGACGGAAAATTCCAATCCACAAGTCCTGACTCTCGTTTGTCCACAACAAGCAATAACGCTCCAGTTTCAATTTCTCACTTGATGCAAATTCCATGCACAACTCCATTGTCATCATCGACCGGTCTGTCCTATGATCAACTCGGTCGTTTGATTGGACAAATTCCTAACGAGTGTCCATTCCAACCACTCAACACGCCACAGTACAATGAATTACCAAATCAAGGTAACAAGAAGGATGCTGTTTCATCCATGTTGGAATGGAATGGTTCCAACTTGACAAAACGAAAGCATGATTCTATGAGCGTTACAAGTCCACCTCTTCAACAGCGTACAAAGAAGTTAAAGAAACGACATGCTTCCTCTCCGGTAGCTTCTTCCTCCTCCGATTCCGGCCATCCGATTCATGAACGCCTTTCATCACAATTCAAATTGGAAGACTCTGCAAGTGTCGATCATTCTGATTCAGATACCAGTGAGGAATCATCTTCTCAAATATCCCTCAATGCTTCTCTTCCAGAAGGTACTGACATTTATTTGCCATACTTGGAAATGGGAACTGGAGTGATTATGACTTACAGAACTCGACGTGGAGAATCTCAAAAATTGTATGGTCTATTACCTGAAATGACTAATTGTTGTGGAAGTGCCTTACGCTTTGCATATTGTTCTTCCAACAAGGGCAATCCTTATCGATACATTTTAGTGTATCGTCTCCCACATTCGATTCCGGATTTGGATGTCTCAGCTTTGGAATTCCAAGTCGATTGTCCTGAAAAGTCTGAAATGAATGATCAATTTGTAGCAGAGTTTCAACCAACCAAGAGCAATTCAGAAAGTATTCATACATCCTTTGTCCAAGGTTCTTTCTCTATTTCAAAAGTGGGAACGAAGAAGGTAACAAAATTTCGCTTTTGTCTTTGTTTGTACTATCAAGAACAATTGATTTTTAGATCGAGTCCTTTTGCATTAGTTTCAAAAGACAAGAAGAAAACACACCATTGTCAGAATGACGACGAGTGTTTCAAAAGAAGAATTGGAGAGAGATCTCCAAGTTTTTCGGATTTTGAGCAAGACCTTTGATGGTCCATTCCCTCATGAAATTATTGTACCATAGTTAAGAGATGTCTTTGTCATGTTAAAATTGTCATGTTCTTTCAACATTGAAAAAAAATACATCATTGACATTTGTCACTTCCTTATTGGGTTGTTGAGTTGGGTTCATAATTCTTGTTTTGTAATTTACAAGTTCAATAGAGATAGAGCACGCTCCATCCAGTCATGTTATGTCAAACCTTTCACTGGTCCAAGAATGCAACGAATACAAATTCATTCTAAACAAAAGCATCATCCACTCTTTCCATCTAATATCAATGCATTCAAGGAATAAGAGTAGAGGTGGAGAAGCAATTCAAGACAATCTCACCTCTACAACCTCAAATCCACCTCTGTTACAAAATGTATTGCCCTATTTATCCCCTCGTTCCAAGCTTTCATTCCAACATGTGGATGAGGAATTAGTTTCACCTCCATGTTCGCCACGAATGTCCACAGCGCATTTTCTAGTTGGTCTACCTTCACGTTCAAGTCCACTCTCCCCATCAAGTCCTTCTCGGAATAGATCCTTTTCATGCAAAGAGTCTTCGGCGCCAAGAATTTTCGAAGCACACGATCTGTATGATTTTCCATTATTGAATTCTCATCATTTTCCCTCTTGCAATACATCATGCCATGATGAAAATGTTCCTCCTTCTCCAATGCATGATGCTTCCAAGAATAGGCATTCATCCTTCCCTCGTTATTCAAGTTCTTCCATGCTTCGTCATTCCTCTCGGGTGTTTCGGAAGAGTCATAAAAAAATTTCCTCCTTCATGCTTCATCGGAGAAAGGCTTTTGAGGTGTTTGAGGAAGAGACGTTGGAATTTCTTCATTGGCGGAGATGGAGGAAGGATATTAAGGAAACTCAATGTCTTGGTGATGGATGTGAGAACGAGAGACCGTTTTGTCGTTTTCTATGGAAACAAAATAGAGAATATATTTTTGTGTTGATTCCGATAGTAAGGCGTGATGGAGATGATGTAAATATGAATGATGGAAGGTTGGAGTTGAAAGTGGAGATTCATGAACAACGAGTGAAAGCTTTTTTACAAGTAAGAGAAGAAGATGAACGGTTTAGAGAAGAAGTGCTGTTAGATTCGTCGTTATCAGTAACTATTCATGCGAAGGAGTCAAATTGGGGCGTGATATACAATAACTACCTTTTTCTAGAGCTCAAAAAGCATGATCTAAATGATGATGTACATTATCCATTTTCATTACCGCTTAAAATTGAGCACAAATCCAATCATGTCAATGCGGAGGTAGAGTATGTTCTTCAGCCATCCGAGCCTCCTCTTCATCATGAAATGCATTCAGAATGGTTTCAATATCTTGTGGAGGATATTTTGGAGTGTCACAAAGATTATGAGAAATTGAAGAAAGATCTCATCTTATCTTCTACTGGATTACACCAGTTCAACCTTGAAGAGGCGGCGCTTAAATATCATCAAGCTTTAGAAATGCCAGAATTGTCTGACGCTTATATTGTATACCGGGAAGCTGCAGATCTTGGTCATGCTCAAGCTCGTTATGCATTTGCCAATCTTTGTTTGCTAGAAAGTGATAATCCTTTCGGCATTGTACGTTCAGAAGACCAAGCGTTACATTATTTGCAACTTGCTTCATTTCAAAATAACTATGCAAAGGCAAGTGTAAAAATTGCAACCATGTATTTGAAAGGAGTGGGGAACGAACGGAAGGATATTACGAAAGCAAAGCTTTTCTATGTCGAGTCTATTATTCAAAGTGGTGATGCAAAGCCAATGCTACAACTTGGAAACATTTATGAAGAGATGGCAAGCCAAACTGAAGACGAAATAGAATGTAAATTATTGAGAAAAAAAGCCATGTCTTGGTATCGTCTTGCTGTCAATCGTGGATTTGCAAATGCATGTATTAGCGCATCTCTTTTGTTACACAAGTGTAAGAAAAAGGATTTGGCAGCCTCCATGATATTCTTTAAGATAGGACGAGTATTTTCTGGATCTGTAGACGACACTGTAGCACATAGGAAAGACAAATTAGCATCTATTGAAGAATCAGATTCACTGTACATACCTCATTATAGCCCACGCAAAACTATTAGGTCTGTGAAATCTGTGGTATGCTTAAAGCGCCCACAACCGCTGAGACTGGAGCAAAGTTCTACACACAACAACTCAAAACATAACGAGGAGCGAGAAGACATGGTTGACTTAATAGGATATACACCAATTGATTCTTCCAAGTTTCATCTACCAGGTGGGGAGGTGTTGTTGAAAAATCAAGTGAAAACCCTTCAAGTTGACAAATTAGCCCTTGAAACCAAAATACAAGAAATAACGGATAGGTATGAAAAAATCGTGGCATCAATGAAGATTGAAATCAACAATTTGAGGGCCGAGTTGGAAAAGAGCAAAAGTGAAAATGAATCATATGCTAGAGAAATGAAAGCAATTACCACGATGAGAGAAGCGTTCCAACAACAAGAATTAAGAATCGCCATTCATCATGCATTACTGAGCTTAAAAATTCGAGCTAACGTTAATATTGAGCTGCCTCCTCTTGTAGATAGAGCCGTCGAAGAAAATGTCAAAATGGAAGAAATAAGCTCCTGGTTTAAAAGGCAGACTGGGAGGTGAACTATTTTCTGCTGTTTCCAGTTGTGCCTTATTAAACGCTTGCGAAATGCTCAAGCGAGTTGTACAAGAAATCAATAACCTGATGTCCACTCCACTAACAAAGCAAATTTAATAATTATTCGTTGGTTTTTTCTTCAAGTTCTTGTTTTGCTTGTTGTGATGACTGTTATTGCTTGCAACAGTGGAGTGAGAGGTCGTTGTTGGTCTGTTCTTTGAGGAGTATCCAAAACTAGTCGTTGGGTTATTATCATCATACGAGTTATGAACCTTTGATGAGGTTCCAACAACAGAAAGTGGTTTCGAATGTTGTTTCTGAGGAGAGGCATGCAGGCTCGAGTTCAAAGGTGATTCTGCATAATCCTGGTGGCGTGAATCCAGCGGAGATTTATCGGTTCCCTCGTCAAAACTATTGAAATAAGGATTAAAACTGCCAGTGCTAGATGCTGTATCGTCATTATTGAAAAATGGGTCCCATGATTCGCTGCCCTCGCCCACATCAATATTGTCAGAAGATGAGTTATGTGAGCTATGAGCGTTTCTACGATGTCTTCCAGTAGGAGATTTTTGAGGATGCTTTGGCGGCTTTGAAGAGAATACTGTGTTTGAGCCTTGTTGTGACTGCTGGCCTTTGATACCGCCTACGTTTGCGTTGCTCTTATTAGTCGACACTTTTTGAGAATTATTTGTCTGGAGCTTGGTGCCTCCATTCGAGAAAGATCTAGATCTTCCAGAGTGTGTCGTTGTTGCATTGGTGTTATTGTCCTCGAGTGATAGGCCTTGCATGCTCTCTCTGATATTTCCATCAAGAAGTGGAGGATTTCTGGCTGCTGAGCTTCGTCTTCTTCCATACGAATTTCCATAGCTACCAGCAGCTGAAGGTGTTGATCCTAAAATTGATGAACCAAACACTTGTGGTGACATTCCCAAATAACTACCTGTGCTAGGTGACGCTTGATATGGTTGATAAGAATATGGAGCCATGTAATTGCCGTGCATATTGACATTAGGACAGTTGATATTGGACCCCCACGAAGAAGCTTGTGTATAGCTTCCAAAGCTACCACTATAACTTCCTGATACTTGATTTGTGTTGGAAATTGGAATGCTATGTGGAACATATGGGCTTGTACCAAGCGGTATTTGTTGTGGATCCAAAGAGTTTGGTGCAAAAGCTTGTCTGAGATAGGAATTTGTCATTGGAGAAGCATTCGCAGAGTTATAATTAACAGGACCTGTAACAGGCGAAAGTCCATAAGAAAGGAATGATTGATTTGGAGTGCCTATCGATGTACCAAATAAATGAGGAGGAAGAGAAGTAGGAAAAGAGGGACGAGGAAGTAATCTTTTGAGCTGTTGGGCGTTCGCAAGAGAATGTTTCGTTTGTGGTGGAATAAATGGTGTTGTAAATTCCTTGTTTGTTATGAATGGATGAAGTATTGCTTGATCTGGAGTCCATCTCTTGAAAGGATCTAATTGAAGTAGCCCATTCAAAAAATCTGCAAATGAAGCCCTTAACGTCATTTCCTTTTCATCAACCTTAGAGTTGCTTACATAATGATTCACTAAATCAGGAAGTTTGGTATAATTGAAATATCTTTTCCACTCCAATTGTGGGACCTTGGGATTTTCTTGATAGAATTGACGTTCTGGTTTTAGCTCATAAAAGCTAATGCTGCCATCTTGTTGCAATGGCATATCAATGTCTTGTCCATTTGTTCTAGTAGAAATTTGATTAAAGTACTTTGATCCAAATTTGCCATACTCTATCATGTAGGGAGGAGGTGTTCCGAACATTTCTACAATTCTTGCTAATTGATTATACTCATTTACTCCAGGAAGCAAAGGCAATCCTAAGAAAAGTTCCGCACAAATACAACCTAATGACCACATATCTATTGACTTGTTGTACCTTAATCCTAAAAGAACTTCTGGAGCTCTATAAAATCGAGATTGGATATAAAAATTTCCTGCAAATTCAGAATTTCTTGCGTAACACGCGGATCCAAAGTCTATCACCCGTAACAGGTCTTTTGGATGAGATAAGTCTGTTAATAAAATATTTTCTGGTTTTAAGTCACAATGAATAATATCAGCATCAGCTAACAAACACAGAGCATCCAACATCTAATACAGTTATGATGATCTGTACTAAAATTAATCAACTACCTACCTGAGACAAAAATACAGAAATAAGATTAAGAGAAAGCCCAATAAATCTATTCTGCTTGATAAGCTCAAATAAATTCATTCCCAACAACTCCACAACGATACACAGATGATTCATGTGAGTAAATTGGTCAAGCTTGGTAATAATATGATGATGTTGTTCTTTGCCATGGTTTTTTAAATCATCCAACACAGAAATTTCTATCTGTGCTTGCCTTACGTACGCTGTTTTGTTTTTTATAACCTTTACAGCTACAGTTTGTTTTGTAAAGAGATCTTCACATTTCACTACCTGGCCAAAAGTTCCCTGTCCCAATAAACCAAGCACATGATATCGGTCTCCAAGAATGGCACCTGTAAAAAGTATAAGATTTCCCTCTATGTTGTCATGCCCTCCATTATGAACTCCTTCACTTGGAACTGTGAGTATTTGAATATTTTCACGAGCACAAGACTTGTAGAAAACTGACAATCCTAGTGTCAGTGTCTTGAGAGCGTTTTGAGAAGGATAAAGAGGCGTGAAATGTTTTTCATTGCTATTGTTGTTGTTGTTAGAAGATTCTGAAAAGCTTGATGTCGAAGGAGTAGTGGTGTCTGATGAAGTAATATCACGTAAAGCGGAAGAGGATGGTTGGCTCAAGGAAGTATTGGAAGGGCTAGAAAGAGGGGTTAAATTAGGGGTTGTTGTGTTTGTGGACGTGTGCGAAGACGAGGATAAAGCAGGTGATGATATCACTTGTTGTTTGGAGTATTTGACAAAGCCAATAGGTTTGTCTGAAGGGATTTTGGCGGTGGTGTGATGATTGTTTTGATTTGATGGGGGAGAGTATGGTTGGGTGGTAGTTGTGGCTACTGAGAGAGTAGTGTTGGCAGTATTACTGGAAGGAAGCGTCTCAACGTTTGAGGATTCTGTGATGGGCTGATTAAAGGGATGGGTGGATGTATCGGCAATGTTGCTCTTGTAATTCTTCAAAGAAGACATGATGTTGTTGGTGGTGATTTGATAAATAATGAAATTGAGAAATGGAAAGGGAAGAGTGATACAAAGGCTGGAGCACGCTCAAACAGTAAGTACAACCTTGATGATGATTGAATTACTGAAATTGTTGGTTGATGGTAGTAGGAGAGAATAGGCAAGAAGAAGAGTTTGATCCAACCGAGGCTCTTGGTATAGATTCCGTACTCACTCTTTATAATGTTGCTGTTATTCTTCTTCGGGCTTGGTGTTTGTGATATGAAATAGGAGAAGAGCGAGCACAGCAAAAGTTGTCGTTGCTCTCAATTTCAAAAATCCTATCCTTCCTACAAACACCCAACAGCAACAATTGGAAATAAATACGTGATGAACTGGGGTTGAATGATGATGGTTGCCGCGTTATGCTCGGCCGAAGAAAACTCTGCTGTGATGAAACAAGTTGCAAAATATTTTTTAATAATAGATTTCGTTCTTCTTTGAAAATTGATGGAGGAAAACATCTTCTGTGCAGATCTTGCACACAGACCAAGGTCGGCTATCATTGCCTTGATCGGTCATTTTACGACACCATTATTCACTCGTTTGATTGAACTGTAAAGGTTCCTGACAGCAAGACTTCTGAAGTTGCTTTATTTTTCGTTTTTGGATCCAATCACAAAACTCAAGGGCGATGATCTTGCCAGAAAAAAATTTCGATCCGCTCAACTTTTTACAACGTGTAACGGCAGCATGCTCCTTCCAGCGTCATAGATAAAATGGCTTGCCATCAAGCCACACAAAAAAAAAAGTAACAACAAACAATTCTAGGAATTCATCATCAATAATACAACAAAATGACTGAAACAACAGCAGCTGCAACTCAACCAAAGGCTACCCAAGAAAAGAAGAAGGGAGGTCCAAGAAAGGATAAGGCTAAACCAATTTCTCGTTCATCAAAGGCTGGTTTGCAATTCCCAGTTGGTCGTATTCATCGTCACTTGAAGCAACGTGTTCACTCTGGATCAAGAGTTTCCGGTACATCATCTGTCTATGTTGCTGCCATTCTCGAATACTTGTGTGCAGAAGTTCTCGAACTTGCTGGTAACGCTTCCAAGGACTTGAAGGTCAAGCGTATTACTCCCAGACACTTGCAATTGGCTATTAGAGGTGACGAAGAATTGGATAAATTGATTAAGGGTACTATTGCAGGAGGAGGTGTTATTCCACACATTCACAAGTCACTCATTGGTACTGCTCCAACCAAGCCAGCTACAAAGGGAACCAAGACTGCTGCTTCATCAGCTGCTAAGGAAACTCCAGCTGCTGCTTCTGAGCCACAACAATCTCAAGCTTACTAATTTAATTTAAACAAATACCACAACCCTAGATTTGACAGATCGTTTTTGATGTTTGCCTCCTGTATATAATAGCCTGTCCACAAGGACAATAAAAACAAAAACTCTAAATATTTAAACAGTAAAATTTCATACGTTCTTGTTGTCTTTTGTTTAAAGAATTGGTGAGTTTTTGCTTTGGGATGTCAACTGTTGGGCAACGGTGATGACTCAATCAACAATTGAGTACGTAACAGAGCTGCACTGATCTGATGAATCATCACGTTTTTATTCTTGCTCTTCGCTTTCTTTGGCTTGTGGATTTAGTTCCAAAATTTCAAAATCGTACCTGTAGTCAAAACCGAGCTTGCTGTAGATGGAGAGCCCATCCAATGAAGCTTGTATGACAAAACTGTTGTACTTGTGTTTTCTTGTTTTTGCTAATTCTATCATGGCAACCATCATGAGAGTGGCATAACCCTTTCCTCTGAATTTTGGCTTGGTGCACAAATTTGAACCGTAGCAAGTAGTTGGCCCAAAGAAAACTGAGGTTGAGTTGTGACACGAAATTAGCAATCAAATTCATTCCACACAATGAAAAAACATACCTTGTCCAGTCGTTGCTACTTCTCCATCATCTTTAATACAAATCCAAGCAAATTCATCTGAATTCAATGGGTAAATATTATTCATCACGTTTGCTGTAAGTTCTCCTGACTTGAAGGAGGTAAAGGTTTCTTGCATGCAATCAATGACTTCAATTAGCTCTTGTCTGGTTTCAACTAATTTCACCACATAATTCTTGGAAACTGACTCGCAAAAAACATTCTCTTGTGAGCTCTGTGTGACAAAAGGTTGTTGAATTCCTTTATAGCCCAACTCTTTTTCCATGAATTCAATTTTTGACTTGAAATAATTGGTATCTTCTCTATGAAGGTCAAAAACCATGCCATGATAAATGGAAGCTTCTGTAATGTATGGTTCAAGCCTGTCATAGAGAGGCTTGTATTTTGTGAGTCTACCTTCAGAGTCCACTAATTGTTCACTTGCTGCAAAGTCAATCATGGAGGTAACTGTATTTCCTTCAACTCTCAATGTTCTACATCTTGTATCGGGAAGAAACAAATACACAAGCGAACGTTTGGCTTGTTTCTCAACCAAGTCAACCAACTCAAAATTTTGGATGTCATCTTTACAGGTATAGGTCGGATTAGGCTCATCCAATTCCTCATATCCTGGTTTGATACAATTTATGGATTCCTTTTCATTTTCAACCAACTCGGAAATTGAAGGAATAGCTCTCACCATAATTTGATTCATTTCAAAAATAGAGTGCATGATATCTCTATTTTCTTGTTCCATCTTTGAGAGTGGTGTTGTTGTTGTTGTTGTGGATGAAAGTCGTTCGGGAGTGGATGATGAAGGAAGAGGCAGTGCAGACATTTTTTCAAACTTGCTTGGGTGTTGAAAATTCAACAAATTCGTTTAACCGATCGAGACGGGTGAAGTGGGGCAAGAATTGTGGACCACAATTCATATTCTCAAAGGCCATATCAGCCAATGAACCATAACATGAAACAGTCATCCACTCTTATAAAAGTATTGATTCATTCATTGCTGAAGAAAATTCAATTAAAATCCATTCCTAAAAAAATTTCATTCTCTCTTCATCGACCAACACATCATCAGAAGAGCAGCTTGTTAATTTCATTCATCCCGCGAATAACAACAACAACAATACCAGTGCATTTTTCTTACAATTCTCATTCAGAGTGATCTGCATTAGGCAGTAGAACATTTAACTGTTGGAGCGATCTCGGAGCCAACAGCCATAATGAATTTTGAAAATAATAATAGCAATGGACATACAATGGGGGATGATGATTACTTGGTAGATTCTTTGGATCAACTTCCCAAGATTAAAAACATAGCCTTACTGCCGTCTTCAGATGTTGTAAAGGGAAGATTTAGCCATACTGTAACACACTACAATAACAAGATTTATGTTTTCGGAGGGGCTGTTGAGAGGGGTGAGTTTGTGAGAAGTATTTCATGTTTACGAATTATTTGGATGCTTTTAATATAATGAAAATTATGATCCATTAGGAATTTATGATAATGAGCTGTATTGCTTTGATATTGATTTGAACAGATGGTACACCATAGAGACAAAAGGAAAAAAGCCTCTGAAGCGAATTTTTCATACTATGGTTTTGGATCAGAAGAATGAAAGATTATTACTATTTGGAGGAAGAAAAGAGGGAGGAACCAAATTGTAGGTAATCTAATTATTTGATGAAATGCAATTTTATGATCAAAAAATTTCTTAGAAATGACTTTTTTGGATTTGATCTGCGTACAGAGACGTGGAACAAAATAGAAGTACCTGACATGCCAAAGGCAACCGATGGACATTCAGCTGTATTTTGCAAAGATACCAATTCCATGGTCATATTTGGAGGCCACGACGGAACAAACGTACGTTTATAATATACCTTACCTGTCGATTAACAACGATCAAATAGTACATTGACTCTCTGTTTGAATTTAATTTTGATACAAACTCATGGTCTAAAATTACATGTGAAAACGAAATGCCAAGTGGAAGAGCTTATCATACTGCACAATACAGTTCAAAACATAAATGCATGATAATAACAGGTGGAAAAATTCAAGGAAATGTCTCTACAAGTCAAACATTTGTTTACAGTTTTAAAACGAAAAGATGGTCCAAATTGGATATGGAAAGTACGGATAGTACGGCCTCTGACAATGTTAATTTAAAAACATTACCCAAGGTTCTCTGTTCATGCTCGACCATGATTAATGAGGATAAAATGATCATGTTTGGAGGCGAAGACTCCCAACAAAAATGTGTAGACGAGCTTTGGGTCTTCAACTTCTTGTCGTTAAAGTGGATGTATCTACCAGTACCAGAAAATTTCACAGTTCCTAAACTTTCACGATTAGGAATGGTGTATAATACTAGAAATGCGTCGCTTTACATGTTTGGTGGATATTCAGCTGAAGGAAAAAGAACCAATGATTTGTATGTACATTGAAAATATTCAAAAATTCTAACAACTATTTAACAAGCTATCAAATTCAATTTGATGCGCCTCCTCAACTAACATCAATACCTATTGTGAATGATATAACCCAAAATATTCCATTTTTTGAGCTAGGAAGGAGCTATCAACTAGAAAATCGATATTTTGACATGATTTTAAAAACTCCAAAAAAGTCATTTGCTGCTCATAGGGTCATACTCTCACAATGTTCAGCTTTAGACGTTTTCTCGTTGGTTCCGGACTCAGAGACAAAAATTGTGACACTATCAATTAATTTTCAAGTTGACCTTAGCAAAGTACTCTCATTTCTATATGGTATCGAGCCAGATACTACAGATAACGAAATTTTAGAGCTGATGGGCTTTGCGAATGCATACCAGGTTAGATCATTACTCCGTTGGTGTATGTTTCGAATTCAGTCTTCCTCGTTGGAGAAGCAAACCATTGAAGAAGCATGCTCTAGATGTGATCCCAATTATCGAAATTTAATTGAAGATCTAACATTAGATTTACATCCATCAGAATATCTTCAAATTCATTTAGGAAATCGATTGCAAGAAATGAAAAGTGGAAGTTCTCAAGGAGATTTTAAAATTACAATTCCACATTGCTCTCAACCATTTTACTGTGACAAGGCCTTGTTAATTGCGCGAAGTGACTTTTTCAGATCCATGCTTACACACGGATTCAAGGAAAAACATAATAATGAAGTTGTTATGGACCAAGTGGATTCCCCAAAGCAAATGAACCTTCTTATTGAACATATATATGGTATGCAAATTACAGAGAACAAGGATCTGAGCATTCGAGAGTTAATGCTATTGTTAATTATGGCAAACTTTTATTGCATGAGACAACTTTATCAAGAAGTATTACGGGTTTTGATATCTAACGTGAACGAAGAAAATGCCTTAGAAATACTAATCAATACTAACCATTTAAGCAACGCCTCCAATATTGAACGAAAATTGCAAAATATTTGCCTGACCTCAATACGAAAAAAGGATTTGAGCGATCGATTAATAGAAATGGCTTCCGATATCAATCTGCTTCAGCAAGAAAACGCAGCATTGGAATCCAAGGTGCAAGAGCTTTTGAATGAAAATGAGCAACTCAAGAAAAAGCTAAATAACCAATAAAATCAGAATATATTGGATTTTCTCCTAGTCGAAATAATCTTCGTCATCGTCATCATCATCGTCCGACGAGTAAGATGCTCGTTTCTTCTTAGGTGGATGACGCCGTTTTGGCTTTTTTCTTTGAGGCTTTTCTTCATGCTCTTGAGGATGGTCAAAGTAATTATCATCTTCTTCTCCATCTCGCAGAGGCGCTGTTGGAATATAAATAGCCTCTTGTTCGTATTCATTAATAGGCATGTCACTTGGCCTTTCAAAAATATCAATAATTATGTTTGGATCATTTACATCTGATATTAACAATTTTAACGGCTTATTGTCCACATTAGCGTCACAATCTTCATCGTACTCATTCTCTCTTTCAATATACAACTCATTACACTCAAGCTCATCAAATTCTGGAGAAAACGCGCTCCAATTTTCTACAATTGTCTTGGTCCAAAAAAGAATGTTTCCACCTGTTGTTCCTGTAACAATCAATGGTCGTATATACTTAAATGTTTGAGGATGACATTCAAGGGATATCACACGCTCATTTAGGGGACAATCTAGAATTTTCATTAAATCTCCACTTATATAGTCGTAGATGTGAATATTATGTTCTTTTGTTGCGATTAAATAGTCAGAGTCTTCAGAAGCACCTCCCGTGCTGGTTCCAATAAAGCTTAATAGGTAAAATGGTTCGTTGTGAATGCTAGGAAGTTCAAAAATTTTAGCATATTCTACGTATTCAGAATTCTTTTTGACATTAATGGTCACTAGAAAAACGTAAATGGTTGTTTGCGTATTTACAGCAATATATTTTCCTTTTTTTGAAAAAGCTATTTGTGTGATAAAGTAACCTCGATTTTGAATGATTCTTTGACTCAAGTCGACATTGGCTTCTCCAGAAATATGGAAGGGTTCGCCACCATTGTGTGGCACTACTTTTAGAGAGTGAGTATTAATCGCTACAATTTGGCCCATAGTGTTGCCAATAAATATGTACTTTCCGTCCGGAGAAAATGGGCCACCAACCAAATCTTTTTGCCTTGATTTCTACAAGAGAGTTAAAGAGTTGTGACATTTCTCTCCTACTTACGTTTTTGTACTCATAGAGCTTGATAGGAAGATATCGTCGTTCCTCAGTTTCAGTGTTTAGCAACAGTGGAGGAGAAACGTCTGTGCAGATCAATATTAAATTTCTGTGAATTGAAAAAAATTATTTCATCATGACGCATTTCAATAATAGACAATTAATCATGAATTATGATGTGCATGACAAAATACATACTGGTCGGCTGGGCAAATATAGGCTCTTGTGATCACGTGTCCGGGAAATGGAAATCGTTTAATACACTCCTTTTCAATGACGTTCCATATTGTAATAGCATCACGTTCAGAGCACATAATAAATGTATAATCTATGTACCATTCAATGTTCGATACCATCGTTTTCGCAACTCTAAATTGAGAAATTTGAGAAAGCGTATCGGAATCATAAATAGACAAGGTTCCATCAAAACATCCAACAGCAAAGATATTTCCTAGATGATTAAACTTGATCACTGTTCCCGTTGTTTCTCTATTTAAATGAAAACCTTCTTCCAATTCTTCGGGATAAGCTCCTTTCAGTTTTTCCCGAGAGGATGCGCTCATCATGAGAATATTCATTTTTTTTGTGAAATTTGTATTTTCTTTTTCAATTATTTAAAACAAGATATAAAGTCTCTATCGCATGACCTAGAGGTTCTTCGCGATATAATATATTTACAAATGATCCCTCTCTTACGTTGATTCAACATCATCCAAAATTCCAAATGTAAAAAGATCTCATCGATGACATCATCAAAAAAAAAGAAAAATGTTGGCTTCATCCGCTTCGGTGATTTCCGGAAATAATAATCACATTCTCGTGGTGCATGCTTTACCCGAGTTGAAAGAGAAGGGAAAAAATTATCGGGATGAAATGATGAATGTGTTGGGCATTGAAAATTATAACAAGGAGCATGATTTGGAATCGGAACATGTAACCATGCCGTTAAACACGAAATATTACAGTACAAATATTTGTCTTCATTTCTGGGATGTGGCACAACATTCAATTTGTCCATTTGATTGGGTAAATAAGAGTGTGCAAGTGATCATTGGTATTCCTGATTATCAATCGGATTTAGTCTTGGAAAATATTTTGAAATATAAGAATGAAATTGAATCTGGCTTTATTTATTATATTGACGAGCCACATGATAAGGTGAAAGATGAATCTCGACATTGGTGTGTTGAAAATAATTTTGAATTGATTGTAAAGAATTACAAAAAGGAGGAACAGGAGGAAGAAGAATCTGCATCAATTATTGACGATAAAAGAGGAGTGGAAAGATTGATGGAGGCTTTGGAATGTACCATGTGGCCTGATATGGTTCGTCACAATCCAAAAACTTTATCAAAGTCCATGCCTCAAAATATTTCAGAATCTAAGGAAGAGCCAATAGCTGCTTCTGATGTCAAGAAGGATGAAAAGAAGGAAAAGCCACAAGCAAAAACAACGGAAGAGCTTTTGGAAGAAGAGGAAATCTTAGAAGATGAAGAAAAGGAAATGAAAGTCTTGGATCAACTCATGACAGAAATGCTCTTCTTGAGGAAAGAAGGAGCCAACATTCCACATGAAGAACGAAAAAAGAGGGCGGAAATGACTGCTCTCAAGCTCATGGCAATGCTTGGTGAAGAAGATTTTGGTTCAGACGAGGAAGACCAATAACGTTTGCTAGGAAAGCGAATAAAAAGATTTTCAATATCAAAAAAAATGTCTGAACTTGATAGAGAAGTCCGTGTTCGCAAAGATGTGCTCCGAGTGTAGGTGTTGTGTTCTTTTCAAAACGTTTCTCACATCATGAACTTTCGGAATTGTTCATATCATTAATATTCACATCAATGATTACTTTACACTTGGGAATGATATTTACAGATTTAATTTGAGAAGAGAAAATTTTGCAACACTACGAGAATATAATGATTATTTGGAAAAAGTAGAGGATATTAGTATGTACTAAAATTATAATTTATTAGTACGATACATACAATTTTACCGTATGATCACCGTAATTCCGAAACCAATTGACATGAACATTACAATTCTATGATTCATATGTGATTTTCCGTTGAATTCCCATGTTATGTAATTCCTACAATCCAAATTACTAGTATTTGATTTGGCCTATTCCAACGACAATGAAGTAAAACTCAAGCGACAACGAGAAATTGATGAATTCAAACAAGTGAACAAAAATCTCATTGCAAAGAATAGAGCCTTACAAGAAAATGAATACAAACAAAAGAAACTTGAAGAAGAACGAAAGTTAATGGAAGCGGAAGAAAGAAAAGAAAAAGAAGCAGTACACAAACATTTACAAGAAATTACTATGCAGGAAAAACAAGAAGAAAAAGCAGCCTCTACCAGTTTTATGGGTATTTTCCCAAGCCAATTACAGAAACGACAACCTGCACCAAAGATGATTATTCAAACCGCTGAGCCTTATTCCAAGCTTTCAAAGGAAGATCAACGAAGGTTTGAAAGAGCTGCTGGATACTCTGCATCGTTTGTTTTGGAAAGAGCCAACCAAGAAGCATACCGTTTAGTGTTGTAATGTTTGTGAAAAAATTGGAATGTTGTTAAGAGCAGAGTGAAAAAGGTCACTTTTGGTTCGACCTGACCTCATCACCACAAGGAGGTTCCACAAATTTTGCTGTTGTTTGTTTTGGTGAATTGTTGGAGCTTGACTACAGTACACACACACGGACGAATCACTTTTCACTGAATATGTCATGTTGCAGACAGTAAAAGCGCTTTCACTGATCGCTTACATTTTAAAAAAAAGAAAGGTCAATACCATCGCAAATTCGCAAGATCATGACATCAAATTCCATTGGTAGACTGTCGAGTTCATCCTTGCCCACAATCTCGCTGTGGCTGCTATGGGTGTGGTTGTTGTCGACAACACTTCTAGGATTCAACAATTGGCCAATCTCCTCTCCGGATCCAACTTTCCTGCCACACCTTGTGGTTCATTCACAACCACTTCCAAACACAAATTGGTACAATTCAACCGATGTCTATGTATGGGGCAGTAATGAAAATTGGGCCACAGGAAATACCTATATTCAATCTTCCAACATCCCTCTGAACAATTCCAAATTATCAGCTGCTTTTTTCACAAACACTTATGCATGGAACCCAACGTATGGACAATCAGAAATTTCATCGGACTTGGTGACGATTGCCAATGGAAAAAGCTTTAATTGGTTGCTTGTGAAATATTCCAATGCTTCTTCTGGAATTGTGTTGAATACAACCATCATGGCATGTGGAGATAATGGTAATAACTTTATTGGTAGGTGTTTTCAATGTGTATGAGTGCGAGTGTGCGAGTCTATTGAATGCGTGTGAAATACTGATTCATATGATGACCGAACCTATTCCTTTGTGAAATTTTGAATCTTATATCTACTTGTCCTCAATCATTTTGGCGTATTGAAATGAATCATTGACTTGCCCTCACATTTGTTTGCAATCATTTCTTTTCGTATTGATAACTTTTCATTGAAACTTGATTTAGGATATGGAAATTCTGCTCCACCTGTAGCCATTTCACCTGTGGTTCCCATGGGTTTCTTTCGCTCAGAAGCACTACTTGCAACCACTCCATTATTTAACAAACAAATCACTCAAATTGCATGTTGGTTCAAATGTTTAATTCTAACCAATACCAATGAAGTATATTATTATAAGGGTGGAATCTTTACAAAAATTGCACTCCCATCGAGCATGATTCATCCAGACACTCTTCAAAACATTCCAGTCACGGTGGTACAAGTTACTCTTACAGGTGTTTTTCACTCTCAAGAAGAGACTTTATTTGCCTTGACGTCTGAAGGTTTTGTGTTCTCATGGGGAGGAAATAACACTTGCATTCGAGGACGATCTCCATCCATTCAAGTCGACACGACTCCTGCAATTATTCCCTCCTTACGAAATATCAAGTACATTTCAGTTGGACATTATGATATCGATGAGAGCAGTGTTGCTGCAGCCATCAACACGACAGGACATGTCTTCACATGGGGAAGTAATTCACGTGGAGGACTTGGACTTGGAATTTCTGATACTTCACATGCTCAATGTGGAGATGCTCAATTAGTTTCATTCGATTATGACAATACGGGACCATTTGTGAAAGTCAATGTCGTGCATGCTCATGCCGTTGCTTGGAGTGAACGTGGACAAATTTTCACATGGGGACTGGATGATAATTTTCAGACCGCTCGTGGACTTGGAACTCAAATTTCTCCACTCAATTCGACTCAAGATTTTGTGGATGCTGTTGGAGAAAGTACCAATTTTATTGTGAAAGGTAGGTGATGCATCCATGGTGTTGTGTTTCGAAACTTGCGTGAAATTTATTTTTTTATGTTTGAAAAATTCATTTCAATCGTGACTTCCTTAATCATCAGAATGTTATGTGTCTAGACTAGCAACTGCTTGCTTGATTGGGTAGGTTCAATAGTATTCCTATCGATAACAACAACAATGATGATACAGTGATTATGTATGGAGTTTTGGAGATATTCCAGACCGTGGTCATAATTCTCCAGGTGTCATTGCTCAAGTTTCAACTCCAAATTTAGTGAAAAGGTTGAAACTCTTCTATCGGGGTGGAATGGCCATTCAAGTCGATAATCAAGTGTACACATGGGGTGAAAATTATGAAGGCAAAAGGTAAGTCATGAAATTATACTGTCCCTTTTTACAACAATTATAAATGTATTCAATGATCAATGATTGATGGATCTGATCATTTCTCAGCTGTTTGGATGATATACTTTATATTCAAAATGCACAAGCCATGACACAATCTTCACCCATTCCCTATCGACCTTTTTACCCGGAAGGTCAAATGGATCCACAACAACCAGAATACTCTAAAATCATTGTGAAAAGTGGTCAACAATGTAATTTCGTTCTTGCCACAAAACCCTTCAACTCCTCCGAAATCTACAACTTTGGTGTCTGTCCCAATAATTTACACATTTTTGGACCGAATCCTGTTCAGAAACCTTCGAACAATCTTGCTTCCTTCCTTCGAGCAGTGGTGAATGAAAATCTTGTCGATTTGAGTTACATGACCCTTCATGCCATTGCTCTCACCCAAAATGGAAAACCCATTGGTTGGGGTTCCAATGTCTATCGACAACTTGGTTCAGGTTCAGTCGATCCTCGACCTCCTTTCAATTTGTTTGCCAACTATGCCAGTGATCCCAATATGAATGCCACTCGAGTGGCTGTGGGTGATAAATTTTCACTCTTTCTCTTATCGAATGGAACTTTATTAGGATTGGGAACGAATACGAATGGTCAACTTGAATCCTTGGCGAGTCCAGTGTTGACCTTAACAGCTCTTAATACTTCTATTGTGGAATTAAAAAGTGGAAATGCCAGTAGTGGAGGAATGGATAAAATTGTCGACATTTGTGCGTGTCGAGAAAGTACTCTCATCATTACAGCATTGGGAAAGGTCTATGGTACTGGATCGAATAGTGGTGGCTCACTGAGTTCCAATTTCACTCTTCAACCCAAATATTTTGAATTTATTGAAGTGAGTGGAAGGGATCCCATTCTCTCGACCAAACAAGTTTGGAAAGCTGTATGTTATGATTATCCAATTTTCTTGACACGAGATGGATTTGCCTATGTCTTTCGTTCGGGAGTGGCCACTCTGTTTTCCATTCCTAATAATGAACGGGTGGTGGATGTTTCCGTATATGGAAATGAATTTATTTGGGATTATGATGCTCACTTTTTAACACATAAGGGTAATGTGTATGGTCGAGGTCAAAATCGATACTTTCAACTTTCACCTCAAATGGGACTCCTCTCAGTTCCCTCCACTCCTGTACTCACCATTTCCAAAGACACACAAATGAATGAAAAAGGTGAAACTCTGTTACCGTATGCCATAGCGACTGGATATCGACATGGATTGGCTGTGATGGCTCTCGAATGGAAATGTTTCAATATCAATGCTACTCATGATTCTGTTTGTAGTGGCATGGGTTTTTGTATAGCTCCAGATCAGTGTCGTTGTAAACATACGGGAATTACAGGAGCACAATGTGAAACATTTTCATGTTTTGGAATTTTACACAATGAAACGAGTATGGTTTGTAATGGAGTTGGAAATTGTACCTTTCCTGATACGTGTCAATGTAAGGAAGGTTATACAGGAGCGAATTGTTCCATTGCCTTGCCCGTGTGTTATGGAAAGGTTTCGACACGACCCGATGTGTGCAATGGACGTGGTTCGTGCATTGCCAATGACACATGTGTTTGTACCTTTGGACAGGTTGGTGCATTTTATGGACCTCAATGTGAATTTAAATCATGTTATCCATTGGATTTGAGTTATGAACAGAATTTGTTAGTGACTCGACGATCTTCCACCATGCGAGCAAATTTATGTAAAAAGATTACACAATTGTTGTGAGTGTGGCGGAGAGGGGTACAACATGTTGTTGAATCACATGTGATTCTAGTAAATTAGGTTTGAGAGTGCTCGTGAATGAAGGAGAACATCGTGCGTTAACATTGAGATGCTCTGAAAGGAAAAGGAATACCAATTGGCAATAATCAACAAATAACTTTATTTTTAGGAATCAATAAGCATACGGCGGTTTAGCACAGGGGCAGTGCATCAGTCTTGTAAACTGAGGGTCCAGGGTTCGATTCCCTGAATCGCCTTCCGATTTTTTATGCACCTGTTAGCAGCTTCAAATTTTTGGATAGGCTTTGTTGAAGGAAGGCTGTAATGGCTCAGGGTGAAATCAAACACTTTATAAGAACTCCTAATCTTGCGACAACGTGGCTTAATGCAGCAATCAAAAAGCTCGTTGAGCTCTATCCACACCAACTCGCTTCCTGTTTCATTAGACTGGTGTCTAAATAAAGCTCGGTGTTTTGGATCCGAGCAAAAAAGAAAAACATGTGGTCCTCTCATTCAGTTTTGAAAGGCTAACTGTTTATTTGATATTTGCGTAAAAAGTTTCTCTCTCTTCCAAAACTCAATAATGGACAACAATCGAAACATATGTTTGGATAGTAAAAGGTTTTGAAGGCTTGTTTTAGTAAAAGCTGGAACGTGAAAACTCTTTTTTCACCTGTCTGACTGCGTTTCTTATGGCATCAATCTCACCTTGCGATAGACCAATCTCAGGATTTATGGGGCCATGTGTATCGATTATAGTCTTTTTAAGCCTTTCAAATATTGCGGCTCTTACTTTAGGAGAGGACATGAAAATTTTTTCATTGCTTTTGGTTTCACAGTTTTGGTTGTTATTTTGGTTTAACTCTTCCAATGTACGTTTGTTGGCTCCTTTCGTATGTTGTTTGTTTGTTGTTGTAGATGAACAAGCTTGGTGAGAATGGGACATTTTTTTTTGTATTTTAAAAAAAGCTTTGATTTTGAACCTTGCATGTTAGAGAAACTGAGGTCCTGTTCCTTTAATCGATTTCTGATTTATTGAATACAGTATAACAATTAGATGAATCACTTGTGGAGATAGTTTTTTCCAGCCTTTCTGTAATCGCTTCTCTTACTTCAAGAGTTAACAACCTTTGCAGTTTCAGGAGATAATTAAACGAATTACACGCTCGTGAGTTTGCTGAATCAACATATTCATCAATGATCTTCGAAATTACATCACGATTAATGCAATTCAAATTCATCTCTCATTCAATCAAATTGGTAGCGAAGGAGCAAGTCCGTCAAAAAGTTAGAGCTGATAACAGATTGCACAAAAAATCGGAAGGCGATTCAGGGAATCGAACCCTGGACCCTCAGTTTACAAGACTGATGCACTGCCCCTGTGCTAAACCGCCTTTACATTTTTCAAAAACCTATCCGATTCAATTGATCCATTCTAAGGAGCTAAAGCTCTGTTTTTGAAAAAGTTGCCGTTTAACATCCAGATTTCAATTTAGAACGAATGACGAACAAGGTCATATGGAACTTAAGACGTTTCTCTTTATGGATAGGACGGGAGGCCAGTCAGGTATATGACGACTCTCCCGCAACAACTTTTGGACAAAGAGGTCAAGTGGATGATTCTTGATATTCTGGTTCAAAAGCTCTTGAGAATGTAGAGTGGATGTTCTTTTATTGCGTTTGAAATTAACGATCTATTCGACGACTTTTGTGGTTTAAGAATACCTAGGACAGAATTTCAATGTGTAAGTTTCAACTCTGTGGTTGAAAACGTCAATTATTAACAAATCGTCATAGAACATCCCTTTTGATCAAGATTCCAAAAGATTTTTCGGTCATGTACTCTCACCGTTCCATACAACAGGATTAAATAAACGAAGTGCTATTATGAATTGGCTACGGCCATATCACGATTAATGCACCTCATCCCGTCCGATTTAAGAAGTTAAGCATCGTCGAGCTGCATCAGTACTGAGGTTGGAGACAACTTGGGAACCTGCAGTGCTGTAGCCTTTTTACCATAGGTACGTTTTGGAAAGATTTACAGATGAAAAACAAATCAAAAAGGCAAGGGTGGATTTACGCCACCAGTCGCTTCTGAAGATGAGCAGGTCGCGGTGTTAGAATTACACTACTTGCCTCGAGAATCATACAAGTTTTTGCGTGCTTAAAAGGAATGACGAGTCATCGATCGTGTTCATGTTTTGGTTACAAGAAACTTACCACTTACTAACTTACCACAATGTCTGCTCCAGATGCAATGTGAAATGGGATGTTCAAATTTTCACCCTCAACTTTGCAGCCAGTGGGTCACGAAACACTGCCATTTAACTTGAACGACAGAAGGCGAGTAGCAAATCCTTTTTAAAACAACCAATATTCTAACATTTCAATTTTAGAAATTAAACAGGGTGATAGTTAATCACTTCCACGTGTTTCATCATGCTGCACACGTGTTCTTTTCTTCATGAGTTGGCTCTAAATTGATTCTTACCACAAAAAAAATGTTCTCACCCGAATATTTCTTTTCGGGACTTCTTCCCGATTTTATCGTTCGTTCTTCTCTCTTTCATTGGATGTGGTATTATACATGGACAACGGTGATCGGAACTACATTTTTATTTATTTATTTGAGAATGTTTTATTTTCCTCAACAACGAAAGACGAGCAGAACTCGGAATGGAATTTCCAACGATCAAATTGTGGTTGGATTTATGCACCCGTATAGTGAGGGATGTGCTGGAGGAGAACGAGTATTGTGGTGGATTATTAAAGCCCTGCAACAAATGAGAGATGATGTAACCGTGGTGCTTTATACCGGGGTGCCATCGGAAGGAAATCAAAATATTACAGAACGTGAATATGAACAAATTCTAGCTGAAAAGGTCAAGAAAATATTCAACATTACTTTGGACAAACCTGTGAAAGTTGTGTTCTTGTATAATAGAGATATTCTGGAAGAAGCTTCTAAAACAAGTTTTACTCTTTTGGTACAGAGTATAGCAAGCGTGTTACTTGGATGGGAAGCAGTTAACTTCTTTACACCTGATGTTTATATTGATACACACGGCTTGCCATTTACATATTTCGTTGCAAAATTAGCAGGATGTCGAGTTGGCTCCTATACCCACTATCCTACAATTAGTACAGACATGCTCGATCGAGTTGTTAAACGAGTAACAGCTTACAACAATGATACAAGCGTATCGAACAGTGATTTAAAAACCAATTTAAAGCTAACCTATTACAAGCTCTTCTCCATGCTGTATGGATTTTGTGCTGGATATTTTTGTGACATGGTAATGGTTAATTCAACATGGACCTACAACCACATCAAATCATTATGGCATTTACGACAGAGAAAGACAAAAACTCGTTTGAATATTCAAATTGTGTATCCACCAGTGAATGTGGACCATTTGACAACACTTCCACTCAGTCATGAATCAAGATTACCTAATATTCTTTCTGTAGGGCAATTCAGGCCAGAGAAAGATCATGCCTTACAAGTCAAAGCCTTTTCTAGATTCCTCAAGCAGAAAGAATATGAATTTTCTAACGATTCTCGTTTTAAGAAATCTGATGTGAAATTAATATTATTGGGAGGTTGTAGAAATGCTGAGGATCAACAACGTGTAGACTATTTGAACAAATTGGCCGCTGAGCTTGAAATTCCACAGTCACAATTCGAAATCATTACAAATGCTCCATTTTCAGTGCTCTTACAAAAGCTTGGAGAGTCCATGATCGGCATCCATTCAATGTGGAATGAACATTTCGGAATTTGTGTGGTTGAATACATGGCAGCAGGTTTAATACCACTGTCCCACAACAGTGGTGGTCCAAAATCAGACATTATCACTCCTGGAGAGACAGGCTTTTTGGCTGAAACAGAAGAAGAATATGCCAAAAGCATTTACGAAATTCTCTCCAAGTATGACACTCCAGAAATGGAGTTGATGCAAGAAAAGGCTAGAGAAAGCTCAAACAAATACTCTGAAGAAAAATTTATTGTCGATGTAAAAGAATGTCTCCACGAGATTTTAATATAATCCATCGAATGCAACAGTAATATCACTTAATGGTTCATAATCTCTCTGCAAAAAGAAGCTGAGTCTTGGGAAAATTCTCAAGATGTTGCCAGGAATAATTAATCCCATGGAATAAAGTTGGTTAGATTTTTGATTGTGTTCGTTTCTTCCTCCATATAAAAATAGTGAGTTTCCAGAAAATCCCAAGCAGCAACAATTGAGCTTTGGAAATTCAATTCCAGTTCTATTAAGACATGTCCAAGCTCTGTTTGTAATATCAAATAAATAGCAATGGTTTAAAGCTGAAGTAGAAGTGCCTCCATATGCAATCAAGAAGAAGGGAGGACCTTTGATGTCCAATAAAATAGAGGTATGACCGAATACCTTTGGGAATGTGTGCAGAGTATCATTTGGATCCTGGACAAGTAATTTAGTCCATAAATGAGTGGTAAAATTCAATATAAACGTGTCGCCAGTGAGAGAGGCTGGAGTATCTCCTCCAAAAACTACTAATTCGTCTGTACCAGGGCAGTATTGACCATTACAATATGATCTTGGCGACACAATTGAATCGTTGTATGGTTTGTACAAATACCAACTCTGTTCTGTGAATGAAAAAACATTAATATCGCTTGTTTTCTGGCCATTCTTGAGGCCAGCAAAAATAACAAGACAATCTTCACGATCTCTATATACACCAACGTGACCAGATCTACTGTCTATCGAAGAAACATAGTTGTAATTTTCAGGAAATCGACTTGACAGCCATTCATGTTGAATGGACTCATCTCTTTGGATAGTAGGAGTAATTTCTGACCAAGCATATCTTTCTAGATCAAATTTAAAAAGATCTCCGTAATACGTAGAAGAATTCTTAGTAGAAACTCCTCCGAATAAATAAAAGCATTTTCTACTCTTGTCCAAGCTCATGTTGTGATATAATCTAATCTTAGGAGGTGTCCCCACAACATTTAGTCGGAAGAGCAAATTATCAAGCATATCGTACATAAATACTTGATCAGAGTCGCTTCGTCCTCCGAAAATGTACATTCTATTATTGTAGACCACACATTGTTGAGAACTTGTGAGTGGCGGAGTGATTAAATGTTCTCCAGTTTTTCCATTCTTCTCATAAACTAGATCAATGAAACCATAAATGACTCTTCTAATTGCAAAGACGGACGGAAGGTTGGAAAAGCCAGACATTTTTTTTATGATGATGATGATATTTAAAAGAAGAAAATATATGATCCGAGTTCATCATCAAATTGATGAGTTGAATGTTGTTTGGATTTCTCGTTGGTAACGTTCTCATTCCACTTGATTGTAAAAAATCTAAATCGTTTCATTGATTTTTCCGAGAGGATACCTCGAGTTCCACATGATCAACCACACTCCAATCTTGGAATTCCTCAATCTCTTTCAATGTTGATTCATTCTTGAATTAAACTTCAATAAATCAAGAACAATTTTGGCCAAAATCTCTGAGAGTATTAATAACAACAAATTACAACAAAAAATGTCTCTCATCAGACGAGGTGCTTCAGTCCTTTTTGCCAGAGGAAAGTTCTACGCTACTCCAATCCTCAGAGGACAAACAGCCAATCAAGACAAGGAATCATCAGAGGAAGAGAAGTATGCTGCCAAGCATGATTATGAATTGTTAATGAAGTGGGCTGCTCAACAAGGCAAGAAGATGGAAGTTAAAACTGAGGAAGTCAAGAAGGAAGTGAGGGAAGAAATTGCCAAACACAACAAGCAGAATGTTGATGAAATCACACAATTGAAAGAACAAGTTGCCGAACTCAAGTCCATGTTGTCGAAGGCTTTGGAAAAGAAGTAAATGTACTGATTAAATTAATTTAATACAATATTTGGAATTTTATCATCAAGCTAGTATTGATCGGGTAATCTGTGTACATACATAAATTTAATATTAATGAATATAAAATTCGTAGCTTGTTTCCTAGTCGATCATCCGTGTTAATCTCCAAAGCCATCTCGATTATTGAATGAACGTGTACATCATCAATGATGGTTCAAAAACATGCTCTTTTGAACACGAAAACAACCACGTGTTGGCCTCAACGTCGTGTTATCCGTCATCTTGAAAACCTTGTACATGCTGCTTTCTCTTTCGATCATCACCCAAAAACAAAAAAATGATGACCAAACGAATCCTTGCTCTCTTTGATGTCGATGGAACACTTACAGTTCCGAGAAACAAAGTTACCGCAGAAATGTACCAAACACTCATGAATTTGAAAAAATCTGGAGTTAGTGTTGGTATTGTTGGAGGTTCGGATTTGAGCAAACAATATGAGCAAATGGGTGAGACAATTTTGAGTGATTTTGATTATGTCTTTTCCGAGAACGGTTTGGTGGCCTATGAAAAGGGAAAATTGATTAAAGTCACGTCCATCAAGGATTATCTTGGAGAGGATAGAATTAAGGAGTTTGTGAATTTTACTTTGAGAGCTCTTGCAGATATTGACATCCCAATCAAGAGAGGAACCTTTATTGAATTCCGAAAGGGAATGTTCAACATTTCTCCAATTGGTAGAAATTGTTCACAAGAGGAACGTGATGATTTTGAAAAGTATGATCATCAACATCAAGTACGAGCCAAACTCGTTCAGCTCTTACAAGAAAGATTTAAGGACTACAACCTTAAATACAGTATTGGAGGACAAATCAGCTTTGATGTCTTTCCTGAAGGTTGGGATAAGACATTCTGTTTGCAGTATGTGAAAGATCACTTTGATGAGATTCACTTCTTTGGAGACAAGACTCAGAAAGGTGGTAATGATTATGAAATTTTCGAGCATGAGTTAACGGTTGGCCACAGTGTAAAGACATACCATGACACCATTAAGGCTATCGATGAGTTATGGCTCTCTAAACAATAATCAACACAAGTGAAGTACAATACAAGCACTTTAAAACACCAAAAGATCATTGGTATCATTGATGGAGTATGGTGTGCTCTCAGCACAACAAAAACACAAACAATAAATTTAATTCTCTTTAATCCTTTTACAACAACAACAATTTCCGGGTCCATACGGAAAGTCTTGCCGTGCTGCTTCATCTTGTATTCAAAAAAAAATTCTGAATCAACATGTCTACAACAGCTGCCACATCAGCCCCACAAAACTTCCAAAGAGGAAACAAGGGTGATACCAAAGCCAACGAAAAGGAAAGAGGAAAGGATGTTCGTTACTCAAATATTGAAGCTGCAAAGGGTAAGGATTTTATTCCGTTTATGATTTGATGATACAACTTGGTCCTATGTTGTATACAACAACAACATCATACTTCCGTACGGAACATTATCCGTTGAATTGTGTATTTCATTGTTCATGATCTAATACCATCTTCTCCCTAATCAATCACATCATGATAATACAATTGATATACATCATCATCAAATTCGCAATGTATTTTCATTCTATCATCATTGTCAACAATTATACAAAACTTAGCATTGGCCGACTCCGTCAGAACTTCTTTAGGTCCAAAGGGTATGGATAAGATGATTGTTCTTCCAAAAGATGAAGTTATCATCACCAATGACGGTGCTACAATCTTGGACAAAATGAAGCCAACACATCCAGCAGCTAAAATGTTGGTATCCTTGTCAAAGTCTCAAGATATTGAAGCTGGTGATGGTACAACAACTGTTGTAGTAATTGCCGGAGCTTTACTTTCTGCTTGCCAAAATCTTCTAGACAGAGGTATTCACCCTACCACAATTTCTGATGCTTTTAAACTCTGTGTGGATAAAGCAGAACAAGTTCTTGACAACATGTCTGTCAAAGTCGATTTAACAGACCGTGAAAACATGATTAAATCAGCCAAGACATCACTGAGTTCAAAGGTTGTTTATCAATATGCCGACGTGTTAGCTCCTTTGGCTGTTGACTCTGTCCTCCGTGTTGTTGAATCAAAGGACGCCTCTAATGTTGATTTGAACGACATCAAAATTGTTAAAAAGTTGGGAGGAATTCTTGAGGACACTGAATTGGTTGATGGATTGGTTTTGGATCAAGGAACTAAAAAAACAGCTGGTGGCCCAACTAGTGTTAAAGATGCAAAGATTGGTTTGATACAGTTCCAATTGTCTCCACCAAAGACTGACATGGAAAACAGTGTAGTAATTAACGATTATACACAAATTGATCGTATTCTTCGAGAGGAGAGAGCTTATTTACTTAACCTTTGTAAACAAATTAAGAAGGAGGGATGTAATGTTTTATTGATTCAAAAGTCGATTTTGAGAGATGCAACTACTGACATGTCATTGCACTTTTTAGCAAAGATGGGAATCATGGTTGTCCAAGATATTGACAGAAAAGATATTGAATTTATTTCCAAGACTTTGAACTGCAAACCAATTGCTTCTATTGATTCTTTCAAGAAGGAAAAACTCGGCTCAGCTGGCTTAGTCGAAGAAGTCAACACTGGTGACGGTAGAATTGTAAAAATTACCGGTATTCCTTCTCAAGGAAAGACTGTTACCTGTCTTGTTAGAGCTTCAGGAAAATTGATGCTTGATGAGGCTGAACGATCTCTTCACGATGCATTGTGTGTTGTTAGAAGTTTGGTGAAGAAGAAGAGTATAATTGCTGGTGGTGGTGCACCTGAAACTCAAATTGCTATCGAACTTATGGAATACGCAAAAACACTCAAAGGTGCTATTCAATACTGTGTTCGTGAATATGCCGAATCGTTAGAGATTGTACCAACTACGCTCGCAGAAAATGCTGGCTTGTCACCAATTAAGATTGTCACAGAACTCAAGAATAAGCATTTGAACGGAGACAAGAGTGCAGGTATTAACGTGAAGAAGGGCACAATTACTGATATGGTCGAAGAAAATGTGGTGCAGCCTACCCTTACAACACTCAGTGCTATTACTTTGGCTACTGAAACAGTGAGAATGCTTCTCAAGATTGATGATGTTGTTCAAAACTAAATTATAATTAAACCTAAATCCTTTGTAAAGAGATTTATTTTCTTGACAAGTTGTTAAATATTTTCTAGATTTATTTCCTTGCCAAAAGTAGCGAGTGAAGTTCTGCTGCTTCTTTGATTTTCACAAATTCAATGCAAAAACTTTGCAATTCCAAAAATATAAAGTCTTCAGGGTTTACAGTGAGGATTTCTTCTCTAATTAATCTCTGAACAAAAACGCAAACCAATCTAACTTTTCTGGTTTGAGATGGTGGGTCTTGAGCGGACTGATTACAGTGTGCCATGCAATTTCGCAATAGTGTATGAAGGAAGGATGAGCTTTTAGAATCTTCCAAGTTTTGAGTAAATAAATTGGTGGTCACAGCATCAGACTTGTTAAGGAGAGTATTTACAACTTCCAATAGTTGCAAAGAAACGGGAATAGACACCAGTACTGACATGTACTCGTTTAAACGCTTGTTGTTCGTATGAATAAGTACTTGTAAGCACTTGCTTGCCAGCTCTCGGTTGTTTTTGACTAAATCTGTCAACCTGTTAGGTGTCAATAATTCTGTAAACATGGTAATTTTGTCAAAATTTTGAATGAGATTTTTGGTTTGTACTGGTTGAAGCTGCTGTTTAAACGCTTTGGAAAATAGCTCGTTAAGTTCGTTCTCTTGATTTGTTTTACCTCGTTTCATCAAAACTACGCCTCCTGAGTCTCCTACAGCTTGGCTTGTTTCAGAGGATTGACTGAAAGGTGTCGATGTTTGTCCTCTTTGATGATTCGAACTCATGAAACCTCCCTTATTAGACGAGTTCAACTCATACAAACAAAATAAATGTGTAGAATCAATATCAAATCCCGTATCCAAATGATATTCAGAAGGCTTTTGTTTCATTTGTCCAATATATTGAGAACTTGAATAAGTGTTGACATCATTGATCCACATGAGCTCAAAGTCCGGATTAAACTCCAACATTGGAGGTGTTGGTCGGAAAAATTTTGTCTCAAATCTAGATAATGGAGATTGAGAACTGTTAGTTGTTGTTCCAGCCATAATATTTGGTTGTTGTTGATTAAAGTACAAAGATTCCTCAAATGCATAGTGGCTTGGTTGCAAAGTCATCAATTCACTTAATGACTTGGTATGGCCATGTCTGAATGTGTGAATAGAAGGTAAAAAATGTTTGTCATTGAGTAATTTGGGATAGAGACCGTGACTTCTCATGCCTTTCAATGAATAAGATTCGTGTTGTGTGATCATTTCATGAAGTTTCGATAGAAAATTAGGATATGATAAAATGGTTAATATTATGAATTGAGAGAGTTTGCTTTCATCATTATATTCTGCACGAGAAAATAGAGAATGCAAAGTTTCATTCTTCATCCACAGAATATCTTGATTTGAAGTATTGGATTCTGAAATGTAATCTGAAATGTCTTGTGTTAAAACTAGTTCCGTCGAAGAGAATAGAGAAAATGAAAGAGAGAACAATCGGAGAAGGAAAAACAATTCCACAAGTATACAAATTTTTCTTTCAGGAGGATAATGTTGGGCTCCACTCCAAATTAAAACAGGAGGGTTTATGGTCGAACTGTTGCTACTACTCGAGGAATAACTCACAACAATGTGATGTTTAAGATGGTACTGAATTTGGGAAAGGATCGGATATAAACTATCTACATATAACAAGTATAAAAAGCAGAGTAATCTCTTCCTCCATAATCCAATGAGTTGTGATGTTTCTGAAATTACCTCTCCGTCATGTCTAGGTGGATATATTAAAAGTGTTTGAGTAGAAGGCAAAACTGCACACTCCAAATGAAGAGCAATGGCTGATTTCTCGTGAGGATTTTGTTGTATATTAAAGTGTTGAAAAAGTTTCTTCTTGTATTGAACAAGATTTAAATCTTTTAATTCTTCGTTCGTGATATTAAATATCTTGTCCATCCCGATAAATGACTAATAAATTAATTTCTGAAGAATAATCATTATAGCACATATGATGATTCAATGGTTACAAATATTATTGATAACACCAAGCGATGGATGTCGCCGCTTGAGTGATGATGATGTACGAGAGAGAAGAGCTTTTTTTTGCAATGAATTTAATTAAATGTTTACTAGTAACCAATGGCCTTGTTTCTATTATCAATTATTTACGAGGAAAGACAGAAGCTAAATGACTGATTGGTGATTGAGTTGCTTTTTGAACACGTTGAATCACTTCATTGATTTGGTTCGAATTGTTAATGTCAAAGTTAGCGAGAGGAGAGGTTGCACCTGCTGGAGCAGAGAGCTCAGCGTAGGGATATTTAAGTGAGTTCTATGATGAATGGAATTGTTAGGATGTTTCAGTTATTGAAAGTAAATAATCGGAACGGGTTGTGTTGAAATTTAAAAATGTAATAAAATCCACCAATAATAATAATTTCAGCAAATTCATCATCATTTCAATTATATTAATTTCCATGAAGTACACAACAAATGTTTTCATCATTCAGCATTCAACAACATTCCAATGACAGCAAAACCTCTCAATATATTCCTATCCGAAATTCATGCTTACCTCTACATCCATCACTCTATTTTGATATTCTCTAGCTCTTCTTTTACGAAGTTGATTGAATCTCTTTTGCTTCCAAACTAAACCTCCGAGCAGCACTCTCGTTCTTTGGAACATTTTTTCTTTTACCTCAAAATCAACAATTTATCGTTTGAACAAATTCAACCAAACAACTAACTCTCAGATAGATCAACTTTTCTCTTTCAACGTTCTATTCTTTGATCTGTCTTTGTATATCGTTCCCGCTCAAATGTTACAAAGCCTTGTGCAAAATCATCTTATAAAAAAATGATGGGGAAACGAACTCTCACTTCGTCTGCTGGATCCTCAATAAGAAGATTTGAAGATGAAGACAAGAATTTAGAGGCGTAAGTGATCTCTCTCATGTTGTAGATTTCTCGATGAACAAAGAGTGTCATTAGATTTTTGAATGAAATTGATTCCGATGAAGATTCTCCTAAAAAAGTGAGAAGTGCAGCAGCAAGAACGTCAACATCAAATTATGTGCAAAATACCACTGAATCTGTTCGAAGTTTTCGTGGTCTAGGAATTCCTTCTTCCACACCTCCGAATAATAACCTCTTTGTATGTACATTTCAATGAGATGTTGTCATCAAATAATTTTTAATTAAAGAACTCTATCAAATCGGTTGGAAGCGACTACAATCAATTTACCTCTAAAGAGCTACTTTCGAAAAGTGGAACATCAGACGCTTTTTCATCAGCAGATTATAAACAAATGTTAAATAGTGGCTATCAAAATAGTTCTGGAAATTACAACACCCTTAAAAGCACGGCCAAGTCTGCAGTGACAGTTTCAACAATTCCAGGTAGGTGAAAAAAATGTTTGAATTTGGCTGATTTGACTCTTCAATAGCTGCTGATGATATTGACTCATCGTCAGAAGGACGAGTGTTTGAAAATTTAGACGATCTCGGATATGGTGACGAAGAGCTTGTCCTCAGTGATGATCAATCATCGACTCTAAAATCAACACTAAAATCTAGTGACAGCTTTCCTGTATATTCAACATCCAAAACTGATAGTTTAAATATTCTAACAAACAAACAACCGAACAACACCAATCATCACATTTCGTTATCTCAGCCAACGAAGCCAAACAATGATCAATCAAATTCCTCTGTCAAACCTAACTCTCCAAAAAAAACATTTTCACAATCACCAAAAGAAACGAAAACCAGTACATGTCAGACTAGTAGTGACATTATGAAAGATATTGCTGAGAAGGATGGCATGATCAATATTTTAAAAAAGGAACTTCAACTGAAGGAGCAACAAATTTTACAATTGCGGACTGAGATGGAAATTGAACGAAGGCAAAAATATAATGTTGCTGATGAATCTATTCAAGCTATTGTCGACCAATATGATAAATTTATTCAAGTGAGAATAGAAGAAAACAATGACAAGGAAGTTATTGAAGGTTTTCAAAAAATTAAAGCTCGAAATCAAGAATTAGAGATGGAATTAATGGACAAGCAAGAGGAAATTGAACAATTACATTCAAGGATTAAAACCATGAAAACGGAATTGGTGAGCACTCAAAATGAATCTAACCCTCAAATATTTCAAAAACAAATTTCCAAGCTCACAAAACAGGTAACCGAGCTTCAAGAAGAAAATTTAGCACTGAGGGATGAAATTCAAAAACAAATGGATGTTATCAACTTCAATTCTCAACTAGAAATTGACGACAAGGAGTTGAATCAAACATCGAAAAGCGTGGAGGATGAAAACGAGCAATTAAGAAGACAAATTGCAAATAATGAGAAGTTTTTAATTGAGTACCAGAGACAAAATGAAAAACTTGGAAAAGAAAACCGAGAGTTGCACAATGAAATTAAAAAGCTCAGAAACGATCTTGGAACCATTAATCGGAAGAAAGCGCTTGGAGAACATACGACCTCCGACACACAGTCTAAACTTCATTCAAAAATTAAGGAACTTCAAGAACAGCTTCACCATGAACGAGATACTCATTCCAGAAGGGAGGCAGATTTACTTGATCAAATCGAGAGAGTGAAAAAGTCAAAGGAGGAACTGGAAAAGAATTTGCAAATGTTGGATCCCAAAAAACTTGAAAATCAACACATTTTTATGAAGTCCGTGGAAGAGAAAATTCAAAATGCTGAAAAGGTGTATAATGAGAAAATGAAAGAACTGTGTACCCGTCTTCAAGCGCAAAAAGAAATGGAGGAGCATTATGAACAGCAAGAAGAAACCATAAAGCACCAAGATAGACAGTTGTATAACCTGAAAAATAGAATTCGTGATTTAGAAACGACTCTATTTGACATTGAATCGAGGTTGAAAGAGAAAGAAAGAGAATCTAGAGACTTAAAGAATGAGAATGCAGACCTGTGGAAAGAAAAAAAAGATTTCCACAAGTTAAAGGAAAGAATATCATTTCTTGAAACAGAACTATCATCCAAAGATGAAAATATCAACTCACTTACTCAAGAATTAGAAAAAACGAAATTGGAAAATGAAAAGAAGATGAATGAGCTTTCTATAAAGTCCAAGAAAGTAGAAGCTCTCAAAGACAGAGAAATGGAGACTAGATTGAAAGAGTTGAAAGATTTTTACATCAAAAAACAAAATGAGCTGAATAATACAATCAAAGAGTTGAGCAGAGGAAAGAAGATTCCTCCTCCAAAATCACCTGGAAAAGCTCAACACGATCCTGCTGTGGTATCTCATGATGTCAAGAATGATGACAAGAAAAATGATGGCATAAATGTAGAATTTTTAAAGGATGAGTTGAATGCCAAACAGTTGGTGATTGAAGAGCTGAATGCAAAAATATCCGAGTTAGAAAAGCTTCATCAACAACAGCAAAATCAGAATACAAGTGTTATTTCTGATGGAAAGGGATTTGAAGCCAAGGTGGCAGAGGAAAGTGAGCTATTATTTGAAATCAGAAAATTACAAAAAGAAAAGGAAGAACTCGAACGAAAACTTGAAGTATCCGAAATGAATAAGGAATATATTAAGGAAAATGCCAAAGAACAAGTCAAGACTGCTTTTGCAGAAATGAACGAACTGAGGGAAAAGCACAAACTAGTCATCAAAGATCTAGAAGAGCGACACGTGCAAGAGATGAATTATCAAGAACGATTGTTCAAAGAAGAAATAGAAAGTTACAAGCATATTATTGAGAACACCACAAAGGTGAATTCCAAGCAAGAACAAATAGTAGAGGATTCTTCTGAAAATTCTCGCATTCTCATGTTACGTCAACTTGCGTCACGTCTTGAAAATATTGAGAGTAAGCACAAAATTAAGGAAATGGAATTGGAACGAGAGCTCAATGAGACCAAGTATAGATACGAAGTGAAAATTACATCCTTGAAGCAGCAATTGGAGTTAACCATTCAACAGAAAAATCAACAAGTCTTACAGTTGAAGACTTCTCTCGATAACCTCGTTTCTACTCTTCACAAGTTGAAACTTGCTCAAAACGATCATCACGTGTTCAGCATGGTGTAATACCAATAATTATTTGCGTTCCATCAAATCCACGTCATGGAAATCAGCATCAATTCCATGATTCGGTTCCATTGGTTCATGAGCTCCATGTCTAAATGCTTGTTGGTCATCATCCGAGTCATCAAAAATGGTGTGTGTACCTTGAATTTCAAGTTCATCCTCATCCAACAAATTGCTATGATATTCGTGTTGCGTGACAGCATTGGATTGTCTATACTTTTCATAAATGCAAATTCCTATGGCGAGCATGATTGAACCACAATGACAAATAATAATTACAACAGCAATCAAAATTGAGAAGTACGAGTTAAAGGAAAGTGCGTAGAAAATGACGAGAGCCACCATATTCAATAGTACAATTCCTTCCACGATTATTTGAAGAGTGTTCCTTCCAGCACTTTTGTAAGGACGAATAATCATGACGATCATGAAATAGGCAGATTGAATGCACAATAATGCAATCATCAACTCAAGTCCTTCAAAGAATCCAATCACAAATGAAAATATACATTTCTTGATAAGGATGATCAATAAATATTGATAAGTGCTACTCTTAAAATCATTGTGAAGTGGAGTAAATGGAGATTCAGAAATCTTGTCATCAACTTCCTTATTAATTTTGTCTCGATTTGCTTTAAGTACCACACTAGCTATAAAAGGAAAGCCGAGAACAAAGGCAAATAATATTGAAAGTGCTGTGAATAATGTCACAATAGCAGCTCGCATCATCATGGTGACTTTGATCTGGAAGAATGTAGAAAGAGAAATTCCAGAATAGAATAATAGAGCCATTCTAATCATGCAGGTAAAAATTCGATCCTTCATTTTCTCAACTTCTTCATTATTGTATTGAGTATATTTTCCTCGAATGACTTTCACGAGAATTATAAATACTGAGATCATGATGACAATGGCCACAGAAGTTGTAATCAAGACACTGATCATTTCAACATTGAGTTACATGTCAAACGCCTTAAAAATTATTCCCTCAACTTACAAATTGTCAATAAACGAAATGTCAATATACTTGTATAGAAGAATTCTCTCTTCTTCCAATGCACTACTCAGCACCACTGGTTGTACAGGTGACAACACTGAAATATCCATGTGATCTTCAGTATTGAATAAAAAATTAGACCACTGGAAAAAGCTTGAGAATTTCAAATATACTGGAGGACTATTCGTTCCCATTAAGCTTGTCAATCCAATAAATTGAAATATTTCAAATATAAGGAATAAATAGCCATCAAATTGTGCAAGCTTTCCAACATAGGAAGAGACAATCAATGCAATTGGAACTAGAAATACAAATATGGTTCCGATCACTCGAACAGATGCTTTGATATTTTTCATTTCCAAAACATGTGAATTGATGCTACAATCTGATCCAGTCCAACCTCCAACACAAGTACACACAGAGGAAGTAGTATTACATGTACCATGATTGGAACAATTGTTTTTACAGAATGAAAATTCACACGAAACTCCAAAATGGTCTAAAAATTATTTCACACACAAGCTTTGTCACACTATTCCAAATTTTGAAAAGACAAACATACCAGCATCACATTCACAAATTCCAACTTCATGATTACAACGACCAACTCCTCGACAGGATGGATCTGGACACTGAGTTTGGCTACATCCCTCTCCAAAATAAGGTGAAATACAATTACATGTTCCTGTCAAATAGTCACACTTGCCACGACCTGGAATACAATTTCTACATTCCATGAATGAACAGTTTGCTCCAAAATAGTTTTCCAAGCAATGACACGTTCCAGTTGTGGCATTACAAATTCCATGAGTAGCATCTGTACAGTTATTTGGACAATATTTTGCATTGCAATACACTATATTTTGAGATTCATCAAAATTCATGGTATAAACATTTGCATCACATTGACAAGTGTGATCCACACATTTTCCAAAAATACAATTTTCTCCTTCTTTGCATGGACCAGAGTTGTCATTTCTTGGTATACTACAATTTTGTCCTGTATAATTTGTAAAGGTACAATTACAAGTATTACCATCCATCTCACAAAAACCTCCATTCATACAATTAAGATTGGACAATGTTTGATTAAACACCAATTCCCAACTGGTTTCATTTCCAACTTGTATGGTAGCATTAGAAAAGGCTTTACATGAAAAATTGAATTCCGTCGTCATTGTTACTGAATTATCTAATGAAGAAGACCTTTCCGATACCTTTGAATTTCCATTGACGAATGGACTCATCATCATGACAAGCCATAAAAATAATGAAATTATCAATAATTGAAAGGAACGAGAAGGAAATACATTTGTATTCGGAGAGAGAGGTGGTGGTTCTCGGGATGGTCTATGGTTGTTTGATTTCATTTTTTTTTAAAGTTTACAAGAAATTGAATTTGGAAAGATGGATGACAGGCTGGGAACGATTAATGTTGTACTTCTCCATTGGACCAGTGTGCAACGATAGGATGGAATAGATAAACCATGAGAATATTAACCGTATAATACCTTCATGTCAGTGAAGAATGACTGTTGGATAGTATAACAACGACAATTTCCTGTTTGAAGTTGACATTCTTGAATGCAAAAAAAAAATGTCCAAAAGAACTAACAAACACACTTTGCACAAAACAACAAACCAAAGGATTCTGAAACCTTCAAGTCCTACTACCACTGCAACAAGTTCTCCTCTCAATACGACTATTCCAGCAACTCGTACAAGCCCTCTCATGACCTCTCATCATTCTTCTTCAACTAGTGTTGAGAGTATGGTGATGAGAAATAATATTAATACGAATCATAATGACCATGGAAGAATAATTTCATATGCAACTATAGCTCGAAAAGCAGCAAATTCTGTCGGTCCGAATTCACATCTCTCGTCGTTATGGAATTTACTTTGTGAAGATGTTTGGTGTGAAATTTTGAATTATTTGGATTCGAAATTTCTAGTGTTGAATTGTATGACAGTTTCGAAACAATTTCAGAAAGCATGTTTAAGAGTTCAGTTGAAATTGAGAATTATACTTCCAAAGAAACCAAGACATGTCATTGTACGACAATTGGCATCGAGTCCTTACATGAAAAATTTAACAGAATTGACAAATGACAGGATCAGCAAATATGAACACTATCATGCTAGTTCTATCCGTCCATTACTCTCCAGTACCTATTTAACCAATTTAAAGAGCCTTTCCTTACAAGGAGTGAAACTTAGTAATTTAATGGATTTATTGACTCATCCAAGCACAAGAACTTTATCCAATTTAACACAACTCAATCTACGTTGTAATCAATTGACAGAATCTGATATTGCAAAATTAGCAAATTGTTCACATTTCAAGAATCTATCTACTCTCATGTTGGGTTACAATGATCTGAAAAGCAATAGTGTAAAATATTTGGCAGAGAGTCGTTACATGAAACAGTTAACACATTTAAATTTGAAATATAATTCTATTGATAATGCAGGAATATCTTTCGTTGCACAAAGCTCGAATTTAGTGAATCTTCAAGTGCTCAACTTGGCTTTTAACAAATTTGGAAATGAAGGATTGAGAACATTCGTCCATTCGAAAAACATGACGAACATGACACGTTTGGATATGAGATCTACCATTATTGATATTGAAGGTCTACGATCATTATTGACAGTAGGTTCATCCACTGCACACAAACTTTCATCGCTTAAATTTTCACGAATTACCATCGACGATTCAAGTCAAATTTCACTCATTGAAGAATTACCAAATTTAACATCCTTGGAAATGCTTGGAACGATTACTCAACTTTGGAATGATAATATCATATTTCAACTCTTTGGCTTGAAACAAAACCATTTGAGCACACTAGCCATCTCACGTGCCTCTCTGACGAATCAAGACGTGAAAATATTGATGAATAGTTCAGATGCATTGAGTGGAATTTCAACTTTAAATTTATCCAACAATGAAATTGGAAGTGATGGATTTAAATATATTGCAACTAGTCTGAATATGCACAATTTAACAAATTTAGATTTAAGTAGCAATGCAATTGGACCAGAGGCCATGAATTCCATTCAACATTTTAAAAAGTTACAAGTGTTAAATTTATCAGGAAACCAATTAGGAGATGAAGGTTGTTTAAATTTAACCAAACATGGAAAACATTCATTACGATGGCTCAGTTTGAAATATAATCAAGTAGGAGACAAGGGAGCACAGGCATTAGCTCGATACTCTCAACAAACTCTCCCTCGTCTTGCTTTTCTCGATATTGACTGCCTTTACATGACCGAAGAAAGTAACAAATTATTACAAACGAAATTTAATTTTGATTCAAAAGCTCTCAATGATTATGGAATTGTGCAAGAACGAATTGAAGAAGAAGAAACAGTGGCATTTGGAAGTAAAAAGTTTTTTCACTGAAGCAATATTGATTTGAAAGAGAATTAATTTTTTTGAAATGTATTTTCAGATTTTGAAAAAAATGTTCGAACACATGGTTCATGATTACGGTCTTCTCATTCTCCTGTTGTTAGGCCTGACGAGTCTATGGTGGATACCTCTTCTCTATAAATTGATTCAGGGTGATCATAAATATTCGGAAATGTGTTCCCGATGGAATATTATTGAAAACGGAATGGGATACATGACGTTGGAATGGAATTCGTTTAGTAAATATTTACCAAAACAATTATCATCATCACGGCCATACTTGAATGGTATTTTGAGAGGAATATTTAATATGAGTTTTGGGTTCGGAGCTTTGATGAGTGTGATGTTAGGTCTTTTGTGTGCATTGTTTCTCGTTTTACATTTAATTTATTTTGTATTTAGCATTTCAAGTAGCTTTGCTTCAAAATATGGATATCCCAGTCAAAACGAGTCTGATTTACAAGCAGAAGCATCGCCATCGTTTGAAACATCCATGGTCATGCTCATTCCGGGAGTTAATCTACCATTCAACCAAATTTCTCTTTTGATTGTATCATTAATTATTTGTGTCATTGTGCATGAATATGGACATGCCATTGCAGCAGATTATCAAGATTTAAGAATTGAGACTTTTGGATTTTCTATTCACTATATTTTACCAAGCGCGTATGTTTCTATTGAGACAGAATCATTGGAAAAGAAACCACTATTTGCTCGAATGATGATTTATTGTGGTGGTGTTTGGCATAATATATTATTATGCTTCTTTATTGGAATACTGATATTTGTATTCTTTAATCCGAGCTCATCGTATTTCTCCTTAATAGAAAGACCATTCGATAATAATGGTGTTTTTGTAAAGAGTGTTGATATTGACAATCCACTCTACCACGATTTGAAACCCAATGACATTATTCTTTCAATTAATAATATTCCAATGAAAGACGTGTCAACATTTACCGGATCGTACGATAGGTTGCGGGCAAACCGAGGTTTTTTGGTTTCTGCCAAAGTACTATCCGAACAAGATGAGCTTTATAACAAAAAGTGCTGTCTTAAAGAATCGGATGATGATGGTGGTCGATTACTTTGCTTTAAATTTGCTAATAATCTGCAACAACAAGGAGTATGCATGAAGGTTAGAGATGTCACTACAAATCCTTCTTGTTCAATTAACATCCACAAAGCACGACAGGAACTAGAACAAAATGAATGCATGGTACCAGATGTTGACAATGGCTTATTCATTTTAAGGTTAAAAGTCTTAGAAAAAGAAACAGATCTCATTTATTTCGGAACAATGGAACAATTTTATCATCAAGTCATTGTTTCTGACGTGAAAGTGAAAGATTCTCTTTCCTACCTTATTTCATTGGATTTTGTTTCAGACCTGAAAAAGCTCTTGGAGTACACGATTGCTCTATCTCTGGGACTGGCAGTGTTCAATTTGGCTCCTGTTGAATTTTTAGACGGTGCAAAGATTTATGAAGTATTATTTCTTTATTACTTGAGACGCTTTGCTGTGAAAAAGGAAGACATGGATCATGTCAAAACAACTTACGATCGGTTGTTATCCGTTTTTAAGGTGGTTTTAGTCTTGAACATTTGTGTTGCTTTTATTAATGCATTCCGTGTTGCGATATGAATGAATCATTTATTTTCATTGGAAGACACAAAATGTCTCAACGAATGATTTCAGGGTTGCTGTAGTATTGGGCAAATTCTTCCTCACTCATGGTGAAGTTGAGTGGGAAATATCCTTCTTTTCTGCCATCAGTTTCACTTAAAAGTCTTCCATAGCCCCATCCATCATCATTCGTTTTAAGAAGAGCAATTACGTCACCATCACGAATATTGAGCTCATCATCTAGAACTGGATGATAATCATACAAAACCAACAATCTTGTCACTGACTTGTCTTTTTCTTCTGAAAGGTGGCCAGGACGAATAATTTCTTTGCAGGATTCAGGACTGGCTAGACCATTTCCCACAACAGGTTTCAATTTAGGGCAAGACTCAAGAGTATTCAACCCTAATCCAACTGATTTTCTTCCCATATTGCTACTGTTATTGGTTTTCAAATAAGGAACAGTACCTGGTGGTAAATCATTAGTGGCAGTGATTTGGAAATTACCAGTTTTGCTAACAGTGATGGTGCTTTTGAATCTGACAGAAATGGTGCCATCCGTTATAAATTCAACACTCTTAGTCTTCCTTTTCGTGTAATCAAATTCAAACTGGTTCGAGAATAATAATTTCAAATGATTACCATATTCTTTGAAATAAATGTCATCTAGTATAGTGACCAGTTCCGTCTTGTGCTCGTTTTCAAAGAAAATATCCACGTCGTCATACAATTTAAGGCACAGCCAGTTGTCTGGAAGGCTGGACATTGTAATGTTCTCTATTTGTGTAAAAGGAACTCTCTTTTTAACAGTGAATCCTGCTCGACGTGGTTCATCTTTTTTTCTTCGAATAAAGAAAATGGATTGAGGTGTCACTTTGATTCAACGTTAAAATTATGCATTAAACAGGAACTTTGATGAAACACATACCTAATAACATCATTTTCTTGAATGATGGTTCTGATCTGAAAACTTTTACCTTTGGCTTTCTAATTTCGTCACTAAACACCACGCCACCTTCATGCTGGTATGGTTGCAACAGTTCTTGAAGTTGTGCATTGTTGAAAAATTGAATGTAGTCTCCCTTGAAATTTCGATTAATGGACATTCTTCGTCGTTGCTTGTTATTTGAAAGTATTGTAATGGAATTATTTTGGATGGACTTCAAATATTGTCGGTGTTTGTACTTTCTGAATGCCTTTGAAATAATAGTAGCTTTGGTATGGTAGAAGCGTTCAAGAAGCTCATCCAATTGAGCTAATGACAACGGATTTCTAAGGAAAATCTTTGTTTTTCCAATAAAGTAATCTGATTTAGAAATGTTACAATCGTTTAGGATACTCATACAACCCTGCTCAGCGCTTCCTCTCCATTGCATCATGTCTGACGTAACTAAAAGATACTTGTACCGGTTGAAAAAATCTTGGAATGTTGTTCTGAAAAAGTATCCAGATCGTCTCAAAAGAATAATTTCCTTCAAGCCGTGGTGTCTTATTTGTTGAATGGTTGTCTTGGAGTCGAATGTCTTGGGAGACTTGGAGTCGTTGGGCTTGATACATTTAATGTAATGAGTTTCTCGCTCCGAAATGGATTTCATTAAATCGTCAATGTTTTTAAGAATTTTGAATGAAGCAGTACTTGGGCGTTTCTTGAAATCTGTTCCAATCTCAGAGAACATGCCTTTAAGTAGTGGGTCTTTGGTACTTTGCATGCAACAGATGAGATCTCGAGTCATAAATTCCTTATTCTTCTCTGTGAATCCATGAACATTGTAGCAAATAGGGCCAGCAAAATGGTCCAAAATGAAATGGTTGGAACTTCTTTGTGTAAAATATTTGTTTCTACTAATGATGGTAGAGAGGGAATCTAAAAACCTTTGATCGGCATTGTACGACTCCAAGTTGTAGTATGCTGAAATACCATCTAGAATTGATAGAATTCCTGGTGGGTTAGAAAGCTCAATTAAATCACAAATCGCTTTGTTGTCTGAAAATGAGATAGTGTTCCAAGGTACTCCCTCGCTTTTGTACTCATCTTGTTCTTTTCTCAAAACCAAGCTTGAAAATATCTAAAGTTTTGGTTCAACATTTTGAAAATAGATATTGGAGGCTTATTACTTACATTTTGAAGCTTTTCATTAACAAAATTAATAATTAATTGCTCAAAAGAGTTATTTTCAAAGCTTTCAAATCCGTAAATGTCTAAAATATCTATGGTACAATCAAATTTTGAGCATTTCATAGACTCGTTAATTTTCCCTGCAATGAAATGAAATATTCGCTCATAAATAAGTTTGGAAAGAGCATCTCTTGCATTTTTTGCTTGAATCGAATTAAATTGAGTTTCTATTTCTTTTCCTTCAACCAAAATGTGCTTCTTCGTCAAGTAGGTCTCAAGAGCATGCTCTTCAATGGAAAGTAGCTTTGCACACTTTGTTAGAGCTTTGGCCTTATTAATCACCTTGGTGGACGTACCATTTTCAGAAAACTGTAGATTTCCAAGTAATAAAATTGCAGAGAGGTATCTGAATATTCTAAACCTTGTGTTTTCATCTATCCCAACAGCATCCATTGCTCTCTTACAAGCAAGATTTAATCTTATGACATGTTCATTCCAGTACTTACCACAGTCATCAAAAATTTTTCCTTGTCGTTCATTCCTTCAATTTCATAGCAATTGGAATGTGAAAGAAAATTGTAATCTTCCATTTCAATAAGCCCAAGTTGTTCTTGTTTTCAATAGAGCAATGTATAATTTTCCAAGGAACCCCAAATACTTACCTTTAAGCTTTGGATCAGCGCCTTTCAGCAATTGATAAAATATATGAAAAGATCTTTCTCCTCGTGCTACATTGCAAATTCTACTCTTTTCTAGCAAATATAACGAAATTTCTCCTCCTAATGGATTGCCCTGTCTGTCAAATTGCAAAGAAAAATACTTCCCGAATCGGGAAGAATTATTATTCCGAAGAGTCTTTGCATTTCCAAATGCCTCAAGTAGTGGGCTGCTCTGTAATATTATTTTTTTCACCCTCAATACCTCATTACCGGAGCCGCTCACATAGGAAATATAATTAATGAGAGCCTTACACGCCTCCGTCTACATGGTAGCAGAAAGTATTGATTCTCTCAATAATGAGCGCATCCGAGCAAGTACATACCTTTCCACTCCCACTTTCGCCCTGAACTATAATGCATTGGTTTGTGTTCTTGTCTGTTTTGAAAATCTATAGGATTACATATCGTTTCAAAGTACGTACTTTGTAAATTTCTGAAAGCTCGCTCAGCAACAGCAAAAATATGAGGAGGAACTTCGTTCATGTATCTACGAATATAACTTTCCATCTTCTCATCATTAAACAATCCTGGAATATTTTCAAACGGATTTACACTGATCAAGACATCGGAAATGTAGGTAAAAATTTGATTATTAGAGAGCCTTGTTTTCAAGTTGTTGGCTATATCCGTTTCATTCACTGATTTGAGGTGTGTCATATCATCTACACCCTTTCGTTATTGGAAAAATTGAGTATTAAGGAAAGTTGTTGGCAATTACTTCACACCTACCACTCGCTTTCGAAGTTGCAACATTTTTTTTCACGTCGACAAACAACCAAATAGGAAACCAAGCCAACCAAAAATGTGTATCACAAAACTCTGAATATGGATTGTATGATGACTTCGGCACAGATCACATAGCCGTGGGGCCTCACGTGCTGTTTCCATGATGTCAACATTTGGGGTATGAGCTTATACTGGCGAGGGATCATACAAAGAAGTATTGTCACGATCCTTTGTGGACTTAAGCTGTGTTTGATCTTTCGTGATGATTTAAGAAGCGAGTGCTTGCTCTACGATATTTTTTCAAATCCATAGGGTCGAGTTATGGTTGGCATATTTTTTTTATTCAAATAACATGTCGAAGCATTTCCAAGCGCATCTAGTGAGGTCTCTACTTGTTGTGTTGGAAGATAATGTTGCCAATAATTTGCTCAACTTTGGTATTTAAGAAACCTCCTTTGTGAATTTGTTGATTCAAATCAAGAACAACTTCCTTTTCTGTGGTCTCCCAATCGTATGGCAGAAGAGGTTTAAACAACTCACGGTTAGTGCTATTTTCACTAATAGATGAGAGATTCTTTCTGCTTTGTTTGATAAAGGAATCAACTTGGGTAGCCTTTGACAGCAATGCAGACTTGAGCTTTGCCACACTACCTTGATATTTCTTTTCTCCCAAATCTTTGAGAAGTGCATACATGAACTGGAAGAAGGAAATTTCCCAAATAATGTCTTTGGTCAACAATTCCAAATCATTCTCATTTCTTAGTGGGTTAATGGCTTCAAAGAAGGAAACAAAATCTTCTAATAATTTTACCTTTGATCCTTCATCGCCAGATGTTCCAACTTCTGAAATGATGAAATTGGTGATTTCGGTGCAATATTGAGGAACGGTGGTGGACTTAACGATTTGTTTGGCCAAAAATTCAGCTTTTTCTTTGAGAGCTGCTAAACGTCGTTTTGCTGTGTCCACTTTTCGTTGATGCTCTTTGAGCTTTGCAACATGAGCCAAGTGTTCTTTTTCTGAGATCTTTTTCTTTGTATTTGCAGCAGTAGGTTGCATGGGAGGTTTTGCCGTAACAATTTCCTTATTAGAGATAAAATCAGCAAGAAGCTCAATAATTCTAAGTTTTGTAAAAGGCTCTTCCAAGTCTGGTCTCTCAACTAACTCGCGAGCAATCAAAACATTATTCTTCAATTCATCACTTCCAAAATATTTAAGAATGGATGTGTCCTCATTATATGAAAATTCCTTATTTTTAGATTTGACCCTATGGTAAATGAATTCGTCTAAATCGATCATATTCAAGTGCTCTGAAATGTCTCTTGCTGAGCGTACATCTTCAAAGATAAGACTTAGGTATAGCCTATCGATTTGACATTTTGCAATTTGAAACGACGAGTCTAACTTTTCATTGAACTTTGTCATTTCTCCAATTTTTGACCAACTCTGTTTTTGATATGGTAAAGCTAGATATTGTGATGTGTAGATAACATGCTCATTGTAATAAAAGCCCAATATTTTGTCAGCCACCTTTACCGCTTTGTCAATAACTCCGATTTTCATCAAATCATGATAAATTAAATAACTAATGCTCTCAAACTGGATATGTTTCACATCCAAATCGTTCATAAAAATAGTGTACCCTCTTGAGGATAATGACCTTAGAGCAGAGTATGCTCTAATGAGCAAGACTTTGAAGTGAAAATTGTATTTAGCCCTCTTCAGCCCAAGTTCTAAAAGAGTAATTGTCGAAACATAATCTTTTTTGTCCAAAAGGTAATGAGCAGCAATCAGCAAAAACTCGTCACCGTATTGGTTGTCAGTTTCATGTAAGTTCTTTCCGAGAGGAAGAGCAGATGCGTATAGAGAAATAAGCATCAAAATTAAATCGTCCTCATTGGAGGAGCAAACATTTTGTTTGGTATGTCTTTGCATCTTGAAAAATGTAGATTGAAACTCAATCCTATCTAATTCGCTAACTTTCATGTCATCAATGGATGAATAAATAGTGAGGAGAAGATGAGATTGATCGGATACCAACTCCAGATAAACCTTCAAGTCATCATAACAAATTTTTCTCGAGCCAAATAATTTGAAATAGTTGAGAATTAAATCTTGAGGCTTGGTGTCGAATTCAAATTCTAAATTCTTTTGCTTGACAACCTTTATCAACTCCATTTCAGCTAGGTACGGTCCTCTCTTATCTCCTGCTTGATGAGATTTGATGAACTTTTGTAAATCCGAAATGGTTGTATAGCAATCTAATTTCTTTCCTTCCCATTCAATAAAAGAGGAGCTCGTTTGGCCACTCTGAGTGATCAATAGAACTGAGCTGATAATCCCAGTCCACCAAGGCCACTCATCAGCATCTGCATTTCGCAGTAAGTGAGCATAAATACCATTTGCCAACGTATAATATTTCTCAACTTTGAGACAATATCCTGCCAAAATTGCCTTTCGATCATATGGGAGAGGTTCCAATTCTTTTCCCCAAGGCTCGTCATGGATTAGTAAATTGATGACTCCTTCATAATCTCCAGTAGCATCCAACACAGACTCAATATATAATCTGAGTCTCTCAGAATAATTAATGCCTTCCAACTTTTTTACGTCTTGTGAATTTAGAGAAAATTCTTTTTCCAAGACTTTCTGAGCGAGTTTAAACAATAATGGCTTTTCCTTTCCCAACAACAGCATGCTGCAAATATTCCAATAGTTATAAAGCTGATTGTCAGAAAAATGTCTTGCAAGCTTGGCTGCTGTGGTTTGTTGTTTTTCAAGTTGATTGCTTCGCACCAAGCTGTAAAAATATTTTTCGATGGTGCTTTCGTGTTTTGAGATCGATTGGGTCGGAATGGCATTACAAACTCTTTCATACAGCTCGGAAATTCGCTTGAAATCATTAACTCGCTCAAGAGCCATACCCAAAGTACGAACAATGAAATCGTGAAAATCAACTTTAGGCTGAGCCAAAATATCATCAATGATTTGGATAGACTCCTTCCGATTTCCCAAATTCATCAAAGTCAGAGCTTTGAATGCGAGAAAGAAAGAAGAATCGGGATACTTGTCTAACATGATATCACATTCTTTCAAAGCACTCACGTCCTTTCTCTCCTCGACCAGCTTGTAAACCTTTTGAATTTCTTGAATGGAAGGCTGTGATGTGGTTGGTGTGTTTTGGCTCATTTTTTTTTCTTTCATTTTACAAACCACACAAGGATGAATAACGGGAATGGTTGAGGTAAAAGATCGACATGTACATTTATTCCTCATGCCAATCAAGAGATTTACTCACAGCTTTTCTCCAACGTTTCATTTTGAGCTGTGTTTCTTCTTCTGAAATGTGAGGTTTGAAAATCAGCATCTTGTCCTTGTGAGGCGCTGGTACATCTTTGATGTGATGAAATATTTTCACACCAAAGCAGGCACATATGGCTGCTCCTAAAACAGTAGTCTCAGAATACGAAGGGATTCTAACTTTTTTACGACTAATATCAGCCTGGAGTTGCATGAGAAGGGAGTTTTTAGTCATGCCACCGTCAACCATCAAGTTTGCAACATCTGTACCTGAATCTTTGCACATGGCTTCCAATACTTCTTGTGTTTGATAGCAAACAGCTTCAAGCATGGCTCGTACAATGTGAGCACTGTTGGTATATTGAGTAATGCCCACGATGGTACCTCGTGCATCTTGTCTCCAATAAGGACAAAACAAACCTGAAAATGCAGGAACAAAATAAACTCCTTCATGCATGAGATCATTAGATTGTCAAATGTGTTTGTTAAATATGTTTGTTAAAAAATGTGTTATTGCACATTTCAAAATTTGGATGTAACATACCTCCTGTATCTGAAACAGTACGAGCAACAGTTTCCGATTCTGAAGGATTGGAAATAATTTTCAAATTTTGTTGCAACCATGTGACACCAGATCCACATACGGCAACGCTGCCCTCGAGTGCATATACGGGTTTTGAGTCAGAACCCAACTGATATTGAACGGTGGATAACAGCCCATGCGTAGATTTTACAATTTCATTACCACAATTCATTAACAGGAAACAACCAGTTCCATAAGTATTTTTGGTATCACCCTTATTAAAACAACGTTGACCAATGGTTGCTGATTGTTGATCTCCAATGCACTATTGACAACAGTAATTATATATTATTATATATATTATTATATACATTAGTACATATATATTGTTATATATATATGTCATTTAAATGTAAGCGAAAAGTTCTAACATTGTGTCATACATACCCCTGCTATCACCACATTGCTCAATAAAGGATGTTCCTGTACAATATCTTTTTGGATTGGAGCATAAATTTCGGCACTGCTTTTGATAGTAGGTAATTTCACTCCTGAGGGAATGTTAAATACTTGAAGCATTTCTTCATCCCATTGCAATGTTTGTAAATTCATTAACATTGTTCGGCTCGCATTTGTGACATCAGTAATATGAATGCCTCCTTTTGTACCGCCAGTGAGATTCCAAATCAACCACGAATCAACAGTTCCGAACATACAAGTACCTCTTTCTACAGATTTTTTAACCTCAGGATAATGATCAATCATCCATCTGAGTTTTACAGCACTAAAATATGTACTCAAAGGTAGTCCACAAATATCTCTAAATTTTGAATAATCTCCATTAGCTTTTTCTTTGCAAATTGAGTCGACCAAGTCTTTTGTTCGTGTATCGTTCCATACTGAAAAGTATTACAATATTATTAATAATTATCATTGATAAAATTCAATCATACCTATTGCTCTGCATAATGGCTCTCCTGTTTCCGAGTCCCAAAGAACTGTAGTTTCTCTTTGATTAGTCACTCCGATAGCCACAATTTCCACATCGTCAATTTCCAACTTGTCACAAGCATTACTCATGCACTCGACAGTGTTTTGCAAAATTACCATGGGCTCTCTTGAAAATTAGAAATCATGAAAATGTTAAATTCGGAAATTAATATTTTAAATTAAACTTACTGTTCAACCCAACCTGGTTTGGGATAATAACTTTCATGTGATAATTGATAAGATGACAATTCACTCAAATCGTTCGCGTCAAAAAGCATGAATCTGGTAGATGTCGTTCCTTGATCGATGGCACCAATCACTCTTCGCTTGCAAATCATTGTCTCACTATTATTATTTCGTCCTGTTTTGCTGTGAAAATTTCGTACAGTATTTTCCGGATCGTGATGAAAAATTGAATGTCGTTTTTTCACAATCGGAGTTCCTTGACGGAAAAGCGTCTTGATGTTAGAGTTTGCGTATTTTTTTTCTGGACGATGGAAAGTTGAAGATTGCAGGAGAATTTGTTGGAATCTTGCTCGAAAGAGGACGGAAGAATGGTGAAAGGCACGATCTTGAGAAAGAAAGTTAATACTTCCCGAATCAATCTTTGTAACACTTTGGATTAAATTAGTTTTCATTCTGCTCATTTTTTGGACAGCTTCATCTTGGAGATAACAAAACGTATTTTGGCTGTTACATGAAAAAATGATCTATCCTCCGAATATTATTTGACCCCGGAAGAAAATCCTTGAAAAGGATATCGTCATCCTGATTGTTATTGAATTTGCATAATATTACATTTTGCATATTCAAGAAAGAGAAGAAACACCGGTTGTTATTTTTGAAGACTTCTCATGATGTAGTAATAGTGGACCAATACAGAAATGGAAACAATAATTCACTCATTTGGTGTTCGAAACAAACTAACGCCGCCGAACGTGCTTTCACTTCAAGTACCGTCAACAAAATTTAATTTTGTTTTTCCAAATCAGATGATTCGAGCTGCACCTGATACAGCAATAATTTGAAGCAACTAATAGTACAATACATGATGAGTGAAGAAAGCATCCTTTATCTCGTACCAACATTTTTCCTTTTTCATATTTTCTTTATGGAACAACTTGGTTTTAATACTTAAACAACCACTAACCCTCTACGAATATACAATTTCAAAAAAACAATAAGGCCAACCGAAAACAAAACAACCTGTTAGAACCACTCTCTAGCTCTTTATATAACCAACCAAATTGTTCATCACATTATTCAATCAGACAATCCATTCACTCCAAATAGAGGTATTCCCAATACATGTCCAGTAGCGAAATTCCATCATCGCCGCAAGGTGCAACCAGTATAGAACATCATGCCACTTTTTCATTCAACAATATGGCAGCCATGAGAGAGGATATTGTCGAGGGTGCAAACAGTGTGGTTGGTGGAGGTCAAACAGCAGTTCACTCAGCTCTCACTGGTACCTCTCTCACAGATGGAGCATCAGCAACAAGTTCCTCCACTCTTTCAGCCTTTGCTGTTATGAACAGACTCCAGACACAATTGTTTGCCCTTATTGTAGCATTACAATCGAGTTCAAAACAGTCCTCAATCATGTTTTGGATATTGTCCTTTCTTTTCAACATTCATGCCATGTGGGTGAGTATATTCATCCCAACACTGGGTGGAATGAAATTTGGAGAGTATGGAGAATGGATATTCACAGTTGCCAACTATCCCCTAACTCTCTCATTGAATTTAGTTCCCTATGAAGGGATGATTGCTTTGGTTTTCATTGTGTGTGCCTCTCTGTTACTCTATATCGCACTATTGTTCACCACCTATAAGAGAATTATTAATACGAGAAGATTTTCAGATTGGTTCTTACAGGCGACACGATTCTTCAACTTTGTAATTTTGATTGCTTGTGGCACCATGACGTTTATTTTGACGAGCTTGGTGGATTGCAGTACCGTAACCGTGGGTAATGAAGGTAACTCAAGCATTGAGCTCTCTCGTTATGATGGAAAAGCTTGTTACGAATCACCCAACGTCATATTTCTCGCATTTTCATTGATTGCATTTATCATTCTCATTCCGTGTGTGGCATTGTCAGCCATGATCTATAGAAATAGCCATCCCTTGAACAAATCCTTATTTACGAGCATGAATAATTACGCCATCATGGTGTTGTTGGTATTGAATTGCGTTGAAATTATGACTGTCTTCTTAATACCCAACCACATGCCTCATATTCGTGCCATTGCTCATGTCCTGATTTCAGTTATTTGGCCTTTACTCTTTGTAAACAATTTACCCTATTTCCGAAAAGCCATTAATTCCATATTCTTTGGTGCCAGTTGTGCCAAAATTGGTGCATCTATTGGAGCTATAATCACTGTTTTTGTGAACACTCAAAATTCCAATAACCTTGGCTTGTATTTGATGGCTATGACTCTTGGGCTCATTCTCTTTGGTTTCCTTATTGGTTTTGTAGGGATGCAAATTTTTCTAACAGTCGTCCACAGACAAGTTCACAAAATTGTGACCGAAAATAAGGAAAATCTCTCACAAGTGTTGCAAATCTTTGAAAAGAAGAAACGATGGTTAATCATGTATTTACACTTCTCAATCATTAGACCAAAGAAGGCTTCGGACTCTGAAGATGTCGTACTCTCATTAGCCAAAGTGATTGGTGCCAATAAGAATCAAGCTCAACAACATACATCCTTGTTGTTGATGAGTGCTCTCATTATTGCATATACTTGGCAAGACGGTAACTCTCATTCCTTTGCCATGTATATGTTTAGAAGATGTATGAAAATGTCGAATAATGTGTTTGCACGATTTCAAGTACATGAAAGATCAAGAGAAGTTGAATTGGATGAAACTTCTTCATCCAGCGCTCTGAAATGTATGACTGAAAGTAAGCATGTATTGGATAGCTTGGAACGATTTGAAGATGAATTGAGAACACTTCATATTCACTTTTGGAAGGAATTATTGTGTGACATCCCCAACGACGTCAAATTGGAGTACATCAATAGAAGATGTGCTGATTTAAATAGCCACATTGAAGACACATACCATAATCTCATGCGTAAATATCGTAACGAAAAGAACATTATCAGAAAGTATGCCAATTTTTTGGAAACATTTCGCTTTGACAAGGAGACAGCTCAAACACTATTCGCAGAAGCCAATGAACTGGAAGAAGAGGGGTCTAAATACAATTTTGTATCTCCTACAGCCCACAATAAGTACATGGTCAACAGAAGAATTTCTGTTGTGAGCCAGCGATTCGAACAACAAATATCCAGCTTTGAGGGAGATCTCAATGAAGAATTCAATGGAGTTGAAACAAAGGACTATTCCAAAAAGGATGCTGTTTTGAAGAATTCTCTCAGATATTTAGAAAACAGCAAGGGATATTATGTTTTCTTGGTAATATTCCTTTTATTCTCCTTTTTTGTACTTCTGACCTGTGTGGCAGTCTCGCTCTTTGGAACTGTTAAAACTGGTACTGACGTACAGTATGTTTATAAGATGTGCAAAGGATCATCTGTCTCGGTTGCTATCCTGAGAGAGCTCAGATTTATTCAAAACCTCAACAAGTATTATCAAAATGGCTTCACAATTCGAAATGACAAAAAACTTGTGGTAGATCTTGTTACAAGTTCACACAAACAGCATCTAGTAACATACAAGTCATTCATGGCTGACATCGTTGAACAAGCTCAGAAAAACCAACTCAATGCGGATGCCTATGCCAAGCTTGTTAACGACTCTGTGTCTGTTCTCTTTCCTTTCACCACAGCAAGAAACAGTTCAAAAGGAGAAGAGCTAGTTTTTACTGAAACCTATGTGAAGAATAGTTCCATGATCGAAATGTCTAACTATCTACTCACAGGTATCAATAAGTTTATTGAATGGAACATTGAGGACTACAACCAAACTATTACAGATTTCAACTTTATGTATTTATGGAGAAATAGAAAAAATTCTCGAGATGCATTTGAAACGTTTTGTGAATCCATTGTGGCAAGCACTGAAAAATTTCATGCAACCTTTGTCATGTCCTTTGCCATTGTTTATTTCACGATCATTATGATGTATATTGTTGGATTTGTCATCTTCCTTGGCGCCATGCTGAAATTGATGATCAGTACCAAACAAGTTTCCAAATTATTCAACTCGGCACTCTCAAAGAATATCATTGGAAAAGTTTATCATGATTTGCGAATTAAGAATGATGAGGATGTAAAAGTACATTTACCCAAATCCCAACTTTCAGCCCCAAGATACATATTCTTGTTTATGGGTGTTTTCACTTTGCTGTGCTGTATTTTGAGTGGTGCCATGATGGTAGTAGAGTCGAACATTAATTACACAGGAGTCTCTCTGACGATGAACAATATCATTCATGGTACAGCAGTCATGAGACACGTTCACCGTACCAATTTCAAGGTGGGAGAGTATTTCTCATTTCTTGGTAGTCCGCCTTCTTTTGTGAATGAACCATCATTATTGAAAGAGGAAGATTTAACAAATTCCTCAGCAGATGTGAAAACATTTTTGAGCTATTTATTTAAGGAATGGAATATTCTGATTTATGGTGGTGGACAATTTCCTCCCTCTGTTGGTAAATATAAGGAAATTGACGATTTGGTAGCAGGTATTAAAAACTGCACCCAAGCTGCCAGTAATAACGCAACTAACACAGTGGAAATGTATACACAACGTTATTGCACCGGTTTGGAAGAAATGCTCACTGAATACTCGAAAAAGGTATCCATTTTCGATGCTGATTCTCAAAACAGTGCCTTTACATCTAACACTGCTTCCATGTTCCACAACTACATGGATGTTTTCTTCACTGGTTCTATTTTAGGAGAGAAAATAATCGACTTTATGGACCTCTTTGTGAAATACTCTGCACAACCATCGGTCATTCTTACCATTTTGTTTGGAATTGGATGTTTTGTTTTGATGATCGTCGTTTTCTATGGCATGCTCTATCAATTGGAAAAGCATAGATTACAATTGATTAACATGCGAATGATGTTAAATTACATTCCATGTGATGTCATTGATAGTAGTGAACAACTTCGAAATTATATTCTCTACAGTATCATTGGAAGCTCCAATGAAAAGAAGACTAAGAAAAATCAAGTTCAATCTGCAGACTCAGATAATGCCAACGTGAAAGGAGTGTTGAACGCATCCGTAGATGGGGCCATTTTGTGTACACAAGACGGAACGATTGAATTTGTCAACTCTTCCACACAAAAGATGTTTGGATTTGCCACCAAAGCGGACGTTGTTGGTGTTTCAGTTGTGACATTATTCGACAAGGAACAATCACATCTCATTCAAAACAGTATCAAAGAAATGAATAAGGCACAACTAGATGTCACACATTCTGAAGTTATTGAATCAACTTGTTTGAGAAAGAACCAAACCAAATTCCCAGTGAAAATTAATATCTTCTCAGTCATGTTCGATAATGGTATTCCAATGATCACTTTGATTATTAAGGATATCACAGCAGAGAAGAAACAAAATGTTGTTCTCGCTGAAGAGAAAGCAAAATCAGACATGTTATTGAAGAATATCTTGCCAGAGGCTGTTGCTGAACGTCTTAAAGCAGGAGAGACCTTTATTGCAGAACGATTCACTGATATCACTTGCTTCTTTAGCGATATGGTTGGTTTTACCAAGATGAGTTCATCTATGAATCCTAGCCAATTGGTTGGTATGCTAAATACCATTGTGAATGGGTAAGTTTTCAGTTTTTATTTTGTTTTGTGAATAACTCGAGTTATATTCGATAACAATGTACCTATATTCTCAATGAATCATGTAGATTTGATTCTCTCACCGATACTTATCAATTAGAGAAGATTAAAACGATTGGAGATGCGTACTTTTGTGTTGGAGGTATTAGTGGTTCTTTAACATCAGATCATCCAGAAAGGTATGTACAATGATGATCCAATGAAATTATTCAACTAGTGATTACACCTTTTATTAGAGTATTGCAATTTGCAATGGCCACTTTTGGAGTCCTTCGAGAATTTAACGCAAGCTCTGAGATGGAAACACAAGTTGAAATTCGTATTGGTATCAATACAGGTGGAGTGGTAGCAGGAGTCATTGGAAAGAAAAAGTTCACTTTTGATATTTGGGGCGACACCATCAACGTCGCTAGTAGAATGGTAAGTATTCTCTAATGCGGAGTAAGTTCAATGACATGTACACTTATTATATTAACCAGGAATCGACAGGAGTACCAGGTCGTATTCACATCAGTCGTTCCACATATGAACGTGTGTATGATATGGGTTTGGAATTTGAAGAAAGGAAAATAGAAGTTAAAGGAAAGGGAGAATGTCAAACCTATTTACTGGCAGCGAAACATCATCAGCAGTCCATTGTGACCAAATAAATAGTTAGTTTAAGGCTAGTGCAAAAAAAACACAAAATTCAGCAAAATGTTTGAATTTCTAAAATACTCGCCATAAAAAAAATGAAAGCTCTCCGCAGCAAGCTCCAACAAGCGAAACAAAAAACATCGACCGTCATTGAGAGTGAGTCAGTAACAACACAGCAAGTTGTGCCATCAACATCATCAGATAAGAAGAGCAGCACGAAACATGCTCCATCAAAAACCACTACAACAGCACCAAAAGAAACCAAGAAGAAAACTTCGGAACCTTCTTCATCCAAACCAGCCAGCTTCCTAGTTGATGAAACAGACTTTAATGCGCAACTCTTTGATGATGAAATTACAACATCAACCAATCAGGATCTTTCAATTCCCAACATTTCCGATAGTGATGATGATTTTGATGAAGATTTTGATGATGAAGAAGGAACATCCACCCTCCACACCAAGAGGAAGGCTTCTTCTTCCTCACTTGTCAAAAAACAAGAGGGTAGACCTTCTTTCGCAGATTTAGGAATTGCTCCTTGGTTAGAAGAACATTTAGCTAAACTTCATATCTACATGCCAACCGTAATTCAAGAGAAATGTATTCCACCCACACTCGCTGGGAAGAACGTTATCGGAATGTCCCAAACAGGAAGTGGTAAAACAGCAGCATTTGCTTTACCAATCATTCAGAATTTAGCTAAAGATATGTATGGTATATATGCTCTTATCATTACACCAGCAAGAGAATTAGCCATTCAAATCAAACAACATTTTGAAATCCTGGCTGGAGATTTGCCATTACGAGTGGCTTTACTTGTGGGAGGTATGGATTACTTGAAACAGGCTCACATGTTAGATAGCTCTCCTCATATTGTTGTTGGAACACCAGGAAGAATTGAAGATGCCATTCGAACGTTTAGTAATGATAACTATTTTAAGAAAATCAAATATTTGGTTTTTGATGAAGCCGATAGAATTTTTTCAATGGACTATTCCTTAGATCTTGATAAGATTTTAAGTGTGTCGAATCCTAAAAGACAGACACTGTTATATTCTGCTACCATGAACAATCAAGTGAAAAAATTGGCAAAGATGGCAATGAGTCAAAGTGGTAAAACGAAAGAAGAAAAAGAAGAATCTTTATATATTTATGATGCATGCAAACTCTTTCAATTGGCTGATAACTTGTCACAATACTACTTGTTCATGCCGGAGCATGTTAAAGATGCCTATCTTGTGCATCTTTTGACATCACTACCTGATAATACTATTTCAATGGTATTTTTTTCAGATATTTTCCAATGTGAACTTTTGAATCAAGCATGTCGATTGATGGGCATCAGTTGTGATTCTCTTCATGCCTCTAAATCACAAAAAGAAAGGTTTGCTGTCCTTAAATACTTTAGGAAAAGAAAACTCAAATTCTTGTTTTGTACAGACGTAGCAAATAGAGGATTGGATATTCCTGCAGTAGGATATGTTGTGAATTACGATTTACCTGATACTACAGACAAATATGTACACAGAGTTGGAAGAACAGCAAGAGCAGGAAGACTGGGTATTTGTATTTCGTTAATTTCTCAGTTCGAAGTGAAACGTGTGAAAGCTATCGAAGAGGATACAGGTGTGAAAATGGAAAAATATGAAAGTTTTGATGAATCGCAAGCAGAATCTGAAGAGTTTTTAATTAGCGTTGCAGAGCACAAATGTAACGCAAAATTGGCACTATTGGACTCTGGTTTCTATGACAAATTTGAACAGGTCAAGTCAAAACAGCAATTGACGGCCGAATTGCGAAAGCAAGCTAAAATCTTCTTTGAAATGAGATCCATGCAAAAGTTGAAAAGTAACTCTGCAAAATGGAAGGATAGGTTTTCAATATCTGAAGGTGTCAGCAATCCATCATCGTATGAAACAGAAGAAAAAGACCAAAACACTCACGAAGATGCTTCCTCAAAACGAAAGCAATACGAGCCCAAGTCCTCGAGCAATTCTGACGTAAACATTTTTGGGAAAAAAAAGAGGAAGCTATAAACATAATTTTAATGCTGGTTCTATTCATTAAAATCGAAAATGGACAATTGGGAATTGTTCAGTTTGCTACTTGAAGCGGGGGTCGACTTTTTCTTTGCAGTGGACGGAGTTTTCGAGATTTTGGGAGACTCTTTTGGTTTTTTTCTTCCAGTAGATTCCTCTGCGTTATGGTCTTTTCTTTTCTTTTCACCTTTTTGTTTTTTGGGTGAAGGCGTTTTTACATCAGTCGACGTTTTGGCCGTGTGGTCTTCTTGGGTTAAGCTGGTCATTTTCTTGGCAGAACTAGATTTAGGTTTCTTTTGCATTGTTTTTAAAGTGAACTTAATACTGCTTGTAAATTGAAATTAACAATAATGACCTACCATGGAAAGGTCGTCAAGGACATCGGCCTGCTCAGCAATGGATTTCTTCTTCTTTTTGATTGGTGTTATTGGGCTAGCAGGCTTGGTTTTAAGTGAAACGATGGAATCATTAAGGTTTTGAATTACATCGCTCTGAAAACATTTTCAGCAACGAGCGTCCGTTAAAAACTTACTTTTCTGTTCCTCTCCCTCTCATAGTCAACTACAATTTTCTTGTTACGGGCGCTACTTTCTTCGTCAAATCTCGCTCTTTCCTCTTTCAACAGCACCAATTTGTCGTTCAGTAGTGATTTTTCATGTTTTTCTATTTCCTCTTTTTTGCTCTCCAGCTCCTTTGAAAGTTTTCTTTTCTCTTCCTCATAAACTGCCTTTTTTTCCTTTATCTCTTGTCTTGCTTTGATTTGCTCTTCAATTCGTCTTGCTAAATTTTGGGATTCTCTATTTGACCGTGCTAGAGCTTGTAACTCCTCCTTTTGCTTTTCTATTTTACAAATCAATTCATCATTGCTGTGGGAATATCGGTGAACTTCAGCATCTATGACTTGCTTGGAACTGAAGAGTTGTTCCATCTCTGTCTGTCATAATATTAGCGATACGTAAATAATAATCAAAGTCACATACCTCTAAAGACGTTTTGCAATCAACAAGCGAGGAAAGGTAATGTTGAATGTCGGTAAGCTTGGATGATAGTTCATTAATTTTGGTTTTCCTCTCATGGAGTTCACGTTGTCTCTCTTCAGCGATTGTAGAAACGTTTCTAATATTTGCTTCATGAATTGATTTTCGTTTCTCGAGTTCGGTCCTGGATGATTCTACGGACTTTTTGATACTTTTCAACTCGTCCTCAAGAGATGATTTATACTTTCTAAGCTCTTCTGCCTCAAATTTCAGGGAAGATACTTGCTTTTGAATTGCTTCGTGTTCTTTGGTCGTCTTTTCTTGTTGCCCTCGCATTTGAGTAATAATTTCTCTTTTAACACGTAGTACGAAGTAGGTAGATAACAATAACAACTTACTTGTTACTATTATTCGCTTCCTGCATCCTTTTGTTTTCATCGATCGTTGATTGAATCTTCAGTTTGGCCTCCTCAATCGTAACACACTGAGCCTCAACGTCCTTCGCCATCTGTTCAAGAACCTCATCATAACAACTTCGCAATCTGACCTCAAACGTTCTCTGAGTATTGTGCTTGTCATCCTTCGCTGTTTCGAGTGTGGCCTGCAATCCTTGAATCTGTAAATTTTTTGCTTCAATTCTTTCATTTGCATGAACAATATCGTTCTTGATCACGGTTAAACGTTCTTCTACGGTCTTGAGAAGGCCAACAACATTCTCCAAGTTCTGTTCTTCTTGTTTGAGCTCTGATTGCATCTCCAACAGTTTTCCGTTGCTCTCGGATATACTCTTTTCTACCTCTCCGAGCTTTTGAGTTGCGCACTCAACTTGCTTTTCAGCAGAGTTTTTGGCTTGTACCGCTGCTTTGAGTTGCCTGGCGAGTTCAGCTTTTCTCTTCTCCTCGGCCTGAAATTGTGCTCCTAACTCGACGTACTGAGCAGACAACTCTTCAACCCTTGTTTTCAACGACGTGTATTCAAGATCTGCTCTCTCAACTTCCTTCAATTGCACCTCAATGCTTTCAGAGCACTTTTGCAGAGAGGCTAAATGAACGGCTGTCCCGTACTGTACAGAAGTGATTTCCTTCCATGTTTCATCCAACATTAATTTTAGACCTTTGATCTTCTCGCTGATTGAGTTAGCCTTTTGCTCAAGCTCCTCTCTCTTACTGTTGTTTTGATGAATTTTGTTGGACTTTTAGAAGAGCATAATTAGGATTCAACCACTTTCCAATATTCAACTTACAATTACATCTTCCTCGGTTTTAGTACTTGAATGATCAATAAGAAGAGCCTCAGCGGAAGATATTAAGGCCTCCTTTACGTTAGTAAAACAGGAAGGCTCCATCGCTGCAACAATTGAGACAATTTTTTCAAATTGTTCTTTACAACAAAATCCACCCCAAAAAATGCCACAAGGAGTCATTCTATGCACGGCCGCCTACGACAAGACCATCAGACTTTGGGAGCCAACAACAAATGTATGCTCTCACACCATCACCTTTCAAGATCCACAAGTGAACGTTCTATGTATTTCCCATAACAAGAACTTCTTGGCTGCTGCTGCCAATAATCATATCCGAATTTATCAATTAGCAACCAACGACCAGCCTCGTGGAAGAGGAATGAAATCAAGTCGGACTCAACAACCACAGCAACAGCAACAACAACTACCATTATTTGCCAATTTAGAAGGACATACAGCGAATATTCTTGCTCTTGGATTTCAACAAGATGATAAATGGATGTACAGCGGAGGAGAAGATGGCACGGTCCGGGTGTGGGACTTGCGTAGTTTCACTTGTCAAAGAGAATATTCTGTTTGTGGCTCATCAAAACAGCAACAACGTAAGAAGAAAAGCTCAAAAGGCATCAGAGCAAGTAATAATCATGTCAACTCTGTTGTTTTACATCCTAATCAAGTAGAGTTAATTGCTGGAGATCAGAAAGGTTATCTCAGAATTTGGGATTTAACAGCAGACAAGTGTACCTACAAAATTTGTGTTTGCAAAGGAACACCAATCCGAAGTGTTGATGTGAGTCAAGATGGTAGAACCATTGCTGTTGCCAATCAAAAAGGAAATGTATATATCTATCATTACAAATGTTATGATGAAACTGAGAGCAATATTTGGGAGTCGTACGGATTTTCTCTCGAACGAAATATTATGACCCTTTCAAACAAACCAATTCCTCCTTCAAAATCATTGTCAGATTTTTCAACAGCCATTCCTGGTACTCCTACTATTGGATCACAATTACATCAAGGTGATATGACACCTTCATCAAGCACATTACCAATTCTTAACACACCTCGCCACATTTCTTCAAGTGATCAGACCTGTTTTATAACAGAGGATGGAGCCATTCGATTAATTAACCAATTCAATGCACACTTCAATCATTACATTCTCAAGTGTAAAATTGCTCCAAATTGTACTCAACTAGCCACTTGTAGTTCAGACTCAACTGTGAGATTGTGGGACTTGACAAACCAATGCAGACTTCAAAAGACTCTCTCAGGTCACAAGAGATGGGTCTGGGATTGTACCTACAACTCTGATTCTTCATATTTGGTGACAGCAAGCTCTGACTTGACTGCAAAATTGTGGGACTGTGCGAAGGGAGAATATATCAAAGAGTACAAGGGACACGCAAAAGCTGTTGTGTGTTGTGCGCTTCATGACACTCCTGTGATGTAATTGAAGCCAAATGGTTCATGTTGTAGGTTACCTCTTTGTGTTCCCTCGAATCGGAATGGATGATTTGTGGCATCTTGTAAAATTTAACTCATAAACACTCACTATGTGTTCACTCATATTTATTGTTGGCATGACGATGAAGCACATGCAGTGAGTTTCAATTTTTCAAGTCTGTCGGCGTGTCTTCCTCCCTCAAATTCAGTTGTGAGGAAAATATCAACCATTCTCTTTGCAATTTCAATGCCTGTGGTTCTTCCTCCGAAGCACAAAACATTTGCATTATTATGTTTTCTTGTCATTTCAGCTGAGTAATCATCATGGCAAAGTCCAGCTCTAATTCCTTCATGTTTGTTGGCTGCAATAGAAATTCCAATTCCGGTACCACACAACAAGATTCCTCCATCATATTCTTTGTTTTGAATTTTCTCGCATACTTGATGAGCAATATCGGGATAATCCACTCTATCTTCTGTGTGAACACCAGCATCCTCAAAAGCTTCTAATTTTGAGGCATAAACGCTCTTCAAATATTGTACCACCAAATTCTTCAAATCAAGAGCCGCGTGGTCGCATCCCACAATAATTTTCTTGAATACTAGATTTCTCGTTTGAGACATTTTTCTTTCCCTTCACTACTCTGGTGTGTACACACAAGAAACAATTTGGTCCTACTGTCGAAAGAAGTTGAGTCTTGAGAAATATCCATTCAATTTCCAATTCAAAAATATTTTCGGGATTGTGTGTCTCGATCAATCTCCAAAGCCAAGTGTGTGTTGTCTCTCGTATTTGTGCTTGCGCGCACTCTTTGACAAAACATCAAGACAACATCATCCTTTTGCACGGATTGATCGCACTATAAAATGTATAACAGTAATAATTCATCAAGTTTGGGAGTGTCAAACACAAACTCAATAACGAATCCTCCCATGATGATGACGAGACCTCCGACCAACACTTCTTCCGTTGTGAGTAATGCACCTACAGCAGTACTACAACCACCCACAGGAGGTATACCACCCCCGAATACAATGATTTTATCTGGACAGCCTTCTAGTAGTACTTTTAATCGAAGACCCATGATGATGATACCATCGGCACAACCAACTAATTCTCCCTATTACAACACAACAACAATTCCGAATTCTGGAAATACTTATTATACGACACCACCAGGTGTTCCGCCAAATGTTGTCATGATGAATCCATTCTATCGCCCTCCTCAATTTCCACCATCGTCATCAATGACACCCATGATGGTCATGTCAAATCCACCTTCGGCCGGTGGTGGTACATTTACCACAACTACCAATCCATTGTGGGTATCAAATACTACTACGACACCTCTTCGTCCCACAATGACTGGAGGAATGAATCAGCCTCAACCACCACAATTTCCACCCAACACTTTAAATAGAGCAAATTCAGCGATCAATGTTCCACCAAATGTACCATCCACTACGACACAAAATATTCCACTTCAATCACAACCATCCACATCAACTATTGGAAGAAATAGAAGTGTTTCAGTAGGATCGGCAAATAATGGCGATTTAGTACAAGAAACAAAAGCATTTGATGAAGTGTTGAATGTATTTTATAATGATCCAGTTAAAATTGATGATTTAATCAAAATGGATTTATTTTGCATCAAAAGCGCTCTTCCGAGAACTACATTTGAAGAAGTTGATATTTTTTCCACATACTTTGGACATGGTTCAACTGTTGACGCGTCTTCATTTGGAGCTAATTTACTACTCAATGACGAAACTTCTCATGATGACACCTCTCGCAATAATAATCAATCCACAGTCATTTCATCTTTGAGACATGCAATTCGAAAATTGTATTTAGAGGCTTTTTATGAGGATGACAGATTTTCTGCCAACGTTATTTCATACCATTTATTACTTTATAAACGATTGAAAATATTAGAAAAAGTTCAAGAATACCAACAGGCAAAGATGAATGCAGCTCAATCCCTTAAAGTACATTTCGAGCAATTAGGATCTGCAAATTCACTTTCTATAACTTTTGAAAATCCACAAAACGACAAAAATAACTCTGCAACGAATACTAACGTTTTATCTAATGCTCCAGTGAATATTACAGAAATGATTCAGGTAGCAGACCATCAATATCAACCTCTAAAAAAAGAAGACCACGAAACATTTACGAAAAGTTTATTTAAGGCTATGCAAAAAAGTGATCTGAAACGAGGATTGTTTGCCAAGCTCAGGAAGTCAAAATCAGAGTCCATTTACAAGATCATTACAAAATATGCATATCCTTTATGCTTACCAATTGAGAGTGTTGCATCAGATATCGAGTCCCTAAATTCTGTAAAGCAATATCTAGTAGAATATTCACTGGATCCAGAAAATGGTTTGAAGAGAAGAACCAAATCTATTCATTCATTACTCTTGTTGGCCCTAAGTAATGGGTCGTTATTGGATATTTTGCAAGTGTTGAAATGTTTATTATCTCTGTCAGAATCTACAAGCGAACCATTTCTTACAGCAGAAACAGAAGAAGAAGGATGTTTTGTCATGAGACCCGAAACTCTGAAACCACTTCAACAATTTCAATATTTAATCAAAGCTCACTTGGACCAAATTGAAAAAGACACACCTCATACCAATACCACATCACCTGATAATGCTCCGTCAAATCTTTTACCACACCATATTTGGAATGATCCTAATTATTCGTTGATTTCTCATACACAGAATGGAGTTTCTTTGAACTTCAACTGGAAAAAGCCATTTTTGACAGCAAAAAGACTTTTCATATTTTTATTGAATCAAATTGATATGCTTGCCCTTCATTATTTATATACAGAGTCATTCAGTTCCATAAACTCTAAAGGAGAGTTAGCAATTGATTTAGGAGAGACCAAGAACATTAATTCTGTTTTGAATCATAGAGAGAAATATTTAAGAAACAAACTAAGCGTCAATATCAAGTTTGGCATTGAGCTTGGATCACCTAGAACATTTTCATCGTTGCTTGATCTCATTGACCACATGCTTCATATAGCATGCAGCAACGAAGACCAAAATGATTTAAATTCTTTGAAGAATTATTGTACAGCTGCGTTCTTCAGAGTGTTACATTTGAATATTAAGGCCTTGAGCTTGTGGAAAAAAGGAAGAGAGCACGTAAACCAATTGCTTCAACATAGAATGTCTACCAGCGGCTATGGAAATGCCAATTTTGTAGAGTCTATGAAAGGTTACTTTACTACTTTTTTGAGAGAGACAGAGAGTCAATTTATGGATCCAAAGGACATTCAAGTTGAAAACACGGACACTATAGAAACTCCTCAAAGCCATGCTCCTAAAACAAAAGATCCAAATATTAAGGAACAACCAAAAAATCAACAGAAAACGGCGCAAGACCAGAAAAAAGATACCACATCAAACCCCTTTATGCTATCCGTATTGGGCTCCAATAAGGACAATTCTGCTTTTGATACTCCAACTAATTTTAATATTGAAGAAAACGAAGACTTTGTGGTCATTAGCACTGCTCCAAATACTAAACAAGAACTAACAAGTCAGGAAAAGAGTTCCAAATTCAAAACCATTTTGTCAAATTTAAATCCACAAGAATATTTGACCAAATATTTGTCCGACAAAATTTTAGATATTTTAGTCACTGGTTTTTCGATATTTTATCCAACACTAGAGGAACAGAGACAATTTTTAGAAGATTCCATTGGAATGTTGACCAATGGATCTAGAGCATCAACCTCAAGCCCTATTCTCAGCACAAGCAACGACGTGCCATTCAGAAGAAGATTTTTGAAAAAGTTATTGGAAAGAATGGTTAGCGATTTCACACTCTTTGAGAGGTTGATTGCAAATGGAATAGGAATGACAGACGTGAATGTTGTAATTCCATTTACTGAGAAAATGATTGAGTTTATTAAGAGGCAAGAACAGTTTAAGCTTGCAGAGATCATGGTACGATTATCAATATTCTCCCCTACACGTGATGTTAAAACGAAGGACTTACACATGCATGAAGATATTGAGAACATAGCGAACCTCATCAAGCAATTACTATTGATGTGGCAAAATTTCTTATTTCATTACGTACACTCAATATTTACAAAGAGCTCTGTTTCCAGTAGTGCAAGTGTGATCAATTCCCTTTTAGGAACCAATGCTGGCAAAGTTTTATTTGAATACGCTCGATTAATTTTAAATCAATCAGAAAATATGCTAACAGAAATGTGTAGTTTGTCTGCTGAGATTAAGGAAGTGTTGGCAGATTTAGAAACACACAGTGAGACCTATAACAGTGTCAAGACATTGTTACTGAAAGATATTTGCCATGACATTTTCCAAAAAGGTGCAACTGGATGGCTTTGTTTTCCGTTACTACTCAACTTTGCAAAATTTTTATGGAAAGGAAGTACATTGAGCAACTCAAAGTCAGCAACAGGAAATGCTATCATTGAATCTCAGCTTGAAAAGCTCACACAATTCTTATATCCTTCTGTCGTAAATTTACTGAGAATGGTTGATTTGTTGTGTCAATTTGCAGACATTAAGGAAACCAATTGGGAGACAGGTCAATTTCTCATCAATGAATGGGCTATTGTTGAAACTGAACATCCATATGATGGGAATGTTTCAGAATTTAGAGATATTATTTTTAACAATGACAATGTGACCAATGTGGGTATCAAATTTGATCCAAGATGTATCACTTCGGGAAGTGATGATCACTTGCGAATTAATTCCTCACAAAAAATACCCAATGTGCAGGCTCTCCAATTTTCAGGACATGGTACAACCATTCCAATCAATCCTCTCATGACTTGGGGTAATGGTATGACCTGCAGTTTTAGATCTGGTACTTTTGCGTTGAATGCGAGTGAAGGTGGTAAACAAGGTAGTTTATGGGGTATGCGATGTATGATCGTTCCAGTGAGAAGTTATAACTCAACTTCAGAAAATCCATTGTTTTTATATGAATTTTCTAAATTATTGGGACACCTTGGAGGCCGATGTAGTACCTATCTATTCTCGACTTATCCATACAGTAGTGATGAAGACAAGTATGTGGAATGGTTGGACAGTAAAATATTTTGTAATGGAATTAAGGTTGAGAATGGAAGTGGTGCGATTCAAAACGGTAGTGACTCCTCTCATCAAGATCGCCACATAGAATACCAACTCAAGAATAACCATGGATTGTTGTTGTTGAGACCAGAGGAATTTTCAAACACTGCAATTTCCTATCAACAAACCAAATTGAATTTGAGTAACAACAACAACAACACGATTATTGAAAATAATCACGAAATTGAATCCAACACCACTGAAGCGTCAAGTGTAGACAGCAATGATCAGACTGTTATCGACATTTCTGAAAGATTCCTATTAGAGATGATTGAATCTACTTCCAACTCTTCTGGTGCTGTTGTATTTTGTCAGTACATGTATCAGAGAGTGCTCCACAAGGAATCGTTCATTCAAATGATGCAACATGTACCAGATGTACTTGCAGCAGAACGTGCAGTCGTATCGGCTGTTTTGAAACATTCAGGACTTGATGTACTTGCACGAAAGATGGCAGATGTTGTATTGGAAAGTCCATTTCCAATGATGGAAACTATGGACAAGGATGCATTTGAAAAATCAATGACTCTTCTTGATGCTCAATTTAAAAATGGAGATTATGAGAAATTGAAAGTCATGTGGAGAAAGGTTGGAAGAACGTTGAGAGAATGGATGGTCAAAACCAAACAACAAAAACAACTCTCCTACAAAGATATGAAAGATTTTATTGTTCAAAAGTGCAAATTCCTTATTGGCCTCGAAAGTGCATTTATCACTGCTGTTCCCAGGTCAAACATGGAGAAGTTTTTGACAAGTACAAGTAACGAGTTGAAAAACAAAATGCACCTATTCAAAAAGGTTCAGCCTTCCAAGTTTGAAAAGGCATCACTGTTTTCACAGCAATTGACTCACAAATTTGTGGTTAACCAATTTAAGCGCGAGAAAACAACTCCTCTCTCCCTTCCTTCTGATGATTTTGTGTTGGATATCTCATCACAAATTGTCAAGTTTATTCAAAGCGATATCATTCCTGTAAGAATACAAAATTTAATGAGAATGAGAAACGAAAGAGCTTTAAACCGAGCCACTTCCTTGCAAATGTTTAGTGAATTACTACAGAGCACCCAATTCAATAGTATTAAGGCAGAAATTATACATGGAATTAAGACAGTCCGACAAAATAGATCTATGAAAAAATTGGACTCTCCAAACTTCCATTACTTTAATAATGTGGAAGGAAGTGGTCCAATGTATTTGGAAATTTTAGAAACTAGTTTTTCATCATTCCTAAAACAATTGTTTGAGCCTTTAGATATGTGCTTGCACGAAACATCCACTCAACACGAAAAGGAGGACTCTTTAAAGACTCTTATTCAAAGTGGTTTGCTACGAGAAATTTTAGATATTTGCTTGATATCATTCAAACAAAATGATATCAAATGGATAATGCATTTTGATTTCCTTGAAAAGTTATCATACTTGATGTATAACACGTTGCCATCACCTAGTCAAACTGTTCTACCAGGTGATAAATTTAAAAAGCATGGTGTTCGAGAAGAACAAAAAGAAATTAATAAGAAATCTTGGAAGATATTTAGACTCTTATCCATAAGATGTGTAGAAATGCTCGAAGAAAACACCGTATCGGATCCTGAAATTGAAAGACAATTGAATGGACTCAGAGACACAGTATTCAATCTATTATTTAAGGATCTCAAACGTGTGATTGGAGACATGAATTCATCCTTTGTGTCCTCTGAAGTGTTGGAAGAAATGTTGTCATTGATGGTTTCATTATCTAACACACCATCAGCCCAGTCTTGTCTTTCCAATGAACGATTCCAACAATTATTGTTACCGCTATTACGACTTGAAAGCTATCCAAAGGTTCAAGAGCTTGCGCTGAATTTATGTGGCCAGTTAATTATGAGCAATTGTGAAATAGATCCCGAATCAGGATATAGTGAAGGTCTCAAAGAATTGCTGACCATTCTCTTTGAATTTTTAGGAGCTTACGAAATTCGTCAAGTGATTGGTTGTGATGTTTCCGTTCAACATTCATCAGATGGCGATGGAAGTGGTAGAATTGGTTTGAAAATGGCTCGTGATATTTTCAATCTCATTAGAAAACTATTCTCCGACATGTCCAATCAACAGTCTCTTCCATATTTTGCTGGCCTATTAACTGCATTAATGGAAAACTCAATTTTACATGCTACAGAAAAAATATTAACTGAACTTAAAAATGGAAGAGGAATTAACACAGAAATAACATTTAAAGATTTACAACAGCTTTACTCCACATTAACGATCTTGAATGGCTTCAATTGCATTCCACAAATTGGAGAAACAGTCACTGTTGAAATGAATGGAAGAAAAGAGCTTGCCAAAGTGAAAGAAAATGAAGAAACCTATCATTTAGTGAAAATTGAGCTTTTAGACAAAACCGTCATCCATCGCGAACACTTTGTGTCTGCTGAGAATGTACAGGTGCTGACCAACAAACCAATGGAAAACTTCCACATGCAAAAAAAGCATATATCTGCTCTATTTTCATTTATTACTGAACTTGGAAATTATGTAAATAATGGGGATATATCTGTGGATGACAAAATATTAATTTCCAATCTCTGGTCAAGAACATTGAGATGGCTGCTCGATAGCGTATCCAATGAAACAAGCCATTCAGATGCAGTTTTTGATTGTTTATTTGGATTAGATAATCAAGTCTCACACATTTTAGAAAAATTAGTACAGTTAGGTGAAATAGCAACAACCTACCAAATATCGACCCCGGATTCAGGCAAATCGATCATGTCCTTTGGCAGAGATTTAAAACTTGATTCTTGCAGTTTCACTTTTACTGGAAAGAAATTCCACAAACAATATTATTACAGTTGTCAAACATGTAGTATGAGCACGAATCAAGCAGTTTGTGCATTCTGTGCAAGAACATGCCACAGAGGTCATCGCTTGGGAACGTTGGAGGTTGGAGATTTTTATTGTGATTGTGGTGCTGGAGAAGCTGCAGCTAAAACTCATGGAACCTCAAATTGCAAAAGTCTTCGTAATGCTTCTCCTGATCCAATTTTAACATTGGAACGATTGGAAAGTGTGATACTACGACTTCAAAAATTAATGCCAGTCACTAAACAATCAGGTCCAAAGGAGTCTAACAACGTTTCCGAACAAACTGCATTAGATTCTTCATCTCCACAAACGACACCCATACAACAAAAAGGTCCAAGCCGCTTTGTAATTTCTAACACCATTTTGCAAGAAAATATTCCTTATTCTGTGAACAATGGACTTGATATGCCACTCATTACCTTCAATGCAATGAAACTTTACTCTCCCAAACACTTTGTAATTGGAACGGATCAATGTGTACCTTTCAATTGGCCCGGATACTACTTTGAGATTGAACTTTTGGATGCCAGTGAGGGATTAGCCATTGGTTTTGTACCTTATTTACCTCCTTCCTCTGCAGCATCGTTTACGTACAAGATGATGTTCTCTCAAATTCCCAATTTTTATAGTTGGCACACAGATAGTGGATCGCTGTACAATGGAGGTACCGTTGCTAAAAGTTCATACTCTTCTGCTAGCAATAAGGATATTATTGGATGTGGTTTCATTAGAGATACCAAGTCTATTTTCTTCACTCGCAATGGAGTGCACCTTGGTGTTGCCTTTAATAATGTAGATATGGTTACCTTTTATCCTGTGATTGCAATGAAAGGCAAAAATTCTCAAATTCGAGTGAATTTAACAATGACCAAACCATTTCAATTCAATCTTGGAAGATCACATAACATTTTGTTACCATTGTATTCGGGTTATCAAGTACCACCTGTGATTGAAAAGGCATCAAACTTGATGATGGATTCAACAAATGTTGGAGCATCATCCTCTTCTCAACAGCTTTCCATAAGCGACCTTTTTGAACTTCGATTCAAAGAATTGAAATCTATTGTAAATGGAATTTACACTGATGAGGATGTTAGAAAAGCTCTCAGTATTGCAAATCACGAAGATAGCAACGTTTCTATTTTGAATCAAGCGCTAAGTATTTTACAAAGAAATATGCAAACTCAAGTACAGATTGTTCATACTCTTCAACCTTCAAGTTCACAAACAGTGATTCCAGTCATCAGACAGCAATTAGTGGAACAATTGAAAATTATGGGATTCACTAATGAAAAACTTTGCTTAAAAGCACTTCAAATGGCAGGTGATGACATCAATTTAGCTCTAAACTTTTTAATTGAGGGAGGTGTTGTTGAAGATACTCCTTCGACAACAACAACCTCTTTATCTAGCACATCCTCCACTCTTCCACCCTCTCTTCTCAGTGCTAGTTCACTCACTGATCGAGATGAAATTGCAAAACGAAATGAGAAATCCGTCAATGATGTAATTTTATTTGACAGTAATGGAATTCCTTTACTTGGAAGTGAATTTAACAATGCAGACATGAAAATGCGATTACTCAAAGGTCTTCTTCAAAATCCAGATGTTAAAATCAACGAGAATAACTTTTGTGATTCTAATAATTTGAGGGAAGGAGATTTGGTAGTTGTTTCTCCAAGAGTGGTTCCTGTATCAGATCACAATGATTCTACTTTTGACTTGTCCAAGAATAAGAAGACAGTAGGTCTCTCAAAACTACGAGGAAAATTAGGTGTTGTCTCTAGAAAGGTTACTTATGGTCCCTATGTTACTGTAGCTGAAGAACAATCCTCAGCTAAAAGTTTAGTCGTTACCGATTTGGTTGAATCTAAGAATGTGTACACACCACCGCACGAGCTCAAAGGATCTTCCATTAACGACATTCCAAAGAAGTGTGTTGATTTTTACATGACACTTTCATCCACTTATATTCGAAATGTGTTGTTGAAAACTTTGAAAAAGGCAGCCAGTAAGCGACAAGTTGCGTTGTTGGATATTCCAAATACATTTTCTAACAACAAATCACTCATGAAGGCAATGAAACTGGTCATGCTCGATTCGTACCATCACTTGGACAACGACTTTAACTTTGTTTCTTCACAACCTAATAGTATTTTACTTGAAAAATCTGCAGATTATGACAATAATTATACGTTTTCAAACAAAACTCTACCCTCACTGGAGAACTTTGAGGCGTGGAAAGACATGACAGTGACAACCAATCGAGGGCTTTCAAACATATTCCTTGAGCTTGAAGAAGAAGCGTTGAGTGAACTCCATGGCCATACTCATAGTATGCAAAGCTATAGAAAATATGATTATAAGAAAGACATGAATGTCATGTATCAAAAGAACTCTCCCTATAAGCAACATTTTATTCAATTTTATGGAGCAACCTCTATTTGTATTGTATTGGGAGAGAAATTTGAGTTACCCACAAATATGGACATGTTAACATTTTACTTTGATAGAGCTGGAAAGAAAATTGCACTACAAATTAAGGGAGGAGCTCCCATTTCAGAAAGATGTTTTATCATCACGACAAATCATTCTGGATATTTCAATCAGTCAGAATCACAATGCCAAGCCCAGCTCTATTTTGAATTTACTGGTTCTACTGTTCGAGAACATGGAACTACATTTTATGCATCTCCATACACATTCAAACTTTCTCAAAAAGATGCCTATCAACAATCCAACCTGTTACTTTGTTCATTAATTCTCAAATATGCAGCAATCTCTAGAAAGGCCCTCAAGAAAGTGGATCATACATCAGCATTATATTTACCAGTCTTGTTGAGATACTTATTGACACCATTTGCTCCTTTTAAGGGAATTGTTTCAGACACTTTATCACAACTAGACTTTTCGAATCCAATTATTTTCAATTCTCATATTGATCCAATGTCATTGATTGGAGTTAAAGATATTATGGTAAAAAGTGGTCCACCCTTTGCCCATCTTTCCTTGTTGAAGAGATTCAGACTTGAACTTGAAGAATTGTATAGAAAATATTTGAGATATAATGAATCTTCTCCACACTCACTTCCAAACTTCCATGCAATGGCTGAATTTATGACTAACATTCGAAAGTATTTAGTGAGCGATTTATGTCAATCTATATTCCCTCCTGCATCTTCTACTTTATCGAACATACCCCTAAATTTGTTATCCAATATTGATAAGCACCACATTTACAGCTGTAAAATTGAACAATTCTATGGTAGACACGCCGATCGAGAAACATTGGCATGTACAAGTTGTACTCATAGTGTTGCTAAACAACTCTCCATGCATGATTCTCGTTCTAGTACGAATACTTCATTTGCTAAATATTATTCCAATGACAGTACAAAGTGCCAATCACAAATAGCTACTGAATTTCTCATCAAATTTGATCCAGAAACTCGTATGAACTATTCCACTAGTGTGGTTCCAATTGGTTCCACAAATCCTCTCGTTAAGGAGGACCAACTTTTACAGGTAAATCCATCGGATTGGTTTGAACACGTTTCTTGGATCGATCAATTAACGATTATTAGAGAATTTTTGGAAACTTTTACATCAAGTAGAGGAAAAGAATTTCCTGAATGGACTTTATTTGAATCCATTTTAGAGAAGAGAAAAAAGATTTGTTATAAGGAAAGCAAACATCCCTACACAGTTGTCAATGATTCAGACAAGATCAAAATTCCCGGTGCTAAAACACTGTATATTACTTTTGACAAACATAGCAAAACACACAAATGTGATCGGTTAAACTTTAGTACCAAGAGAATTGGTGCAGATGATGTGGGTTCATTTGGAGGAGAAGAATTGAAAGACAAAACCATTGTCGTTCATGGAACGGATTCTGTTTATTATGATTTTACATGTGCCGGTGGTGATCATGATGTTAAATGTTCCAACTGTAGAAATAACATTGTTGGAGTGCGTTACCATTGTGTAGAATGCGAGGAATATGATCTCTGTGATAAGTGTATTCCAAAACAAGGAAGAGTTCACTCAGAACTTCACTTATTCCTTAAAATTAGACGTCCTGTGGATTGCATGCCTGCACTCATTCCATCATTATACACACCAAGATGGCGCTCTACAAGTCAATTCAAATCAAACGTTCACACTGGAGTCAAGTGCGACAATTGTGGAGTTAACCCTATCAAAGGAATTAGATATTGGTGCGAAAATTGTGAAAACTTTAACTTGTGTGAAAAATGTGCAGAGACTGAATTCAAGTATCACGACAGAATGCATATTTTCTTGAGAGTGGTACGACCTCTTCCTCCTAAAAATCAAATGCCAGCAAATGCTTTACCGTACGGACTTGTCTATGAAAAAGACATGGATTCTCATTGGGGATACATGTTTAGTGTTTCTTCATCCATTGAATCATGTCCTCGTATTTCTCAAGTGCAAAACGAGATGGAGGATATCCGAACCGTTATGAAAACGACTATTACAAAGGAAGAAGATGATATTGATCCAAATGAATTTGATAAGCAACTAGTGGAATATATTGAGAATTATAGTAATGGTTGGCAATCGTTGGAATGGAATCAATTGAACCCAAGAAAAGAAGAACTTAGCAACTTGCCACTTCTTGAACGAGTTCCACTTAATCGATTAAGGTATCGATTCTTGCTATTGAAATTGTTTAATAGAAGAATATCACGAGTAATTAATTTGTTGGACTTTACCAATTCTTCTGCATTTGAGAGGAATGATGGAAGAACCACAACTATTACTGACATGATTAGTCAATATTTAAGAAATAGAATTTTCTATTCAGTCAAGATGGATGCTTGGCAACACACCATTTCCAAATCTCATGTTACAGTAGATCCTATTCACTTGAAATTGAATAGACATTTAGCATCTGATTTACATCCAACGGATAAGCAACGAAATGCATTCAATTCTCTCTTCATTCAAGCATTTAATCAAGTGAAATCCATGCACCCAAAGATTTTGAGTCGAAAACAAGCATCTTGGAAGGTTACTTTGATAGGAGAAGCAGCTGATGATTATGGTGGCCCATTCAGAGAATCTCTCTCAAACATGTGTCAGGAATTAATTGCATTCGAACCACCAGTATTGGATTTATTTATTCCAACTCCTAACAAGGTTTCTGGACAGGGAGATAATCGTGATAAATTTGTTCCAAATCCCAAGAGTACAAGCGATCAACATCTCAAATGGTATGAATTTGTTGGAATGTTAATGGGTATTGGCATTCTCACCAAGAATGTGTTACCATTTGATTATCCATCTCTCATTTGGAAAGTATTGGTGAATGAAAAGATTGGATGGAATGATTTGAGAGCATTTGATGAAGAAATTTATAATGCCATGAAATCTATTTTAGAAATAGAAGATGTGGATGAAAATAGTGATTTGGATCTTTACACTCTCATGGAAGAAAGTTTTGCACAAACCTATTATGGAAGAACATTTACAGCCATTGGTAGTGATGGAAAAGAGATGGAACTAATTCCTGGTGGATCCACCATTGACCTCACTTACCGTAATCGAAAACAATATGCCTCTTTATTGTATGATTTTAGATTAACACGAGAATTTGTTGCTCAAATGAATGCCATTCGAAAAGGTCTATTCAATATGCTCACCAACAGATACTTTAGTCTATTTTCTTGGAATGAAATTGAAAGAAATATTTGTGGTATTCCTGATGTGGATGTTGAAAAATTGAAACAACACACAATTTATGAAGGATATACTGTCCAATCGAAGGAAGTGAAATACTTTTGGGAAATTTTACATTCATTCTCTCCAGAACAGCGTTCTCTCTTCTTAAAGTTTGTTTGGGGACGTGGCCGAATGCCATACAATGAAAGTGAAGCATTCACCAATCCAATGAAAATTCAGAAATTGGATCGACCAAATCCGGATAGTGTTTTACCACTTTCACACACTTGCTTCTTCTCGATTGAAATACCTCCCTACAGCACGAAGGAAATTATGAAAGAAAAATTACTCTATGCTATTGTGAATTGTAAAGCTATTGACATTGACTTTACAACGACAGCTATTGAAGCACAGAATGCAATTTCAGGACCAAGATATTAGTAGTAAAATGTTATTGGTTGGTTGATGTGTTTATTGGGAAATTCAAATTCAAAAAAATTAGTTGGTGATTTATTACATCTTCTACCATGAACTAAGGTGGGGCTTAATCTTGTACATTCTCGATTGATTGATGTTGTGGTTGGGAGTTGATGTAAGTATGCCATTGAGTGGCATACTGAGATTTGGTGGATGGAGTGTACGCTCTTTTTTTCGTGTATTGGTGCTAATTCAAAAAAATGCGTGTTTTTGGATGCAAAGAGTTTGGAGTGTGCGCTCGTGGGGTCATTTCAACAACAAACACCTCCCCATCATTCGCTCTTATAAAACAACGAGCAATTTCTATTCCACGTCATTATTTATTCTCTAAAAGTTTCATCAATGAAGTTCGAGAAATTAAATTAAACAATTTTCTAAAAGACTTTAAAAATCCCGAAGAAGAAATGGAAGTAGACTTGATGAAGAAATTTAAAGAGATGGAATCATCCAATCCATCCCCGTCCTCCTCATTGGCATCTAATGTGATTCCGAAAGAAAAGAAAATTTCAGAACAGCCGATGGAGGTATTGCTCAAGGAAGGAGATGATTGTTTGGAATCGAAAATTCTGTATCGAGCAACAGAAATATATTCTGAATGCATTGAAACCTATCCCAATGAATATTTACCATATTTACAACGATCTAAAGCCTATTTGATGAAAGGAGAACATGCTTTTGCTTTAAAGGATATGGACAAGGCTCTTGAAATAGCAAATTCATTTCCTACATTATCTCTAGATATGAAACAACATATAATTGATATTTATCACAATAAGGCTGTTTATTATTTTGAAAATTTAAAGTATCAAGACTCTGAGAAAAATTATAATGAATGCATCAAGCTTTGTCAAGAAATTCTCAAAAACGATCCATCAAACCTGCACGCTAAGAAAGTGCTTTCCACTTCGTTAAATAATTTAGGATTTATTGAACTTGAAAACAATCATGTTGAGAAAGCAATTGAATGTTTGCAACAATCTGAGAAAGTAAGAATGTCTGAACAAGCGCTCTCTTCCAACGAAATTGAACTCTCCAAGATTTATTATAACTTAGCCCGTGCTTTGAGCATGAATAACCAAGTTATAGATGCCATTCAATATATTGACAAGTTTTTGAAATTTTATCCACAGCACTACTCTGCTTTGATTTTAAAAGCCGATTGCTGCTATCGATCTGGAGACTACAAGAAATCAATAGAAACTTGTGATCAGTGCTACGCCTTGCTAAAATCAACGTATGATGCTCATGAAAGTGACGATGGAAAAGGTCCTTTCCTCACTCGATCAGAAATCAAATCTCTGAAAAAGAGAATGTCTTCCATTTTATTACTCAAAGGAAATTGTTATTTATCACTTGATAACATTGATAAGGCTGAAGAAGCTTTCAAGCAAGCAATGGCATCCAATCGATCTGATATATTACCATACATTGAACTTGGGAAAATCAAAATGACATTTAGACAAGATTACGAACAAGCAATATATTATTTGACGAGTGGAATTACAAGATTCGCATCGTTTGATCAGGAGATTCAGAATTTTGTTTCATTCGAGACACAAATCACGACGCTATTTTGTAGAGCCAAATGTTTCGAACGTGTGAAGGATTTGTACAGTGCTATCATTGATTATGAATTTATTTTAAATCAAGTTTGTCCAAGCTGGTCTACAAGTAGTACTTCTGAGAAAGTTCACATTGAAAAAGAGTCCACTAAAAATTCAGCTACCAATTCTCTCGAGTTAAGTCATTCCAAAGAATTTACAGTTTCGTTAATTATCCCAACACTGTGCCGTGCAGCTTTATTGAATCTAGAGGTAGATTCAAGGAATAACATGAAAAAGGCATTATCTCACCTCAACCAAGCGATCAAGATTGGAGAAAAATTCGGAGAAATTTATGTTGTTGAGCCACTTCATCACCGATATCATATTTATTTAAATTTATACAATTACTTGTCACAACAAGAACAGCAGGGAAATTCTGCTGCTGCTTCTACCCACCTGACAAATGCCACGAACGATCTTTCAAGAATAATTGAAACCTTACAACCACTTAAGGATCAGAATACCATTGACCAAGACGATGTAAATGTTCTTAATAACGCTTATTACAACAGAGGTGTGCTGAAATTCAAACAAAAAGAATATGACGAGGCATTGAAGGACTTTGGTCATGTAGATTTAGAACGAGCTTGTTCAGATTCGACCACGCAAGAAATGAAACGTTTAGTTGCTCGATGTGAATATCATTGCGGACGCTATTTTAAGGCAATCAGCCGTTTATTGATGTAACTCACTGCAAATTCATCTTGGCAAGCAACTTTTCAACCTTAGATAAATTCTTTTGATATTTTGCTTCGGACTCTAGTTTTGCTTTTTCTTCTTCTGCCAGGTTCTCGTTGTGTTTGATCTTTTCTTTAATGGCTGCAATGTCATGTAATCTCTTCTCGATCGCTTTCTTCTTCTTTGTGAGTTCTTTCATTTCTTCTAACTCGACTTGATGAAGTGTCATTTTAACACCAGCAAACTGTTTTTGAGTGCTTTGAAAATAATTATATAAACTTCCTTTCTGTAAATACTCAACATCTTCTGCTGTGGTGAGAGGTAAAATATCCTTGGCCTCTTTTTCTCTTTGTTTTTGTTCCTTGTATGATTGAAGTGCCATCTTTTCCACAGATTTCTTTTCCTTGCTGGCATTTGAAGAAGCCTGATTACCGACAAGTAAAGAGGTCATCTTGTTTGCTTTCAGAGTCACTAATTCCAGTTTCACTTTCGGTAAATGTGATCGTGATTCATCAATATTAATCTTGACTTGTACGTGATCAAAGATGTGGAATTTAAATCTCTCCTGTTTGTTGTCATCTACTTTTTTTAGAGAAACAGTCATTTCAATGTTTCTAATATTTTCTTCAGAGAATTCAATATCTGCTTTCCATCCGTGGTAAGTTTGAATGGGAGACATCAACTCTGGTAATTGATATTTCTTTCTCTCAGTCTCAGGACAAATAAATTCTCCTTCCTTTGTTGTTAAATAAATAATTCCTTTGATTCTAAATGTTGAAATAAATACATAAATAGCATTTGATTTTAGATTAAATATAATTGCATCCTCAACCGTATCTTTGTGATCTTTGAAATAATTCGCTTTAAACCATTCAGAACTCTCCATTTGAGCCATTTTGCTTGCTCTATTTACAGTGTTCATATATTTTGTCATTTCATCCAATTTAGTGGTTGAGAATGGATTAGATTCATTGTTGATTGCCCACAATAACAATCGATGTACAACAATATCTGCATATCTACGAATTGGAGAAGTGAAATGAGTATAAAATTGAAGAGCAAGACCATAATGATAAAAATCATTGACTGGTAATGTTCCTGTTGAGAAATATTCTGCTTCTGACATGGCTCTCGTTGTGAGAGAACGAATTAATAAATTCACAAACTTGTCTTCTGGATCTGTGGCTTGATCGAGAGAATGAGCCAATGTCGCTCCTGATTCTAAATCAATTTCAAAGCCCTTACTAGCAGCTACTTTGATGACTTGTTGAAATTTTTCTCTCATTGGATAAGGATGTCTTCTCAAACAAGCAGCCACTGGAAATGAATCATAAATTTTCTTAGCTACATAGGAATTGGCTAAAATCATCCATTCTGCAACAGTGTGATGAATTTGAAGATCATCCTTTGTGACTATACCAACCGTCTTTTTCGAATGATCTAATTTGAAAGAAACTGCTTCTAAATCATTCAATTCAAGAGCACCAGCTTGAAGTCTTTTCGCTTGAATCAATGTTGCCAATTGTTGTAACGTAGAAATATCTCTTTTCAATTTAGGAATGTCCTCTTCTAGTACTTCAGCTTCTTTCCATACAATTACTCCATTCCTCTCTACCACAGCTTTTGGACGATTCTTGTTTGGATAATTACCATTCACAATTTCATCTGCCTGTTCATAGTGAAGAGCATATTTGGAATTGAGAATGGTACGTCCATACCACGTGTCAACCACTTGACCTTCCTTATTGAATTCCCAAAACACAGAGACACAGAGTCGATCTTGTCCTTGTCGAATGGATGCCAAATCTGCACTCAATAACGTTGGAATCATGTCCAATCTTCGATCAATTAAATAAACAGTTGTCGATCGTCTTCTTGCTTCCAAATCCAAATACCCATCGTATTTGATAAAATATGCAACGTCAGCAATGTGAACACCAACTTCAATATTGTTGTTTGGTAAACGCCGAACAGAGAGTGCATCATCAATGTCCTCACATCCAATTGGATCAATGGAACAAACGAGATGTGTTTTTCTAATGTCTCTTCTTTTTTGAATTTCTGATTGTGGAATTTTAAATTCACTTCCATTTGAGACTGGAGGTAATTCACCAAGTGCAAGTTCACTAAATGGTAAAGTACTGGTATAGAGTTGATTTTCAACCAAAAGACCTTCTGTTTCTGTATCCAAATCTCCAATAGGTCCCAATGTTCTCACATAGAATCCACTTGGATATTTTGATTTCTTTTCCCAATCACTTATTCTAACAATAATTCTCATGTTTTCCAGTTCAGCCTTTTGTCTTGTTTTGATTCTAATTTTTGGAATTCTTGAATCCATTGGAATTACTAGAGCCCAATCGGTAGATGGATTTGTATTTTCTTCAAGACATGCCACATATTCTCTCCAATTTCTTTCTAAAATACCAACAACTCTTCCTGTAGGTTCTGTTTTTGAATCGTGAATTCCATGAGTATCATTTCTAGATCCAGTTACTGTTTTCCATTCAGATTTTGGTTTCAATTCAACTACCACAGAGTCTCCATGTACTGCTCGATTTCGATCAGCAGTTCCATCAATGTTCACTTTAATTTGTACTTCTTCTTCATCGATTCCATTACTCTGTTTGATGGTCGTTTTAATGTGCGCATTTCGAGAATTGTGTTGATTGACTCTCAAAACACCTTTTAAATATTTATCACTTTTGAGACCTAATTCAATGACATCCGGAGATAAATAATCTGTAAAACCAAACTCATTATCTTCTTCTATGGCATGTTCTTTTGTAATTGTAACGTTCTCATATAATTGTGCCATATCAATAGAAGAAGATTTATCTCTTAAATAGTTTGGATGAGAAATATATTCTTTGAGAGTCATGACCTTGAGAGAGGTAACATCTGATGATAGAGGATCATTCTTGATCATTTCATTCATTCTCTTTGATTGTTCATCATCAATAGTCAGAAGAATAATTAAAATCTTTGTGTCCTTTAAGTGAGAGGCATACCATTCCGCTGTTTTTAAGATTGCTCTTTCATTTCTCATGTCAATGGTTTCAGTCTCTGTTCGTGGTGTAATCACAGTTGAATTGGAATGTTCATTACTAAACATGATACTTTTTCGATTGTTTTTATCTGAAATAATTGTTCGAATTCTACTGGTCATCTTGTTGCTTTGTTTCACATTGTTTTGAATATGATCAAAAACAGTCTCACAGAAAATAATGTTTTGCGTTACATTCACTTCAAATATTTCTAAATATTTTAAAATTGTCTCACTGGTTGGAATGACATAATGAATAATTGTATTTTTGGGAATGGAAGGTTTCTTCGGAATCGATGAAGAGGAAGTTGTTTTTGAATTTTTCTTCTTTTTATCTTTCTTTTCAACAATTGGTTCATTAGAAGGAGATTGATTGCTCTTCTCAAATTCATCATTGCTCAACACGCTAGAGATTTGTTCATCCAACACAGGATTGGTATGTTTACATATTTTACATGATCTAGATTGGCACCAAATATCATCTCGCGTATAAACCTCTCTTGTTATTCGGACAATATTTCCTGATTTTTTAGCTCGAACGTGAAACACTCGGAGTGATGATGGTTGAAGGCTTATTGTTGGCGATGATGCAAGTAGTGAATGGTCTTGACTCATTTTTTTAATCAACAACAATTCCGCCTCTATTGGACGAATTGTTTTTATAGTTGAATTTACAATCTTGAACTATTTGAACAGTCAGCTGTTATTAAGAGCTTGCCAACTCGAATCCAATTGTAGGATGTGGTATTGACCTTAGAAAAATCTTTTTAAATTTTTTGAAAAAATGTTTCACCGACACTTCAAGTCCTTTCATCATCCACTCGTCCGAACGAGGAGTACTCCTACTTTGTGCTCATCATCATCATCCAAATTCATCATTGAAACTCAATTCCCAATTCTTCTGATGACTTTAGCACTCCTTCTCATATTCACCTCTCATTGCCTTGCAGCAGAGGCTTCACCAACTAGTACCGAGTATCCTTCCAACGTGGACTTTGACCCACATGATGCCCACAAGACTACCTTTTGTACCTGCCAGTGCTGTAAAGATACCATGTGCAATACCATTCCGAATGCTACATTTGCTGTAGCCTCATGCTTTGAATGTACTAAATTTGTTTGTGATGCTCTCGGATATGAATGTAAAACCACACTCTACCGAGCATTATGTGTTCAGAAGAATGATATTATTTCTCAAATTCTTGTCATTATTGTCTTTGCTTGGATTTTTTCAATGGTCATTGCTGCCATCGTGAAGGCTTATTTGTGGCCTCTGATACAAAAATTGATCAAACGTATTCGAATGAAATACAATAGGAAATGAATGTTTGTAAAACGAAATGATAGGAGTGAGCGGTGCATCATTATCAAATCCGGTTATTTAACGGATTATTAAAGAAAAAGCCATTTTCATCATGACCAATAGATCATCATGGTGGTTCGATTGGACTTAACAGAAAGGATAACCTATCAGGTGTTTATTCCATAATAATTTGAGTATTTCACACAGTAAAATCTCATCCAGACCTCATCACAAATGAAATTTCACTCCTTTTGCATTATCTACTTGTCTGTTTCATGAACTTTTTGTATTCTCTTGCAATTTTAGTACTTGTAATTTTTCAAATTGAAGTATCGCGAAACTAGCTGCCGTCATTTAGCTCGTCTTCTCTCAACCAATAAAATTCACCAAGCTACTGACACAACCAAATCATTGGATGTTATTTTTATCACTCAACTGACGTTGTAAAATCATGACCTGCTCGAGAACACAAACTATAATTAAATTTTTTTAAAACTTTGAAAGCGCATTTCAAAAACGAAACAGAAAAAAGTCGCAAAAAGCAGACAACAACAACCTCTCTACTAAAGTACAAGGTCTTGAAAATCATAGTTTTTGTGTTTGAAATAACAAAAAACTCAGATCCGTTACAGCATTTCCCAATCCATTGACACTACCCATTCCGATATCCATCATCACTCCATAAGAGTGTTCTCTCCAAATATCCAATCACTACCTTCCGAGATTCCCATTTTTGTAACCTTAAAACTGTTCTCTCATCAACCACTAACCAACCCTAATTCAACCATCACTACTCCAATTACTACAATCAAAATGAGTTCCATTCACGCCACTACTAGTACCATCTCTCCTCATTTCCTTACTCCATCCTCAGCCTTCTCTCCATTCTTTTTACCTCCAACAACTCCTTCTTGTAGACTTCTTCAAGATGAAGCCTTGAATACGAGTCATACTCTCAATAATGGAGGAGGAGGAGGAGGTTCAGGTGCACCTGGCGGCGGTGGAGGAGTCTCCTCCTCTCTTCTCCTCTCCTCTTCTATCAAGAATTTCAATGATGTTTTCGATCACTTGCTTGCTCACTCAGATGTTCTTCAACAACAACAGCAGCAGCAGCAACAACAACGATACGAAAGATCACCTCTCCTTGATATGGCTCACTTGTTTAGCCCATCCAATGACTTTCTGAATGCACTCGACTTTGGATCCTTTGTGTCATCCACGAGTCATTCGAATGACGATTCATCACCTTCATCATCCTCCTCCTCCTCATCTTCATCTCAATGTAAATCCAAGAATGTGCCGTCTCTCACTTTGCAAGTCCCGGATCTCTCCAATTTGAGACCCAAAGCAAAGAAAGTTGTCGAAGTGAAAAACGCGAAAGAAGAAACCAAGAAGAAGCGAGGTGCAAAGAGAAAGAAGGAAGAAGAAGAACAACAATCCGTTTGTAATGAAGAAGATGAAGAGGAAGATGATAATTGCTCTGATCTCTTGTCACAATCGGATCGATCTTGGCATGTTGTTCATTCCAATGAAAAGTTTAGAAATCATTTGAGCGTTCATATTACAAGCAAGACAAGATGTGAGGAACCTTGTGAATTTGTTCCAACCAAATTGTATTCAAGCTTGAAATATGAAATTAGACAATGTGCAAAATTGAATACTCATGCCACTGAAGATTTACCTTTCTTGCTGGGACGAATTTCTATGGTTGATTCTCAAACTTTTGAAGAAATTCAACAAGATAACAAATCGAATCCAGTTTTGAAGGGTGTGACAGAATCTGCTTTGACCAAGAAGCCAGAAAGTAAGAGTTCAAAGAAGAATGCTAGCAGTGTTGCTTCTGTTGGTGGTGTTGAAGAGTTTAATGGTACCTTGAAAGTTCAATCAAGTACTGTTTCCTATCACCACAAAAAGATTAATTTCTGTTGGCAGATTAGCTATTTCACTCCATCTGATTTGGAGAATCCAATTTTGACTATGAGATCTGCTGCATTCAAGGTCTATGCAAGAAAGCCATCACAAAACAAGAAGAAGAAGCGCAACCCTCAACAAACAGACACAACAACAGCAATGACAACAAGTTCATCATCATTGTCACTTTCTTCCTTTGATGAATTTGCTAATTGTGTGGACGAACTTGTAGAGTTCAGTAAGAAATTGAAAGATACTGAAAAGAAGAGATCTATTGAATTGTTGTCAACCAAGTTGCTTCAATTAGATCCTGTTCTCTTCAAGGAATGTTTAGAATCTTTGCACAAGAAGAACTAAGCCATCTCCCTCTCCAATCCTCTAAGCTGTTATTGAACAATCATTTCAGTTCGATCCTCATCTCGATCGAACATCACCTAAATCTCTGTCACGCCATAACCGACAGAAGCAATGCCAACGTATGGCCTTGCATCCTTTTCGTGAGGAATAAATTATTGCGCTTTTATCAAAACTTGTTCTTGCATGATTTGAATGATGTATTAAATCCATCGTCAACTGAAAGTTCCCTTCCTTTATTTATTGGGCAAAGCGGCTTCATTTTGCTGCTCATGCACATAAATTGTCCACTTTTCATCATCGTTCAGAATATGAACTTGTCTCTTCAAATTACCTAACGAGAATTTGGGGAATTCCAACAATCCTGTTGTGATTGGAATAAAGGTATAAAGTAATTCTCTTGATTGATAGGGTAAAATGGAGAATCTCAAATTAGTGGTTCCCGCATAAAAGAAGGAAATACTTTCAGAAACAAATAATTGCAACTGTTGAAGTTGTGGAGTGTTGTTTTCAATGATCAAGCTGCATTTCACTGCAGTACCTACAATAGTCTCAAATGGAGCACAAAAACTGACTGTAAAACCTGGGTCAATCACAGTAATAGATGGGAGTGGTGAAGTATATTCAATTCTTGTCAACTTCAATTTTTCAACGAGCTCTGCATCCATTTCATCTGTGTTGACTGCTTGTCCTCTCTGCACAACAATCTTTAAATTTCCAACTGGTAAGCTCTTTCCAACATCTTGAGGAACAATAACAAAACAAGAACTATGCTCGTCCTTATCTTCTAAATACTTTTTAGAGGATGTCGAATAGAGGAAGGATGAAAAATCAGGCTGTGAAAGACATGTGAACTTGTCAGCATTCTCCACAGAAACATGTTCCAACATTACTGGAAATGGAGTTGTACATTTCAATGAAGATTGGAGCGCTACTGCCTGGAATACACTAAACCCATCTAAATAAGTAAATCCTGACTGTGTCGATCTATCCTTTGCAAGAGGATCAGAAATTGAAATATTCTGACATTGATTACTGATAATCTTTTGATAGAAGGATACTCTTTGTGAAGGTAACAATCTGAACATCATTTCATTCTCAGAAAGAACAATTTCGTTTTGTTCATCTCTTAATACCTTGGATTCTGATTGTCTGGTTGCCATAAAATGGAAATGAGCATCAAATGGATATTGACAAGGTACTTCGAAAGAGGTACTTCTCTCTAATTGACTATACAGAGTGGTTCCATATGATATTCTTACTTGAAGTTTGTTAATTCCAGGTTTTTCACATTTCAAGAAAACTGTAACACTGTAAGAATTATTGGGTAATATTTCTGGAACTCGAATACCATCTACATTGGAAAGAGGAACTAATTGATCATGCAAAATATGAGTAATTTCAACATCTTGTGCTCGATCAATAATCAATCTTCCACCAATGACATGATCCTCATTTGATTTCATGGTAATTTCTGATTATACAAATCGTTCACAACAATAATACATCATTGGTCCATTCACTTTTCATATTGTAATTACTTACTGATGCTATAATATTCATTGATCAGTGCAGGAGGAAGATGAACAAATGAAAGAGACATGTTAGGCTCTGGTTCTGAAATAATCACTACAGGTCTCTCTACAAACAATCCTTCCGAGTAAAAGAGTCTATAATCATAACTCTTGAGCAATGTTAAAAAGTATTCATTATCAACCATCTTCCATTGGAATCGAATTTCTTGATTTGGAGTTGAACCTTTCAATGATAATGATACTCCTAAACTTTGTAAATCTTGTTTTTGTCTCACAATCAGAGGGAATGTGAAAATATTAGATTGACCATTTCCTTTTAGAACCAAATCTAAACATGTTGCATTTTGAACCAAATCTGAGCCAGCTGTACCAACTTGTTGTTGAACTTTGTTTGTTTCCTGCTTTGATTTTGTTTCTGGAAGTGTTGGACTTGGAATTGGTTGTCCATCTTGAATGACTAAATTATATTCATTGTCGTTAAATACAATGGAGAGTGATGAAAATCTAATATCTGCTGGAGCAAAAGATACAAATTGGAGTGAGAATTGAATAGGTTGATAGACCGATGCAAAAGGAACACTGAATTGAGTTTTCAATTGAATTAAAACATTCTTTGAATCCATTTCAATGACAACAGGAGAGTTCAATACTGGCAGAATGACTTGATCAGGATTGTGAATGAAAAGAAGCAAATCATTCAAATGTTGAATCTTTTCATTGTCAGGATTGGTCATTACTATATCAGTGAACAACAGAAAATTAAGTAGCAATTCAACATGATAAAATCATTGAATCAAATAAACAACAATCAGTGAGTGATCATTGAATGGGTCATATCGAGAAATGCAACATCATTCAAAAATGTTAGATTATTCGATCCGATCTTTGAAACATTTCCTTACTTACATGTTGAGATCAATTCTAAAGAATGAAGTACAAATTGTTTTGATAGTTTCAATTGTTTGGAACATTCAAGAGATCTCTGAAGTACATCCGTTAACAATTCATACCATTGTTCCTTTCTATAGTGCTTGGCAATCTTATCAAAGAATAATTTACTCTTCTCCCAATTTCCAGATTCATAATGTTCACTTGCAATACTACTTGCAATGTAATACATCATTCGTTTCAGTTGAGCTTCTGATTTCACGTTGAAACGATTGTAAGCATTAGTGAGCATTTGAATAATAGTTTCAGAGTGTTTGGTTAACATAATTTCTCTTGCAATGTCTCTCACATTACGAATAGTGAGTCCATTACTTTGTCTCAATGAGTCCGAAAGTTCTGGCATTTCAATGGTTTTTCCATAATATCCTGTCAAGTAATGATAGTCCTCAACTTTGATTTTCACAAGAAGATCATCATTTCCAGAGAAAATGCTTTCAACCAAATCTCTATGAGGTTCACATGCTTGTATGGCAAATGTTTTTCTATATTTGGCATGTGTTGCAGCTGCTTGATAATAAAATCCTGGATTTTGGTATCGTTGATCTTGACTTAGTAAATTTGGAGGAATTCTTTCCAAGATTTCTCCCATCATTCGATATTGAAGATAAAGGCGAGCATGAAACTTGAATTCATCTACAGAGTTGGCGGAAAAATCTTCTTCATGAACGGCCTTGTACCATGACATGTGTTTTAAAAATTGTTTAACTCCCATATCGATCTTCTTATCAGAAAGTTTGATGAAACATAATTTGAAATTGAGAATATCACCAAGTGTTTTGATTTCTTCAAGTTGAAAATCTAAAGGAGATACATTTTGTAGAGAAGAATATGCTTGAGTCAAATATTTGATGAGTTTTTGAATTGAAGGTTGACTTGTCAGTCCACTATTCATTAAAATGTCATAATAGAAGGCAACCTTCAATCGATGTCTCATGAATAAATAGGGTTGAGTGCTCTTATTAATGTCACTCTTATACTTTTTTACCATATTGGTTTGTTCCTTGTAGTAATTTACAATTGATTCTCTGAGTGGTTTGGATAATTTCACTTTAAATGATTGATCATCAACAAGCTCTGTCTCTTTCATTAAAATTACATTTTTGCTATCCGTATTAGATCCCTTTCTAATATTATAAATAAAATCTTCTGTAGATTGATATGTGTTGGCATCAATTTGAACTTCTGATGCTGGTGGAGCTTTCTTTGTAACAATTAATGCAATATATTTTGTATTTTTTCCAGCACGAGTCTCCTTGACTGACAGAATTTTCTTTACAATTTCGCTCTCTTGTGTTTTCCAGGTCGAATATTCATCGGATTTCCAATGAACAATCACAATACAAACGCTTGGTACTAATTCTTGATGTTTTTTAAACCATCCACGTTTGAAGAGACCTGCTGGTTTATATCCATCGAATCTGTTGGATTGATTGGTGTTCATGGAACTACCAGAATTAATGAGATGATAGGGCAATGGAGGAAGTTCTTTTGTGGCTCCAGTAGCAGTTGTTGTACTGCTCGTTAACAAGTTACTATTGGATCCTGTCAAAGAAGAAAGTGATGTGTTGGATGATGATGACATCAATGACGCTGATGATATGGCTGATGTTAGAGCAGAAGAAGATGGTATCGGAGGACTACTAGTTCCTGCACTTGCAACACTAGGACTACTCGTAGTGCTACCTGTAGAATTTACAATGATACTACCGATATTTGCATGTTGTGGCATGATGCTTGTAGAAAGTGGAGTGGTTGCAGTAGATGCCATCAATATACTATTCATACTCATATTCTCAAATAAATTAATATTACTTTTCATGGTGAGTTGTTTAGGCTTGATGATTTCATTGTCGCTTTCAAGGCTTAAAATTTTAATCTTTCTTGAAATATTATTCTGAATACAAGTAATCAGTCCATCATGAAGCCTCTTGTTTTTAACGAGAGCAATTACAGGTACAGGAGCGTTTCTCCATTCCACTGGATATTGATCCATGCTGATGATGATGATTTTAAAAAATTAATGATGATGAAATAGACACGTCCGAATAACAAAAACTTTCTCTCGGAACGAATGGATCAAAATTTTGTGATATTATAAATATGTTATGGGAATGATAGTATAGTAACTGGAAGAAAGAACGGAAGCGTTTCACAACCAAAATTTTGCGCAATGAGGAGAAAATGAGCTCGTTGGGTGTGATGACAATTTGAAGATTTTTTTGATTTCTGCAGAATCGTGTGGTGGTCATCACCAATCCACATCAAGTGGACCCAACAATCTGATGGTACCATGCTAGTGCAGTATCAACCAACATGTTTTACTTTCATGTGGTCTTCTCTCTGAGTCAGTGATGAGAAATTAGCAATAGTTAAGGGTCTCAATGTTGTAAGAAACTCTCTGAATTTTTCGGAAGCCCAATCCGAAAAAAATTAAACAACAACAACACTCTTGCCTTTTGGACCACAAGACGACGATTAGGAATACAAAATGTCTTATATGATGGTATGTATACACGGAATTCTTTTGAAGAGTTTGACAATGGAATGATTTTATCATGTTCAATTAATACCGATGAATATGTTCATTATACAACATCATCATCATGTATACAATCCATCATTAACGCCGGTGTTGGATCTTCATCATTTCCTTCAACGACATACATAACCACCATCATGAATACACATCATCATTTGGAAATACAACAACAACACCCATAATATAATAATTCAATACAACAACCTCTCATGATGAATGTATACATTTTACTCTCAAATGATTTTTAAAACACTCCTCTCATCAGCAACCAAGTATCATCCTTCTGAAGGATGGAACCGACACCTCACAAGGAACAGGTCAACTTTTGTCTAATATTGATGCCTGCTATGCTGTTGTGGATGTCGTAAAAACTACTCTCGGTCCAAGAGGAATGGATAAACTCATACATGATGGTCGTAGAGCCACCATCTCCAATGACGGTGCTACCATTGTCAAATTATTGGATGTTGTTCATCCAGCTGCTAAACTTTTAGTAGATATTGCCAAATCACAAGATAGTGAAGTCGGTGATGGTACTACCACCACAACAGTTCTTGCAGGTGAATTCTTGAAAGAAGCTAGACCATTCATTGAAGAAGGTGTTCATCCACAACTAATTATTAAAGCATATAGAGAAGCTTGTAGAGTAGCACTAAAGAGATTGGAAGAAATTGCCGTACCAGTTGATAAGACAGATATTGAAAAGACAAAAGATTTGTTGAGAAAGATTGCAAGAACTTCACTTTCATCCAAGTTGATTGGTGGTATTGAAAGCGATCACTTTTCATCAATGGTTGTTGATGCTGTACTTTCATTAGATGAAGATTTGGATATTGATTTGGTTGGTGTGAAACAAGTTCCAGGAGGATCCATGCAAGAATCTTTCCTTGTTAGCGGTGTTGCTTTCAAAAAGACTTTCTCCTATGCCGGATTTGAACAACAACCAAAGAAATTTGTTAATCCTAAAATTGTTACTCTAAATATTGAACTTGAATTGAAGGCAGAAAAGGACAATGCTGAAATTAAGTTGAACGATCCAGAACAATATCAATCAATTATTGATGCAGAATGGAAGATTATTTATGACAAGTTGGAAAAGATTGTTTCTAGCGGTGCTAAAGTTGTGCTTTCAAAGAAAGCCATTGGTGACCTTGCCACTCAATACTTTGCAGACAGAGGTATTTTCTGCGCAGGCCGTGTGGCTGAAGATGACTTGCTTCGTGTCACTAAAGCAACAGGAAGCAAAGTTTTAACAACAGTTTCAAAGATTGCTGATGATGACTTGGGTGCATGTGAACTTTTTGAAGAAAGACAAGTTGGTAACGAAAGATATAATATTTTCACAGGTTGCCCTCATGCCAAAACGGCTACTATTATTTTACGTGGTGGTGCTGAGCAATTTATTGCTGAAGCTGAAAGATCATTGCATGATGCTATCATGGTTGTGAGAAGGACACTAAAGAATACATCAATTGTAGCTGGTGGAGGTGCTGTTGAAATGGATTTGAGTGCTCACTTGAAGAACTATGCCAGAAGTATTAAGGGTAAATCACAATTAATCATTTTGGCCTTTGCTAAAGCTCTAGAGGTAATTCCAAGACAACTCTCTGAAAATGCAGGTTTTGATGCTACAAATATTTTGAACAAGCTCAGAAAGAAGCATCAAGAGAAGGATGGAGTGTGGTATGGTGTTGACATGAAGACTGAAGACGTTGCCGATAATTTTAACAACTTTGTTTGGGAACCAAGCTTGATTAAGCGAAATGCTCTTGTATCTGCTATCGAGGCTGCTACACTAATTCTCTCAGTTGATGAGACTGTAAAGAATCCAGAAAGCGAACAGCAACAACATGATGCTCAAAGAAATGCAGCAATGTTCGGAAAGAATGCTAAATAAATTATTTAATAATTATTCATTTCAATCGTTGTGACGACAGATCAAAGACACTCTATCCTCACAGTTCGTTACGAGAGTTTAGAACAGGAAGGAGTCGGATTTGTGTGAGCTTGTGGAAACAGAACCAGGAACAAACAAAGAAACTTTGCTTTCGAATGTTTTAAAATGAAGAGTGGCTTTCTTTGGTAATTTCAATAGGATTCCATCATCTGAACTGCCACTTGCAATGCATTCTACTCTTCCATGGACATCTTTTGAATATCCTGTTGGAAGTGGACCTACTCTAAATACAACATCACTCATATGTTCCAACATGTTTGATAAATGCATGTTGGAATCATTGGTATTGGCCTTGTCCACTGAAGAGAACATTAGTACAACTATGGTGACGTTTTGGAATTGCTTTCGAAGCTTTGTAATAAATTTCAAAATTTGTCTATTCACAACAGATTCTCCTTCAGAGTCACTTGCATAAAATTGATGTAGCAAAGGATTGATATGATCTAGAATTATGCAAGATGGCTCTTTCTCAAGATTGGTTATAGTTTTGAATAAATGACTCAAATATTCTTCAATTGAACTAGATGCTGTTGATTTCAGTGAGACAATACATGAAGGAGCTTGTTGTTGACTAGATTTGGTTAGTAATAGTGGAGATGAATAGAGGAGCAAGTTATTATGTAAATTTTCAGAATCATTTCCGACATTAATATCCTCAAACAGAAATGATTGTTGAGCATCTACAAAAACAAATTTACCCTCTTGAGCTTCCTTCTCTAAATTAATGTTCAATTTCAATTCTATAGTGTTATAGTGAAAAAAAGATTGATTGAATGAGCACAAAAAGACTCTCTTTCCATGATTAAAAAAAGAATTCATGTAGTGATGAATAAGAAATCCTCCATCGGATGAAGTTGTTCCGTCTTTCACAAATATTAACTGATTTTCGGGAATGTATTTATCATGCCATTTCATGCTCGTATTTAATTCCGTAAATATCACCCCATTGGATGATGATGGTGAGGGAGTAGAAGAAGACTTCATTTTTTTCCAGTTGCAGTTATCGTTAAGCAATTTTCAACGTGCACAAGCGAAATTGCAGCCTTTCCCAACATTTGAAATTAAAAAAATCATGGCGCTTGTACATGTCCAAGGGCCAATGTTATATATTCCGTTCATGTCAAACTTGTTGTCACTTTTTGTTGTTCATGAAAAAGTCATAATGAATGTATATGGATGTTAGGCAACGTTATGCTTAAAATGTATGTCCTTCCTTTTTGTTTGGCAGGCATTGGATTTGTTTTCATTGAGTGACCAACACCATTCGAAGACGACGACGACTTGAAACTAATGCCAAAGATTTCATGATGACGAATGAAACTACTTTCAGGAGAATCAGCTAGGTCGTCCATCTTCTTTTCTCGTTGTATCATCATCCTCTCATGTTTTCCCAATAAGCACTCCAAATTCGTTAAGGCTTCTGTTTTTGACATTCGTTTTTGGATTTTGCTCTATTTTTGTTCTCGAATTGTTAAGCTTAAAAAAATTGCATCCATCACCACCATTATCATAACATCATCATCATGTTGAGTCAAGCCACAAGTATTGTAACTCCAAAGAATGTACCAACCTTGGGTATCCTTGTTGGTGGAGGACCTGCTCCAGGTATGTTTTTTTTTCTCTCATTGATGAAGAATCAAATGAATTTGTAATTGTTCATGAATTGTATTTGTTCCAAATGTATGATGATACATACAACCTTGTTCAAAAACAAATCATCCAATTTCATGAATGAATGGTCTCAATGATACGACTGGTGACGATCGTTGTCATCAATGAATACATTGTGTTTTTTGATGTGTGATCAAATTGTGTTCGATCCATCGGATCCATTGATGATGATTTTGTTGAATATCAATATTTTGAAACATGCTGATCTCTGTCTACGATGTCCTTCCAACACAATCCATGTTCATACATTTTCAATGGATGATCCATATACCATGATCATGTACATACATCCTTATGACCATCATTCTAATTGGTACATATTCCGACCAACCTATTCATGTAATGACCATCCAACTTCATGTTATTCCGACCAACCTCTATTCATGTACATATGACCATCATCATTACCTTCTCTCACATTCCACTTGTGTACATATTCCAAACACGAAAAAGGTATTAACGGTGTCATTGGTTCTGTTACCATTGAAGCCATTAACAATGGTTATCGTGTGTTAGGTTTCTTGGAAGGTTTTCAAAATCTCATCTTGCAAGATGATTCTAAAATTGTTGAATTGACCATTGATGCTGTTTCAAGAATTCACTTCGAAGGTGGAAGTATTTTAAAAACCTCTCGTGCCAATCCAACCAAGAAACAAGAAGATTTACAAAAAGTGGTCAAACAATTACAAAAGTTTAATGTTTCCTTATTGGTAACTATTGGAGGAGATGATACTGCATTCTCAAGTATGAGTGTAGCAAAGGCTGCAAATAATGAAATTCATGTTTGCCATGTTCCTAAAACCATCGATAACGATCTTCCACTTCCATATGGAATTCCTACTTTTGGTTATGAAACGGCACGTGAATTTGGCGCCAATGTGGTACGAAATTTGATGAGTGATGCTCAAACTGCAAGTCGTTACTTTATTGTCATTGCTATGGGTCGTCAAGCTGGACATTTAGCACTTGGTATTGGAAAATCAGCTGGTTCTCATTTGACCTTAATTCCAGAAGAATTTTTACCATCCTCCTCTCAACAACAGCAACCTCAAGTAACCTTTAGTAGAATTTGCGACATGATTGAATCCAGTATTATTAAGAGATTGTATTGTGGAAAGAAGGATCATGGTGTGATTGTATTGGCAGAAGGTCTCTTGGAATATATGAGTACTGATGAATTGAAACAAGCCTTTGGTAGTTCATTGAAATACGATGCTCATGATCATATCATGTTGGCTGAATTGGACTTTGGAAGATTGGTTCGAGATGAAATGAGAGAACGTATGAGTCGTCGAGGACTTAAAATTGCATTCACTGAAAAGAATTTGGGTTATGAATTGAGATGTGCTCCACCCAATGCCTTTGATCGTGAATATACTCGTGATTTGGGTAATGGTGCAGTGAGATACTTGATGAATGGTGGAAATGGAGCCTTAATTACGGTTCAAGGAGTGAAAATGGTTCCTTTGAGTTTTGATGAATTGAAAGATCCTCAAACAGGAAAGACTCGAACTCGTCAAGTCGATGTTTCCAGTGAAGGTTTTCAAGTGGCGAAACGATACATGATTCGATTGGAAAAGAAGGACTTTGAGAATGAAGAGACTTTGAAGGGTTTAGCTGCAACTGCTAAATGTAGTGTTGAAGAATTTGTCAAACAATTCAAATATTTGGTTCAATAGTAGTAGTAGGGTGCAGTGCAAGTAGTAGTAGTAATAGTAGTAGTGGTAGTAGGATAATAATATTTGAACATGTATTACTGTGTTTGATGAAAGAAAATAAACAAGTGATGCCCGGAGTGAGAACTTGTTTCACTTTTCAAACTACATCCTTAAAGGTTTTTTCACAACCGCCAAAAAGTGTTGGCGGGCGTTTTTTTGAAAAAAATGTTTGAAACACAAGAGCCTTCCGATACAACGGCATCATCATCCACTCCTCTTGTGGCCACTTGTTCATCATCATCATCAACCACATCAGCAACAACAACACAATCCGATAACTCTCTTTTAGGAGTACTTGCTCTAACAAGCGCGGTCGTTGAACAGTCGCATCAACAAGATGCACAAGCCTGCTTTGACCAAGAGCTTGGATCATCATCGGTAACAATTGCCAACAGTACACGAGCAACAACAAGTAGTAGCGGTACTGGAGATTTATCATCCCAAACTTCAGAAGAAGCCTCACCTCTCCCCACCCATCCACAACAACCTATTAAAACCATTGCTTCCGATAAGTCTCTGTTGGACACAATTTCAAATATTGTACCAGCGGTTCATTTGACCAACTTGTCGACTCGAAATAACAATACGTCAATCATGGAGTTTGAAGAATCTGAACCAGCTCATTCACCAAGAAGAAGTACACGAAAGAAAACTCCAAAGAAACATTTCAGTCCTGGACCAATAGCGTCATCATCAACAACAGACGAAGGAAATGATGTCATCATGTATTTACATGACGACGGACAAGATCCATCGCAACAAGTATCATACTTGTTTGGCCCACCTTGGTCACAAGAAGAATTAACATCATTTCTTGTTGCTTTTCATCAATATAAGAATGATTGGGAAAGCATTAAGGAAGTTCTGCCAAATAGAACAACTGAAATGATTCAAGGATTATATGAAGTTCATAAGCGATTTATTGAACTCGATTGTACAATTGATGTGAAAAAATTACAATTTTATGAAATCCATCAAGATTATATTCATAATAGTGTACCACATCACGTCACAAGAGCTCAAAAAACAAAGAACTCAGCAAAGAAACGAACAAATGAGTTTTCAGAGAATACATCACCATCTAAAAAGAAACTTGGTTCACCAACAAGACAACGATTTGCCAAATCTCCAAAAAACTCCAATTCAAAAACCATTTCACTTTCCACTCCACCCACCACTACCTTATTTCAAACCAACGTGAAAAGGAAGCAGAAAATCATCTTTGAACCATTACCAGCTGAGTTTATCGAATCAAGCATGAGTGGTTCAGCATCAGGTGAAGCTGAATCTGTAGCCACAACATTTGGCTCAACTCAAAGCAGCAACAACTCTTCGACAAGTGGCAACAATACTTCTCTCATCCTTTGCTCGACTTTATCACAAGAACAACAAGCACCACCTTCCTCTCCTACCACAATTACTGTTGGGACTACTACTAGTAGCAACAGTAGTAGTGGTGGTATGGCCTCCAATGCTCCCATCAATCTTCAATCTCCATTAAGCCCAACAGCAACTAGTAGTGCTGATTTATCCTCTCTTGCAATACTCTCTCCTGATAGCAAAAAGAATTATGAAAAGAATAAGATGCTTCCTATAAAGTTAAGAAAGAAAGGTACACATGGTAATCCTCTCCTGAAACATGTTCAATTGATCAATGGAGATCAAAATGACACGGATTTGATTGAGGCTGCTCAAAATTCTGGTGTTAAAATGTACAAAATTCTTACGAGAAAAAAGACAAGAGCATTTTGTGCTTCTGAATGGTTTTATCCAACCATTGATTTTGGGTTTTATGACAAGAATGAATTTGTTGAATGTTTATCAAGTTTAGATGAACCGTACAAGAATAGAAAAATTTTCAAAAAATCAGAATTGAAAGGTTTGCGTGTGGAAATGTGTAAAAAGTTTGGAAAACCTCGAAGATTATCGCAAGCTTTTTTAAAACAAGAGAGAGCCAAATTAGAATTATATCGAGGATTTGCAAGAGATTATTATCAACGTTACAAACAAGTGTATCAAGTTTCTCAAAAGTTAGTCATGAGTAGTGCTCATGATAGCAGTGGTCACTCCATGGTTGTGAATCCTAATGAATCATCCTCCATGATTACTCCATTCACTCCACCTGCTGTGGTCATGGAGCCTCACTTAACCATGGAATTATCATTTGTGGACCAATTACCTTATCCTTTTAAAAAGAATGAACAAGTTCTTGTACTCAATCCTGAAACACAACATGTACAATTGGCAACCATTATGGATGACACTCCAATTTCTAAAACAGATTACAAGATTAGATTTAATTACTCGAAAGAAGAACGTATTGTACAAGACACGGACATGATGCAAATTGGAACAGTTTCATTGTTACCTGTTCAAAAGAGAGAACTCATTCCACAACAACAACAACAACATGCGTATCTCAATACGAGTTTCTCATCTCTGATGATTCAATCACAATCAGCACACACAAGACCTCTTCACACTTTGTTACAAGATCATGGATCCATGATACACCCTCAAACACCTCCAAGAAAACGAGAAGGTACCAATATTAGTTTTTTATCTTCGGGAAATGATACTTTGATGAACACGAGTTTACTTTCGTCGTCGTCACCGACACAACATTCTCCATTTCACTTTCCAACATCGAATAATCTCTTCCAGAGTCCACCACATCCAACCAGTGTATCGATGGGTGATCATGGTGGTATGATGGCCCATACAGAGGTTGCCTTACAACAAACACCCAACAAGAAACCATCCACCTCACAACTTGTCTCTCCAAACAGTCATCATCAGTTATTTTCAAGTCCACTCCTTGGTGGCGCTAGTGCTGGTATTGGCAGTGGTGCTAGTGCTGGTGAGGAACATCAAGATTTTATCATGATGGCTGGATCTCCTTCACAAGTACCAACCATAACATGTTCAAACTTACTTACCGTGAGTGGTGGTGGACATACAATCATGTCAGCATTATCATCTCCACCACTCATTACTCCTGGAATGATTGATTTGAATCATGCATCCCCAGAAATTATTCGTAACATTGCCAAGTGCATTGTGTTGTTACGAAAAAAACATGAACTTGTGAAAAGCTTTAAACAAAAGAATGATCGAGCTCGAATGTTATTACTCGTTGCACATGGACAGGAACAACAGAATTCTGTATTTGACCGAGATTTTTGTATTGATTATACGAAAATTGTTCTCGACTTGAAACAAGTGAACACTGAATTAGAAACATTATTACCTCTCATGAGAGCATATTGTTCAACACCATCCTATGCAACTACTAATTATCCCATCAACAAGATATTTTCACAATCCATTTCCAAACAAGCCAGTATCATTTCAGAAAAGTTTGGAACCAATCAAATGTTTCAAGACATCTTTGAACTCAATCGAGAACATGCTAAGGAAATTGTTAATACTATATCAAGTCAAATTTTAAAACAATTTCCAATGGAAGGCTCTCGATTGAATATTCCCTCTTCATTTTCTCAATCTGCAATCAATCAGAACTTTACTGAAAAGATTTATAATTGCATTGCTCTATTACTTCATTTAAGAAGCTGTTGTATGAATCCAGGAGTATTCAAAGATAGTGAAATTGATCTCTTCATTGAGGCAGGATTAATGGCGTTACAGGATCAACCCTCTGCCAATGATGGCGCTCTGAGAGAAATTTTTGTAGCCCTCAAAGATTATTTTTTGAAACCACAACAACAACCTCAATCATCATCATCCCTCGGAGTGCAGCAACAGCCTCAATCATCATCCTCTATCGGATCAAACTCTTCGTTGCTACTTGTACCACCATCATCATCGATCCATCATCATCATCATACTCCACAACATTTATCATCAACGCTGCCATTGACCTATCCAACCTATGCACCACCACCTCATTATCACCAATACCATCATTGAGGATGATCTTCCAATTGTTGGAGTAGTCGTTGAACGTGAGTACAACCGAATTGAACAAGACTTTTTATTCGCATGTTTTTTAAGGTCTTGATGGATCATCAATTGATGATAACTTTTCAACATTCTTTTCAGAGGTTTGTGACTGAGCTAAAGAGCACATCCACACACACAATTGATAAAAAGTCACGATAAATTTCATGATCAATTCGTCCTCACTCTTTTGTTCAATTCATTCAAGAACAGATGGATCGAGTACTTGTAAGCAACGTTCAAGAACACTTGTCTCAATTGTTGCCTATTGTTGTCATTGGTTGGTTCGAGAATATTGTTGTTGAGCTCGATAAGTATTTTTACTGCACCTGGGCAGCCGTTACGAGACATCAATGAAACCGCCATGCAAAACAATACCGCCAAATGTAAACTGTTTACATTTAAAAAAAAATTTGAGGCTACAACCCTATCATGCCGTCGTCCCAAGACAGCGAGGCAAAGAAATCATTGATGAAAGTTAAACGAGGAACAAGCGTTGAGAGCAGTGATGATGAAAGTTATACTACAACATCCTCAAGCTCTCTCGATTCAGAAATTGAAAACAATTATGCAGCCAACACTTCGACCAGTCATTTAACGACCACTCATCGATCAGGAAGCGCCTTGGATGACTCTGGTTATTCAAGCAATTCATCGTTTACGATATCGTCATCGACGACTACTCCGTATGACATCAATAAGGGATCATCTCCAAAGAAGCCTTCGAGCAAGAATCATACCACTTCCAACAATGTATTTTCAAGTAACAATACTTTGGAGAAGGGACAACATCATATTCATCGTCATTTTCATCATTATGCTGATTCTTCGCTGCAATCAAAAGGAAATGATTCTTCACTCACATCCAAACTTAATAGCAATATGGACTCCATCTCATCTTCTTCATTGTCGTCTTCGAAACGAGGAGGAATGAACAGTGTCTCTTCAAGTACTACCACTACTGCAAGTACTATATTAAATCCAACAGTGCCATCTCCCAATGTTCAAGTTGATTTGAATGCATCCACTACGAATAGTAAGGCAATACTCTCAGCATTGCAATCACTTCAAGATAAGATTAAAACTCTACAAACCAAGAATGATGAACTCGAGAGAGAAAAAGTAGAACAAAGAAATAGATATGAACATGAAATATTCTCAATGAAGATGAAATTGGAGAGTGAAAGAGACTCGTACAAAGATCAATTAGAAATTACAAGAAATGAGTTGAGAAAAGTGACTGAAAAACTCTCAGAAAATGAAAAAGAATTAGAATCTACAAAGGAAGCAAGAAGAGATCTCACTCTTGCCAATAACAAGTCTCAACAACGAACACTTGAATTGGAACGAAAATCAAATCAACTCGAAAAAGACTTGCTAGATTTAAGAGAAAGTCATTCTAGGTTAAACACTTTGTATGAACAATCTTCGAACAAGATTGAAGAGTTACAATCCAATCTCGTGAAAATGCATCGAAGAAAAGACAGAGCTGAATCTGAGAGAAAGGAATTAGATGCTGCTTTGAAAGAAATGATTGATCTTCATCAACAATTTGTGAGTCAAACCATGATGAATCATGAAGCAAGTCATGGTACGACGATGCAACCAAACGCTTTTCAACCCATTCCATCGTCAAGTCCTCCACCTCATCAACCACCACTCTCTCCAACAGGTGACAAGAAGAAGAAGAAACAATCAAGACCAAAATCAGCAGGATATCTACAACCTACTCTAGTTTCAAAGAAAAAGAAGAGAGAAATTCCAAAGAAGGGTGTGACTGTGTCATGTTCAAACCCACAAATACCTCAAGTGCAACAACAACAAGTACCAAATATGTTAATGTCATCCACCTCTGGAAATGTGTTATCAAAATTATCAGCCAATAAGACCATTCATGAACGCCTTAAAAAGTCCAATAATAATTTAACACCTCCATTTCTTCCAAACAGCTTTAAAAGCGACTCTAGGACCTATCACATTGCTGGACAAGCTCAAAATTTACTAAGCACAACACTAGGAGTAGGGAAAAAGGGTAAGTACAATGACATGTAACATCTCTTTCTAAATATTTTTACAATATATATTTTCCTTTGTGTGTGCATTTTCACACTTTATATACCTTTGTATGCATTATCTTATATATATTGAAATGAAATATATAGATCAAACCAATTATTATGGTGCAAATGAACACAGTCAAGATAAAGAACATGTACAATTAATCAAAGAAGTTGATGCTTGTAATAATGGAGATGAAGTGAAAGATTGTATTGTTCAATTAGAAGCAGAATATCAACAATTCCAAGAACAATACAAGATTTATTTAAACAAAATGGCAGATCCAGAGAGTAATCTTGATTTTATTAAGGATCAATTGAAATACTTGACAGATGCAATGGAACGAAAGAATCGACAAATTAATTCTTTAAAGAATTATCAAGTCTTTGTTTGTGAGAGAATTCGAGAGGCAACCTCACCTCCAAGAATAAGAGGAACTGAAAAGAGAGTTCAAGCGCTGCGTCTTTTCAATGATTTACGTAAATTACAACAAGAAACATCACTAGCAAATCAATGATACACTCTCGATAAAATCAACACGTTTCAATAGTATCATTTGAACCAAGAGTCTCCTGTTCTCTTCTAGTGCACCTTATCTCTTCACCTTCAGAGACCCCAACATCTCTCGCGTCCAGTATGACCAGAGATGGAAATCACCAAATGGGCCTTAATACTCAAGTTTTGTCAGGACCAAAAAAATATTGCCGCCAATTCGAGCACGCCCACTTTCCTCTTGTGTTGTTGTGGCATTAAAAGGCTTTGAGAGATTTCCAACACTATACTCTTCAACAACAACTACAACAACAACAATAACGATACCATCATCATTGTGATTGGTGGAATTCATCATCATCCCTTCGCATCAAGATACAAGATTCCGTTGTATTCCGCACTTTCTCGCATACAATAGTTTTTCAAAATTTTTATTATAACTCATCAACCAACTTCCACCTAGAACAACAACAATTTCTTCAACTACTACCAACAATAACTCCCAACACACCATGATGAACAACACCTTCACAACCGAATATGATGATTCTCGTCTTCAATCTTTCAAATTCGGACAAAATGATGCCTCCTCACATCTCGATCCATCACAATGGAAAATATCAGATTTTGAATTGCTAGAGATTATTGGTACAGGTACCTTTGGAAGTGTGAGGCTCGTGAAACATAAATTTACTCAACAATACTATGCAATGAAAATTATCAAAAAGTATGATGTCATTCGAATGAAACAAGTAGAACACATAATTAGTGAGAAGAACATTCTTTCTCAGGTAGATCATCCATTCATTGTTAGGCTCTATAGAACATTCCAAGATGAGAATTATTTATTCATGATTATGGAATATGTGTGTGGTGGAGAATTATTTTCTCATTTAAGACGTGTTGGTAAATTCCCAAATGATGTTGCCAAGTTCTATGCAGCTGAAATTATTCTTGCAATGGAATATTTGCATTCAAAGAATATTGTGTATCGTGATTTGAAACCTGAGAATATATTGTTAGATAATGAAGGACATGTAAAAATTACTGATTTTGGATTTGCCAAGAAGGTTTTAGATAGAACGTGGACCTTGTGTGGTACACCTGAATATTTAGCGTATGTATTTGAATTATGTTTTTTAAATGTTGTCCTTACTGTGTTGTGTGCTTGCTTAATCATCCAATTATACAACATCTATTGTATACCGATATATATAACATCATCATACCTGACATGATATTGTTGAATACTCTATTGTTGTATACACATGCCATGATACATATACATTCCATGGCGTGTGTATTGAACCTATAAATACATTCCATCATGGATCAATCAACACGCCATGGTTGAACAATCATCATCCTTGTGTACTCGGATGAACTCTTTTTCAACAGACCTGAAATTATTCAATCGAAAGGACATGGTAAAGCAGTCGATTGGTGGGCTTTAGGTATCTTGATCTATGAAATGCTTGTGGGTTATCCACCATTCTTTGATGATTCACCCTTCAAGATTTATGAAAAGATTCTTCAAGGAAAGGTTGAATTCCCTCGATTCATGGATCCAATGGCAAGAGATTTGATTAAACGCTTATTAACAACCGACAAGATGAAACGATTGGGTAACTTGAAAGCAGGAGCAGCAGATATTAAGGAACATAAATGGTTTAAGGGTGTGGATTGGGATGAACTTTACAATAGACAAATTGCATCGCCAATTCCTGTCAAGATCAGCTTTGCTGGAGATTCTAGATACTTTGAAACATATCCTGAATCAAGTGATCATTGTATTCACCACACTGGATCACCTAACCAACAATTAAGTTCTGATGTTCAAGCATTGTTTGAAGGATTTTAGAATCCAACATGTAATGATAACGTTCTATGATCACTAATGTTCAATCCACTATCATTGCTGCAACTTGTTCACCGATCCTACTACTCTCCTCTCTAACCTCCTATTCTAATGCACCTCCATTGTCATGATCTTGTATTATTTCAAATAAACTGATTATTAAACTTGTTAGAACTTTTGCAGTCCGCTTTTGTTAAGGCACAGCCGTCTTTTTGCCAAGTAATTGAGCCAATTGCCAAGTCTTTGAAAACAAGGTATATACATCCAATAATGTGACACAGAATGTAATGGTGCTAAATCGCCAAATATCTGAAAGAGAGTGCGCTGTTCGAGCTGTATTCTTAAGGTTGAGCAATCGGTTCCACCAATACTTGACAAATTCGTCAATGTCAATAATCACCAAATCGACAAAACACCAAAGTCTAAACCATTCACATCCCCAATCTAATTCAATAGGTATTCTAATAGTTTTGTGCTGTTTTGGAGCTCGTTTCACAGCAGTAATGTTTTCATCTTGTCCATTCTCGAGTGGTTCTTCTTCTGTGCAATACTCGATCGACCATCTCGATCTCAATCCAACACTAAATAAATATAATTGCTCATAAAATTTGCTCGAAATATAATGATAGATAGACTTCACTGCAACTCTATTAGATGATGTTTTATCATTGTTGGGTGAAGAAAATAATCCTTTCAGAGTGGTCTCTGCTGTTGCTACTTGTAAATCAATCAAGTATCTCAAAATCTTTGAAATTTGAACGAGAACATTTCTAAACTTGTTCATGACCACAATTATGGTGTGCATATTGTTGAACCTAGAAGTTTTATCATCAAGTATTCTCAATTCAGGATACAATTCTGAATCTATTTTTGGAGGTGGAGGTAATTCCACAGTAGAAAATACTTGTTGATTTTCATAATGTTCTTTCCATTTTTGTAAAAATAGGGATTGAGAAGATTGTGTAAAAGGAGACCATAATAATCCTCTCTTGGTTAAAGATATATTCAAATAAGACCATAAATCTAATGCGTTTGATCTCACTTGTAACGAATAACCTTTAATAGATGCAGATACTCCATATAGTAATTTTTCCAAGTTATGAAAATTCATCACACTTGCTGAGAGATATAATTGTCTTTCCAAGTATGGAATATAGAATTTCCTTCTTAACATGATTTTAGTAATTAAATCTTTCATTTTCATATGATATCCAAAATTAGTAGAGAATTTATATTTTCCAAAGATACAACTCAGATAATTCATAATAATTAAATATAATTGAGTTTTAGAATGAGTTTGAGTAGGATAAGGTCGATGTAAATGACATTTCAAAATTCCATAAATATATTTCATATCTAAAAAATTAAATAATTTTTTTAAAAACTGATTCAAGTAATGTTTCTTCAATACTGAATGATGATTCAATGATTCATTTTCATTACTACTCGTCTTTTCATTCTTTTCTTCATAAATCTTGTATTGATAAAATTCTCGATCTCGACTTGTATTAAAATCTGAATGATCATTGTGTTGTGTTGAATGTGGTCCAGTTTCTGATGATTGATGATTCTCTTGTTGAAACGTTGCATTATAAAAACTTGTATATTGATTATATTCTTCTTCTTGTTCTCTTTGCATTTCTTCAACATCATCATCATTGTAAAGAAAATGAGAATTTTGATGACTCGTTTGATATAAATCATAAAAATATTCAGCACCAATAGAATATCCAATCTTTTTATCTAATTGTATGAAACTATAATGTTCAATAGAGAGTAAAATGTTGATGAAATAAATTTTTGATGAATTAATATGTATATTATTCAATAAATTTTTGATGAATTAAAAGAGGATTCAATAAATAGTCATTAAAAATTTAAATGATGATTATTTTTAAAAAACTCACTTGATTGGTAGTTGTATCGAATGAGTGGGATATAATCTCATAGATACATCAAAGGTAGCATAATCTAAATCCCATGGATGTGTGTCTTCATAGGAATCCCAATTAAGAGATGCATTTAATTTATAAATTTCCATTTTGGAAAAGGTATTGAGTGATTAATGTTGTTATGAATGGCGGATAATTATTCATACATCCATGAGGTGATTAGAAATTATTGGTGAAATTTAGAAATCTTCCGAGATGTTCACATGAGAACCATCCATGTGAGTGATGATAATTTTTTTAAAGAAATTTAGAATTGTTACAAATCCCGCCAACCTGCACAAAACCATCCAAAATTAAAAAACTACAGTTTTCAAGAAAGAAAAAAAGTGATCACTTGAGTCAAATCGTTTGAACCTCGATTGTTCAAATCCTCCGAGATCTAGTATTTCTTCAAAATAAGATCAATATTAGTAATCATACATTCATAAGAAATGGACAATCAAGTTTTATATTCGGCTGAACAAATTAAAATCCCATCCGATCTTGGAGAAGTCATTAAACAATATACCAAGGATGCTATTCGAGCGTCTCCCTCTAATCTCGTTCAATGGAGTGCCAAGTAAGTAACTATGGTATGCTAAATGTTTTTATGCAAATTATTGGCATGATAGTTATTTTGCAAACAAGACCAACAAACCTTTACCTTTCCCCAATGTTCCTCTTACTAAATCAATCTCTGAATAATAAATTGATGCTTTCATCTTGTTGTAATTGACGTGACAAGGATGTGAGGGAACAATTTAATGTATCCCTCTCCATAGTACAACTACAACTTACACGTTTGAGTTGACGCACCATCTCCTCGGGATTTTACCAGTCACTACCAGGGACGAGCATATCATCAACAAAACAACATTGTTTTGGAGGATTGTAGTGAAAATGTTTTGCATTTCATCTGTCGGTGTTACAAATGGCAAATGTTCTTTTTCAATTTACCCTTAATAGGACGGCTTGTCAAACGTTCACTATTGTCACTACCAGCGACTTTCCATCATCTCTACTTTGCATCCAACATAACAAAATGACGGAACATAACTAAGGCCCGTGTACTCTTTAATAAACGCCGTTTTTGCTCTTTTAAATTGTGACTTTTGTTGTTGTGTTTGGGGGACAAACTCCAACGATCAGTTCCTGGCGGAAATGCTGTCCAAGCGGAACAGGACATTTAACGCCAAATATTGAATAAAGTCTCATTTATTGTTGTGATCATTTGTGAATGAACCATTCTCGACCACATTAAACGGAGAAGACAATTTATTGATTATCGATGGTACTTGGTCATATACCCCAGTAACATCCACAGGATTGGAAATATATTAAAATCTTTCGATCATGAAGACGAACGCTCTTGTTATCTGTTTATTTCGTTGGTTGTTTTTTTTTCTAGCGTAGTGAAAGTGTAAAATCTAGAGGATCTTCATGAAAACCAACTGCAAAAAATTGAAACCAGAATTCAACCTCTCTCCAGTATCATGACCACTCCTCCGAAATACAACCACTGGTTATATGGTCGTCGTCGTCGTGGTCGTGGTCATTGCCATTCAAGCAACGACAACTTGTTTGTATTAACCGTATTCATGATCGTCTTCATCACGATGATGCATCATTGTATGTCATTCGTCTCTGCGATTCATGACAATCATAGCTTTTCCAATCCAATAACGATCATTCATTCTTCTGATCATGAACCAACAACATTATCCACAGCATTGTTAGATTCCTCTTCACATCATGACAATCTCTATGAAGCAAGTGATGATGATGATAATATTCAAATTACGGGTTCACTCAATCCAGAAAATAATTATATGAAAGACACTCTTCTTGCAACTAGTGCTACGAGTAGTAATACAAATAGTAATACAAATAGTATTGCAAATAGTAATACAAATAATAATAATCCCACAACGAATAATGATGACAAGAAGAAGGATGGTGGTGCACCTATACCTACAACATACATGACACAATCCGATTCTTCGATCGAATCAAGCATCAATGATCGTCGTGCGGTTGGTGATGGTGCACCATCCACCAAAAATTCCTCTCCTTTTCAATCCATCATTAAACATTATAAGGATTTAGATGATCAATATTTGAAACAACAACAACAACAGGAACGACAAACAAATTCCGAATCGAAGAAGAACAACAACTCAAAATCATCTTCTTTTGAATCTACCAAATCCATTCCATCCAGTAGTACTAGTAGTAGTAGTATCAGTAGTAGTAATAACAAGAATGACAAATCCACCACCAATCCTGAAGGAGGATCTTCTATTGAAAGTGATACAAAATTGGCCATTCATAATTCTGAAAATAAGAATGAAAAATCTTCTCAAAATGTTGGTTCATCAACAACAACAACAACAACTTCTACTTCTACTACAACTACTCCAACCAATCCACAACAACAACAACAGACATCAAAGAGTGACAACAATAACAACAACAATAATAAGGATACTACTACTGAACCTCTCAACCCTTCGGATGACAATCAAAAAGATGCTCTTATTGCTGAATTGATGGCAAAATTAAAGAAATTTGAACAACAGTCAACAACCAAAGATTCAACAGAGCACAAATCATCACAACAAGCATCTCCTATCGAAAATGGTAATGTTCATGACAAGAAGACTGACACAAACACAAATGAAAAGACCAATCCACAACAACCACAACAACCAACATCCAATCCACAACCACAACAACCACAACAACCAACATCCAATGTTCAAATCAATCCACAACAACAACCAACATCATCAAAAACTCACTCTAATGATCAACAATCATCAACCAAGATCACTGGAACGAATAGCAATGAAAAAACAAGTACTCCAGCAGTAGTGAAAAAACCAATCAATCATGATAAAACTACAGTCTCAAAAACTATTGCAACAACACCAACTGCAACTCCAGTAGTGAAAAAACCATCGAGTAGTAAACTCTCAAAGAGTGATGAGACATTTAAAAACAACCAATCAAAGAAGAATTCAAACAAGGACAAGAAAAATGATTCCAAAAAGCATGATGCATCCTCATCCTCATCAACTACCTCTTCAGAATCCAATGACTCAACCAAGAAGGATTCTAAGACTTCTCCAAAAATTGATGAAACCAATCGTGACACTTCATCCAATCATCAAAAGAATACTCAAAATAATGTAAAGAGTAATACTACTCCAACGAATTCTGCAAGTAGTAATAGTGGCAGTACCACTAATAGTAATACTCAAAATAATAGTGGTAGTAGTAGTAGTAACATTCAATCTGGAAGTAGTAGTGGCAGTACTAGTACCAGTAATACTCAATCTAGTGGTAGTAGTAGTAGTAGTAACCACAACAACAACAATAATGGATTAATTTCCAACAATAACTTGACATTATGGAATGTCTCTCAAAATTCTTCTCTATTCCTCTATGTCATTTATAGTTTCATTCTCATTGTATTCTTTATTGTAGTGATTGTATTTATTGTCTATTTGAGAAGAAGAAGAAGAAGCAATTTGAAAAGTGTGAATAAGTATGAACCAGTATCCACCTATGAAGATTCAAGTGTGGGTGGTGCTGCTGAGAATGATACTGCATTGGGTGTTGAAATGGATGAAAAACATCGAATGTTATCTTTATCGAATGAACCTGTAGATTTGGAAATTTAATTATTTTCAATGAATCATAAACTTTTCAATGATGATGATGAATTTGTAGGATGTTGACTATATAGTTGATGATGAGAAATAACATGTTCATGTTTTATTCATTCAAACCATTGTTATGAACATAATTAAAAAAAAATGTCCACTTCTTCATCCACTTCTTCATCCACTTCTTCATCCACTTCTTCATCTCCACCCTCTCCCACAACAGAGGAAAAGAAGAATACTCGTTATCAACAACACATTGATCTTCTCACAAAACAAGTAATGGAATTGGAAACTCTTGAATCCAAAGTGAAACAACTCTTTCCACAACAAGCCCTTCAAAATCAAATGAACAATAATTCTAAAGATGAAAATTTGTTGATAAAATTAGGAAATCCATCCGTTGAGTATTTCACTGCAATTGGTTCTATGATTGGTGGTGCATCGTCAAGTTATTTACTTTACAATCCAGTGAATCGGTTAGGTCGTAGATTCATCAGACCAATCACAACCAATTACCGATGCAGATATTTTATGACCATTCCTATTTTAGCAATTATTAATGTCTGTATGGCTGGTATATGCGGTGGAGTCTATCCGTATGCAATGAATCGATTATTTAAATATATGAATGAAGAGTTAAATACAAAAATACATGTAAATGACAATTTTGATGATTTTGTTATTTTAGGATTGCCCATTACAAAAGCACAATATCATGAACATTTAAAAAGACAAAAATAATCATTTTGAGAATATAAGAGAGAGGAGTGAAAGGAAGTATGGATCTAAATTGTATTATAGAATAATATCATTCACACTATTATTGAATGAAATCATGAATATCATTGTATGGGTCTATAGAACAATATCATTCACACTATCATTTATTATTGAATGGAATGGACATCAAGTGATCATTGAACTTGTCATTTATAATTTTATTGGCATGACAGAAACATTTTCATCTCCTCCTCTTCTTCTTTTAATTTCAACATGGCATTGATTAGTATTCGAATGAGTAAATCCAATTCCCATACTCTCTGTACTAAAGGCATATCCAAATTCTAAAAAGGATGAATGATCAGATGTCTCGTCATCATCATGATACACCAAACAAGACATACATCCAATTTTTCTTGGATTCATTAATTTGGGACATGAATGAAATAAAGAATTCAATGCTTGTTCCATGGTATGATTCAAATGAAATAATTCAAGATTTAAATGATTTGACATTTGATTGAACATGATATCTTCACCAATTCCTGAAAAGTTATGAGCACATTGAAGTGTTGTTGTTGAGAGAGTGTGATTATTTTCACCATGTTCACTTTCATGTTCACTATCATTTTCGTGATCACTATCACTTTCATCACTCATTCCACCACCACCACCATAAATATTCTTTGAATGATGATGATACATCTCTGAGGAACATCCACTTCCATAAATAGCTGCTTCACCAATTCTTCCAGGATATTTCAATAAAATTCCACCACTACTCACTCCACTACATAGAATACCATTCGAATAAACAATGGCACCCACAGTGTCATAGAATTGAGAAGTATTGGTGTTCATACTTGTGGAGGAGGATGAATGGATGGGAGAATGGTTCGAGATCACTAAACCGTGATTCATCCATGTTGTTGTTGTTGCATTGTTATTTTCATCATATTGGTTAATAGTGTTACTACCACTACTACTACTAGCAGTACTATTACTACCACTACCACTAAATGTATGATTAGGATTATTCATTAACACATGCTTATACTTGTTAAATTCAATTTTAGATTTTTCAGTGACCATGTATTCATTCAATAAATTGTCATCTTGACAATAAATCAAACGATTCAACATGTTATTATTGTTATTAAACAATGAATGATTCTCCTTATCATAAACCTTATGATCATCAAGTATGGTTGGATTATTACTACTACTACTTGGATTATTACTACTACTACTACCACTACTACTACTTGGATGACTACTCTTCATCAATAGACTACTCTCATTTGTTCTTCTCTTGTTATTATTAAATTGAATATATTCCAATGCTCCTCTTCCACTTAAAAACAATGGTTTCACTAACTGACTATGAGGAGTATAAATTCCACTCGAATTCATTAAAATATCTTGAATGAGAGTATGACACATTAAAATAGGATTATAAACACCATAAATGGCACCACATGAAGCATGTAATTGAGAGTAGTAACAGTGTAAATTTACCATTGTTGGAGAATGAGTGTTGTTTAAATAATAATGAGAATAACATAAACATGCATCACATTCAACAGTTCCATTTCTATTTAAATTACTTCCAAATCCAGCATTCGTGAAGGGTGAATTTTCTAAAATGGAAATACAATAGGAACATGCAGAGAGACAATCATTGATTTGTTGATTGAGATCCATTGTAGAGTTGAATTCATGATTACTCGATGTTGTTTTAGAAGAAGGATTGGAGGAAGAGGAGGACTATGTTTTCATATTGAATTTACCATATCATGTTTTGATCATTTTGAATTCAAATATTATTCAATTATCCATTCATATAATTTTTCAAAATTCATGATCAATTCATATTTGAATAGAGAATAAAAAAACAATGCATACATTTTGAAAGAATTGATTTCTTGTTTGTACGAGTGCTTGTTTCATTATATTTTCATAGGTTTTAGTATTTGCATGAGAATGATAACCAGCACCACAGTGAACAGCTTTGATATTATAGAGTGTTCCGAAATACATCAATGGAATTCAAGCTCTCTCGTCTCTTTAACACCTACCAATAAAAAATTGATTGTTTAGACTGGACGGGAGGGTGTTTGATTCATCAGTCATTTTTTTCTTCACTAGCCTGCATTTCATCTCCGAAAACTATTATTTCAGAAGACAATGAACACCGATGGAAGCGATTTTCAACGCCATTTTTTCAAAATGTCAACAAATCCACAACCAAAACAGCTCTCCAAATAGCAAACTAATACCATTTCATTATATGCAGCTTCCCAACAACGCTCGCTTCCCTCCCATTACACTTTGTGTATTAACTTGGCTTATTTGTAATTGACTTGAATAGTGATTTTTCAAACTGGGTGAATACTAGTTATGAGAAGAAACTGGAACTACCCTTTAGAAACAAATGAAGAATATTCTTATCTGCAATTCACCACAATTTTTCAAAAAGGTTCTCAATAAATTGTTACTAAACCGTGTTCCTTATTTTTCATCAAATGCTATTATTCTGAATAAATACAACAGTACACCATCAAGAGGCAATTGCTAACCCAGTGTTATAAATTTTGAAAGAACATAGCAGTGGAACAACTACCGACATTTACCTTTGTACATTAGACAACTCAAGATCCATTGGCATTAATGTTACGGTAACATATACTAACATGTTGTTAGATCTTTTTGAAAACAAACCGCTAAGAGCGTTGAAAGTGAAAACATTTCGATTATACACAGTTATCGTTCTTGTCGATTATAAAGGACTGTAAATTTCTAGTACTATTTGGTTCCAATGTAAGGAGAAATAACATTCCCGTGCAATGTTTATAACAGTTCAAGTTCATATTATCAATATGTTAAAATTGCCTATTGAAAGAAAGGTGTAATTGGCATAAATTAGCATTCAAAGCATTACTAATAGCGTTCTTGATGACTATACCGACAACTTTTAGTGCAAATAGAAACCCGTTAACTGCGTCACTCCTTTCGCGCCTTTTAACTTTTTCTTAAGAACTGATCAAACATTCAAGAAACAATGCTTTACTTGAGTATCCATACCAAAGGTTGTTGTATAGTTCGACTTTGCATAATCATGCATACCTTGAATGTAACTAAACGATGTACTTTAGCTAGCTCGTGTAATATTTGCTTTTAGCCTGTTCTTCGTTGATCGCATTCTTATTGTGCAAGCATGTCAACCATTTGTTCTGGTTAGAAAGAATCAATTGAGCACTCTCACAGAGCCACTTCAATATGTTTGAGAAATATTTCATCTCTGGCGTGTCAAGCCATTCATCTGATTCAATATTTTGTCTTTTTTCTCAACATGTCCAATTTATTTAAAAGGAAATTATTTGATTAATACTAAATTGGTGTGTTTAAATCTTTGAATTTTTTAACCACAAAAAACAAACGTATTCTTTCCAATGTCAACCTCTTCCACACAAAGCAAACTCTTCCTCGTAGAAGAAGAAGAATATTTAAAGAAATCGTCGTCCTCTCCCGTGGAAGCTCCTGAAGAGTGGCAAAGTGAGCCTTCTTCTTCAACAACAACTACTACGAATGTTCAACAACAAGAATCAAAACCACAACACATTTCCTCACTCTATCTTTTCAATTATTCAAATACACCCTTCTACATTTCCATCTTTTATAAAGAAAATGAAGGTCATGATTATGAACAACAATACGATGAAATTCTACCTTTTCATCCATTCACATGGTTTCATATTGAAGAAAGATTTCACAAATCCAATCCCATGCACATCTTGGGTATTAATTTAGTTGATTTTAATAATTCTGTTTCAAGTCAAACCTTTATGGTTGAAGAATTGAGAATGCATTCAGAACATTTTTGGAATGGTGATGTGTCCTTCTTGACCAATACAACAAGTTCAAGTTCTCATCGTGAAGAAGATTTGAAACAACACATTCCACCTGAAAAGGATGATTTGATTTTTGTTGTGACGAAACATGTTGGAGAGAAGATTAAAATGTTTTATTGTCCATATCATGTATGATAGAGGTGGAGGAGTGTGTTGTGTTGTATTGCGTTTCGTGGTGGTGGTCATCATTATATATTAAATGGATATCCGAGAACACCAATTTGAATTTCATAAATCATCATGTCTTCTGTGTTTTTTAAAGTAATGCACAAATTGGTGCTTGAACGAGTTTGGCTGCGAATCAGTTATCCCGCCCAGTTTCTTTACGATTCTTTCGCCCTTACATTTCGAAAAAAAAAGTAACCGTTCTCGACCCCCTTGAAACCGCAAGATGGGAAACACGGCAGGTTGTGCTACCACCCACAATGTTGAAAAAAGATCATTACATGAAGAGGATAATGTTTCCACTCCGATGGCTTTAAAACCGAGCAAGTTTCAACAAGCAGCTCAAAATAACGATCCTACGAGCCAAACTCATAATTCCACTCTCTCGAATGAAGACTCTACCATTGTCAATATTCCAAAAGGAAAATCCCTCCGATACGTTTCACTAGAAAGAACACCCAAAGATACTCTTGAATCTCAACATGTGTTATTGAAAGCCCTTGCTCAAAATAATATGAACGATATGATCGCCTTCAATACTCAACAAGTACTCGATCGAGAATATCTCATTTGTGTCTATCCAAATCTAGACAAAAACATTCTAGTGTATATATTAACGGATGGAATGGACAAGTTATACTACCACATTCGAGATATTGAAAGTGTCATTCGAGACAAGAACTCATTATTCTCTGGTGAGCCTTCCGAATCGGTTCATTTCTATGTCTTGTACCTTAATAGTGTTCAACATTGTATAAGAACGATGGATTTATTCTTTGAGCCACAAGAACGAGATACAATTCTTCTAAGCAAACGATTATTACCTGACATTTCATCTTCACATTCCCAAGTGACCATTAGTATTCCATTGTATCCTCTCTACTACAATGTCGATGTGAATATTCGAGATGTGTTCATGCTCATTACTAAACATTCAAAAATGATGATGAAGAAACAATCAAGTGCTAAACATGTGGAAACAAAGAGACAAGAAAGTCTCACACTTCTTCATGACTTTAAAAAACAAACGAGTACCAAATCCATCAATGATGAAAAAGCTCATACCGTTGCCATCCATTCCAAGGATCCTACTCGATTATCTCTTGATTTAGTCAATGTCATGTCTGCACCTGGATCTCTTCATTCCTCTCCTGCATCCACTCCTCGTACAGGAGTATCACATCATGCTCAAATATCAGAATTGGTGAACGAATTGAGAAATCATCAAAATGAAGAAGTGAGAAATCTCATTGCTCGACTTGAATCTCTCTTAACCGAATCGATGAATCGACCAACCACTGATTCATTAGCAGAAGTATTGGTCAGTAAGGCTTCTGTGCATTCCATGAATGTGAGAGAGAGTGTAAAGGATTTGATTGTGAGTGATGATCAAGAAACTAGAAAATGGCTTTCCGATGAAGTGTTGAAAGGAACCACACTCCTTGAAGATTCTTCAGATTACTCTTGGAAGAAGAAAGTCAAAGCATTTACAAAAGCAATTGTATTTACAAATCGATTGAGAGAAATGGGATCAGTTGCAACTAGGAAATCCAATTTAAGTATTTCATTGGATTTATCTTCTGTTACTACTCAAAAAGAAGATTTAATTGAACTACCTTTTGATATTTTAGAATATTTGAAAGTACATGCTTTGAGTTATTACAGTTTTGATGTTTTTAAATTTGAAAAGATTGCAAAAGGAGAACCACTGTATTATTTATGTTTATATTTATTTCAAACCTATGACTTGGCCAATAATTTAAATATTCCAGTCAAAACGATTAAGGCTTTTCTCAAAGATGTTGAATCCCAATATAGGAATAATCCTTACCACAACAATTGTCATGCCACAGATGTTGTTCAATCTGCGTTTAGTCTTTACCACAGTTTATTTGCTGAGAAATCTGTAGAAGTGGGTCAATCTCAACAACAAGTACCACCAACTCCATCTTCAAACACTTCTCAAAATATCTTACAGAGTATCCAATCTACTACAAACACCACCTCTCAACTCTATTTTCATTTAAATCCATTAGATATTCTAGCATTACTGGTTGCATGTTTAGCTCATGATGTCTGTCATCCTGGAGTGACCAATTTATTTGAAAAGAAAACAAGAAGTGAAAGAGCAATCATGTTTAATGATCGATCCATTTTAGAAAACTTTCACTGCTACTCTCTCTTTAAAATATTATCCAAAGAAGAAACAAATTTATTTGTAAATATGAATAATCATCAATTTGAATATCTCAGAGAATTAATTGTTGAAATGATACTTGCAACTGATATTAGTCAACACTTTTTAATCGTTGGTCAAATGAAATCCAATGATATATTCAATCATGAAAAATTCACCATTGAAAGGAAAGAATGTTTATTAGCATTACTCAAAGTATTGATCAAATGTGCAGATGTGAGTAATCCAACCAAGCGATTTCCAGTGTATGGACAATGGTTAGATCGAATTATGAATGAATTTTATAATCAAGGTGATCGAGAACGAGAATTGAACATTGATATTTCACCATTTATGGATAGAAATAATCAAAATGTTCCAAAATGTCAAACTGGATTTATGGAATTCATTGTCATGCCTCTCTTTTCTCTATTATTTGATTTTAAACCTGAAGATTCCAAATACATTCGAGAACAAACTGAATTTAATTACAAAAGTATGCAAGAAATGTGTAAGAATGGTCAAATGTTACGATTGGATGAAATTCTTGAAGTCATGAAACAAACAACTTTGGATGGAACTTTGTCTCAACACATTCATCCAGTGGTCGTTGTGAAAACATCTCCAAGACCCTCGAGTCAACCTTCATCATCAAGAAGAAAAGAGTTGAGTGAAGCTTGTCAGGTTACAAGCTCTCATTCTCCGAATGTTGCATCCAACGATGGTACGATGCCAACCACCACCTCTCACAATTCACAAGTAACAACAATTAATGATGCCAATTTGCATGAACACAATGGACAACTTCAACTACCACTCTCTGAATCGGGTACCTCGAAATCCATTAGTAGTGGTAGTGGCAGTAGTGGTATCATTACTCCCTCAAGTACGAGTGGTGGTGCTGCTGCTTTGACACTTTCATCGACGACACCAACAACAAGTGCAGCAGCTTTGAGTAGTAGTACTGGTACCTCCACACGATCCATGGATTTGGGAACCAAAAACGATCAAAACTATGAAGATGAAGCACCTCTAGTGGCGCAGTCGATTCAAGAGGATGGTACCATACCGTTACTGATACAAGATGTGTCAAGACGAATTCATCGAGAGAATTTGATCGATGATGATGAAATGGTTGAAACAGACGAAGTGTTGAACCAAGTATCATCGATTCAACTTAAATCTATTACTACTCTTCCCAATGAAGACGAGTATCCATGTCATGAAAGTTTTGATGATCAAACGTAATAACATTGCTTTCTGTTCCATGCCACCGCAGCAACAACAAGATTCAGTCAGTCATAAAAAATGCTTAAACAACAACCAAAGACCAGTTCCGATGGGACAACCACAACTCCCTCCTCTTCAACTCCATCCTCTTCATCTACAAAACAAGATTCATTCTTTTACACAAAACAAGCAATTAAATCATCCACTCTTCCTATTGTACCAGATGTGTTAAATTCAGGAATTCGGATAGGAGGTGCAATTTTCGGATTTGTTTCTGGATATTATGCATTTAATAATCACTTTCATCAATTATTTGGTGTTAAATTGGTAGAACCATCAGAATCTTCATCTCCACCTAAAGAATGGATTACAAAATTAATTGGAAATAATAACAACCATAGAAAATTATGGGCAAAAACTAGTGTCGGTCTCATCTCTCTAGCGACGGGTGGAGTGTTTGCAGTGTGTTCAGTTCCATTTGTTCATTTCATTGCACAACTGTATTACACCTGTAAAATAACGAGCTATGGCTTAATGAAAGATGTATTTGACAATAGGAATAATAAAAATAAGGAAAATGAATCGTAATTTCACACAGTTTTGAGGGTGTGTGAACGAATTTTCTTGCACCTAGTAGGCGTACCAACGGAAACAGGCGATGAGACTAATCGTGTGAAAATGAAGACTCATTCGAATCATTTCTAAATAATTTAAACTTTATAAAAACAATTCATACACTTATTGGAGATCATCGATCAATTCACCTGCATTGAATGGAGATGCCTTTCTAGCAATACGTTGAGTCTTCTTTCTCTCAGAGTTGACTTGTTGTCTCAACTTTTCCAAATCATCTTGCAATTCCAAGATCTTGTCCTTTTGTTGACGATTCTCAGCTTCCAATCTTTGCTTATCTTGTTCAGATTTTTGATATTTAGAAGCATCTGATTGAGATTGAGATTGCAACAACTTGTTCTCACGTTCAACCTTTGTCAATCGTTGTTCCAAATCTTGCTTGGCACGAGCCTCTTCTTGGAATCTACGTTGATATTCACGTAAATCACGATCAGCCTTCTTCATATCTCTTGAAGCAGCAGAACGTTCCTTCTTGGCTTGAGCAATTTGGTTGTTCAAATCCAAAATCTCATTCTCATATTGTTGCTTCAATCGACGAGCAGCTTCATCTAATTTGGATCTTTCTTGTTCCAAATCTTGTTGTAATTCTTCAATTTCACGTTTTTGACGAGAAGAAGCTTCTTCAGCACTGGCACGTGAATGACGTTCTTGAAGTAAATCTTGTCTCAATTGTTGAACCAAACCTTGTTGTTCTAATTTGGTGCGATTCAACTCATCACGCAAGTCTTCAGCTTCCTCAGCCAATTCTCTCAATTCATCGCATTCCATTTCAACACTCTTCTTTTGTTGTTCAACCTTCTTACGAAGTCGTTCTTCAGTTTGAAGACGAGTCTTGACTTCAGTCAAATCCATCTCAACACTTCTCTTCTTATTCTCAACTTCGACACGTTGTTGAGTGACTTCTTCCACGCGAGCCTTCAATTGAGCCAATTGCAATTCGTATTCACGTCTCAATTTTTCAACTTCAGCAGAATCGACTCCACCAACAACTCCGCCACCACGAGAGGCATTCTTAGAGAGATCCTTCAATTCATCCTTCACTTCGCTGTATGCTTCTTGAAGTTTTTGTAATTGAGCCAATAATTCACTCTTTTCATTCTCACTCTCCGATTGCACTCGTTCAATTTCTTGTTTGAGTTTACGATTCTCGTTTTGTAAATCGTCGCGCAATCGAGCCACTTCACTCTTCAAACGGTTGTTGTCGGACTCTAAGGATTGGCGGGAAGAGGCTTCTTGTTGAGTTCTATTGTTGGCATCAGCGAGACGAGAAGTCAATTCTTGAATTTGCTTTCTCAAAGCTTGCAATTGTTCTTCAGCTTCATCACGATCGCCATGATGATCTGAAAGGTCCTTTTGAAGTTTTTGAATTTCAGCCTTCAATTTGGCAACCAAGTTATTGCTCTCATCTAATTGTCTCTTGAGACCATTGACATCACCGCTTTGATTGTTCAAATCCTTATTCAATCGATCACGTTCACTCTTCAAGTTATTCACTTCACCCTCTAACTGCTTGACACGATTATCAGCATCATTCTTCTTTTGAGTCTCTCCCTTCAAGGCTTGTTCAGTCTCTTGCAATTGTTGAGCCAATCGTTTGACTTCCTTATCCATCTTGGATCTCTTCTTATCCAAATCAGTCTTTGAAGAACGTTCAGTTTCCAAGAGAGCAGTCAATTCACGAATCTTATCTTCCAATGTCTTGACCTTGGAATCGAGAGAAGAAGATTCATTTTGCTTATCGGAGAGAGCCCTCTTCAATTCATCCAATTCTCGTTGAAGTCTTTCATTATCACTCTTCATCTTTTGCAAATTGTTACGTTCATTTTGCAAATCTGATTGCAGTTGTTTGAATTGAGAGTCTAATTGGTTCTTACCACCCTCAGTGTCTGACAATAAATTCTCCAATTCATTGGCACGTTCACGTTGAGCGTCCAAATCACTTTGTAATTGTTCAGCACGTTGTTTGGTACGATTCAAATCATCCTTGACGGAAGCAAGTTCCATTTCGGTAGATTTCTTTTGTGCGTCACGAGTGCGAGCCTCATTCTCCAAATCGGAAATTCTCTTGGCCAAATTCTCAGCAGCTTGTTCCTTCTCTCTCAAATCTTGTTCGAGTTTACGAATACGATTATCCGAGTCATCCTTCTCAGCTTGCAAGTCATCCTTGCTCTTCTTTAGGTTCTTCAAATCCTTTTCAGCCTTCTTCAACTTGTTGGTCAAATCATTCTTTTCATCATTGGTCTTGTTGAGTTGCATAGTGAGTTCATCTTTGGAAGATTCAGAGAGTTTCTTCAATCGATCAATTTCAGAATTCTTATTCTTGAGTTCTTCTTCCATTCTGAAACGAGTGTCATTCAACTCGCGTTCCAAATCCTTGTTACGTTCTTGTAACTTTTGATTTTCAGATTCCAAGTCAGAAATTCGTTGTTTCAACTTGTTAATCTCAGCTTGAAGTTGAGAAATTAAATCATCACGATCATGCAAAGTATTTTCCATATCATTCAATTTGGAGGAAGCATTGTCGAGATCTGATTGCAATGAACGATTCTTATTCTCAGCAGCTTGTCTCTTTCTAGTCTCTTCATCGAGTTGATTGGAGAGATTGGCACCTTGTTGTTCACTGGCAGTCAACTTTCTTTGCAATTGATCAGCGGCTTTCTTTTGCTTGTCCAAATCTTCTTCCAACAATTGCTTCTCCTTCTTGCTCTTCTTCAATTCGGTGTCCAATTGGTCAGCACCTAATTGGGAATCGGTGAGTTCCTTTTTGAGATCCTTGATTTCCTTTTCTCGTTTCTTCAAGTCTTCTTCACGAGCTTTACGAGAGTTGATCTCATTCTCCAACTGAATGCCTTGATCACTCAATTCCATTTGGAGACGAGAGACTTCATTCGACTTGTTATTAATGTCATTTCTAGCATCAGCCAAAGTATTCTCCAAGTCAGCAATTCTCTTCTCCAAATCTTTGGACTTCTTATTCATGGTCTCAATTTCCAAATCCTTATTTTGGAGATCACTTCCCTTACTCTTGATAATCTTTTCACGTTGATCAACCTCACCCTTCAAATCACGGATTTGTTCTTCCAATTTCTTAATATTGGAATTCAAAGCAGCCAATGATTGAGTGTTACGAGTCAATTCAGAGTCCTTATCATCACAGTCATGATGCAATCGATCAATTTCATTCTTTCGATCACGTAACTCCTTCTCTAATTGATTCAAAGCATTGTTCATGGCATCCATTCTGTTACGTTGTTCCTCCAAATCATCAATCAACTTTTTACGAGATTGCTCCAAAGCATTCTTCTCAATTTCAAGTTTCTTCTTGGAATCTCGTTCTCCTTCCAAATCCTTCTTGATTTGTTCGAATTCTTCTTTGAGTTTCTTTGTGACTTGTTCGCTTGAGAATTCCTTGAGGTATGGACGAGCCAAATTGATCAAATTCCACCAACCCCAATTCTTTAACTTTAAATAGGCTCTAAAGTTACGTTGAATCAATTTGATGGAAATCAAACGACCTTGTAACTTCTTATAGGCAACTCGTTCATAGGCAGCCAATGCAGCAGCTTGAGCCACACCAATAATCTTGGAGATTTGAGCTTCTCTGTACTCTTCAATCAAGGCTTCTTGTGAGGCCTTCAAGAAGACTTTGGTAGCACCCAATTTGTATTGAGTAGTCTCTTCGAATTTGATGGTATCCAAAATGACTTGAGCCTTTCCACGGAGATTGGGTTGTTGTTCCAAGGCACGTTTATCTTCAACCAACAAGTCGTATCTCTTGACAAAGTCAGCATATGGAATTCTACCTGGATAACCCTTTCGAGCAATTCTGATACCTTCCAAGACACCGTTACATTTCAATTGATGCAACACCAATCGATCATCAATGATACCAGGCTTTTGCAAATTGTTAGGCTTGATACAACGAATAAAATGAGGTTCAGTCGATTCCAAGAGACCCATCAAGTCCTTCAATTGATTCTTATAATTGGTTGCAACAGTCTTGAAACGGGCAGAACCAACACTTCTCTTCTCAGCAGCCTTTTGTCGTTCTCCTGGCAAATCAAAGAGTGAGCGAATCAATGCGTTACCGGAAGCAGCCATGACACCCTTACAGTCTTCATTGAGTGGGTCAACGTTCTTGGTAAACCAAGACACGACATTGTATGGAACATCACCAGCATAGTGACTCAAAACAAACTCCTTCTCATTGAATCGAGAAGTCTTGAATTGTTTCTTAGTACCATGGTTCTTGTTGATTTCACGAACGAGACCTTCCTCCGATTGTTGAGCCATGAAAGTCTGTTGATCCAAAATAGCCAAAATACCCAAAGGCTTCTCAATCAAATCAATGGTAGGTTGTAAATCCAAACCAAAGTCAATGAACTTCCATTCAATCTTTTCCTTCAAGTATTCTTCTTGTTCCTTCTTGAACATGTGGTGATTGAAGAATTGTTGAAGTTTCTCATTGGTATAGTTGATACACAATTGTTCAAAGCTGTTCAATTCAAAGATTTCAAAACCAGCAATATCCAACACACCAATAAAGTTCTTAATCTTCTCTTTGGAGGTCAGGGATTGATTGATGGAACGGACCAACCAATCAAACAATCGATTGTACATACTCTTCACGAGAGCATTACGATTGAAACCAGCTTGAGCCACATTGACGTGAGTTTCAATGATATCTGTTGGAGTTACAATGTTAGGCTTCATGAAACCCTTAGCCAAACCATCACTATCGACACCCAACAATTCGGCAGCAGTGTTGAGAGGAGAACGATCAGGCAACATACTCAAATCATTCTCATCATTCACGAATTTACAGTTACCTAAATGGAGAATGGAGGCGACCATTCTACAAGTGGCATCAATGTCCTCTTCGGAGATACCAATGATACGCATGGATTTGAGAGTTTCTTGGAATTCTTGAGCATCATTGATACCAACGACACTGGTACATCCCGATTGATTCACATAATGGTATTGATTCACATTTTGTAAGTGATACTTGTTACGAGATTGAGCATCAGACAAGATTTGATAAAAGAAGTGGAAGTTACGTTCATCAGGAGCCTGAGCAACGACACGAGTTGTCTCTAACAAGTAGTGTTGAATCTTGGTACCAGCAATGTAACCACTCACATTGAAATCAACTTCAATGAATTTACCGAAACGAGAAGAGTTGTTGTTACGAATCGTCTTGGCGTTACCAAAAGCTTCTAACAAGGGATTGGTTTGCAACAATTGTTGTTCCAATTTACCAGCACCATGAGAAGAACCAGCTGTAGAGGTGAGGTATTGAATGATCTTTTTCGTGTTCTCAGTTTTACCAGCACCAGATTCACCAGTGACCAACATGGATTGATTGAGTTGATTTTGTAACATTTGTCTATAGGCAACATCAGAAACAGTGAAAACGTGTGGTTCAGCATCTTCTCTACGCTTTCCTTGATGCTTTTTGATGACTTCATCAGTATAGATTGGCAAATTCTTGTAGGGATTGACAGCAACCAAGAACAAGCCTGAATATGTATAAATCTTGTCATTATCGTAACGCTTCTTCAAGTTGAAGAGAACAGAAGGTTCATTCAAGTGAGACAATCGAGCCATATCTTCAATACCAGTCAATTTTGGAGGATTCATTGGAAAGACTTCTTCAATTGGGAATGTTTTCTTATCACCAGATTCAGTCTCAACCACAATTTCCTTTCCTTTACGTTCCTTGATTTCTCCAACTTCAAAGGCTTTACCTTCTTCCACACTCGAACATGGAACCCACATGAAATTGGCACCACTGACTTTCCAGTTCGATTCATCGGATTGAGCATCGACGAGTTTAGTAAACAAATTGGCAGAGGATGAGGTTTTGGATCCTGCAGCACCACTAGCTCCAGAAGCACCAGCACCACCACGAGCTCTTCTTCTTCTTGCTGATTCATCACCAGCTCCTTGTGTGCTTGGGTCAAGAATTTGATCTTCACTCATTTTGGAAAGGTGTGTTGTTATGGTGTATGTTCAAGAGTCTTGATAATAATAGTGTGATGTTCAAAAAACACAAGAGTGATAATAATAATAGAAATGGTTGTAGTGTTGTGTTCAACTACGACTACTAATGATTCTGTGGTAGTGGGGAGAATGTGAAAACAATGTATTAGACACGAGTAGTAGTAGGAGTTTGGGATACGTGTGTAAATACAAGTGTTGTCTCTTTTTTTTGATGATGTGAATAAAAAATTTGATTGGTGATGCTCCAGAGAGAATGGTGATGGACGGGTGGCTTTTGAGTGAGCACTCAATAAAAAATGACGAGTATCGAGTGACACATGACTTGTTTGCTTCAAAATGTGTGAATGGATGATGGGTGAGGAGGATGATGAAAGCCAAAGATATTTTTCACAATGCGTGTCCTTATTTATAATTGAAAATCCTTTGGACCAAAGATGACATGGAGTGAGATATCTTGTTCTTGTTGTTGTTAATGAGAGGTATTCGAGCTCGTCGACTACCATAACAGTTTAAGCACATTATATATTCGTGCCTTAATATCTCGAATGATTAGAACAGCGTGTGCGCACCATGCCCATCCACACACACACCCTCAAGAGCAGCAAATGGTCATTCATAAAATTTGCAATAATAAAAAAATCAACAAAATTTGCAATAATCAAAATAAAAATCAACAACATTTTCAAAATAAAAATCAACAAAACTTGTCCTTGATACAACAACAACAAAATCTTTACAAAACAAATTCCATTGGTTTCAACTTGTCAGAAACAGTAAAACTAGCTTCAGTCTTTGATCTAATTTCATCCACACTCACACCTGGGAAATGTTCCACCAATACCAATCCATTGGGAGTACAATCAAAAACAGCCAATTCAGTAATGACACGATTCACAACTTGCTTACCAGTGAGTGGAAGAGTACACTTTTTAAGAATCTTTGGAGCATTTCCTTTAGCAGTATGTTCCATAGTGACCACCACACGAGATCCACTTGAAACCAAATCCATAGCACCTCCCATACCCTTGACCATCTTTCCTGGAATGATCCAATTAGCCAAATCACCATTTTCACTCACTTGTAAAGCACCCAAAACAGTCAAATCAATATGACCACCTCGAATAATACCAAATGAATCAGCAGATGAGAAGGTAGAGGATCCAGGAAGAGTCGTGATCGTCTCTTTACCAGCATTGATCAAATCAGCATGTTCCTGACCTGGTGTTGGATAAGGACCCATTCCCAAAATACCATTCTCAGATTGTAACGTAATGGTCACACCCTTTGGTAAATAATTGGAAGCCAAAGTTGGAATACCAATACCCAAATTGACATACATTCCATCTTTGAATTCGAGTGCAGTTCTACGAACAATACGTTCACGAGTATCCCATTGAGTCACATCATTGATGGATTGAGTCATGGATTGAGATGATGGTTGAGATGATGATTGAGATGATGATTGAGATGACGATTGAGAATCCATAACCTTACTCAATGTTCTCTTTTCAATTCTCTTTTCATAAGGTTCAGCAAGATAAATTCGATCCACAAATACACCTGGTAAATGAACTTGATCTGGATCAATTTCACCTGGTTGAACCAATTCTTCAACTTCAACAATACAAACTTTACCAGCTTGAGCACACATTGGATTAAAGTTACGTGCTGTTCTACGGAATATGACATTGCCATGAGTATCTGCCTTCCATCCCTTCACAAGTGCAAAATCACCTCGAATCCATTCTTCCATCATGTATGGTTTACCATTGAATTCACGAACTTCACGAGGTTTGGATGCAATTTCAACTTCTTTTGAATTGGGTTTGAATTTAATTGGAAATCCTCCTTCTTGAATGACTGTGTGTGTTTTTTTGGAGGGTATTTGATGTGTGTGTTTTTTTGGAGGGTATTTGGTGTGTGTGTTTGGTTTTGACCAAGTGTTGATTCAATTGGTACACACAGATTCAAAAATGCCAACACAATGCCCACATTCGTTAAAAATGAAATTGCAGTCATTCCAATCACATCATCATCGGAAACAAGATACCAATTCAATTCAAAATCCAATGACAACACTTCAACTTACCAGTTCCAACTGCAGTAGGAGTAAAGAATGCGGGAATACCAGCACCACCAGCTCTCAATTTTTCAGCCAATGTTCCTTGTGGAAGTAATTCCACTTCTAATTGACCACTCAAATACAACTTTTCAAAGGTAGCATTTTCACCCACATACGAAGATACCATTCTCTTAATTTGACCATTCGATAAGAGAATACCCAATCCCCAATCATCTACACCACAATTATTAGAAACAACTGTCAAATTCTTGGAACCTTTTTCACGGAGAGCTTCAATGAGCTTTTGTGGAGTACCACAGAGACCAAATCCACCCACACAACTGTTGAGAGGATGGAGATGATATTCGTATTATTGTAGTATTATATCACACACAATATGTAGAGGGTATCAAGAGGATGAACACCAAATATCATCAGTTTCACACGTTGGTATACGTGTCATCAAACGAGAGCATTTGAAAAGTTTCATGTGATGGATATATCATATTCGAACATGTATTGATCCATCGAAGAATGATCACAAGTGAAATATATTGAGGTCATCATCATCATTCCATGAATATTAATATTATAAAATATTTATATAATTGATAAAAAAATAAACACATACAGTGTAGCACCATCAGGAATATCAGCAACAGCTGTCTTGGCATCTTTCACGACCTTGTTAATGAAACGTCTTTGAGAAGAAGCAAATAGATGATTCGAGGTGGTGGTGGTAGCCACAGATCTTTTAATGGCCGATGAATTGGAGAGAAGAGATTTGAACATTTTTTACGGTGTGTGTTTGTTGCTGCTATTGGATTCGATGGTGGCACATAAGGCTTCGTGCTCCGTTTTTGAAAATTCAGCGAAACTAAACGATTAAAAACGCGAAAATATTTCGCGAATTCATGTGTTGACGACTGGGAATATTAATGAGGATCTTGTTGTGTGTGAAATTTGCACAGGGACATTTTAGTGAACCACCACAGGTCTTTTTAAAACTTGGACCTGTGTGCAAGCGAGAAAGATAAAATAAGACCTGAGCTAGTTCAATGCGGATGGTGCATTTCGTAGTGTTGTGGAAATTTTGGCAGTTCCATTCTTTTGCTATTGAATTCAATCCAATAATCAATAAATCACACACATTCACACGATTATAATCCAGTTCAAAAATCGAAAATATAAAAAAATGACAATACGACTTGTTGTTGCCACCCTCATGGTCATGTTCGTCGCATCAACAACGTACTCAATGACCTCCGCATCATCACCCGACATGAAAACTCTCACTCCTTCTCAACTCTGTAAACTCTATGGTTGTCCAAAAGGTTATTCCAAACAAATGGATTTTGATGCTAATACTTGTCATTGTGTCAAACAAAAATGTCCTTCCTTGTCATGTCTTGCCACCATGAAATGTCGATATGGATTACAAACAGATTCCATCACACATTGTCCAATTTGTAAATGTAAAACTGTGGATCAAGAACTTTCAGATTTATTTGAAATTGTCAAGGTGAATGCATGTCCTCCATTGTGTCGAATGTATTGTCGATTTGGAAATCAGAGAAACAGTGCAGGATGTCCAATTTGTGCTTGCAATCCAGAACCAACTTTGGAATAATTGATGAAAAAGAATTTATCATTTCCTTGTCCTTTGAAGGAGAGAAGTATGTCAATAATGATCATCAAACAATACATTCTTAGTGCAAAAATTTATGTATAAATAATAATGATTTTGGTACCATTTATTATGGCTGTTCGTGCTCCAAATTCGAACAAAGCATTTGTCGAGCTCTTAAATAGAGTGAATGCATCTGTATGACAAGAAAGGTGGAGCCTTAGATGAGGGTTTGATTCATGTGCGTTTGATTACTTTTACAACACATGCAACAGATTAAATTTCAATGTTCTAATGAAAATCTTCATACACCCACCCCAAAATCAATATTTCTTGACACTTATTTAAACAATCACATGTTATGAATGTAGGTGGTAAGATGAATGACAAAGAGTAGTGGTTGAAGGAATCCATATAAGGGTTTGACTCATTCTTTATCAAATTTCAGCGAATAATAACCAACAACAAGATGTAAAGCATTAGATATTGTTACTTTAATTGTACATTTCCATTGGATTGCAATTGGAGCTGAGTAAAGTGAGGAATATTGTTGTGCATACATGGAGTGATTGTTGTTGTTGTTGCTGATGAAGAATTCGAGTTGGATGTCATATAACCTTGGTTCTGGTTATTCATAACTGCTGATTTGGATGATACCAAGGTCATCGGTACAAAGGAATTGTTGGTGAATTGTGGAGTAGTAGTAGCAGTGGTAATGAATTGAACGAATTGAGGAATGGATACTTTTTGTGCAACTTGTTGTTGTTGAGAAATTGAAACTACTTGTTGTGGTGATACTGATGTTGGATGCATTGCTTGTTGAGGATGTTGTTGAACATTCAAACAAGTTGCATTGTGTTGGTTCACATTTGACGAGGCCATGGACAACCTTAATACTTGTGTTGAGGAATGTTGTTGTGGTTGTTGTGGTTGTTGTGGTTGTTGTAGAGGAGATATTTGTTGTGGTTGTGGTGGTTGTTGAAATGAATCATTATTCACAACCACATGATTCGTATTCACACTCATACTACTACTATTACTATTATTACCACTATTATTAACATTCGAATCCTTCGTTTCATGAGCCATGAGAGTGAGTGCATTCCAAATACTATCACTCATGATACTGGACATGGATGAATGATGTTTACAAGTGAGTAATGCTACTAGTAATTCATAGACAGGTCTTTTCAATACAGAGATGATGTGTGGTAATTGTAACAATTCGAAAAGACTTTTCGGTAGTGTGAGGTCGTGGTGCTGATGGTGCTGATGAGGTGGTTGAGGGTCACACGTCGACGAACTCAAGATGGATGATGATGACTCGAATGAAGGAATTTGTGAGGATGGTACTGTGAGTGTGGTGGCGGTAGTGTTCACACATGTGACTGAATTTGAAATCCTTGGTGGATTCATGTCATTGGGTTGTTGGTATGGAATAGAATGGTGGTGATTAGGAGGATATTGCATCGAGTTATGTTGTTCTTGGTGTGATGATGACAATATTGGTTGAGATTGTTGCAACAATACATCCTGATTCATCCACATACTCTGATCCACACGTGCAATGCAATTGTTGGTCATTCCAGTAGTAGACTCGTGAGGAGTGAGAGTTTTTTCAATTCTAAATGTATTGTCATGCCCTTTCACAATAGGAATATCGATACCTGGATGTATAATATTTTCATCATTTCGATGAGAAGGGCAACTTGACTGAGAACATGACACTTTCTTCTTCTTCTTTGGTTGAAATTCATTCTCATGAAAAGTAAGTGTAAAAGGCTTGATGGGTTGTGTCTTTTTTGGTAAATGATCATTATATACAAAGGTAAGTGGACCATTGTTGGTCATGACTGGAGTTGAAGTAAGTGGAGTTGAAGAAATACTAGTACTGTTGTTCTTTTTCTTCTTCTTTCTCATACTATTGTTGATCAATTCTTGTTTCTTTTTTGAGAATAAAGTAAAGGGTGAACTTTCTGCCAATATTAGAGATTCATTCAAGACAATTCGTAAAGAACAAATTTTTCGCTGATTCTTTGAGGAGGGAAGTCTTGGAAGAGTGAGAATACCTTCTAATAAGTGAGGATTGTAAGTGAGTTGATCATGACTTGAAGGACTATTTGTTGTTGTCAACGTATGAAATGCATAATGTAATGGAATGGAGGTACAGACCGAGTTGGTATTGAAATTGAACAATTCACATCGTAGGGATAAAGACTTGTGGTCATTCCATTGAGTGAGTTTTCGTTTGAGAAACTTGACTAATGGAAGGGCATGAGTGGGAATGGTTGGGAATGTTGTACTAGGAGGAGTAGTAGTAGTAGTAGTTGTACTTGTCATGATGGTTGGATGTAGAATATCAGTGGACGACTGTGTGTGTTGTTCATTTTCGTTGTGATGTCTATCATTCCTATTTTGACTTGGTTCATTCTTGAGGACATTGTTGTTCCACCACAATGAACTTGAATGGATTTCTTGAAATAACCATATCAAGGCTTGATGAGAAGAGGAGACTCGAATCTTGTCCGCAACATACAACTCGAGTGGAGTATGATGCGGTGGCAACAACTCTTCTCTTTGGTTTTGGGCACTAGTAGAAGTAGCATGTGAGTGTTGTTGCACACTATTAAGAGAGTCCATAATTTCAGCGTGGAGTGTTGTTGGGCCAACCGATTGATGACGCAACTGCTTCCATTCAATCAAGAAGAATGGAGTGGAATCTTCATGGATGGATTCTCCACTACCATCTCCATCACAGTGATGATTCATTGGTGCTGCAAACGTAGTACTAGAAGGCTTGTGGTGGCATGATGACAACGCCTCCTCCTCGACATCATTTACTATTATGCTTTCTTGTATTCTTCTTTCATGAGGTAAATTCTTCTCGTGGCTCGACTTGTCATTATCATGATTGGAGGTCGTAGTCATTGTCATGGCAGAGAATGTTCTTTTCACAGCAGCATTCGGAGTGCAAGGCTTTTGCACGAGATTACACGGCATTATATCTCTTGTGGGTAGAAGAGATGAAGCTGTCATGAGAATACTGTGTTGCAGCTGTTGTTGTTGATTGGCATTGATGACTGTGGTCAAAGAGGTATTGTTCCTTGTCGTGACTCGTTCGATCTCTTCTTGAGATGTCATCGATAGAGAAGGCTCTTGCTGTGGTTGACTAGCGCTTGACGAAGAAGAAGGCTTTGTGTTTCTTCTTGTGGTGTTGCCACCCGAGTACAGTCTAAAAGTTGAGGGCAATGGGAGAGTCTTTGAGGTGAACATTTTTTCTCAACAACACTCAATAAGGATTTAAATACGCAATGGAGTGACGACGCAGCACGAGCTGCCTTGTTGTTGAAATATGTCAAATTCATGATTCAGCCGAAACTGGAAAGATGCAGTGTCTATTGTGTGTGTTGTAAACTCGAGAATTCGGAGTAATATAGACATGCTGCATCTTTTGCATCTTTCCAGGTTCGGCTGAATCATGAATTAATAGATATAAATATCTCAGTCCTTAAAGAGACTGTTCCTACGTTTGTTGTTATAGTAAAAAAATTGACCAAGTATGAGAGCACTAAAGATCAAGGTAAATACACTTCCTACAATAAATGGTAATACAGATACAGTATCAAAATATGAATGTGGTTGTTGTGCGTAGAATACAATAATACTAGATATATATAGAATTTGAGTGAGACTATCAATTAAAAACATGAGAAGCTATGTTGGAAACCATTCGTTGGTTCCAGAGTGATGTATGGGTGAGCGTCATGCCAATTGAGACATGCATTTTGAATATATTCACATTACCCAAGATATGATAACAAGAATTTCATCTTGAACCACTTACAGATAAGCCTTTGACACTCTTCTTTTTGAAATTTTTGTAAATTTGAGGTACATATGCCATGATGTAACAAATACATGAAATGTAGGAACAAGTAATTCCCAATGCATACATTGAGTTGTCAGAAGTAGTTTGTTCGCAATTATTGGCTCTTCTTGTATTCCATTGAAGATGAGATTGAGCCCGTACAAAAATGGAACTCCACATTTCCTCTTCTTGACTCTGAAACATCCAAGCTACCAATGTTGTCATGATGAATAATTGAATAAGAGCATGAGTATTCAACAAAGTATAGGACCGAGTGTTCTGTTCACTACTAGATGTAGACCGATGAATGCTCTGTTTCAACCTATTTCCACTACAAATTTGATGATTCATTGTGTAAAATATTTCTTTCCACTTCTCAATGACATCTTTCCATCGTACTTCATAATAACAATATTGTGAAATGATCATGACATCCATGGACACATAATAAATTGCTAAATAGATTTGAGTCGATAATTGATTTGTGAAAATACATCCAATTAAATTCGTTACATCTCCAATCATCCAAATAATAAATAAATGAATACTCAATCCCGATGCTGATTGAAATACATGATTTTTAATAATTTGTGGAAATAAACTAATCATGCTCATGATAATGCTCATCCAACCTAGAATGTAGCTTGCAATGTCACTCTCTGAATAGAGACATTGTCGGAATATTAGTGCCAATGGAATGTTGTAATGATTTTTTCCTTTCATGTGCGGAAAACATTCACAATAAAAATTTGGAAATACATGGTAAGAGTCGTGAATAGTGTGTGCCAATAACATTTTTTAAATCGATGTCGATCATGTCGCAAAAGGTAGGCCCATACACACATGCTCAGAAGAATTTAGCAGGTGTGGAAAAGAGATTGCAGAATTTTACCCTAACAAATGTTTATGAAAATCATCACAAACTCCTCATTGTACCACCACTGTAGTACCACCTACATGAGATGGTGTAGCGTCATGTTCTTTCACAACGTTCGCATCATTTCTGTTCCTTCTCTTGTAAAATAAGAATTGAAAAAGAATACAAACACTGAAAAACCATGTGAAAAAGCTACCAGCCAAATATGGCACAACAGAAAGAGCATCAAAGGATGCATTTGGTTGAGCATAAAAAACAATAATACTAAGCATGTATAACAGTTGATTGCTGGTATCAATTCCAAACATTAAGATCTATTGGTACATCATCAAAGAGTATTGTATCAAATAATTTTATGATGAAATGTTCTTGCAAATTGATCACATAAAGTACTTACAGAGAGGCCTTGAACACTCTTTCTTTTATAATTCTTATAAACTTGAGGTGTCATTGCAAGAATATAGCACAGGCAAGAAATATAAGAACAAGTGGTTCCAATAGCAAAAATTGCCAATCCATTATCAGGTGGAGGTGGAGAACAATTTGGAATCTCATAGGAGACCTTTGCTTCCTGAGCGTTTGAAAATTGAGCAAAATTTGAAATTAATAACTGTACAACTAGTAAAATAGCGATCGTTGAAGACAAATAATGTGATTTGAGTTGACAATGAGGTGTTGATAGATGGCTTGTACTAGTGGTATTATGGCTTGTTAATGATTGAAACGACATGTTGAAAATATTGTTCGCTGTCGTTTCTTTGATGGTAGACATTTCATGACATGGTTCTGCACTCTGTTTTGTAATGTGCAGTTTTTGAAATAATTTAGAAAGGAATGCCTTGAACTTTTTCTTGTTGAACTCATAAAAAGTATACTGAGAAATGATAATGATATCCATGCATACATAATAGACTGCCAAATAGAGCTGAGTTGCCAGTTGATTGGTGAGAATACATCCAATTAAATTTGAAACATCTCCAACAAACCAAATCAGAAATAAATGAATTGAAAGCCCTGCTGCTCTTTTCAAAACAAAGTTCTTAATAATTTGTGGAAACAGACTAACCATACTCAAAATGATGCTCATCCATCCAAGTATATAACTTGTAACATCATTATTGGTATAAAAGCATTGTCGAAAAATCAAGGCTAGTGCAACGCTGTAATGATTTTTTCCTTTCATATGAGGAAAACATTCGCAATAAAAATTTGGAATGACTTGTTGCAACATTTTTTCAAGAGAATAATACGTTGGAATTAACTGATATTCAACGTTTTCAATGATGAAAATCAAGTGATGCTCAAGCTCATCAAAATCCAATGCTGAGAAATAACAATTCTCATTAACGCAGTGAAGGCTCATCTCATTGGTCCGCTCAATGGCACGTGCGTCATTGATCGTTCATCGTGATGATGCTCATAGGAAATTTTTACATTATGACAACGGTGTAAATGTTTTGATGATTAATTTTCCTGTAAGCCTTTTCCTGTAAGCCATTTCCTGCACCCAACACGCGTGGCGGTTCAATCATTTTTTTCAGCTTTGAAATTCGTTTCCCTGGAATTTTTTGTTTGAATTAAAAATGCTTAGCTTGACTCCTTCTTCTCATCATCGTCATCATCACGAGAAGAATAATGACGATGGAGGCAACATCAATACTGAATATCCCAAGATAAAACAACCTCCTCCCCCATTTGAAATTTGTCGTAAATCCATACCCAGATCATTGGTATCCAGTCATAGAGGACAATTTTCCTCCGATGGAACCTTGTCTTTTATGATTCATCCAAACAAGAGACAAATTAATATTATTGATACGGAAACGAGTCAATTGATTAGCACTTTTTATCATGATAGGAATGATTCATCATCCGTAATAGAGTCTTGTTGTTTTTCAAAACACCAACACAATGATGTTCTCTATTGCTTTACAAATGATAAGAAATTATTGTGTATTGACAGCTTATCAGGAAGAAAATTATTTTCAGCTCCGATTGAGAATGATGATGATGATGATCAGGTTATCTTCTCTCAATCCATTGCTACAAAATTTCCAAAACGAGCCAAACATGATGACATGAGCGATGATGACTCTTCTTCTTTCATTGAGTATCATGTCGTTGTTGTTGCCAGTAGTACAAGGCTGGGAATGATTGACCACAAAACTAACACAGATATCACGTGGTTTGCTGATTTTGAAAGCCCTCTTTCATCCATACATTATTCAAATGACTTGAGATTGCTTGTTTGTGGATTCAATTCAGGACAAATTTCGTTCTACAAAATTCTAGGAGAAGCAGAGCCAGAATCCATTGATTTGGTTTTTAAGCAATATTTGAGTGAAAGACCTATCACTAGTTGCACAATTACTAATATTGGCAGAAATCATGATTTTTGTCTTGTGATTGGTACTGACTCAACTCTTTTGGATCTGTTCTATTTTTCGGATTACTTTAAACAATGCGATTTAAGCCAATCTATTGATTTGTGTAAAGTATTTGAAACCAACTCGGTTATGAACCTACAGCTCAAAACTATTCAGTTCAAAACAAAACACAACAGAAAAGATTCATCCGTGGCAATCATTGTATGCAATGACAGTAATGATCTATTTCATGTTGGAGTTTTTGACATGAACTCTTGGATCAAATCAGAAAAAGTTTTAGAAAAATCTCTTCAGGACTATACTGCAGAAACAGCGCTATGCTCGTCATTATTGTTAGATATTTTCATTGAGGAGTCTTCCATTATTTATAGTCCAACTTCCATCTCATTTACTCTGACCATTCTCTCTCAAAAAACACTATTTAATATTACGTATGAGAATAGAATGAATTTGGCAATACAAGAAGTTGCGCAAAGAAATGTAGAAGATATTGTCAATCGAGATAAGAGAAGAAGATTGATTCAAATGTGCAAAGAAAGAGGATTAACACTAGCAAGCGATTTGTTTAACATTAACACAATCTTTGACATGCTCTATGATCAATCTCTTCTCTCTGTATTGGTTGAATACATTCAAGGAACTGTTCCAAACACTGATTCTAATTTGATACATCACGATGACATTTATAAAGTATCAACAGCAGTGAATCAAAGATTTGCCATTCATGACATTAAGGATATCATGGTTTGGATCAAACACAAAAAGGAATTTGAAGAGAAGAAACTTCATGAATATCTCAATACCTTTATGGTAAGAACAGATGCAAGTAGAACCATTCCACCACTTGTCATTGCTGAGACTAGAAACAAAATCTCAATGTCCATTCAAAGACTGAACTCTTTACGATTATTAATTTCAGCTGTGATTAATAGAGCAAAATTGATGGAGGATGGAGCGACTTCTGATGTATACATTCCAAGTCTTGTGAGTTATGATCATCATATTCGATCCATTGCAGAGTATGCACGAGTGGGAGAATGGTTCTTGGAAATTGGTTTATTACCAATGTCTGCTAATCTATTCAATACTTCAGCGTTGGAAAAGGAATGGAAAGATCGGTTATTAAATCCATTCCCTCCACTTTCTGAAATTAACATTTCAAGACAAGAATTTCATGCGATTCATGAATTACTACGATTAGAGTCAGTGAACTCGGACATGCATCCAACATTCAAGATGACCGATCAAGAGAATATCACTTCAAACAAGATGAACGATCAAGAGAATATCACTTCTACTACTACTGCAAGTGCTACTACCACTACCACTACTACTACTGCAAGTACTACAAGTGCTACTAACACTACCAATACCACTACTACTACTACAGAAGAAAAATTCTTTATCCATCTTCTACTCAAGTATGCATGCAAAGAACCAATGGAATATCCACCCAAAGATTTATCGCATTTTATCACTTGTCTATTTAGGGAAGAACCTCTCAATGATGATGCTTTCATTTACAAACATCTTGCCATGTTTTATTTCATCATTGATTATCTTTCACATGGAATTGGTAGCCATGCAGCAGACAATAACACGACCACTAAAAAGCTCAACAGTTATGCAAAATTATTCAAGATCACAACACCATGGCAACATCTTACATTCAGTTTGTGGCTTTTAGATACAAAGAGAAGTAATGATGATCTTCTCAATGAAGCTGTTCAATATGCTTGTTGTAGTTTTGCTGCTCCAAATAATGGACTCAAACATAGAGCTTGGAATTATGATATTGCTAAAATATTGGTCAAGTGCTCATCATTCAGTGCTGCGAATCGACTTTTAGAATTTTCTACTAGTGCCATTGAGAGTGAAGTGTTAAAAACAATCATTTATCTCACCAATGACATGGTTCATTTGGCTTTTCAAATGCAACGAAAATTGAGTCACATGGAAGAACAGAGAAGAAATGTATTCTTTTGCATTCTTCACTATTCCTTGTTGGGAAATTTCTTCTCGGACTTGTTAACAACATTCCCATTTGATGAAACTGAGTGCTTATGGATTGAACTATTTTTGAAAAATAAGAAGAATTATGATCTACTGTTCTCGTATTATATTTTAAATAGTAATTATGTGGATGCATTCAATCTCTATAGTTGGATGTTAAATAGTTATACCTCAACAACACAAGCCATAGATGCAAGAACATCTTACCTTGATCTCGTTCGTAGTATTATTCCACCTATTCAACTTCGAGCATTAGAGCAACAACTTGCAACCATGCCATCGAGTACTACTACAACCATATTCAAACAACTTGTATTGAAACCAAGCTTGAAACATCCATCACGATTATTCTCTGAACGCCCAACACTTACACAAAAACCTAAAAAGATCAAAACAGATCATGTCGCTTCCATGACATCATTTAAGGCATGGTTAGAAAATACTACCAAAGATACGACCATTCGTATTCCTTCATTGTTTGATCATGCTCCAAAATGGAAACAACATCGTCCAAAGAAAACTGCTGCTCCACAACTCTCCTCTCAAAATATGAGACTACCAAGTGAACACAAAATCATTGAAGAGAGAAAAAAGACATCCACAGCAGAGGAAGAAGATCACATGTTGGAAGAAGAAACGAGCACCACTTCAGAAAGTGAAACCTCACTGACCTCTTCAGAAGCATCCTCTCTCGAAGATAAAATCCCTGCTGAGAGTAGTACGAGTAGGGGCGTTTCAACATTGAGACCTCCTCCTCCTCAGTCACGACAATTGGCAATGAAAACATTACCTCCTAAAGCGTCACCAAAATATTCAGAGCCTTTAGAAATTAGTGATGAAGAAGAAGAGGAAGGAGAAGCGTATGATGAGGAGGAAGAAACGAATCAAGAAGAGAATGAATTAGATCAAATGCATGACGAAGAGGAGGAACAACCAGTCTCAGTTCGAAAGGAACCTGCTTTTAGCAACATTTTTGATGAGGAAGAGAACACAAAGGGTTCTCCCTCTCACAACTCTGAGTCTGGAGAGGAAGAAGAGTCAGCAGAAGAAGAAACTAGTGTTATTGAAGAATAATAATTGTCATTTATGATTTTCATTAAATCTCAATCAGCCTTTTACTGAATCAGAGACATAAATCTTATCGATCAGGAAACAATTTTTCGAATTCAGCTAACACTTTGGACTTGTCAATCCTTGAAAATTTGAGTCCTTTCCATTCTGCAATGCTGTGAAAAGCATCTCCATACGATGATGTTTGTTGTTGAATTTCAATGACTGCAGAGGTGGAAGGAAGAAAGAGAGACAATATCAATTTGTCACCTTGACCGATCAACAAGGAGCTTTGAGTAGCGAGTTGTAATTGTTCTTTGATGGTTAAGGAGGCAAACTGTAGCGCCAGTTCAATACCAGTTCGTTTAGAGAGAGTGTTCTTAACATCCTCATCGTCCAACGCTAGAATAACAAGAGGCTTTTCGGAGGTTCTTTTAGCGTGCTTTTCAATCTTGAACGTTTGTAGCAATATGGAAGCAAAATTATTGATCAAAGCTTTCATGTTACAATGTTCGTTTTGCTCAATCGTCGATTTTGATGCTAAAACCAATGGTGAAGCATAAACACTTGGTTGAAAGATCACATGTTTGAATCTTACAACTTGATTCATTTCCTTATAAATATTGCTCATGGAATTCACACTCTTAAAAAGTGATTTCCATAATATATCAAACTTGGATGGTTTGTGATCATCCATAAATACAATATCCAGATGTTTCCAATTTAAATCAAAAACCTCTGTCAATAAATACGTGTTATATAATTCACTCATCACATAGAAAATATTTTCAATTTCGTTTCGAGGACCATTTTCTCTGAAAACTAAAATAGAGACTTCGTTTTCTCGTTTGACAATGTCACTTCTACTTTCGGTTTCTTCAGGATTTGTATCTTTTGAAAAGGATGCAAAAATATCTTTTTGGAAATCTTTAGAATGTGAAGAGATGGTAAATTTGGAATAGTCAAAATCACAATCTAATAAATAGGCTTTAGAATCATATGAATAATATGAATTGGAATTGGAATAGGCACAATTCTCATTTCTATATCTTAAACAGCTCACTTTTCTAATTTTAGATAAATTAATAATTAAATTATTAGCTTGACATAATTTCGTAAAAGCATCGTATTGAATGCATTTTAAGAAACTCGTTCCACTACTCGATGGTTTGCAAATACTTGTTTTGATTCCTTTCAATTCTTGAATTTTGTTGCAATCCACACATTTAGAGCTTGCAAGAGAGTTCTTATTCGATAATTGATCTTTTGAACCAACAGTCGCTGGTTGTAACTTGTTCACATTACAAACAAGATTGAACATAGTTCCTGTTTCTATATCATCTTCTTGATCCACTGAAGTGTTAGAACCATCACTAACAACACCTCCATGAGTGTTAGAACCATCACGGCCATCACTACCATCACTACCACCACCATTGGAAACAACACTTGTAAACCCATCCTTGTGAGTGACAACAGCTCCAATGAGTTTTGAAGCAAAATTTATCGCTTCACCACTCATGGGAGGACCATCATTCTTTTCATCCTCAGAATCTTCTGAATAATCAATCTTTCCATTAAATACTCTTTCAATCACTGGTTTTGTAATAAATTCATTTCTCACAGATGTATCTGCCTTATTTGATATTACTTTACCATGAAATCGTAACATGGAATACATGGCAAATAAAAACCCAATGAAAAATATTAAAATGAGCATTCGAGTGGAGAAGGATAAGCATCGATTTAGCAATGAATTCTGTGATGACGTGGTGGAGGATGAATGAAAAGAGGAATGACTATTCTTTGTATGATGATGTTTGACAATGTTACTGCTGTTCATCATGGGTGCTGTGGTGGTCGTGGTCGTCGTACCAGAGCTACTTGTACTCTCTTCATACGTATGATCGTTATGATTGTCTCTCGGATGTAGTGTTTGCGGTGACAAGTTGTTGTTGTAAAGAAGGGAACTGGAGTGTTGTTGTTGATGGTGAGCCGGCAGAGGATGAGGTGGTGACATTTTTTTATTGTTATCAAGTGATAAGATGCGGGATTGGCTCACTCTCTACTACAAAGTTGTGAAGTATACACTTGGTTGTAGTGGACTGTGTTGTTTTCGCGAGTGTAATCCTAATTACCAAGCTTTATATATTAATTCAACTATTATCCATGATTATTATTAGCTTGGTATTATTGCATGTTGCAGGGATCATTCGCTCGCTCCGTCATCATCATCACCATATCCGCTCACTCCATCATGACGCTCGGAATCATTGAATTGGCTGCTTTCCAGAAATTAACCAAATTATTTGGTAGCTGCACAGATGAGCAATTGCTCACAATAGAGTCTGTTATTACTCACAATGGTGTGCAAATAGGGAGAAGCCTTTACGATACGAGCTCCATTCTCAATGAATGGCATAATGTTATAGATATGAGTGAGGAATCTTCGTTCAATGGCAATAATTGCTAACTTGTTCTTTTTTGAATAATACATGACTTGAATATTAATAATATTTAAACATGATTTCCCGAATAGACTTGAAATTTGTTGATGAAGGCTTGAAAGAAATTGAGTTTTTGAAGTATCAGGAGGACTGATTATTAGTGTTTCCAAGATTTTCAAAATTTATCATTCGACTAAAAGTTCATTCCGATTGGGTGGGATCAACCTACGTTTCAATTTCAATGAAATAAAAATCGGATTCCAATGTCTTTTGTTTCATTTTTTCAAAATGTTTTTAGAGAGAAAGTCAAGAAAAGAAATTTCTATTTTAGTTAATTTATAAACAATGCCAATAACAAACATTCTCAACAATATATCAACAATTCGTTTCTTTCAGTATCTGTACCTTTTACTAATTTATTCTTCTATTTTTCTTCCCTTCCTCAATACCTCAGCTTTTCTTTCGGGTTTTGTAACAACGAATAATTTTGTAAAAATTTGCAATTCCAAGAACAATTTAATATCCTGTAAAAATACCTTTGTCATTGGATTGAATATTGGTGATGAGGGTTTGAAACAAGATTTAAAAATTCATGTCTCTCCCGATCAACCCATTCCACTTGACCCTCAAGATACAGATTCTCATTCGTCGTATTGGACCGTTACTTCGGATGTGGTCATTCAAATAGAACGAAGTGATGTCTATGTACATTTTCCTCTGAAATATGTGGGTTCTCTCCGAAATGCTTTTGAAGATTATCAAATTCAATCACAGAGTTGTCGTGATGAAAGAAGACTCTCAGCTACGGCGACATCCACAATGACTACGATGATCAATGGAATTTGTTGTGGGCCATTACTGAATGCCGATACGGGACAAGTCTATTATGAAACGAGAAGAATTCTCTACAATTCAACCATCTATTCTCAATACACGGTAGGAACTCCCTCTCTGCAATATTCAATTTTCATCACTCTACGACAAGGAGATTTATCCTTTGGAGTTTCTTTAACGAATGAACAAAGAAGTGTCTCAACGAGAGGAATGACTGTCTCTCTAGAGAGTGAAATGTTATTTGATTTGAGAGAATTGGATTTTAGAGAGTATTACTATGTGATTCCAGAAAAACAAAATATTGGTTTTCTCGTACCCAAACAACACATTGGAAATGAAATGAACAAAATTGGAATATCTACGGAAATTTATTTGAGAAATATTGATTGTTTCTATCAGAAAGGCTCACTATTGAGAATTCAAGGCGCCCTTCTCTCCAATGATCCAGCCTCATATAATGATCAATTCTATCCTTTTAGAAATATCAAATTGTTATACAAGAATTCAAATTGCTACTATTATAATCGATATACTGGAAAAATTGTTTACTTTTGCGATAAAACTTTAGGAACAACCATGATCTTTGAATTACCATTTGGGGATGGAACATTCTCTTTGACTAAATTGAAAGGAAATCCTGTGATTGTTTCTAAGGGAGCTTTTCGAAATGATCAAACTGTGAGCGTTTCATTGGACATTTTCAACAATATTGAAACACCAGGATTAATCGATGTTACATTACTTGATTGTTGCTCCACGGATCTTTCTTGCAATGTAAGTAGTTTTCTCATGGTTAAATATGTGGACCATATTTGTATTGTGCAAAAATCATTTTTCATTAATGAACTCATCTGTTGATTACTCATGAAAGAAAACTCAACGACAATACACACAACCAAGAATTGAGGGATTCGACGTCAAGAAAATAATTTTCAACACTTTCCTGACAGTAAGTTCTAACTATATAATTCAGTGACAAGTGTTCATGGTTATTTCACTCCATTTTCAGCTTAGTCGTGGAAAATGTATTCTTCAAGTTGGAGATAATGGCAATATCATGTCTACCATAGAAATACCCTTCGCCTTTGAAGACTCCTCGACAACTGTCAATGAAGATTTTTGCAAAGGTCCTTATCAAAAAACTATAATTGACAATGGAAACGTAAAATGTGAAGCAAATTGCCAACATTCCGATCTTGTCTTTGATTCCACTCAGAAAATTTGTGTTCCTTTGAATTGCAGCGAAAAATATGACAACAAGACAGTTTTTAACTATGCCTCTCTTTCATGTGAAGTTCCAGTCCATTGTGATCTCACGACACAACAGTACAATAGCCACAATAATACATGCCAACCAAAACAAGGAAACTTGCAAGCCACGTCTGATGCAATCCTCAACTCGGCGAATTTTAAAGACAAAATGTTAAAGTTGAATTGTGGCAATGGTTTACAAACGAGCTCTGGAATCATGTGCATGTGTTCTGGACAATATATTTCATATTGGTCCAATACCACCACACGACTTGCCCTTGTTACTCCACTCTGCTCTATTGATTCTTCAAAACAAGAAACCAGTGAAGATGATTCGAGGAGCAATGATTTTTTTAGTTCATTCATGGGAATTCCAGTCGTTGCTCAAATAGTTGCAATTGTTTGTACTTTTGCCTTAGTGACGGGTGTGCTGCTATTGTTATCCATGTGTATCACGTGTTGTTGTTTCAAGAGAAAGACTGTGGAAAAAGCATTAATTGAGCACCGATATGGTAATTTGAAAAGAAAGCGATTCCTCAAATGGTTAAGTGGGGCAGTTTTGTTTTGTGATTTTTCTCGAGAGGAGTATTCTTTTGAAAGTTGTCCAGGAGACAATTTAAAGGTCATGAGCACATTCAACTCTAAAAAGATGAAGCTTTGACCTATAAAGCCATAGTAACAGTGAACAAGTAAATTCCCTTTATCATCATTTGAAAAGATTTGGTTTGAATGATATGCAGTCCGAACCAGTTCCGAAACCAATGCCTCTCAACCTGGGTACTCCTAAGAAGATCCGTCGTATTAATCCTATCAATTTGATCAATGGTTGTTGACCTTCATCAAACATGTAAAGTCAAAGTAAATGGCTTAGATATCCATGACGAATGGTCAAGGATGGAGCGTTTTCTCATCTATGGATTGAAAACCACTTCTCAAAATGCTAGTTTCATCACTCCTTCAGGTCCCGCTTTCCAAAACCTACGCAGTGTTGTAATCAAGTGCTAGGGTTGACTCCTCCAAAAAAAAATTCAAAAATGCTCAACAACTCGCTCAGACTTTTGTCAAAGTCCTCCAAAGGTCTCAAGGGTGGCGTCTTCGCAAATGGTAAGTGGCCACATCATCATCATTAGATGACGATAATAACAACAATGATCATGATGATGATACATTTTCAATAATATTGCACATTTAATACGAACATAAAATGATTGATTTCTATTTTTCAATAATATTATTAACGTTCAGCTACCAAGCGTTGCTACTCTGCCTCCTTCTCAAAGGAAGAAATGGGTGTGTGGAAGAAGGAAAGAGAATCCGTCGCTACTCAAACTTCTCCAAACGACGAATTTTCTGATGACTTCTTGTACTATCTCTCCCAAAATGAATACAATAACTTTGTTGCTGAATGTAAGAAGGCCGGCAAGTTGGATGAAGCTCAAGTTAAAACATTGACTGATAGATACAACAATCTCATGAAGACAAAGAAGGAAATCACTGAAAAATGGGCAGGATATAACAGAGGAAAGGTCTCTCAAATCATTGGTCCAGTCGTCGACTGTATCTTTGAAGGATCATTGCCACCTATTGGTAACGCTCTTCACATGTTGTTGCCTGGTCCAAATGGCCAACCAATTGTCCTTGAAGTTGCTCAACATCTTGGTGAACACGAAGTCAGAACCATTTGTATTTCACCAACTGATGGTCTCTTCAGAGGTAAGGAATTGGTCGATACTGGTGGTCCAATCACTGTTCCTGTTGGTCGTGAAACTCTTGGTAGAGTCTTGAACGTTTTGGGTGAACCAATTGATGAAAGAGGTCCAGTTAACTCAAAGAACAGATATTCAATTCACAGAGAAGCTCCAGTCCTCTCTGAACAAACCACACAAGACGAAATCTTGGTTACAGGTATTAAGATTATTGACGTTTTGATCCCATATCCAAAGGGAGGTAAGATTGGTTTGTTCGGTGGTGCCGGAGTCGGTAAGACTGTCGTTATCATGGAACTTATTAACAACATTGCTAAGAAGCACGGTGGTTTCTCTGTCTTTGGTGGTGTCGGTGAGAGAACCAGAGAAGGTACTGACTTGTTGTTGGAAATGATTCAATCTAAAGTCATTCAATTGGAAGGAGATGGATCCAAGGCTGCTCTCGTCTATGGACAAATGAACGAACCTCCTGGAGCTCGTGCTAGAGTTGGTCAAACTGCTTTGTCTATTGCCGAATATTTCCGTGATGAAGAAGGACAAGATGTGTTGCTCTTTATTGACAACATTTTCAGATTTACTCAAGCCAACTCTGAAGTCTCTGCTCTCTTGGGTAGAATTCCATCTGCTGTCGGTTATCAACCTAACTTGTCAACAGATATTGGTGAATTGCAAGAACGTATTACCTCAACCAAGAAGGGTTCTATTACATCTGTCCAAGCTATTTACGTGCCTGCTGACGATATTACCGATCCTTCACCAGCTACCACATTTGCTCACTTGGACGCCACAACTGTCTTGTCCCGTCAAATTGCCGAACAGGGTATGTACCCAGCCGTCGATGCCTTGGAATCCATGTCTCGTTTGATCAACCCATCTGCCATCGGTAAATATCACTATGATACTGCTGACGGTGTCAGAAAGTGCTTGCAAGAATACCAAAATCTTCAAGATATCATTGCCATCTTGGGTATGGACGAATTGTCAGATGAAGACAGATTGACTGTCGATCGTGCAAGAAGATTGCAAAAGTATTTGACTCAACCTTTCCAAGTTGCCGAAGTCTTTACTGGTAAGTCTGGTTACTTCGTAGAATTGGAAGATGCTGTTGAGGAAGCCAGAGGTATTATTGAGGGTAAATATGATGAAGTCCCAGAAGCTGCTTTCTTCATGTCAGGTAACATGACAATCATTTTGAAGACAGCCAAGAAGATGGTTGACGATTTGAACGCAAGATTGCTTGCTGATAAGGAGAGATTGAAGAAGGAGGAAGCTGAAGAATAAGTGTAAACAATGTAAATTTAAACTCTGTGGGTTTAACCAATTTTCAACTCAGGAATACCATAAATTAATTAACTTGAGGTTTTTTCATTAAAATATTTGCTTTTCAAAGACTCTCGCTGACGCTCCAAATGATGATGGCGAATACAACCCGTTTCCTAATTGCGTTGTTGTATGTCGACACGGAAGCCAACTACAAAAAAAATGGATAAACCAAGAATCATAGAGCACATCAACAAACCTTTAAATTGGACAGTGAATGATTGCAAGTGGATTCCGAGTAGTGCTCGGTTTATTGCTGCAGGTGGTGTTCCGAGAGGAACTGGTTGTATTCAAGTATACACCCTCACTGAAGATGGAAAAGATGTGAACAAACTGTATGACATTGATCATAAGCATCCCTTTAAATGCTGCACTTTTGAGGCAACAGGCCTTGAAGAAAGACATTTAGCTTGTGGAGATTTTGATGGAAATATTCTTGTTTATGATTTAAACAAACCAAAAAATAATCAACCCTTATTCACAATTGAAAAAGCCCACTCTCAAATAATTAATTGTGTTGATGGATGTGGCCTCAGTTATGGTCCACCCGAAATTGCAACAGGTTCCAGAGATGGTTGTGTCAAAATTTGGGATTTGCGGCTAAAACACAAACCAATAGTGAGCCTCGAACCGCAAGAGTCTGTCAAAGTTGATTGTTGGGCTGTCTGCTTGGGAAATTCATTCAATGCTAACGAACGAGTGTGTGCAAGTGGTTATGAAAATGGAGACTTGAAAATATTTGACCTGCGAACGAACAGTGTTTTGTGGGAAACCAACTTGAAAAATGGTATTTGTTCATTGCAATTCGACCGAAGAGATATCGAAATGAACAAATTGCTGGCAACTACTCTTGAAGGAAGATTCAATGTGTTAGATATGAGAACAAGACATCCAGAAAAAGGATATGCTTGTTTATCTGAGAAAATTCAAGACAGTAATACTTCTACTGTGTGGCTTGGAAGACATTTACCCCAGAACAGGGATGTGTTTTTGGTTGCTTCAGGATCTGGATTACTTTCTCTGTACAAGTAGTAAGTATTACTAATTATTGAATGTTATTGTAAAACTATGTGTCTTTCAAGTAATTATCCATCTGAACGAAGAATTGGAAACCCACCTGAGGGCGTTGTGGGAAACACGATTCTTGTTCAAAAATCGACAGTTTCTACTCAACCAATTTGTTGCTTTGACTGGAATAGAGACAAAGAAGGTCTTGCAGTTGCAGGAGCCTTGGACCAAGCTCTAAGAATTATTGTGTGTACAAAATTAAATTTTCTGTAAACTATTGTCTTCACAAAAACAAACACTGGTTAATTGTTTTATAATTGTGACACTCGAATTAAGGTGGTTAATCCCAAACAATTTCTGTTCCCTTGATGTTGAACACTCTTTCAAAAGGCACAATATTTCCATCAGTTGATTTTGCATTGTGATCATTATAGATGGCAAAAACAATGTCTTCAAATGCACCATCATATTCCTTAATAACAGAGTTAAATAAAGATGCAATATGTGAGGGTGGATTTTCATAAGCTCCACTAAACGAAGACAATGAGTTGTGATTCAGAAAATTATAAATATTAAGATTTTGATCAAATTCCACATATCAGGAGCATAAGTACTTACCAACCCCAAGCACTTAAAATCACTGTGGTAACGCCATTCTCTATTGCCATTGCAAACATAAGTCTCATCTTATTTTTCACATTTTCAATTAAAGATTCATGTAGTTTCTGTCTCGATTGGTCTAACTGTGGTTTGGCGTAGGCAGCCACACAAATCACATCAACATGATACAGTTTTGTGAGGAATGGATAACCTTTGAGTTCACTTCCTCTAATGACAGAAACATTTGGAACATAAACACCACCTTGACAATGTGAAGAAGATCCAAAAGTAAGTTTGTAAATACATGACCTCTGACACTTACCCAATTCAGGTAACGGATATTTCCATTTCCTATCGGTATCCCAATGGTCAACATCTTCCAAAGAGAAGGCAAGACTGGTTCTTCTAAATAAATTCTCTTCTTGAGCTCCAGATCCAGTTTTATATCCTCCTCCAGGTCTCTTTGCTGATGCCATATTCAACACGGCCACTTTTTTCGTTTGTACATTGTGTTCGGAATCTTTATTGATTCCTCCCATTGAATAAATCAATGCTGCCTCCAAACAATCTCCGATCATGATGGAAATGTTAGTTTTGAATGGTTTTGGTGAATTCAAACTTTCCAAGATACATGTTGATGCTGATGGATTGGAATAGAATTTTGTGAGTTTACAACTTTGTTCAAGAGAGGATCTTGAAATTGAAACAGACTTTTCAAAATCTTCTGAGCCATGCGGTTGAGGAGTAAACTGTAAATTTCTAAAACTGTTCAGAGTTTCACTTTGAATGTATTGGCGCAATAACTTGAGATTTTCTTTTTTCTTGATTTTGTAAAGGTCAAAATATTTCAACCATGTGGCTGCGTCGAAGGAATATTTGGAATGATTGCAAAGTGCAGTCATATCCATGGATTGATAGAATTTATCGGGAGTTGGAAATTTTGAAATCATGATGATCAAGGGGACAGACAACTGAGAGTATCGTGGTATTTTTTTGTTGATGGTACCATTCAAGTTGGAATTTGAAAAACGTCAGACACCATTCCAAACAAATTTTATGGAAATACTGTAGTAGTTGTAGCAGTCAAAGTGGAATTCGCCCATGAAGGAACTTGATCGAGATGAACACCCAATACTCCTCCCAGTGCCATGGTTCCCAACACTGCTGAGGCAACTCCAAGTAAACTTAACACCACTCCACTCATGACCATATCTGTTAATTTGAAATGTCCATAACCAAAGGCAAGTGAATTAGGTACGGTTCCTATTGGAGTCATAAACGCTAAGGAACAAGCCAGTGTTGCTGGAGCCATGTAGAGAATAGGATTCTGACCTACTCTGATGGATAAAGTGGCAAGAAGAGGCATTAACAATGATGCGGTTCCAACATTACTTGAAAATTCTGTGATCACATTCACTGCAAAACAAATGACAAGCATCATGAGATAGGGATGAATCTTGCTTGCTAAATCCAATTTTACAACAATTACATCGACAATAAAATCAGAAAATTTGCATTGGTTATAGGCAGCTGCTAAAGAAAATCCACATCCAAGTAGCAAAATAATATCCCATGGCATTTCGTTTTTGACTTGTTTCCATTCTAAAATACGTCCTGTTGTGAATGGAGTGTGTGAGTTTCTTGAGGTTGTTGTTGATTGAATTTGTTGGGAATTGGTGTCATTGTTGTGTTGATCTTTTTCTGATGGAGGATTAAAAGATGGAATGAAAAACAGTAAGGATCCAAGTAAGACTGCCACTGTTCCATCACCAACATACTTCAACAGTGAAGATTTTTCTTTTTCTGGCCGTCCACTGATCCAGTACACTAAATTATTCCATCCAATGTGCAAATTAGAGCCAATTTGAATGTCTCTGGAAACCCACAATAAACACATGACTAAAAAGATAATTGTTAGTAATATTTCTTCATATCGAATTCTTCCGAGAGCCTTATATTGCTCTCTAAAGATATTGGAGGGCTTTTTTGACGATGGAGCAACGGCAACCTCTTCTTGACGAGGCGACACTTCTTCATTCAATTTATCTTCTTCTAATAAGTTAGCAGTACTGCGATAGTTGGATGGTGAATAATTGTTTAGTCCAGTATTTTCTTCCACTGTGTTTGTGCTTTCATGATTTAAAGATATTGGCCTCACAAACAAAATACTGAAATAAATATAGACCAATACAAGAAAGGTTAATGAGAGAGGAAATGCATACAAAAACCATGTTGCAAAAGTCACTGGATCATCATCTGATGTTTGTAAAGCTGGAAACTTTTCATTTAGCACGTGAACAAATATTAAATTTGTTGGTGTTCCAATCTATAATAAAATCATGGGAAATCATAGTACAATTATCTGTAACATGAGTGTTCAATGTTACAATAATTGTTGAACTTACCAATGTAGACATTCCCATAATGGATGAAGCATATGGAATGCAAAGGAATAATGTTTTAGCAAATTTCTGAATTTTAACTAGCTCTTTTTCTCTCTTTTCTATATTAGGATTTTCATTGTTCTTTTTCTTGATACTTGAAACCACTGCATTGGCCATTGGTAATAGCATGGCTGTAGTGGCACTGTTTGATAAAAACATTGAAAGAGTTCCACCAAGCAACATAAATCCTAATAATATTAAAAACGGTCTCATTCCAATTAAACCCAACACGAATAGTGAAAATCTTCGGTGTAAATTCCATCGTTCTAAAGCAATGGTAACCATAAAAGATCCAACAAATAGAAAAGATAACTCTGAAAAGTATGCTTCAGTAATAATTTTGGCGCTTGTAACACCCAATAAAGGGAATAATATTACAGGAAGTAATGATGTAATGGCAATTGGAACTGGTTCAGTTATCCAATAAGTGGCAATCCATATGGTTATACCAGCACATCGATTAATTGCAATTGTAGCTCCAAGTGGAGTCAACATATTACAAAAGAAAGGCAAGGCTAAAACTGGTCCGCTCAACACTCGTAACCAATAAAACAATATTGCTTTGGCTTTTCGTTTTCGTAAATCTGATGGCGATTCGTACGACTTGAAATTGTTGTCTTGCTCATCCATGTTATTATTGTTTGGTGGAAATGATGAGGCTTCTTCTTCGCCAAGTTCTTGTTGTTGATGATCCGAATTCGAATTTTTCATCTCTTCCTCTAGTTCCACGACGGAAATGTCTTTGTATTGGTCATGTATCGGAGATCTCTGCAAGTGGTTGCTGTGGTTGGATTCATTCTGATTCTCATCCAAAAGATCATGTGTGGCCATTTTTTGTATTAAAACCAAGTTCAAATTCCTTCTTGCAAAGCTCTAAAGAAAAGAACACGAGAAGATTTTTCGATTCTCAAATGCAAATTCTCAAACGAAGCTTTTGAGCAAGAGAAAAATGAGAATTAAAAGGTTCCATTCTTGATGTGGTTCGCACAAAGAGCATCTTCATTGTTTTCTTCCAGCGAAAAGAATGAGCATGACAAATTTAGACAGGCGTTAGAAAGTCGAAATTTTTTTTGAAATGCGCATTGAAAAAAAAACATCAACCCATCCTCTCTCCGTCTTGAACCCCTTTTTCACCAAGACTTCCACTCTCTACCATGATGAACACGACGGAACAACAAGAACAACAAATCATAGTCATTAAACAAGCCTTTAGTACGGCACTGCGAGATCTTTTTGAAAAGAATGATCCTAGAAAATATATGAGTGTGGTACAAAAGTTCCATCAACTCAATCTTCAACAATTAATTCTAACTTTTAAAGCCCTTTCACGAATAGCCTCTGAAATTGTACATGCCCGCCCATCTTCCTCTGTATCATCATCATCCTTCCAGAATTCAACGTCGACTACCACTGTAAATTTTCAATTTTCCGATTGCAAAGACTTGGTGCACGCTATTCTTTCCACAAGTACAAAAGTACTCTGTTCTAACAACAAGGAATTACAAAACAGTTTTGATACTCTGTGTTTGGCATTGTACACTACTTCTGCTTCTTCAAGTAGCACCATCAACAATAGTGTTCCTTTACTAGTGTCCAATAACAATGCCTTTGAAAAGAAAAGCCGTCCTCCATCTCATGATCCAACTCAATTCAAAAAAGCCCATGATGTAAAAGTTAGCGGAAGTATTCACGGAATGATCATGTCGTGCATTGTTGAACATTTTCACCCTATTCCAGATTTTGAACTTCAGCGAATTGAAGAAAATAGTGGAGGTATCAAATTAACTCGAGAACTCATAGAAACAATGGAACGAACTAGAAAACAAAATGTACATAATCTCTTGTACAAATTACAAAAAAAGGCTACCAATCAACTCTTGTTTATTGATCAACTCAAGGACAAAATACGGCATAACTATCCTCATGCTTCGTATTCACTTTCTATTCATCGAGCATTTGTTGGAAATTTGTTGAGTTTGGATAAATATATTCCATCTCTCACAAGTTTTTGTTTCACTTTGGTTGTACAGAGTCTTATTGAGATGGATGCTCAACTTGTTGCTATGAATGCTCAGACCGATGGTTCCATGTCAGCATCATCTGGTAACAAGAATAGTGAAGGTGTTGACTTGAAGCATTTAGAAAATGCAATCTTTGATTTTGAGTTTGACGAATCCAACGCAGAAGAAATGCGTATTTATTGTGCAGAAAAGCTTGACTCAATAGTCACTGTTCTATTCGAGTATATCAATGAACGTGCAAACGCTCCTCCTACATCACCCATTCAATTACAACCACGACAGCACAACAAGTACCTTGAGAGTGGAAATAGTGAATGTAAAGGAAAGAACGAATTCATGGATTCAATATTTCACTCAATGATGATTCTCTTCCGAAGCTTCGTACTCAATCAATATCAACTACATTCTATTCAATTCCTCATGTTTTACATTTGCAGCTTCCATGTCAACTATATGGAACGATTTATTAGTTTTTTACTCGGAAATATTTTCAACAGCCAAATCCATAATGAGGTGAGAAAATGTTGTGCTGCATACCTGTCTGGTATGCTGTCACGTGCCAAATATGTCTCAAACACCGTGATTTTGAAGACATTAGGTCAACTATTGAACTGGTGTGACAAGTATATCACTACTTTTGAACAAAGCGTCCAATACTTGGATGTGGAAACACACAGCCTATTCTACTCCATTTGCCAGGGTGTTTTCTATATCCTGTGCTTCAAAATACATCAATTAATTAAGCCAGAAACAGCTGAAGGTGAGGATAACTCCTTGCTTCGAAAAGATGTCAAACAATTAATGGCAGAGAGTCGACAATTTTTCTCACAGTCCCCGATTAAGAAAATCATGTATTCCAAATTTAATCCTTTAAAGGTATGTTGTAGTTCATTCCGACTGAACGGTCATTCATTCTCCACTAATTATTGATACATACAATTTTACACTGTCACGTTGTTGTGGCAACCTGACTTCATTTTGAAACCAAATTAATTTTTTGTACTGCATGTCGCAATAACAACTGGGCGATTAACCATCCGAACGCCTTCGGTGGAATCGCATTTGTGACTTGCCAATGTACAACATTCTCATTATTGTTGCAACATTGAAACATCATGACCATGATCATTCATTGTTGTTGACCGAATAAACCATTTGTGGTTGAACATGACACACCAACAACCATTGGTCGTGATCATACAAACACCAAAACCATTCCAAACCAACGTGCACTCTTTCCTTATTCCATGATATGACTTGACAGATTGTGGCTCAAGACGTGGCAGAAGAAGTTGTTGACGCTTTTTCACGGTATTACCTTTTTGATTTCCACCATGTGTTAGAAGAGAATCAAAACATTGTGATTCCCTTACGTGGTGGATATGGAGGTGTGAATTATCTTGAAAATAACTTCTTTCCGTTTGACCCCTACCTGTTGAGACAGTCAGAAAAATTCATTCTTCCACATTATCAAAAGTGGGAAGGTGGAAATTATTCTGGTGTTGATTTTAGTGAATTTGGGAATTTTAATTCACAAAATTCCATCTCAAGCTCTTCACAAAATAGACAACAGGACTACTATGGTGGATCCTCGTCGTCGGTTGGTCACTCGAACAACATGATGGATGAATGGGATCGATTAAGGAACATGAATCACAATTCCAATCACAGAAACTCGGAAGCAAATAATTTTCTTTTCGAGTCATTGCACTCACCTCATTCCAAGTCACCTCTTGCCTCTATGAAACAAGTGAAACGAAGACTGGCTGACTCTTTTGAGGATGACATGATGGACGATGATGATGAAGAACCAAGCTCGCAAGGAATATTTGAGTTGTCAGAAGATGAACAAGATGAGTATCAAAATGATGGAGACAGTAGTATTGATAGTGGAGACGAAGAACCATTTGAGGCAGATGATGATGAGATGTATTACGAGGCAGGAAATACTGGTATCATGATTCATGGTCAACATTCCGGAAGAAGATCACCTCCTCGAACTATAAGTATTGACAGAAAACGAAGTGAATCCGGAGCAAGTAATAACAGTCTTTCAAGAAGAAATGGAAGCCTTTTGGGAATGTCATTTGGGTCGGGAAGTTTAGAAGATAGCCCTGTGAAATCTCCCTACGGTTGGAATGCAATTTCTCTTTCTCCCAATTACAAATAAAACAAATATTGAAAACACATGGAATCAAGCTAAATTTATTTCGTTTCATTGTTCTCTTCAGATCCGTTTTGTAAACAGTTCTCTGAGCTAATAAAAATGTCTTCTCAACAACCGCATGATGACTTCAGCGCTGATCTGATTTTGGTCTATGCAGACGATAACAAAAGTTCAGTCAAAATTATTGATGATGGTGATGAAACATCTCCAATTGTTCCCTTCATGTATCTAGGGCCTCATTTCTCAGCGGAACGAGACTCAGATTACCTTCGGAATTCAAAAAGCATCACACACATTCTAAACGTGACAAAAGAAATTTCGTGCAAACATAAAGACTCGCTCACTACCATTCAAATTCTGATCGATGACAATCCCAATGAAGCACTCGAACACCACATACCTCAAGCTCTTCAATTTATAAATGATTGTATGAAAGAAAAAGGAACTATTCTCGTGCATTGTCAAGCTGGTATTTCACGATCTTCTTCAATGGTCATTGCTTTTGTGATGAACTGTTTACGGATGAATTTACATGATGCGTATCATTACGTCAAGAAGAGAAGAAGTTGTATCTCACCAAACGTTGGATTTATTTCAAAATTAGCAAATTACGAAATACAAATATTGGGTGTGAATAAGTCATCGTTAGATTTGCAAGATTATTACGCCACATGGATTCTTGAATTTTTTCCATCGGTAATGACTAAGGAAAGAATTAAAGAAATTATTGAAGAAAAGGGAGATTTTGATGAGGCATTAGATTGCATTCTCAGTTCCAGTTTCTAAATTATCATGTGGACGTGTCATTGCATTCTCTCCAAAATTGTTGCAGCCCACACAACTTGATAAAATTCATTTCTCAATTATTGCCTTTCTTTTTTTTGATTTTCTTTCCTTTTTTCTTTGGTGGAGTCTGTGGTTGGTCGTCTTCAGGAGGGTCTACTGGTTCTATGATTGGAAATTCGTGTACATTTGGTATGTGAATTGGTTCCTGAACTTTTGGTTTTGCCTTCTTTCCAGTGACAAACTTTTTGTTACAATCAACCAAAAATCTATTTCACAATTCATTATCATGAATTATTGATGTGATTAACTTGTTAAATAATAATAATGAATTACTAAACATACCCTCCCATTCTAATTACATTTCTACCAATCAAGACAGGGCAAGCTAGCTTGTGACGTTCCACTAAGGTGAACTCTGCAACTTGTTGTTGAAATTCTGGACCGATGGACACCAAAGTCTTAATCACATATCTGGTTGAGACATGACCATTCGAAGACATGACTGTTTTCGTGGTATTTGCGAAAGGGAAATCCAAAATTTGTTGAACAATGCTTCTATTGTTACGGTCTAGAACCACATCAAAGTTTAAGGTTTTTTTCACCTTATCATGATGAACATTGACCACATCTAAACAACTGGTCTTGGCTCCGGAATCAACCTTTCCCAATAAATTCATCACTCCAAGTTGAGGAAAATGGATCCTAATGCGATTAGTAAATCATACAATTATTAACATTAATTCAATATTATAAGAAAATTAATGATCAATAGGGTAGGTATAAGGATTGAGTTAATGATTCCCTTTGCACAACTTACATTTCTCGTCGTCCAATAATCCTGGTTTTTGGTTCTAAAGGCTTAATATATTTAGCAATTGAGGCTGGCACGGGCCTATACAGTTGAGATAATTCTGTTCGTCCCAAAGATAATAAATTAGTTGGAGAAGTATACTCTTCTTCTTCATCAGATGTTAGTAATGCTTTCTTGAGTCCAGTAGAGGCTTCGGCAGTTCCATTCCAAACACCATCATGTATATACAAAAAGTACAATCCGAACGTTATCAAAACACTCAAGCCTACCACCACTCCATAAATAATATATTGTTTAAATAAATACACCGCAGTATTACTACTACTACTAGTACTGCTTTTCTCATGCATCTTCAGGGCAGTTGTTGTTGCTGTCGTTCGGTTTTTCTTCAACTCTTGCTCTACGTTGGTATTTCTCGTGCTCTTCCCTTTTCCATCGTGGTGTAGGGTCGTCATGTTTTCATTTTCTTTGATCTTGAGAGTCGGAATATGTAAGGATCCATCCTCTTCATGGTTCAATGTTGTTGAAACGTCTTTGGGAGTTGAAACCATCACGAGAGAGTCATCGGGACTTGTTGTTGTAGTCAGCACCATGTCGTTTGTATTTAGATTATAATGTTGTTTATGATTGGTTGGTGGTGATGATGATGAAGAATAATGATGATTGATGTCAGTGGAAGTCGTATGTAGAGTTGGAGCAGAGGTTGTTGAAGGGCTCTTCTTGGAAGACACCTCCGATGAAGTACTGCTGCTCATTGATAAGAAGGAATGCCAGCAGGCAGGGATCGAGAGAGTTGCTTTTCAGGGTTGGAGTCTCAGTGATTCACTCTGTGTGCACTGATGCAAAATGTAATACACTCAAAGATACTTGAAGATGGTTGTTTGCCCTGAATTCAGTGAGTATCACTGATCAACGTTGATACTTCTGGCAGAAATGCGATGTTTTTGATGTTGTTTTTTTGACTTGAGTTTTATTGATCGGGTCAAGCTAAAAGACAAGTGACACAACAGGTCTTTGCTGTTCTTTTCCACGTGTTGTTGTTGCTTTCGTGTTGTTCTCTCAAAATCACAAAAAGAAAAATACTGCATGGTTTTATTTGGCAAATCATCTGGAATGAGTCTAGAACTTTTATGGTGAGATGTTTAATATCGAGAGTAGATGATGAAAAAAGTTTTATTCGGAAGTTTGCTTTTGATAGCTTTTGTGTGGTTTCATTAGAGTTTACAACATTCAAAATAAGACTCTCAACCAGTAAAATATCATTTGAGATCTTTCGAGTTTGAGAACTATGTGTTGGGGGAGAGTGATGCCATTTCTAGCAAGTGTTTGATGCTCGTTGACAATAATTCAATCTCTTGCTAAATGCTGCCAACCTGTAAAAAAACGACAACCATTCTATTGGTATAACACAATTCAGAACAAATGCATCCAAGCATCAGAACCGTAACAATCATTGTCACAACAATCATGCATTTCATGATTACTGTTGTTCATTGCCGTGATTTACACTCTTTATCTCCATCATCATCATCATCGCCGACATCACTGAGGTTTCAATACTCGGATATTAAGACTCTCAAAACGAGCATTCTTTCAACGACAACAACCACCTCCGTCATATTAGGAGCAGCCAATTATGTGTCATTATTTCTATGGAATGATTTAAAGTATTCCTCTCTTTCCGAGGTGTATGAGTCATTATCCTCGAAACGACCATTGAGATTCTTTTCGTATACCTTTCAACCAGATGCACAACGTCACATTATGACTCGAGTCATTCCTAGATCGTTTTTAAGTCTCTCTTTCAATAGCTCAACAACAACGAATAACATTTCAGAGGAGTCGCTCACTACTGGATTGTGGACCTATTCACAAGTATCTCTAGGAGCCTCCACCGATTGCCTCTATGGATCTGTTTTTGAACATTTTGATATTCTCATTGATACGCCCGATGTGTTTGCCAAACGATTAAGGTTTGCAAGCTCACATTTTGGACGTCGAAAGCCTTTTCAATCCGGCCTCTTGAATCCCAATGATTTTCAGCACATTCCATTATTTCCTAGTATGGTGTGGATTTATAATGGTAGCCTTATAGAGTTGGAGGATATCAGTACGAACCATTTCATGACAACGTCCATGATGACCGTTTTGAAACAAAACTCAACCCTAACAAATCTCACCTGTTTGGATTCAGTCATTCATGATGCTCGGGTATTTGAGAGGCTTCATGGTATTGCAAATTTTACAGAGCAAGATTTACACGCTCTTACACTTTTCATGAACATTTCAACAACATTGAATTATACGTTTGAAATCATCAATAAGGCTTTTACGACTATAAGTATGGAAATAACTACAACAACAACAACTTGGACCAAACAACAAGTACGGAACAATTTATGGCCTTCATCATGTTTCTATTGTTCAACCTCTGGATGTGTTGCAGAGCGATGGGCCCAACAAGATTATTTAGATATCAGTGTGGCTTCTGTTGGAATATTTTTTTATTTGATTCTCTTTTCATCCAAAGCCTTTCTTCATCCATCGATTAAGAGAAAATTTGGAAACGCATACTTGGGACCATTCTTAATAATGGTTGGATTTGCAGTGAACTCTCCTGCATTGGCCAATCATTGTTCTACTGGTGCTGGTTTAGTATTCAGTTATTGTATATTCACTCTGTCTTTGGTATATATTTGTACCATGTTACGATTTTATTATTTGAGAAATATTTATTGGATTATTGACAAGACAGATTGTGTTAAAATTCACAAAGTATTATCGACTCTACCCGTTGGAATTATTATTACAATTTTTGTTCCATTGATTCTGGCTGCCATTTTAACTATACCTCATATAGTATTGGTTCGAACATTTAACTCGACTACCATTAATCTCAATTTTAATTTAATGGTGTTGGGAATGGCTTTGATTCCAAGTATTTTAGGAAGTCTTGTGGTTGCGTTTGATATTGTCAAACATCGAAAAAGTATTAAGGAAAAGGGTAAGTGATTTTCTTTTTACAGCACTCAATCAAGTGGTGTTTGAAAGGTTTAAGAAGATTCTTGTTCTTTGAGGATCCCTTTTTCGTGCGGGTCGATTTAATTTCTCTAAATATTATTGTGATCTTTATGGTTGCTGTTCTTCTTTCGGTGGGAACAAGTTCCAATAATTTGGTTCCAATCTTTCGATTCATTTGTGGATTGTGTGGATATTTGGTTTGTGGAGGAGCTAATATCATTGTGATTCTAGTTCAACATTTATTATTTAGAGCTAGTTCTTTAGAAAAACAAGCACAATCAGAGCATGATCAGTTTGATTTTCATCACCTGATGGAAAGTAATAATGAATCATTTTACAAATTATTTAAAGAATATTGTTCTGGAGAAAGCTCAACCGAGAATATCCTATTGTTTGAAACTTTAAAAAAGCTGAAAGATCAACAAAGTTTAACACTGAACGATATGCACTACATTTCCAAAACATTTTTGAACATGTACTCGCTGTATGAAGTCAATATTCCTTCGAGTGTGAGAGCTGATTTTGGTAAAGCCATCAAAGATCATGAAGCCTCCACTTTGACCACTATTCACATCTCTGTCATTGAACCATTGTATATTGAAGTGATGGCTAATTTAAAAGATACATTTCGTAGATTAGAGAAAACAAGTGTATTTGCAAAGTGGAAACACTTTTATCAAGTTCAGAAAGTGCAATCTGTTATTTGATTTGCTTTTGGGTATGCAAATTGTTGTTAAGATGAGCAATGATGATGATTCTACTCTCTCTAGGCTGATTTGTTCTCATCATTAACTTTTGTGAAAACCTATTGCTACAAATGTTCTGCAAAACTTTAAATGTCTCTACATTTATTTCTTGACAGCAAATGCTTTTTTGAATCGCTCAATAAATGGATCTGTGATTGGCATTTCAATAGATGCTTGACTATTTTGTAACACAAAGACATGAGTTTCATGAACAGCTGCATAGGAACGTCTGTACATGGAAGGATCATTATGTTGATTTCCACTAATGTAAGAGTGTTCAGATGCTCCAAGCACAAGTTCATGAGTCAAATGTCGTGAAGACATTAAATCTTGTAAACTTGGTGCATCCATCCAATTAGGAACTACAATAAAGAAAGAGAGAGGTCGTTTCTTGCTTGTATCCTTCGACAGAGCAGTGTTGGAATGATCTAAAAGTGTTTCCATATGAGAGACCATGACCTTCATTAACTCTTCACTGAAAGGAGGGTTTGCTTCAAAGCTAGAAATATTGTAATCATTGATATCATCATTGATATTATATCATCATCAATATTTCAATTCAATTACATAAAACACACAAATCTTACACATACCTTCCTGTGGTTGGGAAAAATTCAAAAAAGCTTCCCAATGATCCAAACCAATAATCAATATCACCACATGCAGAACAAAAATCAGGGAAATAACAATTCAAAGGTGATGCAAAGTTTTCAGAATTTACCTTCACATCTCCATGCAGTGTCTCAAATACTTGAATAGGACAAGCAGCGTGTAGTCCTGATCCTTCAAACTTCTTGGTACCCATTCCAAACATGGCAGCATATCGAAGAAGAAGGCAATAAACGAACAAATCAAATAAGCATGTGGACTTGGAACTTGAGGTAAAAAATATCGTCTCTAATGATTTTCTTTTTTCAATGTTTGTTTGTGAAATCAAGTTAAGGCGGTGTGTGAAATGTTTTTTCAATTTTTCATAGTGAGATAGATTGAGTTGGCATTGTAGGTCGATGCTTTGAATGGATTCGGTCTTGAAGCTGTTCTTCTTGTCTATGTTTAAAATCACTTGATTATTGGTTGTTGACTTTTCTATTACTTTTGTAAATGTGTTAATCTTGTCTTGTGAAAAGTATACTTTTAAGCATTCATGAAGAGATGTACATTCCTTTGGTTCTAAAATTGTAGAAAAGTCGTTGATTATATGTGTAGTTAGCAAACTTTTAAACCGTGTGTTGAGTAGATAATTGCTCTTGATCGACAACAATGAACATAGTTTGTCAACCTCACTAGAGACCTTTTCTTGAAGTAGCTTTCCAACATCTTCTTTCATCTCTCTCAACTTGTTCATGATATTGTCCTCTTTATCCTTTTCTCTCTTATTAGATTTGAATTCGTTGTCTAACCATTGTGAATAATTGTCGCAAGATGTAAAAATCTTTTCTTTTTCAATATCTGTAAAAGATTTTCCAATATGATCTTTCTTGCACAAGGTTTTACATGCGTCTATATATGTTGTTATACTGTCTTTTGCGTCGTTTGCATTTTTCGGAAACATGTTCACTTTCACAGGAATGTCATCAAGAATCTCTCGTCTTAGAGATACGCTCTTTGGATCAATAAAATAATCACTGTCGTTTTCTAAGGATTTATCCGTAATATTGGTGAGTAGTGACGGTAATATTGGGTCAATATATCCAATATTTTCTAATTTTTGTTTCAAATGGATATTTTCCAACACTTTTCTCTCGAACATCCATCTATTGAATGATTGTTTCGGCACCAAGTCAACATCAAGCAATTCTTTTAACAAATCCTTATAATATTGCCTAAGTTCTACAAGTATTTCTGCTCTTTCAAACTCCATTTCTAACCTTGGAATAATAGAAAGGAATTTGAAGAAATATTCTCTCGAATGATCATGCTCAACCTGCTCACAAACAACGTCAGAATAAATATTGTACATGTGATAATTGGAAATATACTCTAATAATGAGATTTCATTGTTGAAATTTTCTTTAAAAGCGTCTCTTGTTGGAATGATAGGAATATCATAAAAATCATTCTTTCCTAATACCGTCAAGTCTTTATCTTTTGCAAAATAAAAATTGGTTTCTACTTGTTGTTGTTGAAAGTTATATCTATTCTTTTTGGTACGATCATTTGTGGCTGAATCTTTATACCCTCCTCCTCTATACGAACGATCGTTTTGAGCACGATTGTCATAATATCTTTTTGAATTATTTTCTCTTTGTTCGTTAGTTTCGTGATGATATCGATGATCAGTCGAGCGACCATAATCTTTTTCATTTCGCTGCTGATAATAATTTGACCTGTCTGTATTCCGATGTCGTGATGGTTGTGAAGAATTGTTATTGCTCATTTTTTTAAAAAGCTCTTTTTGATGATCATCAAGCCTTCGAGTTCAAAAGGAGCTTTGTGTGTTAAATGCTAGGTCTCCCAATGAAACTCAATCCCGTCGTCAAGTGTACAACAAGCTGCATAAATTGAATTGAAAAAGAAAAAACAAAAAAATGAAATTTCGAAAAGCCTTCAAAACGTTTGAAGGAGCTTATCAACTTGATTTCTTCTTGAGCAAACATGTTGAAGATCCAAACACGAATCATACATCATCTAACTCAAGAAGAGGTGGAGAAATCAGCTCACGTACTCGATTTTTGTTTCAATCATGGTGCTTGGGAATTGTGGAAATTGAAGAACGTCCTCCGATACCGATCGGAAAAGAATTAAAATTATCTGGAACTGCTCCTGTTAATCCCATGACTGTATCAACAAACTCATCTCAAAGTAACGATCAAAAATTGCATTCTAACAAAACTCTACTTGTAACTTGTAGTTGCGACAAAACGGTTTATGCTTGGTATTTGAACCAATCGTTGAGGTATCAAAAAGAAGAGAAACCATTTATTACTCTTAACCCAAGAGGTGGTCTAACTTCATCATCAGCGCTTCATTCCTTTGAAGCACCAACAAACCTGATCAAGAGCAGTTCGAATTTGTCAAGCAAAAAAAAGGAAGTAATTTCCGACAGTGACAACACAGTAATTGAATTATTGATAGGATTTAACACATCTGATATTGTTCTGTACAATATCAAAACAAAACAGCAGTTATATTTCAACAAAGATGTAAGTCATTGAATTCTTGAATAATAACCTATCAAGCATCTTCACAACAACCATTACAGAGAAAAATAAGCTCATCCTCAATTACCAAAATGATATGGATTGATTCAAACATTTTCTGTGTCGCTCACAAAGATGGTACAATCATGTTTTATGACAAAAATTTAAAGATTGAAGAACCTTTTAATTCTCCACCTTTTGACGAAGCGCTTCCAAAACATAAAAAGTACAAATGTGTAGCAAATCCAGTCGAAGAGTGCAATCCTTTGCGAAAAATAACATTGGGCCAATCCATAATAACAGATGTTTCAATATCACCCAATAATTCCTATTTAGCAACGGTGACCTCAAATGGAAGATGTGAGATTATTGACTTAAAAACGATGAAACAATATGCTAGTTTTATATCTGAACAATTAGGTCCAATGTCTTTTGGAGGTTTTACATCATGTTGCTGGAGTCCAGATAGCAAAGTGCTTGTCACAGGAGGCGAAGACGATTCTCTTAATATTTTCGACGTTAAGAGAAAAAGTATTGTCCTAAAAGGTGTGGGACATACAGGCTTTGTATCGAAAGTTATCTTTGACCCTTACCAATGTGATGCCACCAAGTACAGATTAATTTCTGTTGGAGATGACACAAAACTTATGCTTTGGGACTTGGATAAGTCCTATTTTACTGAAGAACGAGAAATTTCCAATGCCATAGACATCAAATCGAACAACCCATTTAGCAGCTCAGGCATCAAAAACATGCCACCAGGACAGGAATCCATGTCCTTCTCAACCACCTCGATGAATCAAGAAGAGACTTCCAATGAAATGCTAGACATTCCACTACTGGAACCCATAGCAATTCACAAGGCACATAATGATCCTATTCGTGATGTCAAAGTATTCACCACAGGAATTGCAACAATATGCAATCAAGGCATCATCAACTTTTGGGCTCGACCCGTCCTCATTGAAGATGAGTCAGACCTCGAAAGTCAAGACATGACCACGCAAGAAGAGACATCATCCAATCCTATGATCAAGTAGAGAGACTGCTCCTTCAGCACTCCTCTCTTCAGAGAGATGGCGGCAAAATTTACGGCCAACATCAACAATAAAAATGCCAGCAAAAGAACCCTTTCCGGAGTCGACCCTGACTGCTTCCGATTCAAAGAAAAATCAAATGGATGATGATGATGATTCGGGAAAAGAAGAAGACAATATTAATAGCTTTTCAGCGTCAACAAAGCTATTGGAGAAACGAAAGGAGATGATGGATGTTCAAGGATTGCTTGAACAAAAAAGAAATGAGTACTCAACAAGAATGGATCTCATCAAGAAGAAGGAGAAACATCTACTCACTAAAAAACAGGAGCTCACAGAAAACGTGAAAGAGCTTGATAAATTCATTGGAGATAACATTATCAAGAAAAAGAGAGCTGACCAAAAAAAAGATATGGAGCAAAGCGAAAGATTGAAGAGCGAAAAGACAATACTCGAATGTAGAAATCAAATTAAAGAGCTAGAAAAAGAAAAAGAGCGAAAAGAACATCAACTCAACACAAATTACATCAAATACCAACAATTCTTGCAAAAAGTGGTTCAATTTAGAGGTGAGGATATTAACCCTGAAGATGTAGAGAAAGTCATCGATCGTTACATGACACTAAAAGAAAAGAATGAAGAACTTAGCAATGAAAAATCTAAATTTTCGTTAAAGCTTGCAAGAGAAAAAAACAAATTAATGGAAGAAAAGGAAGCAATGAAAAACAAGAAAGTTAAACTTAATCATATGATTTCAAAGCTTGGAAAACAATTGGAAATGTTAGTTGATGAAAGAAACAAGCTTGACTCTCACTTTGATCTCAAATCGTCTACGGCAACCAGAGATAAAAGACAGTTTGGCCAAATTGAAATGGCAATCAATAACCTGTACAACAGAGTGACAACAACTGGAGGATCTCGCATTCCCAGACATTGCAAGATTACTGTAACAAACACTCAAGCACTTAACGAAATGTATGGATCTAATGTCATTATGACCAAGCTTTTGACAGGCTCTGGAAATGGAGCAGCCGAAGTGACCATAGAAAGTTACAAAAGGTTCAACAACATGGAGGTTCTTATGAAAATGATGAAAGTTATTGGTGATTGTCTTTCTGACTACTCATTACTCGTTGACCATTTGAGAAAGATGCCTGAGAAAGAAAGAGAAGCACACAAGAAGCAAAAGACATAAGAAAACGAAAATTTAGCCCATTCCCTCAAAAAATCGAGATGATGAAAACTGCGTGCAAGCTGAACTCCAGCTCATCGTTGACGTTGCAGTGCAACCCTTAACATTGTTGGCCGTCATCCTTTTAAAGCAAGGATACCGGGTTGGGATGGTCGTCCACTGCTGTGCTCATTGTAAAAAATCAAAAAACCACCAACAAAAAAAATGAGCGGCCAAATCCCAATACAATTCACTGAGCTCTTCAATCTCCAAAACTTGGGAGTGAATCCACAACTCATTTCATTCACCACCGTTACGCTCGAATCAGATAAATATGTTTGTGTTAGGGATCAAATCTCACCTCAAAAGTCTATCCAAATTGTTGATGTCGATTCTCAAAGTGTTACCTCGAATAAAGTCAATGCTGACTCGGCCATTATGCACCCAACAACAAAGGTGCTCGCATTGAGATGTAGGTATTATTATTAATATTTGATGAAGAAGGATACATATAACACACTAATTTATTAGCTGGAAACACTATTCAAATTTTCAACTTGGAAATGAAGGCAAAGATGAAGGAACACACAATGACCGAAGCTATTGTCTTCTGGAGATGGATCAGCACAAACACTATTGCCATCGTTACGGCAACCAGTGTGTACCACTGGTCAATGGATGGTCAAAGCGCTCCAAAGAAGATGTTCGACCGTCATCAAAACCTCGCCAACGCTACCATCATCAACTACAGAACTGATACTAATGCACAATGGTTGTTATTAATTGGTTTAGCAAGAGCTGTAAGTAGTAGTGTTCTTGAGTTATTCTCATATGATGATCTAACAACATCACGATTGCCAATCTATTTGATGACGTCATTTTATGTCAATGACGGTCTCTTTCGAAAATATACAACCCGTCATCCACTCTCCTAATTTATTCTCATGTTTATATATTCAACAGGAAGACAACTCAACAAAGGGAGTAATGCAATTGTACTCGGTTGAGAAGAAGGTCACTCAAGCAATCGATGGCCACGCTGCTTGTTTTGTGGACTTTAAGCTCTCTAATAATTTTGTTACAACTGTTGTTTGTATTGCATCAAGCACACCACAAGGTGGTAAACTCTTCGTGATGGAAGTGCCAACCAACAAGCCATCTGATGCCCCAGCATTTGAAAGAAAGGCTGTTCCAATCCAATTCCCAACCCAAGGAGACTTCCCAGTTGCTATGCAAGCAAGTGATAGACATGGTGTTTTCTTCATGATCACAAAATCTGGATTCTTGTACATGTATGACGTTGAATCAGCTACACTGATCTTCAGCAATCGTATTAGTGATGATGCTCTATTCATCACAGCCCCAAGAGCTGGAGGTCTCATTGGTGTCAACAAGAAGGGTCAAGTTTTGTCAATCACAGTTGATGATAACACTGTTGTTCCATATGTTGCCAAGGTTTTGGGTGACCAAGCTTTGTCCTTGAAGATTTCTTCTAGAGCTAATATTGGAGGCAATATGGTTAGCGACTTGTATCTCCAACAATTCAATCAACAACTCAACCAAATGAACGTCCAAGCTGCTATTACTCTTGCTGCTGACTCACCACAAGGAATTTTGAGAACTCCTGATACTATTGCTAGATTGCAACGTTTACCAGTTGCTCCAGGACAAAAGCCTGCAATTTCTCAATACTTCCAATACATTATCGAAAAGAGTAAGCTCAATCCTTATGAATCTCTCGAATTGGCAAAGATTGTCTTACAAAAGCAAGGAGGTGTTGATTACTTGAAGAAGTTATTAGGTGATGACAAGATTGAAGGAAGCACTGAATTGGGAGATTTTGTTAGACAATACAGCCAAGAATTGGCCATGCAAATTTACTTGAAGGGTAAAGCACACGACAAGATTATTGATTCATTGTTGCAAATGGGTGACTATGAACGAGTGTTGGCATATTGTCAAAAAGTAGAATTCACTCCAGACTACTATGATATCTTCAGAAAGCTTTGTATGGTTAATCCTGACAATGCTGTCAAATATGCTTGCAAGATTCACGAAAACCAACAAACAAGAATTGAACCAAACACTGTAATTGATCTTTTGGTTCAAGGAAATCTCATCAAGCAAGTTACAGCTTATCTTTTGGATATTCTCAAGAATGACAGACCTGAGGATGGACCTCTTCAAACAAGATTGTTGGAAATCAACTTGACTTACAGTCCAATTCAAGTTGTTGACTCAATTCTCCAACAAAAACTTGTTTCTCATTACGACAAGGCTAAGATTGCTAGAATGTGTGAAAAGGCTGGACTCTTCCAAAGAGCTCTCGAAAACTACACTGATCCAAACGACAGAAAGAGAGTCATTGTCAATACTCACGCAATGAATGTTGAATGGTTGGTCAAATGGTTTGAGGATATTCCAAAGGCAGAAGTTTTCACTTATTTAAGAGAATTAATGAAGAACAAGAATAACCTCCAAATTGTTGTCAAGGTTGCTACTGCCAACAGTGATGTTTTGGAACCAGAGAACCTCATTCCAATCTTTGAGGAAGCCAAGAGCAACGAAGGACTTTACTACTATTTGGGCTCCATTGTTGGATTCTCTCAAGATCCACAAGTTCACAACAAGTACATCATTGCTGCTACTAAGGTCAACCAACTTTCTGAGGTTGAAAGAGTTACTCGTGAAAGTGATTACTATGAAGCTGATGTTATCAAGGAATTCTTGAAGGAAGCAAGATTGGCTAACCAAATGCCACTCATTAACGTTTGCGACAAGCATGGTTATATTGATGAATTGGTCAGATATCTCTACAACAACAGTCAACTCAAATTCATTGATATGTATGTCAGACAAATTAACCCAATTAGAACTCCTGAAGTTGTTGGTGCTCTCCTTGATGTTGATGCCAGTGAAGATTTCATTAGAAATCTCATCATGGGAGTTGGTAACATGTGTCCAACTGAACCATTGGTTGAAGAGGTTGAAAAGAGAAATAAGCTCAAGTTGTTGTTGCCATGGTTGGAAGCTCGTGTTAACGAAGGAAGCCAAGAACCAGGCTGTCACAATGCTTTGGCAAAGATTTATATTGACCTCAGCCAAAATGCTGAAAACTTCTTGATTAACAACCAATTCTATGATTCAAGAGTTGTTGGTCAATATTGTGAAAAGAGAGATCCTCACTTGGCCTTCGTTGCTTATAAGAGAGGACAATGTGACTTGGAATTGGTCGCTGTTACCAACAAGAACGGTATGTTCAAGCAACAAGCCAGATACCTTGTTGAGAGACAAAGCCCAGAATTGTGGGCTCACGTTTTGGATGGTGAGAACACTTATAGACGTCAACTCATTGATCAAGTCGTTCAAACTGCTCTGCCTGAAAGCAAGAGCAGCGATGAAGTCTCTACCACTGTTAAGGCATTCATGACTGCCAATCTTCCAAACGAGTTGATTGAATTATTAGAAAAGATTGTTTTACACGGATCATCCGAGTTCAAGACCAATAGAAACTTGCAAAACTTGTTGATTCTCACTGCTATCAGTGCTGAGAAGACTCGTGTCATGGACTACATCAACAGATTGGACAAATATGACGCAGCTGATATTGCCAGAGTTGCTATCAACAAGGAGTTGTACGAGGAAGCCTTTGTCATGTACAGCAAGAACAAGTTGAACACAGATGCTATCAGAGTTTTGATTGATTACATTCAATCTATTACTAGAGCTGCTGAATATGCTAAGGTTGTCAATGAACCAGAGTGTTGGAGCATTTTGGCTAGAGCCCAATTGAATGCTCTCCTTGTTTCTGATGCTATTGAATCCTTCATGAAGGCTGATGACCCAACTGACTACCACAATGTCATTCAATATGCTGAACAACAAGACGAATACAAGTCATTGATCAAATTCTTGGAAATGGCCAGAAAGAAGATCCAAGACTCTGTCATTGATACTGAATTGGTTTATTCTTATGCTAAGTATTCCAAGCTCAAGAATAAGCCAGAAGTTTTGGCTGACATGGAAGATTTCATCTCTGGACCAAACTTGGCTCAAATCCAAGCAGTCGGTGATAGACTTTTCGATGAACAAATCTACAATGCTGCTAGAATTCTCTTCCAATCCATTTCTAACTATGCTCGTTTGACAAGTACTTTGATCAAGTTGGGATTGTTGAGAGAAGCTGTCTCATCTGCTCAAAAGGCTAACTCCATCAAGTCATGGAAGGAAGTTATGTTTGCTTGTATTGATGCTAGTGAATTTAGATATGCTCAATCATGTGCTCTCAACATTATTGTTCATGCTGATGAACTGGAAGATCTCCTCTACTATTATGAACAACGTGGATACTTTGAACAAGTTATTGAACTTATGGAGAAGGGATTGGGACTTGAACGTGCTCACATGGGTATCTTTACTGAATTGGGAGTCTTGTATGCCAAGTACAGACCAGAAAAGCTCATGGAACACATTACTCGTTATTGGGGTAAATGCAACATTCCAAAGTTGTTACAAGCTTGCGAAGCCAATCACTTGTGGGCTGAAATGAGATTCTTGTATTGTCACCATGACGAACCTGATGCAGCCATCAAGGTCATGATGGAACACTCTCCAGAAGCTTGGGACCACTCAGTATTCACAGAAACTATTGTCAAGATTGTAAATATGGAATTGTACTACAGAGCTATTAACTTCTACTTGCAAGAGCAACCAAAATATCTTGAAGATTTGATGGTTGTGCTCACACCAAAGTTGGATCATGAAAGAGTTGCACGTGATATTAGATATCAAAACAATGGTGAAGACCTTCCACTCATCAAGAAGTATTTGGAATCTGTCCAAGATCATGACTTGCCACAAGTTAACGAAGCTCTTAACAGCTTGTACATTGAAGAAGAGGATTATATTGCATTGAGACGATCTCTTGATCAATATAGAAATCTTGACCAATTGGCTCTTGCTGCTCAATTGGAGAATCACGAACTTCTTGAATTCAGAAGAATTGCTTCATGGCTGTACAAACTCAACAAGCAATGGGAGAATTCGATCAAGTTAAGCAAGAAGGACAACTTGTACAAGGATGCAATGGAAACTGCAGCTGAAAGTCAAAAGCAAGATATTTGTGAAGATCTTTTGAAATTCTTCGTCTCTAAGGGTTTGAAGGACTGCTTTGCTGCTTCATTGTATAACTGTTACAATTTCGTTCGTCCTGATGTTGCTCTTGAGTTGGCTTGGAGAAACAACATTATCGACATGGTAATGCCATACATGGTTCAAGTTTTGCGAGAATATACCACCAAGGTTGATGATTTGTGCACAGAGAGTCGTCAAAGAAAGAAGGATGCTGAAATCAAGGCTCAACAAACAGCTACTGAATACGGTGATCCAAATGCTGCTTACACAGGTGCTGTCACTGATCCATACGCTACTGGTTACACTCAAGGTGGATACACTGGTTACACTGCTGATCCATACTCTCAAGGATATGGTGGTGCTTATGGTGGTTACACTGGCGGAAACACTTGGTAAATTATTTAAGAGGCATCTTTTTTGAAAACTTTAAATTAAAAATTAATTTCTTGAATTTTCTTTATTTTGGTTCACAACGAAACACGTGTCTGTGGGTGAACTCCAAATTAAAGAGCAATACAACCACACGGTCTGAATTACCCCCCCTGCGCAATCGAGAGGGGTACTCAACTGTCACAGCGCAGCTGGCTCGCAAAAAATTTTTTAATTTCTCTGGTGTAAGGAATTACTTCGCGCAACCTTTTCTCAAGAAATTTGTGAAGAGTGGTTGTATTGCTCTTATTCTTAGAAATCATTTTCAAACCTTGTAAATCCGATCAAAGCAAAAATCCCCGTCGCAAAAAAAATGACTTCTACCTCTCCTTTTTACAAACCTCTTTCTTGGATCAAACTTGATCGAGGAGACATCATTGAATATGTTCAGGAAGACAATTCATCGGCGGAATCATCTCATCACACGCTTACGTTGAAACAAGGTCCCTCCTTTAATGATCTTCCTCTTGAAGTTGTAGAACATGTTATTGAATATTTACAAATTCATGATGTTCTCGTTGGAAGGATCATGTTCTTAAATCGAACGTGTTATGCATTATTCAGCGGAATTGGGGTTGATCAGCCTAACAGTATTATGCCCTACATGGAGGGCATTGTTTTTAGCAAATTATTATACTCCCATTATCGAAATTATGTGACGAAACATGTAAAGAGCATTGAAAAACAAATTGATTTTAATTTAAATGTCGAAAATTTTTTATGTAAATGTATTTACGTGTTGGATTTACCATTTCATTGGTCGCATTGGTACATGATTTATCAGAGATTTCAAAAACTGGTGAGGATTACAGATACTATCAAGCTTTATTCACCAGAGAGGGTTACAAGATTACAAGCAGGGTGTGTATCTGTTATCTCACATTTTACAATGCTTGCGTCCAGAGTGAAACAATTGATTCAGCTTGACTCACAATACAAATCTATGAAACACCAAAACTCGTTAAACACAGTACTACTACCAAACTCCTCATCAGAAAATCACACCCATAATTTTCTGAATTATTTTCCAATGGATGTTTGTATATTTTGGATGATGCATGACGGTGAAAGCAGTTGTTCAGATGAAACATGTTACTTGATTGGTGTTTCGAGATTACTGACCATCTCAGAGATTTTTTATCATTTTAGAGCAGAGAATGCAAAGCACATGCTACTTTCAGAGATTTCAGGAATATTCTCCACACATTTGAATATTTTCAATGGACAAGTGCAATCGTATCAGGGATGGAATGTGAATAGTCACACGAATTGGTTGGAACATTTACATAATATTAATCATATCGATGTGGAGAAGAACCAGTATATTCGTGTTTTGCCTTATTCATGTTGTGAGGAAGACCTGTATTATAAATTCTAAATTAAACTCATTCAAATTCTATCATTCAATCGAGCAGGTAACATTTGTTATCCTTTCCCAATCGATTTGTCTGTATCAAAAAAAATGTATTCGTTGCCTTCCGCGACATGTAGAAAAACAATACGTACTTGGACAACCCAGTACCTCTCTTCGTTGGAGGAGAACGATCGGTTTCAGTTGATGGGAACCATGTTGTACTATATCATTCATGAAATTGAACCGGTGCTGGCACCCAAGCTGACAGGCATGTTGTTGGGAATGGATTATGGAGATTTGTTCGAAACAATGAAAAATCCAGAATTGTTGGATTCCAAAATACAAGAAGCACTAGGAATTCTTCATGATCATTTAAACCATTAACTTCTTCTCAAACGGAATCGAAACTTTTTGAAAGATTTTTATCAACAATATGGCAGTCAAATATAATTATATTTATAGAAATTTGAAACTCACATTGACTGAAATTGAATAGTACTATTTTACTTTGTATTACTGCCACTAGTACTCTCTGGCTTTCCCATCAAATAATAAAGCCAAGTTAATTGATTTCCCTTACAACTAATAGTAAGCTTGGCATGATTCACTACTTTAGCAGCCGACGATTGGGGTTTGTAAGAAATGGTCAGCGGTAATTTTTGTTTCACATTCAAAGATGCCTGATCGGGTTTGATACTAAAACTATTGGATGCATCTTCAATACTAAATTTAAAATCAGACTTCTTATCAAACACATTTTTGAATGTAATTTGTGCAGTTCCATTGGGTTGAATTTCAATTGGACCTTGAGGTCTTGGAGGTGAACATTTTCCAAATAACCAAAATACATATTCTCCACCGATTGGAGATGTTAAAATAAGTTTTGCCTTACATGCTCCTGTCATGGTTGGTTCATACGTGACATCCAAACCAACTTCATTTCCTTCGAGACTTGTGGCTGCTGATACTTTGATCACAGGTTTGTCAACCAATGAGAAATCTGTTTGATTGTCTTCAAATTTACAAGTATACTCTGTGGCTTGTCTGGCATAGTTGACAAAACGAACAGTTTGTGTTTGAGCATTTCCTAATGAAACAGAAAAGTGTGTACTTCTCTCAGCTGCTTTTGGAAGTGGTTTCAGTAGTAAATCAAATGGAAAGACACCAAGCTCATCATTTCCAATGCTTAATTTAGCTTTTTTAGGTTCAACTGCAAGTAATGGAAGATAGACAAATTCACATTTAGCAAATGACTTGGCAGGAATTCGTAATTCTGGAGCAACAACAATTTCAGAAGAATCACATTTGACGGAAAGAATGGATTCCTTGTCGAGAGGATTTTCAACAGTTACATGTTTGGCTAGTTTTTGTCTTACAGGTGTCTCCATGACAATTTCTTCGTTGGATCTTGCCTTCAGTACAGTAAATTTCACATTGTAGTAAATAAACTCTTTGGTCTCAACATTCACAAATCTCACTTTTCCTTCAAATTGTCCATCCTTAAATGGTAAAAAGCTGAACTTGTATTCTCTCTTTGAGATAGGAGGAACATCAATATAATTCACAGCAGTTAATTGATTTGGTGATTTGATATTGAGATCATCTAAAATAACTGAAAACCGTTGTGCTTTGCCAAGCCAGTTTTCAACAAAAAGAGTTTCAATGTGATGTTCCTTGGCGTACAATTCTTTCACAATTGAACCTGCTGGTAAAGGATCCAATGATTCACCACTCAATTCATATAAAATTGCTTTACCGTCAGGAAGTGGGAAGAATAAAGTTCCCTTATGTGGAGCACTTAATGTCATGGACAAAGGAGCATACGAAATTTCATACTCCCGGACACTATTTGCAGGTAATTCAAGATATTCTGGACCACTCCATGATGGATTATCAATCACAGGTTTTAGTCTCCAATCACTCTTTGTAGGATTTTCAATTTTAACAGTCTTTGCTTGTTTTTGTCGAACTGCAACTCTGAATGAGAGTGTTTCCTTTTCTTTTGGTTTTTCAACACAAATTCCACTAATGGTCATAAGGATTGGATCTTTGAGAGAGTCTATCTTGCATTCAATTTGAGCAGACTGTCCAGTACTGTCCACTTTAACTGGAGCATAGGTCACTTCAAATATTGCTTCTTCATTTGGAGGAATAAAACCTTGTAGAGGTTTGATGGTGAAAGCTGAATTGAGACCTTTGGTATTCCACTTGTAGTTGATACCAATATCTCCTGTATTTTCCATAATTACCCTGTTCACTACGACGGTGTGTTGAACTACAGGACCAAAGGCCACAGTTGATGTGTTCAGCTTGACTTCAATTCCTTGGCAAGATCCAGTAATGTTGGAAAGAAGCTTAATTCTTCCATCAATGTAAGCGTTGAGTTCCACGTTAAATGTTGAAAGTCTACTTTCAGGTTTGAAGGTTAATCCAATTTGCGCTTCTTGTCTTGGTAGTATAGAGAAGGCAGTTTTTGGGGTGACTGTCACAAAGCATTTTGATAACTGATCCAGAGTTTCTTTGAGGAAGGACACGTTTGCTGTAATCTTACTCTTATTGGTAATGCTTAGATACTTGGTGACAACTTCTCCTGCACGAATAGATCCAAGGTTTAGAATCTTATCTGACAAGTTTGTCAGTTCGACCTTGGATGCTGTTCCTTCTCCCAATACGACAACACTTGTTTTGTAAAGTCCGTTGATTTCAAACAAGACAGTCTCCTTATACAACTTAATTTCTCTAGGTCTAAAGTAAATCTTAATTTGTCTACTTTCACCTGGCTTGAGTACGGTGGCTGATGCTTCAACTTCCAAATGTGGTTTGTTGTCATACAACATCTCAAAGCTAATGTCCTTCTCGTCACAATTTTCAATTTTAAGCATAGTAGAAGGACTTTTATCCATTCCTTGATGATAAAGGAAATGAGCACCAAAATCATATTGCAAGAAGCTAAAGTTAATCTTTGGCTGAGAGCCTGAGCCTGACAAGTTGACAATATAAGAATTACTGTTTGTAATCTTACACACACACTTGTAATTCTCCAATTTCACTTGTGATGTAGGATTAAAGATAATATCACAAATCAGTTTTCCTCCCTTGAACACTGTTCCCTTTTCTGGGTTGATGGTTATTAACTTGTTTTTAGCATGGAACCATTGGAAGTCGAAATTGTAATTACCGTGGTTTGTGATGATAATTTTCTTAATTTTCTTCTCATTAATTTGGGCTCTTTCAAAATCGACTTCATTTGTTTCTTTGGCAGATAGAGGAATAATTTTAGTCATGGATTCATCAGCAACTTCCAGAGACTCATGAACTAGGAACCCTTCTCCTTTGACGTTGCAGCTGAGAGCAGAAGGTTTCTTCTTAACTCTACAAGAAAGTTGAATGTTAAAGCTTGTCTCAGTATTAGGTGTATATAAGAGATTAATAGGAAGTGTTTGCTCTGCTGGTACTGTTCCTGATTTTGGAGAAAGCACTAATACAGGTCTTCTATCATTTTGATTGTCTTCGAGGAACTCGTATTGATCAAAAGCAAAACTAAAAGGAATTGGTTCTCGGTTAATAATATTAATAGTTTGAGATGATTTTGCTCCTACAAGAACTGTTTGGAAGTTCACACGGGCACTGTCTAAGAAGACTTCAGGCTCTTTGGCATGACCAACCACTAAAAATGGAATATTAAGCTTTCTAGAGGGAATACTAAACATCCATAATGACTCTTTTGTTTCCAAAGCATATGGAATGTACTCGAAAATAATTTCAGACTTCTTTCCGCTGTTAATAATACCAGTTCTTGTGAGACATGAAAATGAGTTATCACTGCTACTATCATTCGGCTCTGTTTGAATTTTTTGCCAAGAATACTTAAAGTCAACATCTGTGGGATTGAGTATGTAGAATCTCTTTGTGTTCTTAACTTTGATACCGCATGAATATAGCTCAATGACTCTTGTCTTTTCCTTATCCACCAAAGACTCAATCTCTTGATTTTGGAATAACACTTTCCTTCTTCCACTTGTGAGGTAATCACTTGGAGAAATTTCAAAGTGTACTAGAGGGCATGTAGAAACTCCTGTAACTCTAATCGAGGGCGTTTCTACAGTTGGCATTATGTTGTCAATGTAGCATGTGAATATTTCTTCATGTCTATCAACATCTTGAGGAGCATATTTGATGATAAATGTAGTTTGTTCTCCTGGCTTGATCTGACCTTGTTTTGGTTCCAATTCAAATGGTCCATCAATATATTGGTTTCCACTCCAAGAAAAGTTTAGAACCACCTTTCCAACGTTCTTGAGTGGAAATTGGTGAACACGAGTTTCAAACATTTTTGTTGTTGAGAAAACAATGTCTGATTTGTCCATCTCAAACTTGGCATAATCAGCGACAGCATAAATAGCTAAAATTTTGTCTGATATTTCACCAATAATTTCATGTTGTGGTTCAGGATCTGTTACCTCCATGCGCTTTGTCACCAGTTTTTTAGGTTTTGGCTCTTCTTGCACCACAGGCTCTACTTTTTCTTCGACTTTCTGTTTTTGAGGTTGCTTTTTATCATCTTTCTTGTTTTTAGTTCCCTTCTTTTCATTCTCTTTTTCTTCCTTCTCTCTTCTCTTTTTCTCTTCTAGCTCTTTCAATTTTCTTGCCTCCTCTTCTTCATCAATTTCGACCCATTTAATGGATTTATGCCTGTCATCCCAATCTGTTTCTTCATCGGATGTAAATCGTATCTTCTTCAAAATGCACTTCAATTGTTCTCCTTTCAATTCTAGTGGTTCTTCTGTTGCAAAAGTGATCATGACATCTTTTGACGATTTCGCTTGAATATGACCAACAGCAGGAGAAACAGTGATATGTTCAGGGCATATGAATTCAAAACGTACAGGATCTCTAGCATGATTTTCCACACTAAAGGTTCTTTCGTTATTGGAGGCAACATAACAATCACCAAACCAAAGCTCATTCTCCTTTCCAAGTGGAAGTTGAGTCATGATGACATCTTCCTCAATACTCTCAGCAGTAACTTTGATGCTTGTATCCTCAAAGTGATTGTCTAGCACAACCATATTAAGAGCAGTTTCAATTTTTTCTGCTTCTGCTGGCTCATATATCATTGCGAATTTTCTAGATTCCTTGCTATTGAGAACAAATTCTTCCAATCTCTCTGGGAATAACAATGAAGGATGGTTTGGAAAATCAAATCTAACTGTTGCTGGTAGCAAACCTTCATTGCTAATGAGTACAGGAAGTTCTTCTCGCTTACCAACTGCAGTCTTTGGGAATTTCATGATCGGTACATCACCAACCTTTTCAGGAATCTTGATCACAACTTGAGGAAGAGATCCTTCACCTCTAATTTCAATTCGTAAATCTTTCGTTTTTGGATCATTGCCATCAGTTACTGTTGCTTCAAAGATAGCTGAGTAATTATTCATGGTTGGAGGCATAAAAGAGAGTGTGACATATCGATGCTCATGAGGAGGAATGAATAGTTTTGGAGGAACCACATCAAACATTGTTACATCCTTGCTTCCGTTCATGTCTCTTGGTTTTACGCTACATTCAACATTGCAAGGTACCTTGAAAGGATTGATAATTTTGATCTTTTCGTTGACCTTTTTTCCAACGGCAATGGTTCCAAAAGAAAATATTCTTTCATCAAGAGTGAAAGAGCTCTGAAGAGGATTGACTATCATATCCATATTGGAGACAATTTGTTGCTCTTCAAAGATGGACTCAAACTCGTTTGTGATAATCCCTGGAACACAAGACTCTCCTTGCAAAGAATAAGGTATTCCATTTGGTTGATCGTCCATGTTTCTGTCCGAAATATCGATACCCAGAGTTTCTTGGAATACTTTTGTTCCATCTCCCTTAAAAGTAACGTTTACCACTGCTTTACTTCCTGGAGCAATAGTTCCTACTGTGGGTTGAATTGTAAATTGTCCAATTTGTAACTGAGCTTCAACTTTTTTGGCCGAGTTACCTTTCACTTTCTTTTGGTCGGTGGGTTTCTTTTTAGGATCGTTTGTTGTCTTCTCGGCTTCTACTTGTCGTTCTGTGAGCCCTTTTGAGTAATCAAACACAGTATATTGGATATCGAAAATTCCAGTATTGAATATTTCAAATGGTCGTTGTCTCTCCTTATCGTAGCTTAAAGGACCAAAGTTAATGCCACTTTCAGGAGTAATTGTAAACTTGCTGAACATGGATTTAACAGAGAGCTCAAGAGCTGTTGTTCCAAGGGGCATCTTTGTGGTATTGTCTTGCAAGTTGCAAACAATTGACTTGTTCTTGTTGTAGAATATTTCAGTATTTGTTTTGAATGTAACCTCAACATTTGTCTTTTGTTTGGCCTTTGCTGTTAGAACACCCTCCATTGGATTGATGGTAAAATGCGGTTTGAGCTTATCAGGAATAATAAACTTGAACGCAGCATCATATTTTCCATTATTGTACATGGTAATAGTTTTGGAGCTAGAGTCATAAACTTTGACAGTTCCAAAGTCAAGCGAGCAGTCCATAGTAACATCCATACCGAACGCATCTGCCTTTAGTTGAATTGGTGTCTCCTCTGCTGGTAACAGCTCTTGTATATCTGAAATTGCCAATAGTAGTTTTTCTTCCACTTCACAAGCAATATCAGTAATAAATTTAACTGAGATTGCAACTTGATCACCTGGTTGTAGTTTTCCTTCTGATGGCTCAACTGTGAACTCTTTTTTAAGTTGGGCCTTATTTTTAATGCTCCATAGTATAGGAATTGCAGCCATGTTTTTCATATTAATTATTTCTGTATAACCAGAGCTTGAAAGTAAAACCTTTCCAAAATCAATCTTTGTTTTGTCTAATTCAATCTTGGGTTTAGATCCTGTGCATGAAACGTCAAACTTGAATGGTGTTGGGTTGTTTTTCACAGTACAAATAATGGAATTCTTGATTTTACCCACTATTTTCGGTAATGCCCAAACTTTGACTTCGGCTGTTGCATCTGGATTTATGGACAGTTGGTTTGGAGAAATTAAAAATGCCTTGTCCTCTTTTTCCAATGAAAAATTGAGATCACATGTAAATTTTCCATTGTTGGTAAACCTGAAAACATCATAGTATTCTTTAAAGTTATTCTCGTCCAGATTATCATAAGATGGCCTGATTAATAATGGTCCAAACTCATAATTGTTTTCTGAAATTACATATTTTTTAGCAAGACCTTTGTCTGGACGTGACTTAATTCTTCGACTGAAAATATTCTTGTAATAAGTGCTAATTTCAGGATAGCTACAGGAACCGCTTGTCTTAATTGAGAATTGAGAACTTCTTCCATAAATTCCAAAAGTAAGTACTGCGTCGAATTTACCAATTTGCTTTGATGTAAATTTGATGAATAATTCTTGTTTTCCTCCTGGAGAAATGGTCCATCTTGTTGTTTCAGATTGTTCATTTTCTGAGCTTGACACAATTGTGAAAGGAGAAGTTGTGTTGACTGGTTGAACTTGAGATGGTTTTTTGATGACTTGAAGCAAATATGGCTCAGGAATAGCTAGCTCCATTTTCTTACTTGGCTCTTTTGCATTAGCATGTTCTTCAAGAGCAGGAACGCTTTGTATCAAGGATTCAAATAGATCCTGTTTTGTTTGAGCAGATACCTTGAAATAGAAAATTTTGTTTTCAACAACTTCCTCTTCCTTCTTTTTGACAGGCATATTTTTCTTATTCCCTGTTGTTGGCTCTTCTGGGGTGACCTTTTTGAATGAGTTTTGAACTTCGAAATAGTATTGCTTGAAATATTTGATTCGAGTATCAAAGAGGCTATCATCAGCAGTAACAGCTAACTCATCGGCAAGAGTTGTATAATTAAGCTTTTCGTTGCTTGGAGTTTCTGGTCTGGTATTATTGCTTTTAGTGTTTGAAGCAGGCTTCTTTTTCTTCTTAGCTTCTTCTTCCATCTTTTTCAAATACTCTTCATCCTCTTTTTTCCTCTCAGCTAACACCTCTGAAATGTATTTTGTAGTTGCTCCAGCTAACTCTTTTTCTAATCGAATGAAATCTGCATAAAGACGGTCATATTGTGTCTTATTTTCTCTGAACGTTTTGATTTGAGCCTCATACATCTTTTTCTCATTTTCTGCAAGAGTTTCATATTCTTCTTCAGTTAATTTGGGATATCTAGATTCTTCCATAATTTGCTTGGCTTTTTCAACTCTTTCAGAAAGCGCTCTAGACCTAATTTCGGCTTCATTAGCATCCAAACAAATGAGAGTTGCGTTTTCGAGTGCAAGCTTTTCCATAATAAGTTTTGTGATTGTTTCTTGATCACTGAATCTGTCAGAATACAATCCATCAATGATAAACCCATTCTTGCAATCATTTTGAGAAAATCTTTCTGAAAAAGCCAATCCCAACTTGTCATACATGCGTGTATCATTAGGTTGCTTAGTCTTAGATGATGATGGTCTTGCTGTAGTGATGGTTGAGTTATTATCATCCGTATGACTCTGACAGTAATCATTCCATGCAGAATCGATGGTGATCATCGGAATATTTAGCTTGGATGAAATAAATGAAGCTATCTCCGATTTAAATGACACAGGAGGACCATGAATAACGTAAATATTTCTCTTTTTTGTAGTCTCATCTTGAGCAGTAGCTTCAACAGATCTAGCACTAGCTTGTGGTTGAGAATCTCCCTCTCCGCATTCTTTTTTCACAAGATCATTATACTTTTGCAGTATGTCTTCATTTAAAGGTCCACCAAATTTTCTTGGCTTTGCTAGAATGTAACCCTTGTCAAAGTTATCACAGGAGAGAATGATTTCAGACTCTCGCCTGTATTGTTCGTCAAAATCCACGGAATAAACATCTATTGTACATTCGCTATTGTTACTAATACTGAATGGTATGAAGCTCGCATTATATGGTAAAATAGGTCCGAGCTCCTTTTCCACATAATCCACTTTAATATTGAGATCCTTTCCATTTCCAGTGCATGTGATTTTTGTTGGCTGAGGATTGTAGTTGCATTTCAAGAAAAATGTCTGACTGAGCTTTTTGTCTAAAGTGGGCATGAAAGTGATAGCAATGTTTTTCTTTTCTCCAGGACTTAGAACTCCTTCCATGACGTCAAATAAGAAATTGGTGTCTTTCTTTCTTCCATTGTTACTCTCTATAACCCATTCAGAGTTGACATCCTTGTCGTTGTAAATTTGAATAGTATAAACTTTTGCATAGCCTACATTAACATCTCCAAAGTTAAGAGAGGTCTCAGAAATACTAATCTCTGGTAAAATAACATTTGCTCTTGCTTCCAACTCTATAATATAACCATTCAGAACTCTGATTGGAATAATGGCTTTATATTCTCCAATATCCACACGTTCGCTCTTAGACTGGAAAATAATATCAATTGGAGTCGATTGATTATCTGGATATCCAGGTAAATTAGAAATTTCGGAGGGCTCGATAGAGAGGCCATATTTGGCTAATTCTTTCTTGTCAAAGCGTAGATATACTGGTAGTACTCCAACATTTGTAAGCTTGAACGTTTTTTTCTTTGTAAGCCCCTTAATCGTTGATCCAAAATCAACAACTACTCTCTGTAGCACAATGTCGGAAGATTCAAGTTTTTGTGAATTGGGGGTTGTGGTTCTCGAGGAGCGAGGAATGGATCGTAGTTTTGAATTTCTCAGTGAATTCATCAAGAGATATTCACAGAACAATAGACGTTCTGCCTCTTTCTGAACGTCGGACTGAACAATCGATAAATTCTTAAAACTTGTACTTTTTCCTTCTGAGCCCAACTTTTTCAGTGCCTCTTGCATTAAAGTTATACCTCTCGAGCCATTCTTTTGAGCCAATTCTAAATGCTTTTCAAAGTCTTGTTGATTGGAGTATGAAATTGCATTCGCCTGGTCATCTTTACCCACTTTTGTGGTTAAGTGAATCATTGGATGAACTGAAACAGCTTTCAAGGATACAATAATAGGTTCATACATGGCCACCATTAGAGTAAATTGCTCATTGATAACCTCAGGTATTCCAGGTATGAGCTTTACAACCAGCTTTTGTTTTTCTCCGGGCTTGATTCTGCCGTTTTCTGGAGTGACTTGAATGATATCTTTTCGTTTCAGTGTTCCAAAATCAAAATTAAAGTCAATTGCAATTTTTCCTGTGTTAGAAATAGTAATATCTTTTTCTTGAGGAGAATAGTAGGGAATTACTCCATAGTCCAGTTCAGAGTTGTCAACTCCAAATTTAACAGAAGAAGATTCACCTCTAAGATTCATGATGTAATTAGGGCCTCCTTCCACTTCACAAATTGCAATTGCGGTGTTCACTCCAAACTTGACAGCATTGTACACAAATCTAATATCTACGCTTTCACCAGGTTCCAGAATTCCGTTCATAGGTAAAATGTCAAATATTTGAGAAGTTGCTAAATCTCCATTTTCTGGAATTTCAAATATCCAAGAGAAAACAGCTGATAATTTTCCTCTATTTTCAAGAGTAATTGTTTTTGATTTTTCAGCATCTGCTACAACCGTTCCAAAATCAATAGCCGTAGAGCTAAGTACCAAGTTTGGAAATACAACTGTTCCGAGAAGATCGATAGAACTCTTGTTAGGATGGTCTGAATAAGTTATTATCATCTTTGACTTGATGTCAGTAGATTGTTTGTCTGTTTTGTATGCTGGGTTAAACTGTACTTCAAGGGTTTTAACTTGTCCTGGTTCTATGGTATAATCTGTGCAGCTCAAAGAAAATGGAGGTGTTGCCTTTACGGAAAACGTTAATGGTAAAGGTGAAATATTGGTAACGTCCACGGTTTTCGTTTGAACAGTTGCTGGCACTCCCTTTACGTATCTGTACAAGAAACTGAGTGAACTTTCAGAGAATTTAAGCAATGGAACAGATATTCTAGATTTTAGGGCCGGAGTTGAAATGACAATATCCTTTTTTCCTGACATTTTACATATCCATGGCTCAGCAACTTCTCCTTCTTTTTCACAAAAACCTTCAATGGTAAATGCTTGCAAAGTTTTTGGAGGAATTACAACCCTATCAGGAGAAATTTTGAAAACTGGTACCGTTTGGTCTCCTTTCTTTCTCTCTTGCATCCAAGAAATTTTTTGAGGTTTTCTGCTCTTGTTCTCAAGGGAAATGACTTTCTTGAACGCTCTACTTGTAAACTGATCCCCAAAGTCAATTTCATTAATTGGCTCTGTAGGAATGACGGTATTTCCTTTTCCAATAGCGGTAAGCTTTACAGAAAGTTTTTCACCATTTTCTATTGTTAGTAATAAATCATCAGAAAATTTCACGGTATCATCTAAAACAGCATCAATAATGAAATCAATTTCTCCTTTTGGTTCAATGGTACCACTCATAGATTGAGATGAAAAAATTCCTGCTGATTTTCCTCGAAATTGAGCGCTATAGCTAGCAGGTATTGGGCTGTTATTGTACATTTTTAGCTTGGCATGCTGAGTTTCAAGAACATTCACTTTTCCAAAATCAATAACTGGATAGCTTAGCTGCACCATTGGTCCAATAGAGTGTGCGGTGACTAACACCTCAAAAGGATCTTGCTCGCTTCCAACAACTTTCACAAAAATCTTGAATGATATATCACCAAGTACTTTGGATTTGAAATAAATATCTACACATGCAGAACTTTTGTTTGTAACAATGCCCATTGTCGAATCTGTTCTACAATCATATTGTTTTACCTCTTCAGGCAGTATTATCTCATACTTGGATGACATGTTGGTACTATTAACTAATTCTAACCTTCCACAATATTCGTAACCAATAAAGCAGTCACCAAAATGTATTTCTGATTTGGCTAGCGTTATTGTTGGAGCTACAGTAACAGCTCGAATAGGTACAGCAACCAGAGCATCTCCAACACCTTCAACATCTACAACCAAAGTAGACTTGTTTTCTCTCAAAACTGTAGAAAGGTATTCTATCTTAATCTGCTTCTTTGTATGAGGTAGTATACTACCGTTACTGGGAATAATATCGAATTGTCTCTTTAACATTGTACCATCTTCTGGAATTCGTAGGTTAAACTTCATTGGAATCTCACAAGTGTTGATAATATGTACATATTTTGTGTTTAAAAATCCGTATGGCACCATTCCAAAATTGAGTTCATCACAATCAAAATTAAAGGTTGGGCCAATAATTTGACCACTAAAGTGAAGCCGTAAATCCTCGTGTCTTCCTTCAATTCTAAAGTAGATGTCTTCCTCAAAACTTCCTATGATGTCAGAGTTGAAAAATATTTTGATAATTTGAGATTCTGTTGCCGCCACATATCCACTAGCAGGAACAAATTGGAATTTGGGTCCAAACAGTGAGGTTGGCTTAATAAGTTCAAAACTAGCGCCAATTTGTCCCTTATTATCCAATCTAATTTCATATTCATGTACCGAGTTGATAAAAATTTCTCCAATGCTAATCTCTGTGTACGAAAATGAAACATTGGGACCTCGTCCTCTTCCTTGTAATCTTAAGGGTAATCGAATTTCTCTACCTGTTATTTCGCAGAAGGCAATTTTATCGTAATCAATCTCCTTTTGTGGATGAAAATCGATGGATATTTCAAGCTCTTGATTTGGCCATATTTCTCCTTTGAGTGGATAAATGGAAAATGCATCATCACGAAAACTTAAATCATCATTCTCAATTTCTCTTTTCTTTAGTCTGTATTCTCTGCTTGTTTCTTCGTGCTCCAATGCAAGTTGAGTAATTGATCTTGTTTTGAAACTAATCTCGTCGTCAGCAACAGAAAATAGTTTCCAGCTAAAATTTACACGGATATTACTATTATTCACGATCTTCATTGTTCTTTGAGTGTTGCAAGTGATGTACGTGTTTTGAAAGGCCAAGGCATTGGCGTCTAACTTCACATTGGCGCTCTTGCCTAATCCATGAAGATTAATGATTTTGCAGTTGATGGTGTCGAAACCTAGTTTTAGTTTACCGTAATAATGTTGTGTTTTTTCAGGATAAAAATCAATTGTTATTTGGACTCCTTCTCCTACGTTTAATTCAGGAACTTCCTTCGGAGAGACAGAAAATGGATATTCAGCCTCCAAGCTGAATCCTTTAGATTTGCTCTTTCCAATATTCCTGACATAAATTACTTTAGATGTAGAATATTTTACAGGTGCATCATCAAACGAAACACTATTCGGAATGTCAAGAAGAGCTGTTTACATTTGGAAATAAATTATGAGCTGGCTTCAAGCAACATACCTCGCAATCCCACTGCGATAATTGGCACAGTGAATTCCTCTTGTTCAGTTCTTACTATTAAATCGCAATTATAGTCAATCTTTTCATCAGGAGAGAAGAAAATATTGTATGTGACATCAAGACCGGGAGCGACAAGAGTGTTGGTAGTATTTTTTTTGACAGATTCAACTCTGAAAAAACGAGATTTTGGAGCGAAAATGCTAATTCTTCGAGACACCTTTAAAACAGTTTTCATCGCTTCGCGTCTTTACGAATGAGTACTTACCGTGTCATTATTTCGAAAGGATATGGTCTCCTTATAGTTTCCCGGTGCTTCAAAATCTTTAAAAACTATTTGATTTGGAAACGCCTGGAAAGCCCCACATCCTAGAACATTTTGTGTATTCTCTTTATCGGGGTTCAAAGTAGATGTCGAGCCTGATTGAATTCCGTTTCCATTATTAAAAATAGTGGGACTACTTGATGAAATCATGCTCCCTGATAAATTGGAGCGCGATGTATTCATTTTTTTTAAAGTTGTAGGGAAAATTGGCGCCAACAGAGAACAGTCTGTCCTTTATGACAAAAGCGAAGACTTCAAGAAAGATTTTGGCAAAAGAAAAAATGCACTCAAAACATTCCTCGAGTTGGCTCTTGAATTTAGACCATAGAATTACATTCTATCTTTTTCATCATCTCAGTAATAGCACTAGTAAACATCCAACACTCTTTCAGAATACCATGACTTTATTTTGGAAATTAATTACGTTCACCAATGATGGCTGGATTTATTGCATATTATTCTTTTCATGCGGATATGAAATTTATCAATCATCATCCTCGCCGAAAGAAATATCCTATCAAGAATAACCGTGGATTTTATTTGGATTTTCACCTCTGAATTATATGATATTATTCTTTGCATGTTTTTTTGTAGATTTATTCATTGTTGGAAGTGTCAAGTTATTATGGAAAAGAATTCGACCAGTGAATGACCACCAATTTTTAACCATTCATTTTGAACAGAATATAAAACATACCAATCATAAGGTGAAAAAACATACTACATTTTGGGAAGTTGAACATGGTCCAGATCAGTATAGCTTTCCTAGCGGACACGCATCAAGAGCTTCATATATTCTACTTATATTTTCATGGAAATTGTTTTATTTGGATCATTTTTGTGATTTTTCACATGTATTACTGGTGTCGACGTGGTGGTTTTGCATTTGCTTGTCTCGAATATGTTTGGGAAGACACTTCTTTTTTGACATTTTATGTGGAATTCTTGCAGGTACACTTTCTTTTTCAATAGCTCTCTTTTTATCTGATCATGTGCTCATTTCTCTCATCCACTCTTTCCTTTCCATTTCCACGAAATAGGTTCAACCTTGTGCCAGATCATGACGTCCTTCCAATTAATTCATCATGTAATTATTGAATTCAATGTTAAATTTTGAAAATTAAAAAAAATGCTAATGAAATTTCACAGGTGCGGAGTGAATCATTCAATCAAAAACTCTTCATGGCGTAGTTGTGGTACCAGTATCATCATGCACTTTTCCCCACAAAGTCATTTTATGGCTCGGAAGACATTCAACAACAATACTTCCATTCTGAATAATCACAAGTACCACTCAAAATCATATCACACACAACCACATGTCAAATTCATCTTGTCGGAAAAGGATTATGAACGATTAAAACAACAACAAGATGCTACTCCACAGACATCTCCACATACAACTTCAAAATCTACAGAACAAACTCAACAATCTGAATCTATGGTTGAACAAAAAGAGGCAAATCCTTCAAGCAGCACCGAGCAAAACCAAGAAGAAAATACCACACAGAATGTCATGAATAATGGATCCATACCACAACCTCTTGAAAACACAAAAATTACACGTGACGAACTTGCCTTCGCCAATCCATTCTATAGAGATGTGGACGAAAAAACAGCTATTGAATATGAGGATGCTTTGAACGACAAAGAGAGAACTCCATTTCCAATGTGGTTGATGCGTGTGTATAGATATGCTGCCATTGGTGTTGCTCTATTTATTTTCTTTGGAGTTTTGAACAATTACAGAGAAGAACCAGCAGTGCAGGAAAGATACAAAATTTTGGAAGAGAAACGAAAAAAGAGATTGGAACAAATGAACCTATTAGAACAAGAGATGGATTTCCATAATATGGCAAAAGAAAAGAGTACGATAAAAGCTATTAAATCAGCTTTGACCATGCAAGACCAAGAGAGTAAATAATAATTTCTTTACCAACTTGTCCACAAACTGTGTTTCAGTATTTCACAGCATTTCAGGATTCATATTATTAATGATCGTTTATTCTCTCTTCTTTAATGCTTCAAATCTCTTTTGTAGTTCATCAAAATCGTAGCTGTTGGGATCTTGTCCAAATCCACCTGAATTATTTCCAAACGTGCCATGTGCTAAGGGTGGTACTTCTGCGAACATAGATGGTTGCTGAGGATTGAAATCAACCGAGTAGCCAGATTGATTCGTTGGACGCAGATCTGTGTTTGGAGCAAATTGAGGTTGTGAATTTGCATTGTACAATCCAGGACTGTATGCTGGAGGTGGTCCTTGATGAAATTGTTGAGTTTGGAATGGTTGGTTGTGTTGTATTGGTTCAGATGTCGGAATTGAAAAGGTTTGAAGAGCTGGATTAATATTTGCTGGTGGTATTTGTTGATTGTGCACGTCTACATCTGTCACAACATTGCTGTCATCCCATTCAATGCCATTTTCTTTTGCAATTTCTCTCAAATAATCAATACATAGATAAGGTTCTGGTACCTTCACATCCAGTTTAAACATTACACGTTGATTTACAGCTAGGTCCTTATTTTCCATTGCAGAATCCACAAAATCTTTTCCCCACTTTGCTGAGAACTGATTTCTCACTTCCATTAGCTCTTTAACTTCAGTTCTCGGAGCAGCGTAAATTAATGTACTGACTGCCTCCTTCATGTCATGAGGGCATGATCTAATTGGTATAACGAAACAGCAATAATTGGTTGATGATCATTCATAAACAGAATTGTGTTGTAATATTACAACAACATAATTTCGGAATAGTCTTGGTCAAAGAAACAGCTCCTCCATATGAGAAAATACTTACTTGGATTCTGCGAGTAATTGAATTCTTGTATGGACCAAATCACAAAACAATTCCAATATTTCGAGCGCTTCAATAGCATAATCCTCTCTAATAATATTTTCTACTTTAATTCTGGCAGATTCATCCTTTTCTTGTTGTAATAATTCTGCGACTTGTCGTTTTTGGAGTTTGATAGAGTTGGATTTTTTGTTTCTCAGCAAGCCAATTCTAGTGATGGCCATCTTCAAATTGCTCTTACTGATGTTTTCATATTATTATAAACCCAATATTAATTGATTAGATTTTTTTCATCCCGAAGGTATGATCAACACATTCCGAAAATGATTGTGTTCATCAACATTAAGAATTCAACAAAATTTCGAATATTGATCCAAAGATCCATACAAATGAGAGCAACAACAACATTCAGCAACTAGCAGAGTTGAATCCATTAAATAACCTACACTTTGTTCACATCAAACTTTTCCTTCTTTTCAAATAAGCCCATTTTTTTTTATAATTATCAACGTTCTTTCGATTTGGAAACTAATGAATTAGAAACTAACAACAAAAAGGAGAAGGGCGTCACTGCACTCTCATGTTTATTCGAATCTTGAGGAAGAAACAAGTCAACATTCAATAAGGAGGAGAGGACTGAACTGAACCTCCTCCTTTCAACATCAACATGAGTTGAATAGTGTCTCCATTCTTTAGATGAGCATCCACAATGGAAACATCATCGGGAAGTATTCTGCCGTGAATGACAAGTCGTTGTTGCACCACTGCAAGACCAATCTTCTCTTGAATGAGTTGTTTGAGGTAGGAAACTTTGTCCGTGTCTTGAACGATGAATTTGTTTAATGCACCAGTAATAGTTTTGATGTTGAGTTGCATGATGAAACACTTTGAGTTTGTTTTGTGTTGGTAAAACAGTCCAGCAACTGTTGCTATTAAATAGTCCCCTTTCGAAAAACGTGAAAATTGAACCAGTTCTTGTTGAGCCATCACAGTTGTATGTCTTCGAGCAGAAGAACCAGTTCTCAGTCTAAAAAAAGTTACCCTTCTCTTACTAGTATTCTCAAAATATTGTCTCAAATTATCTTTATTTACATTTCATCCCAATTATTAATCATGGTGAAGCTTGCGGACATCAATTTTCTCTGTCACTTTGAATGCCTTTGGTTTTTGTCTTGTTCGCACGGAAGGAGACAAGTCATCGAATTGTTCACTTAGATCGCTACGAGAACTAGATGGGCTCTTATCTTGTTGTTGTTGAACATCACTGAACTCCACATTTGAGGTGAAGTTAATTCTCGTTTTAATAGCACCTTCCAAAAATCGAAGTGCTAACACAAGAGTTGGATTCGACTCTGGGTCTTCCATAATGTCATTGATCAAATTCTTAATGTAACTTTGGAAGAAAACTACAATAACAATGACAGCAATTAAAAGATAAATAGGATTACTCAGAATGGCATAAAACTCATTCCATCCCAAAACTAACAAGGCAACATAAATCCATCCAGGAATATTCGATCTGTTTTGTAACGCAATAAGTTGTGCTCTTTGAGCATCTCCATAACTACGTTCAGTATTCAAAATATAGGATTCATATGCTCGAACACAAGCATTTTCATCCATGATTAAAGAACTTTGAAAGATAGACATTGCATCTCTCACAGGAAGAACAACCTTTTTCTCACCACCTGGAGTGGATGGTGTTGTCACAGAAAGAGCAATAATTGGAGAGGAGGTACTATTTTCACGTGTGACCTCAGGTTGAACAAGATGCTTCAGAGCATTTTGAATGTCATCCTGTGGTGGGAATGCAAAACCGCTCACTGCTCCTGCTTCGTTCAAGTTTGGTAAACGGAGGTGAATATTATCAAGTTCCTCGTGGTCTAATCTACATAAGAAAAGTACGTCCAAAATTACAATGGCCTCTTGTCTTGCCTTTGAATAATCCTCCTTGATCTTTTCTAGATTCTTCCAAACTCGTGGCATTCCATGTTCGTCTCTCTTGAATAACTCTTCGAACTTGCTATTGAGAGTGAGAGAAATGACATTGGTAATTTCTCTCACTTTTGTAATTATTTCTTCTCTAGCAGTAGAATGGATTCTATTCACATATTTGGAAATGTCATTGACGTCTAATTCTCGAAGAGATGATGAAAGTTGTTCTTCCTCTTCTTGAACTTTCTTAGCATAGTAACTACGAAGAGATTTCCAAAGGTTGACGTTTGGATGTGTAACCCATGGATTGATATCTTCTCTGATATGTTTTTTAAGCTCATCAAGTTGAACCTTAACAACCACTTCTACTTGTTTTTCACGATACTCCTCGATGATTATTTTAAGCTCTTCTTCGAGAGTTTCTAAAATCAAATCAAAAGAAAATCGTTCTTCTAATCCTGGATAGACAGATCTCTTAACATGGTCCAAAAAGAAGTCCTCCACCACTGTATCATGAAATTGCTTGATGGTATGCGAAAAGTCCTCAACTACCTGTCCTTCGTCAATCTTGTGTTGTAGAGCGGCTTGAAGATGTTTTTTGAAGGCATCCAAAGATTTCTGTTTCAAAATTGTCAACTGGCTGTTAAAAATCATGGCCACCTCCGTAATCATTCTTTCCTTGAACTCAGCTGCCTTGTTTGCAACGACATCTGGTACGTATAATTTTGTTTGATCCAAAAAAGCAGCAATTTCCCTCTCTACTCTCTCTTTTGCTTGAGCTCCAAAATTTGAAACCAGTTGCTTTTTCTTATGCTCAGCATTCCATTCTTTTAAGACCTTTTCAAAATTTGTACTGAAGAGTGTGTTTGAAATTTCATCACAACGATACATGGCCAACATTTCTTTTTGCGTTGGAATGTCCAAGTCCTTATTGGCGTCGATGACTTTCCAAATTTCGCTTGCATACATTTCAAAATCGTCGATGGGAACTGACTTTTTGTACTTTTGACTGAAGATATAGTGTTCATGATTTGGGTCAACGAATCTTCCTCTCATTTGGTCAATTTCTTGCTCAAAAAGTTCAGGTTGTAATTCTTTATGTGGTAATGAGGTAAAATCAAAATCAAAAAAGTCTGTCACTTGAGAATTTTCAAAATCCTTTGGTTTCATAATTCCTGTCCATATTTTCTCAATATCTTTCATCATTTGCTCCTTTAAAGTATCAAGATCAGTTGTTGACCTGATATGATCTCTAATGACAAACAAAAGCAAAGTTTTTGATGGACTAGAGTAAAAATTGATTCACATCGTCAATCACACGTTTCGCCACAAAAATTCAAAATACATACTTATTCTTTTGAAACAATTGCAAGTTCAACTCAAATACCACTCTTAGCAATGAAAGATTAGCTGCATTATATCTTCCGATATCTTGTTGCCACATATTTACAAGCAAAACCTCGGAAATTGCAAGCGCAAACAATGAAATCTTTCTCTCAAATGCCATATTATCATCACCTGATCCTCTTTCCTTTGAATCCGTTCCTTCCAAGTCCATTAATAATACATCTGTATCTATGGTCTTTTGAGCCTTTGCCATACAAACTCCGAGAGTGACTTGATAACGACCGGAACGAGCATCCATGGTTGGGAAATGAGTATTGAAGAGTCTATTGAGCAGAGTGCTCTTACCACTACTCTGAGGGCCAAAAACAGAGAGAATGTTGTAATTGACTCCTTTTCCCTTCATATTGGATTGAGTGATGAATGAGTCCAAATTAGTGCTAATTAGTAAGTTTGAAATTTGGCATCAGTTAGTTTTATACGAGATAATGTAGAGTAACCATCACGACAACGGCAATATTATCACCATATTAATTTTGATTTGTCAAATGTTTTTCGGAGAAGAAGTGATTGATGAATTGTCGGAACAATTTCAAAATGTTGTTTTGATGTCAATAAGTCTTGTTATTTAACAATTTCATAGAAACGTACGTGAATTTACCATCTCCATCGACTAACTGAACGAATGCCGACATGTCTTTAGATTCTGAGGATGGCTGAGTCTTAGGGTGTTTTTCAGTCATTTTTTTGTAATTCTTTTGTGAATGTTCAATCGAGTCTTCAGTACTCTGAAATGACGTCAACTGATAAAGTAAAATCGTGTTCACAAATCAAAGAATGGAGAGATTGCATTAAAACTGATTGGTCAGTTCAAATGATAAATGTAGATTTATTGAGAGATTCTTGTTGCCAAGTCGCTAACGGATGGCTTAGGTAGTTAATAATTTAGTTTATGAAGTCATGTATGTCTTGGAATCGATTTGATTTGGCATGTCCTTAATCTTAACTTCGAAGCGATTTTGAATGTTTTGTAATACTTGCTCGTCAGTGACTTCTCTTTCGAATTTTTTGCCGACCTTGGATGGCATGTCAGGAGAGATGAAGGAAATGGCCAAACCCTTGGTACCAAATCTGCCAGCTCTACCAACTCTGTGCAAGTAAGAGTCTGGATCATCAGGCATATCGTAATTGATGACAATGTTCACACGTTGGATATCAATACCACGACCTAGCAAATCAGTACTAATCATAATTCTCTTTTCAAAGTTCTTGAATGATTGATATTTAGCAAGTCTTTCCTCTTGCGTCATGTCAGAGTGCATGGTGATACATGGGAAACCAATCTTTTCCAAAAGTTCCTTGAGCTTTTCTGCTCTATGCTTAGTTCTAACAAAGATAACAACTTGATTGAACTCGAGAGCGTCCAACAAACTGATCAACTTGCTATTCTTTTCATCTTCCTTGAGATTAACATAGTATTGTTGAAGTCCGTGAAGGGTGAGTTTAGAGTCACTGTCCACTGTGACCTCGTTCAAAGCAGAGGTGTTCATGAATTTCTTTGCAGTGTTACGCATCTCTTGTGAGAGAGTTGCACTGAACATCATGACTTGCTTGTTTTTAGGTGTCTTCTTGAAGATCTATAATAATGTACAAAAATCAAATAATATGAATCATAGCATGATGAATATCCAACAACAATTGTTAATGTGTGTTCGGATAATGTTCAGGATTATCATGTGTACATTTACGTCATCATCATTGATGTCCACAATCATCATAACAAGCATCATGTGATTATTGTTTCAATGAGCATATTGATCATCAATTCATACAACAATAATAATCCATCATGATAGTGTTTCGAGATCAAGTGTGTGGTCATTATGATGATTTGAGTAACAATTGATGATTTCGGTGATGATGTATCATCATATTATACAACAATTTTTCATAGGCCAACATCATACAACAATTAATGGTTAATGTGATACAAACAACAACAATTAATACAAACCTCTTGCATATCATCTCTCATCTCGGTTGATTCCAAAACCTTATCGCATTCGTCAACAATGAAGAATTTTACATTGCCGAGTTTCAAATGTCCACCCTTTGCCAATTGTAAGACTCTACCAGGAGTACCAACCACAATATGTGGAGTTTCTTGCTTCAATTGATCGATATGATTCTTGATTGGCAAGCCTCCAATGAAGGATTTAACTTTAACTTCTGGAAGATATTTAGTAAATCTGCTGAATTCTTGGCAAATTTGGAAAGCCAATTCTCTAGCATGGCACAAGATGACGCACATTGTCTTTTGTTCTTCTACTTGGAGTTGTTGAAGAACAGAAATAACAAATACAGCGGTCTTACCCATACCAGACTTGGCTTGGCAAAGAACATCGTTACCAGTCATGGCTTGAGGAATACATTCATGTTGTACTTCGCTCGGATGTTCAAAGCCGCAATCAGCAATGGCTCTCAAGATCTCAGGCTTTAATAAAAAGTCTCTGAAACCAGAGCTGTTAACCGAAGAGTAACCTTTAGTTGCTGCAGGCTTTTTGTCTGTAGCAGGTGTTGGCTTGATGGTTTCAGTTTCTTCGAAATCAGCCAATTCTTCGTCAACAACTTCCTTCTTTTGCTTGGACATTTTTTTTGAGTTTGATAATTCATCTTCAACAACAAGCTTCGCGAAGCTTTTTGGAATTATGGATAAGATTGAAGTCCATCATCCATAGTATGATTCTTGGTTAAGATGATGATGGAGGGATATCCATTGAAGTTTTACAGAACGTATTCCTATCCGTGGAGTATTTTTCTTGGTATGCTGTGCATGAAAATTTTTAAAGTCAAATTCGTCCAATATTGATCGAAAACGTGATTGTGATGAAGTACTTCTCTTTTAATACTAGACTTCCAAATTCACAAGTCATCATGTGCTCACCAATTCAATACAGATCCATCATATTGAAAAAACTTTCCATTGTGCGTCTCTGGAGTAAAATCATCTAAAAGCTTTATAATTCCTGGAACTGCCTCTTGTGTTGTCAATGGTGCCTTATCTGTTCCAGTATCCGTTTTCACTGTTCAATTCGATCATCAAATACATTACATTGTAGTATTTTCATAAATATTCCATTTAAGAACCATTTTCATAATTTAAATATTTGGAATCGTTCAAAACATCCGCACACATGCAAACAATCAATTTTCTTCAAAACTCTTACACAAACAACACTCTGCGACTTACCCCAACCAGGATGTATGGCAAATGCGTAAACGTGACCCTCCAACTCAATACTCATCATTTTCGTTAACATATTGAGCGCTGTTTTCGAGCAACAATAACTCACTCTCTTTCTAGGTCGATTCGTTCGATTAATACTTGCCATTCCACTCGATACATTTGCCACAATGGCTCCATCTTCAAAACAATGATTATTATACAAATGTTGAACCATTAGTAGAGGTCCAATACAATTTGTCTCATAGACAGAGAGCATGTCTTGTTTGGTAGCATTGAGAAGTGTTTCAAATCGATTTGGACTAAATGTTCCTGCATTATTGATAAGAATGTGAAATTTAACGTTTTGATTTTTCATCTTTTCAACATAGGTTTTGATAGTTTCTTCTTGAGAAACATCGAGAGAATCAATCTTCAAACGATCAGGATATAATTGTAATAAGTCTTGTAATTGTGTTGCATTTTCTGGCTTTCTACAAGTTGCAAAAACTCTACGTTTATCATTGACAGAAAGTAACAGTTCAACCAATTTCAATCCACTTGGATAGCATGATGATAAAAAAATAGTTAAAAATTATTATCATGTTCAGGATGCGAATTACAACCCCACACCAGATTTACAAATAATAATTTTCAATTAAATTTGGTTTCCATTTCTCCACAAAATCGCAAACATACATTCCCTTTGAACAACCAGTGATGAGAATATTTTGAGCTGTTTGTAAATTCATGTTCATGTACAATTTCTTGTTGATGTGGTGAGTACTTGTGTCCAATTCCGAAGCTCACACCTTCCAGTTGAAAAAGATTCGGCGTGAACCGCAAGTTTCAATATTTTTTTTCGTGTCTTTTCCCAAAGCGATGAAACTTTGATGTACATACACAAAGATATTGACTCAAAAAAAACAAGTATTAGATACCCAGTGTATGCAATGAAAAACTTCGTTCCAAGCAACCACACCAACATGTGGGTATACACATGTTTGCTCGTGCTTTTCATGTTTGTTCAATGTTCAACTGCACAAATCTTGACTCGTGTTAAACCAGACTCGATTCTCGTGTTGAATACCAACCAGACTGGTTACATTGATCATGTCATCCCAATGAATGAACAACAACCAGAAGGCATGTTTATCATTAGTGGAAGTCCCAATCGAATGACCATTCTCAATTCATTCCATGTGTTTCAAAGTTTCGTCATTGACACTTCATCAAATCCAAAACTCAACACGATGGGTGTAACAGAAACATGCAAAGGAGGTTTATACACTCCAGACTATGGTTCATTCAATTTAGTGTATAGTGGATCTTCGATTGGAAAATCATATATTGTCCAATTGAAATCCACAAATTTGTCTCAAATTGTGGATTTGGTTTCACTAGGACCTCAATCTCAAGTCATTGATGTGGTTGCCAATCGAGAGTTGAAACTCTTACACATCATGTTGAAGAAGAATACTCTCTTGACTCTCCTCACATTCGATCCTAAAGATAATTCCATTCGTGAACAATTATTTCCAACCATGACTGCTGCCAAGATGCACTTTAATATTGAGTTAGGTCTTGTGGTTGGAGTTGGCAATGCAACTGAAGGTCATTTACTCGTTTTGGATCCAATTTCATTGCAAGTGTTGACTGAACAATCCTTACAACGACTCTTCACTGTAGATTCCATCACTTCATCGGTAACAAACAGACAATTGTTGATCATCTACTCCGAGTATTATACTTCTATGGTTCAGTTCACCTACCACCCCTCTACCAAAACATTTTCTTTCACTCAAGGAGTGTATCATAATGAATATATGAGAATATCAAGATGTGAAATTAGACAGACAGCTACATGCTTGAATGATAATAGAGCAATTATGGCTTTCAATCTTATGGTCTCGTACAAGGATCCACGTTACTATGCATTGGAGGCAGAGGATGACTTGAGATTGAGTTTTACTCAATACGACGATGAAGATCAAGCATTGTTGTATGTGCCTCAAACCTATTTTGATGGAGCGACCTTTAAAATTGGAATATTCAATTATGCAAAATTGCTTCCTTAACTTCTTGTTCAAATGCCATTGCTTTGGTGAAATGAAGACTTTTTTCATAAACATTCACTACTGAAGTGTTTTATTCTCACAATAAAAACATAAATAAAAGAAATCTTTGTGTTTCAAAATTCAAACTATCCAAAATGGAATCTAAAGCCACCACCACCTGGGAATCCACCTTCTTGGAAGAAGGAACTGAATGGGTGACCATGATGGAATCCACCGCCTTGATCACCGTGACCATGTTGAGTGTCAAATTCACCTGCATCGTATTGTCTACGCTTGGTTTCATCGCTCAGAACTTCATAGGCCTCTGTAACTTCTTTATACTTTTTAGCAGCCTTTTCCTTTTCTTGTGGTGTTTTGTGCTTGTCAGGATGATATAATTTGACAAGCTTTCTGTATGATTTACGAATGTCGTCTTGGGACACTTCATTCTTCTTCTTTCTATCAAATCCAAGAGCCTTGTAGTAATCTTTTTGGGAATTAATTCGCTCTTGTTGTTGAACTCTACCTAAAATTTGTTGGATCTTTTGCTGATGTTTGTTAGCATGTTCAGATTCTCTGACTCGGTTTGCGTCACTCTTTGCCTTGTCGAAGTCTTCCTGCAAGACATGGAGTTGTGCTCTTGAAATGAGGCACGCCATCTTATATTCTGAGTTTTCGTCACCAAGAGAGTCGATAAGAGTGGTACAATATTTAATACCGTCATCAGCGATGGTATGATCCTGTGCTTCACTGTATGATTCACACAATTTGGCTTTTGTATCAGTTAAATCGACACCAGGTAAAATGTTCTTGGAGTCCTTGTCTTCCATAAGATCAATATATGCCTTAAAGCTCTTCACAGCTTGTAAATGATGTCCGCTTGCAAAATCGGAAGTTGCTTTTTCATGAAGGCTTTCTGCTTGTTTGAGAAGCTTGAACAACTCTTTACATGCTTTGTGTTCAGGATCTACTCGTAGACACTTATTTTTGATTGTGTTTTTAGCATTGGAGATGTCTCCTAACAGGTATAAATATTTGGTGTAAAGAATGGTAGCCTCTACATTTGAGCTTTCCTTCGCATAAATAGTCTTAATATCTTGAGTTAAAATAGGGAATAATTTTGCTCGCAATGCACAATGAGCACGTTGAATCAATAAATTTAAGCTTTCTCTGGCTCCTACTTCCTCGGAAATTAATTTTGTAATTGTTTGAATGCAAGCTTTTGCGACTGGTCCACTATTGTCATTGTCAAGCCCCAGCTTTGCGTCAATAGTGTCACCGTCAGTATTTTTGATAAGTCCCTGATACAATGATTTTCCGAGTTTTGCCTTTCTCAACTTTTCTGTTGATTCATTGCTTGGTTTCAACGAAATAAGAGATTCCAGTGCAGAAATTGCATCATCAAATAAACCAAGTGATAAAGCCAATTGTCCTTTCATGGACAATGCTTGGGTATGATCAGGTTGAATACGAATCAAAGCATCAACATCGGAAAGAGCAAAGATAAACTTTTTCATTAACTGGTAAGTTTCAGCCCTCTTTAAAAGTGCTCTCTTGTTTTCTCTATCCACCTCCAGAGCATTTGTATATTTGGAAATTGCCTGTTGATATTCTCGATTCCTAAAATCTGTATCACCTAGTTCTATCCATTCTTCTGCTGATTTACTTTTTGGTTGAGCCATGACACGACCTCCCATCGTCATCATCATCACCGCCACCACTACCATTATTGCCATCATTACGGCCACTGTTATATGAGTTCTAGGCCGAGGGAAACAACTACTCCCATTCCGATAATGAGGATGACGAGTATCGCTCCACACCATTCTCATTAATTGTTGTATGAATTATTGTCGTGGAATTTTTTTTGAGGAAACAAGACTCGCCAGGCATGGAACACGTGTCTGATCGATTCCGAGAAATTCATCCCACCCAGAAACTTTGAAAACATTTCTTTCAGAGTTGCCATAGATTTCAAGACGTTTCTTCTTAGGCCTACAGGTGGTATCAAAAACAAGCAACGAACAGATAATTAAAAAATGAGTGAACAGGAATTTGCAAGTGAATCACAAATTGTTGAACATTTCTCAAAATTGCAACAAGAATACAACAATATTGCTGGAACTGTAGCAAAATTGGAGTTGGAAATTAGAGATCATAGGTATGTTCGGAATGAGGAGAATATAACCTTCATACTGAGGATGATGATGAAATTTTAATTTTGTCGGATATTGTATGATGACCATGATTCATATATTTCTTGTTACATCATGTACTTCCAGTTCCGTTTTGACTGCTTTAAGAGAATTGGATGGAGACAGAAAATGTTATAGATTAATTGGAGGAGTGTTAGCTGAAAGAACAGTGAAAGAAGTTGTTCCTGCTGTGGAATCAAACATGGAAAATGTAAGTTGACCACTCACAATCATGATTGACTCAACAACCTCGGAACTATCGTTGACACAAATAATGTTTTGATTACGAAACGGATCATGCAATTTTAATTTAACAACAACGAATTGTGAACAACAATAATGGTCTAATTGAACAATGCAACTGCTCATCAGCTGGAAAACACTGTCAAGAAATTACATCAAGATTTGGATGACAAAGAAATGGAATTGAGCGCTTTCAAGACCAAGTACAAGATTCGATTCAAGAATGAAAGCATCAACACAGAAGAGCGTTCGTCTTCCTCCAAAACAAGAGGCTCCAGTGGTGTACTAGCTTAAAAAATGTCCAAACCAAGCAATAAAACAGAATTCGACCAACAATCAGACGATGATGCTCAAGGTTTTATTGTTCCCTATGAGGAGAAAATGAAAAATAAAACTAAATTGTGTAATGTTGAAGAGGATGCGTTGCAACTTTGTGTGCTGAACAACAAGGGGCTCTCCGGTTGTGAGAAGGAACTCGAGAAATATAATAATTGTCGGATGAAAGAATTAACAAAACAAATGATTCAGGAAAACAAAGCAATTCTGGAAAAAGATTCTGTGAAGAGAAGATAAATGATACGTTCAGAACGCTTTGTTATTCATTACACAACTACCATACAGGTACGGAATTCGGAATAGAGTGTCTCATTGTGATCCACTTTTTTCGGAAAGTAGTGAGTACTGTTTTCGAATCGAATTCAAGTAAATGCAAATCTGTCAACAAAGTTTCAATTTAATAAATAATGGATAAAGTGTACAAGGTCAATAATGAAATACAATGTTATGAAAATTTGGGATGTTAGTGTGCATTAACAATTTCTAACAACATAATCAATAGCATCAGCAACATAATCCACATTCTTTCTATTCAGGCCACACATGGAAATACGACCATTATCAGTGAGATAAATGTGGTATTTCTCAATCAAAACTTGTACATGCTTCTTTTGAAGACCAGTGAATGAAAACATTCCAATTTGTTCAAGAATGTGAGTCCACTTTCCAGGGGTTCCTCTCTTTTGTAAGGCGTCAAAAAGTAATTGTCTCATTTCCTTAATTCTGTCACTCATCATTACTAGTTCTTTCTTCCATAATTGGAACAATTCTGGACTATTCAATGTCATGGCAACAATTCTTGCACCTTGCAATGATGGTGAGGAATAAAGGCATCTAACAATGACCTTCATTTGAGATTGAATTTGCTTTGCAGTTTCAGGATTAGATACAACAAAGTTCAATGCACCAATTCTTTCACCATAAAGACCGAAATTCTTGGCATAGCTTTGAGAAGCCATCATTTCAATACCACGGTCCACAAACATTCTAATAGCAAATGCATCCTTATCCAGGTCACCACTAGCAAATCCTTGATAAGCACTGTCAAAGAATGTAAAGTGACCCTTTTGTTGGATAACATCAGCAATGACTGACCATTGTTCAGGAGTTGGATCAACACCAGTTGGATTGTGAGCACAGGCATGCAAAAGAATTACAGACTTGTTTGGAATGGTCTTCAAATCATGAATCATGTCATCAAATGCTAAGCCATTTGTCTTACTATCAAAATATCTGTAATATCCGACAGGAACTCCAGCAGATTGACAAATTTGAATGTGATTGGACCAAGTTGGGTTGCTGACATACAATGCAGTTCCTGGTGGTAAGAATTTAGCAATAAATTCAACTCCTAATCTCAAAGCACCGGTCCCAGAGATGGATTGAACACAAACCACTCTTCCTTCCTCGATAGCTTTGCAGTCAAAACCGAACATTAACTTGGGAGAGACTTTTCTAAAAGCTTCCAATCCATCTTGTGGAATGTATTCCTTGTCCAAATTCTGATCAAGAATCATTTGTTCTACCTTTCTTACAACACTCAATACCATTGGCTTTCCTTCCTCTGTTCGGTAAGCTCCCACACCCAAATTAACTTTGTTTGGAGAGGAGTCTTCTTTGAAAGACTCATTCAATCCCAAGATTGGATCTCTTGGAGCCATAGGAATAGTACCGAAAATACTGGTCATTTTGTTGGTATTATTTGTGGTAGAGGAGGATGATGTCTTGTTGATCGGTTTTTGATTGCTGTTACCTGAAGTGCAATGTACGCTCAAGCTTGCTTGCGAAGGGCAATGATGGAAAATTTTTTGATCGTAAAGTTCTTCGCTCCGACTGTTATTAGACACGAGGACATGATTCGCAAGGGTTTCAATTCTCCTGTGGACTTGTTGGCTGGTTGTTACTTGTTGGGTATTCATGGAAAATGGGTGTTGAGAAGTTAATTTAGTGTGATGATGATGATGATGATGGTGATGAAATGGTGGTTTGCTTGTAGAAAACTCTTCAAATAACGGAAATAACGATGAATGAATAAATGATCGGAATTGTAAAGGGTAGGTCAAAGAGGAAAAGAAAATTATTAAATAATAGAAAAATCCCTTTCTTTGTTAATTCTACTCAATTCGGAATGCTCTAGAGTTGCAAATGAAATTATTGTAACAATGGCCAAACACTGACGTTGTTGAATTTCTTTCGTGTGTTGGTCTTCTTTCAAAGAAATACTTTTTTCGCTTCAACAGCGCGTGCCGTGTGAGAGAGATGAAGAAAATTATTTTTGATTTGAATGGATTCTTATTCTCCGAAGATTTGTTTGTGCTGGAACGAAACTGACTTGGTGGTGTAAAAGATTTATTGAAGAACGCCATTCATTCCTTCTATGTTCACCACTTTCATAAATATCGAATGTCTCAAGAATTCAATCAAGCTGCAGAAACAATTGAGTAGTGACACAATCCATTTAGAATTGAACAGCGTACAACAATATAGCCCAACTTGGTGTGAGGAAGATGTGTTGTTTGCTCTCTTGGTTATAGATGTGCACCTCTTCAAACCATCGGCCTTGCCAAACCATAGCTTACATTGTAAAGTATTTAGTTTAGGTTGACTGGTTTTTTGAAAAAATTTGTCGAAAAAAAATACGTCAAAAGGTACCTATTACTCACGCATTTTTTACTCATTATTATTATTATTCTCAAATTTTCATACTGACATTCACACAAATCTTGTTTGAACACTCAGAAACACAATGGTCAGCCACAACAACGCAGTGCCACAATCAAAGTGGAAGAAGCAATGGACTAACAGAACCAAGTTGTTCTTCGATCAGCCAGCCAAGGCCAAGAAGAGACAAGAATTGAGAATCAAGAAGGCTAAGAATGTTTTCCCACGCCCAACTGAATTGTTACGTCCTGTTGTCAGACTTTCCGGAAGAAGATATAACAGAAGAGTTAGTTTGGGAAGAGGTTTCTCCGTTGAGGAATTGAAGCAAGCTGGTATTCCTCTCCAATTCGCCAAGACTGTTGGTATTGCTATTGACACCAGAAGAAGAGATTTGAGCGAAGAGAGACTCCAATCCAACGTTCAAAGACTCCAAGAATACAAGCAAAGAATTGTCTTGTTCCCAAGACAAAAGGGTACTCTCAAGAAGGGACCAATTGCTGACAGCCAAGTCACTAAGGTTGAATCCCAAGTCAAGGGTACTGTTTTGCCAATCAAGAAGGTTGTCGCTGCAGTTGAAACAAGAGAAATTACAAAGCAAGATAAGGAGTCTAGCGCTGTTAGAGCAATTGTCAAGGCCAGAAAGTCAATTAAGCAATACAGCTACCTCCAAAAGAAGAAGAACAAGGTTGCCACTCAAGCCCCACAAGGAACTGTTGCCACTGACGATCAATAAGCACTTAAATATTAATAACACCAAAATAATTTTAAATTCTAATTCTTTAGTTTTTTCTTGATTGCTGTCTCAAGATCGAACTTGTCTCTTTTCTTGGTTGCTTGGGCTTTTAAGGGGGGAAGTGTTGCCCAATTACGATCAATGATCTTTTGGCATTCTGACGCAATAAACGACTTTAATTCTTCCTCTGATAAGGCTGTGTTGCAGCCAGATGGAGGACATGTGTTGGCGTTGCTTACTTGATTGATGATAGAATTACAAGGTGGTTGAAAGCCTGGCAACATGGTGAATGTACTTGCTTGTTGTTCAAAATACACCAAGGGCTCTGATCGATCGAACGGGCCTGACGATACAGACATTTGCAATTGGGAAGGTGGGAGTGGCGATGTTGAAAACATGCAATTCGAATCCACGAAATTAGTTTGCTGCTGACCAAATGGGTAGGACAGATATGTCTGTGTTGATGGGGATGACATCAGATTTGATTGGTTTGAAACCATCATAGTTTGAGGGGTTTGGGGAACTTGAGGATAGAGTTGACACTGCTGATTGGAGTCTGTGGAATAGGTTGACGTGCTCTGCTCATCACTAAAACCACTTCCAAACAACAGATCAAACCCATCAAAGTCCTCTTGATCATCAGTGTTATTCAGACTGAGAAAACAGTTGAAAAAGTGGCTTGAATTCAAACTGTTATTGGATGCTTGCATTCTTTTATAGTTTGGTCGTTAATAAGGCTGACACAAACGAACAGCAAATAAGGGAAATTCCTGAAATGTCCAATTCATGATTTCCAAAAACGCTTTCTCTAAAAATTCACGAAAATCTGTAAATCGTGGGCACATTGTTCATGTCTGGACTCAGTACACAAAATCCTTGCTCGTGAAATTGTTGCAGAGCTAAATCCAATACATCTTCTTCCACCATTTTTGGAGTCTGCCCAAGAATGAATTGTTTAAATTCGTGAAGCGGAATGGATCCACTATGTGTCTTTCTTATCAAATGACTTCTCAAGTACGAAACATAATCAAAATTTGGAGGTGTACTATTTTTGTTATCCAATGAGTCTTGTTTCTTCTTCTTCTTCTTGGATGGAAGCTGAGACAGAGTCATCATTTGCTGACGTTTCATTCCACAATTTAAATAATCTAAACTGCTATCAAAGATGTTAAAAATCATTTCAACATCTTGTTCGATGATTTCATCACGTAAATGGAGTTTTGCAAGAGCTGAGGACAAGCGAATGAGAGATTCTAGAGTTCTAGGAGTGATGGGTGCATATGTCTTTCTTTGGCTATTTACATTCATGAACTGATTTCGTAACTGTACATATTTTTGTGAAATCATTTCTCTGGATTTGTCATTGAGAGTTGGGAAATGTTTGGATTTGGCATATTGAATATACTTTTTAAGGATATTAAGGGGAACAAAAAGGGATGGATCAAAATTCTCTGATTTTTTGATAATATTTTCAGCATCAGAGTAGCTAATTTCATCAGCACAGTCCTTCTTAATAGAGAAGAGAGTACTATTCAATTCGTCTTTAAGAAGATCTTGCTTGAATGAATCATGGAAATATTTGTGAGAGGAAAGGACATGGGTAGCAATTTCTCTATCGAGAAGGGAGTCGTTGTCATCAGTGAGTACAAATACAAGGTCAAAACGGGAGAGGAGAGAATCTGGAAGTTGAATATTTCTCTGAATAGATATACTTCTATCATATTTGCCATAGATTGGATTGCATGCAGCGAGTACAGAGCATCTGGCGTTCAGAGTTACCGCAATACCAGCTTTGAATACTGAAAACGTCTGTTGCTCCATCACTTCATGCATGTGAACTCGCTCGACATCAGTCATTTTGTCTAGCTCATCAATGCAAACAATTCCTCTATCTGCTAATACCATGGCACCTGCTTGAAGGGTTCTTTCATTCGTTGAAGAGTCTGAAACAATTGCTGCTGTTAAACCTACTCCGCTTGAAGATCTTGCATTTGCAGAAATCGCCAACGGTGACGTGTTCAACACAAATCGTAAAAATTGAGATTTTGCTGTTGAAGGATCTCCAATGAGTAAAACATTGATATTACCTCGTATTTTCGTACACGTGTCTTCAAATTCCTTTTCAACACCACTAAGCATTAAAAGAAGGAGAGCTTTTTTGATTATATCATGTCCATATATTGAAGGAGCAACAGAATTGGATAAAATGTCAAAAATATTTGGACATTGAGAGAGTTGATGAATTAATACGCCATCTTTGACAGATATGTCATTTAGGGGAGAAATGTATCCTCTAATTTTGTCAATGTTATTTGCTATTAAGGCAACTTTGGCGACAGATTGTTTTCTATTTGATTGACCTGGTATCGACAGAACTTTGTAAATTCCATAAACTTTAACTCTATCACCAGGCTTAATTGTATCGCATAAATCACATTCAAGGATACATTCCACAGATCTGGGAAGCTGCCCAACAGGAGATTTCTCTGGTAAATCTTGTAAAACAATCTTTTGAGTGTCCACAAAATCTGAAAGTCCAAATTCAAAATCCAAAATATTTCCCTCAGAATCCTCCACTGGTATTGGATTAATAAATATATTATCTGAGGCAATATTATTCGAGTATTCCACTTTCAAAAACTTTTTTGTAGCTTCACAGTAGTGAACCGAGCTTAGTAATCTCTGGCAAACCGAAGAGCCTACGTGTGGCAAGTTTGTATAAAAATCTTGAAATCAGTAGCATATTTAACAACACTTACAACTAGTAATAATTCCTTCTATACAGACAATTTTTCCAATATGACAAGACTGCAAAAACCTAGGAGATGTGTGATGAGTTGCATTTCCTGTAAGGCCTATAAAATTCCTAGATGATGTATTCATTTCAAAATGTTTGCTATCCATTCTTTGTATTTCCTCGTTCAATGCCAGCTCAAAAGTCGGTATGCAACTCGAAGGCTCCATCTGTAATTTATAACAAAGTGCAGGGTCAAAATCCCGAATATGATTCAAATCCACAACTAGCCTAAAATAATCATTCGTATGTGGTTGTTGCAATGATGATGTTTTAGATAGTAATCCTTTTAATCGGGTATGATAAATATTCTCACCCTATTGGTACATATCAAAGAAAATGTTGATGATGAAAATTTGAAAATGATTGAATATTATTATTCGGAATGTATGATTGTTATCAACCATGCTGTTTATCATCGTACGCTTTCATACTCACATTCTCTTGAAACGATGAAAGAAATTGTCGAAACCTTTGATGTCGGAGCAATGTCTCCCCATCATTCATTTTTTTTACAACTGTGCAACACAACTCACAAACACTAATGAATTCAATAAAAACACAAGTATTCAACACAAACAATGAAAGAATTCAATTATGACTCTCACTTCTTAATCCTGGCTTTACTTTCAAACCGTTCATGAATTCTCTTGTTCAAGAAAAAAAATGAAAAGAAAAATGCCGCAACCAAAATCTAAAGCTTCTCGTGGTGGAGGCTCCGCTGCTGCTTCTTCATTAAACACACGTCCCAAGAAGGTCAAAAAGGCTCAATCCCATCAAGCAGAAATTCTTCAAAGCTCGGATTTGATCATGCAAAGTATTTTATCATGTTTTGAATTATCGGAGGTGTTGAATGAAATGGCTTTTATTTCTTCCAAGTTTTATCAAGTGAGCAGAAGTGAGAAGTTTTGGTCTGGATATAATGTATGGGCTTCTGTGAGGGATCCTCCTCCAATGTTCTATGCTAATTTATTTATGAAGTGCTTTGGTGCTAGCTGGACAAGTTTAACATTGTCGAGTGAAGCCTTGCTCTCAGACTCATTCAAAAGGAGGAATAATCAAGTGAACCTTCCAAACTTTAAAAATTTGCATACTTTAGAGTTTGAATGGAGTTTTGATGAGGTTTTAAACGAAAAAGAGAATAATATAGTGTTGAGCAATTTGGTTGACTTGTTATGCCAAACTCCATCTTTGACACAGTTCAATTTAAAGCTAGCTGGTGAATCGATTCCAAATTTTTCAAGCAATGCTCTAGATGGCATGAAGAAAGCGTTGCAAGGCTCTTTTAAATTCAAAAATATTACTATTATTCTTGGTGGAGTTCTTGAAGGAGAAAATAAGAATATTATGAGCGAATTCGTTTCAAATTTATTAACACAATCGTCTTCAACATTGGAAAGCCTAATTATTCGCTCTGTAGGCACAATAGATGCACAAAAGTATCTCAAATCGATCAAATATCCAGCGCTGAAAAATATTGAAATCAAACTCGTTGAAAGAATTCGCTCAACTGGTGAGACGTCACAAGCCATTCAAGAAATTATTATGAATAATGCAGATCATCTCGAGAGTATTCAAGTTGAAAATGATGAAGGTGTTAGTATTGTATCCTTGGTGAGCACTATTATGTCTCTCTCTTCCCAAAAAAAGCTCACAAAGTTGAAAAAGTTAATATTTGGTGGGTCTGACAATATGGACACTTTAAATTCCACAGAAATACAAGCGCTCACCAATGCACTCCCAAGCTTGGAAACTCTTGTTATCAAAGACATATTATATGGGACATGGTTAAGAAATTTCTTGCAATCCACAGTGCAACATTCCAACAAGTTAAAGGTCTTCAAGTTGAAAGGAATCGAACCTTCTGAATCAAATGGATACATTGACGAATGTCTAGAAGGTTTAGTTTTACCAACCTCCATCACAAAGTTTTCTTTGAAACGAACGCCAGTTACAAACCAAGTACTCAAACAGTTGCTTTCGGGAGGTCAATATTCCAACTTAAAAGCTCTTTCGTATGGTACAGAGGGCGTTGACTTGTTTTACATTAATGACAGTGGACTGAATGAAGATACTCTCAGTTACATCCTTCCACTCTGTCCACGCTTAGAAAGCCTCTGGGTTTGTGATTCAATGGTCAAACGTTTGCTTCCTATTGTTGCCAAGTTCACTCCTAATTTATTATCACTTTCATATCAATGTCTAGAGTTTAGAGGAAGAGAACTCGTAGAAAATTATGAAGCACCATCACCAAATATTTCTCCATTGTTATCCAATCTCATGTCATTAGAATTGTTGATTACTTGTAGTAACGATGAACTGTCAAGAATATTGTCTTATACTCCCAACATTGTGTATCTACAATTACTCTCCAGTAACTTATCAGGACAAGTCATTGAGGTTTTATCAGAGTCGAAGTGTGCCTCAAAACTTGTAGGTATTTCGTTGATCGATCCATATTATGAGGAAAAGAGGCCGTGCATTTGTGACGCTGAAAAAAGCGAGTTGAAACAGCAAAATTTCAAACTTGCAAACATGTTCAAAAGGTTAGAGACTTTGGAATATTCTATTGGTCATCACTTAATATCTCTCAAGTTGATGATTGCTATTGTTTGTTACTCTCCTAGTTTGGAAGAGGTAATATTGAACGGAAGAAACGTATTAGAGGGCGTTGATATGGACAACTTGTGCATGGAAGAACTCGTTGAATTAATCGAATCACACATGAAAAAGAAGAAGAAGCATCAGGAGGTTGACGAATTTAGCTTAATACTTGACATTACAGTTCCTAGAATAACAGACCAACTTAAAGTGAGACAATTTTCCAAAGATAGAATTGAAGATCTGCTCGAAACATCGGTTGCACTTGTGAGTGGAGAAATTGCTGAACGAGTCGAATATCAAGGTATTAGTTTGATACACCATTTACTGTTGAATGCTCTGAATGGAGATGATGATGAACAAGAGGAACAAATTGAAAAAAAACAAACCTCAGAGGACGAAGATTGGGAAGATGATGAATAAATTATTTTCTTATAATTTAATTGAGAACGCTTTGCCTTGAAGAGGAATTTCCTTCTTCAACTCGGTTTGAGAGAGTCCACAATTACGAACACAAAGAGTGGATAGAGAGGAGGATATTTTGCCAACCAGTTTGTCTTCTTGACCAACACCAAACAAGCATTTCATACCCTTAACAGTGATCTTGGTATAATCGAGATCAAGAATTGATATTGATCCATTCTTGGAAATATTTTTCACAACTTCGTCTGAAACATCTGTTCCTGTTAGCCTGAGGTGACTTAACGACTCATGTTGAGAAATATTTTCAAAAACGTCTGGTGTCAATCCATTATTTTTGCTTAAATCAAGATGCTTGAGACGAGGAAGGTTGTTGAGTAATGACTTGGCCAACTCTGGTGTAATGTTACAATCTTCAAGCACTAGTGAAGTGAGAGTTTTTACATTAGAAATCTCAGTAGGAATCTGGCATCCGCTCAAATTTAGATGTATGAATGGTCTATAATTTTCTGCGTCCACTTGAATGATGGACAATACTTGAGATTCATTTAATTGGTGATTAACCATTTCCAGAGAATGTAATTTTCGTAACTTGCTGAAGAAGTTGAAATCTGATGCAGGAATACTTGCTCTTAAGAATTTTGTTAACTTTAACTCCCTCAATGTATCATTATACTTCTCTCCATTCTCAGTTTTGTTAAGTAAGTAGTTAAAACCATCGTAATCAACTCTAGTGACTTTCACATTTAGACTTTGTAAATTAGGGCTTCTGGCCATTAGGTATTTTAAACATCTATTATTGAAGGAAGTATTTCCACTAAAGTCGAAAGAGATTATTTTAGTGAATGTAGATAGCACCGTTCTTATTTGTTTCGTGTTCAGAGGAGTTTCTTGGTCATATTCATAACATGATTGAACGCTGCAATCCACATTGCGCCACAATAAGAAAGGTGTTGAAGCTGTGCCAACACTGGACTCAGTATGATCATCTGTACAGTCCATGCTTGCCGATGATGATTGAACTAGTTGTTTTTTGCGTTTTCCGAATAATAATTTTGTTATTTCCTAATGGTTTAAATGCTTAAATGCACACAATGGTCGTTTAAATTAAACCTACCTTCCATGTTTGAATGAGAACTACATTTTCTTTTATGAAATCAGGAATTAATAGATTTTGGTCGTTCTTACTTTCTGAAACGAGTTGTTGATAATCATATGTAAATTGTCTATTTTGATGATGAAAAAAACGCTTCAAATAAGATGCAAGAGGAAATGTAATAAAACTGAAAATGTGCTGCACCAATACATCTGGAAGGACATGCTGTAAGTGCACCATATTTGAGAAAAAGTCGTTCACAAAGTAAATCTTTGAAGCGTTCGCCAAGCTTGCAGGATTTGCTGTAGACTTGGAATCTTTCATTAAAATTGATTCCATCACAAAATATTTCTCATGATTAAATGTTCTCTTCTTTTTTGGTAAATATTGATCATATTGATTTGGTGATGTAGAATACCTAGAAAGACTTGAATCCGATTGTATTAACGAAGTAGAATTTATAGACAGTGATGATAAATTTCCACTTGATGATCCAGGAACGTCTCTTAACATGGACAATGATGATAAATTTCCCATATTTTGTTGTTGAATTCCACCCGATGCAACCATATGTGCAACTGATTTTGGATTTGGCTGGCCCCCTGCTTGTTGTGGATTAACGGATGATGATCCGTTTGATGGTGGAAGCATTTTTTTGGCGCTTGAGTGAGGTCAAACAAAGTGAACCATCAAACAGAGGACCATGAAATAATTTAAAACGATCGAGAAAGAGAAACAGTATCAGAAAGGCCAAGTGTTCTGTGTTTGATTGGTTCAAGATTACCTTTGAAAATGAATTATCAAAAGTGCACAACACTTTAAAAAAATGTCTTCATCATCTCCTTCGCTTACATGTTTGCCTGCAGTGGCTGTCTCAAAAGAAGAAGGCTTGATTGCTTTCAGTGTTGGATCAAATATTCATATCTTTGATAAGAGGTAAGAGGATATGGGATTCCGAAGAAGAAACTTTTTGAAAACATTTTGCTGTTTGATGAATATTGTTGATGATGAAAAGCCTTCAAAAGGAATTGTTGAATCATAAATTGGAAAAGGCAAATGTGAAGTCATTGTTATTTGAAGGAAAATACTTTATCGTAGCATCAAGTGAAGACAAATCAGTGCTTGTGTTCTTGTTGAACGATACCAATACGCAATTGAAGTGTGTCGGAAAAATTGAATTAGTTAAAAAACCTAGTTGTTTGGCTGTTCATCCAGTTACTAAAGAATTGTGGATAGGAGATAAATTCGGAGATGTTTACGCTGTTAATTTATTGTCAGAATTTGATGCCAACTGTGCTTCTCCCAAGCTCATCAAAAAACCTGCTCCTAAAATGGGACACCTTGCCATGTTGACAGGATTAATTCTAAATGAGAAATATATTATTACTAGCGACAGAGACGAAAAAATTAGAATTACTAATTATCCTGAATATTTCTTGGTTCATAACTTTTGTTTGGGACACACTGAAATGGTCTCATGCATTTCATTAGCAGATGATGACTGTAAGTGGAATCAATAGTTGTGAATTTTTCTAGAAAGATTAATCATTACATGATACTAGTGTTGGTTAGCGCCAGTACTGATAGCACTCTCAAAGTTTGGAAATATTTACTTGACTCTGATGATGCCCTTAAGTATAGTTATGATTGTGGTGAAAATAATTATCCAAACGTTTTGCAATGTGTGACGATTGGTAGTACTAAGCTTGTTTTTGTCTTGTATGAGCAAGCTGACTACATTCAAGTTTTGCAACTCGACACTGAAACTTGTGAATTAGTGCCAAAAATCACCATTCCCATGGGCAGTGAAATTTTGAATTTCCTTGTTTATCAAGTTGATAACAAGACACAAATCACTTTATTGACAGCTTCCTCTCCAAATGTGCATGTTGCAGATCTTAGTGTAAAGCAATCTGGTGACTTGAGCGTCAATGCTGTGCCATCTCATGCTATAACTATTGAATCTTTTCAAAAAGAAGATTTTGTTTCAGATAGTATCTATTCAAGCTTGATAAGAAAGATGGATGCAAAGAAGAGTGAAAATGAAGGAGAAGACAAGCAACCAAAGAAAAAGAAGAACAAAAAGTAAATACTAATCCACCTCACCTCTTTGACCTCTTATGATCCTGATTGAATTCATTATCGTCATCCGAGCAGTCAATGATATTTTCATCGTCTAGCATAATGAGCTCATCGTCAAATTCTTCAGTTTTTACGTTATTTGTTTGGTGAGTTTGGTTTGGTGAACCTCTAGTAGGATTGACATTATTCGTTGCTTGCCTATTGCTTTTGATGGTGTCAATATTTGACTCAATTTGTTTTTTCAACTCTAATTTTCCACTGAGCTTTGAAGATAAATTGCTTTTAAAGATCTTCTTTGCTTCTATTAATTCATCCACACCGCCTCCCATAATTGTAATACTTTGAGGAATTAGTAGCAACATTCCTCTCCGTACCAAAACATTGGATATCTTCACCTTTGTTCCTAACTCTGTTTTTAAAGAAATAAAGTCTATAGGCTTGTACTCCATTGCTTGAATGTTGTTGACATGACCATCACTGAGAGTAAATTTGAGTAATCTTCTACTATAGTTTGAATTGGTGTAATCTTTCTTTGGTTTTGCTCCTTGAATTTCAGTATGTAAAGCATCAGAAAAGAGTAAATCGCCTTCTTCCATTTCTTCATTCGAGCTATCAACCAATTCCTTGTCCATATCAATTTGATCCGTCATTGGGATACCAATATCCCAAATATCATTAATTTGTAAAACAAAAGGCCCTTTTAAAATCTTTCCATGTTCTTGTTCAAGATTGGAAAATAGAGAATAATTCGGAGAAGGCTTTTGAGCAATTTTGTCATAATCGGAAACTAGAAATTGTTTGAAAACAGCTTCTTTCATTCCTTCCAAATTATTTCTCAAATATGGTTCTTCACTTTCAACAAATTGGATACATTGTTCCAACCAATCATCCAGCACGAATATCTTCTCCGAGAGAAGACGTGATTTAATTTGTGATTGCATTTTTTTTAATGTTGTTGGAAGGATTATTCCATCGCACGATGGAACTAATGAAACAATTATTATTCAATTTGTTATTATTATTCGTTATTTATTGTTGTTAGAAGAATGGACCTAGTTTAGTCCTAGATTGTTCTCTTCATTTTGTAGGAAGGGAACTCGAGCCTTGGTGTATTTACAAAAAAAACAAGTGACAAATGTCATCTATTGATACTTTTCATAAAACTTGGAATATTCTGTGGTAGTAATCCATTGCATGAAAACATTTCGAATCACATCACCCGATAATTGCTCCGTAGCATGATGTTTTCGAGGAAGGGAGATGGCATAGGGTGGAACTGTTCTCTTATTATTCTTTTCAGTATTCACTTGCAAATTTGGTTTCTTCTTTTGAGGCTTTGACATGGGTCCAACTTGTTGAACCTTTCGAGGAGAGGATGACACCAAGATTGGATCAGCATCGGAGAGTGATAAACTTTTCACTTGTTGAACCAGTGATTCGACGAGTACGACTTCGGGGTGTTGAGGTTGTGACACTTGTTCCATCTTTAAGTTTGTGCTTTGTTGAGAAGGTTGTGATGGTTGTGTTGGCATTTTCGATTGTTTCTTATGAGGATGCACATTCAATTCGATACTATTAATACTTTTAAAGAGTTTGGAGAGGATGACCATGATGATTTTGCGGGGTAGTGAGGAATGTGAATGTTAAAAGTAACAGCAGTTTGGGATGTTGTCGATTTGTTTTTTGTTGTTGGAATGTGAAAGAAATTTACACCGTGTGCTTTAAATAGAGATTCAAGCGCAAGGAATTTTGCGAGCCTTCGATCGCATGAATTAGAGGAGCACTAGATTCGTTGCTTTGACATCCGACAGTTAGTTGGAACAAATCGAAGGAAGAACAATGCGGCTGAACTCAATCCGCAGTGACCATGTGCAACTCAAACAAGAACAAAACGTGACAAGCACCAATAAAACCTGAATAAGCAACAGCCATCACCCCTTACGTATGAGATGATTGCAGTTGAGGTCTCTCGCAGAATATTCAAACACAGAAGAACAGAACGTGATGGGAATATCGTGCAAATATAAAAACGTGCATGCTCGGATCCGAAACTGTAAATGATGCGCGTAGTAGGAACGTGCAGACGCGAGGGAGATAGAACGGAACAGAGGATTTGTTGTCGTGGCCGTGCATGACGGAACAACTACCTTCGCACAAGTCATGCGCAAATAGTATCATGGCAACGAATGAGTTCTGATTCGAAAGAAGAGAGATGCGATGAATACAAGTTTGAATTCTAATGGATTTCAAATTCCTTGCAATGATAGGTGCTTGGGAATATCTTTAACAACTGTAAAGTATTGAACCCTAACAAGTCCATTTGAAGTAATTTACTTAACCTAGTTTTCATATGGCCATGGAATGAACCATCGGAATCAAGGAACACGTGTTTGTTTGAATCGTCATAAAAAACACGAAGAATTGTAAATTCCTATGAGGACCTGATAAGGCTTTGAAGATTTCGGGAATATTTTTAGAACTCAATAAATCGATCAAGGCACAGAAGATTCATTTGCGCACTAAGACAAAAAGAATACCACAACAAGTACTCTACTAGTCATCATCCAATTCTATGTTAAACATGTACTCATCTAGAACCCTCAAAATTACAATCCTCTTGCTCGTCTTGATATGCGGTTTTGCTCTTCTTTGTGCTCATCAAGTTAAGGCATTGGAAGAGGAAATCACAGTTGAGAAGGAAGGACAACAACCAACATCGGATACAAAAGCATCAACAACACCCACTCAAACAAATCCAAATAATCAAGACAATACACCAGCAAAGAATCCAACAGATACAAATTCAGTCGATCTAGATAGAAATGAATTGAGAAGCTTATTGAAACAATTAAGGAAATATCAGTTCGGAAATGATTGGTTTGAAGATCATGACTCCCTATTCCCTTCATCATTCTTTGGAAACAGATTGTGGAATCGTATGTTTGAAAATGACGATGATGATTGGTTCTCTCATTCTTTCCGTAATATGAGAAGAAGAATGAACAACATGATGAAGAGACACTTGCTTCCTTCAATCTTTGATGATCATCAATGGTGGGAAGATTGGAGTAACACCATCAATTCTTTGAGAAAACCTGAATTGGAGTCTACACCAACGAACGACAACCAGTCTTCAAAGGACAAACAGGTTGAGGTTCGAAAGAGTCGAGGTCCTATTACGTCCCTTGTGAAAACATCATCGAGTGACGAAGGCAAAGTTGTATGTGTGTCTGTAGAAAACATTCCAAGAGATGTATTTGACAAGAAAGATATAGAGGTAAAGGTTCAAGAGAATGCTCTTGGAGACATGATCATTATTAGAGGAGAAAAGAAGACTGAAAACGGTCACTACGAATTTTCCAAGTCGTATAGATTTCCAAGAGGATCCGTTGATATTGACAAGGTGAAGGCTGTATTTACAGATGATGGCAACCTTAGTGTGACGTTGCCACGGCTTGATTCACCACCTCAAAAGGAAAGTGTGAGATCTATTGCTATTGAATAAATTACAAATCTTGATTTAATTTAAATTACATTACGATCTCAGTTAATCTAGCTGTACAGAATCAATAAAAGATTCAGGTTTCTTCAAATATTTTGGTATTTTAAAATTACATAATTATTAAGGAATATTTGATGACGAATTTTTCTTTTTGTCTTTTGCTGCCTCAGCAAAACTGTAGTCGAGACAAGAAGCAAATGATTCAATAATAATTGAAATGGAAATACTGAAAAACATACTATTCCGATAAAAACTCCAGAGGATCATCCGGTTTCATTTCAAGTACTACAACAAATCGTCATACAACATGATTCCGATCAACAGTTCAATTATATCAACCCATGTTTCCAAATAACAAAACATACTCTGTGTGATGGCATTCTTTAAATGTGCAGTCACCAAGGTCTGATCCAAATACTCCACAGGATTAAGGGTCGACAGAAAGAGTTGTTGTTTACTTTGAAGATGAGAAGGTGGATTCATTTTTTCAGCTCTGAAACAGATGGAGCGGCGAGTTTGTTTTGTTGATCCAGAGTGACCCAAATGACAATTGTCTCTGATTATGGAAAGAGAATCTGTAAAGCTGCGAAGTGTGCACGTATCGAAGAAGGATAAAAGAACGTCATGACCCCACCGGTACCAGCATCCCCTCGAGTATGATTCATTGAGGCGATTCACCTTTTGGCTCATTCAATCATTTTGAGCAAAACACCATCGTCAGGGTACCAACTGAAAAAAAATGTCAAGTTCATCTTTCCTAGAGCCTTCTGCTGCTCTTCGACCTATTCCTGCCGAAGAAGAATTGCTTGTGGAAGAGCCTTCAACATCACCATCACCAACGACTAACGGCAATGAGAATGGAAATAACAGCAATACAACAACTAATTCAAAGAAAGGCTTGAGCATTTCCTTTACATCCAATCATGCAAAAAAAGGCCCAATAACACGAAAAAGCAAATTGGAAGTTACAAAATCATCATCAAATATTGATACAGATGTTTTAACTCCATTGAGTTCTATTGTTGAACACAGCTTTTTGCCAAATCCTGGAGTCATGCAGCAAGCAACCGAAGAATTTGAGGAGAAAGTCAAGGAGAAGGAGCAAATGAGAAAAACATCATCTTCGGGGTTCTTACCTGGAGTATCCACTCCCTTTTCTCCACCATTTTTAGATTTGGCAGTACCAACCCCAACACCCCTGACTGCCGTACCTGGAGCACTTTATGTTTACAACGAAGAAGCATTTAAAGCAGATTTAGATGATTTTGAAGATGAATCACAGCTTTTAGAACAAATTAGATCAAAAGAAGCCTGTTTTGCAGAAGAGTATATTAACGATGAAATAGTGCAAGTGTGCAACAATTTATTTAAAGTTTTGGAAATGAGACGAAAGCATCAAGTTGGTGAATATAACGACGAATCTAGAAGAGATGCTCGTCCTTGGAACTGTTTCTATTATAAGGAAGACTTTGTTGGAAATGTTGATGAAGACGAATTACTACTCAATTCAAGACAGCATGCATATGTGGAACCAAAACTGACCTATGATCCGTATGACCTTGATGCAAGCCAAAATCATCCAGTAACACCTGAGGACATTATTGTCATGAAAGAGGGTATTTTTTATGTGAAAACCACACTTGGCCAAGAAATTGTTCCTCCAGTGACTTTTTCAGAACATTTTGAAACATATCAATTCCTCTCAAACCTCATGTATGACGCTCCGACAAAATCCTTCAGTTATACCAGACTCAATGCATTAGAGTTGAAATTTACACTCTTCAAAAAGTTGAAACAATTTGAAGAGATCAAGACACAAAAGCTTGTACCTCACAGAGACTGGTACAACGTTCGTAAAGTTGACGGCCATGTTCACTTATCTTCAATGGCACACCAAAAACACTTGCTCAGATATATTAAGAGAAAGCTCAAGCAATGCCCAGATGAAGTCGTCATTATTAGAGACGGCAAAAAACTAACACTAGCAGAAGTATTTGACAGTTTGAACTTGACTCCTTTCGACTTGTCTGTAGACACTCTCGACGTTCATGTCGACAAGACACAAACCATGCACAGATTCGACAAATTCAATTTGAAATATTCACCCTTTGGCCAATCCAGACTTAGAGAAATATTTCTCAAAACTGACAACCTGATTGAAGGCAAATATTTTGCCGAGATGACGAGAGAGGTTTTTAAGGACTATGAAGACAGTAGATATCAACATGCCGAACCAAGAGTGTCCATCTACGGCAAGCAATATGATGAATGGCAAAATCTTTCCAAGTGGGTCATCAAACAACGAATGTATAGTCCCAATATCAGATGGCTTATCCAAATTCCTAGACTCTACAATGTTCACAAACAATTTAATGCAATTGATACCTTCCAACAAATGCTTTACAACATTTTCCATCCACTCTTTGAAGCAACCAGATGCCCAGACAAGTATCCAGAAATTAGTACCTTCTTGAATTACATTGTAGGATTTGATTCTGTGGATGACGAAAGCAAACCCGAACCAAGATTTCACAAGGATTTACCAACTCCAGATCAATGGACCATGCATGAAAATCCTCCCTATGCCTACTATTCGTACTACTTTTATGCAAACATTAAGGTTTTGAATGCATATAGAAAGTCAAAAGGCTTGAACACATTTGCCATTCGACCACATGCTGGAGAAGCTGGTAATGCCTCTCACCTGGTCAGTGCGTATCTACTCTCAGATGAAATCAACCATGGTATCGAATTGAGAAAAGCTCCCGTGTTGCAATATTTGTATTACCTTTCTCAAGTTGGGTTGGCCATGTCTCCTCTTTCCAACAATTCCCTATTTTTGTCCTATGAGAAGAATCCATTCCCTCAATTTTTCCAAAGAGGTCTCAACGTTGCATTATCTACCGATGATCCTCTCATGTTCCACTTTACTCGTGAACCATTAATGGAAGAATATTCTATTGCAGCTCAAGTATATCACTTGACAAATGTAGATTTGTGTGAAATTGCTAGAAATTCAGTTATTCAATCTGGTTTTGAGGATGTCTTTAAGAAGTATTGGCTTGGAACAACAAGAATGTTCGGAACTAATGATATTCGTCAATCAAACGTTCCTAATTTGAGACTTAAATATCGTTTTGAAACTCTAGTCGATGAACATTTATTCATTCAGAAAGCTCTTGCCGTCGATTACCTTAAAAAGAAGGTTAAGGGAGCTAAATATGCTCCTCCTCCACCAATGCCTCCTGGAGAAGTTCTGACCTATTTACTTAGAGACAAACCATCCTATTTGGCACTCACATTTAGTTCCATTGGCTCTCTTGCAAATTATCCAGCCATTACCACTCGAACTGAAAATCCACCAACACAGACAAATAAGAATCAGAGTGCAATGAATAGCCAACCAGTGGCTACAAGTACCACTACTGCATCCAAAGACAATACTGGCCTTTATGTCCTATTAACCACAACAGTATTACTGTTGGGAACCTTGGCAATTAGTAATTGGCGTAAATAAATGCAAATTATGTCATTTTCTTTTTGGGTATTGGTGAGAAACACCAAGTTCAACACAACAACAATAAAGAGCAACAGACTAGAAATACGTTAAATCCATTAAAAACACTCTAAAACAAGAGTTGTAAGTCGAGGTGGCCGAGTGGTTAAGGCGGTAGCCTGCTAAGTTATTGGAGAAATCCGCGTGGGTTCGAGTCCCATCCTCGACGTTAATTTTTTACTGTTGTCAATCGTCACGCCATTAGAACGAAAAAAGCCCCCATGTTTGAAGTTTTGAAATCATTTCTCGTTTTAAAAAAGCTGGCTTCAATCAATTTGTTGCCACAATCAAAAATAATAACATGAAAAGATTGGTGAGGAGCTGCTTCTCCTCCTCTCGGACCTTGAAGTCAAATCATCAGAACAACCACAGCCTGCAACATCCACCCATGGGTGTCATGTGGATGGATAGTGGGTGTAGTGGTTCAGCTCACCATAGATTTGCATGTTTTTCCTCATCGATAGATCGTAATTATCATCAAAGCCTTCAACGGAATGCTCCTCGCAAGACCAATAATACTACCGAATCATCAACAGTAGCAAATAATAACAAGACAAACTCAACTATGAACCAGAAAAACAATTCAAAATCAAACAACAGTCTTGATGATTCAGCAACGACAAGTTCGGATCAAGCATCAAATGTTGACTCAACCACACCTTCTACATTATTGACTCCACCAACCACTCCACAAGAGGTTGATTCCATGACGACTAACAGCCAAATCAACAGCTCCACAAATCTTGCATCATCGCCTGCCTTACCAACCACAACTAATGGTACCACTACAGCACAACAATCATCATTACCCAACACAACCACACCCTCTCCATTACTTGCTCCTAACATTGATCCTACCCTATTAGCCTCGGTAAATCCTCAAGTTGTGAATCCCGAATACCACTTTTACACTCAAAAAATTAGGAATTTAGCCTATGAAATTGATCTCTTGTTAAAGAGACGAGGTTATTTCTTGTTCAGAGTGTTAATTGGTTCTCTCATTGTTATTGCTGTGGTCATTTACAAATTTGGTGAAAATATCAAGAATTTCTTTAGTCACCATGGAGCTGATGTCGCCTCAAAATCTTTAGAATCTAAAAACTTGAAAATGAGTGCTGAACAATTGAGTAAGGATGTGGTTCAACAAGTATTGAGCGATCCTAAAACAGTGGAGCAAGCTGTTAACTTTTTAAGCCAATTATTTGCAAGAAAAGATACTCAAGATTTATTGGTTGCATTATTATTACAAGTTTTGAAAGATCCAACTACACAGGCCTATGTCTCTAAATTTGTCAAGGAAACTGTGGCCATGTACTTGTTGAATGACGAACAAACCATGCAAGTTACTTCAGATTTTGTTTATCGCATTTTACAAAAACCAGAAACAAAAGAGCAATTGGTCATGTTATTGAACAATGCACTGAAAGATGAATCGTTTAGACAATCCGTTGCTGAAATGTTTTCATCTGTCATTTTGTTCGATGTTGTGAAAAAGAGTGGAGCTGAGCTTGGAGCTGATGCTGTTCACACTGTACTCGAGGATCAAGCTGTGAAACAACATGCCGAAACATTTATCACAGCCGTATTATTGAACCAGAAAATTCAACACGATGCTGGATTTGCACTTTGGGAAGCTCTTAAGGTTTCACTCACACCAACATGGTTCTATCATCCACCAAAAACCACTGATCAAGCACAGCCTGGAGCAGAACAAGATGCAACTAGCACTACTACTGGACAAGCACAGCCAGAAAATTCAACTGAACAGAATAAGGCACCACAAAAAGAGCCCTCTGCTGTTACAGAGTCTGCAAACTCAGTAGCAAACCCAGCTCTTGAACAAGAGCAAATTTCACAAGCAGCACAAAGTCCTGCTGCTGCATTGGAGCAGAACTTGTCATCGCCGCCACCACCACAAGACACACAATTGTCCAATGCACATCTCTCTCAGTCCAATGGCTCATTAACCAACTTGGTATCCTCAGCTCCAAGTCAGCAAAAGAATACCTCCTTGTCCGTTTCTCCCACTCTTTCTATTCAAGAATCATCACCACCTCTGATTAAGGAATCGTTCGAAATTGCTAGTACTCCACCTCAAACATCTTCAAAACCAACAACTTCAACACAAGTTGCATTGGTAAATGATAACAACAACAAACAACAATAAATTATTGGCTCAAAATATTGAAGAAGCGTTCGTTGCAACATGAAATCAATTATTGACCAGTGCTAACGCCCCTGAAGCACTTCAAAAGGAATTAGATAGAGGGGCATGGTTACACGCACAATTTCCGATCAATTTGCGTAACCCTGTTAAAAAATGGCGTTAGAACTTGACATTTGGCTTTAAAAACCAAAGTTTACATCAGCTGCCAGTTTCAACAACACGAAAAAAATCAACAACTCAATCAAACAACACACTATCAACACAACAACAAAATGATCACCGTTCCAAACGTCGTTAACCTCAATCTTACCGGTCAATGGAGAGAAAATGGTGGAAGAATTTGGCATTGCACTCAGAATGGCCATCATTTCACATGGACTCAAGAAGGCACTGGCCGAGTTGCTACTGGTATTGCTGTCCCAAAGGTGAACTCTTCTGAATTTGCTGTTGTCTTGACTTTTGACAACACTGTTCATTGGTTGTTGAAGCCATCTCCAGATCACAATCAATTGCATGGACCAAGTGACACTTTCACTCGTGTTTTGCCTTTGGTTGCCGAAGCTCCATTTGGTGGCTATCAAGAAAAGAGTGGTAAGGTTTGGCAAGTGACTGCTTCAAGCCCATCTGCTTTCGTTCTCCACAATCAACAAGATGGCAGAAATGCTGATGGTTTCTTCTCAAGAGATCACTCCACTGGAATGTACACTGTCTTTATCAACTTCCATAACAATGGACAAGACCACTTGTTGAAGATTGTGACCAATACTTTGGCATCTTTGCCATTGAGCAATGGAGATGTTTTTACAAAGATTTATTAAATCTTCGGAAAGTGATGAGACTTTTTTACTGGTACTCTTTCATAATAAACAACAACATTGAATGAACAAACCAATAATTTAATAATTTACTTTTCATAAGTCCATTCAGCAGTGCAAAGCTCATAGTTGGCAATTTCTTGAGGAGTGAACCACAAGTTAATCTCATTGTTAGCAGTTTCAGCACTGTCACTTCCGTGAACACTGTTTCTACCAACATCAATGGACAAATCACCACGGATGGTTCCTGGAGCAGCAGTGAGTGGATTGGTTGTACCAATCATGACACGAGAGTAAGAAATGACTCCCTTTCCTTCCCAAACCATGGCAACAACTGGATGGGTTGATAATGTGTGTGAATCATCGCACAGACACGAATTTTCAAAATGACATTCGTCGTGTTAATAATTATTATTATTAGCACATAATTCCAAATCGTTGTGTGTTTGAAATTCATTGAATAATAGTAATTATTGTCAAAATTTCAAGTTGTCGTGATTGGATGAATCATTCAATGAATTCTTGGTATCAATTCAACCAATGTACATACCTGGCTTACCAGTCATATAATTGACGAGGCCTTCAAAGAATGGTCTTCCCTTCAAATCAGCATAGTGATTTTCAATGAGACTACGAGAAGGTTGAACAAGCTTGAGACCGACGAGCTTGTATCCTTTACGTTCCATTCTACCCATAATCTCGGAAATATTTCCACGTTGAATAGCATCGTATTTGATGGCCATGAAAGTTCTTTCATGTTTGGTATTGGCAACACCTTGAGGAGGGAGTTGATCAGCTTGAACGTCCCTGCTTGATGAAGCACCAGCAAAGACATGGCTTCCAAACAAGACAGAGGCAGTGCCGAGAAAGAGAGGAACAAGGAAACGTTTAGCCATTTTTTTGAAAAACAATTTATTTAAAAATTACAAGATTCCATGAGGTCCTAACTAGGCTTAGAATGAGAGAACGGTTTCATGGATGAAGAAATGAATACATCATCAAGAGAGTGTTCATTCTTTCTTGGTGGTTGGGCCAATTAGTAAGCGTGTGGTCTGAACTAACTGAAGTTCAAATAAAAAAATGTTGTTCAACAAAATGAAGGAACCATAACTAGAACGCATTTACACTCAATCACAGCCCGAGAGTGAAATTCCCTCAAAAGTTGGTAAGTTCCAAAAATTAAGAGCGAGCTTTGGGATGCCTCCATTTTCACAACGATGTGAGGCTATTCTCATCTTGCTCATAGGGAATTGTTAAATTGCACTCTCCGTTTGTGTGTGTCTCCTTGTCATGACCTTGGATTCATTGGTGAGAGAAATTGACATTTGAATTTTGTGAATTCATTGGTGAGAGAACTTTTCATTCAACAACTTTTACTCAGTGGAGCCATTCATTCGTGTTCCTTATTCTTCGAGCCCATGAAGAATAATATTGAGTGAAAGGGTGATAGAGCCACTGGTCTCTGTGCAAAATCCAAACTTATTGAGGAAGTGTTGATCGAATCCGTTCGGTATGGCAGTATAAGAAAGATCTCTTAATTCAGTAGAACCTCCAACAAATCTGCTTCGAAGATTATTGCGAATTGAACCTGCAGGTTTCCATGTCTGAACTGTTAATTTGTGATAGCCAGGAGTGGAAGGTATCGATACAAATCCATAACCCTCCACCCTAAATCTATCCCATGAATCCTTGGATGTGACTTGGAAAAATAGTTTAGGAGTAGGTGAAATCTTGTCACAGAGGCAATCAAAGTGAAATGGAAATGCAAAATGAGTTTCGAAATAATTCTCAAATTCGTTCCACATTTCCGAAGCCACCCCCATTTGTGTTGAAGAAACCAATTTTTGAGACATGGGATTTTCTAATGAATACTTGGAAGGAAGATCAAAGTAATACCTCACAAAATACCTGTCTGCTTCAAAATCTCTTCCTGAAAGAATAGTTCCTGATATTGACAACCTAAAATTGTAATTTTTTGGAGTGTCGTTAAATTCCATTCCTACTAAATTACGTTTCATTTGTAGTGACTTCTCGTGTAATTGTTTCAAAATGCGCTTTCTGGTTTCATCGATTTTGTTATCCTTCTTGTAATCGTTATAAAGAGAAATGGTATATTCATAAACAGCTCCATCCTCTGTCCTGAAAATATATCTGTTTTCCTTATTTCTATTTAGAAAATCAATATCTCCAATTTCATTTTGGTATCGTTTCAGAAATTCACTCATTGGTTCCTCTTTCTCCCCATCTTGAGGTTTCAACGAAAAACCTGGCTTCATTAGAAAACTACCATCTGGAAGAGCTTGTATAATACAAATAGGATATTCTTTTCCCTTCCAAATACCCTTGTCCATTCCTCCAACACTAGCCATTATGTACATGGTTTGGCATTTTGACTGCTGAGGGGTTGGATCTCTCTTTTTTGATATTGGATACTGCTCATTGGAAGCGCATGGAATGGAGGTATGGATTTGGTTTGTATAAAAATCGTCAATATCTGTGTATGTGAACAATTTGTGTTGCAACAAGTCTGAAATCCCGTCAGTTCCAAACTTCTTTCTATGGGGCCTTGTTTTTTGTTCTGCATGTTGCTGCTGTGTGATACCTTGCTCTTCATTGTGTGAAAATGACTTGTCTCTTTTGTAATCAAACATTTCCATCATTTGTTCAGTATCTAAATCGTCCTGTATGTATGGTAATAAATCAATTGATAACTTCTCTTTTCCCAACATTTCAATTAAGGCGTCCACTTCTCGTTTATAAAAACCATCCAGAGTAGTGTTTGGAAATTTCATGTCGTTATAAACTACAATTTCTCTAAATTTTAAATGAGCAGAATGATGAATGATTTAGCATACTTACCTTGGACTGAATACTTTCTGTTGCCATTGAAATACTGTCACATGGTTTTTATATTCTGTATCTTCGTCGTCTTCCTCTAGGTTGGACTCAAGTGATCCTTCGTTTTGCTCTTTTCTTTCTTTCAATGTCTTTTTTCCGATCACCATATTCGTTCTTCGTATGGTAACCTTAATTTTCAAGTTATCCATGGAGTCTCTAGAATAATACTGAACTGTTGAAGAATTGCTTTTCATTATTAGCAAATCATTATATTTTTCAAAAGGATTGTTGGCATTTGAGTTGTACGTTGGTGACAATAAATTCAACAATCGAAATTGCAACATGGTTAAATTGGGAATATATCCAGATAAATTGGTTGACATTCCATTAAATCCGCTAAAAACCGATCCAGCACAACCATTAAAACATCCTCCAACTGCAGTAATCATCCCACACAGTCCACTTCCGAATTGATTCAGTAGAGATCCTATAATTCCTACCTGTTGATTGTTGTTGTATGTCGTGTTGTTTGCATTATTCGTCCCCACTAACAACGTATTATTTGCACTAAGGTTGCTTTGAGCCATCGGATTAGCAGATCCTCCCATCACTGTGTTATTCTGTCGTTGCGAAGGTTGTACCAACACACTTCCACCAGTTGATCCCATGCCCATTCGTTGACGAAGCCCGAGACCAGTGGGAGGCCTTTCATTCAAAGGAACATCCATTCCTGTAGTGTGGGAAGTTTTGTATTTTTTTTGTGCGCCAAATTCCAAAAGACAACAAGCTCAAGCAATTGTACCCAATACACTCCGCCGCGGCCATCTTTATTGCTTGAGCTTTTTATCTTCTGGCTCTTCGATTGAAGTCGTTCCTTCTTGCTTTCTTTTGAGAGAGGAGGAATGGTCAGGTTGTTTGAGCCTAAACGAGACACACATCATTTCCTTCTTTGGAGCAACATTTCTCACATGATGAATATCGACGTATTCCATGATATGGTCCTGGCCAATGACTTGCTCCACTTGCTGTTTGGCTAGGTCTTGTATATTGTCTCCTTCTTTGGCAGAACCTTTCACAAAGGTGTAGCAATGAATGAGTGGCTGGAAATCAATGTGAGTTTGATCGACTCTAAAAACATCGAGAAATTCAACTGCTGATGCTGGCAAGTTCATAATGACGTGATGAAAAACTAATTTTCGCTCTTCAACAAGGTATTTGATAAATGCTCTACCATCCATGTTAAAACATTCCATATTGTCTGTGACCTTATTAATGAGAGCATTTTCTTTCATGTATTCGTAACTCTTAGGATTAAGATCGTTTGCAAGGACTCGACATCCAACTTTTTTAGCGGCTGGCACTGCAAATGGACCCACACCTGCCATCATATCGCAAATAACTTGAGATTTGTTAAAAAAGCTCAACAATCTTGTGTGCTCTGTTCCAAGTCGAGAATTCCAATAAACTTCTCTATAGTTAAATTTAAAAAGAATACCATTTTCCTTGACAGTAACATTAAAATTGTCTTCTCCGCACAAAAGCTCCATTTTAAATTCTCTAAATACAGAATCAATCATTCCAATCTTATTTACAACTGTTTTTAAAGTAGGGTTCTTATCTAGCATGACCTGTGCAATTAAATACTTGTATTTTAACACTTCCTCTGGTATATTGAGATGAGCAATGTGACCAACTTGTTCGAAAGATGACGTAATTTCTAGACCATTTGGAATGAGGGATGATAACACCTCGTTTGAAGTCAAATGGTCATAAGTTAATTCCCTTGTTTTTGGAATGAGTTCTCCAGCTTCATGTTCTTTTAGAATGTCCATCACTTTTTGAGGAACATTATCCACAGTGGTGTATTGTTCATGCAAAATTAAATATTTATAATCTGTGCAATTATCAATATCTTCAATTGATTTCATCTTTTTTCGATCCAACAAATGTCTGTCTCCAGAAAGAGTCAGCAATAAATGATTGTTATCATATGAGGAAGCAGAACGCATCGAATAGGAATCATTCAATAGTAGTACTTTCTAAAAATCACATACCCTTTTAACTTCTTATTCAATACTGAAAGATTTTTGACCGGAACTTTTGTTACAAGAATATTGATATTCTTCGTAAATGCATTTCGGTCTAAAACTCTAGGATATTCTTCTGACGACGAGTGATTGTTATTACTTTCCGATGATGATGGTGTAGCCGTGTGTGGTTCAGAGGACATTTTTTCAAGCGATGAAAAATTCAATTTCCATTCACTACCACACCACGACGATGCACCTGCTGTCCGTTGGTATTTAGAAAAATCATGTATGTACAATTCTTGAAAATAATAACCAAATGTACTAAATTTTCGGTTAAGCCAAACAAGAAATTTCAATGGAAAAACGCTATCGATGAGTTGCAACGTTCGGAATTTGGATGAGAATCTCTCGGTTTGCAGAGAAAAAAGTTTGAACCTTGTTTTCATTCGAGAATATTTTTAAATCCAATGAATGGAGGTAGATCCATTCACAATGAATTCTCCACAAATGAATTGAGGTTCTTTTGCAGAGAATATATGTGAATGGATTTGGCAAAGAATTGTCAGGCTTCTTCGAGTTGTTTGTTGAAGGGGATTCAATTGAAATTCAAAATGCAACCCTGGCGCCAACTCAAAAAAAAATTCCACGAAAAAAAAAATAACTCAAGAACACAACCCGTTCTTGCCTCTTCCAACTTATTTAATCCATATTCCGTTCCTCTCTGGTTTAAATTTATCATCACCACCACATCAACAACCATAATATACTAAAATGTACTCCAGCAACAAGGGAACACCAACAAGGAAAAACTTGAAATCTACTCCTAGCGCCGAAGATGGTAAACAAAAACGTATTGTTAAACAAGAAAATTTGAGAAAGCAAAAGAGAGAAGACCTTCTACAAAAGAGAAGAAAGGAAAGTACGACCGGTGTTGCACAACACGATCCACTCATCCAAGAAAAACTTCTTCAACTTCCTGCTCTTCTTGAAGCCATCAAATCCGGTAACCCAACTCTTCAGTTGGAAGCAACCGTTCAATTCAGAAAGCTTTTGTCTATGGAAAAGTCTCCACCAATTGATGAAGTCATTCAAACCGGTGTAGTACCAATATTTGTAGAATTTCTTCAACGTGTTGATATTCCAGCCCTTCAATTTGAAGCAGCTTGGGCTCTCACCAACATTGCATCAGGAACATCCGAACACACAGAAACGGTCATCAGAAGTAATGCCGTTCCTGTATTTATTCAGCTTTTAGGAAGTCCAAATGAAGACGTTAGAGAACAATCTATCTGGGCACTAGGTAATATTGCTGGTGACTCTGCTCGGTGTAGAGATTATGTCTTGCAAATGGGTGTCATGGTTCCATTGTTGAATATTATTGCAGAACAACCAAAGGTTACGATTTTGCGAAACGCTACATGGACTGTATCCAATCTATGCAGAGGAAAACCAATTCCAGAGTTCTCCCTTGTGGCTCCTGCACTCCCAACTCTTGCTCAACTTTTATACAATTCTGATGAAGAAGTATTAACCGATGCTTGCTGGGCAATTTCATATTTATCTGATGGTCCTAATCATAGAATTCAAGCCGTTATTGAACACAATGTCGTTAGAAGACTTGTTGAATTGTTACTCCATCATCAACCATCAGTTCAAACTCCTGCTTTGAGAACTATTGGTAACATTGTTACCGGAAATGATCATCAAACACAAGTCGTGATTAATTGCAATGCGTTAGCACCACTCTGCCAACTTCTCCAACATGCAAAGAAGAGTATTAAGAAGGAAGCTTGCTGGACAATTTCGAATATCACAGCAGGTAACAAGGATCAAATTCAAAGTGTTATTGATGCAAACGTTATTCCTCCATTGATTCATATTATGGAACAACCAGGAGACTTTGATGTAAAGAAGGAAGCTGCTTGGGCAATTTCGAATGCAACATCAGGAGGTACAGATGAACAAATCCGATATTTAGTCGATAGAGGCTGCATTAGGCCATTATGTGACTTGCTTTCAGTCAAAGACGTAAAGGTTGTTAGTGTTGCTTTGGAAGGACTTGAAAATATTTTACAATCAGGCGCCACAATTTCAGAATATACTGACGGAGTTAACTTGTATGCAGACTTTATCGAGGAAGCTGGAGGTGTTGACAAATTGGAAGCTCTTACTGACCATCAAAGTAAGGAAATTTATACAAAGGCATACAAAATTGTCGAAGATTACTTTGGAATTGAAGAAGATGAAGAAGACGTTGAACCAACAGTCGTGCAAAACAACCAATTCACATTTTCAGGCGTGCAAACTCCAAACAATTTCCAATTCCAATAGGCTCATTCCATTTCCATCTTCCACCATTCACACACCAAGCATATCTCAATTAATCACCACCTTCACTAATCTCCACACCACAATCACCCAATCATACACACCACAATTTTGTTCCCTTCCAACCTCCACATAAATAAACACTACACTTACACTCAATCTATCACGTGGGTACATTGCATTCAAACATTGAAAGTCTTGGAAAGGTGCAGGTAGGTATTTTTGTTCTTTCTTGCCAATAAAAACTTTTTTTAAATTCGTCTTCAAAACGTTAAACAACTTTTTATCTAGCCTAATTAATTTATTGCTCGTGTTGAAAAAGAATTTTCGGAACGAAAACAGAGAAGGGATGGTTCTGTCCTGTTGTTGAGAATACGACGATAGCATCATTTGGAATGATGGCGATGATATTTTAAATTCCAAGTTATTTCTTCTTCTTGCTTGCATTCTTCTGGTCCTTGAGGATTTTATCCACCATATACTTGTTCTTTGGGTCGTCGGTCGATACTTTACCGAACAATCCGAGGTCATACCAGTCCTTGTATCTTTTATCACGTTCTTCTTCTCTATGCTTTTCAATCTTGGGTGTTTGTTGAGCCAACGCCTTGTTGATTTTATCAATTCTTTCTGAAAAGTCAGCAACCTCCGATTTCAAACGTTGTGGTTTTATGAATCCGTGCTTCTTCTTTTCCGTATCCAGCTCCTTTTCAAAGAAAACTTTATGTTCTACAGGGAAATCAATTTTATGTAAACACGCTGCTTCATATAATGCTTTAACTTGTCTTCTTCTCAATTTTGGTGGCCTCCATTGTCCGTTCACTTTCAATGGTCGGGCGCTGTATGGCAGCGTCTGTATCAGCTCTTGGACGAGTTTTGGCTGTCCTTTCAGTAATTGAAACATTTTTTTTAAAATTATTTTTTTTGATGACGAAAAACAAAGGTTACTAAGCAAAATTTAAAAAGTATTGGATTGACCCCAAGAGAGGGTTGGTCAACGTTTATCAAAATGTTTAAAGCTTCACAGTACCAGTTTCATCCAGTACTTTATCACCAATCTTACAAATGAGCTTATACTTGACTGGAATTTGGTTATCAGTGATTGGTTTTTGTCCAACAACTTTTATCTTGAACTTTTGAGTGACACTGTCAGTGGTGTTTGGCAAAACAGAAGTGGCAGTGGCTTTGAAGAGTGTCACCTCAGCATATTTTGGAGCTGCTACCTTGAAATCAAGTCCCATGGCCTCTTTTGAGTTGTTGTTTGAAAAATAGGCAATTACATTGAGAGTGTTTGGTTCCAATTCCTTAAATTCAAATCTCACATTAAAATTATTCTTGTTGTAAACTTGTACCACTTTCTTTTCTTTTTGTGGAACAAGTGCTTCAAGAGGAAGAGTTGGAGCAGAAAGAACATCATCAAGCAGAAGGTGTGAATCTGATGGTGTTGTTGGTTTGGTATGTGTTGCTGTTGAAGGAGTAGTAGTTTCCCCAAAAAGTAATAATGTCGATGATACAGAAGAGTTATTGGTGTTCGACGTTGTGGAAGAAAACATGTCAAGAATATTCTCACTTGCTGTTGAACTCTTTGGTGGAGTGGTGGTAGTGCTATCAATCTTTTTAGTATTCACAGAAGGAGTAGTAGTAGTAGTAGTAGTAACTGTTGAATTTTCATGTGACGGAGCAAAGAAATCAATCAACTTGCTTTCTTTGGTAGCAGGTTGAGAAGAGCCATTTTGAATGTCGATGAGCAATTCTGAAATTCCTCTACCCACAACAGGTTGTTGTTGATGCTCTCCTTCTTCTTCTTTTCCTTCAGTATCTTCTTTTTCTTCAGCTTCTTTTGATAGTTGGCCAATGATGGAATCAATTTGAAATTCTGGCATCTTATCCAAAACATTTTCCTTAATAGAGTCGCCTAATGTGGAAATTTTGAGTAGTTCACAGGCTCGTTGCTGGAGATCAAGATGTACACTGTCTGTATATTTTGCCACAAATTGTTCAATTTCCGCCTTCTTTGAAGGGAAAGATTTGGTTAATTTAAGCAATGCAGTCAATACATAAGCTCTAATAACATTGTTGGGGTCAGTCGCAAGAACTCTTCGTCCTTTCACATTGCTCACAGAGCCTCTTGGCAAAATGGACATCAAACTGAAAAGTAAATTAACAATGTCACTATCAGTTGTCTCGCTGTCAATAATCAAGTCTCCATATTCACCTAAGCACCATGATGCTACTTGCATTAAAATTTCTTGCTTGAGAAGAATGTTTGGTTTTGGAATGAGTTCTTTCAACACTTCAAACAGCTTTTTGGTAATTTCCATTTGACTTTCTGGAGATTGTGTGAGCATACCAATGAAAATTGAAGCAATTTCGTCTCTGACAAATTGTGCAGACAAAATAATCACCTGCAAGAGTGTAGAAATTTTCCACTCTTTGGATGGAGCATGAGCTTCAATAATGGTACAAAGTTTGGTTGTGAGCTCTGGTTTAAATTCAGGAGGAGAAACTTCCAAATGTTGAATCAATTCTTGAACGAGATAAACAACGTTGGAACTATCAACAATCACATAAACCAAATCGAGAGCTCTCTTTCTAATCGAAATGTCATGATCCTTTAAACATTCAACTACTGTTGCTAGTTGTCTGCTAACAGCTTGTGAATCCAATGTGGAAACTTTCTTCATTGTGTGAAGTGCAACATATCTCAAATTATTATCCTTCTTGTTACCTAGGAAGGATCCTAATTGACTGATAGCCATATTTCTCAAAGTTTGATCACAATCAATGTCCATAATGGTTTTCACACATTCATAAATTACGGCGTTTCCTGTATTCTTTGACTTGTCTGTGTTCGTAATGGTCTTGGTGAGCACTTCAGTCATTTGTTCACTTGCTTTGGCACTTCCTTTACCCAAAACTCTCAACAAACGTAAAAGTTTTGCTTGCAAAAATGGATCTGCAACTCCGTTCACATCATACTCAGAAGTACTATTACTATTTAAGAGAGCATTAAGTAGTCTGACAAAAACTGGCACGTGCTTTCTAAAATGAAGTAAATAACTTCGTCTATCCTTGACTTCATTATTTCCTCCTTTTGTTGGAGCCAGAATGGCCAAAATTAAAGTGATAATACCAAGCATGGCTGAGTGACTTCTTTGGTGTTGTTCATTCTCCAAAATAATGTCAATCTTTTCAATATAATTTTCAATCAAATCAGGACATTTAGTTACAATTCTGACAGCACATTGTGCAGCTTTTTTTCTTATGAAAGAAGGAGAGCCAATGAGCAACTTTTCAACTTCAACACTCAAATCACGACAAATATCTGCAGAGGCAATATTACCGATGGCTGTAAGAGCCAATGCTTGAACGAATTGATTGTTGTCGTTCAAGTCACTAATATTTAATGATAGTTATGGAGTGATGATGAGAGTAATGAGTGTTTTCGTATGCGATTGTTGTTTGTTGTTAGCATGAATGGAAATACGACATTTCGAAAGTAATTGTGATGAAACGTCATAATTGATGGATGGATGAAATAGTTTTCGAGATCTAAAAGAGTAAACGAGCAAAACAAGCTTACATACACTTTAAATCGGTGTTCAGTCAAAGTCAAAACCTCCTGATTTTCATCCAAAAGAATCATCAGTGACAAGTAACCAATTCTCTTCTCTGGATACTTTGAACTAGAAATTAAATTTACACATTCAATCTGTCCAAAATTTGTCGGATAGCCCAACATGTGAATGTACATTAATTTTGCAGCATTTCTAGCCCTATACGGATGTTGTTCTTTCAAAGCGGTTCTAATGGCAGCACATTCTTTCGCGATCACAGATCTTTCCTCGGCTGCTGTTTTGCAATTACGAACCTCACGAATGAGTTCCCTCAAGCGTGTCGACATTTTTTTCTATTTGATTTTTAATTTTTTTTAAAACTTGAAATAATCATCATTACATCACCAAGCAAGGTTTTACAATAACAACACCATCGTTTTTGCCTTTTGACTGGTCTTGAGCTGAATGAAAATGTTGGACTCACTCTTTTCATATGTTCTTGATTTGCTGATGATCATCAATCTCTCTTGTGGCCACTTATTGATTTTGGAATTATTCTTTCTGTTCCGATGAAGAGGACTCTTGAGTATTCACCTTCATCTCCAACCAAGGCTTCACCTCCTCTCCAAATTGTTGCATCACCTCTGAAACCCATTTTGATTGCTCATCATGGTGATGATGGCTGTCCAATGATTTACGAGCTGTGTCCAACACTTGATTCATCTGGTCCTGAGACCAAGATTCAACCTTCTCCGATGATGATGAAAACAATTCCAATTTCTCTTGATCCTCTTGGCGTTGTTGTTTGGAAAACAATTCCATCAGCAAGCCTACCATCATTCCTTCCAAAAGTCCCTTTTTCAAACCTTCTTCAAAATGTTCTTGTCTGAACTGGTCCACTCCTTCCGAAGCTCCTTCTTTCATTCCCAATGTTTGAAACTGTTCGCGTAATCGTTGATATTCTCTTTCAGCAATGAGTCTTTGAGTAGTGGCTAATTCTCCATTACCATCTGCTTCCGAAAGCCAAATATCATCCGAGGTAGTTCCTTGTTGTTGTGAATTGAACATTTTTATTATCTGTCTGACAGCACCCAAACGCAATTCCATTGGCACTCTTTATGAATCAATTTTTGGTTTAACCGTGGATTGGAGATGTCACCTGATTTCTTGAAAAATAAGCACCTGATCCTTACTAAAATCGCACACAATTAATTCTCCAGTCAAATCATTGAGAGCCAAATAGTCGAATCTAAAATCAAGACCGTTTAACAGTGGATTTTGTTGCCATTCATTTTGCGAATTTTTACGCAATATTTTCAATGGCCAATCCAAATCCTCCACCATGTAGATCAGTAATTCTCTTGATCTTTCGTTAACAATTATGTCACAACAATACAATGATTTTTCGGAAGGGAGTAACGGCTGAATTGAGATTATTGATTGTAATTCTCCATTAATGCAAATATAAACTTCTATCCATCGTTGTTGGTATTGATATAAAAACAACTCGTTTTCAAAAACTGCTATTTCACCTGCCTTGTCTAAATTCCACACAAGGAGGATTGTCTTGTTTTTCGTTCTTTGATGACTCAATATTTGCTTGTGTGACCCTTGGATACACTTGACAAAATCAAAGCATCATTCGAGTCATTTCTCTCCTCAAGGCACATGTACTCGCAATCGAGAAATTCTTCACTCATAATCATTGTAAATGTATTCAAATCATAGACATTTATATTGGATCCTCCAAAGTCGTCTTTGCAATGAATCAAAAAACAATTACGATTTTTTGAGATGGCAATCAAATGAGGAGTCCTATTATTATTGAACGTAATAGAATGAAAGAGTTTAAATTTCCACTAAATGGAACTTTCTTTTTGATGTCATCATTGTTTTCAATTTTTTAATCATCATACGATCGGTATTAAGAATTTCATTGTTGTTAAATGATGTTGATACTGGGTTGTTACAAAAATTAATCAACTCCAATCGACAGCAACACCTTTCATTCATCATTATTTCAATCGTTTCCTTCCACACACCACTGCAACAGTTGAATTTTAGCTCGACTGTTTTAAAGCAATATTTTTTGATTCTGGAGTTTATTTTCACCCTTAATGAAAGTATTATTTTAAAAGAAAAAAGGATTCGATTCCAAACCTTCCTCACGAAAATGTCCTTCATCCATCAACCATTCATTTAGAAGGTACCTCAACTCAAACTGGACCGTTTACTGTTCAGCTGTTAGTGAAGTCGTTTTGGAACGTTAGACATCTCTCCCTCACACGTGCAGTACTCACTTTTCTGTAATATCGTTTTCTGTTGATGGCTGAGCACTGTCATCCATCAAAAATCAACAAAAAAAATTGTCACACATTGATAGCAGCTGTTTCCCTCTTTTCTTGGTGTGAACAATCAAACAAGTGGAATACTATCATCTTCCTCAAAACAAAGACCGAATCACCATTATCCATTCATCATCATCACTACCACCTACTTTTCAATAACATCTCTTGTCATTTGTCAAAATGGCATGGCTTCATTACAAACTTTATAGACCCTACGCTTTATGTTTGGTCTTTCTCATTCTCATCAACTTATTTCTTTGGTTCTACCCTGTCGTAGATGCAGGAACGGTGTTCAGATTATGTCCTGGATATTGGGCACTTGTGTTTCTATTGACCATTCCCTTGTTTTTGGCATTCCCAGTCATTGTTTATACAATTTATGCTGTGAAATATTTCAAAATGTATGTTGTTGTTGTTTGTAGTCATTGTTGTTGAGAGAGAATTGTGTTTTTTTGAAATGTATTCTTCGTGTTACTATTGTGTGGACGAATGATGATTCGTGAATGGCGTTTTGGTTTGTCATGATATTCTTCCTCATGCTCTCACATTTTCAATTCTCTTTTTGTCAAATATATGACCACCACCATCGATCTGTTTACTCACTTTGTGATATTTGTTGTTGATATGGTATGGTCGATTCCCAATGACATTATCCATTCTACTTTTTCAAATTTTAAACTAACACACTCATCACGAACAAACGAACGAACGAACGAACGAACGAACGAATACATTGTGCTCTCACAAACAACCACATCATTCGTTTCATGATTATCATCTCCCCGAACACACTAATTTCACAAAAAATCATCACCAACAATCACATGAATACTCAAAATTTCTCATCCTAAATAGACCTGCTGTTGAACAAGCAGCTCTTCCAGGTGAAGTCCAGGCTTCTAAAACAACTTTTGAATATTTGAAAATCACTGGTTTTGTGTTGCTAGCTATTCTCACCGTGTTAGCCACTTGTATGTGTCTCATCATGACAGCAGTAGCAGCATCCTATCACAATTCACACGTGTCATTGGTTCAAGATACAGTCTCTATTGTAGAGGGAGCTGTTGTGAAGGGTGACAAAATTGTGATTGAACGTGACAATGAAGGTTTCACACATATTCAAGGTTCCGATATTGAAGATGTGGCATTTGGTCTCGGATTTACACACGCCAGAGATCGATTATTCCAAATGGATTATTATCGACGAATTGCTAGAGGTCAATTGGCAGAAGTTGCTGGTGTTCGTGCTTTGAATTGTGATAAATATATGAGAACTTTGGGATTGTATCAAAGTGGACAAGCAAATTATGAAACATTGAGCGACGATACGAAAACATTCCTCACTCGTTATACTGCGGGTGTGAATTATTATAAGGGACGTTATGGTCAAAGCAATAAGGCATTTGAGACCACAGTCTTGTCGTATACAATTTCGGATTGGAGTGTGTATGATTCAATGGCTGTTCTCAAATTGTGGCAACTTTTGAATAGTGGTAATGCAAATTTGGAAATGTTACGTTTCTATTTGGCTACTGTGAAAGGTTTGAGTGTGGATCGTGTGATGGATTTGGTTCCAATGACTCCACTCAATTCATCATTTGCTTCCTTCTCTCCACAAGATTTGGATACTCCTACTGAATTGTCGAATGGATATATTCAACAAGAATATGCCAGTTTGCAACAAGATCTCGTCAAGAATGCTGCCCTTCAAAACAGTGTTGGTGTGAAAACTCCAAAATCTACTTCTACTTCATACACTGTTCCATCCTACTCAAACATTGATGAATTATTTGCATATTTCGATCCAGTCACCACTCTCATCAAGCATAACAGCGATTGGTTTGGTGCAGGTGGTTTCATGTTTGGTACTGCCTTGTATCCCGATGCTACCTCTGCCTATGTCTCTTCAAGAGGTGAAGGATTCAGAACTCAACTTCCAAATCCTGCCTATGTCGCTCATTTGAAATTGAAGAGTGCAGCCAAGACACTGAGTACTATGGGTCCAACCATTCCTGGTATTCCAGGTTTGTTGGAAGGAAGATCTGGTTTGGGAGCTTGGACCATTTCTACCATGTATGCTGATTGTATGGATTGGTACATTGTTTATAACGTGACTTCGAATCCACTTTACTACTATGCAAATGGAGGTACTTACAATTACACTTACAGAGAAGAGAAGATTAATGTGAAAGGACAAACAGAACCTGTCACATTCACTGTTCGTAATACTATCTATGGACCAATTATGACTGATTTGCTTCCAGATTCTCTCAAATATGGAAATATTCAAATGGCTTTGCAATGGTCCTCTAATGTTGACACAGATAACACGATGGATTGGTTTACAGGTGCTTGGCAAACTTTGACTTTGGACGATTTCAATGCCCTCACTGCCAACAAATTTAACAATCCACCCATGAATATGTTAACTTATTTCAGAAGTGCCTATGCTGTCTACTTTGGCGTGGGTCGATTACCTCAGAGACGTACTGGTCACTCTGGTCTTTTCCCTGCTCTTGCAGACGGTAGTGCTGCATGGCTTGGATGGAACACTCCCATTGTGAATGCAAGAGCATTCTTTGCAAAGAAGAAATATTTCGTCAGTGCCAATAATAAGCCTGTCTCGATTGGTTATCGTTATAACTTTGGTTATGACTTCCCAACCAGTTATAGAGCTCGTCGATTGAATGATCTCATTTCTGCATTCTATCCAAGTGGTACCATCGTTCCAGTACTTGAAGAAAATATCAAGGCAATGATTCGTGATAGAGTCAGTGTTTACTTCTCTGAAGATTTGAAGCCACTCCTTGCCAAGGCTGCTGATAAACTTTCCGACACGGATATGGCCACCTCTCTCAAGAGTTGGACAGGCAGTTTTGAACCAAACTCTTTCGAACCACTCATTGCCCAAAAATGGTATTATGAATTGAGTAGAGTTGCTGCTGCAGACACAGGAGTCGCTTATTGGGACAATCCAGTTTTCATTCAAAATGTGTTCTTGCCAAACTATGTCTACAACAAGAATGGAACAATTGTCACAGCTGACACTGTATCATCTGCTACTCAACAACGTAACATTCAAGCTTGTGTCCTTGCATTGTCAACCATTTACAAGGTTACGGCAACAGCTAATGACCAAACTGCTTGTGACGACTTTGCTGCTCAAGCACTTGCTAAGGTTGTGAAACAATATGGAAGAACTCGTTTGAACTCTGTTTATCCAAAACAATGGTCTCATTACATGTCTGAAAATACCAATATTAATTGTGTATGTGCTCGTGACAGTTATGCTTTGGGCGGAGGCGAATTTACAGTGTTACAATCAGCTCCAATCCGACCAACCATGCAACTCGATTCTACACAAACCTCTGGCATGAATGAAAACAGTTCTCCACCATTCTACTCCAACCAAGGTTTCTATTTCGAGCAATATGCTTATCTGGGTCCAAACTCTGCTGCTGCAACAAATCAATATATTCCAAAGATGAATGTTGCAGGTGGTATTACCGGTCACCAATGGGACAAGGGTATCTATGATACATTCCAAGGAATGGTCATCGAAAGGGGAGAGTATTTACAAGCTCTACTTTCATCTTATTCTGTAGCTTCTTCTCAAACTCTGCAGCAAGTTCAAGTGTAAAATTAACATCTATAAATTATTAATTCTATTAAGGAAGAGGAATTTACCTAGCAGATCTTAGAGGACAATAGGTACTACCCTAAAAAGGAATCTAAGAGATACGGTGTGAATGATCCTATTCGGTGATTGTCAAGTCGTAGAAGCTACCTCGTCTTTTGGTAATAAGATCAGAGGTTGTTTTGTGAGCTCTTGCAATTAACTCATACATTTTTGATGATTCAAATAGGCACTTGAACCAATGCTTTTTCTTGCTTTGGTACACGCTAGTTAAAAACTTTTGTCGTCTTGTAATGTATTCCTCTGTAATTAGTTTAAGGCGAATATGAGGAGGAATTAAGCTTTCGTTCTTTTTTTCTTCTTTTGGTTGTTGTTGTTCATCTTCCACTCTCAACTTTTGACGAGAGGGTGTACGATACAGCTGAGGTGTTGGGGCCAGAGATGTGGAATCAGTGATTTTAAGAACTTCTTTCTTCATATCTGTTGTCAGTAATATTTTGCTTTGGCTTTTGGTTTTAACAATTCCTCTTGCAATCGTTGACACAGCTTGTGAATTTCTGATCTTTTCATATTTTTCAAATTGCAACATCAATAATTGAATTCTAGCTTTTCTAATTTCAATATAGGATCGAATCATCTCTCTACACGTGTACATGTTGGCCCTCAATTTTTGCATTGCTGTTGCAGCTACTTTAGTAACAATAGTCTTTTCAAAAACCTACCTTTGTAGACGAGCTTTGTGTCCAAAAAGCAAATGAAGGACCTTCTAATGATTTCAGCAGCAATCTTCTTTCGATTGATTCTCCATTTCATCTTGGCAACATAAATGCTGGTCAATCATTTAAGTGAATTGGTTTGTAAATGTTGCAGTTCTAAAACTTACTTTTCAGAAAACCTAGCATCTTTTTTCTTCAGAATAGTGTCATTTCGATAATTTTGCAAAGCGTTGGAAGCAGTTTCTAAAAAGTTAGTGATTTTCACAACTGACAGCCAAAATTTAGGCCTTTGACTGTTCAAAAACTCATTAAACTTCGTTTTGGTGTTAGGGTCAAAAAACTGTAGTGTGTTTTGCTTCTTTAAAAGCTCAGTTAATATAATGGTTAAATTAGGATTTTTCAATCTACCAATAAATGGAACATCCTCTCCCTCTTCTGAACGTTGTGCCAACTTAGGAACTGTCTCAACAGAGGCGACAGCTTCTGCTGATATATCTTTTTTGTTTCTCTTGCGATGGTGAAATTTCTCTCCTTCCATACGCAGAAGAAACCTTGGATTGTTCTTCATTTCATTAATTTTTATACGTAAAGCTTTAGGAAGCTCTCTTTCAAATATATTTACAGCTTCTGAAGAGATCTCTCTTCTCTGGAGCGATCGTTTAGTCTCTTTTGGAAGAGAAATTGGCTCATGAGTTATGGGCTGTTTTTCTTGTTGTAGCCTAGTTTGGATAAAGTCAAAATCAGAAATAAATTTTGAGATGTCGCTTAACGAAGATCCATCGTCAAATGTTGTTAAAATCTTTGCGACAGACGCCTTGTTCAACCCATCCTTGGATTCAAATTTTTCGTATAGAGCTAAAAGAACTCGTTGTCTGTAATTTTCATCTCGAGTATGCTTACTTAAAAATTCAGACCCTTTTCCTCGCTTTCTGCCTGAGGCAGACGATTTTTGATGCTTTTCGCTGTCTTCTCGAACTTTGAATTTACCTGGCGTCATCTCTCTCAACATTTGATCAGCGATTAATGATGAAAAGGATTCATGGCTTACTAGGCGTGCGCTATTTGAGGTATGTGGTGATGGATATTCGGATGATCTGTCTTTTGATTCTTCTGAAACAAATGCTCTATTTAATTTTCCAATGTCTGGGAGCTTCAAATTGCCAACACTTCCACTCCCCTCTATTCTCACCTTTTTTCTTGCTTTGGATCTAACAATTTGCTGCTTGTTTTGATTTTCATTGGATGATAAATCCGATAATGATGACACTTTTGTTACAGTCTCTTTTGAATTTAATTTCATCATATCCAAAAGTACAGGGTTTATAGACTCTGAATGTTTTCTCTTTGACGTTTGTGTTTCATCATTCTTATCGTCCTCCTCTTCTTCTTGTTTGGCTCCACCCGTTAACGAGGTACTAGACGCCTTCATCAGAGAATCGGAATGTTGTGTGGTGTTGGTGGAGGAAGGCGGAGAACGAGCCAGACTCATTTTTCTTTTTTGAACCTTACTCTTTATTCTGACACATCAAGGGAATCGTAAATTTTTAAGGGAGATATGGTTGGACCTTACTTTTTGGAGTATATATTCAACAAGTCGATGGTAGTACGACACGACCAATTATGCAAAATACCAGTAGTAGAATATAGGGGGAAGAGATATTTACTGATAAATGCTTCTCAACAATCCCTTAAATCTTCGTACATGTTGTTGAGTTGTCGTTCAAGATGAGCTTTAATGTTTGTCACAGGAAATTTACGGAAAAGTATCAAACGAACACGTAGAATTGAAATGGTTTTTGTTTCAAAACTGTAATATGAAAAACTTACTTTTCAGAGTATCAGGCAAACGATCTAGAATTTGTGACAGGAAGAGTTGTAATCGTACTACAATAACATCGTCGTCATAGGTTTTGATTTCTTCTGCAAGATCTTGTTTGATTTGAAGAAAGAGATCAATAAGATCAATATCTGAGAATTTCTCATTCTTCAAAAATTCGTTGATATCTGTATGTTGAACATCGTTCACATATGCTTCCCTTAATCGATGTTCCAAAAAGGTCTTGAAATTGGATGAATAAATAAATTTTCTATAATATATTATTGGAGCGGCATTGACACGAGCTAAATTCCATGTTGAATACTTACTTGTAGAATTCAAGCATGGCAGATTTGTTTGCTTTGAAAACCTTCTCGTTATATCCATTTTTCTTCACGTAATTGATAAACTTTTCAGTCTTGAATACTTTAGCATGTTCAGACCGTACAATGAAGGTCTTCATTGAACACACCAATGTATCAAAACACTGATGAATTGGATGAAGGAATACTTCTGTTAATTCTTCAAAAAATTTTCTGATTTGGTCATTGTTGATGGTGTCTATAAGTTGGAATGTTATAAAAGCTCTAGTAAAAGAAATTACGAATTGAAACACACCTGCTGAATTTCTGTCACTTTCATGAATATTATCTGTAAGTAATTTTATGCTACTCAAATCAATATCAGTGACAATGAACGACTTCTTTTTAGAAATAAATGTCTCCTTGTAGTCCCACATGAGCTGTTTTCTTCTTTCATTAGATTCATTATCAATATTAGTGAAAAATGATACAATCTTGTTGGTGGTGAGCGTGTTTGATGTATTGTTGGTAGAAGCTGATTTCTTCATTGTGCTGGTGTTGTACTGTTTACCAACTGTTATAATATGTGGCCACTGTTGTAATTAAGAAAAAGATTTCATGAATTGATACCAAAATACAACTTTGTGACTTACATTTTCATAAGCCTTAATAAAGAAGGGGTTAGTTACACCCACTATGGCTGATGTAAACCCTTGATGGCCTCCCATTTGCGAAAAATACTTAAAGTCTTGGTTATGTACAGTAAAATATGGCCTAATATCACCGCCTAGTAATTCGTTAGTTAGAGGACATGAACATCTCCTCATAAATAATATTACGTACCATATGGAACGGGGGCAATCATGGATACTAGCGAAAACACTGAAACACAGCACTGGGTTGGTGTCGGAGAAAGAACCAGAATAGGCTCTCCAATTAGAACGAGTTCCCAAAATTTGGCTAAATTTTCCAAATCATGATTGATGAAATTTCTGTAAATGTTGACCTCTTGTTGATAAGGATACTTTCTTCCAAGCAATCGTTCTTTGAGTGGTGTCACTGAGGAAACTCCACCACCATCTCGAGGCCTTAACTGATTAAGCCTGTTTTGTATGGACTATAATGTAAGTGGTTTTGTTAACACCAATGAAAATTAACGATAATGAAAGTTAATGATATTATGACTTACTTGAGACGAAGGAATAAATAATGGCGATCGGTATTTGATTTTTTGCTCGAAAAATGGTAACTCAAAATGTGCATCTACTTTGGGCAGAATCCAGTTATTGATCTGCCTAAATGCGCTTTCAAAAATAAATGTACCATTCATGGTTGTGTCAGAAACCGACTCTGCTGCATTTTGTTGCTGTAAAGTTTTTTGCTTTTCCATCTCTGCAAAATATAGAGTTGCAATTTTTTGCACTAAATATCTGTACAGTTTGATAAAAGGATATTTGGTTAGAATAATGATAGAGGTCATTGAGCATCCTCGTTTGATTGTTGAATCCTGTTGCTGTAAAAAGTGTACATATCCAAAAATGTCCTCACTCGTGCGAAATGCCCAAGTGCAGGTGACTGGCTTTTCCGAGCTTCCTCCAGATGTAGAGGTTTGGTTATTGCCATCAGGAAATGATAAATAAGCTATTACATTAAATGTGTATGTAAAATTACATGCACGACGAGTTGACGTCAACAAAATTAAAGTAATATGATATTAATATGTCATTATCATCATGAAATACATTACCAATATCTGAAAGTTGTTGCTGAGAAAGTGGATAATCTCGCGGATATACTTGTTGAATTTTTTGACCCAATTCAATATCAAAAGTTGCAACCAGAATGCATTCAATCCATCGGGTTGTGCATTTCAAATCACCTGATGTTGATAAACTATTATTGCTGTCGCTATTGCTTAACGTAGATTTGTTACTTTTGCTTGGTGACCGAGCCATGCTCACATCGGGAGAGGTTGAAAGCATCGGAGGTGTAAATCCTGCTTCTTCATCATAGTTGGTAATAGATGCGTTCATTAATTTGTTATTCTTTTGTGGTATTGCATAACTTGATGAAACCGAACTAGAAGACTTCGATAACGAAGGAGTTGATGATGATTTTGATACCGAAACGTTCTCGCCATCACGACCACTCATTTCCGATATTATGCTCATTCAAAATAAATAATAATACAATTTCAATTCTTAGGCTCAAATATAATCGAAGAGACTTTTCAATAATAGCAGCAAAAGGTGGTATGATATTTTTCGGCACCTGATGGATCCTTTCCCGAACTCCGAACAATTTTTTTATGAAATCTCGAAAACACCTTTTAGGTGTTTGGATGTTGTTGAAAGCATGCCTCAGGACTCTTTCCGTTAACATCAGAATGTTCACGATCTTAAATAATAAATATAAACATCTCACAAGTTTTATTGTATTGAACACAGTAAGGTGTTTTTTATCAAGTGCTCAACACTCAAAACCATGATTTGACAGTGATGCTGTTACATGTCATTGATTAAGGCACAACCATTAGCCATATATAAACCTCCTGTCAAGATTAAAATCCAATCTACCAAAGCCCAAATTCCACATGTTGGAACAAGCAATTTGGCCACTCCTTTGTGATTATGATTGAGCATGAAAAGATAGTTCAATAAATTTGCATTTTCCATTGAAAGACCTGCTACTTACCAATACAAGTGTATCCCATAATCTGTTTCCAATAGCCATTCATGAATATGACATGAAATGATTCTCAAAAAACAAATTGTACTACATACAAATCGATCCACAGCAAGAGTTCCTACAAAGAAGGAAATTAAAAACATGGCCAACTTGCTTTGTGTTTGTGAACGATCACAAATGTAGGGCCTAAAGCGTTCATGAATGCACAAGTTCGTGTGAGAGATGTTCAAACGACAATTTTCAAATGAATATCATCAACCAATTCAATAATTACTTACGGAGTGCTGTTCGTATTGTTATTTGCTTGATTCAAAGCCATTGGCATGACTCCCTCGGTTTCGGACTTGGTGGTTTCAATTTTATAGAGTTTGTTGTTTGGTTCCTCTGCAGCCATCAACGGAGAATCAAAGAAAATTGCAACAGTTCCAAAACAAATTAAAAAAGTGAATAAAGTGGCCATCATGAACTTGGTAGGAGTGAGTTGTTCAACCATTTTGTTATTCTTCTCTCAATAATTATTTTCAATGATGACGGTGCTATCAACGCTAGATGAGCTTTTTTTTAATGTTGTCTTTTCGTCAAGTTGGGACCATGTGATATTTGAGCACAGCCACAAGTTCATACATGGAGTACTTGGTTATTCAGAGGGCGACCACATAGATCTTGACAAAGGAAGCAAGTTCTGGATCGTTCCAAAAAACACGTAGCTTCCACCATTTTGTCCACAACATTTAAAAGGATTCAACTGAACTACAGTGTTCTGAACAACTAGGTGAAAATCTTTGTTTGGAATTTGTGAGATGTCTTACATTGTTCCATTAATACAATCAAAAACAGATATTATTCTAAACAAGTTGGATAATATTCACATTCCAAAAAGCAATTCGAAGAAATAATGAAGGATGAAATTCCTCAAAAGTCATTAAAATCTTTCATTGTTTTTTAATGTTAATTTTAAAAAATACAAATTCTTCAACACTGACAACATGAACTGGTCAAGACACCTCTTGTTGCTTTGTGTCATGTTGGTTTTTGCCATCCATGTCAATGGCCGATTCCCTTCTCTACTGACTGACACATTGACTCTGAATCCTTTCGCACAACATGCTCGTCATTGGTTCCATTCAATCACAAATCCGACAAAGGCCAAATCCTCTTTAACAACAAACGCGTCCTCTCCATCCTGTTGTTTACCCTCTACTTTTTACTACAAAGGATCGACCATGCAACAATCTCAAGAAGGAGGAAAATCAGTGTCCTTTTTTTCTGCCGATCTTGTCATTCATTCCGATTTAGATAAGAAATTATTTCGTATCGATACCATTTCACCTGACATGAAAACATTTCCTCCAAGTGTCACTCAAATGTTACTGACACACAATGAAACAACTTATAATTATGTCAATACTAGTGCTGGATGTTGGTGTTTCAAAGTGAATATGAATCCGTGGGCTCCTTACTGTGTCCAACAACCTTATCAACGATCTGTCCAATTGTTGGATAATATTCCAATGGATATTTACGGTCAAGAAATTGTTCAACGTGATATGGGAAATTATGAAAAGATTGAAATTTGGACCATTCCAATTGCAAAACAACATTCTTCAGAGCCATTTGGTATGAAATCCAATCAAGAGAATGGACCCTTATGCTGGGTTATTAGTCAACAATTGTTGGCGCATTCAGACAGTCAGAATATCACAGAAACCTATAGCAACAATAATTATGGATTTTCTACACGAGTGAATTATAATGTTTTTAAACCAGCTCCAAATTGTCCTGCTTTTCAAGATTGTGGTCATTAATAGTGGGATGAAATTAAAGTTCATTCACAGAAAAGCATCTCTTGATGTTTTGACACTCTTCATCGTTCATGAACGCTGCAAATTCAAAATTTCAAAATCATCATAAAAAAATGCTCGACAATGAATTGGAAATTACAGTCGGAGAGTCTTCATCGGGACTTGTATCCACACTCCCAACAACAAGAAAAGAGAATCCATTTGATTCATTACCACCAGTTTCAAAGGAAGTGTTATTGAAAGATGTTGATCCCGAACGATTGCAAAGTATCATGGAAAAAACAAGAGGTCTTTTCCCATTGCTTGATGACATCAAAGATATGAGAACGGCTCTTAAAATTGTCAAAAATGACTTGGAAGCTCTTCGTCAACCATTTCCTTATGTTGAAAAACATGAAATGAATATGGCCTTCTTTAACTATAATTTCATGACATGGTTTACGTTTGGAGATTTATCGAAGAGAAAACAAGAGGATGAAGTGAGCGAAATTAGAAGAGCTGCCTATTTATTCGCAAGAGAGTGCAGAGGAATTTGTTATGATTTGAAAACTGGGAAAATTGCATCTCGAGGTCTTCAAAAGTTCTTCAACGTTGGTGAAAAACCAGAGACTGAAATTGAAAATATTGATTTTTCAAAAGATCACATTATTGTAGACAAGATGGTATGTTGGATGGTAGTGAAATTGTTTATTTTCTGATATAAAAACGGCAGGATGGAACTATGGTTTGTTCAATTTTGGCCAGCAATGACAAACTGAATGATGACAATAAGAAGGTTGTCAGATTTAGAACCAAGATGGGATGGATCACAGATCCAAGCAAATATACCGAAGAGTTTGTGTACGGTACAAATGATGAATCTGTTTTTCCAATTTTTGACATTACCAATGACGAATATCGACTGACTGAAAGCCAAGCACAAGCAATGGAAAAAGGACATAAGGGATATGTTGAATTCTCAGCGTATTGGATTAAGAAGGGATACAGCCCAATATTTGAGTTTGTCTCACCAAAAAATCAAATTGTGTTGCTGTATGAAAAGCCATCTCTGGTGTTGTTGGCCTTGAGACATAACTATGATGGACACTATTTAAGTTATGAAGAAACAAAAAAATCATGTGACGAATTTGGTGTTAGTTTTACTGAACCATTGTTGCAAATGACCAATGAAACAAGCCTAGAAAAAGTTCAAAACTTTATTAAGGAACAAATTGGTGTAGAGGGATACGTGGTTCGATTTGTTGACGGAACCATGTACAAAATTAAGAGCATGTGGTATTTGGAGCTTCATTCATGCAAAACCTCAAACAAGAAAATTACTGATACTGACATTTGGAATGCAGTTTTGGACAATACCATTGACGATATTCAAAGCAATCTTCAAGCAAAAGAGACCAAGCAAGAATTGGAAGAGTTTGTTAGCAACTTTTGGAATGCCATCACAATTTTGACGCAAAAGGTGAAGGAAGTAGGTTCAGAACTCAAGCAAAAGTATCCAGTGAGAAAGGAATATTTCTCTGAGGGATGTGTGCCTTTACAAGCAACAAACAAAATGTTTTCTGAGCGTAAGTTGACTATTACAAATGTGTATTTCAAAGCTCAATTTGAAAATCTCACTATACTCATCAGTCGTTTCCATGTATTATAATGTCAAGGAAGAAAAACTTCAAGATGAAATTATTGCAAGTATTACTAAACGTCTTAAACCAACAGTGGGTAATAAGAAGAAAATGAAGAATGATGTGTTGGTAGCAATCAAAGAGTCCATTGAGCAAGTTACAAATATTGACCTTACTATTTTCCGCTCGAAATATTTGGAGGAAAAGAAGAGATATGATGAGAACCTGCGGTTGAGAAGAGAGCAAAAGCAGGCCTCACAACCTCAAATCTATGATGATAATGAATAAAATCATTCACATGCCTGATTGTTTTTCGAATCATTTTTGATATCGAATGTTGCAACTAATCATCAAATCCCAGATATCTATCTGAATAGTCATCATTCATCTTAAATATGGGGCCTCTTCCATAAAGCAAAAGAATTTCTTGTTGATCATCCTCATCCTCAAATAATTGATTAATTGATTGATCCAAACTTGCACGGTTTTGATTTAAATTTCGACGTTTCATCCTCTTTTCCGAATTTTCCTTATCGTTTGTGATTTGTTTCCTCTGAACAATGTAGTATCCGTCCGACTTGTCATCACGTTTCATTTCTTGAAACTTTCGGTAAGCCACCATGAGAGGACTCTCATAGACTGTGAGTGGCATCTCAGCTTCACCCATCACAAAAGCAACATCCCGATCTAATGGAGGTCTTCCATTGGAAATCAATTTTGTTTGTGCTTGTTTCATTTGCTCAACGACACGAGTAGAGGTTGGAGGAGGTTCAGCCATTAACGAAATAAATAGTTGTTGCTCTTCCTCTTTCATGACCTCTTGTTCGTCTTCTGGAGTAGTTGCCTTCAATTGTCGGAGTGCTCTGAATTTTCATAAGTTAGCCATTCCACATTAATAATCAACAATGATGATGATCACACGTCCACACCTACACATTGAAAAAAGCAATCGCTGCACTCACGACCAGTGACGGAGCAACGACCAGCGATATTAAATTTCCAGACATTTTTTCATAGCAAATAACAAGAATAACAAAATGAAATTGAACTAAAATACAAATAATTAATAATAATTGTATTACGTTGAACTAGAGAATCCCTCGTTCAAGTCAAAGATCCTCACTCTCAAGGTAACTTAAATCATGGTCGTTCCAAGTCCACTCGATGGCCAACTCCGGAATCTGCACTCAAGCTCAAAGAGCCACCTCAAGCGTTTTGCAACCCTTAAGGCCTTCCGAAGTGGTGAGCCAGAGAAAAACTCTCTGACTCATGGAATGAACGAGTGATGTTGTTAAGCGAGGAAACGTTCTTTGATGTTGGAGCTCTTGAGATCCAAAAACATTGTGGTTTATGGTAAAATATTTAAAAAAATTAATCAAGTGTATTGAGGAATGATGAAACAACAAATAAACTTTCCTTCAGATGACGATGTATATTGAGCAGAATCATTTCAGAATTGATCCAAGAATATTCATACATGATGAAACTACCATTTTCTTCAATAAACTTGATGATATTCTCTGTTCAAAAAAAAGATGAGTAGCAATTCTGCATGGGGCAAGCCTCTTCAAATCAATGAAACGTTGAGTAAGAAACCGGTGAACTCGGAATCAAAACATGTCGTGAAACCACCTGTAGAGATGAGTTTGAGTGATTTAATTTCTGTAAATTCATCATCATCAACAACAGGTAACTCTTCGGAAAACCAATCTACTACGACTGGATTTTTAAATTATTCCAAATATGAGGAAGGAGATGAATCAACAACCTTGTCCTTCAGTAACGAAAGAATTCTAGTACTGGATGCAGGTGCTTTTATTAATTACATGAAGATTGAAAAACACGGAAGTAAATTCTTTACAACACCTCAAGTATTGAATGAAATCAAAGATTCCCGATCCAGACATATTCTGTACACACTTCCTTTTGATATTCATGTTCGGGAACCAACCGAAGATGATATCAAGACTGTTTCAACATATGCCAAAAAGACTGGTGATTACGCTAATTTATCAGCTACCGATATCGGAGTGATTGCATTGACGTTAATGATAGAAAAGGAAATGAATGGAACAAAGAATTTGAAGCCAGAACCCCCAACATTGAGTATTGCGAGTGGAATTAAATGCTCCACTCCTTTACCATATTCTGAATTGAGAAACAAGATGGAAGGAAAGGAACGCTCATTATCCACTCCACAAGAACCTGCGAGTGAAGGAGAAGCCCAAGCAGCAACCAAAGAAGAGTTCAATGAAGAAGAAGTTGATTCTGAAGAAAGCCAAGATGATGATGACAATGAGGGAGAATGGATCACCCCAGAAAATATCAAGGAATACAGGGAAAGAACAAATAATTTGAATAAGGATACCTCATGGTCGAGTAATTCTGTCAATCATGACAATCATGACGATACCTCCAATGAACAAGACACAACCACAAATCATCACCAAGAAGAAACAGTGTCAGAATCTCAACCATCTTCTGACAGTGCCAGTACTTTTGAGGAAACATCAACAAACCCATCTGAAAAGTTTGGTGGTATCAAATACGTTGGAAAACTCTTCTCCACCGAGAAGGGAGTTGAACACAAAGTGGGTTGCATGACATCTGACTTTTCTGTACAACATGTTTTGGCTCACATGGGCCTTAATTTAGTCTCTGTGGATGGATTTAAAATCAAGTATCTTTCACAATGGGTCAAACGTTGTACATGTTGCTTCACTATTGTTCCAGATGTTGAACGCAAATATTGTCCAAATTGTGGACATGACACATTGAGAAGAATTACATGTGTTATGGATGAAGATGGTACACTCAACTTTTACTACAATCCAAAAGCTAAAATCTCATTAAGAGGAACAATTTACACCAATCCTATCCCAAAAGGAGGCAAATTTAACAATGACCCTGTTTATCGAGAGGATCAACTTTATGGCTACAACAAGAACAACAATTCGAACAAAAAGTCCAACAAGATTTTAAATGCAAAACCAACAGACGATTTTGATCTATACTCAAAATCAGGTTTTAGCAAGCGAAGAAATCCAAAACAAAACGTGAGACGAAGAAAATAAAGATTGTCTTGACATCTTTTGAAAACCTGCAACACTAGCTTGATTTGTTTTCCACGTTGTCAAGCAACACTGTCAACAGCAATTTCATTTTACAACACAATGCATAAGATTTGACAATTTAATGATGAAATGTTTACTTGTTCTCTTGTTGTTGTTCTGGATTCATACGATTGAAATACTTGTCTTTTATCTTCTCAGGAACACGGGTCAGCAGTTCTTTAGGGAAAATTCTTGCAAGTTCCCATGCCTTGTCCAATGAATCGAAAATGGTTCTTGATTCATAGAAACCTTGAGACAAAAATTGTTTTTCATACTTCTCCAAAAATTCGAGGTACAAGTGATCTTCAGCAGAAAGGGCTTCCTCACCGACGACTGCCTTCATGGACAACACGTCCTTACCAATGGCATATGCAGCATACAATTGGTTGCTGATACTGCCATGGTCATCTCTAGTGAAACCTTCACCAATAGCATTCTTCATCAAACGACTCAAACTTGGCAAAACGTTAATTGGTGGATAAATTTGTCTGTTGTGTAATTGACGATCTACGTAAATTTGACCTTCTGTAATATAACCAGTCAAATCAGGAATAGGGTGAGTAATATCGTCATTAGGCATTGTCAAAATTGGAATTTGTGTGATGGAACCAGGCTTTCCGACGACACGTCCAGCTCTTTCGTAAATTGTACTCAAGTCAGTATACATATAACCAGGATAACCTCTTCTACCTGGCACTTCTTCTCTGGCAGCAGACACTTCTCTGAGAGCATCAGCATACGAACTCATATCTGTTAAAATAACAAGAACGTGATATCCGCATTCATAAGCCAAGTACTCGGCTGTTGTGAGGGCCAAACGTGGTGTAATAATTCTTTCAATGGTTGGGTCATTGGCCAAGTTCAAGAACAAGGTAACATTCTCCATAGAACCGTTCTCCTCAAAGTCTCTCTTGAAGAAACGAGCAGTTTCTTGGTTAACACCCATAGCAGCAAAGACGATGGCAAAGTTTTCCTTCTTACCAACAAGACCGGCTTGTCTACAAATTTGAGCAGCAATTTCGTTGTGTGGAAGACCGGAACCACTGAAAATTGGAATCTTTTGACCACGAGCAATACTACACATGGTATCAATAGCGGAGATACCTGTTTGAATCATTTCTTGTGGATAGAGACGTGCGAAAGGGTTGATAGGTTGACCTTGGATATCCAAAAAGTCTTCGGCCAATACAGCTGGACCATCATCAATAGGTTTACCTGATCCGTTGAAGATTCTTCCCAACATGTCCTCTGAAACTGGCATCTTCAAAACATCACCAGTGAATTCAACTCGAGTGTTCTTTGCATCAACGCTGGATGTTCCTTCAAAGACTTGTACGACTGCTTTATTACCAACAATTTCCAAAACTTGTCCTCTACGCTTTTCACCGTTTCCCAGAGTCAAGTTCACGATTTCGGCAAACTTTGGGAACTTTACATTGTCCAGAATCACGAGCGGTCCATTCACACCAATCACCGTCTTGTAATCAAAGCGAGGCTTTACAGAAGCGTTTGTCTTGTCTTGTGCGCTCATTTTTTTTGATAATAAAAATTAAATTTTAAAATTTTTCATTTTATGATTTTTTTGTAATCCAAAATATCCATCGGCGACTTTTAGGGAATAAATAATTTAAATATTTTATAACGAAGATGATTCATGCTGTAATTAATAATAGCAACGACATGTGGACAAAGGTAGATGAATAGAAATGTTTCTGTGTTTAGAAAGACGTTTCATTATTGTTATCGTCGTTCCATCAACAGAAGAATTTCGATAAACGGGATTTGAAAATGTTGAAATTTACACAAAGGTCAGTAACGACTTGACATTATTCTACAATGCTCACCGTATCATTGCTATTGGTAAGCACAACGGAGGGATACACTGGCAACAGAATATTGTCAAATGTAAATGTTTCCTTCGATCCAACTTTTCGAATGATGAGTTGTTTGGTCTTGCAATTCATTTCTAAGGCAAGTTCATGTCCAGTTGAGAAACTGAGTCCAATCGTTCGGTAATTCTCACTCAATTCCATACTCCAACTGTGACCAGAAGCACTCACAAAATACGACTTGTGTGAATTCCATGGTTTCGCATAGGCACCAAAATTTTTGTGTGACACAACCTCCTGTGTGGACACTCCAATGCCAATCCATCCAAATTGGAATTGTCAATTTTAACTTCCATCGAAATACTCCACGTTCCATCTTGGTGTTGTTAAAAACAAAACGATAATCTTTTCCATCTTTTTTGATCAACTTGACACGGTTACGATCAGTAGAGATTTCGAATTTGTTGGGTTCATAGAGCCATTCATTGGATAATTCAAGCAATGATGATGATTCTATTTTTCCAAATTGTTCAATATCTTTTTTCAGTGAGTCCAATTGTTTCTTGTAATCCATCCATTTCATTTCATGTAGTTGTTTAACAGAGTCGAATTTAAATTCTTGAACGAAATTGTTGAACTCTTTCGAAGCATGATCAAAAGAAGTAATTTTTCTGTTTACCAATTCGAATGTTGTCATTGCATTTAAATCTTCAAATTCTGTTATTGAGCTCTCTGTTTGGAGTTTCAAATCTTGAAGCTTGGAAATGACATTACATCTTTCCAAAGAGAGCTTGTCAATCTCTTCATGTAAATCTTCTTGCCTCTTTTTCAAACATTGTTGCAATTCTTCGAATATGACGTCCATCTCTTTTTTCAATTGTTGGCTTTGGTTTTCAATTTCTTTCGTTTCTTTTTGCAAACTCAAGTGATCAGCGTGACATTCTAATTCCCATTTCATTTTCATTTGTAGCAATTTATCGAGCTGTTCCTTCAGTTCTTTTCTCATTTGTTGATCAATGTCACTCAACAAGAAACACTTGTGAGACTTGTGCTGACCCATGAGAGAACAAGATGAACAAATTATTTGTTGACAAGTGTTACAAAAAGTGTTATTCGGAAGTTGATGTAACGGACAGCTTGTCATTCGTTGTTGGTGATGATTATTTGAAGTTAATTTTTTCACGACATGTTGTGGATTTTGCTTTGCGTGACGGAGACCATCCACAAAGCAGAAATATTTGCTACAACTGACGCAATGAAACTCAACGACCAAGTCTCGATGATAAATGCCATCGTCAGAACAAGCGGAACAAACTTTCATTTTTTATTTAAAAAGTTGTAACGTGATGGTTGAATTTGGTTGGTTTCTTTCTTATTGATAATATTATGCAATACACGGTTGCCATTCAGCAAGTGAACACTCAAAATTTTGTGTTTTCTTGGATAAAGTCAAATGCCAGTTTCAGAGTAACGCTTAAATCATTGTTAAAAAATTATCAGAAACGAATGCATGGGCCAGATCGGTTGATATCATTTTTGATTTTGGTCATGAATGATCATTTCGTGTTTCACTCCAACAAATACGAATCACTGATCGATTCACCCTTTTAACGATCTCTTTACAAATTGTGAACAGAAATACTGATTCGAACATGGATAAAATAATTGCAAATCCAGTAAAACCCAAAACAAACGGTGAAGACACTCCAGCTTGTATCCAAACAGTGTTTGGTGTGGATAATTTCTTGTTACAGATATAACTTGCCAACTCAGTGGCCAAATCGTACAATACGGCTGAATAACCAGAAATACTGGCACCTTCCACACAATTCGTGTACGAATAGGAATTAAGAAATTCGTAGAACAGTGTCTTTTCTCTCAAATCATTCTTGTCACTCACGGTGCTTGTAGCTTCTCTATTGCCCAATGTGGACGACGGTATTGGAGGTTGTTGCTGCGTTTCCTTAATCTTAACTAAATATTCCAATTGATTAGTGAAAAAAATCACAATTGAAAAGACTGCTCGATCCATGGAAAAGACAAATAACAGTCTCAATAGGAACACGATAGAGTCATTCACAATGACTTTTTGAAAATATTTGATGGCAGCTCGATCGACAAAATCGAACGTGATACCTGATGCAATACATCCCAACATTCCTTTGTAAATTCCAATCAAGTATTCATCTTGTTCTTTCTTTGTGAATTTCCAAAACTTTAATTCGAGTTGTAATAAAATTCTTCCAAACAGTTGTGAGCATAATATTTCATTGCATGAGATGGAAAACATGACCAGAACATCCCTCCATTCCACAAGTTGAAGCATGGAGGTAACTTGTTCCGAGATGGTCACTGCCCAAAGCCAACCCGTCCATTGCAAAGCGTTGAACAACATTTTAACAGAGAGTACTATGGAATATTTGGCAATGTGTTTCACACGATGATTGGTTTGCTCCGAGCAATGCCAACTCTTCAACAATGGTATGGAACAGCAAGCTGTTATGGCCATTTTTTTTAACAATTCATTGTGAGTGAAGTCATTCAAGATTGACCTTAATCCCCTCTCTATTTGGGACCTGTTGCACAGTAGGTAGGATATAGGATTTGAAAACACTCAAAGAATGACCTTCTTTGTGACGTGTTTTCTTGTAAAAAGATAAAACAATCTATTCAGCTTTTCCAAAAGCAGATTTTTAGAGTTCGAGTTCAATTCTTTAAAAAGGAATGAAAAGTTCAATACAACAGCAAAAGTGACATAGTTCTATTTGAACAAAGATGATTAACAGAGTATTTATCCATTCAGAAATATTAAACGAACTTCTCAAAGAATCCAATATTTTTAAATATAGTATTTTCAAACAAAGAGTGATTTATGGCATGAAGAAAGAGACAGGTGTATAAAAATCAAGACCTATTTAACTTGTTAGTAAATTGACCATATGGATCCCCATCCAGATTTATTCTTGTCTTCAATTTAATGCATTTACGCAAAATGCAACTATTGTCAAACGTCAGGATTATCTGACTCTTGGAAAAGGTTTTGTTAAAAAAAATACTTCAATTAATTGAAGCTGGTCCAACACTTCCGTTGCAACCAACTAAATCTTACAAACAGATTTTTCCCAACACCATTCTCGTTAACATCTTTCACTTGCTTTCACTTGTCAATAGGAACAATATTATAATATAATAATTTAATCCGCAACAAACACAATTTAATTTTCCAATCCCTCTTCACACGACACGTTGAATCTTTCTCCAAGACAGCCATTGGCATAAACCCCAACGATGGATGGAGAGCCTCCACCCAATCTCATGATTTCTCAACAACAACAACAACAACAACAACAAGATTACTCTCGTTCATCCTCTAACGAAATGCAACAAGTCCTGACAGAAGGGATTTCTCCTCCGTTGGTGCAAGTATTAGCATCCACAGTTAACCAAAAGGATTTTGATGCTCCTCAAAATGGAAATGAACAAGGTGATTCTGACAAGAGACACTCCAGTGACAATAGTGAAGACAAAGAAGATCCTTCAACACACACTCTTCAAAAACCACTTGGATCAAAAGAAACCATACTCCTCGATGAAGGAGTAGGCGTTGCAGAAGAAAAACCAACCAAAGCTCACTCATCTCCCATCCCATCATCCGCCACCACAAATTTGGAAGAACTCGATCACACAAGAGGGATTTGCAATGACTCGAGTTATCTCAAAGATAACGATACATTCACTAAACTTGGAATACCCATGATGGGTGAATCTGTTGTTGATGCTTGTGCACAGGTTCAGCAGCCTACAAACTTTGCGTCCCAATCACAACGACACGAACGACGTTTACAAAATAATAGAACCATCATGGTGGCTACAACGACTGTAATCAACACTCGACCACAACATGCAATGACGAGTCATCCGGTCATGATGACCTCTTCTTCCAAGACTGCAGGTTCTCCGCCCTATGTGGCGATGAATAGCAGTGATACCCTTAATCATCATTCGAATGATGAGGACTCTGAAGACTCGGACTCTTCCTTCCGAATGGTTATTGATGAAGAGAATGCAGAGGAGGAGGAAGAATTGGATGAGGAGCTTCATCATGTACCCAATACTACTACTACTACCGGAATTTCGACCACAACATCCAGCAGCACGAGTAGTGTTTCCGAGAGTGGTCGTTCTGCTGGTGCTGGTGCTGCTACAATGCTTTCGACCCATCCCATGTCCTATCCAGCCTTGGCAACAAGTAATTTACAAATTCTCAACAAGGCTTCTGTCCCGCAAAGATATTCGAATAATGCTACAATTATTGAGGAACAGCAACCTCAAAGGTATGGATCAACGGGAATGACAACCATGAGCAAAAACAACCATGTACCATTGCCATCCAATTCCAATATCATGTCCTCTCTCGCTAGTTCATACCCTCAAAAACTTAACCTTCCCTCGACCAACTCCAGTACTAGTTTTATCTTGGACACTCTAATTGAGTCTTCCTCTCATAGTAATACCCTACTCTCCATGAGTAACAACAATACTGCTACCAATCAATGGTTTCATCCTCAGAGACCTCGAACTTCCTCTCAGTCAGCCATTGAGAATGATTTAACCATGCCTGGACAATTATCCTATTCGATCATGAGTACCCCAACAGGAGGATGCAGTCAAAGTAACGCTTCATGCCCACCATACTTGTTGAATCATGCGTCCTCCTCCTTGCATTCTCAACCCTCTCAGAATATTATGTGGAATTCTCCAAGTTACAAATTCAGTGGTTTCTTAGATGAGAATGTTCTCTCCACGACACGTTTGATTCAACAACAACAGCAGCAACAACTTCAACAGCAACAACACGCCACTCATGAAGCCCTAACCCATCTTCACCATGATTCTCAACAAACCAATTCACTCGATTCAACCACTGCTAAAGATCAACCTCCAACGACCTCACTCACAGCTGCAACGACCACTACTGAATCCTCCACTACAAGTAATAGCAGCAATAGTGGTGGTCATAGCTGCTCACAAGGAGGGAGTATTGTAACATCCACGAATAACAATAATCACTCCAATCAGATCATTACTGATTCATATTCTCTCGATGGAGCTTCCTCAAACTTCCAAATTGGGAATATCACGAACCAAGAGCCTCAGAAACCTTCCTTACTTCCTCAAGTAGGAGCCAATCCACAAGCAGTACAACCACTCATTTCTCACATCTCAATCAATACCAATGCTGTGTATCAACAAGCTATGCATTATAATAGCTTGTTAGCGAGTGGAAATACCACAAATCAACTCCAACAACAACAACAACAACAAATGGTTCCATCTACTCAGCAACCTTATTATTCCTCCATTGTAAATACATCCATTCCAAATGGTGTTCCTTCGACTCAGATAGGTTTCATCAATTGTTTCACACCTACCTCGTCATGTCCCAGTGCTGGAACACCTGCCGTATGGCCTCAACCACTGCAGCAACTACCGATCACTCCCCAGCAGCAGCAGCAAGTATTTAACTCTGTACAGAATGTAAAGAACTCTACTACCACTAATATAACTAATGTGTATCCTCCAATGACGTCGAATACTAACACCACTTCGAGTGCCTATTCAACCACATCATCGACAGCATCTTCTTCCTCTTCTTCTGTTTCCTCCATGAATATTGATGAGGTAGTGAAGGGAAAACGAAAGACTCGACGAATCACGAAACAACAACATTCCTCACCCATGGGTCCTGTTGGAATCAAAAAGAATCAAGTAATGACCTTTCAGCAACGAGAGTTGAAACAAGAACGAGACAACAGGACTCGAGAGCATATTCTCACGACTCATTACATGAAAGAGAATAACGCTCAACCCTTTTCATCAAGCTATAAATTTGTCCACCAATATGAAGAGATGAATAATCAACAACAGCCAATGAAAGCTTTGCGTGGAACCAAGAATTCAAATCGTCCCAATCCTGATTTTCAAGCCTCTTCTCAACAGACCCCCATGCCTAACTGGATTCAAAAGACTTCTTCTCTTCGAGGAAAAAGCAAGAAAGCTTTAAAAGAACAACAAGATCTTGTTGGGTCAAGCAGCTCATTGACCACCACCCAACGATCACCTCCAACAGTCAATTCTGAAACACCTGCTGTGGATACGTCGTCTTCTCTCAAGACTCAACCCTTGAAGGATGATACAGAAACTCACTCTATTCCACCCATTCGAAGTGATGTGGAAAAAAGCAAAACCTTAGCAGAATCGTTGAGCCCTTCTTCATCACCACAACCAATCAAACAAAAGTTGAAAATGAAATATAAAACTCTTCAATAAATATTCGATATTGGAAGCTTTTCACTGGAATGTACGAACAAGATGGAAATTGAGTTGAACAAGTTTTTTGAGTTGCACTTTTCTCAAAGAGTTGAGTAAGATCAAAAAATGCTTAAAGATGCCCCGCTGTCTGCTGTGGTGAATTGCATCGATGAAGCTTGCACTTCGTCATTACCCACGACATCATCAGCATCGGATGGATCCCATCCAGTGATGAACGAGGATGTATTGGATCTACACGATGATGAACGATTGAATCCAAAGAACCAACCATCGTTTGTTTCTCTGGAACGATTCTTCCGAGAGCAATTACGGATTGACCAATTACAAACTAAATTCATGAAAGAATATTATTTATCTTGTTACAAGCTCCACTTGGAGAAAAAGACGGAGAGGAAACGACGAACAAATCAAGTTGTGGACTTTGATGGACTACAGGAAGATTTCCAAACGTTTTTAGAAATTGTGAATGAATGTGCTGAAAAACAAGCAGAATTGCCAAAAAGAGAGGATGACAGATCATATCTTGAAATAGGAGAACGTGGATGGTATATCATACACCACTGGATATGCCCTATTTTCAAGATGAAAAAAAAAGATCGAATTCCCGAGCTAGAATGTGATACATGCAAAAAGCATTTTGCAACCTTAACAGAAAATAATGTTTGGGAAGAGTTTTTGCGAGAACGTAATAATTTCAAACCTTCTCTACACATGGAACCATTGAGTTTATTTGAAAAATTTATCGACATTTTTACACAACGACCAACGAGTAACTATACTCACTACGATCTAGGAGGACATGCATCTACGGAAATTTTTGCACGAGGAATCGCTAAATCAACAGCCATGACACACGTAGTTTTGACCCCAAGCTTGCAAGGAGGTGACGCAAAAAACAATCCCCATTCGTTCAATGCTCTTCTTCGTGGTATTGAGGAAAATACAAGTATTTTCTCAATTGATTTAGCTGGAATTACAATCGAAAATGACTCAACTGCCAAGGGTATGTTTTTGATTTGAAATTCATTGTTTGCTCATGATGTAACAAGCTATCTGCAAAATGATTGCCAATAAGAAAAATCTGCAAAGAGTTGCTGTTTCTGGAGTAGATGTGCGAAAAGAAGAATATACAACACGCCTACTTAATGCCATTTACTCTTCTTCAGCTATACAAATTGAGATTTATTTATATTCTGAATTAGATAGTAATTTCAGATTTTTAGAAAACGCATCTAACGAAACACGGAAAGCGTTAACACGATTATTGACCTCGCCAACTCTACGTAGAATTTCGATTCTTTCAACAGACCACACTTTAAATGTTGACTTTATTGGAATATTATCAGATATATTGGACAACAAATTTTTATATTATTTTCAATTTTCGATTGAGGAACCTGAGGAAAAGAGCGAATCATATTCAACACTTACGAACTCCATCCAAGACACTTTCTTGAATAGAGACGTATTTTATTTCAGAGATTTTCATACAAACCCGCTTGAGCCACATGTTGTGTACCACGTATTCAAACATTGTAGAAAACAGTTACAACAGTGCTCTCTCACTTCGAAAATGGTGAGATTTTTTGCTCAACAGCAATATTTTGAATTTCCAAAGAAGTGTTACTTGAAGGCAAAGTGCTTTCAATTCATTGAAAGTAGTTTTAACACCTCAGTCTATTCTAAAATCAAAAAGCTTACCTTACAATTACCGACAATTGACGACTCTAATGTTGTTACAACAGCAAGCATGATCATGGAGGCCACTTGTCTTGAAAAAGTGATACTTCATGGATTAGAAGAAGTCAACGAGACTCAAGCTCGATTATTTGCTCAAACATGTGAAAGTAAGAAGCGAGAGGATTCTAGAATTAGAAAAGTCATTCTTTACGACATTCCAGGAGAAAAATTACAACTATTTATTCCGACCTTGTTAAACTTGGAAGTCTTTCCCAAATTGACAGCGTTATATTTTACCAACTCTATTACAGATCAACAATATAATTTAGATCTAATCCAAACATTGACCAATTCCATTGCCTTACAAGAAAAGTATTATCCAAAGGGATTGAAAAAGCTTGCACTTCCTTCAGAGTCAATCACCAAATCAGAACATACTGATTATTTACTGCAGTCATTGATGAAAAATAAGGTTTTAGAGTCATTATCCATATTTAATGCTCCACTGACTTCGCTTGATACATTTGTCGATTTCTTTATTACCAACAAGACTGTCTCTGAAATCAAGTTAAACTATTCGTCTTGCAAAGAAATACCCAAAGAATTACTTTGCACAGAAGATTTCACTCCTGAATTTTGCAGAGTGTTTGGCGCAATGCAATTGAATTGGGCCTTAGTGGCGATTGATTGGTATGTCGAATATTATTGGTACGACTTTATTTTGGGTTCCAGGAATTACGTAGGGGAAAGATTTTTGGTCGAACGAATCATGGCACGAAACAAACAACAGGTAATTATTAACAAGTACATGACCAAAGTACTTGGTTCCATTTTTTCTGATTCGAGCACCAAGTACCTCTTCGATATTGTAATTGTGACTCATGGGCATCAATAAACTTTGCAGCTAATCATGTAGTCGATGAATTGGTTGATTCTAAAACAAATTCTAATTTAGTCCAAAAAAATGCCGTTTGGTGATCGTCTTTATTCGGGGAATGGCATTCAACAAACATCATCAGTGTTATCATCATCAAGGCCACTCCGAAAAGGCATTGTGTTGTTCTCTATACTTGCGATTATTGTATTTTCATTGATAAATATAGAAACTAAAAGTGTTTCTGCATTGGAATCACAGGTGATAATTCCAATCGGAAAAAGATTGGTCAATACAGCATTTAATGATACTTCTCTTGTACATAATTTGGCTCAATATTTTGTCAATGTAACCTTTAATGATAACTCAGAGGCGTTGGCCATGTATATTGATTTATATGAGCCTTTTGTGATTCGGTTTTGTTGCTCTTCAAAATCTACTTCTGCAAACTGTATTACTTATGGAACCTGTGAAGATAGTACGTATTTATGAATATTATCCTAGCATTATGATCTATTGTTGTTGAAATAATATTCTAACAAACAACCTTTTTATAGATGAATGTACAAGATGTCCTGATATAAAACGAAGCTTTTCTATATGGGATATTCGAGGAGACAGTCTGAAAAATCAAACAGCCAAACCTAACTCGTTGACAATAGTTAGAAACAAGCCAAACATTCTGGTTAGATCAATGAAAATCGGAGACGTGGAACGAGTCTATCCGAGCGTAGGCTCACAATCCTATCATACCATTGAATCGGGATACACATCAACTACATATTGGAATGGTTTGGATGGTGTATTGGGGATGGGATACGGTTTATTCAACGTAACATTTAAAAGTATTGTGGAAAAAGTTGACAGCAATTCTAAATTATTTGCCATTAATTTTGTGGATGATGAAACAAAATCAGATTATGGAGGAGAGATCTATGTTGGAAAATACACGATCGAACAAAATCTAATGAAGAGTAACGTGGTAATGAGTGATTCTAAAATTATGTGGGCTGAAAGGCAATACAGAATTAGTGAATTTACTTGGAATTATGCCAAATTATCTGAAACAAACACTCACACTTATACCTACGAACATAGATTTCCAATTTATCATCTCTCTTTGGATTGTGTAAAGGGATATAACAACACAGGACCTATTGATATATTTGGAAATTATAGTAGTAGCTGGCAAGTTGCCGTTTCAAGTAGAATTGATGGAATCACTCTTCCAGGACCATATTATGATGCAGTGACAGCATGGCTGTTTGATTTTGCCACATCTGTGAACATTGCCAACAAACCTTACCAAGAATGGGATTCATCAATTCTTTCATTGCTTCCCGCATTGACGTTTGTACTGAACGATGGAAATCCAGACCATCATGAAAAGTTTGTCATTCCACTTTCTGTTCTCTTTGGCAAGAATGGTTTAAGTTTGTATCGACGAAAAGAAGAAATGTACATGTTCGAAGGAGATTTAGTGTCATACGACCCAACCATAGAAATTGGAACGTTAGTCTGGTCTAAACTCTTTGTTCCAGTATTTGACATGGCGAATTATCGTGTCGGATTGCTTAGAAAATCTGTGTCAAACAACAATTTAGTGTTCAATCCAACATTTTGTCATGGTTTGAGTAAGGCAAACACATGCAAAGGTGCTCAATATTATTACGAACCTAAAAATCAATGTTTAGATCCTCCATGTTCACGATACTTTTTCCAATATGTGAATGAGGACACCAAGACATGTGACCACAGCACTGGATTCTATTTTGCAATATTTGTGTTGGTTGGTTTTTGTGTGATTGCAGAATTCGCAGTGTTTGAATTTCAACTTCGAATGGGAAGCAAGCTTGTTCAATCAGCACGAAGAAACACACGATTACCAATACCTCCACCTGTTACTCAGCAACCACAAACCAATTAATCCATGTAATTTATTGATCTCGAATAATATATTTAGATGAATTATTATTATTCGTCCAAAATTCAAATATCAAAGAAAAAAATGAAAAGCAGAGAAATCATGAAAAAGACAAATTTCGGAAGGAGTATTCTTCTTCTTTCCATCATCATGCTCCATTGTTTCTTCCTTTCATCGTCCATGTTAAACGCCCATGAAAATCCATCTCCAAAACCATTTCCGCACATCCCTCGGCCGTTCTTTTCATCGCATCGTGGATCCCGATTTTTAACCCCTGAAAATACGATGCAAGCCTTTCAACAAATTTTAGCATTGGGAACAAGCGTTTTAGAATTTGATGTACGTTTGACGAAGGATCATCAATTAGTAGTATTTCATGATGCTGTTGTGAATAGAACCACTGATGGAGAGAATGCTGTCAATGCATATACATTACAAGAAATTAAGAAATTAAATGCTGCATTTCATTTTAGGGATCATACTGGAGAGTATTTGTTTAGAACAACAACAACGATGGAAAAGAAGAAGATTTCTTTTAGAGTTTCAACGTTGGAAGAAATCTTTTTAGAATTTTGGGGAGAACCGCGTGAGCTCACTCCACTTGACATCAATATGAATATTGAAATTAAGGACAATGATTTATTAGCAGCAGAATTATTATTGAAATTACTTGAAAAATATGGAAACGTGCACGAACATGTGGTGATTGTTTCCAATTTTTGTACACCATTAGAGTTCATTCAACAAAACAACAAACTTATTCCAACAGGCACCTGTGAAAAAGAAGTAGTCCGATTTGTGATTTATCACACATTGAACGATTTAACGAGTCCTCTTTTTGAATTGGGAAAATTGGTTATTGGCCAACAATCCATGAAAACTCGTTACAGTGCCTTTCAGATTCCAGTTTCGCATTTAGGATTGAATTTTTCTAATCCTTATTTCATTAGCGATGCCAAGCAAACTGGAAAAGAAGTTCATTATTGGGTTGTGAATTCTAAAGAAAGTATGCGACAACTCATTAAGGCTGGTGCTGATGGAATCATTACAGATCGAACAGATTTAGCGCTTGAAGTATGGAAAGAAATGAATCTTCCACTCTCTCCAATTGTTGAACTTTATAGAAAAAAGTATTCAGACCATTTACCACATTTATCAAAGCCTTATGAAAATTTTGAAGAAATTCATTCTTGCGTCACACTGATATGTCGAGTCATTGATTCACTGAAATTTGTTGTGTTATCAACGCTTTTCGTGAGTTTATTATTGAGCTACCAATTATGTTGCTATTGTTGTAAATTATTTACCAGTGGAAAGGCAGAGCGAAAAACAAAGGTAGATTAATTACATGATCCATTTCATGTGTGTATAATTTCTGAAGAATGAACGCGTTGTGTAACAATAACATTGTCAACATCAAGTCCAGTCCCAATTAGGAAAATTCACTTTTAAAAAAAATGTCACCAGCATTATCTTTCCTGCACGATCTACTTGCTCAAGACGACGACATTAAATCATCCACGAGTCTCCTCTCTGCCGAACAATCACAACAACTCATTGAATATGCCCAAACGGTCGATGAAGAAACTCTCATCAATGATTTTTCCGATGCTATTTATTTCCTTCCGAGAAAATTATTTTCCGTTTTAGTGCATTCTCTAACTAGTCCTGATGATGCCAAGAAATCTGGATGGGATCACTCAGCCTCTGCTATTTTACAATATTTTGTCATTTGTATGAGTTCTGTCAGTAATTCAATGAAACTCAGTGCGTTCTTTCCAAAAGATGAAGCCAAAGAAGGAAATATCGTTGAATTTGCCAATGTGTTACGGAGTGAACAAATTTTAGAACGACAGGATGGCATTGTGAGTGAAGAGTTGAAATTTTTAATCTTGTCCTTCCTTGCTTCATTACTGAGTGTGAAATCTGAGGGAAATGTTCATCCAGACATGTTTCAGAAAAATGTCAAGGCACAACAAGAGGCATTTTCTGAGAATATTCAAAAAGCAATTTTAAATTTGATACCAGTGCTCTTGACATTGACAGAATCATTTACAGTTCCTGTGATTAATTTGATAATTGCCATTCATCAGGGATTGGCAACCGTACAAAGGAGAAATGCTTTTATTGATGAATTGACTCTGGATTATGATGCTGCAAGGGGTTTCAATGATGGATTTTTGGCACAGTTTAATTATTTGACTCTTGATATTTATAATAGTTTGATATTTATTCAATCGGTCATGGCATTGCAAGATCAGAGAAGTGACATTAATTTATTTTTGACCAATGACATTAACTTTTTAGTGGATATTATTTTGAGAGAAGAAGAGAAATGGTCTGAAACTCTCTATGCTCAAGATGCAAAGAAATTGAAAACAAATCCTGTATTATGCATGTACGAAACAAGATTGAATTATTTGAAAACTTTACACTCCATCACAAAAAGCAAACTCTATTTGCATGAAAAAGTCACCAAAGAAGTATACAAACACAAAGAAATCATTGACATTTTAAGAAAGGTCCTTAATGAACCTGAACCTGCTGGTGCTCCCAAAATCTTCTTTACACTCAAAGAAGAAGCTCTTGAAATTCTAGACAACAAGTGTTTTTTCAAATAAAGTGTTGAATGCTGAGTGTGTCACAACATACAGAAAAGGATACAAAAAATTTATCAAAGAGCAAGAACTTGAATTAGGAATGCGCGTTTTCAACATTTCTGTGAAAATACCAAACATGTTGAACATTGTGTTTTTCATGCCCTAATTCTTCCAATTTCCATTTGAACTCTTACCCTGAATCAGACAGAACCAATTCATCTCCAATATTGAAGATGTTTGCAAAATAAAACCTTAAAAATGTCTCTTTTCAAGAACGTCACACGGACCATGGTTGATATCAAAATCAGCCAACACAGCAGTGCTCGTGCCATTTTGCATCACAACAAACAATTTGTTCCCCACAATTCCAATGAAGAGTCACAAATGCATCACAAAGTCGGTGTTGTTTTCGTTGCAGGAGTTGGATCTGGCGTTCTAGGACCTTGCGGAAGCTATCAAACCATGTCTGATATGCTCGCAGAGGAGTATCCAAACGTCTATGCTTTGAGAGTAGATATGCAAGACACTTCTGATATGGATGGTTGTGTTAAGGAATGTCTTCATGCCTCAAAATACCTTGCAAAAGAATGTGGTGTGAAAAAAGTCATTTACATTGGGTGGAGTTTTGGTGGTGCTGTCGTCATTCGAGCTGGAGTGTCGGACACGAGCATGGTTGCAGGTGTAGTGACACTGGCAACACAAACCTATGGTGCTACTTCCTCAATATTGAAATATCCAGTTGATCTTCCAATCTTGTTCATTCATGGTACACAAGATACGTGTTTGTCATTCAAGTGCTCCAAACAATTGTTTGAAATGTGTTCGAGTACCAAGAAGGAGCTTCAATTAGTAGAAGGAGATAATCATGGATTTACCAATGACATTGATGGCTTGGTAAGAAGAGTGACTCAATTTTGCAAGAAAATTATTGAGGAATACTCAACAGAGCGTGCCTTGTAGATGGTTTGCTGTGGGTTCATTCATGCACGAGTGTTGTTGTTATATAAGAAATAATGCTTTCCAATAGAACTACAGCGTAACTTGAGATGAGGGCAGGCTTTGAATACATGCTCCAGTGCTGAAACTTTGGAAAATCCAATGACTTTGTGTTGTGATGATCTCTTTCCTGTAAATAGAGCTTGACAATGTTGTTCGTCACGAGCCAAAACGATAGAATAATCAACTCCACAGCAAATGTCGACAATGTTCTCTTCGAGTTGTATCAACTCTGTAACATCTGATTCAATTAAAGAAGGCTCTGTACAAATTCTGTGTTGTTCACCAGTAATGATTATACCACATTGGCCTTCTAAATTGCTGCCAAGGGCATAGCCACAACCATCATCGGAAAGTAGTAAGGTATGAGAAGCGCCACAACAAGCTTTTACGATTTTAACATCGTCTTTCAGAATTTCTAAAAAATGTGGCCGGTCCAAAACTCTTGGAAAATCAATTTTCCCATCAGTGGAATATGTTGTAATGCCACATTGTGAATATGAATTGTTTCCATAGCAATATACCGTTCCGTTCTCATCTAGAATAATAAAATGATAGGCACCTGCACTGATACTAGATATGGCACACTGCTTTGAAGTATTTAAACCATCATCTAACAGACGAAGAGTTTCCAACGGTGTCATGTCTCCCGTGTCTGATATTTCAAATTTGAAAAGTCGATGGTTATTGTCACAAAAAAGGCCACATAAACACTGTGTCTTGAATTTTGAAAATGTTAAATGATGGATGCTCTTAATATTGAACATTTCATCTGCGCTCGGCAAAGCTTTAGAAATTTGTTCGCTCAAATTGCAAAGTACTTTCATTTTCTTAGCACATTCGTCATAATAACATAAAATATAGGTCCTGCAATGGTTGTCATTGGTTGAAGAAGATTCAACTAAGGCCACTAATCCATACTTCATTGTCGACTCAATGTTAAGTATTTTTCCATCTGATGTTGGAATTTCAACTTTTGTAAAATAGCTTCTCGTGGTGAAATATGAATCATCTAATATCAAAGAATGCATAAACAACTCTCCGTCCTCCATCAGCACAAAAACATTGCAAAAAGTGCTCTCCACTTTCATGATTGAGGAGTCAGAGTTTTTTATAGCTAGTCAATATTCCATCGGAACCATCTGTTCATTCCTCACATCCATCATATACACAATTTGCTCATCATCCTCATCAACTCCTTGCCTCAACTGTTCCGTCATCATAACTACCAGTTCACTAATAAATACAATAATAACAAGTTTTTAATTTTCTCTTTGAAACAATAAGAGGATATTGCTTTTGAAATTCCGATAATCAAGCGTTGATGATAATCATCACTCGAGCCAGCAGCAACCCAAAATATTTTTTTTATGAATTCCGATGAGCCTTAAAAGATTGGTACAAACATTTCCGTGTTCCTTCATCAAAAAAAAATTTCCGAACTCTTTTCTGAAGGATCTTTACTATCCATTGGACCAGTTAGTCATCATGATGAGTGATTCCGAAGCAACATCTGTAGCACCAAATACATCTGAGGACAAGATGGTGGATGAATCCAATTCACAAGATCAAATGGTTGATGAAAATATTGTGGATGTATTGGGAGATGGTGGTATCATCAAGAAAATTTTGAGAGCTGCTCCTGATAATGAAACAGCCACTCCTCCCGATGGAGCTCAAGTTACTGTTCACTATGTAGGAACATTGGCCTCTAATGGTAAAAAATTTGATAGTAGTAGAGATCGTGAAGAACCTTTTAAATTCAATATTGGTCAAGGAAGCGTGATCAAGGGTTGGGATGAGGGTGTAGCAACGATGAGAAAAGGTGAGCTTGCCTTGTTTACTCTTAAACCAGAATATGCCTATGGAAAGAGTGGTTCTCCTCCATCCATTCCTCCAAATGCTACTTTGCAATTTGAGGTTGAATTGTTGGATTTTAATGATGAAGAAGAAGTAACCAGTGGAATTACCAAGAAGGTTCTCTCAGAAGGAGAAGGTTGGAGAAAGGCTGAAGAAGATGGAGCTACTGTTGTTTGCTCTTACAAGATTTATGAGAAGGACAATGAAAGTAGGGTTTTGGAACAAGTCGATGACTTGAAATTTGTTTTTGGTGATGAGAATGTAGTTTCATTTGTGGAAGATGCTATTGGAAGCATGAAGAAGAACGAAAAAGCCCTTTTCACAATTACTCAAGTCTCTCCTTGCCAATATTTAGAATATACTAGTCACACGCAAGAATTTAAGAATAATTTTTCTAATTTATTAACATCAAAGCCTGTTCTCAAGATGGAAGCTCATTTGAAAGATATTGATAATGAGAAAAATTCATGGGAGATGTCTCATGAGGAAAAGTTAAACAGTGCAGAGAGTAAGAAGGAGCAAGGTAATGAACTGTTTAAGAACAAAAGATTCAACCTTGCCCAAAAGAGATATGAACGAGGTTTAAGTTTGATTGAAGATCAACACCCATCCGATGAGCCAGAAGAGCAAAAGAAGAGAAGAAATCAAATTCTTACCTCCATTTACAATAATTTAAGCGCCATCTACCTCAAGCAAGAACAATTTTCTCAAGCTGTGAACAAGTGCGATAAGGCTCTGGAAATTGACAACCAAAGCATTAAATCCTACTCTCGAAAGGCTCAAGCTTTACAATCTCTTGGAGAATTAGAAGAGGCTAAAGCAACATTGGAACGGTGCTTGAATGTTTGTGGTAATACGACATCTGAGACCCAACTCCAATTATTAGATCTCGTCAAGTCACAATTAACCAAAGTTTCGAAAGCTCTATCTGAACAACAAAAGAAGGAAAAAGCAATGTTCAGCAAAATGTTCCAATAAATCACGTCATATGACCGACTGATGTTTTAAAATGTGACAAGAAATGAGTATGGTTGAGAATAATCGATTTGTTTACTATTTACACGAGTTAGTTGTGTTCAACTGTCACCACGGATTGAGCTGCATCCTCTGTAGCCTCTTGTGGTGTTGTTGTTGTTGCTTGTGGTGCAAGTGGATTCGCATCATCTGCCTGATCTTCAACAGGTTCTTCTCTTGGTTTCTCTTCAATTTTTTCAACCACTTCGGAACACGTTGTCATTGGAGAATCTTCTTGCAATGGTTCTGCTTTTTCTGGTTCATTGACATTATTATCTGCCTTTTCATCCATTTTGTTTTCGTCTTGAGTTGCTAACTTTTCTTGCACTGCCTTTTCTGGAGAGGTCGATGTTTCGGTTTCTAGTTTCTTGATGGAAGCAATTAGAACAGCCTTATTAGATTTGGTAGTTGTGGAATTCACAGCCTTCAAAACAGAAGATTTCTTCAACTTGATGAGCTTGCTTTGCATTTCAATCTCAAACTTTCTACTGTGTTGTCTACAAAAGTTCTTCAACAAGGCAAAATCAACACTAGTCGTATGGAATTGATAACAACTCTGAAGTTCAGTCTCAATCTTTGTATTCAATCTTTTTAAGAGCGCCTCCGTTGAAACCTTAATACGTTCTGGATCAGCATTCACATCCTTCTTAAAGACCTCTGTAAATAACTCACGGATTAACTTTTCAACAATCTCTTCCTCCATCTCAAAGGGTGTTTTAGCAGGTGCAATAGCCGTAGATCCTTTCTGTGTTTTTGTCTTGTTCTGTAACAACGATGATGAAGAATTCTTTTCATTCTTCCGACTATCTGTGGATAAAACTGGTGGTTTGCAAACCGTAGTAGCCTTCTTCTTAATGAATGGAACACCCGAGCCAACAGCACTACCAGGAATCATTTTGAGTTTCTTAACGTCCTTTTCAACATGTTTTGATCTCACGGTACAAGTGCCATCATCGGACGAGGATACTTGAGAAAGATCACGTTTCTTATTGGTACTAGCCGAGGACTTGGCAGAGGTGGAGAGATTGAAAGGTTTTGGTACGGTTCTTCCTTTTGATTTGATGAAGGGAATACCAGTACTTGAAGCTGCCGAAACAGAGGATGAAGGAGTGCCAACGTTGGTGCTGCTCATCGCGTGGTAGTAGTTGTGAAATTTTTTTTGTGATTAACGTTTAGTTTGGGCGGGAAGATACAACTGAAATTCAAGTTCTCTTCCTAATGAACACTCCGTGCATACCCCAACGTGTAATTCCTTCACAATACACTCCCAAACAAATACCACAAGCAATGACGCCAATTAGAAAAACATTTCGAATTCTCAACATTGGAATGAGTAGAGCAACGAGAAAATAATGATGCATGTGGAGGTAGTGAGTTTTTCTGAAATGAGAAAGATAGAGTATGGCGAGTATTGTCACTACTAGCAAATATCCAATGATAAAACTTAGTAAAATATGTGGTCCGAGTTGTGTGAAAAACATGAATAATTGTAATAGAATGAGAGTAATAACAGCTAATCCAGTCATAATTAATCCAATCCATTCCCAAAATGCTATTTCTTTCCATCGGGTCGAGTTGACAATAGTGTCGCCAAATTTTTGAAGTGGCTCTATTTTGTCTAAATAGGTAAATTGTAAACCAATGTAAAAAGCAACTCCAAATAATCCATTACAAAGCAAATATTCAAACAAAGTCGATTGAGTGTTTGTTTCCAAACAATGCACAATCGACACTAAAAACAATGGAAAGTAGATAAATAAATTTGAACCAAAACTTGTCGAAATTCCATTCTTGGAAGAGTCTTCCAATAATTTGAAACATCTAGGTGAAAGTAAATTCAAGAGCTCCTTAATAGTTCCCTCTCGATCTTGCAAGTAATAATCTGAAAATTGTGAAAAATCTTTCATTCGAAATGCTTTGAATAATTGTTGAAAAAAGTGTTTCATGTAATCACGGAGAGTCATTTCCATCATTGTGAAATGTTTCAGTTCATGATGAACTTGTTGGAATGAAGGAGGTGAAGGAGCACATTCCTGTTCTTGCTCTTCTTCTGAACAACAAGAAGAAATTTGTTGTCTTAATTTTCGTAAACATCTCTCTTCAGTCACATTCGAAACATAGAAAAATCCTTCAATTAATAAACAAAAATACCAAATCAAAGTATCCAAATGCAAGTCAAATCCCAAAACAATGCATCGAGGTATTGAAAAATATAATACCATTAACAAGAGAACATTCACAATTAGAAAAAACAATAATGAAATTCCCATGATTTTTAAACGATTTTTGAAATAATTCCAATCATACGGATTGTTGTTGACTTGTTGTTGTATATCATGGTTCGAATTTAAATCATCTGCTTGTTCATCATTTTGAGGAGATTGTAAAGTAATTTCATCCAATGATTCGAAAGAACGACCAACCACGTCCATGGTGACATTTCGTGTGTTACGATGATGGTTGTCCTTAGCCGAGTCGTCTTCAACGATCATTTTTTCAGTGAATGAATCAAAGGATGTCAAATACAGAAATTGTGGTCAACAGACATGTTTATTGTCTTGTTGTTGTTGTTGTGAGAATGAGGATATGGAAATTGGAATTGTTGTTTTTGGAAATTTGACAATTGAACATCACGAAACTCTCTCTTCGTTCTCTGCCGAATGAATAATAATAACGAATATCAACAACAACCACACGAATACTAAATTCATAAACTCGTGTGTGTGTATCAATTGGTCATCATTGAAAAAGAATTGTTGTTGTTGAGTTAAATAATAACTATATGGAAAGAGCGAGAGTATGAGTGTGTGTGCGTGACTTCAAAAGGAATATTACAGAGAGAGTTGACTGAATTTAAATCGATCGAAACTATTATATGGATACTATTAATAATAATAATAAATGATTATAAAAATTATTGAATGACATGAACATCATAACAATCACATTATTGGTCATTATGTTGTTGATCAAATTCTGACCAATCTTCCAATTCCTGCAAAGCAGCAATATTGGATGGATCTCTGTAGTGATGACCACGATACTTGGCTGAATTCATGTCAAAATCTGAAAACATTTCCGCATCGTCGACATTGTCTTGTTCTTTGAATTTGTTAATTTGTGGACTACTGTAAGTGGCTGTTTCTGTGCGAATGACTTCTAAATGTTGTGATTGTTGTTGTTGTGGTTGTTGTTGTGATTGATCAGTACTTGTGGAAGAGGTTGACATTGTGTTTATGAAGAGAGAAGAGAGTGTGATGATGATGATTTGTTGTTGGGAGTTTGAGTGCAGTAAATGGAGTGCGTGTCGCAAACTTGCAGATTTTGTTTTCAAAATTGAAAAGTCGTTTTTGCGAACAGGTGACAGATGCATACTGGATTTAGGGCAAACAAATCCGGCGCATGATTTGTTCGAACAATGAAACCAAGGTCATTTGCACTTCTTATGAAAACTTAGTTGCAAATGACATGAAGAGACATTGAAGTTTATTGTTGTTCCCATGATGATGAATTCACTTTTTTGTGACCTCTTTCTTTGGTGGTTTCAGCACTGGGTAATATTTGCTCACAGACAAGTCATAAATAGGCATGATGTGTGGTTGAGGAGAAGGAGTCGTATCAGAACTACTACTACTACTACTGGAGGTCACAGGTGGATGTTTGGAAAAGACAAATACTGAGACTGAATTGGTTTTTGCTGATTTTTGAATCCATTCCAAATGTTGTTTTTCGTAGGGTGCTAATTTGATATCTTGTTGCAAGATGGTATCAACTGCTTTCACAGCAGCATCGAAATGATCTTTGGCAGAGTCGAATAAATCTTTTTCAGAGACATGAGTCAAGTTGTTCGCAATCAAATAATGTTCAAAAGTCACTGGAGGAGGTTGATTGGTGGAATAGAATGGTTTGAATCTGTTTGTGAAAATAAGTTCGTCAGATGCCAGTGGATATTCCTTTTCAGCACTCATGTTGGTATAGAGACCTTTCTTATTGATTGCGAGAATGAACTAATTGTGATGAGATTAATTGGTGATTATTTGAGTAATGTGTGGGTTGTAGATTTGTGTGGAATTGAATAATGAATTTCACAATTGTGTATAAGTAGTTGTAAATTCATGGAAATTGAAACAACTTACTCTACAAAGTCCTCGATAGTAAAGATTGTGAACTTCTGATGTTAACTTGGAGTATAATTGGTATCTATTCAATGGAGCTCCAGCAGTCTTCTTTTTCTTTGCATAGAGATTATTCATGTTCATGGATCTAATTTTCGTAATATAATCAATATACCATGCAACTTGTACAAGTTCAGAATGGTGATACAAGTCCAATTCAAATCCAAGCAACAAATACTGGTGCATAATTTCACAAATAAAATCAATCATGAAGAGAGAAAATGAAAACATGTAATCACTCTTTCTAACGAGCTCATGATTACGAACATCAATATTGAGCCATGTTACATCAATTAATTCAGATCTTTGTTCAGCTGTTCCTAGATCAGGAATGAGATTTGCAAGAACTCTTCTCAATCGTGACTTGTTATGGGTATAACCATTTAACAGCTTGAGAATCAAATATGACAAGGCAGTGATCCATTCTTGGTATAATGGCTCTGGCTTTTTAGCTTGCTTTTTCATTTCTTGAAGATGCTTATCAGTAATTGAAATAATCTCTGTTTCTAGATGCTTTTCAATCCATGTTGAGAGTTTGTACTTTCCAAAAATCATATCATCTGAAAATGTAATATAGAATAGATATGCTCTCGACACAACAGAGTTGTTCTGATTTTGGAATGAAAAAAGTTTGTAGAAATGAATCAGCTGGTTCAGATTTTGACATTGTCGGACTCCCAAAATGTGATTCATCTCGTTTAAAAAGGCTGTTGCAGCATCATATGAAATATCAAAACTAAATAATTCGATGGGCTTCAAAGGAGATGTAAAGCTAGCAAGGAGAGCAATATGCTTATCGAAACCAATATTGTGATTTTCAATTTCTAAAGCTTCTCGTTCTTCCTTAATTGACTTTAACAAGGTAAGGCAAGTGGTAATGGATTTCTTGCAATTGTTCACTTGTGGTGACGTGACAGAGCTTAGACATCCATGAACGAGAATGAAATTCTGTGAATTTGAAAAATAGTAGCATGATTACATGAAGAATTTCATCACAAATTTCAAAATGATACACCTACCTTAATAAATGAAATTCTAGAAAGAATAGCATTGGTTATGGCCTCTTCCAACAATTTATCTCCTTGAAAGAGTTCAAATGATTGAGTGGTTTGCTTTCCAGTAAGAAAACTCACACGATTTGAAAGTTCGGTCTCTAACTTGTCAAATCTCTCCATCACGTTTGTTTCGCTCTCCATTAATTGAACTTCTGGAAATCCACAAGAGTCATATGAAAACTCTTCACTTTCTCTGCAAGATGTTCTTGCCATGACGTATTCCACCTTAGTTTTAAGCAACAAAATTCCATTACAAAAAGCGTGAAAATATTTAACAATGTTATTTGGGTCGGAATAGTCGCTGTGTTGTTCCAAATGTTGCAAATGATGAAGATATTCACATGTTAATAGGGTTTGTGCCAAAGTCCATCCCTCATACCATGTGAACTAGAGTGTTCGTGTGAATTTTGTGCGATTGAGAGTTAGAATTCGTTCAATATTCATTTGAATTTGTATTTCGAATTTTTAACAAATAATAGTGCGATGATGATAAATAATTATTTCCGGATTCGGATGTAAAAGTCTGTTCTCACTTACCACTGCACATATTAATTCATCCATCATGTATATTATCTGTTTTAAATTTAGTTCATTCACTGGTTTCATGAGACCTTCCAGAAATCGATCTTTTGGCCAATAAACATATTCCTTGTTAGGTCCATTCAAAAATGTATCCATCTTGGGATCTCCAATCTCTGTAACGCTCAAAACATCATGTAAATTGAATCCGGGGCCGTGTAACATTTCACCCTCGGAACAATATTGCTCAGTAGTTTTACGCAATAAATCAGTCACGTCTGTCCACGCTGTTGTTGATTTCTTCATTTTTTTGTCGACACGATGGATTTATCATGTGTGTACTATCAAATAGGTGGAAACAATGAATACTCACGAAATGTGATGTTTATTATTATTTCGAAAGGGGTATTCCTCTGTATAAATTATGAAATAATAAATTATATTCGTTTTACAGGCTATGGTTGGCATTAGGGTTGTAAGGCACAAGAAAAGGTGGCTTAGAGGAAGATGGATGATCTGTGGACGATTGTGGCTGTTGCTGCTGCGTAGAGGAATTTCCTGTCGTTGAGGTAAGGTGATCACCTGTAACAAGGTCAATCTGATTGTCGTCCACTTGCTTGAAAAATGACATGGAAAAAAGGGATTTTCACCACCATTGTCGTAGGAAACTACATGATTTGACGAGAGTGTAATAATTTTACCATCAAATCTCTTAGCTCTGAAAATAATGAAGCAATTATCAGTGTTTGAAAGAGCTGATTGTAAAAAAGTGGCAAAGACTCGCTGCCTGTCTTCCTGTATCACTACATCACTCCACTTAGAGACACAACTCTTGAAATGTTCAAGATCCTTATATCCCAAGGTCTCAATCACACAACTATTTGCTGTAAGAATTTTACCAGTGTCACCACTTGTGATAATTACTCCTAACCCTGTACTTTTACGTCCAAGGAAACAATTCTTAAACTCCAAAAAAGTATTTACAAATTCAAAAAACTCATTCTTCAATTGTTGATTTTCTTGTTTTAAGAGTTGATTCTCTCGCTCCAAATTTTGAAGTTGAGTAGCCAACACTGCATGGTTGTTAAGGGTATTAGCATTTGGTGAAATTCTTGTTGTTTGTTGTGGAGTCGATTGTTGAAAGAAAAATGGATTTGAGAAGGATTGATGCAGCATGTTGGATGGATTGCTGAAGAGAGTGGGAGACTGTTGTTGAGGAGAGACAAAATTTTGGAATGAGGAAGGAAGTGGAGGAGTTGTGCTGTGAGATGTTTGTTGTTGCTGACCTAATGATTGCTGTATGAGCGCTTGCAAAACTAAATTCGATTTTTCATTCAAATTTTGTTCTTGCCCGGAAATGAAACTTGGTGTTGACGATCCTGATGATGGCATATGTTGATTGGTTGCCAAGTAAACTTGCTGTTGAAATCCCGAAGAGGACGACGATCTTGAAGCACTACTACTTGCACCGCTGTTGTTGCTGTTGAAATCTCCAGACTTGTTCATCCAGTCTCTCTTCCGAAAGTAAACAAACTATTGTGAAATTCCGTTACCAGTAGAGAAGCGAGGAATGTTGAATGCAAACACACTATCACGGAAATCTCTAAAAGAGGAGTCTCCAATCAATGTTGGAATATTATTTTCTGAATGGTGGAATGCTTGAGAATATTCTGTCTTTGCAATTTGAAGAATATTCTTTGGAAAGAATCTTTTTGAAAAACCTACGTGGAACCAAAAGACTTCCCGTGCTCACTACCTGTACCACGTTCAGTATTTCCAAATTCAACAATTTTCGTTCGGAGTACTCACTTGCTTCAAATTACCAAGATGGCTAGCCAAAGCACTGCGACTAAGTGTTGAAAGGACGTCTATAGCTTACTTTTCAACTCGGGCTCTAGAAATTGGTTCTTCTCTCCTTTACTTTACAAATTACTATCCCAGCGAAGAGAACAGTGATGATAAAAGTTACGTTATACTCTGTAGCAGAAGAGACGAAAGCAATTCTTGGCTTTTTTTTTAAAAGATTTAATTTTACAGATGAAACCTTCATTCAATTGTGTGGGTCAAAGAAGAGCGTCGTCCACAACACCGATGGAGTTTATATTGATGCGAGATCATCGGGTATTCCTTTTCAAAGTTGTTTTTTCCCATTAAGGTAATTCAAACTTCTATATTATGGGCGTGGATTATATGATCTATCCACAACGGTCAAAGGCGTTTAGATCTGATTGAACATGATGCAGAAAAATCATTGGACTTCCATGCTTTTGGATACCACCCTTTTCATTGAACTCTCGGATTTGTAACTTCAGCCCGAGTCGAAAAGGAATTGAGAACAATTAAGAACGAATGTTTGGTTCCGGTTGAAGCCCTAAAAAAAATGTTCATTCATCTTGTGGATGAGACTGTGTTGGCGCAAATATTCAAAAAGTACTGTGAGAGCGATCAGATTTATGTGGCCTCTCGGGTTTGCTCGAGATGGAGAAGATTAATTTTTGAGAAGGTGGATATTTCGTTAGGAGTGGAGGAGAGAAAGATTGAATGGATGATTTGTAATGATGATGATGATGTAAAATCGGATCCCACTACGAAATGTCCTCTACTGAAAGTAAGGGATGAGTATGGTGAGCATCATATTGAGAATTATGATTCTGATACGAAGGTTGTTGGATTGGTAGCTAACGCAACTTCTAATGATCAAATCGTAAGAACTTGCGTTAATAATAACACAATGAATTTTAAGGAAGAGAGTTGTAGTGAATGGTTGATTCGAGAATTATACAATTCATTTACTTATATTGTTGACAGTATTATTAGTGATGAGATTTTGAATAATAATGAAAGTGTAAACTCGGAAGAATGGAATTCTAGCGCCGATGAGGATGACAACAATTGTGATTTTCGTTGTGAGTGTAGAAAAGTGAATATTGAACCCGGAGATATGAAAATTTCACAATGTTGTGGAACGACAACATGTAGTTGTTTTGCAAGGAATCTATACTGTGGAATGCACTTTCGTAATTATAATTCTACACTCAACTTGGAATATAATTATCCAATTTATGAATGCAATGACAACTGTGAATGCAATCCCAACACTTGTAGAAATAGAATACTTCCTTTCAACTACAATGGAAGTGTACCAATGGACTTGTATTTATTTCTGAAAAATCTCAAAATTGGTTTGGGAGTGAAATGCAAAAGACGAATTTTAAAAGGTGAATTTATTTGCGAATATATTGGAGAGATTTTGAGTGATGAGGAGGCTAATACGCTCTTACGGAGTGGACGTGATCATAAGGACGAAAACGACAGTACGAAGCAAATCAATGATATGAACAGCAAGATCAACAAGAGTCACACGTATTTATTGATTGTGGAAGAACATTTTTGTACAAACAAAAGTTCAACAGAGAAGGTAACAAACATTAAGCAAAGAGTAAACATTGACGCTTCCAGAAAGGGCAACATTTCACGCTTTCTCAACCACAGTTGTGAACCAAATTTGACATGGAGAACCATACGAACATTAGGGGGCGATGATGTTTCGTCACAAATACCCAGGGTGTGCTTCTTTGCCTTAAACGACATTGAGGCAAACATAGAGCTTACTTTCGATTACGGTAGTGTCATGGGTACGTCTGGCGGATCTACCAAAGAATCGCTCTCAACCACCAAATGCTATTGCGGATCATCAAGATGCAGAGGCTTTCTCCCATTCACTCACGTTTCTGAAACAGATTGAAGTCAACATCCAAATTGATTGATACAAGACATTGGTGAAGATCAAAATGAAAGTGCAAATTCGTGTGAAATGCGTTGCTGCCATCTCACAATTCACCACAGGTCAATTGATTGCTCTCAGTTGTGATATTTACGAACCAAACCATATGGGATGGGCGTTTATTAGATCAATAGCTTGTGTTGTTGCGTTGCCTGTTGCTGCGAATGGTTTAAGCTTGAATCTCAACGGAAGCTGATTCAGCATTATCCCAGAATGCGAACATATTTTCGCTTGCTGAACCAGTGCTGTGGGCATTGATGGTTTCATCAGATTGAGCAGACTCACGCAACAATTTTTGCAAATCTTGGAAATCCACAGAGATGGTAAAAGTGTGGTTGACAGGTTGTTGTTGTTTTTGGATCTTTTCGTGACGACTAGCTCTGTGAGCTGCGCTCTTAAACAAGTGCTTCTTGTAGTAAACTTTAACTCTGAGCGACTTTTGTTGTTTTGCAACCAACAATGCTTTTTGATACTCGTCCTCACTTGCGAAATTGATCCATTCATCTCCACTTTGATATTTAAATGTAACTCCAAAATTCTTCTTTGAAGAGTTAATAATAGACATTGGAGTATGATCACTGAGGTATTGTTTAGAAGCACTGCTTGAGCAATCTTGATCATCCATGTTGTTGCTACATCTGTTGCTACCACAAACATTTGAATCTCTTGAAAGACTGAGCATAACTTGATTGTTGAATTCCACAAAAGATCCAGGTAAAACAATCTTTCTAATTTCATCATAGGACTTTTTCTTAGTCGATTCCATTGAAGAGTTAAGTGGTTGGTGTTGTTCTTCAAGTCTGAATAAATTTCCAGGTGCTTCCACACTTGCGGAAACACCTGAGTTTTGCTGCTTCTTTTGTTTGGCATAGAAAAAAACCTTTGCAACGATCTTTTCTTCCATGAGCGGGGATGATGTACGGAGGAACATGTTGTTGATATTTACTCAAATCAATGGTTTCGTCAGTTAGCAGTGAAAGTCCGTTTCAAATAAAAATGTAATGCGTTACGGCGGAAAAGTTAGGAGGTATGCGTACAAGAGTTTTTTCAAAAGCGAAATGATAAAATGCAGCTTTGATTTTTTTTGTTCCAACACAGAAAACTCGTTTCGGTGGCTTTGTATCAAACCCCTGTCGATATTTTTAGCATTTATTTTTAGATGTGCATGGCTGATTCACACACACAAAAATCGTAGATGGGTATTTCAAGGTCGTCCTTGAACGTTGTTGTGCTCTCTTGTGAACATGCACACAGTTCAAGATCGATTTGAATGTGAAGTTCGAAATTGGACAATAGGTCAGTACTGAGTTTTGAAAAGAAGTAAAACTGGGAGGGGAAAATGAATACGTTGCTTGGAAAAGGTCTTAGAATGCGGCTTATTAGGAGGTTCATCACTTGGTGCGTCGTGATTGTGACTCCAACAGATTTTCTGAATTGCATGTTTCACCATTTCGTAAAGCAATTTCGAAAAACATCATGCATTTTGAAAAATTTCAATATGAATAATAAAGTGCAAGATTATTGTGACATCTCCTTCCATAACATTGTTAGATCAGTCCCCTCAATGTTTATTCATTCTTGACTTTTAATTATGAATTGGATTGTTTTTCAAAATCTGGCCAAATCTTCAACACTTGATTTTTAAGAAGTGGATTCATCTTCACTGCTTGCACAAAATTCAATTTCGCCTTGTCAAATTCTTTTAAATAGCAAAATGCTTCAGCACGATTGAAATAGGCCACCTCACTTCGTTCATTCAATTCCAATGCCTTATTACAATCTTCGAGTGCTCTCTCATGGAGTTTGAGTCGATTGAACACATGTGCTCGATTACCATAATGTTCAAAATTCTGAGGTTCTTTTGAAATCAAATAATTGGTCACTTCAAGACATTCCAAATACTTTTGTTGAGTGGACAAGTTATTCAACAACAATGCATGAGCACTGACGGATGGAGCTCCCTTCAAAAAATGCCACATCCATTTAGCACTATTTTCGATCGTGGTAAAGTTATAGAATTGATTCCATCCATGAAGAGTTTTTCTGTATCAGGAGGAACTTTCATTGGCAAATTATGTTGAGCGTAAGGTAATAGGATTTCCTTGACCTTTTCAAAGCTTGAGATGGCTTTTTCCACTTGATACAATTGAGCTTGAGCCATTCCTAGTAAAAAGTGTGCAATGAACCTCTTATTCGGGTTCAACGCGATGGCTCTTTCAAAATCGAGTGAGGCTTCCTTTGGTTTTTCAAAATGATCCAATAACAAACTTCCTCGATTGGTTAATAACATGTATTGAGCACATTCTTCCGTGTTGGGAGCTCGTTTAGCTTCATCATCAACAATTCCCTGAGAGAGGTAATAAAGAGCCTGATCATGATCTTTTCGCTTATTCAGTAACATGAAAGCGAGTTCCATACAAAACACGTCATTGATCGGAACTTTCTTCTCTACGCATAGATCTGTAAAGAGTTTCAAGTAATGAATGACCTTGTCGGAATACTCTTCAACATGAGGAGAGTCATGATATAAATTTCTGTAGAAAAAGGCAATGGACTGAACCAGGGAAACATCTCGTGCAAAGGTCGTGGGATCCATCTCCAACAACTTCTCAAAATCAAGAACTGCCTTTCGATAATCATGTAAAGGACCCAAGTAATAAAGATATCCTCGAACGAGTAGCAATAGAGAGTCATCCTTTCCTTTGAAGTCTTGATCTTCAATAACTTCATTGGTGATTTCTAAGGCTTTATCAAACATACCAATTTCCAAGAACAGTTCTGCCTTTCTCTGTGCATACTCCATTAAATGATAGACTCGATTCGAGTAATCACAGTGATCTGGAGAGAACTTTTCACGAACCTTCTTCGCATAACTTTGGGAATGTTGCATGAACTCGATCCACCATTTGAAGAAGAACAGTTTAACCTGCAATTCAGTCGCGTTGGGATGACGTTTCAAATAGGTGGTTTGAGCATATTCGAAATAGGTTTGTTGGTAACTTTGAATTTCAAGCGAAGAGATGTAAGTAGTAAAACCATCTTTTGGAACTTGTTGCTCGGGCTCTAGATCAGGATGAGGTTTGTTGTTGGTATCATGTTCATCCTTATTGGAATGACTCTTTTCGTAATGATAGGAACGACGAGAGGCATGAAGATACCAGTGTTGAATACCATTGGAATTTTGTCCTGGCCTCCAACGCTGAGTAGTGTTGTAGAGATACTGGAACACTTGAGTGCTGTTGTGAAGAGAGCAATTGTTGAATCTCGATGCAGCAAGAACCTTTTTCACGGATTTTTTCATTTTGACTTTCTTTGAAATATGAGAGGAATGAGGCAACTATATGAGATTGAATGTCAACCAGAGATTCTGATCGATTCTATCTCGTTGGCATGATTACTTCCAATCTCTGTCAAGCACAGTCTCATGTTGGGTGAATACCCAAACGCCCGGTTTTGAAAATTCCAACGAGGTAAGATAAAAGCAATCAACCTCTCCTTTCAGGCTAAACAACTCAATTAAGGATAAATCGACTTAGCAATATACAATTGGGATGAGTTTAATGTTTTAATAACGATAGGGTTGGTGTCATTAGAAAGTTAAAAAGAAATCTCTCTACAAACGAATGGTCATCTTGTTTTCTAAATCTTGGTGGGACAGAGTTTTAGCAAATTCCTCAAAACTGATCTTGCCATCACCGTCGTCATCTGCCTCCAAAATCGTCTTATCGACAATTTGTTGCAATTGTACATCGCTAAGGTTATTTCCGACCATCATTTTCAAAACTGTGAACAGCTCTCCGTTACTTATAAAACCATCTCCGTCAATATCATAGACCTTGAAAGCAACTGTTGAATTATGTCAATTTAGTAGAAATTTGTGAGTAATAGCGAATAATTTTCAAATCACACATTTAGGTCATAGGTGTGAGCCAATTGTTAGTAATGAGAAAATATGTAAATACAAGTATTGTACAGCGATGATAAATCAACACGTCCGATATCAGTAATGAGAACATCATACGTGCAAATTCTACTCTCAACTTACATTCAAGTTTCCTTTGTTTATCGCCCTGAGCGTTGAAAACAGAGAGGGCGGAAATAAACTCTTTAAAGTTAACCGAGCCATCTCCGTTCTCATCGAATATTGATATTACTCTCTTCACAAGAGGATTTACTGCCAGCTCTGGTATCATTAAAAATTCATCCTTTGAAATAGTTCCGTTGCCGTCTTTGTCGAGCTTCTTGAATCTCTTGTACAACTTTTTGATTTCCTTTTGGGTAACTGTGATTGTATACAATGTGTTTCAAAAACAAAATCATTATCACAATAGGCGTGGGCCACGATTAAATTATTGTTGTTATTGTTACATCAACGTGTTATCCATTATTATTGTTGTTTTTTGATCAAAACACAAGCACCATATGAAATTGTTGTAGTGGAATTGTGGAGTGTTTCATCCATCGTGATAGGATGATGATTTGGAATACACCGAGCAAGGGAATTTGTTGTTGCCGATGATGATATTTGTGATCACAAAAAAGACCAATGATGAGAGTGTAAACCACAACACTAAAACTCCCACTCATATAAATCACTTACAGTTGGTACCCTTTTGCATCTCCTCGACTTCTTCAGGTCTTAGCGAGCTTGTATTGGTTCCCATGACGGCGATTGTTGTTGTATTTTTTGTGGTCTGATGTACTTGTTGTTGCTGATAACGAATTTGGAGGTTGGATGCTTCTTTCTTTAGGTTTAAGCATTCAAGTGAGGGAATTGAGGATTGTAAGTAGAAACAATATAACAACGGAACAAAAAAGAGCTCACATCAATGGTAAATCTTGAATTTTTCATCAAGACGAAAAGATGAAAATCAATGTCCCAAGTGCCTCCTTTCTCGTTGTTCAAGAAAAATAAACTGGAAAGCATGAAGCTTCATTCAATCAAATTGAAAATTAAAAAATAACAAAACATCAACACAATAATGGGTCTTCGACAACAACTCTCCAAAATTCCAATCATCAAATACTTTGTACCATCGGATGGACTCATGGAGAAAGGAATGGATTGGGTCAAGTACTTTGGAAACTTTGGATTTGCTGCTTTAACGACCTTGATGATTATTTACTTGCCACTCGTGATTGCTAATGAACAAGAGAAACAATCACTTTACAGGCTTGTTGGTGCTGCTTATGGCGTGAAACTGGAGAATAGAAGCTATCCAGGCGGACCAAACAAGATGCTCTAAATATTATATTTCAAATATTTATACCATCATGAATCCGATTTGAATTGATATGAACAGGATATTCTCGAAAGAAACAACACTTCCTACAAGTAGCCAAATTTCTTCATTAATTCAACACTCATGTAAGCTTTTCTCCTAATCTTCCTTCCAACAGTCTCCACACAAAAGCCATCCTTTTCCGAACCCTATAAACTTATTGCTAATTCTTTCATCCATTACAGTTGCTTTTCACTTGTCCTCATTCACACATTCACACAGACAGCTTTCTTAGTTAGCTCGGTATCAAACATGGATTTATTAAACTTGAATCTTGCGAATGAAAGAAGGCCAATGTTTTTCCAAATTCAAATCATCGCTCTCCTCAACAATGACTTGTCTCAAATGTTTGAAAAACCTCTCTGCAAATTCGTCTGAGTGTTGTTCGAAAATTACAAATTCAGGATGCTTGATTTTGTAACAATGCTCCAATACTGCATAGTGAATGAGTTGGGCGTCACAAACTTCTTCAGCTTGCAATTTTAAAGCATTCAAATCTACATGTTCTCTCTTCACCAAAAAGACATCAATAAATTCATTATCGATATAGGTTCCTCCGTTTAAAACAAATTGCACACGGAGTGTATCAATTGGAGAACCTAATTCTTCAGGAGTAATGGTCAATCCTAATTCCTCCTCAACTTCACGAACGGCAGCTTCCGGTGGTTGTTGACCAAACGACATGTGTCCAGCCGATGAAACATCCCACATATTTGGATGATTCAATTTATGTGGAGATCTTTTCTGAATGAGTAGACGTTTCGTAGATGTTTCTAAAATCCATGTATGAACAGTTTTATGCCAAATTCCTTCGGAATGTATTTTTGATCTTGGTTGAGCGGTTCCTGTTGGTTTACCGTCCAAAGTGTAGACTTCGATGAGTTCATTTGTAGAATTTGCTTTGTGATGATTGTTGTGATCGAGTTCTGACATTTTTTAGTATTTATGAAACATTGTAATCTTTTGTTGCTTTCAAGAATTACTGGCATAGAATTTTCGCGAATGCCAGAGATTACTTTCGCTGACCAGTCTTGCTTTGTAAATTGTTAATATGAATGAGGGGAGGTAAGTTCGAGGATGATTGCTTGTTGTTAAAACTTGAAGTTTTTTGTTGTTCTCTTTTTTCTCGTAATTCTTTAAGGTTGACCACTGAGTGAGGTTTTGAATCGGTTTGATTTTGTTGTTGTTGATGAATTTTAACATAATGATCTGAATCGAGTGTTTGTAATGGTTGGTGATTGTGTTCGGTGCATTCGCATACATTATTGTCTTGATTTAATTCCAAACGATGGTCCAACTCCAAGTAAAGATCCAAAGTTATTGGATGATAATATAATGGATATGTTCCTATTTGTATCGTTTCACATGAAATATTGTGACAAGTAATTATCAAGTTCATGTTTAAACGAGACCAAATTAATCATGAACACATTATTCCAAAAAACATACGTTGTCGTTGACCTTTGGATTTATATTTCCGATCAAGATCTAAATAAAAAGACTCTCCAGTTTTTAAAGAAATGTAATAGTGATGCCATGGGCAAACCACACATGGATGTTCTTTCTTTGTTTTTGTAGAATCATAATAGACCATTAAATCTTCAATGTCTCCTTTTTCTAAAGGTCCACCCATGTGATAACATTTTCTAATGAATCCAATGATTGATATTCATTAATTGTAACAATTCAATGACACTTCTTGTAAAATAATGACCATGAAACGTACTCATCCATTGCGTAGATTTTGTTTTTTCGGGTTCTGAAAACTGCAAACAATCGTTTACTGTCTTCATCGTTGAAAACGAATTGAGAATTTACCGAAAAATCACTCAAGTTTTTTACAAGTATTAATCTATTAGAATTCAAAGTTAGATTATTTTCTTGTTGTGTGATGGTCATGTTATTTACAGGAAGAGGTTGTAGATTTTTCGGGATCGTTTCAGGTGGCAAATCGCCTGAGGATGAAGAGGTCCGATGTGATTTTGAAGACGGAACCATCCTTTTTGGCACAAGTGATTGTTTCTTTCCTTCGGATGAAGAAGTGTTGTTGCTGTTCTCGTTACTTCCGTAAAGAAGGCCACTTTCGAACCACCGGTTGAACATTTTTTTGTAAAATTTCTGTGAACTTTCTTAATTGACAACATCAAATGCATTATGGTCATCTCAATTCTCTGCTTTCAATTGAAATATCGGTGAATTCATTTGAGATCAATCGTTTGCTTGTTTTCCTCTCAAAAATCTCTCATAGTGCTTCAAGAATTTAACTTTTAACCAAATAATTTGCAATGGATTTTGTAATGTTCCTCCACCTCGTGTGGTTCTCACAATTTCTATAGCCTGTGAAGCATTTTCCACAAAGCTCTGTATTGTCGTCATTGAATTATTGTTGTTATTCACAAGAATACTATCTTCAATACGAGGTTCGTTAAAATTGTTTTCATTATTTTCCTTTCCCTCCATAACGACATTTTGCTGATAAAAGTTGAACGCCATTCTTGCGGGAGGTAATCTACTTGCATAGGATGTGTTTCCGAAGTGTTGTATTGTTTGGATTGTTCATCATGATTACTGTTCCTGTTACCCATTTTTTTTTAATTTTTTGTTTAATGCTCGCTCAGTAATTGTGCTGCCTTAGAATGACCAAGTTAACACCAGTACTGCTCTTCATCAGTCATTCGTTGGTCATGAACGGTGTGCTCAGCAACTGTTAGCATTTGTCTATTCTTTTCAAGTCTCTTCAATAAGGTGGATATAAATTTCTGACCTTCGGTATGATATCGAGCAGCAGGATTCCAACATTTTTGAATCATGTTTTTGAACTTCTTGTTGCGAATGACGAGAGGACGATATCGATCATTGCTATCAGTTGGTTCATGTGAAATGTTATTGTTGCTGCCATTGGTGTGAGTCCTCAAATTCTTTGTAGAAGTGTGACCTTCAAAAACAGTTGCAATCAAATTAAAATAGTCATGATAATATTCATGCTCATGTCGTATTGAATAGATCCTATCAAGAAATTTGTCAATGATGTCCAAATATGCTTGGTCTCGTCTTGGCAAACGCACACCCAATTCTTGCCGTGTGACAATACCACAATCAATCAATGCTTGCAGAATATTCAATGGTGCATGATGGTTAAATCCGGCAATGAACATTGAGTAACGTAAATCAAGAGAAGTATTTCGAATAATTTCACGGGAGTGTTTTTGAATTAATTCAAGGAGCGTCGAATGAACAACAGGATGGTCGACTTTCATCATGAATTTCAATGGACAGCAATTGATAACATACTCTCGTGTGAGTATGAAATTGTGCCCGCTTGGAACATATTTCATATATTCCTCAACAAAATATCGTACCAATTGGCAGAATGCTAACGCTATTTCATGAGAATCTTCTCTAACTGTTATATTTCTCTTTGCCATCCTCTCCGAATACTCTTTTTCGTCTTCATAGGTATAATACTCTGACAAGTATTCTCCCCTGTGATCTTTGTACGTGATAAATGTAACATAATCCAACAGCAAGCCACCAATATCCAATGTCAGAGAAGAAAATAAATTCATATCATAGCGTATTCGTGCTGAATTAAATCGATAACGTCCTATTTCAAGATTATTGGAAATGTTCAAGCATTGAAACATGATATCATGACGCTTCTCAGCATTAGTTTTTTGTAAGTAATAAATGGACATTTGAATCAAGTATATAATATTTGAAATATTCTTCGAGCTGCAATGAACTGTTGAGGATTGAGTGCTGGCCAAAGAGTTCAATAACTTTTTGAGTAAATCTTTGGCACGTGTTGCGTAAAATGTTTTTTCAAGCCCATTCCAAATTTTGATCCAATTGGGAAGTTTTGTTGTTTTCTTTTGTTGTCCAAGGATTGTTTGAATCTCATGAAGGAGGCTCTCCTTATTTGGAATATCTACTTGCATTGTGTCATTGCTTGTATAAACATCATCATTCTCGATCATTTGATTTTCACTTGGTGAGATACTGTCATCAATATAATAGTCATCTACAACCTCGACAATATCATTGCCTTGTTCATCTTTCATGTCCTCGTGGTAAGCAAATTCATCGAGCGCTGACTCCCTTGTGGGAGAATGTCTTCTTGTTGGTGGTTCCATGAACACTTCAGGTTCATACTTGTTACCACTTTTTGTCATTTCATATGCCTTTACAATATCATCCTGCATTTCCATCAATACATCAGGAAAGAGTTGATTCATTCTTTTTAATTTCACGATCAACTCGTGTCTCAGCTGGCTCATGGATTTTCCATGCTTGGGAAAACAAATTTTTCGTTTCATTTTCTGTGCTCCATTCTTGCCTTGTCTTCTCGTCATTTGATGATAGCTATGGAGCTTGAACGTTTGGGGAATCATCAAAATTTCATCAATATTTTCTTTCATATCTTGTCGGAGCAATAAATAGCACAACACGCGATGAATGGGTGAGGAAGGTGGGTACCGATCTGATGATGACATTGATTCCGAAGGTGCGAGTATGGATGGTAACGCTAGAAATTGTTTGGTTAATTTACTTGAAATTTTCAGAGCTATTTTCTGAACTTGATCAAGTGTTAGGAAGGAAAAGATGCCCATCCATATATCTGAAGGAAGTTCTTCCATGGGAGCGTGATCATGTTGAAGATGTTTGAACATTTTTTTATCTTGGTTGACCAAATACGCTTATCACTCTCAATCTGTTGGGTAGTTCCATCAAGTCAAGTGACAAACATCTGTTGTCAACAAAAAAAAATGGACTTTGTGTACCAAACGATTGACTTTATTCATTCCAATAGCGACCTTTCAGACAAGAACAAGGTGGCGTTGTTGAGCGGTTGTTATGTCGGAACCTTTGAAAATAACTCGATACAAAATATTATCAAGCATTTAGGCTCTAATTGTAATAATACTTGTGACCAATTAGACTCTCTATTGGATTGGTATGGCAAGTTGATAGAATTATCCAATCACAAACGGATTCGGTATCCCGAAGAATATAAAGAATTGATTGCTATTTTGGAATCCGAAAACAAATCCACCTCTCGCCAATACAACATTAAACCACAAATTGAATTTAAACAGAATCATCAGCTCGTTGTTGAGTTTCATACACAACGAATGGCACCATCATATAATTCTAGCAATGAAAAGACAGATCATTATGAAACTTTTATTTCCTTTAAATGTATTCCATACTCTGAGCCGAAAAACAGATTATGTGCTAAATTTGGAAGTGAAAATTTTGTTATTGTGAAAATGCACGTTCCAACTCTATACTTACAAGACATAATACGTGCCATCTACGACGAAGATTCTAAACATTTATCAGACGAAGATTGTGATAATGAAACCTATTCCTTCATTAGAAAACATTTATTACTCTCTTTTGTTGGAGAACAGTTATCAGACAAGATCAAGCAAAAAGAAAGAATATGGATGTACAAACAATTAGAAGGTTGTAATATCAAGAATATTTTACAAAATCCAATCAAGATCCACGACAAGGAGTTTGTATTCTTGTGTTGCAATGCCACAGGTGCCCTCAAACACAAGTACATCTATGCCAATCGATCTATAATGCCATCTATTTGTGAATGGGCTTTTGCGGATGATACATTCAATGCAAGCAAGGTGTTTAATATGGACAAGCCGATGACACTTCCTTTAAGAATCAGCTTATTGAACTCTTTAGGTGTTCGAACGATCAACAATTTGAAGTTCAAGGTGATACCAGATATAATTGAAGAAAATTCAAACCATACTGATGGATCTGGCATTATTGTGAGTGAAAATGTTGTTCGAAAAATCATCCAAGCATACAAGAAAAACTTTTTTACGACAAGCGATCCCATTGGAATCAACACAAGTGAAGATATTATTCACACAACTACAAACGAGATTGATTTTTCGACAAATTACAAAAATTCGAAAAGGTTATCCCATGACTTGCCAGATCTTTCTTCAGAGTATCCAAATTACATTCCTTGTGCATTTCAAATACGATTTAGAGGATTCAAAGGAATGCTAGCATATTATCCCAAGGTCGAGGATTTGAGAGAGGAAACGAAAAATACTATCAGTGAAGAGACTGAAATACTTTTCAGAGAATCCATGGAAAAATTTCATACTCCTGAAGCTGATTGTGATATCTTGAACTCACTATTTGTTGTTGGACTTTCAACTCCAGCGCCTCATGTCATACTTTCTTCTGAATTGATTTACATGTTTTGTGGTCTGACAACACAGCCTGAATTGTTGTGGCGCTATTTTGAGAAAATTTTGATCCACGAAAGAAAGGATCTTGATGGAAAGCATGTCAGTACTTTAAAGACAGTCCATTCGACGATGAATGATCTGTTGTCTCGACGTGGAGATCAAAAAGGAATGGCCATGCAACAAAATCGTGATATTGAAAATGAGTTTTTGAAATTTTTGGGATCTGAAACATTTTGTTCCTATTTATTAAGACTCAATGTTCCTTTGAAAAAAACAGCATACCTGTATGGATTACCAGATGAAACTGGAACTTTAAAAGAAGGTGAGACATTTATTCAGATCACACGAAAAAGAAAAACAATCACAGGAACTGTCTTGGTTACAAAAACACCATCACTCTTTCGTTCAGATGTCCAATCATTCACAGCTGTTGACAATCCTAAACTGAGACACTTGTATGATTGCATTATATTTTCCACACTCGGTACAACATCTGCTCCTTCAACAATAGCAAATGCTGATTTGGATGGAGATCATTTCTATGTATTTTGGGATCATGAATTGATATCTCTACTAAAAACCGGGATGGACAAAAATGTGAAATGTGAACAAACAACATCATGTTCAGATGAACAACAAACAACATCATTCTCAGATGAACAACAAACAACATCATGTTCAGAATTATCCCTTAATCATATGGTCAACTCACCCACAAAATCAATAAGAGAAATATTTGAGGATCGTTTGTCACATGCATTGAATTCTATTCTTCTACCACTCAATGACTTTACATATTGTTCATTCAGCCACTTGCTCGAGCTTAGACGACGATTTTTAGAAATCTATGGATTTGAATGGGCTCAGAATGAACAAAATTACAAGCATGTTTGGGAGGTGGCGAATGCAATTACTAGCACCTTGGATGCTCCTAAACATGGCACTTGGATAAAATGGAAGGACTTACTACCCAAATTAGGTCTACAAGAAGTACCAAAATCGAACAACCAAAACCAACTGCCAATTATGAAACAATTATTGAATTCCTTGTTATGTGCCATGTTAAAAAGTGACAAGATAGCCACAAAACCTCTCAAGATCGTTCAGTATATGCTACTATTAGAAGTGAAATGTGAACACGTGGAGCCAAATCCAAAAAAAGAAACGGCCAACGAAACGCTGTTCAGGATACTGGATCACAAACACAAATCCATACTCAAATGGGAGTTCAAAGAAGCAGATCAATTGATATATGGCTGTGCATTCATGACCCTTTTTTATGATATTCTATGTCATCAAAATGCACCCACTACCTATTTCCAAACTCGTTTAGGTTTATTTGATAATTTGTACACCTTTTCAGGATCGATATCTACTCTATTTGAGGCTATTGAGTCATTCAGTAGAACATTTTCAAGTATTGAGCAGGCTTTGAGAAGTTTGAGATTGTATGCCCCAAATGGACAGCTATTGTTTCCCAAGATTTTGAAATTAGCGATTCATTGTCTAGATCGTCAAGATCACTCTGACATGAACGAATTCTTAGAAGATTATTTTTGTGCCAAACGACAATGGATTGCGTCCTATTTTCCATTTCACGAGAAACATTTAGAATCCTTAGCCACAAGTTGTAACATCCCATATGATTTACAATACGTGGTTTTTAAGGATCACATCACGTCTGATCTTGTTATGCATGCAAAAGACAAAACAAGATGGTCTAGCAGTATGGCGATTGATGATTCGGCATTGCGATATGATAACAATAATTATCCCGTCACTGAGGGGTGGAGGAAATGTATCAACAATTTAGATTATGAATTACTTTCAAAGTTTGGATGGCACAATGATAATTATCAAATAGTATCATGGGCCACTTATCATGACGATTATGATAACTCACACAAGATCATTCATTTTAAGGAGAATAATAACCATTTGCAACAAGTAGTGTTTGTGGTTACTGCACCAGAAGAACAGGACATTCAGAATCTGTTATTCAAAATGTAAGTCATGAGAGTAATTATTATCATTTTATGAACCCATAGGATCATGATAGAATGACATTCTTGGACAAATCATTCCTCCCTAAACATTCCATTGTGAAATATAACATGTATCAAATTATAAATACAGAACAAGACAATGAATGGCAGGCAATTGTAACTGTAGAAACTACATTAAGGTTATATGCACAGGATAGCTTTGAAAAAGAGTGTGGAGAGTTTCTTGAACATTGTATTGGTGGAACATTTCTTCTTCCGTACGACAATTATACCCAAAATAATTTGTTACTTTTGGAACAATTGAGAGATTGTGGATTCAAACCCTTCTATCTCAAGACTCTATTTGACGCTGGTGAAACACATCAATGCCTTATTATTGATTTGGATGATGATATATTGCAGGAATTGGAGGAGAAATTGAAGAATTTCGATGACTCTTCTGTTCTGGAAATGCGTAATTGGTTAAGAGCACGCTATCGTCCAACAACACATTTGAGTATGTCATGTTGAAATATTCTGATAACGGTGAACACGCTTGAACAGTTTTATCTTGGTTGACCAAATATGATCACACATACTTATCACTAAAATGAGAGAAGATCAAATAAAGAGTACATTCATTATTTTCATACTATTTCTTCCATCATAAAATTTTGTAATATTATTAATGTTGCTTGTTCAAAAGACTCTTCACATCCTTAATGAACTTTTTCACCTTCTTTTCACTTCTCAAATAGTTAGCAATTTCTTCAGTGAATAATAGATTGTCTTGACCACCAGGTGAACGGCCAGTAATAATATTTTCACTTGACCTCACGACAGGAACATCCAAATAAGTGCCTCCAGCATTTTCCAAATCAATTCGAATGGATGGAGAGCCTGTTAATTTCATTCCACGAGCAATTAATTTGGCATTAATTAATACAGTACTACCAGAGCAAACAGTAGCGAGTAATCTTCCAGAACGAACTTGATTTTGAATTAGAGCAATAGCATCACCGTCGTTACGAACCACAGTGCTAGACCAAACGCCGCCCACGACAATCAAAGCATCATACTTGTTGTTGAGAGCTTGTTTAAAGTCGTAATTTCTACGGGCCCATCTGGTGGCACGAACGAATTCGCATGCAACAATTTTAGAGTCCTTTTGTTTCAATGTGTGAAAAAGTTAAAGAGATTCTGAAAATAAATTAAAACATGTGACACGAACCTTTGTCCACCATGGTCCAATAATGTCAACGGTGGCGTTACGTCTTGCAAAGTAGATGTACTACATGTGTTGTTAGATGAATGGAACGAAATGGCGATCAAAAAAATTGAATACCATTTTCATCATTGTCAAAATTAACAATGTTTAACTATACTTACTGGGAACGTCAATTCACACTCCTCGAAACAGTGAGAGGCGATCAATCCAATTCTAAAACCAGTAAATTCCTTTGGGTTGGTTACTGGCGGCTATCGTTCCATAGATTATGATTTTTCCCAATTGTCAAAAACACCACAACACCCAATTTGAATGTGAAGAGTGTTTCATTAATCAACGAATTTCATTGTTAATAAAAGTTCAAACTCGGAGAGGATCGGAACACTTACCTGTGTTTCATTGTATTTCATTCCGCGAAGATCCATTTCATCTTCCTCCTTCAAAGATGCCACTTCTGGAAAGAGTTGATCAATGTTTTGAGCCATGATGGTTGTAGCGAAGAACAACAGCATTATTGTTGCCATCATGAGAACGAGTGTTGACTTGGTGTTGAACATTTTTTTGTGTCGTTGTTGGGTCAGGTCAAGAGTAGTTCAGTTGTGTTGAAAAGGCTTTGTTGGATGACGAATCATTATCTAGAAAGTGAGCACGCAAGTGAAAGTGCTTCCTCGAGTTTTAGCCTATGAGCAGCAGATAGGATAGAGCTTGCGCAATAGGTTGGTACCTAGAGCTGTATGAATGTTTTGAAACTTGGATGAATTTCCTTGTAAGGAAGTGTTTACAATTTGGCGTTGGTTTGAAATTTGCATTCTTATTATTCTGGGACTAAAGATAAATAATTATTACTATTCTACGAAAATGAAGATTACAAATTTTTTACAAATCATACCTGACCAGTTTGCCAATTATATACATTACGCTCCACCGTTGTAATAATGTTGAAGTGACTGCCAATATTCAAAAGGCATGCCAGTATCGTGTCGTGAGGTGTCTTTAACGTAGACTCCTATCATATTTCCGCTCTCAATAATTGGTCTCATGGCATCCCTTAAATTGACTTCACCATTGTGCAATAGACCATTCTTCCAATTGTCTTTCAAATTCTTGAAAACGTCGCTTGTCAAAATATCAATTCCAAAATAACAAATGAGCTCATGCTTATCTGCAATAGTTTTTGTAATGTTAAATTGTTGCATTTCTTTTTCAGTCAAATACAATTGATGTCTTTCAGATTGTTCTGATGTTGGTTTTTCAATGGTTGTCAATAGCGAAGTGTATATTGCTTCTCCATGATTTTCGCTCTCTAAAATGTCACCAATTTTTAGCACTCCATTCGCAAATGTGTCCTTTTCTGATATGGTGGCTAGAGAGACCACTCCTTTTTGATACTTTTTAAAAGCTCGGATCATGTATTGTAAACAAGACGTTCCACTCTTCGTCCTTGACGTATAAATGTGATCTCCCAATAGCACCAAAAAAGCCTCGTTCGGTTCCGTAATAAAACTTTCTTCACAGCATAATACTGCATGGCCAAAGCCTAATTGTTCCTTTTGTATAATAAATCTTAATTGTTTGGCAATATTTTGAATACTATTCCATGAATCTTTTAATTCTTGTGGCTTGTTTTCCATCGAGAATGGGCATGGTGCAAAAAAGAATTCCTCAATCAGTGGTTTTTGATTTTCCTGCAAAATAATACAAATTTGAATATCCTTCATAGAAATATCTGGTTGTTCGGAAAGTAAAGCTTCAACGGCATGTTCAATAATAATCAACAAGATGGGTTTACATAAATTATCCTTTGGATCTAGAACAGGGAAGAGAGCCTTCGGAATGACTTTGGAAGCAGGAAACATTCGTGTGCCATAACCAGCAATCGGAATGATGATCTTAGTGAGGTGTTGTTTGAGCATTTTTTAAATCTGGTGCTTTCAAAGACTCGCTGGCTGGTGAAGAAATGCAACACAATCCCAACATGAGGCAGCAACGGGTTTTATTCGAGGAGATGTGTCATATTCAAAAGATCAAATAAAATCCATTCGATGGTTTTTAATTTGAATGAAGAAGAAGGACCTATTACATTGTTCCATTAGAGCTTAAAGAATTAATGGTGTTGGTTGGGTGTTGGGATGATATAAAACTCGTCTCAATTTTCTGTCTACAATCTTGGCAATACATGACAGAGGAATAGTGCCTTCTGAGTTTCCTGGTGAAAGAACGACCTTATTTTCAGATCGGAAGAGTTGAATTCCAGAATCCAAAGTTTTTTGAACATCCAAAAAGAAAACGACTTCTGCAGTTTTTCTCATTCCCGAAATCACATGGCCTTCCTCTGGTTCTCCAATTGCAAAGTGAATGTGTTGTCGTGTCATTTTGGAAAGTCCACCACTTTGAACAATTTTGGTGTAGGCATCAAAGAAAGTTCCATGAACAATGCTGTCTTTGTATTCTCCCAATTTTTCGACCGTGTCAATAGTTTCAAGCTCCAAATTTGGAACAGAAATTGAATGACCTTGATTGGCTCTAATAATTGGTTCATTGGTTTCTTCATCGACTCGTAATGTAAATCGCTGTTTGTCGTTGTTTTTTACACAATCTTCAATCATTTCATAGGTGACATTTTTGAAATCTTTGAGTTGAAGAATTTCTCGGACTAACACAAATCCATCACTTCTCAAATTAATTCCTTTGGTAGTGTCTGCTTTGTGTCGGAGTAACTTGGAAAGAGCACGAGAAACACGTTCCGTTTCACTCATCTCTCTTCTCTTTCCCGATGACGATCGGGATTTGTTTCCAGCATTACTGCCCCCACGTGATGAGGACGATTTACCAGAAGATCCTTGTTGCGCAGCTTGAAAGTTCATGGTGGTGTGGAACGATATTATAATTTGGATGATGATGAATAGAAGCGATCAAGCGTTGGGCTTATTTTTTTGTTCATACGGTTATTATTAGCCAATTCATTTTTGCATTTGAACCTGTGCAGGTTCATTGGCAGGGCCATCGAAATGGAGTGAGGAATTGTTTTCGAAAAGGTTTTACGCAGCATTTTCAACAAGCGGATATGGGTTCTGTGCAGCGAGAAAAGGTCTAATTTTTAACAACTGCCTCACATCTTTTTGATTGAGTTAGTTTGCCAATGGATGTCTGCAACTGTTTGTCACCGTACCCAAGGCTCGACCCGTCACCGTTTGACTCTTAAGAAGTTAAAAATCTTGAATCCCATTTGTAAAATGACGTTTGAACAAACTATATCAAACGAAATAATAATTTCTTGAGGAGCAGGAAGTTGTTGGGGATGTCTTTGCTGTAACTTAATCAATCAGAGATACCATGATGGTTGACAAAAGAAACATCTGTAAACGGAATATGAGTTAATGCATTCCTCAATAACAGTCCCAAATCAAATTTTGGAGGTACAATGTAAAAGGCTACAGTGTGGTTTGTAAATGAGCATTTCACACAGTGATTCGATCCCTGAAAGAAGCGGCCCAGATCGACAAACTTGTTAGATTCATTCTCTGAGGTGCTCACAAAATAAAAGCCATATGGTCGATCCCACCTAAAGTTCAACATTAATATTTCCTTCTTGTACTCAAATTCTATTTCGCTCCAATGACACTGTCGGGTCCAGTTGTCTTCAGGAAAATAATTTGAGAGTGGTTGTAGTTCGTCATTATAGATTAAATACTGAGCTACTGAAGGTATATTACTTTTTGCTCGAAATATCAATGAATCATATCCTCCAAAAACTCTGTCAATACGACGAGAGGTCAATTCGAAAATTTGCATTTCAGAGTTAGCCACTAAAACAGTGAAGTCTTGTAAAATACAAGCAACAAAAAATCCAGAGCAAGCCACATGAATGATGGGCTTGGGAGTGGAGAATTGTTTGGTAGACCACTCCCAACTAGTACTACAACAATGAATATCAGTTCTGTTGAGAACACAGATGGAAAATGAAAATGCACTAGCAATATGAGTAATAGTGGACCCTTCCTCAGGCGTATACAGGAGCCTAAAATCTTCTTCATCCATACTGGTGCTGCGTTCAACAACACCTAAATTATTAAAAAAGTTTTTACAGCCTCCATACAAATATGTTTTCAATTTTTTGTGCATGGAATTTTCCTTATTACGTGATGTATTATCGGTTCTTTCTCTTGCCAGGTATAGCACTCCGTACGTAAAACAACTCATATCATCAATAAATAAATTGTAGGTATCAATTTCTTGCTCATAAACAATTTTAGAAATTCCTAAATCAAATCCAATTTTAAATACTCTCCCCTCCTCGCTCAATACTCTAACATAATTCATGGAGCACATCACTTTTTTAATTCTTTCAAATCCGACCGAGGGTAATTTACAAGGTATTAGCAAAGGTGCTGGTCCACTTGTTTCACCTCTATTTTCTTTGATTCGGGTTGTGCTATCATCTTCCAGAGGCGCATAATAAGCAATTGATTGATAAGAGCAAACATAAATCATTTGTCCATCGGAATGATGTATTGCTTGCTGAGATACGGGCTTCGGATTTGGTTGAACCTCTTGAGGCTGCAAATTCATTTTTTTGTTGGCCCCTATACCTTTGTCTGAGTGCATGATATCAAAGCGGTTCTTCAGTTCTCTAATGTTCTTAAAAAACGTATCTAGATTAATATATTAGTTAAGTTGTGTGTACTGCAATTTCAATTTTCAAAGACGAAGACATAAAAATTTCCTGAATTAGAAAAAAATGCAAGCAACTCTTGTCTGCCTCTCGGGAAGGGAAAGTGCTGATGCAGAGGAAGCCTCAGGTTACAAAGAATGTGGAGAACATGATGCGCTTCTTTCAACAAGTATGGAATGTAATGAATCTACACTATTGTCCACTGATGAGGGTTCTTTCTCCATTTCCGATCCTGCGCACTCACCTCAATCATTGCAAATGTCCATCCCTTCGAATCAGCACACTACATCTTCTTCTGCAGGGAGGGTGAGCCAAAGCGTAGGCAACCAGCCTATACCCAACCATTCTTGGCGACGTTGACGAACTCAAGTGTCATCACGAAAATAAACATCTCCAACCAAAAAAAATGCCTACAGCAAACAAAACGTTCTGGCAGAAGCTGAGTGATCAACACAACCACATCAGCAAGTTTCTTCACTTCAACAAAACAACACGCAAACCAGAGTAGGAAACAGAGAAAACAATTCATCGAACTGAACAAACCATCAGTGGAATTCCTAGTCGTCTATTGTTGTACATTCTGCTTTTCCGATGGCCTTCACAATTTCTTGATCGTTCCCAAACTTCGACAACAGCAAATCATACAACATAAGCACATCCACAACGGCATTATGTGCTATTCCGGGAAGAGAGTCACATACTTTTTCTCTAAAGTGGTTTTCTAATCCCTTTTTTCCAAGCAAGTTTTTTTGCATAGTAGAACAATAGTAAATTGTTGATCGGAGTTTAAGTGGTGCAATTGCAGCACTAAAGAAAGCCTTGTCCAAACCAGTTGAATGAACCAACAACATCACATCAGCAGTGTCATTCCTAGTCAAATAATTACAAATTTTAGGAATCATGTTTTGCAATGTTTCACTTTCATCCAAAATCTGAAATTTAGTTTCGTGCATTTGTAATGCAATAGAACTCCACACACCACTAGGGGATACAAATATGGAATGTAATTCATTACTAAATAATGATAACATTGCAAATTGAATTATGGAGTTGCATTTTGGAGAAAATCCTGTTGTTTCTAAATCTAGCACAAAGAAGTTCAATGGTCGTCTTGTCTCTTGATTGATACAGTGAGGCGTGGGAATTGATTTAAGAGGTGCAAAATTATATTGAATAGTCAACCTGTTTTTGAATTTTGAAATCAGGTAAGGTGGTTTGTGTTGTACAATAATATTCTCATTGTTTTTGCAACTTTGTTTCCTAAAAGCAACATCTTTTTCTAATTGAGCAGAAAATTGCAAACATTCTAATTGAGCAACTGTTGCTTCTGCTTCTTCGTCTGAAAATTGATGTTTAGCTTTCAAATGATTTGTAAAAGACCCTTTGATAATATATGGTTTTTGTTTTTTACATCCAGAAACAGGGCAGCATAAATATATACATTTAGGAGCACACACTTCAGCCCTCAACGTAGTTTTTCTTGAGTAAGTGGCTACGTTTTGATTAATAATTTGTAATTCTTTGCAAGTTTTTTTCTTGACATTTCTATCAAGTACAATTCGACCAGGAAGAGTTGGTAAAATCTTGATAACCAATTTCATACCAAAATAATGATCAGTTAATGGAATATCTGGGAGTGAGAACCCACGAACATCGTCAGTGGAATGTAATATTAAAAATATATAGAATGAAAATAGTGCGCTTTGGCAAAATTGTTTGGTTGTTGGCTTGGGAAACATTCCTCGAATTATTGAAAAGAGTAGCTCTTCATAATTTGTTGTAATGCAACTGGGTTTGAAATTTGGAAACCGAGACGCTAATGCAAGAAATCCTTCAAGTGTGTGAACACATATTTTCTTCGTTTTTTTGGGATAATTGGGTAATTTTTCGAAAATTGTTTTGCTTTCACTCAAAATATCAATTATATCCGGACTGTTATCATTAATGCAGTCATAAATATCACGAATTAATTCAAGGTAACCAGCAACACTATTTGCCTCTATAGTGCCAATTTTACGTAATTCTTGCAATACAGGTCGTTCTGTTAAATTTAGACATGATTTCAAATTCATAATATCCGTAGGATCAACTTCTTCTCTGTCGAGTAATCGATACAATGTCCTATGTTGTATCATGTAATAAATTATGGTCTGCATTGAGATTTTCTCGTGCAATATTGTTCCATTAAATAATACATTTCGTTGATTTTTGAAATTGTGAACGTAATCATTGACGAAAATGAAGTCTTTGTGTTTTTTTCTAATAATTGTTTGCACAGCATGTGCATCAATTTCTGCATCAGAACATCCACACACAATTGTTACAGATTCTTGGAGCAACTCTTTGAAATAAAGTATTTTGCTAGTGACAAATTCAAGTACGTCTGTTTCAGAACTAACTCCAAACCAACCCAGCGGTAAATGCCATGAATTATCGATGGCATTAATAGAAAATAAAATCATTTGGTCTATTAGATGTTTAACACCAAATTGTTTCACGTCTTCAACAGTGTAACAATATTTTTCACTTCCAACAATTTGATCTCCCAAAACATCAAAATGTTTAAACACTTTCATTCCATCAAACGAGATACATGTATCTTTACAAGAGTCAGGCAGTAACATGTTCTTTAGGGTAAGTGTGATGTCGGGAATCATACCATAACAACCAGCAGGTGTCCATTGTTTAACAGTATTCCAACTTGGTATAATTAGATTATATTTTAAATGATTAAAATTATTCCGTTCAATATTTTGATTGCGCTCTCCTCCCATTCTGATGAAAAATTGTTTTCCACAATAATATTTCATCACAACCCAATATCTTCTTTCAACCTCTGAATATTTGTGATGAAATGGATTCTTTGTATAATTTTGCAACTGATTGAATATAAAGGATCCAAAAAATGTCTCTAAGAATGGAGTAAAGCTTGACCTTGGAACCTTCAAAGCTTGTGTATCACGGTGTTCATTGTTCGTAATTTGTTTGTTGTTGTATTGTGTCGACAATGCTTCATTGTATGAAGTTTGAGCTTTTCTAAACACTGTTAAAAGTTTGTGTTCATCTTGGCTGACTGGTATAAATGGCACAAGTTTACACAATAACTCATACATCAATAATGGAAATGATATTAATTGCTTGGGTTGTGGTAAAATTCCTTTCAATAGCATTTCAAATATATCATGCCTATTTTCCATGATTGAAACTAGGTGTTTTTCCAATTCACTACATTGACGACACTGATTTTGAAAAATACTACAATATTTTGAACAACATGCTGATTCTAAGGTGAGTTCGTCTCGAATAACGCCAATTATGTCATAATCGCAATTATAAATTTGTTTTCCTGTTAATAATTTAGAATAATTGTTCCGATTTATACCTCTGCAAACGTATTTCAGTTCGGAATAGCACTCTTCATAACTAACATTAGTAGCTGGTGTAATATTTTCAACCATGAACGGTTGATCTTCAAAATAAACTCTTTTCTTTACTGACGGCATTATTGAAGCAGTTGAACGAATATCGGGAGCATTGTGGTTGTGTTGATCACTCAGCTTCTGCCAGAACGTTTTGTTTGCTGTAGGCATTTTTTTTGGTTGGAGATGTTTATTTTCGTGATGACACTTGAGTTCGTCAACGTCGCCAAGAATGGTTGGGTATAGGCTGGTTGCCTACGAAGCTTTTTCTATCTGGCTCACCCTCCCTGTTCTTCTGACTCCGTATCATCAGCAGAATCAGTAATTGAACCACATATGGTAGAGTATAATTCCCTCACCGGAGCTAACGACCTGTTCTCAACAAATCCAAAGGTTCGGGTGCCAGGAGCAATTTACATTAAAAATTACATTAGTGAGGACGAAGAGGAGAAAATCTTACAATTAATCGACTCCAAGAAGTGGTGTCATGAAATTTGTCGTCGTACTCAAATGTATGGCTACACTTATTATCACACTCGACACAACATTCCCACAATGCAACCTAAAGTAGAGTCAGAATCAGAGTATCATCATTTAGATCTGAAAGAATTTGATTGGCTCATTGATCGGATGGTTCATCGAGATGGTTTGTACAAGTTTGACCTCGGTAATCCAACCCAGTGCTTGGTGAATGAGTATGTAGGCACACAAGGAATTTCAAGCCATGTTGACAATCCTGGACCTTTTGGAGACATTATCACACTCATCTCTTTAAACAAACCAATTTACATGGTTTTGAAATTGGTAGAAAATGAAAATATCCAAACAAAAATTCTTCTTGAACCCAGAAGTCTGTTTGTGATGAAAGATGACAGCAGATTCAAGTGGAAACATGGAATTACTCACATGAAGCAAGTGTACATTCCCAGTACTGGAGAAACATTAATTCGAGATGAGACATATCGTCGAATAAGCTTAACATTCAGGTACATTAAAACTGATGGCACCAAGAAAGTCACAAGTGAAGATCCCAACACGGATGCCTTGTGGTAAATGAACAGATTGGATGCATGAACCTCTTCTCCTTCACTGTGGATCGCATGAGATCTTGCTTGAAGCTGCTGGAACCAACATTTCCAAAAAAATCAAAGCTTTCAAACATCACCAACAGAAGCCGTTTAACTTTGTTACGCCAACCACAACCACCAACAACAAGCTTCTTTAAATTATCACTACCACATATTAAAATTCAAAACACGACAAGTTTTAAATCCAATCACCACGATTACAAGATCATTATTCCACATCACCAAAGTGTGTTTGAATTTCATTCTACCGACCATCACGTACTTTTCGGTGATTTTTCTTTTAATTTTCGAACACGTTCGGCATTTGACAAGCATTGTAGTGACTTTGTACGACAAACATCATCCTAAACGCCTTTCCTCTTTTTCAAGATATCTATCCATGAATGAATTGAATGAAAATAATACCCTCACTCGACCAAACTGCATACGCTGTTCGAACACCATGCCGATTCAAAACACTTTGCATCATGGTGTGGTTGCTCATTCATCTTCAAACATGTACAACAACAACATGAGCAACAGCATCAACACCAAACAGAAGAAACCTCTGGGAATGAGATCATGTCATACTAGCAGGAGCATTTCCAAAGAAGACTTGTTGCAGCATTTGTGTCGCACCAACCCCACTGAGACTCATAACGGAACCTTCATAAAGATGCATCACTGTGGTTCGTGGGAAGAATGGTTGAATGAACATGTTCAACAAGTAGCTGTTTTAAATTTAACTCAAAAAGATAATAACAAGAACTACAAAAATTCAAGTCAGCAACCCTGCCTTCCTAACTGCATTCAATTACAGATGAACAAGTTTCATCACTTTGTAAATACGAATTTTCCAATTTTGGAAAAACAGAATTCTTCGCCGGCGACCATAATTCTTGAGCATGTCAAAACTGTGGGTGTCATTCATCACTTTAAAACTCGAGATCAATCCACTACAACATATACTCCTCCTGATTTGACTAAAAAGGAAAAGTTGTTAAAATTCGTTGCTTCAGAAGAATTTGGAGTAGCCTCCATGATATGTCCTCCTCTCTTACTTGCTCATTGGTATGGAGTTTACAGACAAGAGAGTTTACTTTTAAATTGTGCTCAATACGTTGCAAGTGGATGGAGACTTGATCTCGAATCAAAACTCTTGCATACCATTGCCACACTTTACAAATATCCCAAGAGTGTTAAAACTCGAGTTGACAACAATCAAGATCTTGAACAGTTCTATCCTAGGACCATGATTCTGAAAAGTGTGAGTTTGGAAGAAATTATGAAAGATGGATTCACAATTCGAAACGTGCATGTGAAGTCAAATTCTAGAAATCTTCAAGAACGGAATTCCAAAACAAATATTGTCTATCATCTTTGTTGTGGAGCGAGTAGTGATAAGGAAAGTGAGACTACAGTGCTGTGTTCCTTCGTTCATGAAGAATATGCGCTCAGCATGTGTCAATTACTCGTTTCACTGTTGACACTTGCATTCCCATGCTGTGAAATTCCACGCACAACGTTCAAGAGCCACCATGAGACGAATGCAAATTCATCCCTTCCTCAAACTTGTTGTGAAGAGTCGAATCATGATCAAGAATCAGCCATTCATTACCATTCCTTCCATTTCCAACACTTGAATGATTCTTCCTTCAACACTACTCCTCCTCATACACGATAACATGAACATTCATTTGTTTGAATCATACTTTAAGGTGGCACTATTGGAGCCTGATGGTAAGTAATGCGTTATCTGGTTTATGCGGCATCGCGAGGAAAGCAATACTAGGAGGTTTAGGGATATATTTCATTAGTGGAGCATCCCATCTGCAGTTTTATCCGTAACCAGCCGGTTCATTCTTTGAGTGGCTTCTGTGGTTCAACTGGGATCAAAATTCAATGAAATTTACCAGGAGCAAGGTGACGGTACAGAGAAGTTCGTTTTAAAATAATAGCAACTTGGTGAGAGTGTTTTGACCAAGAGTAGCTTGATAGTTTGAAAGAGTGGAAGTCATACTTTGTGAGCAAGCGTAACACGGGATTCGAATTGAAGTGAATATTTGAAACAAAAATCGAAAACAGCTTTACTCTTCCCATCACAAACAAAAAAAATGGCGCCAGTTTGAAGAACAAAATGCACCGAGCTAATTGCGTTTGTTAGTGGAAAACACATACAAAAAGGTGGGAATAGCGTTGAATTAAGTGAGATCGGAGCAAGATTTGATCGATTTTCAACAGAAATTCGGTGATTGGATTTGCAGACCATCGTTTAGACAACTTGAAGACCATGTAAAATCACAAGCTCAACCACTCCTAATTGACTGCTCAAATAATTTACATCCATTGAACGAGCTTATTTCACCTGAAGGGGTATTTGATTTCTATTTTCAAAAATCATCTTATTTGTCGTCAATGCTATTGTAGTAATTGTGAATCGTGTAACACATTTCAATTCACGAATAGAAAAGAAAAGGCATGCGAAAAGTGAAATTTCCTTTCCTCGGAGCATGCAAGACCAAGAAGCGTCCTTGTTTTAGAGAAAGCAAAAGTGCGGAAGCCAATGCAACTGTAAATTTTTTTTTTGTTGTTAAATTTTAAAAATAGTTTAGTGCGCATTAGTAAACTGGCAATAGTGCCACTTAAAACTTGAGAATCTTCAAAGGACTGCGTCCAAAGCAGAAAGCTTAAAAAAAAATGTTCGCAAAGAGTCTTTCCTCTCTTGTGTTGATCAACAAGTCATCCTCAGGCTTCAGAAATATCAAGTCGTCGGTTCAACAGTTCTGTTGTTATTCGACTCAAGTGGTGAAACCAGCAACTCCAATTAAACTTTTCAAGGTTAC